ACTGTCCCAAGTCTAGAGGAACACCAACTTCAGCACAGCAACTCGAGGAATGCTCCGTGTACCCCAAATCGTCTCGAGATGCGAGCTGATTCCCTGGCTTAGGCTCAAGACGTATGCCAACTTCCCAGAAGCACCTCAGGAGGAGGCTTCTCTCAGCAATAGGTATGTGTGAGGGACCCCGAGATTGCTGCCTCAAGGGGAATATACAGCGAGAAGCCCTGACTTGAAAGGAGGCCGGATTTCCTTGCAGTGGCTTGAATACAGGCTCGTCTTTCATCTCACAACATGAAGGGATGTCTGAATCCCCTGTGGAGACCTTAGAGAAAGCCCTAGGTCCCTGCCTCATTTTGACGGAATGCCTCACATCCCGCTGACACCTCGAGAGGCACGCGGAGTTCATTGCTTCAAAAGGTGACGATGCCTGACTCCTCTTGAATACTGATAGGAATCCCAAAATCCCTGTGGCTACTGGAAAGGGTCCTTGGGTGCCCTGCCTCACCTCGAGAAGCGTCCCTTTTGCCCTGCCAAGCCTCGAAGAGATTCCTGAGGTGTCCCTCGTTACTAGACAGGAGTCCTGACGTCACTGAAGAAACTCGTGTTTTGAAGGGCCATCCCCGCCGTAAGTCGAGAACATACCCCAGGTCCCCGCCGCAACTCGAGAAAAACCATGAGACTTCCCCCTAGAGGCGAGATGAGGCCCCATTCCGCTGCAGTGCATGCAGAGCTATTCCGTGATCCCATTCAAACAAGTCAGGAGCTTCGACTTGCTTAATGGATCTCGAGACAGTCCCCAAGAACACTGTCACCAGTCTAGACGGACCCTGAGGTCACCCCAGCAACGCAAAGCAGTTCCATGTGCCCCAAATCAACTCGAGATGAGGCCCGATTCCCCTGCATTGACTCCAGAGCCATTCCCCGTTCCCCATTCAACACTACCGGTGGCTCGACTTCCTTCAGGCAACTCCAGAGATGCCCCGAGAACACTGTCCCAAGTCTAGAGGAACACCAACTTCAGCACAGCAACTCGAGGAATGCTCCGTGTACCCCAAATCGTCTCGAGATGCGAGCTGATTCCCTGGCTTAGGCTCAAGACGTATGCCAACTTCCCAGAAGCACCTCAGGAGGAGGCTTCTCTCAGCAATAGGTATGTGGGAGGGACCCCGAGTTTGCTGCCTCAAGGGGAATATACAGCGAGAAGCCCTGACTTGAAAGGAGGCCGGATTTCCTTGCAGTGGCTTGAATACAGGCTCGTCTTTCATCTCACAACATGAAGGGATGTCTGAATCCCCTGTGGAGACCTTAGAGAAAGCCCTAGGTCCCTGCCTCATTTTGACGGAATGCCTCACATCCCGCTGACACCTCGAGAGGCACGCGGAGTTCATTGCTTCAAAAGGTGACGATGCCTGACTCCTCTTGAATACTGATAGGAATCCCAAAATCCCTGTGGCTACTGGAAAGGGTCCTTGGGTGCCCTGCCTCACCTCGAGAAGCGTCCCTTTTTTCCCTGCCAAGCCTCGAAGAGATTCCTGAGGTGTCCCTCGTTACTAGACAGGAGTCCTGACGTCACTGAAGAAACTCGTGTTTTGAAGGGCCATCCCCGCCGTAAGTCGAGAACATACCCCAGGTCCCCGCCGCAACTCGAGAAAAACCATGAGACTTCCCCCTAGAGGCGAGATGAGGCCCCATTCCCCTGCAGTGCATGCAGAGCTATTCCGTGACCCCATTCAAACAAGTCAGGAGCTTCGACTTGCTTAATGGATCTCGAGACAGTCCCCAAGAACACTGTCACCAGTCTAGACGGAACCTGAGGTCACCCCAGCAACGCAAAGCAGCTCCATGTGCCCCAAATCAACTCGAGATGAGGCCCGATTCCCCTGCATTGACTCCAGAGCCATTCCCCGTTCCCCATTCAACACGACCGGTGGCTCGACTTCCTTCAGGCAACTCCAGAGATGCCCCGAGAACACTGTGCCAAGTCTAGAGGAACACCAACTTCAGCACAGCAACTCGAGGAATGCTCCGTGTACCCCAAATCGTCTCGAGATTCGAGCTGATTCCCTGGCTTAGGCTCAAGACGTATGCCAACTTCCCAGAAGCACCTCAGGAGGAGGCTTCTCTCAGCAATAGGTATGTGGGAGGGACCCCGAGTTTGCTGCCTCAAGGGGAATATACAGCGAGAAGCCCTAACTTGAAAGGAGGCCGGATTTCTTTGCAGTGGCTTGAATACAGGCTCGTCTTTCATCTCACAACATGAAAGGATGTCTGAATCCCCTGTGGAGACCTTAGAGAAAGCCCTATGCCCTGCCTCATTTTGACGGAATGCCTCACATCCCGCTGACACCTCGAGAGGCACGTGGAGTTCATTCCTTCAAAAGGTGACGATGCCTGACTCCTCTTGAATACTGATAGGAATCCCAAAATCCCTGTGGCTACTGGAAAGGGTCCTTGGGTGCCCTGCCTCACCTCGAGAAGCGTCCCTTTTGCCCTGCCAAGCCTCGAAGAGATTCCTGAGGTGTCCCTCGTTACTAGACAGGAGTCCTGACGTCACTGAAGAAACTCGTGTTTTGAAGGGCCATCCCCGCCGTAAGTCGAGAACATACCCCAGGTCCCCGCCGCAACTCGAGAAAAACCATGAGACTTCCCCCTAGAGGCGAGATGAGGCCCCATTCCCCTGCAGTGCATGCAGAGCTATTCCGTGATCCCATTCAAACAAGTCAGGAGCTTCGACTTGCTTAATGGATCTCGAGACAGTCCCCAAGAACACTGTCACCAGTCTAGACGGACCCTGAGGTCACCCCAGCAACGCAAAGCAGCTCCATGTGCCCCAAATCAACTCGAGATGAGGCCCGATTCCCCTGCATTGACTCCAGAGCCATTCCCCGTTCCCCATTCAACACGACCGGTGGCTCGACTTCCTTCAGGCAACTCCAGAGATGCCCCGAGAACACTGTCCCAAGTCTAGAGGAACACCAACTTCAGCACAGCAACTCGAGGAATGCTGCATGTACCCCAAATCGTCTCGAGATGCGAGCTGATTCCCTGGCTTAGGCTCAAGACGTATGCCAACTTCCCAGAAGCACCTCAGGAGGAGGCTTCTCTCAGCAATAGGTATGAGGGAGGGACCCCGAGTTTGCTGCCTCAAGGGGAATATACAGCGAGAAGCCCTAACTTGAAAGGAGGCCGGATTTCCTTTCAGTGGCTTGAATACAGGCTCGTCTTTCATCTCACAACATGAAGGGATGTCTGAATCCCCTGTGGAGACCTTAGAGAAAGCCCTAGGTCCCTGCCTCATTTTGACGGAACGCCTCACATCCCGCTGACACCTCAAGAGGCACGCGGAGTTCATTGCTTCAAAAGGTGACGATGCCTGACTACTCTTGAATACTGATAGGAATCCCAAAATCCCTGTGGCTACTGGAAAGGGTCCTTGGGTGCCCTGCCTCACTTCGAGAAGCGTCCCTTTTGCCCTGCCAAGCCTCGAAGAGATTCCTGAGGTGTCCCTCGTTACTAGACAGGAGTCCTGACGTCACTGAAGAAACTCGTGTTTTGAAGGGCCATCCCCGCCGTAAGTCGAGAACATACCCCAGGTCCCCGCCGCAACTCGAGAAAAACCATGAGACTTCCCCCAGAGGCGAGATGAGGCCCCATTCCCCTGCAGTGCATGCAGAGCTATTCCGTGATCCCATTCAAACAAGTCAGGAGCTTCGACTTGCTTAATGGATCTCGAGACAGTCCCCAAGAACACTGTCACCAGTCTAGACGGACCCTGAGGTCACCCCAGCAACGCAAAGCAGCTCCATGTGCCCCAAATCAACTCGAGATGAGGCCCAATTCCCCTGCATTGACTCCAGAGCCATTCCCCGTTCCCAATTCAACACGACCGGTGGCTCGACTTCCTTCAGGCAACTCCAGAGATGCCCCGAGAACACTGTCCCAAGTCTAGGGGAACACCAACTTCAGCACAGCAACTCGAGGAATGCTCCGTGTACCCCAAATCGTCTCGAGATGCGAGCTGATTCCCTGGCTTAGGCTCAAGACGTATGCCAACTTCCCAGAAGCACCTCAGGAGGAGGCTTCTCTCAGCAGTAGGTATGTGGGAGGGACCCCGAGTTTGCTGCCTCAAGGGGAATATACAGCGAGAAGCCCTGACTTGAAAGGAGGCCGGATTTCCTTGCAGTGGCTTGAATACAGGCTCGGCTTTCATCTCACAACATGAAGGGATGTCTGAATCCCCTGTGGAGACCTTAGAGAAAGCCCTAGGTCCCTGCCTCATTTTGACGGAATGCCTCACATCCCGCTGACACCTCGAGAGGCACGCGGAGTTCATTGCTTCAAAAGGTGACGATGCCTGACTCCTCTTGAATACTGATAGGAATCCCAAAATCCCTGTGGCTACTGGAAAGGGTCCTTGGGTGCCCTGCCTCACCTCGAGAAGCGTCCCTTTTGCCCTGCCAAGCCTCGAAGAGATTCCTGAGGTGTCCCTCGTTACTAGACAGGAGTCCTGACGTCACTGAAGAAACTCGTGTTTTGAAGGGCCATCCAAGCCGTAAGTCGAGAACATACCCCAGGTCCCCGCCGCAACTCGAGAAAAACCATGAGACTTCCCCCTAGAGGCGAGATGAGGCCCCATTCCCCTGCAGTGCATGCAGAGCTATTCCGTGATCCCATTCAAACAAGTCAGGAGCTTCGACTTGCTTAATGGATCTCGAGACAGTCCCCAAGAACACTGTCACCAGTCTAGACGGACCCTGAGGTCACCCCAGCAACGCAAAGCAGCTCCATGTGCCCCAAATCAACTCGAGATGAGGCCCGATTCCCCTGCATTGACTCCAGAGCCATTCCCCGTTCCCCATTCAACACGACCGGTGGCTCGACTTCCTTCAGGCAACTCCAGAGATGCCCCGAGAACACTGTCCCAAGTCTAGAGGAACACCAACTTCAGCACAGCAACTCGAGGAATGCTCCGTGTACCCCAAATCGTCTCGAGATTCGAGCTGATTCCCTGGCTTAGGCTCAAGACGTATGCCAACTTCCCAGAAGCACCTCAGGAGGAGGCTTCTCTCAGCAATAGGTATGTGGGAGGGACCCCGAGTTTGCTGCCTCAAGGGGAATATACAGCGAGAAGCCCTAACTTGAAAGGAGGCCGGATTTCCTTGCAGTGGCTTGAATACAGGCTCGTCTTTCATCTCACAACATGAAGGGATGTCTGAATCCCCTGTGGAGACCTTAGAGAAAGCCCTAGGTCCCTGCCTCATTTTGACGGAATGCCTCACATCCCGCTGACACCTCGAGAGGCACGTGGAGTTCATTGCTTCAAAAGGTGACGATGCCTGACTCCTCTTGAATACTGATAGGAATCCCAAAATCCCTGTGGCTACTGGAAAGGGTCCTTGGGTGCCCTGCCTCACCTCGAGAAGCGTCCCTTTTGCCCTGCCAAGCCTCGAAGAGATTCCTGAGGTGTCCCTCGTTACTAGACAGGAGTCCTGACGTCACTGAAGAAACTCGTGTTTTGAAGGGCCATCCCCGCCGTAAGTCGAGAACATACCCCAGGTCCCCGCCGCAACTCGAGAAAAACCATGAGACTTCCCCCTAGAGGCGAGATGAGGCCCCATTCCCCTGCAGTGCATGCAGAGCTATTCCGTGATCCCATTCAAACAAGTCAAGAGCTTCGACTTGCTTAATGGATCTCGAGACAGTCCCCAAGAACACTGTCACCAGTCTAGACGGACCCTGAGGTCACCCCAGCAACGCAAAGCAGCTCCATGTGCCCCAAATCAACTCGAGATGAGGCCCGATTCCCCTGCATTGACTCCAGAGCCATTCCCCGTTCCCCATTCAACACGACCGGTGGCTCGACTTCCTTCAGGCAACTCCAGAGATGCCCCGAGAACACTGTCCCAAGTCTAGAGGAACACCAACTTCAGCACAGCAACTCGAGGAATGCTCCGTGTACCCCAAATCGTCTCGAGATGCGAGCTGATTCCCTGGCTTAGGCTCAAGACGTATGCCAACTTCCCAGAAGCACCTCAGGAGGAGGCTTCTCTCAGCAATAGGTATGAGGGAGGGACCCCGAGTTTGCTGCCTCAAGGGGAATATACAGCGAGAAGCCCTAACTTGAAAGGAGGCCGGATTTCCTTTCAGTGGCTTGAATACAGGCTCGTCTTTCATCTCACAACATGAAGGGATGTCTGAATCCCCTGTGGAGACCTTAGAGAAAGCCCTAGGTCCCTGCCTCATTTTGACGGAACGCCTCACATCCCGCTGACACCTCAAGAGGCACGCGGAGTTCATTGCTTCAAAAGGTGACGATGCCTGACTCCTCTTGAATACTGATAGGAATCCCAAAATCCCTGTGGCTACTGGAAAGGGTCCTTGGGTGCCCTGCCTCACCTCGAGAAGCGTCCCTTTTGCCCTGCCAAGCCTCGAAGAGATTCCTGAGGTGTCCCTCGTTACTAGACAGGAGTCCTGACGTCACTGAAGAAACTCGTGTTTTGAAGGGCCATCCCCGCCGTAAGTCGAGAACATACCCCAGGTCCCCGCCGCAACTCGAGAAAAACCATGAGATTTCCCCCTAGAGGAGAGATGAGGCCCCATTCCCCTGCAGTGCATGCAGAGCTATTCCGTGATCCCATTCAAACAAGTCAGGAGCTTCGACTTGCTTAATGGATCTCGAGACAGTCCCCAAGAACACTGTCACCAGTCTAGACGGACCCTGAGGTCACCCCAGCAACGCAAAGCAGCTCCATGTGCCCCAAATCAACTCGAGATGAGGCCCAATTCCCCTGCATTGACTCCAGAGCCATTCCCCGTTCCCCATTCAACACGACCGGTGGCTCGACTTCCTTCAGGCAACTCCAGAGATGCCCCGCGAACACTGTCCCAAGTCTAGGGGAACACCAACTTCAGCACAGCAACTCGAGGAATGCTCCGTGTACCCCAAATCGTCTCGAGATGCGAGCTGATTCCCTGGCTTAGGCTCAAGACGTATGCCAACTTCCCAGAAGCACCTCAGGAGGAGGCTTCTCTCAGCAGTAGGTATGTGGGAGGGACCCCGAGTTTGCTGCCTCAAGGGGAATATACAGCGAGAAGCCCTGACTTGAAAGGAGGCCGGATTTCCTTGCAGTGGCTTGAATACAGGCTCGTCTTTCATCTCACAACATGAAGGGATGTCTGAATCCCCTGTGGAGACCTTAGAGAAAGCCCTAGGTCCCTGCCTCATTTTGACGGAATGCCTCACATCCCGCTGACACCTCGAGAGGCACGCGGAGTTCATTGCTTCAAAAGGTGACGATGCCTGACTCCTCTTGAATACTGATAGGAATCCCAAAATCCCTGTGGCTACTGGAAAGGGTCCTTGGGTGCCCTGCCTCACCTCGAGAAGCGTCCCTTTTGCCCTGCCAAGCCTCGAAGAGATTCCTGAGGTGTCCCTCGTTACTAGACAGGAGTCCTGACGTCACTGAAGAAACTCGTGTTTTGAAGGGCCATCCCCGCCGTAAGTCGAGAACATACCCCAGGTCCCCGCCGCAACTCGAGAAAAACCATGAGACTTCCCCCTAGAGGCGAGATGAGGCCCCATTCCCCTGCAGTGCATGCAGAGCTATTCCGTGACCCCATTCAAACAAGTCAGGAGCTTCGACTTGCTTAATGGATCTCGAGACAGTCCCCAAGAACACTGTCACCAGTCTAGACGGACCCTGAGGTCACCCCAGCAACGCAAAGCAGCTCCATGTGCCCCAAATCAACTCGAGATGAGGCCCGATTCCCCTGCATTGACTCCAGAGCCATTCCCCGTTCCCCATTCAACACGACCGGTGGCTCGACTTCCTTCAGGCAACTCCAGAGATGCCCCGAGAACACTGTCCCAAGTCTAGAGGAACACCAACTTCAGCACAGCAACTCGAGGAATGCTCCGTGTACCCCAAATCGTCTCGAGATTCGAGCTGATTCCCTGGCTTAGGCTCAAGACGTATGCCAACTTCCCAGAAGCACCTCAGGAGGAGGCTTCTCTCAGCAATAGGTATGTGGGAGGGACCCCGAGTTTGCTGCCTCAAGGGGAATATACAGCGAGAAGCCCTAACTTGAAAGGAGGCCGGATTTCCTTGCAGTGGCTTGAATACAGGCTCGTCTTTCATCTCACAACATGAAGGGATGTCTGAATCCCCTGTGGAGACCTTAGAGAAAGCCCTAGGTCCCTGCCTCATTTTGACGGAATGCCTCACATCCCGCTGACACCTCGAGAGGCACGCGGAGTTCATTGCTTCAAAAGGTGACGATGCCTGACTCCTCTTGAATACTGATAGGAATCCCAAAATCCCTGTGGCTACTGGAAAGTGTCTTTGGGTGCCCTGCCTCACCTCGAGAAGCGTCCATTTTTTCCCTGCCAACCCTCGAAGAGATTCCTGAGGTGTCCCTCGTTACTAGACAGGAGTCCTGACGTCACTGAAGAAACTCGTGTTTTGAAGGGCCATCCCCGCCGTAAGTCGAGAACATACCCCAGGTCCCCGCCGCAACTCGAGAAAAACCATGAGACTTCCCCCTAGAGGCGAGATGAGGCCCCATTCCCCTGCAGTGCATGCAGAGCTATTCCGTGACCTCATTCAAACAAGTCAGGAGCTTCGACTTGCTTAATGGATCTCGAGACAGTCCCCAAGAACACTGTCACCAGTCTAGACGGACCCTGAGGTCACCCCAGCAACGCAAAGCAGCTCCATGTGCCCCAAATCAACTCGAGATGAGGCCCGATTCCCCTGCATTGACTCCAGAGCCATTCCCCGTTCCCCATTCAACACGACCGGTGGCTCGACTTCCTTCAGGCAACTCCAGAGATGCCCCGAGAACACTGTCCCAAGTCTAGAGGAACACCAACTTCAGCACAGCAACTCGAGGAATGCTCCGTGTACCCCAAATCGTCTCGAGATGCGAGCTGATTCCCTGGCTTAGGCTCAAGACGTATGCCAACTTCCCAGAAGCACCTCAGGAGGAGGCTTCTCTCAGCAATAGGTATGTGTGAGGGACCCCGAGATTGCTGCCTCAAGGGGAATATACAGCGAGAAGCCCTGACTTGAAAGGAGGCCGGATTTCCTTGCAGTGGCTTGAATACAGGCTCGTCTTTCATCTCACAACATGAAGGGATGTCTGAATCCCCTGTGGAGACCTTAGAGAAAGCCCTAGGTCCCTGCCTCATTTTGACGGAATGCCTCACATCCCGCTGACACCTCGAGAGGCACGCGGAGTTCATTGCTTCAAAAGGTGACGATGCCTGACTCCTCTTGAATACTGATAGGAATCCCAAAATCCCTGTGGCTACTGGAAAGGGTCCTTGGGTGCCCTGCCTCACCTCGAGAAGCGTCCCTTTTGCCCTGCCAAGCCTCGAAGAGATTCCTGAGGTGTCCCTCGTTACTAGACAGGAGTCCTGACGTCACTGAAGAAACTCGTGTTTTGAAGGGCCATCCCCGCCGTAAGTCGAGAACATACCCCAGGTCCCCGCCGCAACTCGAGAAAAACCATGAGATTTCCCCCTAGAGGCGAGATGAGGCCCCATTCCCCTGCAGTGCATGCAGAGCTATTCCGTGATCCCATTCAAACAAGTCAGGAGCTTCGACTTGCTTAATGGATCTCGAGACAGTCCCCAAGAACACTGTCACCAGTCTAGACGGACCCTGAGGTCACCCCAGCAACGCAAAGCAGCTCCATGTGCCCCAAATCAACTCGAGATGAGGCCCGATTCCCCTGCATTGATTCCAGAGCCATTCCCCGTTCCCCATTCAACACGACCGGTGGCTCGACTTCCTTCAGGCAACTCCAGAGATGCCCCGCGAACACTGTCCCAAGTCTAGGGGAACACCAACTTCAGCACAGCAACTCGAGGAATGCTCCGTGTACCCCAAATCGTCTCGAGATGCGAGCTGATTCCCTGGCTTAGGCTCAAGACGTATGCCAACTTCCCAGAAGCACCTCAGGAGGAGGCTTCTCTCAGCAGTAGGTATGTGGGAGGGACCCCGAGTTTGCTGCCTCAAGGGGAATATACAGCGAGAAGCCCTGACTTGAAAGGAGGCCGGATTTCCTTGCAGTGGCTTGAATACAGGCTCGTCTTTCATCTCACAACATGAAGGGATGTCTGAATCCCCTGTGGAGACCTTAGAGAAAGCCCTAGGTCCCTGCCTCATTTTGACGGAATGCCTCACATCCCGCTGACACCTCGAGAGGCACGCGGAGTTCATTGCTTCAAAAGGTGACGATGCCTGACTCCTCTTGAATACTGATAGGAATCCCAAAATCCCTGTGGCTACTGGAAAGGGTCCTTGGGTGCCCTGCCTCACCTCGAGAAGCGTCCCTTTTGCCCTGCCAAGCCTCGAAGAGATTCCTGAGGTGTCCCTCGTTACTAGACAGGAGTCCTGACGTCACTGAAGAAACTCGTGTTTTGAAGGGCCATCCCCGCCGTAAGTCGAGAACATACCCCAGGTCCCCGCCGCAACTCGAGAAAAACCATGAGACTTCCCCCTAGAGGCGAGATGAGGCCCCATTCCCCTGCAGTGCATGCAGAGCTATTCCGTGATCCCATTCAAACAAGTCAGGAGCTTCGACTTGCTTAATGGATCTCGAGACAGTCCCCAAGAACACTGTCACCAGTCTAGACGGACCCTGAGGTCACCCCAGCAACGCAAAGCAGCTCCATGTGCCCCAAATCAACTCGAGATGAGGCCCGATTCCCCTGCATTGACTCCAGAGCCATTCCCCGTTCCCCATTCAACACGACCGGTGGCTCGACTTCCTTCAGGCAACTCCAGAGATGCCCCGAGAACACTGTCCCAAGTCTAGAGGAACACCAACTTCAGCACAGCAACTCGAGGAATGCTCCGTGTACCCCAAATCGTCTCGAGATGCGAGCTGATTCCCTGGCTTAGGCTCAAGACGTATGCCAACTTCCCAGAAGCACCTCAGGAGGAGGCTTCTCTCAGCAATAGGTATGTGGGAGGGACCCCGAGTTTGCTGCCTCAAGGGGAATATACAGCGAGAAGCCCTAACTTGAAAGGAGGCCGGATTTCCTTGCAGTGGCTTGAATACAGGCTCGTCTTTCATCTCACAACATGAAGGGATGTCTGAATCCCCTGTGGAGACCTTAGAGAAAGCCCTAGGTCCCTGCCTCATTTTGACGGAATGCCTCACATCCCGCTGACACCTCGAGAGGCACGCGGAGTTCATTGCTTCAAAAGGTGACGATGCCTGACTCCTCTTGAATACTGATAGGAATCCCAAAATCCCTGTGGCTACTGCAAAGTGTCTTTGGGTGCCCTGCCTCACCTCGAGAAGCGTCCATTTTTTCCCGGCCAACCCTCGAAGAGATTCCTGAGGTGTCCCTCGTTACTAGACAGGAGTCCTGACGTCACTGAAGAAACTCGTGTTTTGAAGGGCCATCCCCGCCGTAAGTCGAGAACATACCCCAGGTCCCCGCCGCAACTCGAGAAAAACCATGAGACTTCCCCCTAGAGGCGAGATGAGGCCCCATTCCCCTGCAGTGCATGCAGAGCTATTCCGTGACCTCATTCAAACAAGTCAGGAGCTTCGACTTGCTTAATGGATCTCGAGACAGTCCCCAAGAACACTGTCACCAGCCTAGACGGACCCTGAGGTCACCCCAGCAACGCAAAGCAGCTCCATGTGCCCCAAATCAACTCGAGATGAGGCCCGATTCCCCTGCATTGACTCCAGAGCCATTCCCCGTTCCCCATTCAACACGACCGGTGGCTCGACTTCCTTCAGGCAACTCCAGAGATGCCCCGAGAACACTGTCCCAAGTCTAGAGGAACACCAACTTCAGCACAGCAACTCGAGGAATGCTCCGTGTACCCCAAATCGTCTCGAGATGCGAGCTGATTCCCTGGCTTAGGCTCAAGACGTATGCCAACTTCCCAGAAGCACCTCAGGAGGAGGCTTCTCTCAGCAATAGGTATGTGTGAGGGACCCCGAGATTGCTGCCTCAAGGGGAATATACAGCGAGAAGCCCTGACTTGAAAGGAGGCCGGATTTCCTTGCAGTGGCTTGAATACAGGCTCGTCTTTCATCTCACAACATGAAGGGATGTCTGAATCCCCTGTGGAGACCTTAGAGAAAGCCCTAGGTCCCTGCCTCATTTTGACGGAATGCCTCACATCCCGCTGACACCTCGAGAGGCACGCGGAGTTCATTGCTTCAAAAGGTGACGATGCCTGACTCCTCTTGAATACTGATAGGAATCCCAAAATCCCTGTGGCTACTGGAAAGGGTCCTTGGGTGCCCTGCCTCACCTCGAGAAGCGTCCCTTTTGCCCTGCCAAGCCTCGAAGAGATTCCTGAGGTGTCCCTCGTTACTAGACAGGAGTCCTGACGTCACTGAAGAAACTCGTGTTTTGAAGGGCCATCCCCGCCGTAAGTCGAGAACATACCCCAGGTCCCCGCCGCAACTCGAGAAAAACCATGAGACTTCCCCCTAGAGGCGAGATGAGGCCCCATTCCGCTGCAGTGCATGCAGAGCTATTCCGTGATCCCATTCAAACAAATCAGGAGCTTCGACTTGCTTAATGGATCTCGAGACAGTCCCCAAGAACACTGTCACCAGTCTAGACGGACCCTGAGGTCACCCCAGCAACGCAAAGCAGCTCCATGTGCCCCAAATCAACTCGAGATGAGGCCCGATTCCCCTGCATTGACTCCAGAGCCATTCCCCGTTCCCCATTCAACACGACCGGTGGCTCGACTTCCTTCAGGCAACTCCAGAGATGCCCCGAGAACACTGTCCCAAGTCTAGAGGAACACCAACTTCAGCACAGCAACTCGAGGAATGCTCCGTGTACCCCAAATCGTCTCGAGATGCGAGCTGATTCCCTGGCTTAGGCTCAAGACGTATGCCAACTTCCCAGAAGCACCTCAGGAGGAGGCTTCTCTCAGCAATAGGTATGTGGGAGGGACCCCGAGTTTGCTGCCTCAAGGGGAATATACAGCGAGAAGCCCTGACTTGAAAGGAGGCCGGATTTCCTTGCAGTGGCTTGAATACAGGCTCGTCTTTCATCTCACAACATGAAGGGATGTCTGAATCCCCTGTGGAGACCTTAGAGAAAGCCCTAGGTCCCTGCCTCATTTTGACGGAATGCCTCACATCCCGCTGACACCTCGAGAGGCACGCGGAGTTCATTGCTTCAAAAGGTGACGATGCCTGACTCCTCTTGAATACTGATAGGAATCCCAAAATCCCTGTGGCTACTGGAAAGGGTCCTTGGGTGCCCTGCCTCACCTCGAGAAGCGTCCCTTTTGCCCTGCCAAGCCTCGAAGAGATTCCTGAGGTGTCCCTCGTTACTAGACAGGAGTCCTGACGTCACTGAAGAAACTCGTGTTTTGAAGGGCCATCCCCGCCGTAAGTCGAGAACATACCCCAGGTCCCCGCCGCAACTCGAGAAAAACCATGAGACTTCCCCCTAGAGGCGAAATGAGGCCCCATTCCGCTGCAGTGCATGCAGAGCTATTCCGTGATCCCATTCAAACAAGTCAGGAGCTTCGACTTGCTTAATGGATCTCGAGACAGTCCCCAAGAACACTGTCACCAGTCTAGACTGACCCTGAGGTCACCCCAGCAACGCAAAGCAGCTCCATGTGCCCCAAATCAACTCGAGATGAGGCCCGATTCCCCTGCATTGACTCCAGAGCCATTCCCCGTTCCCCATTCAACACGACCGGTGGCTCGACTTCCTTCAGGCAACTCCAGAGATGCCCCGAGAACACTGTCCCAAGTCTAGAGGAACACCAACTTCAGCACAGCAACTCGAGGAATGCTCCGTGTACCCCAAATCGTCTCGAGATGCGAGCTGATTCCCTGGCTTAGGCTCAAGACGTATGCCAACTTCCCAGAAGCACCTCAGGAGGAGGCTTCTCTCAGCAATAGGTATGTGGGAGGGACCCCGAGTTTGCTGCCTCAAGGGGAATATACAGCGAGAAGCCCTGACTTGAAAGGAGGCCGGATTTCCTTGCAGTGGCTTGAATACAGGCTCGTCTTTCATCTCACAACATGAAGGGATGTCTGAATCCCCTGTGGAGACCTTAGAGAAAGCCCTAGGTCCCTGCCTCATTTTGACGGAATGCCTCACATCCCGCTGACACCTCGAGAGGCACGCGGAGTTCATTGCTTCAAAAGGTGACGATGCCTGACTCCTCTTGAATACTGATAGGAATCCCAAAATCCCTGTGGCTACTGGAAAGGGTCCTTGGGTGCCCTGCCTCACCTCGAGAAGCGTCCCTTTTGCCCTGCCAAGCCTCGAAGAGATTCCTGAGGTGTCCCTCGTTACTAGACAGGAGTCCTGACGTCACTGAAGAAACTCGTGTTTTGAAGGGCCATCCCCGCCGTAAGTCGAGAACATACCCCAGGTCCCCGCCGCAACTCGAGAAAAACCATGAGACTTCCCCCTAGAGGCGAAATGAGGCCCCATTCCGCTGCAGTGCATGCATAGCTATTCCGTGATCCCATTCAAACAAGTCAGGAGCTTCGACTTGCTTAATGGATCTCGAGACAGTCCCCAAGAACACTGTCACCAGTCTAGACGGACCCTGAGGTCACCCCAGCAACGCAAAGCAGCTCCATGTGCCCCAAATCAACTCGAGATGAGGCCCGATTCCCCTGCATTGACTCCAGAGCCATTCCCCGTTCCCCATTCAACACGACCGGTGGCTCGACTTCCTTCAGGCAACTCCAGAGATGCCCCGAGAACACTGTCCCAAGTCTAGAGGAACACCAACTTCAGCACAGCAACTCGAGGAATGCTCCGTGTACCCCAAATCGTCTCGAGATGCGAGCTGATTCCCTGGCTTAGGCTCAAGACGTATGCCAACTTCCCAGAAGCACCTCAGGAGGAGGCTTCTCTCAGCAATAGGTATGTGGGAGGGACCCCGAGTTTGCTGCCTCAAGGGGAATATACAGCGAGAAGCCCTGACTTGAAAGGAGGCCGGATTTCCTTGCAGTGGCTTGAATACAGGCTCGTCTTTCATCTCACAACATGAAGGGATGTCTGAATCCCCTGTGGAGACCTTAGAGAAAGCCCTAGGTCCCTGCCTCATTTTGACGGAATGCCTCACATCGCGCTGACACCTCGAGAGGCACGCGGAGTTCATTGCTTCAAAAGGTGACGATGCCTGACTCCTCTTGAATACTGATAGGAATCCAAAAATCCCTGTGGCTACTGGAAAGGGTCCTTGGGTGCCCTGCCTCACCTCGAGAAGCGTCCCTTTTGCCCTGCCAAGCCTCGAAGAGATTCCTGAGGTGTCCCTCATTACTAGACAGGAGTCCTGACGTCACTGAAGAAACTCGTGTTTTGAAGGGCCATCCCCGCCGTAAGTCGAGAACATACCCCAGGTCCCCGCCGCAACTCGAGAAAAACCATGAGACTTCCCCCTAGAGGCGAGATGAGGCCCCATTCCCCTGCAGTGCATGCAGAGCTATTCCGTGACCCCATTCAAGCAAGTCAGGAGCTTCGACTTGCTTAATGGATCTCGAGACAGTCCCCAAGAACACTGTCACCAGTCTAGACGGACCCTGAGGTCACCCCAGCAACGCAAAGCAGCTCCATGTGCCCCAAATCAACTCGAGATGAGGCCCGATTCCCCTGCATTGACTCCAGAGCCATTCCCCGTTCCCCATTCAACACGACCGGTGGCTCGACTTCCTTCAGGCAACTCCAGAGATGCCCCGAGAACACTGTCCCAAGTCTAGAGGAACACCAACTTCAGCACAGCAACTCGAGGAATGCTCCGTGTACCCCAAATCGTCTCGAGATGCGAGCTGATTCCCTGGCTTAGGCTCAAGACGTATGCCAACTTCCCAGAAGAACCTCAGGAGGAGGCTTCTTTCAGCAATAGGTATGTGGGAGGGACCCCGAGTTTGCTGCCTCAAGGGGAATATACAGCGAGAAGCCCTAACTTGAAAGGAGGCCGGATTTCCTTGCAGTGGTTTGAATACAGGCTCGTCTTTCATCTCACAACATGAAGGGATGTCTGAATCCCCTGTGGAGACCTTAGAGAAAGCCCTAGGTCCCTGCCTCATTTTGACGGAATGCCTCACATCCCGCTGACACCTCGAGAGGCACGCGGAGTTCATTGCTTCAAAAGGTGACGATGCCTGACTCCTCTTGAATACTGATAGGAATCCCAAAATCCCTGTGGCTACTGGAAAGGGTCCTTGGGTGCCCTGCCTCACCTCGAGAAGCGTCCCTTTTGCCCTGCCAAGCCTCGAAGAGATTCCTGAGGTGTCCCTCGTTACTAGACAGGAGTCCTGACGTCACTGAAGAAACTCGTGTTTTGAAGGGCCATCCCCGCCGTAAGTCGAGAACATACCGCAGGTCCCCGCCGCAACTCGAGAAAAACCATGAGACTTCCCCCTAGAGGCGAGATGAGGCCCCATTCCCCTGCAGTGCATGCAGCGCTATTCCGTGACCCCATTCAAACAAGTCAGGAGCTTCGACTTGCTTAATGGATCTCGAGACAGTCCCCAAGAACACTGTCACCAGTCTAGACGGACCCTGAGGTCACCCCAGCAACGCAAAGCAGCTCCATGTGCCCCAAATCAACTCGAGATGAGGCCCGATTCCCCTGCATTGACTCCAGAGCCATTCCCCGTTCCCCATTCAACACGACCGGTGCCTCGACTTCCTTCAGGCAACTCCAGAGATGCCCCGAGAACACTGTCCCAAGTCTAGAGGAACACCAACTTCAGCACAGCAACTCGAGGAATGCTCCGTGTACCCCAAATCGTCTCGAGATGCGAGCTGATTCCCTGGCTTAGGCTCAAGACGTATGCCAACTTCCCAGAAGCACCTCAGGAGGAGGCTTCTCTCAGCAATAGGTATGTGGGAGGGACCCCGAGTTTGCTGCCTCAAGGGGAATATACAGCGAGAAGCCCTAACTTGAAAGGAGGCAGGATTTCCTTGCAGTGGCTGGAATACAGGCTCGTCTTTCATCTCACAACATGAAGGGATGTCTGAATCCCCTGTGGAGACCTTAGAGAAAGCCCTAGGTCCCTGCCTCATTTTGACGGAATGCCTCACATCCCGCTGACACCTCGAGAGGCACGCGGAGTTCATTGCTTCAAAAGGTGACGATGCCTGACTCCTCTTGAATACTGATAGGAATCCAAAAATCCCTGTGGCTGCTGGAAAGGGTCCTTGGGTGCCCTGCCTCACCTCGAGAAGCGTCCCTTTTGCCCTGCCAAGCCTCGAAGAGATTCCTGAGGTGTCCGTCATTACTAGACAGGAGTCCTGACGTCACTGAAGAAACTCGTGTTTTGAAGGGCCATCCCCGCCGTAAGTCGAGAACATACCCCAGGTCCCCGCCGCAACTCGAGAAAAACCATGAGACTTCCCCCTAGAGGCGAGATGAGGCCCCATTCCCCTGCAGTGCATGCAGAGCTATTCCGTGACCCCATTCAAGCAAGTCAGGAGCTTCGACTTGTTTAATGGAAATCGAGACAGTCCCCAATAACACTATCACCAGTCTAGACGGACCCTGAGGTCACCCCAGCAACGCAAAGCAGCTCCATGTGCCCCAAATCAACTCGAGATGAGGCCCGATTCCCCTGCATTGACTCCAGAGCCATTCCCCGTTCCCCATTCAACACGACCGGTGGCTCGACTTCCTTCAGGCAACTCCAGAGATGCCCCGAGAACACTGTCCTAAGTCTAGAGGAACACCAACTTCAGCACAGCAACTCGAGGAATGCTCCGTGTACCCCAAATCGTCTCGAGATGCGAGCTGATTCCCTGGCTTAGGCTCAAGACGTATGCCAACTTCCCAGAAGCACCTCAGGAGGAGGCTTCTCTCAGCAATAGGTATGTGGGAGGGACCCCGAGTTTGCTGCCTCAAGGGGAATATACAGCGAGAAGCCCTAACTTGAAAGGAGGCCGGATTTCCTTGCAGTGGCTTGAATACAGGCTCGTCTTTCATCTCACAACATGAAGGGATGTCTGAATCCCCTGTGGAGACCTTAGAGAAAGCCCTAGGTCCCTGCCTCATTTTGACGGAATGCCTCACATCCCGCTGACACCTCGAGAGGCACGCGGAGTTCATTGCTTCAAAAGGTGACGATGCCTGACTCCTCTTGAATACTGATAGGAATCCCAAAATCCCTTTGGCTACTGGAAAGGGTCCTTGGGTGCCCTGCCTCACCTCGAGAAGCGTCCCTTTTGCCCTGCCAAGCCTCGAAGAGATTCCTGAGGTGTCCCTCGTTACTAGACAGGAGTCCTGACGTCACTGAAGAAACTCGTGTTTTGAAGGGCCATCCCCGCCGTAAGTCGAGAACATACCCCAGGTCCCCGCCGCAACTCGAGAAAAACCATGAGACTTCCCCCTAGAGGCGAGATGAGGCCCCATTCCCCTGCAGTGCATGCAGAGCTATTCCGTGACCCCATTCAAGCAAGACAGGAGCTTCGACTTCCTTAATGGATCTCGAGACAGTCCCCAAGAACACTGTCACCAGTCTAGACGGACCCTGAGGTCACCCCAGCAACGCAAAGCAGCTCCATGTGCCCCAAATCAACTCGAGATGAGGCCCGATTCCCCTGCATTGACTCCAGAGCCATTCCCCGTTCCCCATTCAACACGACCGGTGGCTCGACTTCCTTCAGGCAACTCCACAGATGCCCCGAGAACACTGTCCCAAGTCTAGAGGAACACCAACTTCAGCACAGCAACTCGAGGAATGCTCCGTGTACCCCAAATCGTCTCGAGATGCGAGCTGATTCCCTGGCTTAGGCTCAAGACGTATGCCAACTTCCCAGAAGCACCTCAGGAGGAGGCTTCTCTCAGCAATAGGTATGTGGGAGGGACCCCGAGTTTGCTGCCTCAAGGGGAATATACAGCGAGAAGCCCTAACTTGAAAGGAGGCCAGATTTCCTTGCAGTGGCTTGAATACAGGCTCGTCTTTCATCTCACAACATGAAGGGATGTCTGAATCCCCTGTGGAGACCTTAGAGAAAGCCCTAGGTCCCTGCCTCATTTTGACGGAATGCCTCACATCCCGCTGACACCTCGAGAGGCACGCGGAGTTCATTGCTTCAAAAGGTGACGATGCCTGACTCCTCTTGAATACTGATAGGAATCCCAAAATCCCTTTGGTTACTGGAAAGGGTCCTTGGGTGCCCTGCCTCACCTCGAGAAGCGTCCCTTTTGCCCTGCCAAGCCTCGAAGAGATTCCTGAGGTGTCCCTCGTTACTAGACAGGAGTCCTGACGTCACTGAAGAAACTCGTGTTTTGAAGGGCCATCCCCGCCGTAAGTCGAGAACATACCACAGGTCCCCGCCGCAACTCGAGAAAAACCATGAGACTTCCCCCTAGAGGCGAGATGAGGCCCCATTCCCCTGCAGTGCATGCAGAGCTATTCCGTGACCCCATTCAAACAAGTCAGGAGCTTCGACTTGCTTAATGGATCTCGAGACAGTCCCCAAGAACACTGTCACCAGTCTAGACGGACCCTGAGGTCACCCCAGCAACGCAAAGCAGCTCCATGTGCCCCAAATCAACTCGAGATGAGGCCCGATTCCCCTGCATTGACTCCAGAGCCATTCCCCGTTCCCCATTCAACACGACCGGTGGCTCGACTTCCTTCAGGCAACTCCAGAGATGCCCCGAGAACACTGTCCCAAGTCTAGAGGAACACCAACTTCAGCACAGCAACTCGAGGAATGCTCCGTGTACCCCAAATCGTCTCGAGATGCGAGCTGATTCCCTGGCTTAGGCTCAAGACGTATGCCAACTTCCCAGAAGCACCTCAGGAGGAGGCTTCTCTCAGCAATAGGTATGTGGGAGGGACCCCGAGTTTGCTGCCTCAAGGGGAATATACAGCGAGAAGCCCTAACTTGAAAGGAGGCCGGATTTCCTTGCAGTGGCTGGAATACAGGCTCGTCTTTCATCTCACAACATGAAGGGATGTCTGAATCCCCTGTGGAGACCTTAGAGAAAGCCCTAGGTCCCTGCCTCATTTTGACGGAATGCCTCATATCCCGCTGACACCTCGAGAGGCACGCGGAGTTCATTGCTTCAAAAGGTGACGATGCCTGACTCCTCTTGAATACTGATAGGAATCCAAAAATCCCTGTGGCTACTGGAAAGGGTCCTTGGGTGCCCTGCCTCACCTCGAGAAGCGTCCCTTTTGCCCTGCCAAGCCTCGAAGAGATTCCTGAGGTGTCCCTCATTACTAGACAGGAGTCCTGACGTCACTGAAGAAACTCGTGTTTTGAAGGGCCATCCCCGCCGTAAGTCGAGAACATACCCCAGGTCCCCGCCGCAACTCGAGAAAAACCATGAGACTTCCCCCTAGAGGCGAGATGAGGCCCCATTCCCCTGCAGTGCATGCAGAGCTATTCCGTGACCCCATTCAAACAAGTCAGGAGGTTCGACTTGCTTAATGGATCTCGAGACAGTCCCCAAGAACACTGTCACCAGTCTAGACGGACCCTGAGGTCACCCCAGCAACGCAAAGCAGCTCCATGTGCCCCAAATCAACTCGAGATGAGGCCCGATTCCCCTGCATTGACTCCAGAGCCATTCCCCGTTCCCCATTCAACACGACCGGTGGCTCGACTTCCTTCAGGCAACTCCAGAGATGCCCCGAGAACACTGTCCCAAGTCTAGAGGAACACCAACTTCAGCACAGCAACTCGAGGAATGCTCCGTGTACCCCAAATCGTCTCGAGATGCGAGCTGATTCCCTGGCTTAGGCTCAAGATGTAAGCCAACTTCCCAGAAGCACCTCAGGAGGAGGCTTCTCTCAGCAATAGGTATGTGGGAGGGACCCCGAGTTTGCTGCCTCAAGGGGAATATACAGCGAGAAGCCCTAACTTGAAAGGAGGCCGGATTTCCTTGCAGTGGCTGGAATACAGGCTCGTCTTTCATCTCACAACATGAAGGGATGTCTGAATCCCCTGTGGAGACCTTAGAGAAAGCCCTAGGTCCCTGCCTCATTTTGACGGAATGCCTCACATCCCGCTGACACCTCGAGAGGCACGCGGAGTTCATTGCTTCAAAAGGTGACGATGCCTGACTCCTCTTGAATACTGATAGGAATCCAAAAATCCCTGTGGCTACTGGAAAGGGTCCTTGGGTGCCCTGCCTCACCTCGAGGAGCGTCCTTTTTGCCCTGCCAAGCCTCGAAGAGATTCCTGAGGTGTCCCTCATTACTAGACAGGAGTCCTGACGTCACTGAAGAAACTCGTGTTTTGAAGGGCCATCCCGGCCGTAAGTCGAGAACATACCCCAGGTCCCCGCCGCAACTCGAGAAAAACCATGAGACTTCCCCCTAGAGGCGAGATGAGGCCCCATTCCCCTGCAGTGCATGCAGAGCTATTCCGTGACCCCATTCAAGCAAGTCAGGAGCTTCGACTTGCTTAATGGATCTCTAGACAGTCCCCAAGAACACTGTCACCAGTCTAGACGGACCCTGAGGTCACCCCAGCAACGCAAAGCAGCTCCATGTGCCCCAAATCAACTCGAGATGAGGCCCGATTCCCCTGCATTGACTCCAGAGCCATTCCCCATTCCCCATTCAACACGACCGGTGGCTCGACTTCCTTCAGGCAACTCCAGAGATGCCCCGAGAACACTGTCCCAAGTCTAGAGGAACACCAACTTCAGCACAGCAACTCGAGGAATGCTCCGTGTACCCCAAATCGTCTCGAGATGCGAGCTGATTCCCTGGCTTAGGCTCAAGACGTATGCCAACTTCCCAGAAGCACCTCAGGAGGAGGCTTCTTTCAGCAATAGGTATGTGGGAGGGACCCCGAGTTTGCTGCCTCAAGGGGAATATACAGCGAGAAGCCCTAACTTGAAAGGAGGCCGGATTTCCTTGCAGTGGTTTGAATACAGGCTCGTCTTTCATCTCACAACATGAAGGGATGTCTGAATCCCCTGTGGAGACCTTAGAGAAAGCCCTAGGTCCCTGCCTCATTTTGACGGAATGCCTCACATCCCGCTGACACCTCGAGAGGCACGCGTAGTTCATTGCTTCAAAAGGTGACGATGCCTGACTCCTCTTGAATACTGATAGGAATCCCAAAATCCCTGTGGCTACTGGAAAGGGTCCTTGGGTGCCCTGCCTCACCTCGAGAAGCGTCCCTTTTGCCCTGCCAAGCCTCGAAGAGATTCCTGAGGTGTCCCTCGTTACTAGACAGGAGTCCTGACGTCACTGAAGAAACTCGTGTTTTGAAGGGCCATCCCCGCCGTAAGTCGAGAACATACCGCAGGTCCCCGCAGCAACTCGAGAAAAACCATGAGACTTCCCCCTAGAGGCGAGATGAGGCCCCATTCCCCTGCAGTGCATGCAGCGCTATTCCGTGACCCCATTCAAACAAGTCAGGAGCTTCGACTTGCTTAATGGATCTCGAGACAGTCCCCAAGAACACTGTCACCAGTCTAGACGGACCCTGAGGTCACCCCAGCAACGCAAAGCAGCTCCATGTGCCCCAAATCAACTCGAGATGAGGCCCGATTCCCCTGCATTGACTCCAGAGACATTCCCCGTTCCCCATTCAACACGACCGGTGGCTCGACTTCCTTCAGGCAACTCCAGAGATGCCCCGAGAACACTGTCCCAAGTCTAGAGGAACACCAACTTCAGCACAGCAACTCGAGGAATGCTCCGTGTACCCCAAATCGTCTCGAGATGCGAGCTGATTCCCTGGCTTAGGCTCAAGACGTATGCCAGCTTCCCAGAAGCACCTCAGGAGGAGGCTTCTCTCAGCAATAGGTATGTGGGAGGGACCCCGAGTTTGCTGCCTCAAAGGGAATATACAGCGAGAAGCCCTAACTTGAAAGGAGGCCGGATTTCCTTGCAGTGGCTGGAATACAGGCTCGTCTTTCATCTCACAACATGAAGGGATGTCTGAATCCCCTGTGGAGACCTTAGAGAAAGCCCTAGGTCCCTGCCTCATTTTGACGGAATGCCTCACATCCCGCTGACACCTCGAGAGGCACGCGGAGTTCATTGCTTCAAAAGGTGACGATGCCTGACTCCTCTTGAATACTGATAGGAATCCCAAAATCCCTGTGGCTACTGGAAAGGGTCCTTGGGTGCCCTGCCTCACCTCGAGAAGCGTCCCTTTTGCCCTGCCAAGCCTCGAAGAGATTCCTGAGGTGTCCCTCGTTACTAGACAGGAGTCCTGACGTCACTGAAGAAACTCGTGTTTTGAAGGGCCATCCCCGCCGTAAGTCGAGAACATACCGCAGGTCCCCGCAGCAACTCGAGAAAAACCATGAGACTTCCCCCTAGAGGCGAGATGAGGCCCCATTCCCCTGCAGTGCATGCAGCGCTATTCCGTGACCCCATTCAAACAAGTCAGGAGCTTCGACTTGCTTAATGGATCTCGAGACAGTCCCCAAGAACACTGTCACCAGTCTAGACGGACCCTGAGGTCACCCCAGCAACGCAAAGCAGCTCCATGTGCCCCAAATCAACTCGAGATGAGGCCCGATTCCCCTGCATTGACTCCAGAGCCATTCCCCGTTCCCCATTCAACACGACCGTTGGCTCGACTTCCTTCAGGCAACTCCAGAGATGCCCCGAGAACACTGTCCCAAGTCTAGAGGAACACCAACTTCAGCACAGCAACTCGAGGAATGCTCCGTGTACCCCAAATCGTCTCGAGATGCGAGCTGATTCCCTGGCTTAGGCTCAAGACGTATGCCAACTTCCCAGAAGCACCTCAGGAGGAGGCTTCTCTCAGCAATAGGTATGTGGGAGGGACCCCGAGTTTGCTGCCTCAAAGGGAATATACAGCGAGAAGCCCTAACTTGAAAGGAGGCCGGATTTCCTTGCAGTGGCTGGAATACAGGCTCGTCTTTCATCTCACAACATGAAGGGATGTCTGAATCCCCTGTGGAGACCTTAGAGAAAGCCCTAGGTCCCTGCCTCATTTTGACGGAATGCCTCACATCCCGCTGACACCTCGAGAGGCACGCGGAGTTCATTGCTTCAAAAGGTGACGATGCCTGACTCCTCTTGAATACTGATAGGAATCCCAAAATCCCTGTGGCTACTGGAAAGGGTCCTTGGGTGCCCTGCCTCACCTCGAGAAGCGTCCCTTTTGCCCTGCCAAGCCTCGAAGAGATTCCTGAGGTGTCCCTCGTTACTAGACAGGAGTCCTGACGTCACTGAAGAAACTCGTGTTTTGAAGGGCCATCCCCGCCGTAAGTCGAGAACATACCGCAGGTCCCCGCAGCAACTCGAGAAAAACCATGAGACTTCCCCCTAGAGGCGAGATGAGGCCCCATTCCCCTGCAGTGCATGCAGCGCTATTCCGTGACCCCATTCAAACAAGTCAGGAGCTTCGACTTGCTTAATGGATCTCGAGACAGTCCCCAAGAACACTGTCACCAGTCTAGACGGACCCTGAGGTCACCCCAGCAACGCAAAGCAGCTCCATGTGCCCCAAATCAACTCGAGATGAGGCCCGATTCCCCTGCATTGACTCCAGAGCCATTCCCCGTTCCCCATTCAACACGACCGGTGGCTCGACTTCCTTCAGGCAACTCCAGAGATGCCCCGAGAACACTGTCCCAAGTCTAGAGGAACACCAACTTCAGCACAGCAACTCGAGGAATGCTCCGTGTACCCCAAATCGTCTCGAGATGCGAGCTGATTCCCTGGCTTAGGCTCAAGACGTATGCCAACTTCCCAGAAGCACCTCAGGAGGAGGCTTCTCTCAGCAATAGGTATGTGGGAGGGACCCCGAGTTTGCTGCCTCAAAGGGAATATACAGCGAGAAGCCCTAACTTGAAAGGAGGCCGGATTTCCTTGCAGTGGCTGGAATACAGGCTCGTCTTTCATCTCACAACATGAAGGGATGTCTGAATCCCCTGTGGAGACCTTAGAGAAAGCCCTAGGTCCCTGCCTCATTTTGACGGAATGCCTCACATCCCGCTGACACCTCGAGAGGCACGCGGAGTTCATTGCTTCAAAAGGTGACGATGCCTGACTCCTCTTGAATACTGATAGGAATCCCAAAATCCCTGTGGCTACTGGAAAGGGTCCTTGGGTGCCCTGCCTCACCTCGAGAAGCGTCCCTTTTGCCCTGCCAAGCCTCGAAGAGATTCCTGAGGTGTCCCTCGTTACTAGACAGGAGTCCTGACGTCACTGAAGAAACTCGTGTTTTGAAGGGCCATCCCCGCCGTAAGTCGAGAACATACCCCAGGTCCCCGCCGCAACTCGAGAAAAACCATGAGACTTCCCCCTAGAGGCGAGATGAGGCCCCATTCCCCTGCAGTGCATGCAGAGCTATTCCGTGACCCCATTCAAACAAGTCAGGAGCTTCGACTTGCTTAATGGATCTCGAGACAGTCCCCAAGAACACTGTCACCAGTCTAGACGGACCCTGAGGTCACCCCAGCAACGCAAAGCAGCTCCATGTGCCCCAAATCAACTCGAGATGAGGCCCGATTCCCCTGCATTGACTCCAGAGCCATTCCCCGTTCCCCATTCAACACGACCGGTGGCTCGACTTCCTTCAGGCAACTCCAGAGATGCCCCGAGAACACTGTCCCAAGTCTAGAGGAACACCAACTTCAGCACAGCAACTCGAGGAATGCTCCGTGTACCCCAAATCGTCTCGAGATGCGAGCTGATTCCCTGGCTTAGGCTCAAGACGTATGCCAACTTCCCAGAAGCACCTCAGGAGGAGGCTTCTCTCAGCAATAGGTATGTGGGAGGGACCCCGAGTTTGCTGCCTCAAGGGGAATATACAGCGAGAAGCCCTAACTTGAAAGGAGGCCGGATTTCCTTGCAGTGGTTTGAATACAGGCTCGTCTTTCATCTCACAACATGAAGGGATGTCTGAATCCCCTGTGGAGACCTTAGAGAAAGCCCTAGGTCCCTGCCTCATTTTGACGGAATGCCTCACATCCCGCTGACACCTCGAGAGGCACGCCGAGTTCATTGCTTCAAAAGGTGACGATGCCTGACTCCTCTTGAATACTGATAGGAATCCCAAAATCCCTGTGGCTACTGGAAAGGGTCCTTGGGTGCCCTGACTCACCTCGAGAAGCGTCCCTTTTGCCCTGCCAAGCCTCGAAGAGATTCCTGAGGTGTCCCTCGTTACTAGACAGGAGTCCTGACGTCACTGAAGAAACTCGTGTTTTGAAGGGCCATCCCCGCCGTAAGTCGAGAACATACCGCAGGTCCCCGCAGCAACTCGAGAAAAACCATGAGACTTCCCCCTAGAGGCGAGATGAGGCCCCATTCCCCTGCAGTGCATGCAGCGCTATTCCGTGACCCCATTCAAACAAGTCAGGAGCTTCGACTTGCTTAATGGATCTCGAGACAGTCCCCAAGAACACTGTCACCAGTCTAGACGGACCCTGAGGTCACCCCAGCAACGCAAAGCAGCTCCATGTGCCCCAAATCAACTCGAGATGAGGCCCGATTCCCCTGCATTGACTCCAGAGCCATTCCCCGTTCCCCATTCAACACGACCGGTGGCTCGACTTCCTTCAGGCAACTCCAGAGATGCCCCGAGAACACTGTCCCAAGTCTAGAGGAACACCAACTTCAGCACAGCAACTCGAGGAATGCTCCGTGTACCCCAAATCGTCTCGAGATGCGAGCTGATTCCCTGGCTTAGGCTCAAGACGTATGCCAACTTCCCAGAAGCACCTCAGGAGGAGGCTTCTCTCAGCAATAGGTATGTGGGAGGGACCCCGAGTTTGCTGCCTCAAAGGGAATATACAGCGAGAAGCCCTAACTTGAAAGGAGGCCGGATTTCCTTGCAGTGGCTGGAATACAGGCTCGTCTTTCATCTCACAACATGAAGGGATGTCTGAATCCCCTGTGGAGACCTTAGAGAAAGCCCTAGGTCCCTGCCTCATTTTGACGGAATGCCTCACATCCCGCTGACACCTCGAGAGGCACGCGGAGTTCATTGCTTCAAAAGGTGACGATGCCTGACTCCTCTTGAATACTGATAGGAATCCCAAAATCCCTGTGGCTACTGGAAAGGGTCCTTGGGTGCCCTGCCTCACCTCGAGAAGCGTCCCTTTTGCCCTGCCAAGCCTCGAAGAGATTCCTGAGGTGTCCCTCGTTACTAGACAGGAGTCCTGACGTCACTGAAGAAACTCGTGTTTTGAAGGGCCATCCCCGCCGTAAGTCGAGAACATACCGCAGGTCCCCGCAGCAACTCGAGAAAAACCATGAGACTTCCCCCTAGAGGCGAGATGAGGCCCCATTCCCCTGCAGTGCATGCAGCGCTATTCCGTGACCCCATTCAAACAAGTCAGGAGCTTCGACTTGCTTAATGGATCTCGAGACAGTCCCCAAGAACACTGTCACCAGTCTAGACGGACCCTGAGGTCACCCCAGCAACGCAAAGCAGCTCCATGTGCCCCAAATCAACTCGAGATGAGGCCCGATTCCCCTGCATTGACTCCAGAGCCATTCCCCGTTCCCCATTCAACACGACCGGTGGCTCGACTTCCTTCAGGCAACTCCAGAGATGCCCCGAGAACACTGTCCCAAGTCTAGAGGAACACCAACTTCAGCACAGCAACTCGAGGAATGCTCCGTGTACCCCAAATCGTCTCGAGATGCGAGCTGATTCCCTGGCTTAGGCTCAAGACGTATGCCAACTTCCCAGAAGCACCTCAGGAGGAGGCTTCTCTCAGCAATAGGTATGTGGGAGGGACCCCGAGTTTGCTGCCTCAAAGAGAATATACAGCGAGAAGCCCTAACTTGAAAGGAGGCCGGATTTCCTTGCAGTGGCTCGAATACAGGCTCGTCTTTCATCTCACAACATGAAGGGATGTCTGAATCCCCTGTGGAGACCTTAGAGAAAGCCCTAGGTCCCTGCCTCATTTTGACGGAATGCCTCACATCCCGCTGACACCTCGAGAGGCACGCGGAGTTCATTGCTTCAAAAGGTGACGAGGCCTGACTCCTCTTGAATACTGATAGGAATCCCAAAATCCCTGTGGCTACTGGAAAGGGTCCTTGGGTGCCCTGCCTCACCTCGAGAAGCGTCCCTTTTGCCCTGCCAAGCCTCGAAGAGATTCCTGAGGTGTCCCTCGTTACTAGACAGGAGTCCTGACGTCACTGAAGAAACTCGTGTTTTGAAGGGCCATCCCCGCCGTAAGTCGAGAACATACCCCAGGTCCCCGCCGCAACTCGAGAAAAACCATGAGACTTCCCCCTAGAGGCGAGATGAGGCCCCATTCCCCTGCAGTGCATGCAGAGCTATTCCGTGACCCCATTCAAACAAGTCAGGAGCTTCGACTTGCTTAATGGATCTCGAGACAGTCCCCAAGAACACTGTCACCAGTCTAGACGGACCCTGAGGTCACCCCAGCAACGCAAAGCAGCTCCATGTGCCCCAAATCAACTCGAGATGAGGCCCGATTCCCCTGCATTGACTCCAGAGCCATTCCCCGTTCCCCATTCAACACGACCGGTGGCTCGACTTCCTTCAGGCAACTCCAGAGATGCCCCGAGAACACTGTCCCAAGTCTAGAGGAACACCAACTTCAGCACAGCAACTCGAGGAATGCTCCGTGTACCCCAAATCGTCGAGATGCGAGCTGATTCCCTGGCTTAGGCTCAAGACGTATGCCAACTTCCCAGAAGCACCTCAGGAGGAGGCTTCTCTCAGCAATAGGTATGTGGGAGGGACCCCGAGTTTGCTGCCTCAAAGGGAATATACAGCGAGAAGCCCTAACTTGAAAGGAGGCCGGATTTCCTTGCAGTGGCTGGAATACAGGCTCGTCTTTCATCTCACAACATGAAGGGATGTCTGAATCCCCTGTGGAGACCTTAGAGAAAGCCCTAGGTCCCTGCCTCATTTTGACGGAATGCCTCACATCCCGCTGACACCTCGAGAGGCACGCGGAGTTCATTGCTTCAAAAGGTGACGATGCCTGACTCCTCTTGAATACTGATAGGAATCCCAAAATCCCTGTGGCTACTGGAAAGGGTCCTTGGGTGCCCTGCCTCACCTCGAGAAGCGTCCCTTTTGCCCTGCCAAGCCTCGAAGAGATTCCTGAGGTGTCCCTCGTTACTAGACAGGAGTCCTGACGTCACTGAAGAAACTCGTGTTTTGAAGGGCCATCCCCGCCGTAAGTCGAGAACATACCCCAGGTCCCCGCCGCAACTCGAGAAAAACCATGAGACTTCCCCCTAGAGGCGAGATGAGGCCCCATTCCCCTGCAGTGCATGCAGAGCTATTCCGTGACCCCATTCAAACAAGTCAGGAGCTTCGACTTGCTTAATGGATCTCGAGACAGTCCCCAAGAACACTGTCACCAGTCTAGACGGACCCTGAGGTCACCCCAGCAACGCAAAGCAGCTCCATGTGCCCCAAATCAACTCGAGATGAGGCCCGATTCCCCTGCATTGACTCCAGAGCCATTCCCCGTTCCCCATTCAACACGACCGGTGGCTCGACTTCCTTCAGGCAACTCCAGAGATGCCCCGAGAACACTGTCCCAAGTCTAGAGGAACACCAACTTCAGCACAGCAACTCGAGGAATGCTCCGTGTACCCCAAATCGTCTCGAGATGCGAGCTGATTCCCTGGCTTAGGCTCAAGACGTATGCCAACTTCCCAGAAGCACCTCAGGAGGAGGCTTCTCTCAGCAATAGGTATGTGGGAGGGACCCCGAGTTTGCTGCCTCAAGGGGAATATACAGCGAGAAGCCCTAACTTGAAAGGAGGCCGGATTTCCTTGCAGTGGTTTGAATACAGGCTCGTCTTTCATCTCACAACATGAAGGGATGTCTGAATCCCCTGTGGAGACCTTAGAGAAAGCCCTAGGTCCCTGCCTCATTTTGACGGAATGCCTCACATCCCGCTGACACCTCGAGAGGCACGCCGAGTTCATTGCTTCAAAAGGTGACGATGCCTGACTCCTCTTGAATACTGATAGGAATCCCAAAATCCCTGTGGCTACTGGAAAGGGTCCTTGGGTGCCCTGCCTCACCTCGAGAAGCGTCCCTTTTGCCCTGCCAAGCCTCGAAGAGATTCCTGAGGTGTCCCTCGTTACTAGACAGGAGTCCTGACGTCACTGAAGAAACTCGTGTTTTGAAGGGCCATCCCCGCCGTAAGTCGAGAACATACCCCAGGTCCCCGCCGCAACTCGAGAAAAACCATGAGACTTCCCCCTAGAGGCGAGATGAGGCCCCATTCCCCTGCAGTGCATGCAGAGCTATTTCGTGACCCCATTCAAACAAGTCAGGAGCTTCGACTTGCTTAATGGATCTCGAGACAGTCCCCAAGAACACTGTCACCAGTCTAGACGGACCCTGAGGTCACCCCAGCAACGCAAAGCAGCTCCATGTGCCCCAAATCAACTCGAGATGAGGCCCGATTCCCCTGCATTGACTCCAGAGCCATTCCCCGTTCCCCATTCAACACGACCGCTGGCTCGACTTCCTTCAGGCAACTCCAGAGATGCCCCGAGAACACTGTCCCAAGTCTAGAGGAACACCAACTTCAGCACAGCAACTCGAGGAATGCTCCGTGTACCCCAAATCGTCTCGAGATGCGAGCTGATTCCCTGGCTTAGGCTCAAGACGTATGCCAACTTCCCAGAAGCACCTCAGGAGGAGGCTTCTCTCAGCAATAGGTATGTGGGAGGGACCCCGAGTTTGCTGCCTCAAGGGGAATATACAGCGAGAAGCCCTAACTTGAAAGGAGGCCGGATTTCCTTGCAGTGGCTGGAATACAGGCTCGTCTTTCATCTCACAACATGAAGGGATGTCTGAATCCCCTGTGGAGACCTTAGAGAAAGCCCTAGGTCCCTGCCTCATTTTGACGGAATGCCTCACATCCCGCTGACACCTCGAGAGGCACGCGGAGTTCATTGCTTCAAAAGGTGACGATGCCTGACTCCTCTTGAATACTGATAGGAATCCCAAAATCCCTGTGGCTACTGGAAAGGGTCCTTGGGTGCCCTGCCTCACCTCGAGAAGCGTCCCTTTTGCCCTGCCAAGCCTCGAAGAGATTCCTGAGGTGTCCCTCGTTACTAGACAGGAGTCCTGACGTCACTGAAGAAACTCGTGTTTTGAAGGGCCATCCCCGCCGTAAGTCGAGAACATACCCCAGGTCCCCGCCGCAACTCGAGAAAAACCATGAGACTTCCCCCTAGAGGCGAGATGAGGCCCCATTCCCCTGCAGTGCATGCAGAGCTATTTCGTGACCCCATTCAAACAAGTCAGGAGCTTCGACTTGCTTAATGGATCTCGAGACAGTCCCCAAGAACACTGTCACCAGTCTAGACGGACCCTGAGGTCACCCCAGCAACGCAAAGCAGCTCCATGTGCCCCAAATCAACTCGAGATGAGGCCCGATTCCCCTGCATTGACTCCAGAGCCATTCCCCGTTCCCCATTCAACACGACCGCTGGCTCGACTTCCTTCAGGCAACTCCAGAGATGCCCCGAGAACACTGTCCCAAGTCTAGAGGAACACCAACTTCAGCACAGCAACTCGAGGAATGCTCCGTGTACCCCAAATCGTCTCGAGATGCGAGCTGATTCCCTGGCTTAGGCTCAAGACGTATGCCAACTTCCCAGAAGCACCTCAGGAGGAGGCTTCTCTCAGCAATAGGTATGTGGGAGGGACCCCGAGTTTGCTGCCTCAAGGGGAATATACAGCGAGAAGCCCTAACTTGAAAGGAGGCCGGATTTCCTTGCAGTGGCTGGAATACAGGCTCGTCTTTCATCTCACAACATGAAGGGATGTCTGAATCCCCTGTGGAGACCTTAGAGAAAGCCCTAGGTCCCTGCCTCATTTTGACGGAATGCCTCACATCCCGCTGACACCTCGAGAGGCACGCGGAGTTCATTGCTTCAAAAGGTGACGATGCCTGACTCCTCTTGAATACTGATAGGAATCCCAAAATCCCTGTGGCTACTGGAAAGGGTCCTTGGGTGCCCTGCCTCACCTCGAGAAGCGTCCCTTTTGCCCTGCCAAGCCTCGAAGAGATTCCTGAGGTGTCCCTCGTTACTAGACAGGAGTCCTGACGTCACTGAAGAAACTCGTGTTTTGAAGGGCCATCCCCGCCGTAAGTCGAGAACATACCCCAGGTCCCCGCCGCAACTCGAGAAAAACCATGAGACTTCCCCCTAGAGGCGAGATGAGGCCCCATTCCCCTGCAGTGCATGCAGAGCTATTCCGTGACCCCATTCAAACAAGTCAGGAGCTTCGACTTGCTTAATGGATCTCGAGACAGTCCCCAAGAACACTGTCACCAGTCTAGACGGACCCTGAGGTCACCCCAGCAACGCAAAGCAGCTCCATGTGCCCCAAATCAACTCGAGATGAGGCCCGATTCCCCTGCATTGACTCCAGAGCCATTCCCCGTTCCCCATTCAACACGACCGGTGGCTCGACTTCCTTCAGGCAACTCCAGAGATGCCCCGAGAACACTGTCCCAAGTCTAGAGGAACACCAACTTCAGCACAGCAACTCGAGGAATGCTCCGTGTACCCCAAATCGTCTCGAGATGCGAGCCGATTCCCTGGCTTAGGCTCAAGACGTATGCCAACTTCCCAGAAGCACCTCAGGAGGAGGCTTCTCTCAGCAATAGGTATGTGGGAGGGACCCCGAGTTTGCTGCCTCAAGGGGAATATACAGCGAGAAGCCCTAACTTGAAAGGAGGCCGGATTTCCTTGCAGTGGCTGGAATACAGGCTCGTCTTTCATCTCACAACATGAAGGGATGTCTGAATCCCCTGCGGAGACCTTAGAGAAAGCCCTAGGTCCCTGCCTCATTTTGACGGAATGCCTCACATCCCACTGACACCTCGAGAGGCACGCGGAGTTCATTGCTTCAAAAGGTGACGATGCCTGACTCCTCTTGAATACTGATAGGAATCCCAAAATCCCTGTGGCTACTGGAAAGGGTCCTTGGGTGCCCTGCCTCACCTCGAGAAGCGTCCCTTTTGCCCTGCCAAGCCTCGAAGAGATTCCTGAGGTGTCCCTCGTTACTAGACAGGAGTCCTGACGTCACTGAAGAAACTCGTGTTTTGAAGGGCCATCCCCGCCGTAAGTCGAGAACATACCCCAGGTCCCCGCCGCAACTCGAGAAAAACCATGAGACTTCCCCCTAGAGGCGAGATGAGGCCCCATTCCCCTGCAGTGCATGCAGAGCTATTCCGTGACCCCATTCAAACAAGTCAGGAGCTTCGACTTGCTTAATGGATCTCGAGACAGTCCCCAAGAACACTGTCACCAGTCTAGACGGACCCTGAGGTCACCCCAGCAACGCAAAGCAGCTCCATGTGCCCCAAATCAACTCGAGATGAGGCCCGATTCCCCTGCATTGACTCCAGAGCCATTCCCCGTTCCCCATTCAACACGACCGGTGGCTCGACTTCCTTCAGGCAACTCCAGAGATGCCCCGAGAACACTGTCCCAAGTCTAGAGGAACACCAACTTCAGCACAGCAACTCGAGGAATGCTCCGTGTACCCCAAATCGTCTCGAGATGCGAGCTGATTCCCTGGCTTAGGCTCAAGACGTATGCCAACTTCCCAGAAGCACCTCAGGAGGAGGCTTCTCTCAGCAATAGGTATGTGGGAGGGACCCCGAGTTTGCTGCCTCAAAGGGAATATACAGCGAGAAGCCCTAACTTGAAAGGAGGCCGGATTTCCTTGCAGTGGCTGGAATACAGGCTCGTCTTTCATCTCACAACATGAAGGGATGTCTGAATCCCCTGTGGAGACCTTAGAGAAAGCCCTAGGTCCCTGCCTCATTTTGACGGAATGCCTCACATCCCGCTGACACCTCGAGAGGCACGCGGAGTTCATTGCTTCAAAAGGTGACGATGCCTGACTCCTCTTGAATACTGATAGGAATCCCAAAATCCCTGTGGCTACTGGAAAGGGTCCTTGGGTGCCCTGCCTCACCTCGAGAAGCGTCCCTTTTGCCCTGCCAAGCCTCGAAGAGATTCCTGAGGTGTCCCTCGTTACTAGACAGGAGTCCTGACGTCACTGAAGAAACTCGTGTTTTGAAGGGCCATCCCCGCCGTAAGTCGAGAACATACCGCAGGTCCCCGCAGCACCTCGAGAAAAACCATGAGACTTCCCCCTAGAGGCGAGATGAGGCCCCATTCCCCTGCAGTGCATGCAGCGCTATTCCGTGACCCCATTCAAACAAGTCAGGAGCTTCGACTTGCTTAATGGATCTCGAGACAGTCCCCAAGAACACTGTCACCAGTCTAGACGGACCCTGAGGTCACCCCAGCAACGCAAAGCAGCTCCATGTGCCCCAAATCAACTCGAGATGAGGCCCGATTCCCCTGCATTGACTCCAGAGCCATTCCCCGTTCCCCATTCAACACGACCGGTGGCTCGACTTCCTTCAGGCAACTCCAGAGATGCCCCGAGAACACTGTCCCAAGTCTAGAGGAACACCAACTTCAGCACAGCAACTCGAGGAATGCTCCGTGTACCCCAAATCGTCTCGAGATGCGAGCTGATTCCCTGGCTTAGGCTCAAGACGTATGCCAACTTCCCAGAAGCACCTCAGGAGGAGGCTTCTCTCAGCAATAGGTATGTGGGAGGGACCCCGAGTTTGCTGCCTCAAAGGGAATATACAGCGAGAAGCCCTAACTTGAAAGGAGGCCGGATTTCCTTGCAGTGGCTCGAATACAGGCTCGTCTTTCATCTCACAACATGAAGGGATGTCTGAATCCCCTGTGGAGACCTTAGAGAAAGCCCTAGGTCCCTGCCTCATTTTGACGGAATGCCTCACATCCCGCTGACACCTCGAGAGGCACGCGGAGTTCATTGCTTCAAAAGGTGACGAGGCCTGACTCCTCTTGAATACTGATAGGAATCCCAAAATCCCTGTGGCTACTGGAAAGGGTCCTTGGGTGCCCTGCCTCACCTCGAGAAGCGTCCCTTTTGCCCTGCCAAGCCTCGAAGAGATTCCTGAGGTGTCCCTCGTTACTAGACAGGAGTCCTGACGTCACTGAAGAAACTCGTGTTTTGAAGGGCCATCCCCGCCGTAAGTCGAGAACATACCCCAGGTCCCCGCCGCAACTCGAGAAAAACCATGAGACTTCCCCCTAGAGGCGAGATGAGGCCCCATTCCCCTGCAGTGCATGCAGAGCTATTCCGTGACCCCATTCAAACAAGTCAGGAGCTTCGACTTGCTTAATGGATCTCGAGACAGTCCCCAAGAACACTGTCACCAGTCTAGACGGACCCTGAGGTCACCCCAGCAACGCAAAGCAGCTCCATGTGCCCCAAATCAACTCGAGATGAGGCCCGATTCCCCTGCATTGACTCCAGAGCCATTCCCCGTTCCCCATTCAACACGACCGGTGGCTCGACTTCCTTCAGGCAACTCCAGAGATGCCCCGAGAACACTGTCCCAAGTCTAGAGGAACACCAACTTCAGCACAGCAACTCGAGGAATGCTCCGTGTACCCCAAATCGTCGAGATGCGAGCTGATTCCCTGGCTTAGGCTCAAGACGTATGCCAACTTCCCAGAAGCACCTCAGGAGGAGGCTTCTCTCAGCAATAGGTATGTGGGAGGGACCCCGAGTTTGCTGCCTCAAAGGGAATATACAGCGAGAAGCCCTAACTTGAAAGGAGGCCGGATTTCCTTGCAGTGGCTGGAATACAGGCTCGTCTTTCATCTCACAACATGAAGGGATGTCTGAATCCCCTGTGGAGACCTTAGAGAAAGCCCTAGGTCCCTGCCTCATTTTGACGGAATGCCTCACATCCCGCTGACACCTCGAGAGGCACGCGGAGTTCATTGCTTCAAAAGGTGACGATGCCTGACTCCTCTTGAATACTGATAGGAATCCCAAAATCCCTGTGGCTACTGGAAAGGGTCCTTGGGTGCCCTGCCTCACCTCGAGAAGCGTCCCTTTTGCCCTGCCAAGCCTCGAAGAGATTCCTGAGGTGTCCCTCGTTACTAGACAGGAGTCCTGACGTCACTGAAGAAACTCGTGTTTTGAAGGGCCATCCCCGCCGTAAGTCGAGAACATACCCCAGGTCCCCGCCGAAACTCGAGAAAAACCATGAGACTTCCCCCTAGAGGCGAGATGAGGCCCCATTCCCCTGCAGTGCATGCAGAGCTATTCCGTGACCCCATTCAAACAAGTCAGGAGCTTCGACTTGCTTAATGGATCTCGAGACAGTCCCCAAGAACACTGTCACCAGTCTAGACGGACCCTGAGGTCACCCCAGCAACGCAAAGCAGCTCCATGTGCCCCAAATCAACTCGAGATGAGGCCCGATTCCCCTGCATTGACTCCAGAGCCATTCCCCGTTCCCCATTCAACACGACCGGTGGCTCGACTTCCTTCAGGCAACTCCAGAGATGCCCCGAGAACACTGTCCCAAGTCTAGAGGAACACCAACTTCAGCACAGCAACTCGAGGAATGCTCCGTGTACCCCAAATCGTCTCGAGATGCGAGCTGATTCCCTGGCTTAGGCTCAAGACGTATGCCAACTTCCCAGAAGCACCTCAGGAGGAGGCTTCTCTCAGCAATAGGTATGTGGGAGGGACCCCGAGTTTGCTGCCTCAAGGGGAATATACAGCGAGAAGCCCTAACTTGAAAGGAGGCCGGATTTCCTTGCAGTGGTTTGAATACAGGCTCGTCTTTCATCTCACAACATGAAGGGATGTCTGAATCCCCTGTGGAGACCTTAGAGAAAGCCCTAGGTCCCTGCCTCATTTTGACGGAATGCCTCACATCCCGCTGACACCTCGAGAGGCACGCGGAGTTCATTGCTTCAAAAGGTGACGATGCCTGACTCCTCTTGAATACTGATAGGAATCCCAAAATCCCTGTGGCTACTGGAAAGGGTCCTTGGGTGCCCTGCCTCACCTCGAGAAGCGTCCCTTTTGCCCTGCCAAGCCTCGAAGAGATTCCTGAGGTGTCCCTCGTTACTAGACAGGAGTCCTGACGTCACTGAAGAAACTCGTGTTTTGAAGGGCCATCCCCGCCGTAAGTCGAGAACATACCCCAGGTCCCCGCCGCAACTCGAGAAAAACCATGAGACTTCCCCCTAGAGGCGAGATGAGGCCCCATTCCCCTGCAGTGCATGCAGAGCTATTCCGTGACCCCATTCAAACAAGTCAGGAGCTTCGACTTGCTTAATGGATCTCGAGACAGTCCCCAAGAACACTGTCACCAGTCTAGACGGACCCTGAGGTCACCCCAGCAACGCAAAGCAGCTCCATGTGCCCCAAATCAACTCGAGATGAGGCCCGATTCCCCTGCATTGACTCCAGAGCCATTCCCCGTTCCCCATTCAACACGACCGGTGGCTCGACTTCCTTCAGGCAACTCCAGAGATGCCCCGAGAACACTGTCCCAAGTCTAGAGGAACACCAACTTCAGCACAGCAACTCGAGGAATGCTCCGTGTACCCCAAATCGTCTCGAGATGCGAGCTGATTCCCTGGCTTAGGCTCAAGACGTATGCCAACTTCCCAGAAGCACCTCAGGAGGAGGCTTCTCTCAGCAATAGGTATGTGGGAGGGACCCCGAGTTTGCTGCCTCAAGGGGAATATACAGCGAGAAGCCCTAACTTGAAAGGAGGCCGGATTTCCTTGCAGTGGTTTGAATACAGGCTCGTCTTTCATCTCACAACATGAAGGGATGTCTGAATCCCCTGTGGAGACCTTAGAGAAAGCCCTAGGTCCCTGCCTCATTTTGACGGAATGCCTCACATCCCGCTGACACCTCGAGAGGCACGCGGAGTTCATTGCTTCAAAAGGTGACGATGCCTGACTCCTCTTGAATACTGATAGGAATCCCAAAATCCCTGTGGCTACTGGAAAGGGTCCTTGGGTGCCCTGCCTCACCTCGAGAAGCGTCCCTTTTGCCCTGCCAAGCCTCGAAGAGATTCCTGAGGTGTCCCTCGTTACTAGACAGGAGTCCTGACGTCACTGAAGAAACTCGTGTTTTGAAGGGCCATCCCCGCCGTAAGTCGAGAACATACCCCAGGTCCCCGCCGCAACTCGAGAAAAACCATGAGACTTCCCCCTAGAGGCGAGATGAGGCCCCATTCCCCTGCAGTGCATGCAGAGCTATTCCGTGACCCCATTCAAACAAGTCAGGAGCTTCGACTTGCTTAATGGATCTCGAGACAGTCCCCAAGAACACTGTCACCAGTCTAGACGGACCCTGAGGTCACCCCAGCAACGCAAAGCAGCTCCATGTGCCCCAAATCAACTCGAGATGAGGCCCGATTCCCCTGCATTGACTCCAGAGCCATTCCCCGTTCCCCATTCAACACGACCGCTGGCTCGACTTCCTTCAGGCAACTCCAGAGATGCCCCGAGAACACTGTCCCAAGTCTAGAGGAACACCAACTTCAGCACAGCAACTCGAGGAATGCTCCGTGTACCCCAAATCGTCTCGAGATGCGAGCTGATTCCCTGGCTTAGGCTCAAGACGTATGCCAACTTCCCAGAAGCACCTCAGGAGGAGGCTTCTCTCAGCAATAGGTATGTGGGAGGGACCCCGAGTTTGCTGCCTCAAGGGGAATATACAGCGAGAAGCCCTAACTTGAAAGGAGGCCGGATTTCCTTGCAGTGGCTGGAATACAGGCTCGTCTTTCATCTCACAACATGAAGGGATGTCTGAATCCCCTGTGGAGACCTTAGAGAAAGCCCTAGGTCCCTGCCTCATTTTGACGGAATGCCTCACATCCCGCTGACACCTCGAGAGGCACGCGGAGTTCATTGCTTCAAAAGGTGACGATGCCTGACTCCTCTTGAATACTGATAGGAATCCCAAAATCCCTGTGGCTACTGGAAAGGGTCCTTGGGTGCCCTGCCTCACCTCGAGAAGCGTCCCTTTTGCCCTGCCAAGCCTCGAAGAGATTCCTGAGGTGTCCCTCGTTACTAGACAGGAGTCCTGACGTCACTGAAGAAACTCGTGTTTTGAAGGGCCATCCCCGCCGTAAGTCGAGAACATACCCCAGGTCCCCGCCGCAACTCGAGAAAAACCATGAGACTTCCCCCTAGAGGCGAGATGAGGCCCCATTCCCCTGCAGTGCATGCAGAGCTATTTCGTGACCCCATTCAAACAAGTCAGGAGCTTCGACTTGCTTAATGGATCTCGAGACAGTCCCCAAGAACACTGTCACCAGTCTAGACGGACCCTGAGGTCACCCCAGCAACGCAAAGCAGCTCCATGTGCCCCAAATCAACTCGAGATGAGGCCCGATTCCCCTGCATTGACTCCAGAGCCATTCCCCGTTCCCCATTCAACACGACCGCTGGCTCGACTTCCTTCAGGCAACTCCAGAGATGCCCCGAGAACACTGTCCCAAGTCTAGAGGAACACCAACTTCAGCACAGCAACTCGAGGAATGCTCCGTGTACCCCAAATCGTCTCGAGATGCGAGCTGATTCCCTGGCTTAGGCTCAAGACGTATGCCAACTTCCCAGAAGCACCTCAGGAGGAGGCTTCTCTCAGCAATAGGTATGTGGGAGGGACCCCGAGTTTGCTGCCTCAAGGGGAATATACAGCGAGAAGCCCTAACTTGAAAGGAGGCCGGATTTCCTTGCAGTGGCTGGAATACAGGCTCGTCTTTCATCTCACAACATGAAGGGATGTCTGAATCCCCTGTGGAGACCTTAGAGAAAGCCCTAGGTCCCTGCCTCATTTTGACGGAATGCCTCACATCCCGCTGACACCTCGAGAGGCACGCGGAGTTCATTGCTTCAAAAGGTGACGATGCCTGACTCCTCTTGAATACTGATAGGAATCCCAAAATCCCTGTGGCTACTGGAAAGGGTCCTTGGGTGCCCTGCCTCACCTCGAGAAGCGTCCCTTTTGCCCTGCCAAGCCTCGAAGAGATTCCTGAGGTGTCCCTCGTTACTAGACAGGAGTCCTGACGTCACTGAAGAAACTCGTGTTTTGAAGGGCCATCCCCGCCGTAAGTCGAGAACATACCCCAGGTCCCCGCCGCAACTCGAGAAAAACCATGAGACTTCCCCCTAGAGGCGAGATGAGGCCCCATTCCCCTGCAGTGCATGCAGAGCTATTCCGTGACCCCATTCAAACAAGTCAGGAGCTTCGACTTGCTTAATGGATCTCGAGACAGTCCCCAAGAACACTGTCACCAGTCTAGACGGACCCTGAGGTCACCCCAGCAACGCAAAGCAGCTCCATGTGCCCCAAATCAACTCGAGATGAGGCCCGATTCCCCTGCATTGACTCCAGAGCCATTCCCCGTTCCCCATTCAACACGACCGGTGGCTCGACTTCCTTCAGGCAACTCCAGAGATGCCCCGAGAACACTGTCCCAAGTCTAGAGGAACACCAACTTCAGCACAGCAACTCGAGGAATGCTCCGTGTACCCCAAATCGTCTCGAGATGCGAGCCGATTCCCTGGCTTAGGCTCAAGACGTATGCCAACTTCCCAGAAGCACCTCAGGAGGAGGCTTCTCTCAGCAATAGGTATGTGGGAGGGACCCCGAGTTTGCTGCCTCAAGGGGAATATACAGCGAGAAGCCCTAACTTGAAAGGAGGCCGGATTTCCTTGCAGTGGCTGGAATACAGGCTCGTCTTTCATCTCACAACATGAAGGGATGTCTGAATCCCCTGCGGAGACCTTAGAGAAAGCCCTAGGTCCCTGCCTCATTTTGACGGAATGCCTCACATCCCACTGACACCTCGAGAGGCACGCGGAGTTCATTGCTTCAAAAGGTGACGATGCCTGACTCCTCTTGAATACTGATAGGAATCCCAAAATCCCTGTGGCTACTGGAAAGGGTCCTTGGGTGCCCTGCCTCACCTCGAGAAGCGTCCCTTTTGCCCTGCCAAGCCTCGAAGAGATTCCTGAGGTGTCCCTCGTTACTAGACAGGAGTCCTGACGTCACTGAAGAAACTCGTGTTTTGAAGGGCCATCCCCGCCGTAAGTCGAGAACATACCCCAGGTCCCCGCCGCAACTCGAGAAAAACCATGAGACTTCCCCCTAGAGGCGAGATGAGGCCCCATTCCCCTGCAGTGCATGCAGAGCTATTCCGTGACCCCATTCAAACAAGTCAGGAGCTTCGACTTGCTTAATGGATCTCGAGACAGTCCCCAAGAACACTGTCACCAGTCTAGACGGACCCTGAGGTCACCCCAGCAACGCAAAGCAGCTCCATGTGCCCCAAATCAACTCGAGATGAGGCCCGATTCCCCTGCATTGACTCCAGAGCCATTCCCCGTTCCCCATTCAACACGAAAGGTGGCTCGACTTCCTTCAGGCAACTCCAGAGATGCCCCGAGAACACTGTCCCAAGTCTAGAGGAACACCAACTTCAGCACAGCAACTCGAGGAATGCTCCGTGTACCCCAAATCGTCTCGATATGCAAGCTGATTCCCTGGCTTAGGCTCAAGACGTATGCCAACTTCCCAGAAGCACCTCAGGAGGAGGCTTCTCTCAGCAATAGGTATGTGGGAGGGACCCCGAGTTTGTTGCCTCAAGGGGAATATACAGCGAGAAGCCCTAACTTGAAAGGAGGCCGGATTTCCTTGCAGTGGCTGGAATACAGGCTCGTCTTTCATCTCACAACATGAAGGGATGTCTGAATCCCCTGTGGAGACCTTAGAGAAAGCCCTAGGTCCCTGCCTCAGTTTGACGGAATGCCTCACATCCCGCTGACACCTCGAGAGGCACGCGGAGTTCATTGCTTCAAAAGCTGACGATGCCTGACTCCTCTTGAATACTGATAGGAATCCAAAAATCCCTGTGGCTACTGGAAAGGGTCCTTGGGTGCCCTGCCTCACCTCGAGAAGCGTCCCTTTTGCCCTGCCAAGCCTCGAAGAGATTCCTGAGGTGTCCCTCATTACTAGACAGGAGTCCTGACGTCACTGAAGAAACTCGTGTTTTGAAGGGCCATCCCCGCCGTAAGTCGAGAACATACCCCAGGTCCCCTCCGCAACTCGAGAAAAACCATGAGACTTCCCCCTAGAGGCGAGATGAGGCCCCATTCCCCTGCAGTGCATGCAGAGCTATTCCGTGACCCCATTCAAGCAAGTCAGGAACTTCGACTTGCTTAATGGATCTCGAGACAGTCCCCAAGAACACTGTCACCAGTCTAGACGGACCCTGAAGTCACCCCAGCAACGCAAAGCAGCTCCATGTGCCGCAAATCAACTCGAGATGAGGCCCGATTCCCCAGCATTGACTCCAGAGCCATTCCCCGTTCCCCATTCAACACGACCGGTGGCTCGACTTCCTTCAGGCAACTCCAGAGATGCCCCGAGAACACTGTCCCAAGTCTAGAGGAACACCAACTTCAGCACAGCAACTCGAGGAATGCTCCGTGTACCCCAAATCGTCTCGAGATGCGAGCTGATTCCCTGGCTTAGGCTCAAGACGTATGCCAACTTCCCAGAAGCACCTCAGGAGGAGGCTTCTTTCAGCAATAGGTATGTGGGAGGGACCCCGAGTTTGCTGCCTCAAGGGGAATATACAGCGAGAAGCCCTAACTTGAAAGGAGGCCGGATTTCCTTGCAGTGGTTTGAATACAGGCTCGTCTTTCATCTCACAACATGAAGGGATGTCTGAATCCCCTGTGGAGACCTTAGAGAAAGCCCTAGGTCCCTGCCTCATTTTGACGGAATGCCTCACATCCCGCTGACACCTCGAGAGGCACGCGTAGTTCATTGCTTCAAAAGGTGACGATGCCTGACTCCTCTTGAATACTGATAGGAATCCCAAAATCCCTGTGGCTACTGGAAAGGGTCCTTGGGTGCCCTGCCTCACCTCGAGAAGCGTCCCTTTTGCCCTGCCAAGCCTCGAAGAGATTCCTGAGGTGTCCCTCGTTACTAGACAGGAGTCCTGACGTCACTGAAGAAACTCGTGTTTTGAAGGGCCATCCCCGCCGTAAGTCGAGAACATACCGCAGGTCCCCGCAACAACTCGAGAAAAACCATGAGACTTCCCCCTAGAGGCGAGATGAGGCCCCATTCCCCTGCAGTGCATGCAGAGCTATTCCGTGACCCCATTCAAACAAGTCAGGAGCTTCGACTTGCTTAATGGATCTCGAGACAGTCCCCAAGAACACTGTCACCAGTCTAGACGGACCCTGAGGTCACCCCAGCAACGCAAAGCAGCTCCATGTGCCCCAAATCAACTCGAGATGAGGCCCGATTCCCCTGCATTGACTCCAGAGCCATTCCCCGTTCCCCATTCAACACGACCGGTGGCTCGACTTCCTTCAGGCAACTCCAGAGATGCCCCGAGAACACTGTCCCAAGTCTAGAGGAACACCAACTTCAGCACAGCAACTCGAGGAATGCTCCGTGTACCCCAAATCGTCACGAGATGCGAGCCGATTCCCTGGCTTAGGCTCAAGACGTATGCCAACTTCCCAGAAGCACCTCAGGAGGAGGCTTCTCTCAGCAATAGGTATGTGGGAGGGACCCCGAGTTTGCTGCCTCAAGGGGAATATACAGCGAGAAGCCCTAACTTGAAAGGAGGCCGGATTTCCTTGCAGTGGCTGGAATACAGGCTCGTCTTTCATCTCACAACATGAAGGGATGTCTGAATCCCCTGTGGAGACCTTAGAGAAAGCCCTAGGTCCCTGCCTCATTTTGACGGAATGCCTCACATCCCGCTGACACCTCGAGAGGCACGCGGAGTTCATTGCTTCAAAAGGTGACGATGCCTGACTCCTCTTGAATACTGATAGGAATCCCAAAATCCCTGTGGCTACTGGAAAGGGTCCTTGGGTGCCCTGCCTCACCTCGAGAAGCGTCCCTTTTGCCCTGCCAAGCCTCGAAGAGATTCCTGAGGTGTCCCTCGTTACTAGACAGGAGTCCTGACGTCACTGAAGAAACTCGTGTTTTGAAGGGCCATCCCCGCCGTAAGTCGAGAACATACCCCAGGTCCCCTCCGCAACTCGAGAAAAACCATGAGACTTCCCCCTAGAGGCGAGATGAGGCCCCATTCCCCTGCAGTGCATGCAGAGCTATTCCGTGACCCCATTCAAGCAAGTCAGGAACTTCGACTTGCTTAATGGATCTCGAGACAGTCCCCAAGAACACTGTCACCAGTCTAGACGGACCCTGAAGTCACCCCAGCAACGCAAAGCAGCTCCATGTGCCGCAAATCAACTCGAGATGAGGCCCGATTCCCCAGCATTGACTCCAGAGCCATTCCCCGTTCCCCATTCAACACGACCGGTGGCTCGACTTCCTTCAGGCAACTCCAGAGATGCCCCGAGAACACTGTCCCAAGTCTAGAGGAACACCAACTTCAGCACAGCAACTCGAGGAATGCTCCGTGTACCCCAAATCGTCTCGAGATGCGAGCTGATTCCCTGGCTTAGGCTCAAGACGTATGCCAACTTCCCAGAAGCACCTCAGGAGGAGGCTTCTTTCAGCAATAGGTATGTGGGATGGACCCCGAGTTTGCTGCCTCAAGGAGAATATACAGCGAGAAGCCCTAACTTGAAAGGAGGCCGGATTTCCTTGCAGTGGTTTGAATACAGGCTCGTCTTTCATCTCACAACATGAAGGGATGTCTGAATCCCCTGTGGAGACCTTAGAGAAAGCCCTAGGTCCCTGCCTCATTTTGACGGAATGCCTCACATCCCGCTGACACCTCGAGAGGCACGCGTAGTTCATTGCTTCAAAAGGTGACGATGCCTGACTCCTCTTGAATACTGATAGGAATCCAAAAATCCCTGTGGCTACTGGAAAGGGTCCTTGGGTGCCCTGCCTCACCTCGAGAAGCGTCCCTTTTGCCCTGCCAAGCCTCGAAGAGATTCCTGAGGTGTCCCTCGTTACTAGACAGGAGTCCTGACGTCACTGAAGAAACTCGTGTTTTGAAGGGCCATCCCCGCCGTAAGTCGAGAACATACCGCAGGTCCCCGCAACAACTCGAGAAAAACCATGAGACTTCCCCCTAGAGGCGAGATGAGGCCCCATTCCCCTGCAGTGCATGCAGAGCTATTCCGTGACCCCATTCAAACAAGTCAGGAGCTTCGACTTGCTTAATGGATCTCGAGACAGTCCCCAAGAACACTGTCACCAGTCTAGACGGACCCTGAGGTCACCCCAGCAACGCAAAGCAGCTCCATGTGCCCCAAATCAACGCGAGATGAGGCCCGATTCCCCTGCATTGACTCCAGAGCCATTCCCCGTTCCCCATTCAACACGACCGGTGGTTCGACTTCCTTCAGGCAACTCCAGAGATGCCCCGAGAACACTGTCCCAAGTCTAGAGGAACACCAACTTCAGCACAGCAACTCGAGGAATGCTCCGTGTACCCCAAATCGTCTCGAGATGCGAGCCGATTCCCTGGCTTAGGCTCAAGACGTATGCCAACTTCCCAGAAGCACCTCAGGAGGAGGCTTCTCTCAGCAATAGGTATGTGGGAGGGACCCCGAGTTTGCTGCCTCAAGGGGAATATACAGCGAGAAGCCCTAACTTGAAAGGAGGCCGGATTTCCTTGCAGTGGCTGGAATACAGGCTCGTCTTTCATCTCACAACATGAAGGGATGTCTGAATCCCCTGTGGAGACCTTAGAGAAAGCCCTAGGTCCCTGCCTCATTTTGACGGAATGCCTCACATCCCGCTGACACCTCGAGAGGCACGCGGAGTTCATTGCTTCAAAAGGTGACGATGCCTGACTCCTCTTGAATACTGATAGGAATCCCAAAATCCCTGTGGCTACTGGAAAGGGTCCTTGGGTGCCCTGCCTCACCTCGAGAAGCGTCCCTTTTGCCCTGCCAAGCCTCGAAGAGATTCCTGAGGTGTCCCTCGTTACTAGACAGGAGTCCTGACGTCACTGAAGAAACTCGTGTTTTGAAGGGCCATCCCCGCCGTAAGTCGAGAACATACCCCAGGTCCCCGCCGCAACTCGAGAAAAACCATGAGACTTCCCCCTAGAGGCGAGATGAGGCCCCATTCCCCTGCAGTGCATGCAGAGCTATTCCGTGACCCCATTCAAACAAGTCAGGAGCTTCGACTTGCTTAATGGATCTCGAGACAGTCCCCAAGAACACTGTCACCAGTCTAGACGGACCCTGAGGTCACCCCAGCAACGCAAAGCAGCTCCATGTGCCCCAAATCAACTCGAGATGAGGCCCGATTCCCCTGCATTGACTCCAGAGCCATTCCCCGTTCCCCATTCAACACGAAAGGTGGCTCGACTTCCTTCAGGCAACTCCAGAGATGCCCCGAGAACACTGTCCCAAGTCTAGAGGAACACCAACTTCAGCACAGCAACTCGAGGAATGCTCCGTGTACCCCAAATCGTCTCGAGATGCGAGCTGATTCCCTGGCTTAGGCTCAAGACGTATGCCAACTTCCCAGAAGCACCTCAGGAGGAGGCTTCTCTCAGCAATAGGTATGTGGGAGGGACCCCGAGTTTGTTGCCTCAAGGGGAATATACAGCGAGAAGCCCTAACTTGAAAGGAGGCCGGATTTCCTTGCAGTGGCTGGAATACAGGCTCGTCTTTCATCTCACAACATGAAGGGATGTCTGAATCCCCTGTGGAGACCTTAGAGAAAGCCCTAGGTCCCTGCCTCAGTTTGACGGAATGCCTCACATCCCGCTGACACCTCGAGAGGCACGCGGAGTTCATTGCTTCAAAAGCTGACGATGCCTGACTCCTCTTGAATACTGATAGGAATCCAAAAATCCCTGTGGCTACTGGAAAGGGTCCTTGGGTGCCCTGCCTCACCTCGAGAAGCGTCCCTTTTGCCCTGCCAAGCCTCGAAGAGATTCCTGAGGTGTCCCTCATTACTAGACAGGAGTCCTGACGTCACTGAAGAAACTCGTGTTTTGAAGGGCCATCCCCGCCGTAAGTCGAGAACATACCCCAGGTCCCCGCCGCAACTCGAGAAAAACCATGAGACTTCCCCCTAGAGGCGAGATGAGGCCCCATTCCCCTGCAGTGCATGCAGAGCTATTCCGTGACCCCATTCAAGCAAGTCAGGAGCTTCGACTTGCTTAATGGATCTAGAGACAGTCCCCAAGAACACTGTCACCAGTCTAGACGGACCCTGAGGTCACCCCAGCAACGCAAAGCAGCTCCATGTGCCCCAAATCAACTCGAGATGAGGCCCGATTCCCCAGCATTGACTCCAGAGCCATTCCCCGTTCCCCATTCAACACGACCGGTGGCTCGACTTCCTTCAGGCAACTCCAGAGATGCCCCGAGAACACTGTCCCAAGTCTAGAGGAACACCAACTTCAGCACAGCAACTCGAGGAATGCTCCGTGTACCCCAAATCGTCTCGAGATGCGAGCTGATTCCCTGGCTTAGGCTCAAGACGTATGCCAACTTCCCAGAAGCACCTCAGGAGGAGGCTTCTTTCAGCAATAGGTATGTGGGAGGGACCCCGAGTTTGCTGCCTCAAGGGGAATATACAGCGAGAAGCCCTAACTTGAAAGGAGGCCGGATTTCCTTGCAGTGGTTTGAATACAGGCTCGTCTTTCATCTCACAACATGAAGGGATGTCTGAATCCCCTGTGGAGACCTTAGAGAAAGCCCTAGGTCCCTGCCTCATTTTGACGGAATGCCTCACATCCCGCTGACACCTCGAGAGGCACGCGGAGTTCATTGCTTCAAAAGGTGACGATGCCTGACTCCTCTTGAATACTGATAGGAATCCCAAAATCCCTGTGGCTACTGGAAAGGGTCCTTGGGTGCCCTGCCTCACCTCGAGAAGCGTCCCTTTTGCCCTGCCAAGCCTCGAAGAGATTCCTGAGGTGTCCCTCGTTACTAGACAGGAGTCCTGACGTCACTGAAGAAACTCGTGTTTTGAAGGGCCATCCCCGCCGTAAGTCGAGAACATACCCCAGGTCCCCGCCGCAACTCGAGAAAAACCATGAGACTTCCCCCTAGAGGCGAGATGAGGCCCCATTCCCCTGCAGTGCATGCAGAGCTATTCCGTGACCCCATTCAAACAAGTCAGGAGCTTCGACTTGCTTAATGGATCTCGAGACAGTCCCCAAGAACACTGTCACCAGTCTAGACGGACCCTGAGGTCACCCCAGCAACGCAAAGCAGCTCCATGTGCCCCAAATCAACTCGAGATGAGGCCCGATTCCCCTGCATTGACTCCAGAGCCATTCCCCGTTCCCCATTCAACACGACCGGTGGCTCGACTTCCTTCAGGCAACTCCAGAGATGCCCCGAGAACACTGTCCCAAGTCTAGAGGAACACCAACTTCAGCACAGCAACTCGAGGAATGCTCCGTGTACCCCAAATCGTCTCGAGATGCGAGCCGATTCCCTGGCTTAGGCTCAAGACGTATGCCAACTTCCCAGAAGCACCTCAGGAGGAGGCTTCTCTCAGCAATAGGTATGTGGGAGGGACCCCGAGTTTGCTGCCTCAAGGGGAATATACAGCGAGAAGCCCTAACTTGAAAGGAGGCCGGATTTCCTTGCAGTGGTTTGAATACAGGCTCGTCTTTCATCTCACAACATGAAGGGATGTCTGAATCCCCTGTGGAGACCTTAGAGAAAGCCCTAGGTCCCTGCCTCAGTTTGACGGAATGCCTCACATCCCGCTGACACCTCGAGAGGCACGCGGAGTTCATTGCTTCAAAAGGTGACGATGCCTGACTCCTCTTGAATACTGATAGGAATCCCAAAATCCCTGTGGCTACTGGAAAGGGTCCTTGGGTGCCCTGCCTCACCTCGAGAAGCGTCCCTTTTGCCCTGCCAAGCCTCGAAGAGATTCCTGAGGTGTCCCTCGTTACTAGACAGGAGTCCTGACGTCACTGAAGAAACTCGTGTTTTGAAGGGCCATCCCCGCCGTAAGTCGAGAACATACCGCAGGTCCCCGCAGCAACTCGAGAAAAACCATGAGACTTCCCCCTAGAGGCGAGATGAGGCCCCATTCCCCTGCAGTGCATGCAGAGCTATTCCGTGACCCCATTCAAACAAGTCAGGAGCTTCGACTTGCTTAATGGATCTCGAGACAGTCCCCAAGAACACTGTCACCAGTCTAGACGGACCCTGAGGTCACCCCAGCAACGCAAAGCAGCTCCATGTGCCCCAAATCAACTCGAGATGAGGCCCGATTCCCCTGCATTGACTCCAGAGCCATTCCCCGTTCCCCATTCAACACGACCGGTGGCTCGACTTCCTTCAGGCAACTCCAGAGATGCCCCGAGAACACTGTCCCAAGTCTAGAGGAACACCAACTTCAGCACATCAACTCGAGGAATGCTCCGTGTACCCCAAATCGTCTCGAGATGCGAGCCGATTCCCTGGCTTAGGCTCAAGACGTATGCCAACTTCCCAGAAGCACCTCAGGAGGAGGCTTCTCTCAGCAATAGGTATGTGGGAGGGACCCCGAGTTTGCTGCCTCAAAGGGAATATACAGCGAGAAGCCCTAACTTGAAAGGAGGCCGGATTTCCTTGCAGTGGCTGGAATACAGGCTCGTCTTTCATCTCACAACATGAAGGGATGTCTGAATCCCCTGTGGAGACCTTAGAGAAAGCCCTAGGTCCCTGCCTCATTTTGACGGAATGCCTCACATCCCGCTGACACCTCGAGAGGCACGCGGAGTTCATTGCTTCAAAAGCTGACGATGCCTGACTCCTCTTGAATACTGATAGGAATCCCAAAATCCCTGTGGCTACTGGAAAGGGTCCTTGGGTGCCCTGCCTCACCTCGAGAAGCGTCCCTTTTGCCCTGCCAAGCCTCGAAGAGATTCCTGAGGTGTCCCTCGTTACTAGACAGGAGTCCTGACGTCACTGAAGAAACTCGTGTTTTGAAGGGCCATCCCCGCCGTAAGTCGAGAACATACCCCAGGTCCCCGCCGCAACTCGAGAAAAACCATGAGACTTCCCCCTAGAGGCGAGATGAGGCCCCATTCCCCTGCAGTGCATGCAGAGCTATTCCGTGACCCCATTCAAACAAGTCAGGAGCTTCGACTTGCTTAATGGATCTCGAGACAGCCCCCAAGAACACTGTCACCAGTCTAGACGGACCCTGAGGTCACCCCAGCAACGCAAAGCAGCTCCATGTGCCCCAAATCAACTCGAGATGAGGCCCGATTCCCCTGCATTGACTCCAGAGCCATTCCCCGTTCCCCATTCAACACGACCGGTGGCTCGACTTCCTTCAGGCAACTCCAGAGATGCCCCGAGAACACTGTCCCAAGTCTAGAGGAACACCAACTTCAGCACAGCAACTCGAGGAATGCTCCGTCTACCCCAAATCGTCTCGAGATGCGAGCTGATTCCCTGGCTTAGGCTCAAGACGTATGCCAACTTCCCAGAAGCACCTCAGGAGGAGGCTTCTCTCAGCAATAGGTATGTGGGAGGGACCCCGAGTTTGCTGCCTCAAAGGGAATATACAGCGAGAAGCCCTAACTTGAAAGGAGGCCGGATTTCCTTGCAGTGGCTGGAATACAGGCTCGTCTTTCATCTCACAACATGAAGGGATGTCTGAATCCCCTGTGGAGACCTTAGAGAAAGCCCTAGGTCCCTGCCTCATTTTGACGGAATGCCTCACATCCCGCTGACACCTCGAGAGGCACGCGGAGTTCATTGCTTCAAAAGGTGACGATGCCTGACTCCTCTTGAATACTGATAGGAATCCCAAAATCCCTGTGGCTACTGGAAAGGGTCCTTGGGTGCCCTGCCTCACCTCGAGAAGCGTCCCTTTTGCCCTGCCAAGCCTCGAAGAGATTCCTGAGGTGTCCCTCGTTACTAGACAGGAGTCCTGACGTCACTGAAGAAACTCGTGTTTGGAAGGGCCATCCCCGCCGTAAGTCGAGAACATACCGCAGGTCCCCGCAGCAACTCGAGAAAAACCATGAGACTTCCCCCTAGAGGCGAGATGAGGCCCCATTCCCCTGCAGTGCATGCAGAGCTATTCCGTGACCCCATTCAAACAAGTCAGGAGCTTCGACTTGCTTAATGGATCTCGAGACAGTCCCCAAGAACACTGTCACCAGTCTAGACGGACCCTGAGGTCACCCCAGCAACGCAAAGCAGCTCCATGTGCCCCAAATCAACTCGAGATGAGGCCCGATTCCCCTGCATTGACTCCAGAGCCATTCCCCGTTCCCCATTCAACACGACCGGTGGCTCGACTTCCTTCAGGCAACTCCAGAGATGCCCCGAGAACACTGTCCCAAGTCTAGAGGAACACCAACTTCAGCACATCAACTCGAGGAATGCTCCGTGTACCCCAAATCGTCTCGAGATGCGAGCCGATTCCCTGGCTTAGGCTCAAGACGTATGCCAACTTCCCAGAAGCACCTCAGGAGGAGGCTTCTCTCAGCAATAGGTATGTGGGAGGGACCCCGAGTTTGCTGCCTCAAAGGGAATATACAGCGAGAAGCCCTAACTTGAAAGGAGGCCGGATTTCCTTGCAGTGGCTGGAATACAGGCTCGTCTTTCATCTCACAACATGAAGGGATGTCTGAATCCCCTGTGGAGACCTTAGAGAAAGCCCTAGGTCCCTGCCTCATTTTGACGGAATGCCTCACATCCCGCTGACACCTCGAGAGGCACGCGGAGTTCATTGCTTCAAAAGGTGACGATGCCTGACTCCTCTTGAATACTGATAGGAATCCCAAAATCCCTGTGGCTACTGGAAAGGGTCCTTGGGTGCCCTGCCTCACCTCGAGAAGCGTCCCTTTTCCCTGCCAAGCCTCGAAGAGATTCCTGAGGTGTCCCTCGTTACTAGACAGGAGTCCTGACGTCACTGAAGAAACTCGTGTTTTGAAGGGCCATACCCGCCGTAAGTCGAGAACATACCCCAGGTCCCCGCCGCAACTCGAGAAAAACCATGAGACTTCCCCCTAGAGGCGAGATGAGGCCCCATTCCCCTGCAGTGCATGCAGAGCTATTCCGTGACCCCATTCAAACAAGTCAGGAGCTTCGATTTGCTTAATGGATATCGAGACAGTCCCCAAGAACACTGTCACCAGTCTAGACGGACCCTGAGGTCACCCCAGCAACGCAAAGCAGCTCCATGTGCCCCAAATCAACTCGAGATGAGGCCCGATTCCCCTGCATTGACTCCAGAGCCATTCCCCGTTCCCCATTCAACACGACCGCTGGCTCGACTTCCTTCAGGCAACTCCAGAGATGCCCCGAGAACACTGTCCCAAGTCTAGAGGAACACCAACTTCAGCACAGCAACTCGAGGAATGCTCCGTCTACCCCAAATCGTCTCGAGATGCGAGCTGATTCCCTGGCTTAGGCACAAGACGTATGCCAACTTCCCAGAAGCACCTCAGGAGGAGGCTTCTCTCAGCAATAGGTATGTGGGAGGGACCCCGAGTTTGCTGCCTCAAGGGGAATATACAGCGAGAAGCCCTAACTTGAAAGGAGGCCGGATTTCCTTGCAGTGGTTTGAATACAGGCTCGTCTTTCATCTCACAACATGAAGGGATGTCTGAATCCCCTGTGGAGACCTTAGAGAAAGCCCTAGGTCCCTGCCTCAGTTTGACGGAATGCCTCACATCCCGCTGACACCTCGAGAGGCACGCGGAGTTCATTGCTTCAAAAGCTGACGATGCCTGACTACTCTTGAATACTGATAGGAATCCAAAAATCCCTGTGGCTACTGGAAAGGGTCCTTGGGTGCCCTGCCTCACCTCGAGAAGCGTCCCTTTTGCCCTGCCAAGCCTCGAAGGGATTCCTGAGGTGTCCCTCGTTACTAGACAGGAGTCCTGACGTCACGGAAGAAACTCGTGTTTGGAAGGGCCATCCCCGCCGTAAGTCGAGAACATACCCCAGGTCCCCGCAGCAACTCGAGAAAAACCATGAGACTTCCCCCTAGAGGCGAGATGAGGCCCCATTCCCCTGCAGTGCATGCAGAGCTATTCCGTGACCCCATTCAAACAAGTCAGGAGCTTCGACTTGCTTAAAGGATCTCGAGACAGTCCCCAAGAACACTGTCACCAGTCTAGACGGACCCTGAGGTCACCCCAGCAACGCAAAGCAGCTCCATGTGCCCCAAATCAACTCGAGATGAGGCCCGATTCCCCTGCATTGACTCCAGAGCCATTCCCCGTTCCCCATTCAACACGACCGGTGGCTCGACTTCCTTCAGGCAACTCCAGAGATGCCCCGAGAACACTGTCCCAAGTCTAGAGGAACACCAACTTCAGCACAGCAACTCGAGGAATGCTCCGTGTACCCCAAATCGTCTCGAGATGCGAGCCGATTCCCTGGCTTAGGCTCAAGACGTATGCCAACTTCCCAGAAGCACCTCAGGAGGAGGCTTCTCTCAGCAATAGGTATGTGGGAGGGACCCCGAGTTTGCTGCCTCAAGGGGAATATACAGCGAGAAGCCCTAACTTGAAAGGAGGCCGGATTTCCTTGCAGTGGCTGGAATACAGGCTCGTCTTTCATCTCACAACATGAAGGGATGTCTGAATCCCCTGTGGAGACCTTAGAGAAAGCCCTAGGTCCCTGCCTCATTTTGACGGAATGCCTCACATCCCGCTGACACCTCGAGAGGCACGCGTAGTTCATTGCTTCAAAAGGTGACGATGCCTGACTCCTCTTGAATACTGATAGGAATCCAAAAATCCCTGTGGCTACTGGAAAGGGTCCTTGGGTGCCCTGCCTCACCTCGAGAAGCGTCCCTTTTGCCCTGCCAAGCCTCGAAGAGATTCCTGAGGTGTCCCTCGTTACTAGACAGGAGTCCTGACGTCACTGAAGAAACTCGTGTTTTGAAGGGCCATCCCCGCCGTAAGTCGAGAACATACCGCAGGTCCCCGCAGCAACTCGAGAAAAACCATGAGACTTCCCCCTAGAGGCGAGATGAGGCCCCATTCCCCTGCAGTGCATGCAGAGCTATTCCGTGACCCCATTCAAACAAGTCAGGAGCTTCGACTTGCTTAATGGATCTCGAGACAGTCCCCAAGAACACTGTCACCAGTCTAGACGGACCCTGAGGTCACCCCAGCAACGCAAAGCAGCTCCATGTGCCCCAAATCAACTCGAGATGAGGCCCGATTCCCCTGCATTGACTCCAGAGCCATTCCCCGTTCCCCATTCAACACGACCGGTGGCTCGACTTCCTTCAGGCAACTCCAGAGATGCCCCGAGAACACTGTCCCAAGTCTAGAGGAACACCAACTTCAGCACAGCAACTCGAGGAATGCTCCGTGTACCCCAAATCGTCTCGAGATGCGAGCCGATTCCCTGGCTTAGGCTCAAGACGTATGCCAACTTCCCAGAAGCACCTCAGGAGGAGGCTTCTCTCAGCAATAGGTATGTGGGAGGGACCCCGAGTTTGCTGCCTCAAGGGGAATATACAGCGAGAAGCCCTAACTTGAAAGGAGGCCGGATTTCCTTGCAGTGGCTGGAATACAGGCTCGTCTTTCATCTCACAACATGAAGGGATGTCTGAATCCCCTGTGGAGACCTTAGAGAAAGCCCTAGGTCCCTGCCTCATTTTGACGGAATGCCTCACATCCCGCTGACACCTCGAGAGGCACGCGGAGTTCATTGCTTCAAAAGGTGACGATGCCTGACTCCTCTTGAATACTGATAGGAATCCCAAAATCCCTGTGGCTACTGGAAAGGGTCCTTGGGTGCCCTGCCTCACCTCGAGAAGCGTCCCTTTTGCCCTGCCAAGCGTCGAAGAGATTCCTGAGGTGTCCCTCGTTACTAGACAGGAGTCCTGACGTCACTGAAGAAACTCGTGTTTTGAAGGGCCATCCCCGCCGTAAGTCGAGAACATACCCCAGGTCCCCGCCGCAACTCGAGAAAAACCATGAGACTTCCCCCTAGAGGCGAGATGAGGCCCCATTCCCCTGCAGTGCATGCAGAGCTATTCCGTGACCCCATTCAAACAAATCAGGAGCTTCGACTTGCTTAATGGATCTCGAGACAGTCCCCAAGAACACTGTCACCAGTCTAGACGGACCCTGAGGTCACCCCAGCAACGCAAAGCAGCTCCATGTGCCCCAAATCAACTCGAGATGAGGCCCGATTCCCCTGCATTGACTCCAGAGCCATTCCCCGTTCCCCATTCAACACGACCGGTGGCTCGACTTCCTTCAGGCAACTCCAGAGATGCCCCGAGAACACTGTCCCAAGTCTAGAGGAACACCAACTTCAGCACAGCAACTCGAGGAATGCTCCGTGTACCCCAAATCGTCTCGAGATGCGAGCCGATTCCCTGGCTTAGGCTCAAGACGTATGCCAACTTCCCAGAAGCACCTCAGGAGGAGGCTTCTCTCAGCAATAGGTATGTGGGAGGGACCCCGAGTTTGTTGCCTCAAGGGGAATATACAGCGAGAAGCCCTAACTTGAAAGGAGGCCGGATTTCCTTGCAGTGGCTGGAATACAGGCTCGTCTTTCATCTCACAACATGAAGGGATGTCTGAATCCCCTGTGGAGACCTTAGAGAAAGCCCTAGGTCCCTGCCTCAGTTTGACGGAATGCCTCACATCCCGCTGACACCTCGAGAGGCACGCGGAGTTCATTGCTTCAAAAGCTGACGATGCCTGACTCCTCTTGAATACTGATAGGAATCCCAAAATCCCTGTGGCTACTGGAAAGGGTCCTTGGGTGCCCTGCCTCACCTCGAGAAGCGTCCCTTTTGCCCTGCCAAGCCTCGAAGAGATTCCTGAGGTGTCCCTCATTACTAGACAGGAGTCCTGACGTCACTGAAGAAACTCGTGTTTTGAAGGGCCATCCCCGCCGTAAGTCGAGAACATACCCCAGGTCCCCGCCGCAACTCGAGAAAAACCATGAGACTTCCCCCTAGAGGCGAGATGAGGCCCCATTCCCCTGCAGTGCATGCAGAGCTATTCCGTGACCCCATTCAAACAAGTCAGGAGCTTCGACTTGCTTAATGGATCTCGAGACAGTCCCCAAGAACACTGTCACCAGTCTAGACGGACCCTGAGGTCACCCCAGCAACGCAAAGCAGCTCCATGTGCCCCAAATCAACTCGAGATGAGGCCCGATTCCCCTGCATTGACTCCAGAGCCATTCCCCGTTCCCCATTCAACACGACCGGTGGCTCGACTTCCTTCAGGCAACTCCAGAGATGCCCCGAGAACACTGTCCCAAGTCTAGAGGAACACCAACTTCAGCACAGCAACTCGAGGAATGCTCCGTGTACCCCAAATCGTCTCGAGATGCGAGCTGATTCCCTGGCTTAGGCTCAAGACGTATGCCAACTACCCAGAAGCACCTCAGGAGGAGGCTTCTCTCAGCAATAGGTATGTGGGAGGGACCCCGAGTTTGCTGCCTCAAGGGGAATATACAGCGAGAAGCCCTAAATTGAAAGGAGGCCGGATTTCCTTGCAGTGGTTTGAATACAGGCTCGTCTTTCATCTCACAACATGAAGGGATATCTGAATCCCCTGTGGAGACCTTAGAGAAAGCCCTAGGTCCCTGCCTCATTTTGACGGAATGCCTCACATCCCGCTGACACCTCGAGAGGCACGCGGAGTTCATTGCTTCAAAAGGTGACGATGCCTGACTCCTCTTGAATACTGATAGGAATCCCAAAATCCCTGTGGCTACTGGAAAGGGTCCTTGGGTGCCCTGCCTCACCTCGAGAAGCGTCCCTTTTGCCCTGCCAAGCCTCGAAGAGATTCCTGAGGTGTCCCTCGTTACTAGACAGGAGTCCTGACGTCACTGAAGAAACTCGTGTTTGGAAGGGCCATCCCCGCCGTAAGTCGAGAACATACCGCAGGTCCCCGCAGCAACTCGAGAAAAACCATGAGACTTCCCCCTAGAGGCGAGATGAGGCCCCATTCCCCTGCAGTGCATGCAGAGCTATTCCGTGACCCCAGTCAAACAAGTCAGGAGCTTCGACTTGCTTAATGGATCTCGAGACAGTCCCCAAGAACACTGTCACCAGTCTAGACGGACCCTGAGGTCACCCCAGCAACGCAAAGCAGCTCCATGTGCCCCAAATCAACTCGAGATGAGGCCCGATTCCCCTGCATTGACTCCAGAGCCATTCCCCGTTCCCCATTCAACACGACCGGTGGCTCGACTTCCTTCAGGCAACTCCAGAGATGCCCCGAGAACACTGTCCCAAGTCTAGAGGAACACCAACTTCAGCACAGCAACTCGAGGAATGCTCCGTGTACCCCAAATCGTCTCGAGATGCGAGCCGATTCCCTGGCTTAGGCTCAAGACGTATGCCAACTTCCCAGAAGCACCTCAGGAGGAGGCTTCTCTCAGCAATAGGTATGTGGGAGGGACCCCGAGTTTGCTGCCTCAAAGGGAATATACAGCGAGAAGCCCTAACTTGAAAGGAGGCCGGATTTCCTTGCAGTGGCTGGAATACAGGCTCGTCTTTCATCTCACAACATGAAGGGATGTCTGAATCCCCTGTGGAGACCTTAGAGAAAGCCCTAGGTCCCTGCCTCATTTTGACGGAATGCCTCACATCCCGCTGACACCTCGAGAGGCACGCGGAGTTCATTGCTTCAAAAGGTGACGATGCCTGACTCCTCTTGAATACTGATAGGAATCCCAAAATCCCTGTGGCTACTGGAAAGGGTCCTTGGGTGCCCTGCCTCACCTCGAGAAGCGTCCCTTTTGCCCTGCCAAGCCTCGAAGAGATTCCTGAGGTGTCCCTCGTTACTAGACAGGAGTCCTGACGTCACTGAAGAAACTCGTGTTTTGAAGGGCCATCCCCGCCGTAAGTCGAGAACATACCCCAGGTCCCCGCCGCAACTCGAGAAAAACCATGAGACTTCCCCCTAGAGGCGAGATGAGGCCCCATTCCCCTGCAGTGCATGCAGAGCTATTCCGTGACCCCATTCAAACAAGTCAGGAGCTTCGATTTGCTTAATGGATCTCGAGACAGTCCCCAAGAACACTGTCAGCAGTCTAGACGGACCCTGAGGTCACCCCAGCAACGCAAAGCAGCTCCATGTGCCCCAAATCCACTCGAGATGAGGCCCGATTCCCCTGCATTGACTCCAGAGCCATTCCCCGTTCCCCATTCAACACGACCGCTGGCTCGACTTCCTTCAGGCAACTCCAGAGATGCCCCGAGAACACTGTCCCAAGTCTAGAGGAACACCAACTTCAGCACAGCAACTCGAGGAATGCTCCGTGTACCCCAAATCGTCTCGAGATGCGAGCCGATTCCCTGGCTTAGGCTCAAGACGTATGCCAACTTCCCAGAAGCACCTCAGGAGGAGGCTTCTCTCAGCAATAGGTATGTGGGAGGGACCCCGAGTTTGTTGCCTCAAGGGGAATATACAGCGAGAAGCCCTAACTTGATAGGAGGCCGGATATCCTTGCAGTGGCTGGAATACAGGCTCGTCTTTCATCTCACAACATGAAGGGATGTCTGAATCCCCTGTGGAGACCTTAGAGAAAGCCCTAGGTCCCTGCCTCAGTTTGACGGAATGCCTCACATCCCGCTGACACCTCGAGAGGCACGCGGAGTTCATTGCTTCAAAAGCTGACGATGCCTGACTCCTCTTGAATACTGATAGGAATCCAAAAATCCCTGTGGCTACTGGAAAGGGTCCTTGGGTGCCCTGCCTCACCTCGAGAAGCGTCCCTTTTGCCCTGCCAAGCCTCGAAGAGATTCCTGAGGTGTCCCTCATTACTAGACAGGAGTCCTGACGTCACTGAAGAAACTAGTGTTTTGAAGGGCCATCCCCGCCGTAAGTCGAGAACATACCCCAGGTCCCCGCCGCAACTCGAGAAAAACCATGAGACTTCCCCCTAGAGGCGAGATGAGGCCCCATTCCCCTGCAGTGCATGCAGAGCTATTCCGTGACCCCATTCAAGCAAGTCAGGAGCTTCGACTTGCTTAATGGATCTCGAGACAGTCCCCAAGAACACTGTCACCAGTCTAGACGGACCCTGAGGTTACCCCAGCAACGCAAAGCAGCTCCATGTGCCCCAAATCAACTCGAGATGAGGCCCGATTCCCCATCATTGACTCCAGAGCCATTCCCCGTTCCCCATTCAACACGACCGGTGGCTCGACTTCCTTCAGGCAACTCCAGAGATGCCCCGAGAACACTGTCCCAAGTCTAGAGGAACACCAACTTCAGCACAGCAACTCGAGGAATGCTCCGTGTACCCCAAATCGTCTCGAGATGCGAGCCGATTCCCTGGCTTAGGCTCAAGACGTATGCCAACTTCCCAGAAGCACCTCAGGAGGAGGCTTCTCTCAGCAATAGGTATGTGGGAGGGACCCCGAGTTTGCTGCCTCAAGGGGAATATACAGCGAGAAGCCCTAACTTGAAAGGAGGCCGGATTTCCTTGCAGTGGCTGGAATACAGGCTCGTCTTTCATCTCACAACATGAAGGGATGTCTGAATCCCCTGTGGAGACCTTAGAGAAAGCCCTAGGTCCCTGCCTCATTTTGACGGAATGCCTCACATCCCGCTGACACCTCGAGAGGCACGCGGAGTTCATTGCTTCAAAAGGTGACGATGCCTGACTCCTCTTGAATACTGATAGGAATCCCAAAATCCCTGTGGCTACTGGAAAGGGTCCTTGGGTGCCCTGCCTCACCTCGAGAAGCGTCCCTTTTGCCCTGCCAAGCCTCGAAGAGATTCCTGAGGTGTCCCTCGTTACTAGACAGGAGTCCTGACGTCACTGAAGAAACTCGTGTTTTGAAGGGCCATCCCCGCCGTAAGTCGAGAACATACCCCAGGTCCCCGCCGCAACTCGAGAAAAACCATGAGACTTCCCCCTAGAGGCGAGATGAGGCCCCATTCCCCTGCAGTGCATGCAGAGCTATTCCGTGACCCCATTCAAACAAGTCAGGAGCTTCGACTTGGTTAATGGATCTCGAGACAGTCCCCAAGAACACTGTCACCAGTCTAGACGGACCCTGAGGTCACCCCAGCAACGCAAAGCAGCTCCATGTGCCCCAAATCAACTCGAGATGAGGCCCGATTCCCCTGCATTGACTCCAGAGCCATTCCCCGTTCCCCATTCAACACGACCGGTGGCTCGACTTCCTTCAGGCAACTCCAGAGATGCCCCGAGAACACTGTCCCAAGTCTAGAGGAACACCAACTTCAGCACAGCAACTCGAGGAATGCTCCGTGTACCCCAAATCGTCTCGAGATGCGAGCCGATTCCCTGGCTTAGGCTCAAGACGTATGCCAACTTCCCAGAAGCACCTCAGGAGGAGGCTTCTCTCAGCAATAGGTATGTGGGAGGGACCCCGAGTTTGCTGCCTCAAGGGGAATATACAGCGAGAAGCCCTAACTTGAAAGGAGGCCGGATTTCCTTGCAGTGGCTGGAATACAGGCTCGTCTTTCATCTCACAACATGAAGGGATGTCTGAATCCCCTGTGGAGACCTTAGAGAAAGCCCTAGGTCCCTGCCTCATTTTGACGGAATGCCTCACATCCCGCTGACACCTCGAGAGGCACGCGGAGTTCATTGCTTCAAAAGGTGACGATGCCTGACTCCTCTTGAATACTGATAGGAATCCCAAAATCCCTGTGGCTACTGGAAAGGGTCCTTGGGTGCCCTGCCTCACCTCGAGAAGCGTCCCTTTTGCCCTGCCAAGCCTCGAAGAGATTCCTGAGGTGTCCCTCATTACTAGACAGGAGTCCTGACGTCACTGAAGAAACTCGTGTTTTGAAGGGCCGTCCCCGCCGTAAGTCGAGAACATACCCCAGGTCCCCGCCGCAACTCGAGAAAAACCATGAGACTTCCCCCTAGAGGCGAGATGAGGCCCCATTCCCCTGCAGTGCATGCAGAGCTATTCCGTGACCCCATTCAAACAAGTCAGGAGCTTCGACTTGCTTAATGGATCTCGAGACAGTCCCCAAGAACACTGTCACCAGTCTAGACGGACCCTGAGGTCACCCCAGCAACGCAAAGCAGCTCCATGTGCCCCAAATCAACTCGAGATGAGGCCCGATTCCCCTGCATTGACTCCAGAGCCATTCCCCGTTCCCCATTCAACACGAAAGGTGGCTCGACTTCCTTCAGGCAACTCCAGAGATGCCCCGAGAACACTCTCCCAAGTCTAGAGGAACACCAACTTCAGCACAGCAACTCGAGGAATGCTCCGTGTACCCCAAATCGTCTCGAGATGCGAGCTGATTCCCTGGCTTAGGCTCAAGACGTATGCCAACTTCCCAGAAGCACCTCAGGAGGAGGCTTCTCTCAGCAATAGGTATGTGGGAGGGACCCCGAGTTTGCTGCCTCAAGGGGAATATACAGCGAGAAGCCCTAACTTGAAAGGAGGCCGGATTTCCTTGCAGTGGCTGGAATACAGGCTCGTCTTTCATCTCACAACATGAAGGGATGTCTGAATCCCCTGTGGAGACCTTAGAGAAAGCCCTAGGTCCCTGCCTCAGTTTGACGGAATGCCTCACATCCCGCTGACACCTCGAGAGGCACGCGGAGTTCATTGCTTCAAAAGCTGACGATGCCTGACTCCTCTTGAATACTGATAGGAATCCAAAAATCCCTGTGGCTACTGGAAAGGGTCCTTGGGTGCCCTGCCTCACCTCGAGAAGCGTCCCTTTTGCCCTGCCAAGCCTCGAAGAGATTCCTGAGGTGTCCCTCATTACTAGACAGGAGTCCTGACGTCACTGAAGAAACTCGTGTTTTGAAGGGCCATCCCCGCCGTAAGTCGAGAACATACCCCAGGTCCCCGCCGCAACTCGAGAAAAACCATGAGACTTCCCCCTAGAGGCGAGATGAGGCCCCATTCCCCTGCAGTGCATGCAGAGCTATTCCGTGACCCCATTCAAGCAAGTCAGGAGCTTCGACTTGCTTAATGGATCTCGAGACAGTCCCCAAGAACACTGTCACCAGTCTAGACGGACCCTGAGGTCACCCCAGCAACGCAAAGCAGCTCCATGTGCCCCAAATCAACTCGAGATGAGGCCCGATTCCCCTGCATTGACTCCAGAGCCATTCCCCGTTCCCCATTCAACACGACCGGTGGCTCGACTTCCTTCAGGCAACTCCAGAGATGCCCCGAGAACACTGTCCCAAGTCTAGAGGAACACCAACTTCAGCACAGCAACTCGAGGAATGCTCCGTGTACCCCAAATCGTCTCGAGATGCGAGCCGATTCCCTGGCTTAGGCTCAAGACGTATGCCAACTTCCCAGAAGCACCTCAGGAGGAGGCTTCTCTCAGCAATAGGTATGTGGGAGGGACCCCGAGTTTGCTGCCTCAAGGGGAATATACAGCGAGAAGCCCTAACTTGAAAGGAGGCCGGATTTCCTTGCAGTGGCTGGAATACAGGCTCGTCTTTCATCTCACAACATGAAGGGATGTCTGAATCCCCTGTGGAGACCTTAGAGAAAGACCTAGGTCCCTGCCTCATTTTGACGGAATGCCTCACATCCCGCTGACACCTCGAGAGGCACGCGGAGTTCATTGCTTCAAAAGGTGACGATGCCTGACTCCTCTTGAATACTGATAGGAATCCCAAAATCCCTGTGGCTACTGGAAAGGGTCCTTGGGTGCCCTGCCTCACCTCGAGAAGCGTCCCTTTTGCCCTGCCAAGCCTCGAAGAGATTCCTGAGGTGTCCCTCGTTACTAGACAGGAGTCCTGACGTCACTGAAGAAACTCGTGTTTTGAAGGGCCATCCCCGCCGTAAGTCGAGAACATACCCCAGGTCCCCGCCGCAACTCGAGAAAAACCATGAGACTTCCCCCTAGAGGCGAGATGAGGCCCCATTCCCCTGCAGTGCATGCAGAGCTATTCCGTGACCCCATTCAAACAAGTCAGGAGCTTCGACTTGCTTAATGGATATCGAGACAGTCCCCAAGAACACTGTCACCAGTCTAGACGGACCCTGAGGTCACCCCAGCAACGCAAAGCAGCTCCATGTGCCCCAAATCAACTCGAGATGAGGCCCGATTCCCCTGCATTGACTCCAGAGCCATTCCCCGTTCCCCATTCAACACGACCGGTGGCTCGACTTCCTTCAGGCAACTCCAGAGATGCCCCGAGAACACTGTCCCAAGTCTAGAGGAACACCAACTTCAGCACAGCAACTCGAGGAATGCTCCGTGTACCCCAAATCGTCTCGAGATGCGAGCTGATTCCCTGGCTTAGGCTCAAGACGTATGCCAACTTCCCAGAAGCACCTCAGGAGGAGGCTTCTCTCAGCAATAGGTATGTGGGAGGGACCCCGAGTTTGTTGCCTCAAGGGGAATATACAGCGAGAAGCCCTAACTTGAAAGGAGGCCGGATTTCCTTGCAGTGGCTGGAATACAGGCTCGTCTTTCATCTCACAACATGAAGGGATGTCTGAATCCCCTGTGGAGACCTTAGAGAAAGCCCTAGGTCCCTGCCTCAGTTTGACAGAATGCCTCACATCCCTCTGACACCTCGAGAGGCACGCGGAGTTCATTGCTTCAAAAGCTGACGATGCCTGACTCCTCTTGAATACTGATAGGAATCCAAAAATCCCTGTGGCTACTGGAAAGGGTCCTTGGGTGCCCTGCCTCACCTCGAGAAGCGTCCCTTTTGCCCTGCCAAGCCTCGAAGAGATTCCTGAGGTGTCCCTCATTACTAGACAGGAGTCCTGTCGTCACTGAAGAAACTCGTGTTTTGAAGGGCCATCCCCGCCGTAAGTCGAGAACATACCCCAGGTCCCCGCCGCAACTCGAGAAAAACCATGAGACTTCCCCCTAGAGGCGAGATGAGGCCCCATTCCCCTGCAGTGCATGCAGAGCTATTCCGTGACCCCATTCAAGCAAGTCAGGAGCTTCGACTTGCTTAATGGATCTCGAGACAGTCCCCAAGAACACTGTCACCAGTCTAGACGGACCCTGAGGTCACCCCAGCAACGCAAAGCAGCTCCATGTGCCCCAAATCAACTCGAGATGAGGCCCGATTCCCCTGCATTGACTCCAGAGCCATTCCCCGTTCCCCATTCAACACGACCGGTGGCTCGACTTCCTTCAGGCAACTCCAGAGATGCCCCGAGAACACTGTCCCAAGTCTAGAGGAACACCAACTTCAGCACAGCAACTCGAGGAATGCTCCGTGTACCCCAAATCGTCTCGAGATGCGAGCCGATTAACTGGCTTAGGCTCAAGACGTATGCCAACTTCCCAGAAGCACCTCAGGAGGAGGCTTCTCTCAGCAATAGGTATGTGGGAGGGACCCCGAGTTTGCTGCCTCAAGGGGAATATACAGCGAGAAGCCCTAACTTGAAAGGAGGCCGGATTTCCTTGCAGTGGCTGGAATACAGGCTCGTCTTTCATCTCACAACATGAAGGGATGTCTGAATCCCCTGTGGAGACCTTAGAGAAAGCCCTAGGTCCCTGCCTCATTTTGACGGAATGCCTCACATCCCGCTGACACCTCGAGAGGCACGCGGAGTTCATTGCTTCAAAAGGTGACGATGCCTGACTCCTCTTGAATACTGATAGGAATCCCAAAATCCCTGTGGCTACTGGAAAGGGTCCTTGGGTGCCCTGCCTCACCTCGAGAAGCGTCCCTTTTGCCCTGCCAAGCCTCGAAGAGATTCCTGAGGTGTCCCTCGTTACTAGACAGGAGTCCTGACGTCACTGAAGAAACTCGTGTTTTGAAGGGCCATCCCCGCCGTAAGTCGAGAACATACCCCAGGTCCCCGCCGCAACTCGAGAAAAACCATGAGACTTCCCCCTAGAGGCGAGATGAGGCCCCATTCCCCTGCAGTGCATGCAGAGCTATTCCGTGACCCCATTCAAACAAGTCAGGAGCTTCGACTTGCTTAATGGATCTCGAGACAGTCCCCAAGAACACTGTCACCAGTCTAGACGGACCCTGAGGTCACCCCAGCAACGCAAAGCAGCTCCATGTGCCCCAAATCAACTCGAGATGAGGCCCGATTCCCCTGCATTGACTCCAGAGCCATTCCCCGTTCCCCATTCAACACGAAAGGTGGCTCGACTTCCTTCAGGCAACTCCAGAGATGCCCCGAGAACACTGTCCCAAGTCTAGAGGAACACCAACTTCAGCACAGCAACTCGAGGAATGCTCCGTGTACCCCAAATCGTCTCGAGATGCGAGCTGATTCCCTGGCTTAGGCTCAAGACGTATGCCAACTTCCCAGAAGCACCTCAGGAGGAGGCTTCTCTCAGCAATAGGTATGTGGGAGGGACCCCGAGTTTGTTGCCTCAAGGGGAATATACAGCGAGAAGCCCTAACTTGAAAGGAGGCCGGATTTCCTTGCAGTGGCTTGAATACAGGCTCGTCTTTCATCTCACAACATGAAGGGATGTCTGAATCCCCTGTGGAGACCTTAGAGAAAGCCCTAGGTCCCTGACTCAGTTTGACGGAATGCCTCACATCCCGCTGACACCTCGAGAGGCACGCGGAGTTCATTGCTTCAAAAGCTGACGATGCCTGACTCCTCTTGAATACTGATAGGAATCCAAAAATCCCTGTGGCTACTGGAAAGGGTCCTTGGGTGCCCTGCCTCACCTCGAGAAGCGTCCCTTTTGCCCTGCTAAGCCTCGAAGAGATTCCTGAGGTGTCCCTCGTTACTAGACAGGAGTCCTGACGTCACTGAAGAAACTCGTGTTTTGAAGGGCCATCCCCGCCGTAAGTCGAGAACATACCGCAGGTCCCCGCAGCAACTCGAGAAAAACCATGAGACTTCCCCCTAGAGGCGAGATGAGGCCCCATTCCCCTGCAGTGCATGCAGAGCTATTCCGTGACCCCATTCAAACAAGTCAGGAGCTTCGACTTGCTTAATGGATCTCGAGACAGTCCCCAAGAACACTGTCACCAGTCTAGACGGACCCTGAGGTCACCCCAGCAACGCAAAGCAGCTCCATGTGCCCCAAATCAACTCGAGATGAGGCCCGATTCCCCTGCATTGACTCCAGAGCCATTCCCCGTTCCCCATTCAACACGACCGGTGGCTCGACTTCCTTCAGGCAACTCCAGAGATGCCCCGAGAACACTGTCCCAAGTCTAGAGGAACACCAACTTCAGCACAGCAACTCGAGGAATGCTCCGTGTACCCCAAATCGTCTCGAGATGCGAGCCGATTCCCTGGCTTAGGCTCAAGACGTATGCCAACTTCCCAGAAGCACCTCAGGAGGAGGCTTCTCTCAGCAATAGGTATGTGGGAGGGACCCCGAGTTTGCTGCCTCAAGGGGAATATACAGCGAGAAGCCCTAACTTGAAAGGAGGCCGGATTTCCTTGCAGTGGCTGGAATACAGGCTCGTCTTTCATCTCACAACATGAAGGGATGTCTGAATCCCCTGTGGAGACCTTAGAGAAAGCCCTAGGTCCCTGCCTCATTTTGACGGAATGCCTCACATCCCGCTGACACCTCGAGAGGCACGCGGAGTTCATTGCTTCAAAAGGTGACGATGCCTGACTCCTCTTGAATACTGATAGGAATCCCAAAATCTCTGTGGCTACTGGAAAGGGTCCTTGGGTGCCCTGCCTCACCTCGAGAAGCGTCCCTTTTGCCCTGCCAAGCCTCGAAGAGATTCCTGAGGTGTCCCTCGTTACTAGACAGGAGTCCTGACGTCACTGAAGAAACTCGTGTTTTGAAGGGCCATCCCCGCCGTAAGTCGAGAACATACCCCAGGTCCCCGCCGCAACTCGAGAAAAACCATGAGACTTCCCCCTAGAGGCGAGATGAGGCCCCATTCCCCTGCAGTGCATGCAGAGCTATTCCGTGACCCCATTCAAACAAGTCAGGAGCTTCGACTTGCTTAATGGATCTCGAGACAGTCCCCAAGAACACTGTCACCAGTCTAGACGGACCCTGAGGTCACCCCAGCAACGCAAAGCAGCTCCATGTGCCCCAAATCAACTCGAGATGAGGCCCGATTCCCCAGCATTGACTCCAGAGCCATTCCCCGTTCCCCATTCAACACGACCGGTGGCTCGACTTCCTTCAGGCAACTCCAGAGATGCCCCGAGAACACTGTCCCAAGTCTAGAGGAACACCAACTTCAGCACAGCAACTCGAGGAATGCTCCGTGTACCCCAAATCGTCTCGAGATGCGAGCTGATTCCCTGGCTTAGGCTCAAGACGTATGCCAACTTCCCAGAAGCACCTCAGGAGGAGGCTTCTTTCAGCAATAGGTATGTGGGAGGGACCCTGAGTTTGCTGCCTCAAGGGGAATATACAGCGAGAAGCCCTAACTTGAAAGGAGGCCGGATTTCCTTGCAGTGGTTTGAATACAGGCTCGTCTTTCATCTCACAACATGAAGGGATGTCTGAATCCCCTGTGGAGACCTTAGAGAAAGCCCTAGGTCCCTGCCTCATTTTGACGGAATGCCTCACATCCCGCTGACACCTCGAGAGGCACGCGGAGTTCATTGCTTCAAAAGGTGACGATGCCTGACTCCTCTTGAATACTGATAGGAATCCAAAAATCCCTGTGGCTACTGGAAAGGGTCCTTGGGTGCCCTGCCTCACCTCGAGAAGCGTCCCTTTTGCCCTGCCAAGCCTCGAAGAGATTCCTGAGGTGTCCCTCGTTACTAGACAGGAGTCCTGACGTCACTGAAGAAACTCGTGTTTTGAAGGGCCATCCCCGCCGTAAGTCGAGAACATACCGCAGGTCCCCGCAGCAACTCGAGAAAAACCATGAGACTTCCCCCTAGAGGCGAGATGAGGCCCCATTCCCCTGCAGTGCATGCAGAGCTATTCCGTGACCCCATTCAAACAAGTCAGGAGCTTCGACTTGCTTAATGGATCTCGAGACAGTCCCCAAGAACACTGTCACCAGTCTAGACGGACCCTGAGGTCACCCCAGCAACGCAAAGCAGCTCCATGTGCCCCAAATCAACTCGAGATGAGGCCCGATTCCCCTGCATTGACTCCAGAGCCATTCCCCGTTCCCCATTCAACACGACCGGTGGCTCGACTTCCTTCAGGCAACTCCAGAGATGCCCCGAGAACACTGTCCCAAGTCTAGAGGAACACCAACTTCAGCACAGCAACTCGAGGAATGCTCCGTCTACCCCAAATCGTCTCGAGATGCGAGCCGATTCCCTGGCTTAGGCTCAAGACGTATGCCAACTTCCCAGAAGCACCTCAGGAGGAGGCTTCTCTCAGCAATAGGTATGTGGGAGGGACCCCGAGTTTGCTGCCTCAAGGGGAATATACAGCGAGAAGCCCTAACTTGAAAGGAGGCCGGATTTCCTTGCAGTGGCTGGAATACAGGCTCGTCTTTCATCTCACAACATGAAGGGATGTCTGAATCCCCTGTGGAGACCTTAGAGAAAGCCCTAGGTCCCTGCCTCATTTTGACGGAATGCCTCACATCCCGCTGACACCTCGAGAGGCACGCGGAGTTCATTGCTTCAAAAGGTGACGATGCCTGACTCCTCTTGAATACTGATAGGAATCCCAAAATCCCTGTGGCTACTGGAAAGGGTCCTTGGGTGCCCTGCCTCACCTCGAGAAGCGTCCCTTTTGCCCTGCCAAGCCTCGAAGAGATTCCTGAGGTGTCCCTCGTTACTAGACAGGAGTCCTGACGTCACTGAAGAAACTCGTGTTTTGAAGGGCCATCCCCGCCGTAAGTCGAGAACATACCCCAGGTCCCCGCCGCAACTCGAGAAAAACCATGAGACTTCCCCCTAGAGGCGAGATGAGGCCCCATTCCCCTGCAGTGCATGCAGAGCTATTCCGTGACCCCATTCAAACAAGTCAGGAGCTTCGACTTGCTTAATGGATCTCGAGACAGTCCCCAAGAACACTGTCACCAGTCTAGACGGACCCTGAGGTCACCCCAGCAACGCAAAGCAGCTCCATGTGCCCCAAATCAACTCGAGATGAGGCCCGATTCCCCTGCATTGACTCCAGAGCCATTCCCCGTTCCCCATTCAACACGAAAGGTGGCTCGACTTCCTTCAGGCAACTCCAGAGATGCCCCGAGAACACTGTCCCAAGTCTAGAGGAACACCAACTTCAGCACAGCAACTCGAGGAATGCTCCGTGTACCCCAAATCGTCTCGAGATGCGAGCTGATTCCCTGGCTTAGGCTCAAGACGTATGCCAACTTCCCAGAAGCACCTCAGGAGGAGGCTTCTCTCAGCAATAGGTATGTGGGATGGACCCCGAGTTTGCTGCCTCAAGGGGAATATACAGCGAGAAGCCCTAACTTGAAAGGAGGCCGGATTTCCTTGCAGTGGCTGGAATACAGGCTCGTCTTTCATCTCACAACATGAAGGGATGTCTGAATCCCCTGTGGAGACCTTAGAGAAAGCCCTAGGTCCCTGCCTCATTTTGACGGAATGCCTCACATCCCGCTGACACCTCGAGAGGCACGCGGAGTTCATTGCTTCAAAAGGTGACGATGCCTGACTCCTCTTGAATACTGATAGGAATCCCAAAATCCCTGTGGCTACTGGAAAGGGTCCTTGGGTGCCCTGCCTCACCTCGAGAAGCGTCCCTTTTGCCCTGCCAAGCCTCGAAGAGATTCCTGAGGTGTCCCTCGTTACTAGACAGGAGTCCTGACGTCACTGAAGAAACTCGTGTTTTGAAGGGCCATCCCCGCCGTAAGTCGAGAACATACCCCAGGTCCCCGCCGCAACTCGAGAAAAACCATGAGACTTCCCCCTAGAGGCGAGATGAGGCCCCATTCCCCTGCAGTGCATGCAGAGCTATTCCGTGACCCCATTCAAGCAAGTCAGGAGCTTCGACTTGCTTAATGGATCTCGAGACAGTCCCCAAGAACACTGTCACCAGTCTAGACGGACCCTGAGGTCACCCCAGCAACGCAAAGCAGCTCCATGTGCCCCAAATCAACTCGAGATGAGGCCCGATTCCCCTGCATTGACTCCAGAGCCATTCCCCGTTCCCCATTCAACACGACCGGTGGCTCGACTTCCTTCAGGCAACTCCAGAGATGCCCCGAGAACACTGTCCCAAGTCTAGAGGAACACCAACTTCAGCACAGCAACTCGAGGAATGCTCCGTGTACTCCAAATCGTCTCGAGATGCGAGCCGATTCCCTGGCTTAGGCTCAAGACGTATGCCAACTTCCCAGAAGCACCTCAGGAGGAGGCTTCTCTCAGCAACAGGTATGTGGGAGGGACCCCGAATTTGCTGCCTCAACGGGAATATACAGCGAGAAGCCCTAACTTGAAAGGAGGCCGGATTTCCTTGCAGTGGCTTGAATACAGGCTCGTCTTTCATCTCACAACATGAAGGGATGTCTGAATCCCCTGTGGAGACCTTAGAGAAAGCCCTAGGTCCCTGCCTCATTTTGACAGAATGCCTCACATCCCGCTGACACCTCAAGAGGCACGCGGAGTTCATTGCTTCAAAAGGTGACGATGCCTGACTCCTCTTGAATACTGATAGGAATCCCAAAATCCCTGTGGCTACTGGAAAGGGTCCTTGGGTGCCCTGCCTCACCTCGAGAAGCGTCCCTTTTGCCCTGCCAAGCGTCGAAGAGATTCCTGAGGTGTCCCTCGTTACTAGACAGGAGTCCTGACGTCACTGAAGAAACTCGTGTTTTGAAGGGCCATCCCCGCCGTAAGTCGAGAACATACCCCAGGTCCCCGCCGCAACTCGAGAAAAACCATGAGACTTCCCCCTAGAGGCGAGATGAGGCCCCATTCCCCTGCAGTGCATGCAGAGCTATTCCGTGACCCCATTCAAACAAGTCTGGAGCTTCGACTTGCTTAATGGATCTCGAGACAGTCCCCAAGAACACTGTCACCAGTCTAGATGGACCCTGAGGTCACCCCAGCAACGCAAAGCAGCTCCATGTGCCCCAAATCAACTCGAGATGAGGCCCGATTCCCCTGCATTGACTCCAGAGCCATTCCCCGTTCCCCATTCAACACGACCGGTGGCTCGACTTCCTTCAGGCAACTCCAGAGATGCCCCGAGAACACTGTCCCAAGTCTAGAGGAACACCAACTTCAGCACAGCAACTCGAGGAATGCTCCGTGTACCCCAAATCGTATCGAGATGCGAGCTGATTCCCTGGCTTAGGCTCAAGACGTATGCCAACTTCCCAGAAGCACCTCAGGAGGAGGCTTCTCTCAGCAATAGGTATGTGGGAGGGACCCCGAGTTTGCTGCCTCAAGGGGAATATACAGCGAGAAGCCCTAACTTGAAAGGAGGCCGGATTTCCTTGCAGTGGCTGGAATACAGGCTCGTCTTTCATCTCACAACATGAAGGGATGTCTGAATCCCCTGTGGAGACCTTAGAGAAAGCCCTAGGTCCCTGCCTCATTTTGACGGAATGCCTCACATCCCGCTGACACCTCGAGAGGCACGCGGAGTTCATTGCTTCAAAAGGTGACGATGCCTGACTCCTCTTGAATAATGATAGGAATCCCCAAATCACTGTGGCTACTGGAAAGGGTCCTTGGGTGCCCTGCCTCACCTCGAGAAGCGTCCCTTTTGCCCTGCCAAGCCTCGAAGAGATTCCTGAGGTGTCCCTCGTTACTAGACAGGAGTCCTGACGTCACTGAAGAAACTCGTGTTTTGAAGGGCCATCCCCGCCGTAAGTCGAGAACATACCCCAGGTCCCCGCCGCAACTCGAGAAAAACCATGAGACTTCCCCCTAGAGGCGAGATGAGGCCCCATTCCCCTGCAGTGCATGCAGAGCTATTCCGTGATCCCATTCAAACAAGTCAAGAGCTTCGACTTGCTTAATGGATCTCGAGACAGTCCCCAAGAACACTGTCACCAGTCTAGACGGACCCTGAGGTTACCCCAGCAACGCAAAGCAGCTCCATGTGCCCCAAATCAACTCGAGATGAGGCCCGATTCCCCTGCATTGACTCCAGAGCCATTCCCCGTTCCCCATTCAACACGACCGGTGGCTCGACTTCCTTCAGGCAACTCCAGAGATGCCCCGAGAACACTGTCCCAAGTCTAGAGGAACACCAACTTCAGCACAGCAACTCGAGGAATGCTCCGTGTACTCCAAATCGTCTCGAGATGCGAGCTGATTCCCTGGCTTAGGCTCAAGACGTATGCCAACTTCCCAGAAGCACCTTAGGAGGAGGCTTCTCTCAGCAACAGGTATGTGGGAGGGACCCCGAGTTTGCTGCCTCAACGGGAATATACAGCGAGAAGCCCTAACTTGAAAGGAGGCCGGATTTCCTTGCAGTGGCTTGAATACAGGCTCGTCTTTCATCTCACAACATGAAGGGATGTCTGAATCCCCTGTGGAGACCTTAGAGAAAGCCCTAGGTCCCTGCCTCATTTTGACAGAATGCCTCACATCCCGCTGACACCTCAAGAGGCACGCGGAGTTCATTGCTTCAAAAGGTGACGATGCCTGACTCCTCTTGAATACTGATAGGAATCCCAAAATCCCTGTGGCTACTGGAAAGGGTCCTTGGGTGCCCTGCCTCACCTAGAGAAGCGTCCCTTTTGCCCTGCCAAGCGTCGAAGAGATTCCTGAGGTGTCCCTCGTTACTAGACAGGAGTCCTGACGTCACTGAAGAAACTCGTGTTTTGAAGGGCCATCCCCGCCGTAAGTCGAGAACATACCCCAGGTCCCCGCCGCAACTCGAGAAAAACAATGAGACTTCCCCCTAGAGGCGAGATGAGGCCCCATTCACCTGCAGTGCATGCAGAGCTATTCCGTGACCCCATTCAAACAAGTCAGGAGCTTCGACTTGCTTAATGGATCTCGAGACAGTCCCCAAGAACACTGTCACCAGTCTAGATGGACCCTGAGGTCACCCCAGCAACGCAAAGCAGCTCCATGTGCCCCAAATCAACTCGAGATGAGGCCCGATTCCCCTGCATTGACTCCAGAGCCATTCCCCGTTCCCCATTCAACACGACCGGTGGTTCGACTTCCTTCAGGCAACTCCAGAGATGCCCCGAGAACACTGTCCCAAGTCTAGAGGAACACCAACTTCAGCACAGCAACTCGAGGAATGCTCCGTGTACCCCAAATCGTCTCGAGATGCGAGCTGATTCCCTGGCTTAGGCTCAAGACGTATGCCAACTTCCCAGAAGCACCTCAGGAGGAGGCTTCTCTCAGCAATAGGTATGTGGGAGGGACCCCGAGTTTGCTGCCTCAAGGGGAATATACAGCGAGAAGCCCTAACTTGAAAGGAGGCCGGATTTCCTTGCAGTGGCTTGAATACAGGCTCGTCTTTCATCTCACAACATGAAGGGATGTCTGAATCCCCTGTGGAGACCTTAGAGAAAGCCCTAGGTCCCTGCCTCATTTTGACGGAATGCCTCACATCCCGCTGACACCTCGAGAGGCACGCGGAGTTCATTGCTTCAAAAGGTGACGATGCCTGACTCCTCTTGAATACTGATAGGAATCCCAAAATCCCTGTGGCTACTGGAAAGGGTCCTTGGGTGCCCTGCCTCACCTCGAGAAGCGTCCCTTTTGCCCTGCCAAGCGTCGAAGAGATTCCTGAGGTGTCCCTCGTTACTAGACAGGAGTCCTGACGTCACTGAAGAAACTCGTGTTTTGAAGGGCCATCCCCGCCGTAAGTCGAGAACATACCCCAGGTCCCCGCCGCAACTCGAGAAAAACCATGAGACTTCCCCCTAGAGGCGAGATGAGGCCCCATTCCCCTGCAGTGCATGCAGAGCTATTCCGTGATCCCATTCAAACAAGTCAGGAGCTTCGACTTGCTTAATGGATCTCGAGACAGTCCCCAAGAACACTGTCACCAGTCTAGACGGACCCTGAGGTCACCCCAGCAACGCAAAGCAGCTCCATGTGCCCCAAATCAACTCGAGATGAGGCCCGATTCCCCTGCATTGACTCCAGAGCCATTCCCCGTTCCCCATTCAACACGACCGGTGGCTCGACTTCCTTCAGGCAACTCCAGAGATGCCCCGAGAACACTGTCCCAAGTCTAGAGGAACACCAACTTCAGCACAGCAACTCGAGGAATGCTCCGTGTACTCCAAATCGTCTCGAGATGCGAGCTGATTCCCTGGCTTAGGCTCAAGACGTATGCCAACTTCCCAGAAGCACCTCAGGAGGAGGCTTCTCTCAGCAATAGGTATGTGGGAGGGACCCCGAGTTTGCTGCCTCAAGGGGAATATACAGCGAGAAGCCCTAACTTGAAAGGAGGCCGGATTTCCTTGCAGTGGCTTGAATACAGGCTCGTCTTTCATCTCACAACATGAAGGGATGTCTGAATCCCCTGTGGAGACCTTAGAGAAAGCCCTAGGTCCCTGCCTCATTTTGACAGAATGCCTCACATCCCGCTGACACCTCGAGAGGCACGCGGAGTTCATTGCTTCAAAAGGTGACGATGCCTGACTCCTCTTGAATACTGATAGGAATCCCAAAATCCCTGTGGCTACTGGAAAGGGTCCTTGGGTGCCCTGCCTCACCTCGAGAAGCGTCCCTTTTGCCCTGCCAAGCGTCGAAGAGATTCCTGAGGTGTCCCTCGTTACTAGACAGGAGTCCTGACGTCACTGAAGAAACTCGTGTTTTGAAGGGCCATCCCCGCCGTAAGTCGAGAACATACCCCAGGTCCCCGCCGCAACTCGAGAAAAACCATGAGACTTCCCCCTAGAGGCGAGATGAGGCCCCATTCCCCTGCAGTGCATGCAGAGCTATTCCTTGATCCCATTCAAACAAGTCAGGAGCTTCGACTTGCTTAATGGATCTCGAGACAGTCCCCAAGAACACTGTCACCAGTCTAGACGGACCCTGAGGTCACCCCAGCAACGCAAAGCAGCTCCATGTGCCCCAAATCAACTCGAGATGAGGCCCGATTCCCCTGCATTGACTCCAGAGCCATTCCCCGTTCCCCATTCAACACGACCGGTGGCTCGACTTCCTTCAGGCAACTCCAGAGATGCCCCGAGAACACTGTCCCAAGTCTAGAGGAACACCAACTTCAGCACAGCAACTCGAGGAATGCTCCGTGTACCCCAAATCGTCTCGAGATGCGAGCTGATTCCCTGGCTTAGGCTCAAGACGTATGCCAACTTCCCAGAAGCACCTCAGGAGGAGGCTTCTCTCAGCAATAGGTATGTGGGAGGGACCCCGAGTTTGCTGCCTCAAGGGGAATATACAGCGAGAAGCCCTAACTTGAAAGGAGGCCGGATTTCCTTGCAGTGGCTTGAATACAGGCTCGTCTTTCATCTCACAACATGAAGGGATGTCTGAATCCCCTGTGGAGACCTTAGAGAAAGCCCTAGGTCCCTGCCTCATTTTGACGGAATGCCTCACATCCCGCTGACACCTCGAGAGGCACGCGGAGTTCATTGCTTCAAAAGGTGACGATGCCTGACTCCTCTTGAATACTGATAGGAATCCCAAAATCCCTGTGGCTACTGGAAAGGGTCCTTGGGTGCCCTGCCTCACCTCGAGAAGCGTCCCTTTTGCCCTGCCAAGCGTCGAAGAGATTCCTGAGGTGTCCCTCGTTACTAGACAGGAGTCCTGACATCACTGAAGAAACTCGTGTTTTGAAGGGCCATCCCCGCCGTAAGTCGAGAACATACCCCAGGTCCCCGCCGCAACTCGAGAAAAATCATGAGACTTCCCCCTAGAGGCGAGATGAGGCCCCATTCCCCTGCAGTGCATGCAGAGCTATTCCGTGACCCCATTCAAGCAAGACAGGAGCTTCGACTTGCTTAATGGATCTCGAGACAGTCCCCAAGAACACTGTCACCAGTCTAGACGGACCCTGAGGTCACCCCAGCAACGCAAAGCAGCTCCATGTGCCCCAAATCAACTCGAGATGAGGCCCGATTCCCCTGCATTGACTCCAGAGCCATTCCCCGTTCCCCATTCAACACGACCGGTGGCTCGACTTCCTTCAGGCAACTCCAGAGATGCCCCGAGAACACTGTCCCAAGTCTAGAGGAACACCAACTTCAGCACAGCAACTCGAGGAATGCTCCGTGTACCCCAAATCGTCTCGAGATGCGAGCTGATTCCCTGGCTTAGGCTCAAGACGTATGCCAACTTCCCAGAAGCACCTCAGGAGGAGGCTTCTCTCAGCAATAGGTATGTGGGAGGGACCCCGAGTTTGCTGCCTCAAGGGGAATATACAGCGAGAAGCCCTAACTTGAAAGGAGGCCGGATTTCCTTGCAGTGGCTGGAATACAGGCTCGTCTTTCATCTCACAACATGAAGGGATGTCTGAATCCCCTGTGGAGACCTTAGAGAAAGCCCTAGGTCCCTGCCTCATTTTGACGGAATGCCTCACATCCCGCTGACACCTCGAGAGGCACGCGGAGTTCATTGCTTCAAAAGGTGACGATGCCTGACTCCTCTTGAATACTGATAGGAATCCCAAAATCCCTGTGGCTACTGGAAAGGGTCCTTGGGTGCCCTGCCTCACCTCGAGAAGCGTCCCTTTTGCCCTGCCAAGCGTCGAAGAGATTCCTGAGGTGTCCCTCGTTACTAGACAGGAGTCCTGACGTCACTGAAGAAACTCGTGTTTTGAAGGGCCATCCCCGCCGTAAGTCGAGAACATACCCCAGGTCCCCGCCGCAACTCGAGAAAAATCATGAGACTTCCCCCTAGAGGCGAGATGAGGCCCCATTCCCCTGCAGTGCATGCAGAGCTATTCCGTGATCCCATTCAAACAAGTCAGGAGCTTCGACTTGCTTAATGGATCTCGAGACAGTCCCCAAGAACACTGTCACCAGTCTAGACGGACCCTGAGGTCACCCCAGCAACGCAAAGCAGCTCCATGTGCCCCAAATCAACTCGAGATGAGGCCCGATTCCCCTGCATTGACTCCAGAGCCATTCCCCGTTCCCCATTCAACACGACCGGTGGCTCGACTTCCTTCAGGCAACTCCAGAGATGCCCCGAGAACACTGTCCCAAGTCTAGAGGAACACCAACTTCAGCACAGCAACTCGAGGAATGCTCCGTGTACCCCAAATCGTCTCGAGATGCGAGCTGATTCCCTGGCTTAGGCTCAAGACGTATGCCAACTTCCCAGAAGCACCTCAGGAGGAGGCTTCTCTCAGCAATAGGTATGTGGGAGGGACCCCGAGTTTGCTGCCTCAAGGGGAATATACAGCGAGAAGCCCTAACTTGAAAGGAGGCCGGATTTCCTTGCAGTGGCTTGAATACAGGCTCGTCTTTCATCTCACAACATGAAGGGATGTCTGAATCCCCTGTGGAGACCTTAGAGAAAGCCCTAGGTCCCTGCCTCATTTTGACGGAATGCCTCACATCCCGCTGACACCTCGAGAGGCACGCGGAGTTCATTGCTTCAAAAGGTGACGATGCCTGACTCCTCTTGAATACTGATAGGAATCCCAAAATCCCTGTGGCTACTGGAAAGGGTCCTTGGGTGCCCTGCCTCACCTCGAGAAGCGTCCCTTTTGCCCTGCCAAGCGTCGAAGAGATTCCTGAGGTGTCCCTCGTTACTAGACAGGAGTCCTGACGTCACTGAAGAAACTCGTGTTTTGAAGGGCCATCCCCGCCGTAAGTCGAGAACATACCCCAGGTCCCCGCCGCAACTCGAGAAAAACCATGAGACTTCCCCCTAGAGGCGAGATGAGGCCCCATTCCCCTGCAGTGCATGCGGAGCTATTCCGTGACCCCATTCAAGCAAGTCAGGAGCTTCGACTTGCTTAATGGATCTCGAGACAGTCCCCAAGAACACTGTCACCAGTCTAGACGGACCCTGAGGTCACCCCAGCAACGCAAAGCAGCTCCATGTGCCCCAAATCAACTCGAGATGAGGCCCGATTCCCCTGCATTGACTCCAGAGCCATTCCCCGTTCCCCATTCAACACGACCGGTGGCTCGACTTCCTTCAGGCAACTCCAGAGATGCCCCAAGAACACTGTCCCAAGTCTAGAGGAACACCAACTTCAGCACAGCAACTCGAGGAATGCTCCGTGTACCCCAAATCGTCTCGAGATGCGAGCTGATTCCCTGGCTTAGGCTCAAGACGTATGCCAACTTCCCAGAAGCACCTCAGGAGGAGGCTTCTCTCAGCAATAGGTATGTGGGAGGGACCCCGAGTTTGCTGCCTCAAGGGGAATATACAGCGAGAAGACCTAACTTGAAAGGAGGCCGGATTTCCTTGCAGTGGCTTGAATACAGGCTCGTCTTTCATCTCACAACATGAAGGGATGTCTGAATCCCCTGTGGAGACCTTAGAGAAAGCCCTAGGTCCCTGCCTCATTTTGACGGAATGCCTCACATCCCGCTGACACCTCGAGAGGCACGCGGAGTTCATTGCTTCAAAAGGTGACGATGCCTGACTCCTCTTGAATACTGATAGGAATCCAAAAATCCCTGTGGCTACTGGAAAGGGTCCTTGGGTGCCCTGCCTCACCTCGAGAAGCGTCCCTTTTGCCCTGCCAAGCCTCGAAGAGATTCCTGAGGTGTCCCTCGTTACTAGACAGGAGTCCTGACATCACTGAAGAAACTCGTGTTTTGAAGGGCCATCCCCGCCGTAAGTCGAGAACATACCCCAGGTCCCCGCCGCAACTCGAGAAAAATCATGAGACTTCCCCCTAGAGGCGAGATGAGGCCCCATTCCCCTGCAGTGCATGCAGAGCTATTCCGTGACCCCATTCAAGCAAGACAGGAGCTTCGACTTGCTTAATGGATCTCGAGACAGTCCCCAAGAACACTGTCACCAGTCTAGACGGACCCTGAGGTCACCCCAGCAACGCAAAGCAGATCCATGTGCCCCAAATCAACTCGAGATGAGGCCCGATTCCCCTGCATTGACTCCAGAGCCATTCCCCGTTCCCCATTCAACACGACCGGTGGCTCGACTTCCTTCAGGCAACTCCAGAGATGCCCCGAGAACACTGTCCCAAGTCTAGAGGAACACCAACTTCAGCACAGCAACTCGAGGAATGCTCCGTGTACCCCAAATCGTCTCGAGATGCGAGCTGATTCCCTGGCTTAGGCTCAAGACGTATGCCAACTTCCAAGAAGCACCTCAGGAGGAGGCTTCTCTCAGCAATAGGTATGTGGGAGGGACCCCGAGTTTGCTGCCTCAAGGGGAATATACAGCGAGTAGCCCTAACTTGAAAGGAGGCCAGATTTCCTTGCAGTGGCTTGAATACAGGCTCGTCTTTCATCTCACAACATGAAGGGATGTCTGAATCCCCTGTGGAGACCTTAGAGAAAGCCCTAGGTCCCTGCCTCATTTTGACGGAATGCCTCACATCCCGCTGACACCTCGAGAGGCACGCGGAGTTCATTGCTTCAAAAGGTGACGATGCCTGACTCCTCTTGAATACTGATAGGAATCCCAAAATCCCTTTGGCTACTGGAAAGGGTCCTTGGGTGCCCTGCCTCACCTCGAGAAGCGTCCCTTTTGCCCTGCCAAGCCTCGAAGAGATTCCTGAGGTGTCCCTCGTTACTAGACAGGAATCCTGACGTCACTGAAGAAACTCGTGTTTTGAAGGGCCATCCCCGCCGTAAGTCGAGAACATACCGCAGGTCCCCGCAGCAACTCGAGAAACACCATGAGACTTCCCCCTAGAGGCGAGATGAGGCCCCATTCCCCTGCAGTGCATGCAGAGCTATTCCGTGACCCCATTCAAACAAGTCAGGAGCTTCGACTTGCTTAATGGATCTCGAGACAGTCCCCAAGAACACTGTCACCAGTCTAGACGGACCCTGAGGTCACCCCAGCAACGCAAAGCAGCTCCATGTGCCCCAAATCAACTTGAGATGAGGCCCGATTCCCCTGCATTGACTCCAGAGCCATTCCCCGTTCCCCATTCAACACGACCGGTGGCTCGACTTCCTTCAGGCAACTCCAGAGATGCCCCGAGAGCACTGTCCCAAGTCTAGAGGAACACCAACTTCAGCACAGCAACTCGAGGAATGCTCCGTGTACCCCAAATCGTCTCGAGATGCGAGCTGATTCCCTGGCTTAGGCTCAAGACGTATGCCAACTTCCCAGAAGCACCTCAGGAGGAGGCTTCTCTCAGCAATAGGTATGTGGGAGGGACCCCGAGTTTGCTGCCTCAAGGGGAATATACAGCGAGAAGCCCTAACTTGAAAGGAGGCCGGATTTCCTTGCAGTGGCTTGAATACAGGCTCGTCTTTCATCTCACAACATGAAGGGATGTCTGAATCCCCTGTGGAGACCTTAGAGAAAGCCCTAGGTCCCTGCCTCATTTTGACGGAATGCCTCACATCCCGCTGACACCTCGAGAGGCACGCGGAGTTCATTGCTTCAAAAGGTGACGATGCCTGACTCCTCTTGAATACTGATAGGAATCCCAAAATCCCTGTGGCTACTGGAAAGGGTCCTTGGGTGCCCTGCCTCACCTCGAGAAGCGTCCCTTTTGCCCTGCCAAGCCTCGAAGAGATTCCTGAGGTGTCCCTCGTTACTAGACAGGAGTCCTGACGTCACTGAAGAAACTCGTGTTTTGAAGGGCCATCCCCGCCGTAAGTCGAGAACATACCCCAGGTCCCCGCCGCAACTCGAGAAAAACCATGAGACTTCCCCCTAGAGGCGAGATGAGGCCCCATTCCCCTGCAGTGCATGCGGAGCTATTCCGTGACCCCATTCAAGCAAGTCAGGAGCTTCGACTTGCTTAATGGATCTCGAGACAGTCCCCAAGAACACTGTCACCAGTCTAGACGGACCCTGAGGTCACCCCAGCAACGCAAAGCAGCTCCATGTGCCCCAAATCAACTCGAGATGAGGCCCGATTCCCCTGCATTGACTCCAGATCCATTCCCCGTTCCCCATTCAACAAGACCGGTGGCTCGACTTCCTTCAGGCAACTCCAGAGATGCCCCGAGAACACTGTCCCTAGTCTAGAGGAACACCAACTTCAGCACAGCAACTCGAGGAATGCTCCGTGTACCCCAAATCGTCTCGAGATGCGAGCTGATTCCCTGGCTTAGGCTCAAGACGTATGCCAACTTCCCAGAAGCACCTCAGGAGGAGGCTTCTCTCAGCAATAGGTATGTGGGAGGGACCCCGAGTTTGCTGCCTCAAGGGGAATATACAGCGAGTAGCCCTAACTTGAACGGAGGCCAGATTTCCTTGCAGTGGCTTGAGTACAGGCTCGTCTTTCATCTCACAACATGAAGGGATGTCTGAATCCCCTGTGGAGACCTTAGAGAAAGCCCTAGGTCCCTGCCTCATTTTGACGGAATGCCTCACATCCCGCTGACACCTCGAGAGGCACGCGGAGTTCATTGCTTCAAAAGGTGACGATGCCTGACTCCTCTTGAATACTGATAGGAATCCCAAAATCCCTTTGGCTACTGGAAAGGGTCCTTGGGTGCCCTGCCTCACCTCGAGAAGCGTCCCTTTTGCCCTGCCAAGCCTCGAAGAGATTCCTGAGGTGTCCCTCGTTACTAGACAGGAGTCCTGACGTCACTGAAGAAACTCGTGTTTTGAAGGGCCATCCCCGCCGTAAGTCGAGAACATACCGCAGGTCCCCGCAGCAACTCGAGAAAAACCATGAGACTTCCCCCTAGAGGCGAGATGAGGCCCCATTCCCCTGCAGTGCATGCAGAGCTATTCCGTGACCCCATTCAAACAAGTCAGGAGCTTCGACTTGCTTAATGGATCTCGAGACAGTCCCCAAGAACACTGTCACCAGTCTAGACGGACCCTGAGGTCACCCCAGCAACGCAAAGCAGCTCCATGTGCCCCAAATCAACTCGAGATGAGGCCCGATTCCCCTGCATTGACTCCAGAGCCATTCCCCGTTCCCCATTCAACACGACCGGTGGCTCGACTTCCTTCAGGCAACTCCAGAGATGCCCCGAGAACACTGTCCCAAGTCTAGAGGAACACCAACTTCAGCACAGCAACTCGAGGAATGCTCCGTGTACCCCAAATCGTCTCGAGATGCGAGCTGATTCCCTGGCTTAGGCTCAAGACGTATGCCAACTTCCCAGAAGCACCTCAGGAGGAGGCTTCTCTCAGCAATAGGTATGTGGGAGGGACCCCGAGTTTGCTGCCTCAAGGGGAATATACAGCGAGAAGCCCTAACTTGAAAGGAGGCCGGATTTCCTTGCAGTGGCTTGAATACAGGCTCGTCTTTCATCTCACAACATGAAGGGATGTCTGAATCCCCTGTGGAGACCTTAGAGAAAGCCCTAGGTCCCTGCCTCATTTTGACGGAATGCCTCACATCCCGCTGACACCTCGAGAGGCACGCGGAGTTCATTGCTTCAAAAGGTGACGATGCCTGACTCCTCTTGAATACTGATAGGAATCCCAAAATCCCTGTGGCTACTGGAAAGGGTCCTTGGGTGCCCTGCCTCACCTCGAGAAGCGTCCCTTTTGCCCTGCCAAGCGTCGAAGAGATTCCTGAGGTGTCCCTCGTTACTAGACAGGAGTCCTGACGTCACTGAAGAAACTCGTGTTTTGAAGGGCCATCCCCGCCGTAAGTCGAGAACATACCCCAGGTCCCCGCCGCAACTCGAGAAAAACCATGAGACTTCCCCCTAGAGGCGAGATGAGGCCCCATTCCCCTGCAATGCATGCAGAGCTATTCCGTGACCCCATTCAAGCAAGTCAGGAGCTTCGACTTGCTTAATGGATCTCGAGACAGTCCCCAAGAACACTGTCACCAGTCTAGACGGACCCTGAGGTCACCCCAGCAACGCAAAGCAGTTCCATGTGCCCCAAATCAACTCGAGATGAGGCCCGATTCCCCTGCATTGACTCCAGAGCCATTCCCCGTTCCCCATTCAACACGACCGGTGGCTCGACTTCCTTCAGGCAACTCCAGAGATGCCCCGAGAACACTGTCCCAAGTCTAGAGGAACACCAACTTCAGCACAGCAACTCGAGGAATGCTCCGTGTACCCCAAATCGTCTCGAGATGCGAGCTGATTCCCTGGCTTAGGCGCAAGACGTATGCCAACTTCCCAGAAGCACCTCAGGAGGAGGCTTCTCTCAGCAGTAGGTATGTGGGAGGGACCCCGAGTTTGCTGCCTCAAGGGGAATATACAGCGAGAAGCCCTAACTTGAAAGGAGGCCGGATTTCCTTGCAGTGGCTTGAATACAGGCTCGTCTTTCATCTCACAACATGAAGGGATGTCTGAATCCCCTGTGGAGACCTTAGAGAAAGCCCTAGGTCCCTGCCTCATTTTGACGGAATGCCTCACATCCCGCTGACACCTCGAGAGGCACGCGGAGTTCATTGCTTCAAAAGGTGACGATGCCTGACTCCTCTTGAATACTGATAGGAATCCCAAAATCCCTGTGGCTACTGGAAAGGGTCTTTGGGTGCCCTGCCTCACCTCGAGAAGCGTCCCTTTTGCCCTGCCAAGCCTCGAAGAGATTCCTGAGGTGTCCCTCGTTACTAGACAGGAGTCCTGACGTCACTGAAGAAACTCGTGTTTTGAAGGGCCATCCCCGCCGTAAGTCGAGAGCATACCGCAGGTCCCCGCAGCAACTCGAAAAAAACCATGAGACTTCCCCCTAGAGGCGAGATGAGGCCCCATTCCCCTGCAGTGCATGCAGAGCTATTCCGTGACCCCATTCAAACAAGTCAGGAGCTTCGACTTGCTTAATGGATCTCGAGACAGTCCCCAAGAACACTGTCACCAGTCTAGACGGACCCTGAGGTCACCCCAGCAACGCAAAGCAGCTCCATGTGCCCCAAATCAACTCGAGATGAGGCCCGATTCCCCTGCATTGACTCCAGAGCCATTCCCCGTTCCCCATTCAACACGACCGGTGGCTCGACTTCCTTCAGGCAACTCCAGAGATGCCCCGAGAACACTGTCCCAAGTCTAGAGGAACACCAACTTCAGCACAGCAACTCGAGGAATGCTCCATGTACCCCAAATCGTCTCGAGATGCGAGCTGATTCCCTGGCTTAGGCTCAAGACGTATGCCAACTTCCCAGAAGCACCTCAGGAGGAGGCTTCTCTCAGCAATAGGTATGTGGGAGGGACCCCGAGTTTGCTGCCTCAAGGGGAATATACAGCGAGAAGCCCTAACTTGAAAGGAGGCCGGATATCCTTGCAGTGGCTTGAATACAGGCTCGTCTTTCATCTCACAACATGAAGGGATGTCTGAATCCCCTGTGGAGACCTTAGAGAAAGCCCTAGGTCCCTGCCTCATTTTGACGGAATGCCTCACATCCCGCTGACACCTCGAGAGGCAGGCGGAGTTCATTGCTTCAAAAGGTGACGATGCCTGACTCCTCTTGAATACTGATAGGAATCCCAAAATCCCTGTGGCTACTGGAAAGGGTCCTTGGGTGCCCTGCCTCATCTCGAGAAGCGTCCCTTTGGACCTGCCAAGCCTCGAAGAGATTCCTGAGGTGTCCCTCGTTACTAGACAGGAGTCCTGACGTCACTGAAGAAACTCGTGTTTTGAAGGGCCATCCCCGCCGTAAGTCGAGAACATACCCCAGGTCTCCGCCGCAACTCGAGAAAAACCATGAGACTTCCCCCTAGAGGCGAGATGAGGCCCCATTCCCCTGCAGTGCATGCAGAGCTATTCCGTGACCCCATTCAAACAAGTCAGGAGCTTCGACTTGCTTAATGGATCTCGAGACAGTCCCCAAGAACACTGTCACCAGTCTAGACGGACCCTGAGGTCACCCCAGCAACGCAAAGCAGCTCCATGTGCCCCAAATCAACTCGAGATGAGGCCCGATTCCCCTGCATTGACTCCAGAGCCATTCCCCGTTCCCCATTCAACACGACCGGTGGCTCGACTTCCTTCAGGCAACTCCAGAGATGCCCCGAGAACACTGTCCCAAGTCTAGAGGAACACCAACTTCAGCACAGCAACTCGAGGAATGCTCCGTGTACCCCAAATCGTCTCGAGATGCGAGCTGATTCCCTGGCTTAGGCTTAAGACGTATGCCAACTTCCCAGAAGCACCTCAGGAGGAGGCTTCTCTCAGCAATAGGTATGTGGGAGGGACCCCGAGTTTGCTGCCTCAATGGGAATATACAGCGAGAAGCCCTAACTTGAAAGGAGGCCGGATTTCCTTGCAGTGGCTGGAATACAGGCTCGTCTTTCATCTCACAACATGAAGGGATGTCTGAATCCCCTGTGGAGACCTTAGAGAAAGCCCTAGGTCCCTGCCTCATTTTGACGGAATGCCTCACATCCCGCTGACACCTCGAGAGGCACGCGGAGTTCATTGCTTCAAAAGGTGACGATGCCTGACTCCTCTTGAATACTGATAGGAATCCCAAAATCCCTGTGGCTACTGGAAAGGGTCCTTGGGTGCCCTGCCTCACCTCGAGAAGCGTCCCTTTTGCCCTGCCAAGCCTCGAAGAGATTCCTGGGGTGTCCGTCGTTACTACACAGGAGTCCTGACGTCACTGAAGAAACTCGTGTTTTGAAGGGCCATCCACGCCGTAAGTCGAGAACATACCCCAGGTCCCCGCCACAACTCGAGAAAAACCATGAGACTTCCCCCTAGAGGCGAGATGAGGCCCCATTCCCCTGCAGTGCATGCGGAGCTATTCCGTGACCCCATTCAAGCAAGTCAGGAGCTTCGACTTGCTTAATGGATCTCGAGACAGTCCCCAAGAACACTGTCACCAGTCTAGACGGACCCTGAGGTCACCCCAGCAACGCAAAGCAGCTCCATGTGCCCCAAATCAACTCGAGATGAGGCCCGATTCCCCTGCATTGACTCCAGAGCCATTCCCCGTTCCCCATTCAACAAGACCGGTGGCTCGACTTCCTTCAGGCAACTCCAGAGATGCCCCGAGAACACTGTCCCAAGTCTAGAGGAACACCAACTTCAGCACAGCAACTCGAGGAATGCTCCGTGTACCCCAAATCGTCTCGAGATGCGAGCTGATTCCCTGGCTTAGGCTCAAGACGTATGCCAACTTCCCAGAAGCACCTCAGGAGGAGGCTTCTCTCAGCAATAGGTATGTGGGAGGGACCCCGAGTTTGCTGCCTCAAGGGGAATATACAGCGAGAAGCCCTAACTTCAAAGGAGGCCGGATTTCCTTGCAGTGGCTTGAATACAGGCTCGTCTTTCATCTCACGACATGAAGGGATGTCTGAATCCCCTGTGGAGACCTTAGAGAAAGCCCTAGGTCCCTGCCTCATTTTGACGGAATGCCTCACATCCCGCTGACACCTCGAGAGGCACGCGGAGTTCATTGCTTCAAAAGGTGACGATGCCTGACTCCTCTTGAATACTGATAGGAATCCCAAAATCCCTGTGGCTACTGGAAAGGGTCCTTGGGTGCCCTGCCTCACCTCGAGAAGCGTCCCTTTGGCCCTGCCAAGCCTCGAAGAGATTCCTGAGGTGTCCCTCGTTACTAGACAGGAGTCCTGACGTCACTGAAGAAACTCGTGTTTTGAAGGGCCATCCCCGCCGTAAGTCGAGAACATACCCCACGTCTCCGCCGCAACTAGAGAAAAACCATGAGACTTCCCCCTAGAGGCGAGATGAGGCCCCATTCCCCTGCAGTGCATGCAGAGCTATTCCGTGACCCCATTCAAACAAGTCAGGAGCTTCGACTTGCTTAATGGATCTCGAGACAGTCCCCAAGAACACTGTCACCAGTCTAGACGGACCCTGAGGTCACCCCAGCAACGCAAAGCAGCTCCATGTGCCCCAAATCAACTCGAGATGAGGCCCGATTCCCCTGCATTGACTCCAGAGCCATTCCCCGTTCCCCATTCAACACGACCGGTGGCTCGACTTCCTTCAGGCAACTCCAGAGATGCCCCGAGAACACTGTCCCAAGTCTAGAGGAACACCAACTTCAGCACAGCAACTCGAGGAATGCTCCGTGTACCCCAAATCGTCTCGAGATGCGAGCTGATTCCCTGGCTTAGGCTCAAGACGTATGCCAACTTCCCAGAAGCACCTCAGGAGGAGGCTTCTCTCAGCAATAGGTATGTGGGAGGGACCCCGAGTTTGCTGCCTCAAGGGGAATATACAGCGAGAAGCCCTAACTTGAAAGGAGGCCGGATTTCCTTGCAGTGGCTGGAATACAGGCTCGTCTTTCATCTCACAACATGAAGGGATGTCTGAATCCCCTGTGGAGACCTTAGAGAAAGCCCTAGGTCCCTGCCTCATTTTGACGGAATGCCTCACATCCCGCTGACACCTCGAGAGGCACGCGGAGTTCATTGCTTCAAAAGGTGACGATGCCTGACTCCTCTTGAATACTGATAGGAATCCCAAAATCCCTGTGGCTACTGGAAAGGGTCCTTGGGTGCCCTGCCTCACCTCGAGAAGCGTCCCTTTTGCCCTGCCAAGCCTCGAAGAGATTCCTGGGGTGTCCCTCGTTACTACACAGGAGTCCTGACGTCACTGAAGAAACTCGTGTTTTGAAGGGCCATCCCCGCCGTAAGTCGAGAACATACCCCAGGTCCCCGCCGCAACTCGAGAAAAACCATGAGACTTCCCCCTAGAGGCGAGATGAGGCCCCATTCCCCTGCAGTGCATGCGGAGCTATTCCGTGACCCCATTCAAGCAAGTCAGGAGCTTCGACTTGCTTAATGGATCTCGAGACAGTCCCCAAGAACACTGTCACCAGTCTAGACGGACCCTGAGGTCACCCCAGCAACGCAAAGCAGCTCCATGTGCCCCAAATCAACTCGAGATGAGGCCCGATTCCCCTGCATTGACTCCAGAGCCATTCCCCGTTCCCCATTCAACAAGACCGGTGGCTCGACTTCCTTCAGGCAACTCCAGAGATGCCCCGAGAACACTGTCCCAAGTCTAGAGGAACACCAACTTCAGCACAGCAACTCGAGGAATGCTCCGTGTACCCCAAATCGTCTCGAGATGCGAGCTGATTCCCTGGCTTAGGCTCAAGACGTATGCCAACTTCCCAGAAGCACCTCAGGAGGAGGCTTCTCTCAGCAATAGGTATGTGGGAGGGACCCCGAGTTTGCTGCCTCAAGGGGAATATACAGCGAGAAGCCCTAACTTGAAAGGAGGCCGGATTTCCTTGCAGTGGCTTGAATACAGGCTCGTCTTTCATCTTACAACATGAAGGGATGTCTGAATCCCCTGTGGAGACCTTAGAGAAAGCCCTAGGTCCCTGCCTCATTTTGACAGAATGCCTCACATCCCGCTGACACCTCGAGAGGCACGCGGAGTTCATTGCTTCAAAAGGTGACGATGCCTGACTCCTCTTGAATACTGATAGGAATCCAAAAATCCCTGTGGCTACTGGAAAGGGTCCTTGGGTGCCCTGTCTCACCTCGAGAAGCGTCCCTTTGGCCCTGCCAAGCCTCGAAGAGATTCCTGAGGTGTCCCTCGTTACCAGACAGGAGTCCTGACGTCACTGAAGAAACTCGTGTTTTGAAGGGCCATCCCCGCCGTAAGTCGAGAACATACCCCAGGTCCCCGCCGCAACTCGAGAAAAACCATGAGACTTCCCCCTAGAGGCGAGATGAGGCCCCATTCCCCTGCAGTGCATGCAGAGCTATTCCGTGACCCCATTCAAGCAAGACAGGAGCTTCGACTTGCTTAATGGATCTCGAGACAGTCCCCAAGAACACTGTCACCAGTCTAGACGGACCCTGAGGTCACCCCAGCAACGCAAAGCAGCTCCATGTGCCCCAAATGAACTCGAGATGAGGCCCGATTCCCCTGCATTGACTCCAGAGCCATTTCCCGTTCCCCATTCAACACGAACGGTGGCTCGACTTCCTTCAGGCAACTCCAGAGATGCCCCGAGAACACTGTCCCAAGTCTAGAGGAACACCAACTTCAGCACAGCAACTCGAGGAATGCTCCGTGTACCCCAAATCGTCTCGAGATGCGAGCTGATTCCCTGGCTTAGGCTCAAGACGTATGCCAACTTCCCAGAAGCACCTCAGGAGGAGGGTTCTCTCAGCAATAGGTATGTGGGAGGGACCCCGAGTTTGCTGCCTCAAGGGGAATATACAGCGAGAAGCCCTAACTTGAAAGGAGGCCGGATTTCCTTGCAGTGGCTGGAATACAGGCTCGTCTTTCATCTCACAACATGAAGGGATGTCTGAATCCCCTGTGGAGACCTTAGAGAAAGCCCTAGGTCCCTGCCTCATTTTGACGGAATGCCTCACATCCCGCTGACACCTCGAGAGGCACGCGGAGTTCATTGCTTCAAAAGGTGACGATGCCTGACTCCTCTTGAATACTGATAGGAATCCAAAAATCCCTGTGGCTACTGGAAAGGGTCCTTGGGTGCCCTGCCTCACCTCGAGAAGCGTCCCTTTTGCCCTGCCAAGCCTCGAAGAGATTCCTGGGGTGTCCCTCGTTACTACACAGGAGTCCTGACGTCACTGAAGAAACTCGTGTTTTGAAGGGCCATCCCCGCCGTAAGTCGAGAACATACCCCAGGTCCCCGCCGCAACTCGAGAAAAACCATGAGACTTCCCCCTAGAGGCGAGATGAGGCCCCATTCCCCTGCAGTGCATGCAGAGCTATTCCGTGACCCCATTCAAGCAAGTCAGGAGCTTCGACTTGCTTAATGGATCTCGAGACAGTCCCCAAGAACACTGTCACCAGTCTAGACGGACCCTGAGGTCACCCCAGCAACGCAAAGCAGCTCCATGTGCCCCAAATCAACTCGAGATGAGGCCCGATTCCCCTGCATTGACTCCAGAGCCATTCCCCGTTCCCCATTCAACACGACCGGTGGCTCGACTTCCTTCAGGCAACTCCAGAGATGCCCCGAGAACACTGTCCCAAGTCTAGAGGAACACCAACTTCAGCACAGCAACTCGAGGAATGCTCCGTGTACCCCAAATCGTCTCGAGATGCGAGCTGATTCCCTGGCTTAGGCTCAAGACGTATGCCAACTTCCCAGAAGCACCTCAGGAGGAGGCTTCTCTCAGCAATAGGTATGTGGGAGGGACCCCGAGTTTGCTGCCTCAAGGGGAATATACAGCGAGAAGCCCTAACTTGAAAGGAGGCCGGATTTCCTTGCAGTGGCTTGAATACAGGCTCGTCTTTCATCTCACAACATGAAGGGATGTCTGAATCCCCTGTGGAGACCTTAGAGAAAGCCCTAGGTCCCTGCCTCATTTTGACGGAATGCCTCACATCCCGCTGACACCTCGAGAGGCACGCGGAGTTCATTGCTTCAAAAGGTGACGATGCCTGACTCCTCTTGAATACTGATAGGAATCCCAAAATCCCTGTGGCTACTGGAAAGGGTCTTTGGGTGCCCTGCCTCACCTCGAGAAGCGTCCCTTTTGCCCTGCCAAGCCTCGAAGAGATTCCTGAGGTGTCCCTCGTTACTAGACAGGAGTCCTGACGTCACTGAAGAAACTCGTGTTTTGAAGGGCCATCCCCGCCGTAAGTCGAGAACATACCGCAGGTCCCCGCAGCAACTCGAAAAAAACCATGAGACTTCCCCCTAGAGGCGAGATGAGGCCCCATTCCCCTGCAGTGCATGCAGAGCTATTCCGTGACCCCATTCAAACAAGTCAGGAGCTTCGACTTGCTTAATGGATCTCGAGACAGTCCCCAAGAACACTGTCACCAGTCTAGACGGACCCTGAGGTCACCCCAGCAACGCAAAGCAGCTCCATGTGCCCCAAATCAACTCGAGATGAGGCCCGATTCCCCTGCATTGACTCCAGAGCCATTCCCCGTTCCCCATTCAACACGACCGGTGGCTCGACTTCCTTCAGGCAACTCCAGAGATGCCCCGAGAACACTGTCCCAAGTCTAGAGGAACACCAACTTCAGCACAGCAACTCGAGGAATGCTCCGTGTACCCCAAATCGTCTCGAGATGCGAGCTGATTCCCTGGCTTAGGCTCAAGACGTATGCCAACTTCCCAGAAGCACCTCAGGAGGAGGCTTCTCTCAGCAATAGGTATGTGGGAGGGACCCCGAGTTTGCTGCCTCAAGGGGAATATACAGCGAGAAGCCCTAACTTGAAAGGAGGCCGGATTTCCTTGCAGTGGCTTGAATACAGGCTCGTCTTTCATCTCACAACATGAAGGGATGTCTGAATCCCCTGTGGAGACCTTAGAGAAAGCCCTAGGTCCCTGCCTCATTTTGACGGAATGCCTCACATCCCGCTGACACCTCGAGAGGCACGCGGAGTTCATTGCTTCAAAAGGTGACGATGCCTGACTCCTCTTGAATACTGATAGGAATCCCAAAATCCCTGTGGCTACTGGAAAGGGTCCTTGGGTGCCCTGCCTCACCTCGAGAAGCGTCCCTTTTGCCCTGCCAAGCCTCGAAGAGATTCCTGAGGTGTCCCTCGTTACCAGACAGGAGTCCTGACGTCACTGAAGAAACTCGTGTTTTGAAGGGCCATCCCCGCCGTAAGTCGAGAACATACCCCAGGTCCCCGCCGCAACTCGAGAAAAACCATGAGACTTCCCCCTAGAGGCGAGATGAGGCCCCATTCCCCTGCAGTGCATGCAGAGCTATTCCGTGACCCCATTCAAGCACGTCAGGAGCTTCGACTTGCTTAATGGATCTCGAGACAGTCCACAAGAACACTGTCACCAGTCTAGACGGACCCTGAGGTCACCCCAGCAACGCAAAGCAGCTCCATGTGCCCCAAATCAACTCGAGATGAGGCCCGATTCCCCTGCATTGACTCCAGAGCCATTCCCCGTTCCCCATTCAACACGACCGGTGGCTCGACTTCCTTCAGGCAACTCCAGAGATGCCCCGAGAACACTGTCCCAAGTCTAGAGGAACACCAACTTCAGCACAGCAACTCGAGGAATGCTCCGTGTACCCCAAATCGTCTCGAGATGCGAGCTGATTCCCTGGCTTAGGCTCAAGACGTATGCCAACTTCCCAGAAGCACCTCAGGAGGAGGCTTCTCTCAGCAATAGGTATGTGGGAGGGACCCCGAGTTTGCTGCCTCAAGGGGAATATACAGCGAGAAGCCCTAACTTGAAAGGAGGCCGGATTTCCTTGCAGTGGCTGGAATACAGGCTCGTCTTTCATCTCACAACATGAAGGGATGTCTGAATCCCCTGTGGAGACCTTAGAGAAAGCCCTAGGTCCCTGCCTCATTTTGACGGAATGCCTCACATCCCGCTGACACCTCGAGAGGCACGCGGAGTTCATTGCTTCAAAAGGTGACGATGCCTGACTCCTCTTGAATACTGATAGGAATCCCAAAATCCCTGTGGCTACTGGAAAGGGTCCTTGGGTGCCCTGCCTCACCTCGAGAAGCGTCCCTTTGGCCCTGCCAAGCCTCGAAGAGATTCCTGAGGTGTCCCTCGTTACTAGACAGGAGTCCTGACGTCACTGAAGAATCTCGTGTTTTGAAGGGCCATCCCCGCCGTAAGTCGAGAACATACCCCAGGTCCCCGCCGCAACTCGAGAAAAACCATGAGACTTCCCCCTAGAGGCGAGATGAGGCCCCATTCCCCTGCAGTGCATGCAGAGCTATTCCGTGACCCCATTCAAACAAGTCAGGAGCTTCGACTTGCTTAATGGATCTCGAGACAGTCCCCAAGAACACTGTCACCAGTCTAGACGGACCCTGAGGTCACCCCAGCAACGCAAAGCAGCTCCATGTGCCCCAAATCAACTCGAGATGAGGCCCGATTCCCCTGCATTGACTCCAGAGCCATTCCCCGTTCCCCATTCAACACGACCGGTGGCTCGACTTCCTTCAGGCAACTCCAGAGATGCCCCGAGAACACTGTCCCAAGTCTAGAGGAACACCAACTTCAGCACAGCAACTCGAGGAATGCTCCGTGTACCCCAAATCGTCTCGAGATGCGAGCTGATTCCCTGGCTTAGGCTCAAGACGTATGCCAACTTCCCAGAAGCACCTCAGGAGGAGGCTTCTCTCAGCAATAGGTATGTGGGAGGGACCCCGAGTTTGCTGCCTCAAGGGGAATATACAGCGAGAAGCCCTAACTTGAAAGGAGGCCGGATTTCCTTGCAGTGGCTGGAATACAGGCTCGTCTTTCATCTCACAACATGAAGGGATGTCTGAATCCCCTGTGGAGACCTTAGAGAAAGCCCTAGGTCCCTGCCTCATTTTGACGGAATGCCTCACATCCCGCTGACACCTCGAGAGGCACGCGGAGTTCATTGCTTCAAAAGGTGACGATGCCTGACTCCTCTTGAATACTGATAGGAATCCCAAAATCCCTGTGGCTACTGGAAAGGGTCCTTGGGTGCACTGCCTCACCTCGAGAAGCGTCCCTTTTGCCCTGCCAAGCCTCGAAGAGATTCCTGAGGTGTCCCTCGTTACCAGACAGGAGTCCTGATGTCACTGAAGAAACTCGTGTTTTGAAGGGCCATCCCCGCCGTAAGTCGAGAACATAACCCAGGTCCCCGCCGCAACTCGAGAAAAACCATGAGACTTCCCCCTAGAGGCGAGATGAGGCCCCATTCCCCTGCAGTGCATGCAGAGCTATTCCGTGACCCCATTCAAGCACGTCAGGAGCTTCGACTTGCTTAATGGATCTCGAGACAGTCCCCAAGAACACTGTCACCAGTCTAGACGGACCCTGAGGTCACCCCAGCAACGCAAAGCAGCTCCATGTGCCCCAAATCAACTCGAGATGAGGCCCGATTCCCCTGCATTGACTCCAGAGCCATTCCCCGTTCCCCATTCAACACGACCGGTGGCTCGACTTCCTTCAGGCAACTCCAGAGATGCCCCGAGAACACTGTCCCAAGTCTAGAGGAACACCAACTTCAGCACAGCAACTCGAGGAATGCTCCGTGTACCCCAAATCGTCTCGAGATGCGAGCTGATTCCCTGGCTTAGGCTCAAGACGTATGCCAACTTCCCAGAAGCACCTCAGGAGGAGGCTTCTCTCAGCAATAGGTATGTGGGAGGGACCCCGAGTTTGCTGCCTCAAGGGGAATATACAGCGAGAAGCCCTAACTTGAAAGGAGGCCGGATTTCCTTGCAGTGGCTGGAATACAGGCTCGTCTTTCATCTCACAACATGAAGGGATGTCTGAATCCCCTGTGGAGACCTTAGAGAAAGCCCTAGGTCCCTGCCTCATTTTGACGGAATGCCTCACATCCCGCTGACACCTCGAGAGGCACGCGGAGTTCATTGCTTCAAAAGGTGACGATGCCTGACTCCTCTTGAATACTGATAGGAATCCCAAAATCCCTGTGGCTACTGGAAAGGGTCCTTGGGTGCCCTGCCTCACCTCGAGAAGCGTCCCTTTGGCCCTGCCAAGCCTCGAAGAGATTCCTGAGGTGTCCCTCGTTACTAGACAGGAGTCCTGACGTCACTGAAGAATCTCGTGTTTTGAAGGGCCATCCCCGCCGTAAGTCGAGAACATACCCCAGGTCCCCGCCGCAACTCGAGAAAAACCATGAGACTTCCCCCTAGAGGCGAGATGAGGCCCCATTCCCCTGCAGTGCATGCAGAGCTATTCCGTGACCCCATTCAAACAAGTCAGGAGCTTCGACTTGCTTAATGGATCTCGAGACAGTCCCCAAGAACACTGTCACCAGTCTAGACGGACCCTGAGGTCACCCCAGCAAAGCAAAGCAGCTCCATGTGCCCCAAATCAACTCGAGATGAGGCCCGATTCCCCTGCATTGACTCCAGAGCCATTCCCCGTTCCCCATTCAACACGACCGGTGGCTCGACTTCCTTCAGGCAACTCCAGAGATGCCCCGAGAACACTGTCCCAAGTCTAGAGGAACACCAACTTCAGCACAGCAACTCGAGGAATGCTCCGTGTACCCCAAATCGTCTCGAGATGCGAGCTGATTCCCTGGCTTAGGCTCAAGACGTATGCCAACTTCCCAGAAGCACCTCAGGAGGAGGCTTCTCTCAGCAATAGGTATGTGGGAGGGACCCCGAGTTTGCTGCCTCAAGGGGAATATACAGCGAGAAGCCCTAACTTGAAAGGAGGCCGGATTTCCTTGCAGTGGCTGGAATACAGGCTCGTCTTTCATCTCACAACATGAAGGGATGTCTGAATCCCCTGTGGAGACCTTAGAGAAAGCCCTAGGTCCCTGCCTCATTTTGACGGAATGCCTCACATCCCGCTGACACCTCGAGAGGCACGCGGAGTTCATTGCTTCAAAAGGTGACGATGCCTGACTCCTCTTGAATACTGATAGGAATCCCAAAATCCCTGTGGCTACTGGAAAGGGTCCTTGGGTGCCCTGCCTCACCTCGAGAAGCGTCCCTTTTGCCCTGCCAAGCCTCGAAGAGATTCCTGAGGTGTCCCTCGTTACTAGACAGGAGTCCTGACGTCACTGAAGAAACTCGTGTTTTGAAGGGCCATCCCCGCCGTAAGTCGAGAACATACCGCAGGTCCCCGCAGCAACTCGAAAAAAACCATGAGACTTCCCCCTAGAGGCGAGATGAGGCCCCATTCCCCTGCAGTGCATGCAGAGCTATTCCGTGACCCCATTCAAACAAGTCAGGAGCTTCGACTTGCTTAATGGATCTCGAGACAGTCCCCAAGAACACTGTCACCAGTCTAGACGGACCCTGAGGTCACCCCAGCAACGCAAAGCAGCTCCATGTGCCCCAAATCAACTCGAGATGAGGCCCGATTCCCCTGCATTGACTCCAGAGCCATTCCCCGTTCCCCATTCAACACGACCGGTGGCTCGACTTCCTTCAGGCAACTCCAGAGATGCCCCGAGAACACTGTCCCAAGTCTAGAGGAACACCAACTTCAGCACAGCAACTCGAGGAATGCTCCGTGTACCCCAAATCGTCTCGAGATGCGAGCTGATTCCCTGGCTTAGGCTCAAGACGTATGCCAACTTCCCAGAAGCACCTCAGGAGGAGGCTTCTCTCAGCAATAGGTATGTGGGAGGGACCCCGAGTTTGCTGCCTCAAGGGGAATATACAGCGAGAAGCCCTAACTTGAAAGGAGGCCGGATTTCCTTGCAGTGGCTTGAGTACAGGCTCGTCTTTCATCTCACAACATGAAGGGATGTCTGAATCCCCTGTGGAGACCTTAGAGAAAGCCCTAGGTCCCTGCCTCATTTTGATGGAATGCCTCACATCCCGCTGACACCTCGAGAGGCACGCGGAGTTCATTGCTTCAAAAGGTGACGATGCCTGACTCCTCTTGAATACTGATAGGAATCCAAAAATCCCTGTGGCTACTGAAAGGGTCCTTGGGTGCCCTGCCTCCCCTCGAGAAGCGTCCCTTTTGCCCTGCCAAGCCTCGAAGAGATTCCTGAGGTGTCCCTCGTTACCAGACAGGAGTCCTGACGTCACTGAAGAAACTCGTGTTTTGAAGGGCCATCCCCGCCGTAAGTCGAGAACATACCCCAGGTCCCCGCCGCAACTCGAGAAAAACCATGAGACTTCCCCCTAGAGGCGAGATGAGGCCCCATTCCCCTGCAGTGCATGCAGAGCTATTCCGTGACCCCATTCAAGCACGTCAGGAGCTTCGACTTGCTTAATGGATCTCGAGACAGTCCACAAGAACACTGTCACCAGTCTAGACGGACCCTGAGGTCACCCCAGCAACGCAAAGCAGCTCCATGTGCCCCAAATCAACTCGAGATGAGGCCCGATTCCCCTGCATTGACTCCAGAGCCATTCCCCGTTCCCCATTCAACACGACCGGTGGCTCGACTTCCTTCAGGCAACTCCAGAGATGCCCCGAGAACACTGTCCCAAGTCTAGAGGAACACCAACTTCAGCACAGGAACTCGAGGAATGCTCCGTGTACCCCAAATCGTCTCGAGATGCGAGCTGATTCCCTGGCTTAGGCTCAAGACGTATGCCAACTTCCCAGAAGCACCTCAGGAGGAGGCTTCTCTCAGCAATAGGTATGTGGGAGGGACCCCGAGTTTGCTGCCTCAAGGGGAGTATACAGCGAGAAGCCCTAACTTGAAAGGTGGCCGGATTTCCTTGCAGTGGCTGGAATACAGGCTCGTCTTTCATCTCACAACATGAAGGGATGTCTGAATCCCCTGTGGAGACCTTAGAGAAAGCCCTAGGTCCCTGCCTCATTTTGACGGAATGCCTCACATCCCGCTGACACCTCGAGAGGCACGCGGAGTTCATTGCTTCAAAAGGTGACGATGCCTGACTCCTCTTGAATACTGATAGGAATCCCAAAATCCCTGTGGCTACTGGAAAGGGTCCTTGGGTGCCCTGCCTCACCTCGAGAAGCGTCCCTTTTGCCCTGCCAAGCGTCGAAGAGATTCCTGAGGTGTCCCTCGTTACTAGACAGGAGTCCTGACGTCACTGAAGAATCTCGTGTTTTGAAGGGCCATCCCCGCCGTAAGTCGAGAACATACCCCAGGTCCCCGCCGCAACTCGAGAAAAACCATGAGACTTCCCCCTAGAGGCGAGATGAGGACCCATTCCCCTGCAGTGCATGCAGAGCTATTCCGTGACCCCATTCAAACAAGTCAGGAGCTTCGACTTGCTTAATGGATCTCGAGACAGTCCCCAAGAACACTGTCACCAGTCTAGACGGACCCTGAGGTCACCCCAGCAACGCAAAGCAGCTCCATGTGCCCCAAATCAACTCGAGATGAGGCCCGATTCCCCTGCATTGACTCCAGAGCCATTCCCCGTTCCCCATTCAACAAGACCGGTGGCTCGACTTCCTTCAGGCAACTCCAGAGATGCCCCGAGAACACTGTCCCAAGTCTAGAGGAACACCAACTTCAGCACAGCAACTCGAGGAATGCTCCGTGTACCCCAAATCGTCTCGAGATGCGAGCTGATTCCCTGGCTTAGGCTCAAGACGTATGCCAACTTCCCAGAAGCACCTCAGGAGGAGGCTTCTCTCAGCAATAGGTATGTGGGAGGGACCCCGAGTTTGCTGCCTCAAGGGGAATATACAGCGAGAAGCCCTAACTTGAAAGGAGGCCGGATTTCCTTGCAGTGGCTGGAATACAGGCTCGTCTTTCATCTCACAACATGAAGGGATGTCTGAATCCCCTGTGGAGACCTTAGAGAAAGCCCTAGGTCCCTGCCTCATTTTGACGGAATGCCTCACATCCCGCTGACACCTCGAGAGGCACGCGGAGTTCATTGCTTCAAAAGGTGACGATGCCTGACTTCTCTTGAATACTGATAGGAATCCCAAAATCCCTGTGGCTACTGGAAAGGGTCCTTGGGTGCCCTGCCTCACCTCGAGAAGCGTCCCTTTTGCCCTGCCAAGCGTCGAAGAGATTCCTGAGGTGTCCCTCGTTACCAGACAGGAGTCCTGACGTCACTGAAGAAACTCGTGTTTTGAAGGGCCATCCCCGCCGTAAGTCGAGAACATAACCCAGGTCCCCGCCGCAACTCGAGAAAAACCATGAGACTTCCCCCTAGAGGCGAGATGAGGCCCCATTCCCCTGCAGTGCATGCAGAGCTATTCCGTGACCCCATTCAAGCACGTCAGGAGCTTCGACTTGCTTAATGGATCTCGAGACAGTCCCCAAGAACACTGTCACCAGTCTAGACGGACCCTGAGGTCACCCCAGCAACGCAAAGCAGCTCCATGTGCCCCAAATCAACTCGAGATGAGGCCCGATTCCCCTGCATTGACTCCAGAGCCATTCCCCGTTCCCCATTCAACACGACCGGTGGCTCGACTTCCTTCAGGCAACTCCAGAGATGCCCCGAGAACACTGTCCCAAGTCTAGAGGAACACCAACTTCAGCACAGCAACTCGAGGAATGCTCCGTGTACCCCAAATCGTCTCGAGATGCGAGCTGATTCCCTGGCTTAGGCTCAAGACGTATGCCAACTTCCCAGAAGCACCTCAGGAGGAGGCTTCTCTCAGCAATAGGTATGTGGGAGGGACCCCGAGTTTGCTGCCTCAAGGGGAATATACAGCGAGAAGCCCTAACTTGAAAGGAGGCCGGATTTCCTTGCAGTGGCTGGAATACAGGCTCGTCTTTCATCTCACAACATGAAGGGATGTCTGAATCCCCTGTGGAGACCTTAGAGAAAGCCCTAGGTCCCTGCCTCATTTTGACGGAATGCCTCACATCCCGCTGACACCTCGAGAGGCACGCGGAGTTCATTGCTTCAAAAGGTGACGATGCCTGACTCCTCTTGAATACTGATAGGAATCCCAAAATCCCTGTGGCTACTGGAAAGGGTCCTTGGGTGCCCTGCCTCACCTCGAGAAGCGTCCCTTTTGCCCTGCCAAGCGTCGAAGAGATTCCTGAGGTGTCCCTCGTTACTAGACAGGAGTCCTGACGTCACTGAAGAATCTCGTGTTTTGAAGGGCCATCCCCGCCGTAAGTCGAGAACATACCCCAGGTCCCCGCCGCAACTCGAGAAAAACCATGAGACTTCCCCCTAGAGGCGAGATGAGGCCCCATTCCCCTGCAGTGCATGCAGAGCTATTCCGTGACCCCATTCAAACAAGTCAGGAGCTTCGACTTGCTTAATGGATCTCGAGACAGTCCCCAAGAACACTGTCACCAGTCTAGACGGACCCTGAGGTCACCCCAGCAACGCAAAGCAGCTCCATGTGCCCCAAATCAACTCGAGATGAGGCCCGATTCCCCTGCATTGACTCCAGAGCCATTCCCCGTTCCCCATTCAACACGACCGGTGGCTCGACTTCTTTCAGGCAACTCCAGAGATGCCCCGAGAACACTGTCCCAAGTCTAGAGGAACACCAACTTCAGCACAGCAACTCGAGGAATGCTCCGTGTACCCCAAATCGTCTCAAGATGCGAGCTGATTCCCTGGCTTAGGCTCAAGACGTATGCCAACTTCCCAGAAGCACCTCAGGAGGAGGCTTCTCTCAGCAATAGGTATGTGGGATGGACCCCGAGTTTGCTGCCTCAAGGGGAATATACAGCGAGAAGCCCTAACTTGAAAGGAGGCCGGATTTCCTTGCAGTGGCTGGAATACAGGCTCGTCTTTCATCTCACAACATGAAGGGATGTCTGAATCCCCTGTGGAGACCTTAGAGAAAGCCCTAGGTCCCTGCCTCATTTTGACGGAATGCCTCACATCCCGCTGACACCTCGAGAGGCACGCGGAGTTCATTGCTTCAAAAGGTGACGATGCCTGACTCCTCTTGAATACTGATAGGAATCCCAAAATCCCTGTGGCTACTGGAAAGGGTCCTTGGGTGCCCTGCCTCACCTCGAGAAGCGTCCCTTTTGCCCTGCCAAGCGTCGACGAGATTCCTGAGGTGTCCCTCGTTACCAGACAGGAGTCCTGACGTCACTGAAGAAACTCGTGTTTTGAAGGGCCATCCCCGCCGTAAGTCGAGAACATACCCCAGGTCACCGCCGCAACTCGAGAAAAACCATGAGACTTCCCCCTAGAGGCGAGATGAGGCCCCATTCCCCTGCAGTGCATGCAGAGCTATTCCGTGACCCCATTCAAACAAGTCAGGAGCTTCGACTTGCTTAATGGATCTCGAGACAGCCCCCAAGAACACTGTCACCAGTCTAGACGGACCCTGAGGTCACCCCAGCAACGCAAAGCAGCTCCATGTGCCCCAAATCAACTCGAGATGAGGCCCGATTCCCCTGCATTGACTCCAGAGCCATTCCCCGTTCCCCATTCAACACGACCGGTGGCTCGACTTCCTTCAGGCAACTCCAGAGATGCCCCGAGAACACTGTCCCAAGTCTAGAGGAACACCAACTTCAGCACAGCAACTCGAGGAATGCTCCGTGTACCCCAAATCGTCTCGAGATGCGAGCTGATTCCCTGGCTTAGGCTCAAGACGTATGCCAACTTCCCAGAAGCACCTCAGGAGGAGGCTTCTCTCAGCAATAGGTATGTGGGAGGGACCCCGAGTTTGCTGCCTCAAGGGGAGTATACAGCGAGAAGCCCTAACTTGAAAGGTTGCCGGGATTTCCTTGCAGTGGCTGGAATACAGGCTCGTCTTTCATCTCACAACATGAAGGGATGTCTGAATCCCCTGTGGAGACCTTAGAGAAAGCCCTAGGTCCCTGCCTCATTTTGACGGAATGCCTCACATCCCGCTGACACCTCGAGAGGCACGCGGAGTTCATTGCTTCAAAAGGTGACGATGCCTGACTCCTCTTGAATACTGATAGGAATCCCAAAATCCCTGTGGCTACTGGAAAGGGTCCTTGGGTGCCCTGCCTCACCTCGAGAAGCGTCCCTTTTGCCCTGCCAAGCGTCGAAGAGATTCCTGAGGTGTCCCTCGTTACTAGACAGGAGTCCTGACGTCACTGAAGAATCTCGTGTTTTGAAGGGCCATCCCCGCCGTAAGTCGAGAACATACCCCAGGTCCCCGCCGCAACTCGAGAAAAACCATGAGACTTCCCCCTAGAGGCGAGATGAGGCCCCATTCCCCTGCAGTGCATGCAGAGCTATTCCGTGACCCCATTCAAACAAGTCAGGAGCTTCGACTTGCTTAATGGATCTCGAGACAGTCCCCAAGAACACTGTCACCAGTCTAGACGGACCCTGAGGTCACCCCAGCAACGCAAAGCAGCTCCATGTGCCCCAAATCAACTCGAGATGAGGCCCGATTCCCCTGCATTGACTCCAGAGCCATTCCCCGTTCCCCATTCAACACGACCGGTGGCTCGACTTCCTTCAGGCAACTCCAGAGATGCCCCGAGAACACTGTCCCAAGTCTAGAGGAACACCAACTTCAGCACAGCAACTCGAGGAATGCTCCGTGTACCCCAAATCGTCTCGAGATGCGAGCTGATTCCCTGGCTTAGGCTCAAGACGTATGCCAACTTCCCAGAAGCACCTCAGGAGGAGGCTTCTCTCAGCAATAGGTATGTGGGAGGGACCCCGAGTTTGCTGCCTCAAGGGGAATATACAGCGAGAAGCCCTAACTTGAAAGGAGGCCGGATTTCCTTGCAGTGGCTGGAATACAGGCTCGTCTTTCATCTCACAACATGAAGGGATGTCTGAATCCCCTGTGGAGACCTTAGAGAAAGCCCTAGGTCCCTGCCTCATTTTGACGGAATGCCTCACATCCCGCTGACACCTCGAGAGGCACGCGGAGTTCATTGCTTCAAAAGGTGACGATGCCTGACTCCTCTTGAATACTGATAGGAATCCCAAAATCCCTGTGGCTACTGGAAAGGGTCCTTGGGTGCCCTGCCTCACCTCGAGAAGCGTCCCTTTTGCCCTGCCAAGCCTCGAAGAGATTCCTGAGGTGTCCCTCGTTACCAGACAGGAGTCCTGATGTCACTGAAGAAACTCGTGTTTTGAAGGGCCATCCCCGCCGTAAGTCGAGAACATAACCCAGGTCCCCGCCGCAACTCGAGAAAAACCATGAGACTTCCCCCTAGAGGCGAGATGAGGCCCCATTCCCCTGCAGTGCATGCAGAGCTATTCCGTGACCCCATTCAAGCACGTCAGGAGCTTCGACTTGCTTAATGGATCTCGAGACAGTCCCCAAGAACACTGTCACCAGTCTAGACGGACCCTGAGGTCACCCCAGCAACGCAAAGCAGCTCCATGTGCCCCAAATCAACTCGAGATGAGGCCCGATTCCCCTGCATTGACTCCAGAGCCATTCCCCGTTCCCCATTCAACACGACCGGTGGCTCGACTTCCTTCAGGCAACTCCAGAGATGCCCCGAGAACACTGTCCCAAGTCTAGAGGAACACCAACTTCAGCACAGCAACTCGAGGAATGCTCCGTGTACCCCAAATCGTCTCGAGATGCGAGCTGATTCCCTGGCTTAGGCTCAAGACGTATGCCAACTTCCCAGAAGCACCTCAGGAGGAGGCTTCTCTCAGCAATAGGTATGTGGGAGGGACCCCGAGTTTGCTGCCTCAAGGGGAATATACAGCGAGAAGCCCTAACTTGAAAGGAGGCCGGATTTCCTTGCAGTGGCTGGAATACAGGCTCGTCTTTCATCTCACAACATGAAGGGATGTCTGAATCCCCTGTGGAGACCTTAGAGAAAGCCCTAGGTCCCTGCCTCATTTTGACGGAATGCCTCACATCCCGCTGACACCTCGAGAGGCACGCGGAGTTCATTGCTTCAAAAGGTGACGATGCCTGACTCCTCTTGAATACTGATAGGAATCCCAAAATCCCTGTGGCTACTGGAAAGGGTCCTTGGGTGCCCTGCCTCACCTCGAGAAGCGTCCCTTTGGCCCTGCCAAGCCTCGAAGAGATTCCTGAGGTGTCCCTCGTTACTAGACAGGAGTCCTGACGTCACTGAAGAATCTCGTGTTTTGAAGGGCCATCCCCGCCGTAAGTGGAGAACATAGCCCAGGTCCCCGCCGCAACTCGAGAAAAACCATGAGACTTCCCCCTAGAGGCGAGATGAGGCCCCATTCCCCTGCAGTGCATGCAGAGCTATTCCGTGACCCCATTCAAACAAGTCAGGAGCTTCGACTTGCTTAATGGATCTCGAGACAGTCCCCAAGAACACTGTCACCAGTCTAGACGGACCCTGAGGTCACCCCAGCAAAGCAAAGCAGCTCCATGTGCCCCAAATCAACTCGAGATGAGGCCCGATTCCCCTGCATTGACTCCAGAGCCATTCCCCGTTCCCCATTCAACACGACCGGTGGCTCGACTTCCTTCAGGCAACTCCAGAGATGCCCCGAGAACACTGTCCCAAGTCTAGAGGAACACCAACTTCAGCACAGCAACTCGAGGAATGCTCCGTGTACCCCAAATCGTCTCGAGATGCGAGCTGATTCCCTGGCTTAGGCTCAAGACGTATGCCAACTTCCCAGAAGCACCTCAGGAGGAGGCTTCTCTCAGCAATAGGTATGTGGGAGGGACCCCGAGTTTGCTGCCTCAAGGGGAATATACAGCGAGAAGCCCTAACTTGAAAGGAGGCCGGATTTCCTTGCAGTGGCTGGAATACAGGCTCGTCTTTCATCTCACAACATGAAGGGATGTCTGAATCCCCTGTGGAGACCTTAGAGAAAGCCCTAGGTCCCTGCCTCATTTTGACGGAATGCCTCACATCCCGCTGACACCTCGAGAGGCACGCGGAGTTCATTGCTTCAAAAGGTGACGATGCCTGACTCCTCTTGAATACTGATAGGAATCCCAAAATCCCTGTGGCTACTGGAAAGGGTCCTTGGGTGCCCTGCCTCACCTCGAGAAGCGTCCCTTTTGCCCTGCCAAGCCTCGAAGAGATTCCTGAGGTGTCCCTCGTTACTAGACAGGAGTCCTGACGTCACTGAAGAAACTCGTGTTTTGAAGGGCCATCCCCGCCGTAAGTCGAGAACATACCGCAGGTCCCCGCAGCAACTCGAAAAAAACCATGAGACTTCCCCCTAGAGGCGAGATGAGGCCCCATTCCCCTGCAGTGCATGCAGAGCTATTCCGTGACCCCATTCAAACAAGTCAGGAGCTTCGACTTGCTTAATGGATCTCGAGACAGTCCCCAAGAACACTGTCACCAGTCTAGACGGACCCTGAGGTCACCCCAGCAACGCAAAGCAGCTCCATGTGCCCCAAATCAACTCGAGATGAGGCCCGATTCCCCTGCATTGACTCCAGAGCCATTCCCCGTTCCCCATTCAACACGACCGGTGGCTCGACTTCCTTCAGGCAACTCCAGAGATGCCCCGAGAACACTGTCCCAAGTCTAGAGGAACACCAACTTCAGCACAGCAACTCGAGGAATGCTCCGTGTACCCCAAATCGTCTCGAGATGCGAGCTGATTCCCTGGCTTAGGCTCAAGACGTATGCCAACTTCCCAGAAGCACCTCAGGAGGAGGCTTCTCTCAGCAATAGGTATGTGGGAGGGACCCCGAGTTTGCTGCCTCAAGGGGAATATACAGCGAGAAGCCCTAACTTGAAAGGAGGCCGGATTTCCTTGCAGTGGCTTGAGTACAGGCTCGTCTTTCATCTCACAACATGAAGGGATGTCTGAATCCCCTGTGGAGACCTTAGAGAAAGCCCTAGGTCCCTGCCTCATTTTGATGGAATGCCTCACATCCCGCTGACACCTCGAGAGGCACGCGGAGTTCATTGCTTCAAAAGGTGACGATGCCTGACTCCTCTTGAATACTGATAGGAATCCAAAAATCCCTGTGGCTACTGAAAGGGTCCTTGGGTGCCCTGCCTCACCTCGAGAAGCGTCCCTTTTGCCCTGCCAAGCCTCGAAGAGATTCCTGAGGTGTCCCTCGTTACCAGACAGGAGTCCTGACGTCACTGAAGAAACTCGTGTTTTGAAGGGCCATCCCCGCCGTAAGTCGAGAACATACCCCAGGTCCCCGCCGCAACTCGAGAAAAACCATGAGACTTCCCCCTAGAGGCGAGATGAGGCCCCATTCCCCTGCAGTGCATGCAGCGCTATTCCGTGACCCCATTCAAGCACGTCAGGAGCTTCGACTTGCTTAATGGATCTCGAGACAGTCCACAAGAACACTGTCACCAGTCTAGACGGACCCTGAGGTCACCCCAGCAACGCAAAGCAGCTCCATGTGCCCCAAATCAACTCGAGATGAGGCCCGATTCCCCTGCATTGACTCCAGAGCCATTCCCCGTTCCCCATTCAACACGACCGGTGGCTCGACTTCCTTCAGGCAACTCCAGAGATGCCCCGAGAACACTGTCCCAAGTCTAGAGGAACACCAACTTCAGCACAGCAACTCGAGGAATGCTCCGTGTACCCCAAATCGTCTCGAGATGCGAGCTGATTCCCTGGCTTAGGCTCAAGACGTATGCCAACTTCCCAGAAGCACCTCAGGAGGAGGCTTCTCTCAGCAATAGGTATGTGGGAGGGACCCCGAGTTTGCTGCCTCAAGGGGAATATACAGCGAGAAGCCCTAACTTGAAAGGAGGCCGGATTTCCTTGCAGTGGCTGGAATACAGGCTCGTCTTTCATCTCACAACATGAAGGGATGTCTGAATCCCCTGTGGAGACCTTAGAGAAAGCCCTAGGTCCCTGCCTCATTTTGACGGAATGCCTCACATCCCGCTGACACCTCGAGAGGCACGCGGAGTTCATTGCTTCAAAAGGTGACGATGCCTGACTCCTCTTGAATACTGATAGGAATCCCAAAATCCCTGTGGCTACTGGAAAGGGTCCTTGGGTGCCCTGCCTCACCTCGAGAAGCGTCCCTTTTGCCCTGCCAAGCGTCGAAGAGATTCCTGAGGTGTCCCTCGTTACTAGACAGAAGTCCTGACGTCACTGAAGAATCTCGTGTTTTGAAGGGCCATCCCCGCCGTAAGTCGAGAACATACCCCAGGTCCCCGCCGCAACTCGAGAAAAACCATGAGACTTCCCCCTAGAGGCGAGATGAGGCCCCATTCCCCTGCAGTGCATGCAGAGCTATTCCGTGACCCCATTCAAACAAGTCAGGAGCTTCGACTTGCTTAATGGATCTCGAGACAGTCCCCAAGAACACTGTCACCAGTCTAGACGGACCCTGAGGTCACCCCAGCAACGCAAAGCAGCTCCATGTGCCCCAAATCAACTCGAGATGAGGCCCGATTCCCCTGCATTGACTCCAGAGCCATTCCCCGTTCCCCATTCAACACGACCGGTGGCTCGACTTCTTTCAGGCAACTCCAGAGATGCCCCGAGAACACTGTCCCAAGTCTAGAGGAACACCAACTTCAGCACAGCAACTCGAGGAATGCTCCGTGTACCCCAAATCGTCTCGAGATGCGAGCTGATTCCCTGGCTTAGGCTCAAGACGTATGCCAACTTCCCAGAAGCACCTCAGGAGGAGGCTTCTCTCAGCAATAGGTATGTGGGAGGGACCCCGAGTTTGCTGCCTCAAGGGGAATATACAGCGAGAAGCCCTAACTTGAAAGGAGGCCGGATTTCCTTGCAGTGGCTGGAATACAGGCTCGTCTTTCATCTCACAACATGAAGGGATGTCTGAATCCCCTGTGGAGACCTTAGAGAAAGCCCTAGGTCCCTGCCTCATTTTGACGGAATGCCTCACATCCCGCTGACACCTCGAGAGGCACGCGGAGTTCATTGCTTCAAAAGGTGACGATGCCTGACTCCTCTTGAATACTGATAGGAATCCCAAAATCCCTGTGGCTACTGGAAAGGGTCCTTGGGTGCCCTGCCTCACCTCGAGAAGCGTCCCTTTTGCCCTGCCAAGCGTCGACGAGATTCCTGAGGTGTCCCTCGTTACCAGACAGGAGTCCTGACGTCACTGAAGAAACTCGTGTTTTGAAGGGCCATCCCCGCCGTAAGTCGAGAACATACCCCAGGTCACCGCCGCAACTCGAGAAAAACCATGAGACTTCCCCCTAGAGGCGAGATGAGGCCCCATTCCCCTGCAGTGCATGCAGAGCTATTCCGTGACCCCATTCAAGCACGTCAGGAGCTTCGACTTGCTTAATGGATCTCGAGACAGTCCACAAGAACACTGTCACCAGTCTAGACGGACCCTGAGGTCACCCCAGCAACGCAAAGCAGCTCCATGTGCCCCAAATCAACTCGAGATGAGGCCCGATTCCCCTGCATTGACTCCAGAGCCATTCCCCGTTCCCCATTCAACACGACCGGTGGCTCGACTTCCTTCAGGCAACTCCAGAGATGCCCCGAGAACACTGTCCCAAGTCTAGAGGAACACCAACTTCAGCACAGCAACTCGAGGAATGCTCCGTGTACCCCAAATCGTCTCGAGATGCGAGCTGATTCCCTGGCTTAGGCTCAAGACGTATGCCAACTTCCCAGAAGCACCTCAGGAGGAGGCTTCTCTCAGCAATAGGTATGTGGGAGGGACCCCGAGTTTGCTGCCTCAAGGGGAGTATACAGCGAGAAGCCCTAACTTGAAAGGTGGCCGGATTTCCTTGCAGTGGCTGGAATACAGGCTCGTCTTTCATCTCACAACATGAAGGGATGTCTGAATCCCCTGTGGAGACCTTAGAGAAAGCCCTAGGTCCCTGCCTCATTTTGACGGAATGCCTCACATCCCGCTGACACCTCGAGAGGCACGCGGAGTTCATTGCTTCAAAAGGTGACGATGCCTGACTCCTCTTGAATACTGATAGGAATCCCAAAATCCCTGTGGCTACTGGAAAGGGTCCTTGGGTGCCCTGCCTCACCTCGAGAAGCGTCCCTTTTGCCCTGCCAAGCGTCGAAGAGATTCCTGAGGTGTCCCTCGTTACTAGACAGGAGTCCTGACGTCACTGAAGAATCTCGTGTTTTGAAGGGCCATCCCCGCCGTAAGTCGAGAACATACCCCAGGTCCCCGCCGCAACTCGAGAAAAACCATGAGACTTCCCCCTAGAGGCGAGATGAGGCCCCATTCCCCTGCAGTGCATGCAGAGCTATTCCGTGACCCCATTCAAACAAGTCAGGAGCTTCGACTTGCTTAATGGATCTCGAGACAGTCCCCAAGAACACTGTCACCAGTCTAGACGGACCCTGAGGTCACCCCAGCAACGCAAAGCAGCTCCATGTGCCCCAAATCAACTCGAGATGAGGCCCGATTCCCCTGCATTGACTCCAGAGCCATTCCCCGTTCCCCATTCAACACGACCGGTGGCTCGACTTCCTTCAGGCAACTCCAGAGATGCCCCGAGAACACTGTCCCAAGTCTAGAGGAACACCAACTTCAGCACAGCAACTCGAGGAATGCTCCGTGTACCCCAAATCGTCTCGAGATGCGAGCTGATTCCCTGGCTTAGGCTCAAGACGTATGCCAACTTCCCAGAAGCACCTCAGGAGGAGGCTTCTCTCAGCAATAGGTATGTGGGAGGGACCCCGAGTTTGCTGCCTCAAGGGGAATATACAGCGAGAAGCCCTAACTTGAAAGGAGGCCGGATTTCCTTGCAGTGGCTGGAATACAGGCTCGTCTTTCATCTCACAACATGAAGGGATGTCTGAATCCCCTGTGGAGACCTTAGAGAAAGCCCTAGGTCCCTGCCTCATTTTGACGGAATGCCTCACATCCCGCTGACACCTCGAGAGGCACGCGGAGTTCATTGCTTCAAAAGGTGACGATGCCTGACTCCTCTTGAATACTGATAGGAATCCCAAAATCCCTGTGGCTACTGGAAAGGGTCCTTGGGTGCCCTGCCTCACCTCGAGAAGCGTCCCTTTTGCCCTGCCAAGCGTCGAAGAGATTCCTGAGGTGTCCCTCGTTACCAGACAGGAGTCCTGACGTCACTGAAGAAACTCGTGTTTTGAAGGGCCATCCCCGCCGTAAGTCGAGAACATAACCCAGGTCCCCGCCGCAACTCGAGAAAAACCATGAGACTTCCCCCTAGAGGCGAGATGAGGCCCCATTCCCCTGCAGTGCATGCAGAGCTATTCCGTGACCCCATTCAAGCACGTCAGGAGCTTCGACTTGCTTAATGGATCTCGAGACAGTCCCCAAGAACACTGTCACCAGTCTAGACGGACCCTGAGGTCACCCCAGCAACGCAAAGCAGCTCCATGTGCCCCAAATCAACTCGAGATGAGGCCCGATTCCCCTGCATTGACTCCAGAGCCATTCCCCGTTCCCCATTCAACACGACCGGTGGCTCGACTTCCTTCAGGCAACTCCAGAGATGCCCCGAGAACACTGTCCCAAGTCTAGAGGAACACCAACTTCAGCACAGCAACTCGAGGAATGCTCCGTGTACCCCAAATCGTCTCGAGATGCGAGCTGATTCCCTGGCTTAGGCTCAAGACGTATGCCAACTTCCCAGAAGCACCTCAGGAGGAGGCTTCTCTCAGCAATAGGTATGTGGGAGGGACCCCGAGTTTGCTGCCTCAAGGGGAATATACAGCGAGAAGCCCTAACTTGAAAGGAGGCCGGATTTCCTTGCAGTGGCTGGAATACAGGCTCGTCTTTCATCTCACAACATGAAGGGATGTCTGAATCCCCTGTGGAGACCTTAGAGAAAGCCCTAGGTCCCTGCCTCATTTTGACGGAATGCCTCACATCCCGCTGACACCTCGAGAGGCACGCGGAGTTCATTGCTTCAAAAGGTGACGATGCCTGACTCCTCTTGAATACTGATAGGAATCCCAAAATCCCTGTGGCTACTGGAAAGGGTCCTTGGGTGCCCTGCCTCACCTCGAGAAGCGTCCCTTTTGCCCTGCCAAGCGTCGAAGAGATTCCTGAGGTGTCCCTCGTTACTAGACAGGAGTCCTGACGTCACTGAAGAATCTCGTGTTTTGAAGGGCCATCCCCGCCGTAAGTCGAGAACATACCCCAGGTCCCCGCCGCAACTCGAGAAAAACCATGAGACTTCCCCCTAGAGGCGAGATGAGGCCCCATTCCCCTGCAGTGCATGCAGAGCTATTCCGTGACCCCATTCAAACAAGTCAGGAGCTTCGACTTGCTTAATGGATCTCGAGACAGTCCCCAAGAACACTGTCACCAGTCTAGACGGACCCTGAGGTCACCCCAGCAACGCAAAGCAGCTCCATGTGCCCCAAATCAACTCGAGATGAGGCCCGATTCCCCTGCATTGACTCCAGAGCCATTCCCCGTTCCCCATTCAACACGACCGGTGGCTCGACTTCTTTCAGGCAACTCCAGAGATGCCCCGAGAACACTGTCCCAAGTCTAGAGGAACACCAACTTCAGCACAGCAACTCGAGGAATGCTCCGTGTACCCCAAATCGTCTCGAGATGCGAGCTGATTCCCTGGCTTAGGCTCAAGACGTATGCCAACTTCCCAGAAGCACCTCAGGAGGAGGCTTCTCTCAGCAATAGGTATGTGGGATGGACCCCGAGTTTGCTGCCTCAAGGGGAATATACAGCGAGAAGCCCTAACTTGAAAGGAGGCCGGATTTCCTTGCAGTGGCTGGAATACAGGCTCGTCTTTCATCTCACAACATGAAGGGATGTCTGAATCCCCTGTGGAGACCTTAGAGAAAGCCCTAGGTCCCTGCCTCATTTTGACGGAATGCCTCACATCCCGCTGACACCTCAAGAGGCACGCGGAGTTCATTGCTTCAAAAGGTGACGATGCCTGACTCCTCTTGAATACTGATAGGAATCCCAAAATCCCTGTGGCTACTGGAAAGGGTCCTTGGGTGCCCTGCCTCACCTCGAGAAGCGTCCCTTTTGCCCTGCCAAGCGTCGACGAGATTCCTGAGGTGTCCCTCGTTACCAGACAGGAGTCCTGACGTCACTGAAGAAACTCGTGTTTTGAAGGGCCATCCCCGCCGTAAGTCGAGAACATACCCCAGGTCACCGCCGCAACTCGAGAAAAACCATGAGACTTCCCCCTAGAGGCGAGATGAGGCCCCATTCCCCTGCAGTGCATGCAGAGCTATTCCGTGACCCCATTCAAGCACGTCAGGAGCTTCGACTTGCTTAATGGATCTCGAGACAGTCCACAAGAACACTGTCACCAGTCTAGACGGACCCTGAGGTCACCCCAGCAACGCAAAGCAGCTCCATGTGCCCCAAATCAACTCGAGATGAGGCCCGATTCCCCTGCATTGACTCCAGAGCCATTCCCCGTTCCCCATTCAACACGACCGGTGGCTCGACTTCCTTCAGGCAACTCCAGAGATGCCCCGAGAACACTGTCCCAAGTCTAGAGGAACACCAACTTCAGCACAGCAACTCGAGGAATGCTCCGTGTACCCCAAATCGTCTCGAGATGCGAGCTGATTCCCTGGCTTAGGCTCAAGACGTATGCCAACTTCCCAGAAGCACCTCAGGAGGAGGCTTCTCTCAGCAATAGGTATGTGGGAGGGACCCCGAGTTTGCTTCCTCAAGGGGAGTATACAGCGAGAAGCCCTAACTTGAAAGGTGGCCGGATTTCCTTGCAGTGGCTGGAATACAGGCTCGTCTTTCATCTCACAACATGAAGGGATGTCTGAATCCCCTGTGGAGACCTTAGAGAAAGCCCTAGGTCCCTGCCTCATTTTGACGGAATGCCTCACATCCCGCTGACACCTCGAGAGGCACGCGGAGTTCATTGCTTCAAAAGGTGACGATGCCTGACTCCTCTTGAATACTGATAGGAATCCCAAAATCCCTGTGGCTACTGGAAAGGGTCCTTGGGTGCCCTGCCTCACCTCGAGAAGCGTCCCTTTTGCCCTGCCAAGCGTCGAAGAGATTCCTGAGGTGTCCCTCGTTACTAGACAGGAGTCCTGACGTCACTGAAGAATCTCGTGTTTTGAAGGGCCATCCCCGCCGTAAGTCGAGAACATACCCCAGGTCCCCGCCGCAACTCGAGAAAAACCATGAGACTTCCCCCTAGAGGCGAGATGAGGCCCCATTCCCCTGCAGTGCATGCAGAGCTATTCCGTGACCCCATTCAAACAAGTCAGGAGCTTCGACTTGGTTAATGGATCTCGAGACAGTCCCCAAGAACACTGTCACCAGTCTAGACGGACCCTGAGGTCACCCCAGCAACGCAAAGCAGCTCCATGTGCCCCAAATCAACTCGAGATGAGGCCCGATTCCCCTGCATTGACTCCAGAGCCATTCCCCGTTCCCCATTCAACACGACCGGTGGCTCGACTTCCTTCAGGCAACTCCAGAGATGCCCCGAGAACACTGTCCCAAGTCTAGAGGAACACCAACTTCAGCACAGCAACTCGAGGAATGCTCCGTGTACCCCAAATCGTCTCGAGATGCGAGCTGATTCCCTGGCTTAGGCTCAAGACGTATGCCAACTTCCCAGAAGCACCTCAGGAGGAGGCTTCTCTCAGCAATAGGTATGTGGGAGGGACCCCGAGTTTGCTGCCTCAAGGGGAATATACAGCGAGAAGCCCTAACTTGAAAGGAGGCCGGATTTCCTTGCAGTGGCTGGAATACAGGCTCGTCTTTCATCTCACAACATGAAGGGATGTCTGAATCCCCTGTGGAGACCTTAGAGAAAGCCCTAGGTCCCTGCCTCATTTTGACGGAATGCCTCACATCCCGCTGACACCTCGAGAGGCACGCGGAGTTCATTGCTTCAAAAGGTGACGATGCCTGACTCCTCTTGAATACTGATAGGAATCCCAAAATCCCTTTGGCTACTGGAAAGGGTCCTTGGGTGCCCTGCCTCACCTCGAGAAGCGTCCCTTTTGCCCTGCCAAGCGTCGAAGAGATTCCTGAGGTGTCCCTCGTTACCAGACAGGAGTCCTGACGTCACTGAAGAAACTCGTGTTTTGAAGGGCCATCCCCGCCGTAAGTCGAGAACATAACCCAGGTCCCCGCCGCAACTCGAGAAAAACCATGAGACTTCCCCCTAGAGGCGAGATGAGGCCCCATTCCCCTGCAGTGCATGCAGAGCTATTCCGTGACCCCATTCAAGCACGTCAGGAGCTTCGACTTGCTTAATGGATCTCGAGACAGTCCCCAAGAACACTGTCACCAGTCTAGACGGACCCTGAGGTCACCCCAGCAACGCAAAGCAGCTCCATGTGCCCCAAATCAACTCGAGATGAGGCCCGATTCCCCTGCATTGACTCCAGAGCCATTCCCCGTTCCCCATTCAACACGACCGGTGGCTCGACTTCCTTCAGGCAACTCCAGAGATGCCCCGAGAACACTGTCCCAAGTCTAGAGGAACACCAACTTCAGCACAGCAACTCGAGGAATGCTCCGTGTACCCCAAATCGTCTCGAGATGCGAGCTGATTCCCTGGCTTAGGCTCAAGACGTATGCCAACTTCCCAGAAGCACCTCAGGAGGAGGCTTCTCTCAGCAATAGGTATGTGGGAGGGACCCAGAGTTTGCTGCCTCAAGGGGAATATACAGCGAGAAGCCCTAACTTGAAAGGAGGCCGGATTTCCTTGCAGTGGCTGGAATACAGGCTCGTCTTTCATCTCACAACATGAAGGGATGTCTGAATCCCCTGTGGAGACCTTAGAGAAAGCCCTAGGTCCCTGCCTCATTTTGACGGAATGCCTCACATCCCGCTGACACCTCGAGAGGCACGCGGAGTTCATTGCTTCAAAAGGTGACGATGCCTGACTCCTCTTGAATACTGATAGGAATCCCAAAATCCCTGTGGCTACTGGAAAGGGTCCTTGGGTGCCCTGCCTCACCTCGAGAAGCGTCCCTTTGGCCCTGCCAAGCCTCGAAGAGATTCCTGAGGTGTCCCTCGTTACTAGACAGGAGTCCTGACGTCACTGAAGAATCTCGTGTTTTGAAGGGCCATCCCCGCCGTAAGTCGAGAACATACCCCAGGTCCCCGCCGCAACTCGAGAAAAACCATGAGACTTCCCCCTAGAGGCGAGATGAGGCCCCATTCCCCTGCAGTGCATGCAGAGCTATTCCGTGACCCCATTCAAACAAGTCAGGAGCTTCGACTTGCTTAATGGATCTCGAGACAGTCCCCAAGAACACTGTCACCAGTCTAGACGGACCCTGAGGTCACCCCAGCAACGCAAAGCAGCTCCATGTGCCCCAAATCAACTCGAGATGAGGCCCGATTCCCCTGCATTGACTCCAGAGCCATTCCCCGTTCCCCATTCAACACGACCGGTGGCTCGACTTCCTTCAGGCAACTCCAGAGATGCCCCGAGAACACTGTCCCAAGTCTAGAGGAACACCAACTTCAGCACAGCAACTCGAGGAATGCTCCGTGTACCCCAAATCGTCTCGAGATGCGAGCTGATTCCCTGGCTTAGGCTCAAGACGTATGCCAACTTCCCAGAAGAACCTCAGGAGGAGGCTTCTCTCAGCAATAGGTATGTGGGAGGGACCCCGAGTTTGCTGCCTCAAGGGGAATATACAGCGAGAAGCCCTAACTTGAAAGGAGGCCGGATTTCCTTGCAGTGGCTGGAATACAGGCTCGTCTTTCATCTCACAACATGAAGGGATGTCTGAATCCCCTGTGGAGACCTTAGAGAAAGCCCTAGGTCCCTGCCTCATTTTGACGGAATGCCTCACATCCCGCTGACACCTCGAGAGGCACGCGGAGTTCATTGCTTCAAAAGGTGACGATGCCTGACTCCTCTTGAATACTGATAGGAATCCCAAAATCCCTGTGGCTACTGGAAAGGGTCCTTGGGTGCCCTGCCTCACCTCGAGAAGCGTCCCTTTTGCCCTGCCAAGCGTCGAAGAGATTCCTGAGGTGTCCCTCGTTACCAGACAGGAGTCCTGACGTCACTGAAGAAACTCGTGTTTTGAAGGGCCATCCCCGCCGTAAGTCGAGAACATACCCCAGGTCCCCGCCGCAACTCGAGAAAAACCATGAGACTTCCCCCTAGAGGCGAGATGAGGCCCCATTCCCCTGCAGTGCATGCAGAGCTATTCCGTGACCCCATTCAAGCACGTCAGGAGCTTCGACTTGCTTAATGGATCTCGAGACAGTCCACAAGAACACTGTCACCAGTCTAGACGGACCCTGAGGTCACCCCAGCAACGCAAAGCAGCTCCATGTGCCCCAAATCAACTCGAGATGAGGCCCGATTCCCCTGCATTGACTCCAGAGCCATTCCCCGTTCCCCATTCAACACGACCGGTGGCTCGACTTCCTTCAGGCAACTCCAGAGATGCCCCGAGAACACTGTGCCAAGTCTAGAGGAACACCAACTTCAGCACAGCAACTCGAGGAATGCTCCGTGTACCACAAATCGTCTCGAGATGCGAGCTGATTCCCTGGCTGAGGCTCAAGACGTATGCCAACTTCCCAGAAGCACCTCAGGAGGAGGCTTCTCTCAGCAATATGTATGTGGGAGGGACCCCGAGTTTGCTGCCTCAAGGGGAATATACAGCGAGAAGCCCTAACTTGAAAGGAGGCCGGATTTCCTTGCAGTGGCTGGAATACAGGCTCGTCTTTCATCTCACAACATGAAGGGATGTCTGAATCCCCTGTGGAGACCTTAGAGAAAGCCCTAGGTCCCTGCCTCATTTTGACGGAATGCCTCACATCCCGCTGAAACCTCGAGAGGCACGCGGAGTTCATTGCTTCAAAAGGTGACGATGCCTGACTCCTCTTGAATACTGATAGGAATCCCAAAATCCCTGTGGCTACTGGAAAGGGTCCTTGGGTGCCCTGCCTCACCTCGAGAAGCGTCCCTTTTGCCCTGCCAAGCGTCGAAGAGATTCCTGAGGTGTCCCTCGTTACTAGACAGGAGTCTTGACGTCACTGAAGAATCTCGTGTTTTGAAGGGCCATCCCCGCCGTAAGTCGAGAACATACCCCAGGTCCCCGCCGCAACTCGAGAAAAACCATGAGACTTCCCCCTAGAGGCGAGATGAGGCCCCATTCCCCTGCAGTGCATGCAGAGCTATTCCGTGACCCCATTCAAACAAGTCAGGAGCTTCGACTTGCTTAATGGATCTCGAGACAGTCCCCAAGAACACTGTCACCAGTCTAGACGGACCCTGAGGTCACCCCAGCAACGCAAAGCAGCTCCATGTGCCCCAAATCAACTCGAGATGAGGCCCGATTCCCCTGCATTGACTCCAGAGCCATTCCCCGTTCCCCATTCAACACGACCGGTGGCTCGACTTCCTTCAGGCAACTCCAGAGATGCCCCGAGAACACTGTCCCAAGTCTAGAGGAACACCAACTTCAGCACAACAACTCGAGGAATGCTCCGTGTACCCCAAATCGTCTCGAGATGCGAGCTGATTCCCTGGCTTAGGCTCAAGACGTATGCCAACTTCCCAGAAGCACCTCAGGAGGAGGCTTCTCTCAGCAATAGGTATGTGGGAGGGACCCCGAGTTTGCTGCCTCAAGGGGAATATACAGCGAGAAGCCCTAACTTGAAAGGAGGCCGGATTTCCTTGCAGTGGCTGGAATACAGGCTCGTCTTTCATCTCACAACATGAAGGGATGTCTGAATCCCCTGTGGAGACCTTAGAGAAAGCCCTAGGTCCCTGCCTCATTTTGACGGAATGCCTCACATCCCGCTGACACCTCGAGAGGCACGCGGAGTTCATTGCTTCAAAAGGTGACGATGCCTGACTCCTCTTGAATACTGATAGGAATCCCAAAATCCCTGTGGCTACTGGAAAGGGTCCTTGGGTGCCCTGCCTCACCTCGAGAAGCGTCCCTTTTGCCCTGCCAAGCGTCGAAGAGATTCCTGAGGTGTCCCTCGTTACCAGACAGGAGTCCTGACGTCACTGAAGAAACTCGTGTTTTGAAGGGCCATCCCCGCCGTAAGTCGAGAACATACCCCAGGTCCCCGCCGCAACTCGAGAAAAACCATGAGACTTCCCCCTAGAGGCGAGATGAGGCCCCATTCCCCTGCAGTGCATGCAGAGCTATTCCGTGACCCCATTCAAGCACGTCAGGAGCTTCGACTTGCTTAATGGATCTCGAGACAGTCCACAAGAACACTGTCACCAGTCTAGACGGACCCTGAGGTCACCCCAGCAACGCAAAGCAGCTCCATGTGCCCCAAATCAACTCGAGATGAGGCCCGATTCCCCTGCATTGACTCCAGAGCCATTCCCCGTTCCCCATTCAACACGACCGGTGGCTCGACTTCCTTCAGGCAACTCCAGAGATGCCCCGAGAACACTGTCCCAAGTCTAGAGGAACACCAACTTCAGCACAGCAACTCGAGGAATGCTCCGTGTACCCCAAATCGTCTCGAGATGCGAGCTGATTCCCTGGCTTGGGCTCAAGACGTATGCCAACTTCCCAGAAGCACCTCAGGAGGAGGCTTCTCTCAGCAATAGGTATGTGGGAGGGACCCCGAGTTTGCTGCCTCAAGGGGAATATACAGCGAGAAGCCCTAACTTGAAAGGAGGCCGGATTTCCTTGCAGTGGCTGGAATACAGGCTCGTCTTTCATCTCACAACATGAAGGGATGTCTGAATCCCCTGTGGAGACCTTAGAGAAAGCCCTAGGTCCCTGCCTCATTTTGACGGAATGCCTCACATCCCGCTGACACCTCGAGAGGCACGCGGAGTTCATTGCTTCAAAAGGTGACGATGCCTGACTCCTCTTGAATACTGATAGGAATCCCAAAATCCCTGTGGCTACTGGAAAGGGTCCTTGGGTGCCCTGCCTCACCTCGAGAAGCGTCCCTTTTGCCCTGCCAAGCGTCGAAGAGATTCCTGAGGTGTCCATCGTTACTAGACAGGAGTCCTGACGTCACTGAAGAATCTCGTGTTTTGAAGGGCCATCCCCGCCGTAAGTCGAGAACATACCCCAGGTCCCCGCCGCCACTCGAGAAAAACCATGAGACTTCCCCCTAGAGGCGAGATGAGGCCCCATTCCCCTGCAGTGCATGCAGAGCTATTCCGTTACCCCATTCAAGCACGTCAGGAGCTTCGACTTGCTTAATGGATCTCGAGACAGTCCCCAAGAACACTGTCACCAGTCTAGACGGACCCTGAGGTCACCCCAGCAACGCAAAGCAGCTCCATGTGCCCCAAATCAACTCGAGATGAGGCCCGATTCCCCTGCATTGACTCCAGAGCCATTCCCCGTTCCCCATTCAACACGACCGGTGGCTCGACTTCCTTCAGGCAACTCCAGAGATGCCCCGAGAACACTGTCCCAAGTCTAGAGGAACACCAACTTCAGCACAGCAACTCGAGGAATGCTCCGTCTACCCCAAATCGTCTCGAGATGCGAGCTGATTCCCTGGCTTAGGCTCAAGACGTATGCCAACTTCCCAGAAGCACCTCAGGAGGAGGCTTCTCTCAGCAATAGGTATGTGGGAGGGACCCCGAGTTTGCTGCCTCAAGGGGAATATACAGCGAGAAGCCCTAACTTGAAAGGAGGCCGGATTTCCTTGCAGTGGCTGGAATACAGGCTCGTCTTTCATCTCACAACATGAAGGGATGTCTGAATCCCCTGTGGAGACCTTAGAGAAAGCCCTAGGTCCCTGCCTCATTTTGACGGAATGCCTCACATCCCGCTGACACCTCGAGAGGCACGCGGAGTTCATTGCTTCAAAAGGTGACGATGCCTGACTCCTCTTGAATACTGATAGGAATCCCAAAATCCCTGTGGCTACTGGAAAGGGTCCTTGGGTGCCCTGCCTCATCTCGAGAAGCGTCCCTTTGGCCCTGCCAAGCCTCGAAGAGATTCCTGAGGTGTCCCTCGTTACTAGACAGGAGTCCTGACGTCACTGAAGAAACTCGTGTTTTGAAGGGCCATCCCCGCCGTAAGTCGAGAACATACCCCAGGTCTCCGCCGCAACTCGAGAAAAACCATGAGACTTCCCCCTAGAGGCGAGATGAGGCCCCATTCCCCTGCAGTGCATGCAGAGCTATTCCGTGACCCCATTCAAACAAGTCAGGAGCTTCGACTTGCTTAATGGATCTCGAGACAGTCCCCAAGAACACTGTCACCAGTCTAGACGGACCCTGAGGTCACCCCAGCAACGCAAAGCAGCTCCATGTGCCCCAAATCAACTCGAGATGAGGCCCGATTCCCCTGCATTGACTCCAGAGCCATTCCCCGTTCCCCATTCAACACGACCGGTGGCTCGACTTCCTTCAGGCAACTCCAGAGATGCCCCGAGAACACTGTCCCAAGTCTAGAGGAACACCAACTTCAGCACAGCAACTCGAGGAATGCTCCGTGTACCCCAAATCGTCTCGAGATGCGAGCTGATTCCCTGGCTTAGGCTCAAGACGTATGCCAACTTCCCAGAAGCACCTCAGGAGGAGGCTTCTCTCAGCAATAGGTATGTGGGAGGGACCCCGAGTTTGCTGCCTCAAGGGGAATATACAGCGAGAAGCCCTAACTTGAAAGGAGGCCGGATTTCCTTGCAGTGGTTTGAATACAGGCTCGTCTTTCATCTCACAACATGAAGGGATGTCTGAATCCCCTGTGGAGACCTTAGAGAAAGCCCTAGGTCCCTGCCTCATTTTGACGGAATGCCTCACATCCCGCTGACACCTCGAGAGGCACGCGGAGTTCATAGCTTCAAAAGGTGACGATGCCTGACTCCTCTTGAATACTGATAGGAATCCCAAAATCCCTGTGGCTACTGGAAAGGGTCCTTGGGTGCCCTGCCTCACCTCGAGAAGCGTCCCTTTGGCCCTGCCAAGCCTCGAAGAGATTCCTGAGGTGTCCCTCGTTACTAGACAGGAGTCCTGACGTCACTGAAGAAACTCGTGTTTTGAAGGGCCATCCCCGCCGTAAGTCGAGAACATACCCCAGGTCCCCGCCGCAACTCGAGAAAAACTATGAGACTTCCCCCTAGAGGCGAGATGAGGACCCATTCCCCTGCAGTGCATGCAGAGCTATTCCGTGACCCCATTCAAACAAGTCAGGAGCTTCGACTTGCTTAATGGATCTCGAGACAGTCCCCAAGAACACTGTCACCAGTCTAGACGGACCCTGAGGTCACCCCAGCAACGCAAAGCAGCTCCATGTGCCCCAAATCAACTCGAGATGAGGCCCGATTCCCCTGCATTGACTCCAGAGCCATTCCCCGTTCCCCATTCAACACGACCGGTGGCTCGACTTCCTTCAGGCAACTCCAGAGATGCCCCGAGAACACTGTCCCAAGTCTAGAGGAACACCAACTTCAGCACAGCAACTCGAGGAATGCTCCGTGTACCCCAAATCGTCTCGAGATGCGAGCTGATTCCCTGGCTTAGGCTCAAGACGTATGCCAACTTCCCAGAAGCACCTCAGGAGGAGGCTTCTCTCAGCAATAGGTATGTGGGAGGGACCCCGAGTTTGCTGCCTCAAGGGGAATATACAGCGAGAAGCCCTAACTTGAAAGGAGGCCGGATTTCCTTGCAGTGGCTGGAATACAGGCTCGTCTTTCATCTCACAACATGAAGGGATGTCTGAATCCCCTGTGGAGACCTTAGAGAAAGCCCTAGGTCCCTGCCTCATTTTGACGGAATGCCTCACATCCCGCTGACACCTCGAGAGGCACGCGGAGTTCATTGCTTCAAAAGGTGACGATGCCTGACTCCTCTTGAATACTGATAGGAATCCCAAAATCCCTGTGGCTACTGGAAAGGGTCCTTGGGTGCCCTGCCTCACCTCGAGAAGCGTCCCTTTGGCCCTGCCAAGCCTCGAAGAGATTCCTGAGGTGTCCCTCGTTACTAGACAGGAGTCCTGACGTCACTGAAGAATCTCGTGTTTTGAAGGGCCATCCCCGCCGTAAGTCGAGAACATACCCCAGGTCCCCGCCGCAACTCGAGAAAAACCATGAGACTTCCCCCTAGAGGCGAGATGAGGCCCCATTCCCCTGCAGTGCATGCAGAGCTATTCCGTGACCCCATTCAAACAAGTCAGGAGCTTCGACTTGCTTAATGGATCTCGAGACAGTCCCCAAGAACACTGTCACCAGTCTAGACGGACCCTGAGGTCACCCCAGCAACGCAAAGCAGCTCCATGTGCCCCAAATCAACTCGAGATGAGGCCCGATTCCCCTGCATTGACTCCAGAGCCATTCCCCGTTCCCCATTCAACACGACCGGTGGCTCGACTTCCTTCAGGCAACTCCAGAGATGCCCCGAGAACACTGTCCCAAGTCTAGAGGAACACCAACTTCAGCACAGCAACTCGAGGAATGCTCCGTGTACCCCAAATCGTCTCGAGATGCGAGCTGATTCCCTGGCTTAGGCTCAAGACGTATGCCAACTTCCCAGAAGCACCTCAGGAGGAGGCTTCTCTCAGCAATAGGTATGTGGGAGGGACCCCGAGTTTGCTGCCTCAAGGGGAATATACAGCGAGAAGCCCTAACTTGAAAGGAGGCCGGATTTCCTTGCAGTGGCTGGAATACAGGCTCGTCTTTCATCTCACAACATGAAGGGATGTCTGAATCCCCTGTGGAGACCTTAGAGAAAGCCCTAGGTCCCTGCCTCATTTTGACGGAATGCCTCACATCCCGCTGACACCTCGAGAGGCACGCGGAGTTCATTGCTTCAAAAGGTGACGATGCCTGACTCCTCTTGAATACTGATAGGAATCCCAAAATCCCTGTGGCTACTGGAAAGGGTCCTTGGGTGCCCTGCCTCACCTCGAGAAGCGTCCCTTTTGCCCTGCCAAGCGTCGAAGAGATTCCTGAGGTGTCCCTCGTTACCAGACAGGAGTCCTGACGTCACTGAAGAAACTCGTGTTTTGAAGGGCCATCCCCGCCGTAAGTCGAGAACATACCCCAGGTCCCCGCCGCAACTCGAGAAAAACCATGAGACTTCCCCCTAGAGGCGAGATGAGGCCCCATTCCCCTGCAGTGCATGCAGAGCTATTCCGTGACCCCATTCAAGCACGTCAGGAGCTTCGACTTGCTTAATGGATCTCGAGACAGTCCACAAGAACACTGTCACCAGTCTAGACGGACCCTGAGGTCACCCCAGCAACGCAAAGCAGCTCCATGTGCCCCAAATCAACTCGAGATGAGGCCCGATTCCCCTGCATTGACTCCAGAGCCATTCCCCGTTCCCCATTCAACACGACCGGTGGCTCGACTTCCTTCAGGCAACTCCAGAGATGCCCCGAGAACACTGTCCCAAGTCTAGAGGAACACCAACTTCAGCACAGCAACTCGAGGAATGCTCCGTGTACCACAAATCGTCTCGAGATGCGAGCTGATTCCCTGGCTGAGGCTCAAGACGTATGCCAACTTCCCAGAAGCACCTCAGGAGGAGGCTTCTCTCAGCAATATGTATGTGGGAGGGACCCCGAGTTTGCTGCCTCAAGGGGAATATACAGCGAGAAGCCCTAACTTGAAAGGAGGCCGGATTTCCTTGCAGTGGCTGGAATACAGGCTCGTCTTTCATCTCACAACATGAAGGGATGTCTGAATCCCCTGTGGAGACCTTAGAGAAAGCCCTAGGTCCCTGCCTCATTTTGACGGAATGCCTCACATCCCGCTGAAACCTCGAGAGGCACGCGGAGTTCATTGCTTCAAAAGGTGACGATGCCTGACTCCTCTTGAATACTGATAGGAATCCCAAAATCCCTGTGGCTACTGGAAAGGGTCCTTGGGTGCCCTGCCTCACCTCGAGAAGCGTCCCTTTTGCCCTGCCAAGCGTCGAAGAGATTCCTGAGGTGTCCCTCGTTACTAGACAGGAGTCTTGACGTCACTGAAGAATCTCGTGTTTTGAAGGGCCATCCCCGCCGTAAGTCGAGAACATACCCCAGGTCCCCGCCGCAACTCGAGAAAAACCATGAGACTTCCCCCTAGAGGCGAGATGAGGCCCCATTCCCCTGCAGTGCATGCAGAGCTATTCCGTGACCCCATTCAAACAAGTCAGGAGCTTCGACTTGCTTAATGGATCTCGAGACAGTCCCCAAGAACACTGTCACCAGTCTAGACGGACCCTGAGGTCACCCCAGCAACGCAAAGCAGCTCCATGTGCCCCAAATCAACTCGAGATGAGGCCCGATTCCCCTGCATTGACTCCAGAGCCATTCCCCGTTCCCCATTCAACACGACCGGTGGCTCGACTTCCTTCAGGCAACTCCAGAGATGCCCCGAGAACACTGTCCCAAGTCTAGAGGAACACCAACTTCAGCACAACAACTCGAGGAATGCTCCGTGTACCCCAAATCGTCTCGAGATGCGAGCTGATTCCCTGGCTTAGGCTCAAGACGTATGCCAACTTCCCAGAAGCACCTCAGGAGGAGGCTTCTCTCAGCAATAGGTATGTGGGAGGGACCCCGAGTTTGCTGCCTCAAGGGGAATATACAGCGAGAAGCCCTAACTTGAAAGGAGGCCGGATTTCCTTGCAGTGGCTGGAATACAGGCTCGTCTTTCATCTCACAACATGAAGGGATGTCTGAATCCCCTGTGGAGACCTTAGAGAAAGCCCTAGGTCCCTGCCTCATTTTGACGGAATGCCTCACATCCCGCTGACACCTCGAGAGGCACGCGGAGTTCATTGCTTCAAAAGGTGACGATGCCTGACTCCTCTTGAATACTGATAGGAATCCCAAAATCCCTGTGGCTACTGGAAAGGGTCCTTGGGTGCCCTGCCTCACCTCGAGAAGCGTCCCTTTTGCCCTGCCAAGCGTCGAAGAGATTCCTGAGGTGTCCCTCGTTACCAGACAGGAGTCCTGACGTCACTGAAGAAACTCGTGTTTTGAAGGGCCATCCCCGCCGTAAGTCGAGAACATACCCCAGGTCCCCGCCGCAACTCGAGAAAAACCATGAGACTTCCCCCTAGAGGCGAGATGAGGCCCCATTCCCCTGCAGTGCATGCAGAGCTATTCCGTGACCCCATTCAAGCACGTCAGGAGCTTCGACTTGCTTAATGGATCTCGAGACAGTCCACAAGAACACTGTCACCAGTCTAGACGGACCCTGAGGTCACCCCAGCAACGCAAAGCAGCTCCATGTGCCCCAAATCAACTCGAGATGAGGCCCGATTCCCCTGCATTGACTCCAGAGCCATTCCCCGTTCCCCATTCAACACGACCGGTGGCTCGACTTCCTTCAGGCAACTCCAGAGATGCCCCGAGAACACTGTCCCAAGTCTAGAGGAACACCAACTTCAGCACAGCAACTCGAGGAATGCTCCGTGTACCCCAAATCGTCTCGATATGCGAGCTGATTCCCTGGCTTGGGCTCAAGACGTATGCCAACTTCCCAGAAGCACCTCAGGAGGAGGCTTCTCTCAGCAATAGGTATGTGGGAGGGACCCCGAGTTTGCTGCCTCAAGGGGAATATACAGCGAGAAGCCCTAACTTGAAAGGAGGCCGGATTTCCTTGCAGTGGCTGGAATACAGGCTCGTCTTTCATCTCACAACATGAAGGGATGTCTGAATCCCCTGTGGAGACCTTAGAGAAAGCCCTAGGTCCCTGCCTCATTTTGACGGAATGCCTCACATCCCGCTGACACCTCGAGAGGCACGCGGAGTTCATTGCTTCAAAAGGTGACGATGCCTGACTCCTCTTGAATACTGATAGGAATCCCAAAATCCCTGTGGCTACTGGAAAGGGTCCTTGGGTGCCCTGCCTCACCTCGAGAAGCGTCCCTTTTGCCCTGCCAAGCGTCGAAGAGATTCCTGAGGTGTCCATCGTTACTAGACAGGAGTCCTGACGTCACTGAAGAATCTCGTGTTTTGAAGGGCCATCCCCGCCGTAAGTCGAGAACATACCCCAGGTCCCCGCCGCCACTCGAGAAAAACCATGAGACTTCCCCCTAGAGGCGAGATGAGGCCCCATTCCCCTGCAGTGCATGCAGAGCTATTCCGTTACCCCATTCAAACAAGTCAGGAGCTTCGACTTGCTTAATGGATCTCGAGACAGTCCCCAAGAACACTGTCACCAGTCTAGACGGACCCTGAGGTCACCCCAGCAACGCAAAGCAGCTCCATGTGCCCCAAATCAACTCGAGATGAGGCCCGATTCCCCTGCATTGACTCCAGAGCCATTCCCCGTTCCCCATTCAACACGACCGGTGGCTCGACTTCCTTCAGGCAACTCCAGAGATGCCCCGAGAACACTGTCCCAAGTCTAGAGGAACACCAACTTCAGCACAGCAACTCGAGGAATGCTCCGTCTACCCCAAATCGTCTCGAGATGCGAGCTGATTCCCTGGCTTAGGCTCAAGACGTATGCCAACTTCCCAGAAGCACCTCAGGAGGAGGCTTCTCTCAGCAATAGGTATGTGGGAGGGACCCCGAGTTTGCTGCCTCAAGGGGAATATACAGCGAGAAGCCCTAACTTGAAAGGAGGCCGGATTTCCTTGCAGTGGCTGGAATACAGGCTCGTCTTTCATCTCACAACATGAAGGGATGTCTGAATCCCCTGTGGAGACCTTAGAGAAAGCCCTAGGTCCCTGCCTCATTTTGACGGAATGCCTCACATCCCGCTGACACCTCGAGAGGCACGCGGAGTTCATTGCTTCAAAAGGTGACGATGCCTGACTCCTCTTGAATACTGATAGGAATCCCAAAATCCCTGTGGCTACTGGAAAGGGTCCTTGGGTGCCCTGCCTCACCTCGAGAAGCGTCCCTTTTGCCCTGCCAAGCGTCGAAGAGATTCCTGAGGTGTCCATCGTTACTAGACAGGAGTCCTGACGTCACTGAAGAATCTCGTGTTTTGAAGGGCCATCCCCGCCGTAAGTCGAGAACATACCCCAGGTCCCCGCCGCCACTCGAGAAAAACCATGAGACTTCCCCCTAGAGGCGAGATGAGGCCCCATTCCCCTGCAGTGCATGCAGAGCTATTCCGTTACCCCATTCAAACAAGTCAGGAGCTTCGACTTGCTTAATGGATCTCGAGACAGTCCCCAAGAACACTGTCACCAGTCTAGACGGACCCTGAGGTCACCCCAGCAACGCAAAGCAGCTCCATGTGCCCCAAATCAACTCGAGATGAGGCCCGATTCCCCTGCATTGACTCCAGAGCCATTCCCCGTTCCCCATTCAACACGACCGGTGGCTCGACTTCCTTCAGGCAACTCCAGAGATGCCCCGAGAACACTGTCCCAAGTCTAGAGGAACACCAACTTCAGCACAGCAACTCGAGGAATGCTCCGTCTACCCCAAATCGTCTCGAGATGCGAGCTGATTCCCTGGCTTAGGCTCAAGACGTATGCCAACTTCCCAGAAGCACCTCAGGAGGAGGCTTCTCTCAGCAATAGGTATGTGGGAGGGACCCCGAGTTTGCTGCCTCAAGGGGAATATACAGCGAGAAGCCCTAACTTGAAAGGAGGCCGGATTTCCTTGCAGTGGCTGGAATACAGGCTCGTCTTTCATCTCACAACATGAAGGGATGTCTGAATCCCCTGTGGAGACCTTAGAGAAAGCCCTAGGTCCCTGCCTCATTTTGACGGAATGCCTCACATCCCGCTGACACCTCGAGAGGCACGCGGAGTTCATTGCTTCAAAAGGTGACGATGCCTGACTCCTCTTGAATACTGATAGGAATCCCAAAATCCCTGTGGCTACTGGAAAGGGTCCTTGGGTGCCCTGCCTCATCTCGAGAAGCGTCCCTTTGGCCCTGCCAAGCCTCGAAGAGATTCCTGAGGTGTCCCTCGTTACTAGACAGGAGTCCTGACGTCACTGAAGAAACTCGTGTTTTGAAGGGCCATCCCCGCCGTAAGTCGAGAACATACCCCAGGTCTCCGCCGCAACTCGAGAAAAACCATGAGACTTCCCCCTAGAGGCGAGATGAGGCCCCATTCCCCTGCAGTGCATGCAGAGCTATTCCGTGACCCCATTCAAACAAGTCAGGAGCTTCGACTTGCTTAATGGATCTCGAGACAGTCCCCAAGAACACTGTCACCAGTCTAGACGGACCCTGAGGTCACCCCAGCAACGCAAAGCAGCTCCATGTGCCCCAAATCAACTCGAGATGAGGCCCGATTCCCCTGCATTGACTCCAGAGCCATTCCCCGTTCCCCATTCAACACGACCGGTGGCTCGACTTCCTTCAGGCAACTCCAGAGATGCCCCGAGAACACTGTCCCAAGTCTAGAGGAACACCAACTTCAGCACAGCAACTCGAGGAATGCTCCGTGTACCCCAAATCGTCTCGAGATGCGAGCTGATTCCCTGGCTTAGGCTCAAGACGTATGCCAACTTCCCAGAAGCACCTCAGGAGGAGGCTTCTCTCAGCAATAGGTATGTGGGAGGGACCCCGAGTTTGCTGCCTCAAGGGGAATATACAGCGAGAAGCCCTAACTTGAAAGGAGGCCGGATTTCCTTGCAGTGGTTTGAATACAGGCTCGTCTTTCATCTCACAACATGAAGGGATGTCTGAATCCCCTGTGGAGACCTTAGAGAAAGCCCTAGGTCCCTGCTTCATTTTGACGGAATGCCTCACATCCCGCTGACACCTCGAGAGGCACGCGGAGTTCATAGCTTCAAAAGGTGACGATGCCTGACTCCTCTTGAATACTGATAGGAATCCCAAAATCCCTGTGGCTACTGGAAAGGGTCCTTGGGTGCCCTGCCTCACCTCGAGAAGCGTCCCTTTGGCCCTGCCAAGCCTCGAAGAGATTCCTGAGGTGTCCCTCGTTACTAGACAGGAGTCCTGACGTCACTGAAGAAACTCGTGTTTTGAAGGGCCATCCCCGCCGTAAGTCGAGAACATACCCCAGGTCCCCGCCGCAACTCGAGAAAAACTATGAGACTTCCCCCTAGAGGCGAGATGAGGACCCATTCCCCTGCAGTGCATGCAGAGCTATTCCGTGACCCCATTCAAACAAGTCAGGAGCTTCGACTTGCTTAATGGATCTCGAGACAGTCCCCAAGAACACTGTCACCAGTCTAGACGGACCCTGAGGTCACCCCAGCAACGCAAAGCAGCTCCATGTGCCCCAAATCAACTCGAGATGAGGCCCGATTCCCCTGCATTGACTCCAGAGCCATTCCCCGTTCCCCATTCAACACGACCGGTGGCTCGACTTCCTTCAGGCAACTCCAGAGATGCCCCGAGAACACTGTCCCAAGTCTAGAGGAACACCAACTTCAGCACAGCAACTCGAGGAATGCTCCGTGTACCCCAAATCGTCTCGAGATGCGAGCTGATTCCCTGGCTTAGGCTCAAGACTTATGCCAACTTCCCAGAAGCACCTCAGGAGGAGGCTTCTCTCAGCAATAGGTATGTGGGAGGGACCCCGAGTTTGCTGCCTCAAGGGGAATATACAGCGAGAAGCCCTAACTTGAAAGGAGGCCGGATTTCCTTGCAGTGGCTGGAATACAGGCTCGTCTTTCATCTCACAACATGAAGGGATGTCTGAATCCCCTGTGGAGACCTTAGAGAAAGCCCTAGGTCCCTGCCTCATTTTGACGGAATGCCTCACATCCCGCTGACACCTCGAGAGGCACGCGGAGTTCATTGCTTCAAAAGGTGACAATGCCTGACTCCTCTTGAATACTGATAGGAATCCCAAAATCCCTGTGGCTACTGGAAAGGGTCCTTGGGTGCCCTGCCTCACCTCGAGAAGCGTCCCTTTGGCCCTGCCAAGCGTCGAAGAGATTCCTGAGGTGTCCCTCGTTACCAGACAGGAGTCCTGACGTCACTGAAGAAACTCGTGTTTTGAAGGGCCATCCCCGCCGTAAGTCGAGAACATACCCCAGGTCCCCGCCGCAACTCGAGAAAAACCATGAGACTTCCCCCTAGAGGCGAGATGAGGCCCCATTCCCCTGCAGTGCATGCAGAGCTATTCCGTGACCCCATTCAAGCACGTCAGGAGCTTCGACTTGCTTAATGGATCTCGAGACAGTCCACAAGAACACTGTCACCAGTCTAGACGGACCCTGAGGTCACCCCAGCAACGCAAAGCAGCTCCATGTGCCCCAAATCAACTCGAGATGAGGCCCGATTCCCCTGCATTGACTCCAGAGCCATTCCCCGTTCCCCATTCAACACGACCGGTGGCTCGACTTCCTTCAGGCAACTCCAGAGATGCCCCGAGAACACTGTCCCAAGTCTAGAGGAACACCAACTTCAGCACAGCAACTCGAGGAATGCTCCGTCTACCCCAAATCGTCTCGAGATGCGAGCTGATTCCCTGGCTTAGGCTCAAGACGTATGCCAACTTCCCAGAAGCACCTCAGGAGGAGGCTTCTCTCAGCAGTAGGTATGTGGGAGGGACCCCGAGTTTGCTGCCTCAAGGGGAATATACAGCGAGAAGCCCTAACTTGAAAGGAGGCCGGATTTCCTTGCAGTGGCTTGAATACAGGCTCGTCTTTCATCTCACAACATGAAGGGATGTCTGAATCCCCTGTGGAGACCTTAGAGAAAGCCCTAGGTCCCTGCCTCATTTTGACGGAATGCCTCATATCCCGCTGACACCTCGAGAGGCACGCGGAGTTCATTGCTTCGAAAGGTGACGATGCCTGACTCCTCTTGAATACTGATAGGAATCCCAAAATCCCTGTGGCTACTGGAAAGGGTCCTTGGGTGCCCTGCCTCACCTCGAGAAGCGTCCCTTTGGCCCTGCCAAGCCTCGAAGAGATTCCTGAGGTGTCCCTCGTTACTAGACAGGAGTCCTGACGTCACTGAAGAAACTCGTGTTTTGAAGGGCCATCCCCGCCGTAAGTCGAGAACATACCCCAGGTCCCCGCCGCAACTCGAGAAAAACCATGAGACTTCCCCCTAGAGGCGAGATGAGGCCCCATTCCCCTGCAGTGCATGCAGAGCTATTCCGTGACCCCATTCAAACAAGTCAGGAGCTTCGACTTGCTTAATGGATCTCGAGACAGTCCCCAAGAACACTGTCACCAGTCTAGACGGACCCTGAGGTCACCCCAGCAACGCAAAGCAGCTCCATGTGCCCCAAATCAACTCGAGATGAGGCCCGATTCCCCTGCATTGACTCCAGAGCCATTCCCCGTTCCCCATTCAACACGACCGGTGGCTCGACTTCCTTCAGGCAACTCCAGAGATGCCCCGAGAACACTGTCCCAAGTCTAGAGGAACACCAACTTCAGCACAGCAACTCGAGGAATGTTCCGTGTACCCCAAATCGTCTCGAGATGCGAGCTGATTCCCTGGCTTAGGCTCAAGACGTATGCCAACTTCCCAGAAGCACCTCAGGAGGAGGCTTCTCTCAGCAATAGGTATGTGGGAGGGACCCCGAGTTTGCTGCCTCAAGGGGAATATACAGCGAGAAGCCCTAACTTGAAAGGAGGCCGGATTTCCTTGCAGTGGCTGGAATACAGGCTCGTCTTTCATCTCACAACATGAAGGGATGTCTGAATCCCCTGTGGAGACCTTAGAGAAAGCCCTAGGTCCCTGCCTCATTTTGACGGAATGCCTCACATCCCGCTGACACCTCGAGAGGCACGCGGAGTTCATTGCTTCAAAAGGTGACGATGCCTGACTCCTCTTGAATACTGATAGGAATCCCAAAATCCCTGTGGCTACTGGAAAGGGTCCTTGGGTGCCCTGCCTCACCTCGAGAAGCGTCCCTTTTGCCCTGCCAAGCGTCGAAGAGATTCCTGAGGTGTCCCTCGTTACCAGACAGGAGTCCTGACGTCACTGAAGAAACTCGTGTTTTGAAGGGCCATCCCCGCCGTAAGTCGAGAACATACCCCAGGTACCCGCCGCAACTCGAGAAAAACCATGAGACTTCCCCCTAGAGGCGAGATGAGGCCCCATTCCCCTGCAGTGCATGCAGAGCTATTCCCTGACCCCATTCAAGCACGTCAGGAGCTTCGACTTGCTTAATGGATCTCGAGACAGTCCACAAGAACACTGTCACCAGTCTAGACGGACCCTGAGGTCACCCCAGCAACGCAAAGCAGCTCCATGTGCCCCAAATCAACTCGAGATGAGGCCCGATTCCCCTGCATTGACTCCAGAGCCATTCCCCGTTCCCCATTCAACACGACCGGTGGCTCGACTTCCTTCAGGCAACTCCAGAGATGCCCCGAGAACACTGTCCCAAGTCTAGAGGAACACCAACTTCAGCACAGCAACTCGAGGAATGCTCCGTGTACCCCAAATCGTCTCGAGATGCGAGCTGATTCCCTGGCTTAGGCTCAAGACGTATGCCAACTTCCCAGAAGCACCTCAGGAGGAGGCTTCTCTCAGCAATAGGTATGTGGGAGGGACCCCGAGTTTGCTGCCTCAAGGGGAATATACAGCGAGAAGCCCTAACTTGAAAGGAGGCCGGATTTCCTTGCAGTGGCTGGAATACAGGCTCGTCTTTCATCTCACAACATGAAGGGATGTCTGAATCCCCTGTGGAGACCTTAGAGAAAGCCCTAGGTCCCTGCCTCATTTTGACGGAATGCCTCACATCCCGCTGACACCTCGAGAGGCACGCGGAGTTCATTGCTTCAAAAGGTGACGATGCCTGACTCCTCTTGAATACTGATAGGAATCCCAAAATCCCTGTGGCTACTGGAAAGGGTCCTTGGGTGCCCTGCCTCACCTCGAGAAGCGTCCCTTTTGCCCTGCCAAGCCTCGAAGAGATTCCTGAGGTGTCCCTCGTTACTAGACAGGAGTCCTGACGTCACTGAAGAATCTCGTGTTTTGAAGGGCCATCCCCGCCGTAAGTCGAGAACATACCCCAGGTCCCCGCCGCAACTCGAGAAAAACCATGAGACTTCCCCCTAGAGGCGAGATGAGGCCCCATTCCCCTGCAGTGCATGCAGAGCTATTCCGTGACCCCATTCAAACAAGTCAGGAGCTTCGACTTGCTTAATGGATCTCGAGACAGTCCCCAAGAACACTGTCACCAGTCTAGACGGACCCTGAGGTCACCCCAGCAACGCAAAGCAGCTCCATGTGCCCCAAATCAACTCGAGATGAGGCCCGATTCCCCTGCATTGACTCCAGAGCCATTCCCCGTTCCCCATTCAACACGACCGGTGGCTCGACTTCCTTCAGGCAACTCCAGAGATGCCCCGAGAACACTGTCCCAAGTCTAGAGGAACACCAACTTCAGCACAGCAACTCGAGGAATGCTCCGTGTACCCCAAATCGTCTCGAGATGCGAGCTGATTCCCTGGCTTAGGCTCAAGACGTATGCCAACTTCCCAGAAGCACCTCAGGAGGAGGCTTCTCTCAGCAATAGGTATGTGGGAGGGACCCCGAGTTTGCTGCCTCAAGGGGAATATACAGCGAGAAGCCCTAACTTGAAAGGAGGCCGGATTTCCTTGCAGTGGCTGGAATACAGGCTCGTCTTTCATCTCACAACATGAAGGGATGTCTGAATCCCCTGTGGAGACCTTAGAGAAAGCCCTAGGTCCCTGCCTCATTTTGACGGAATGCCTCACATCTCGCTGACACCTCGAGAGGCACGCGGAGTTCATTGCTTCAAAAGGTGACGATGCCTGACTCCTCTTGAATACTGATAGGAATCCCAAAATCCCTGTGGCTACTGGAAAGGGTCCTTGGGTGCCCTGCCTCACCTCGAGAAGCGTCCCTTTTGCCCTGCCAAGCGTCGAAGAGATTCCTGAGGTGTCCCTCGTTACCAGACAGGAGTCCTGACGTCACTGAAGAAACTCGTGTTTTGAAGGGCCATCCCCGCCGTAAGTCGAGAACATACCCCAGGTCCCCGCCGCAACTCGAGAAAAACCATGAGACTTCCCCCTAGAGGCGAGATGAGGCCCCATTCCCCTGCAGTGCATGCAGAGCTATTCCGTGACCCCATTCAAGCACGTCAGGAGCTTCGACTTGCTTAATGGATCTCGAGACAGTCCACAAGAACACTGTCACCAGTCTAGACGGACCCTGAGGTCACCCCAGCAACGCAAAGCAGCTCCATGTGCCCCAAATCAACTCGAGATGAGGCCCGATTCCCCTGCATTGAATCCAGAGCCATTCCCCGTTCCCCATTCAACACGACCGGTGGCTCGACTTCCTTCAGGCAACTCCAGAGATGCCCCGAGAACACTGTCCCAAGTCTAGAGGAACACCAACTTCAGCACAGCAACTCGAGGAATGCTCCGTCTACCCCAAATCGTCTCGAGATGCGAGCTGATTCCCTGGCTGAGGCTCAAGACGTATGCCAACTTCCCAGAAGCACCTCAGGAGGAGGCTTCTCTCAGCAATATGTATGTGGGAGGGACCCCGAGTTTGCTGCCTCAAGGGGAATATACAGCGAGAAGCCCTAACTTGAAAGGAGGCCGGATTTCCTTGCAGTGGCTGGAATACAGGCTCGTCTTTCATCTCACAACATGAAGGGATGTCTGAATCCCCTGTGGAGACCTTAGAGAAAGCCCTAGGTCCCTGCCTCATTTTGACGGAATGCCTCACATCCCGCTGACACCTCGAGAGGCACGCGGAGTTCATTGCTTCAAAAGGTGACGATGCCTGACTCCTCTTGAATACTGATAGGAATCCCAAAATCCCTGTGGCTACTGGAAAGGGTCCTTGGGTGCCCTGCCTCACCTCGAGAAGCGTCCCTTTTGCCCTGCCAAGCGTCGAAGAGATTCCTGAGGTGTCCCTCGTTACCAGACAGGAGTCCTGACGTCACTGAAGAAACTCGTGTTTTGAAGGGCCATCCCCGCCGTAAGTCGAGAACATACCCCAGGTCCCCGCCGCAACTCGAGAAAAACCATGAGACTTCCCCCTAGAGGCGAGATGAGGCCCCATTCCCCTGCAGTGCATGCAGAGCTATTCCGTGACCCCATTCAAGCACGTCAGGAGCTTCGACTTGCTTAATGGATCTCGAGACAGTCCACAAGAACACTGTCACCAGTCTAGACGGACCCTGAGGTCACCCCAGCAACGCAAAGCAGCTCCATGTGCCCCAAATCAACTCGAGATGAGGCCCGATTCCCCTGCATTGACTCCAGAGCCATTCCCCGTTCCCCATTCAACACGACCGGTGGCTCGACTTCCTTCAGGCAACTCCAGAGATGCCCCGAGAACACTGTCCCAAGTCTAGAGGAACACCAACTTCAGCACAGCAACTCGAGGAATGCTCCGTCTACCCCAAATCGTCTCGAGATGCGAGCTGATTCCCTGGCTGAGGCTCAAGACGTATGCCAACTTCCCAGAAGCACCTCAGGAGGAGGCTTCTCTCAGCAATATGTATGTGGGAGGGACCCCGAGTTTGCTGCCTCAAGGGGAATATACAGCGAGAAGCCCTAACTTGAAAGGAGGCCGGATTTCCTTGCAGTGGCTGGAATACAGGCTCGTCTTTCATCTCACAACATGAAGGGATGTCTGAATCCCCTGTGGAGACCTTAGAGAAAGCCCTAGGTCCCTGCCTCATTTTGACGGAATGCCTCACATCCCGCTGAAACCTCGAGAGGCACGCGGAGTTCATTGCTTCAAAAGGTGACGATGCCTGACTCCTCTTGAATACTGATAGGAATCCCAAAATCCCTGTGGCTACTGGAAAGGGTCCTTGGGTGCCCTGCCTCACCTCGAGAAGCGTCCCTTTTGCCCTGCCAAGCGTCGAAGAGATTCCTGAGGTGTCCCTCGTTACTAGACAGGAGTCTTGACGTCACTGAAGAATCTCGTGTTTTGAAGGGCCATCCCCGCCGTAAGTCGAGAACATACCCCAGGTCCCCGCCGCAACTCGAGAAAAACCATGAGACTTCCCCCTAGAGGCGAGATGAGGCCCCATTCCCCTGCAGTGCATGCAGAGCTATTCCGTGACCCCATTCAAACAAGTCAGGAGCTTCGACTTGCTTAATGGATCTCGAGACAGTCCCCAAGAACACTGTCACCAGTCTAGACGGACCCTGAGGTCACCCCAGCAACGCAAAGCAGCTCCATGTGCCCCAAATCAACTCGAGATGAGGCCCGATTCCCCTGCATTGACTCCAGAGCCATTCCCCGTTCCCCATTCAACACGACCGGTGGCTCGACTTCCTTCAGGCAACTCCAGAGATGCCCCGAGAACACTGTCCCAAGTCTAGAGGAACACCAACTTCAGCACAACAACTCGAGGAATGCTCCGTGTACCCCAAATCGTCTCGAGATGCGAGCTGATTCCCTGGCTTAGGCTCAAGACGTATGCCAACTTCCCAGAAGCACCTCAGGAGGAGGCTTCTCTCAGCAATAGGTATGTGGGAGGGACCCCGAGTTTGCTGCCTCAAGGGGAATATACAGCGAGAAGCCCTAACTTGAAAGGAGGCCGGATTTCCTTGCAGTGGCTGGAATACAGGCTCGTCTTTCATCTCACAACATGAAGGGATGTCTGAATCCCCTGTGGAGACCTTAGAGAAAGCCCTAGGTCCCTGCCTCATTTTGACGGAATGCCTCACATCCCGCTGACACCTCGAGAGGCACGCGGAGTTCATTGCTTCAAAAGGTGACGATGCCTGACTACTCTTGAATACTGATAGGAATCCCAAAATCCCTGTGGCTACTGGAAAGGGTCCTTGGGTGCCCTGCCTCACCTCGAGAAGCGTCCCTTTTGCCCTGCCAAGCGTCGAAGAGATTCCTGAGGTGTCCCTCGTTACCAGACAGGAGTCCTGACGTCACTGAAGAAACTCGTGTTTTGAAGGGCCATCCCCGCCGTAAGTCGAGAACATACCCCAGGTCCCCGCCGCAACTCGAGAAAAACCATGAGACTTCCCCCTAGAGGCGAGATGAGGCCCCATTCCCCTGCAGTGCATGCAGAGCTATTCCGTGACCCCATTCAAGCACGTCAGGAGCTTCGACTTGCTTAATGGATCTCGAGACAGTCCACAAGAACACTGTCACCAGTCTAGACGGACCCTGAGGTCACCCCAGCAACGCAAAGCAGCTCCATGTGCCCCAAATCAACTCGAGATGAGGCCCGATTCCCCTGCATTGACTCCAGAGCCATTCCCCGTTCCCCATTCAACACGACCGGTGGCTCGACTTCCTTCAGGCAACTCCAGAGATGCCCCGAGAACCCTGTCCCAAGTCTAGAGGAACACCAACTTCAGCACAGCAACTCGAGGAATGCTCCGTGTACCCCAAATCGTCTCGAGATGCGAGCTGATTCCCTGGCTTAGGCTCAAGACGTATGCCAACTTCCCAGAAGCACCTCAGGAGGAGGCTTCTCTCAGCAATAGGTATGTGGGAGGGACCCCGAGTTTGCTGCCTCAAGGGGAATATACAGCGAGAAGCCCTAACTTGAAAGGAGGCCGGATTTCCTTGCAGTGGCTGGAATACAGGCTCGTCTTTCATCTCACAACATGAAGGGATGTCTGAATCCCCTGTGGAGACCTTAGAGAAAGCCCTAGGTCCCTGCCTCATTTTGACGGAATGCCTCACATCCCGCTGACACCTCGAGAGGCACGCGGAGTTCATTGCTTCAAAAGGTGACGATGCCTGACTCCTCTTGAATACTGATAGGAATCCCAAAATCCCTGTGGCTACTGGAAAGGGTCCTTGGGTGCCCTGCCTCACCTCGAGAAGCGTCCCTTTTGCCCTGCCAAGCGTCGAAGAGATTCCTGAGGTGTCCATCGTTACTAGACAGGAGTCCTGACGTCACTGAAGAATCTCGTGTTTTGAAGGGCCATCCCCGCCGTAAGTCGAGAACATACCCCAGGTCCCCGCCGCAACTCGAGAAAAACCATGAGACTTCCCCCTAGAGGCGAGATGAGGCCCCATTCCCCTGCAGTGCATGCAGAGCTATTCCGTTACCCCATTCAAACAAGTCAGGAGCTTCGACTTGCTTAATGGATCTCGAGACAGTCCCCAAGAACACTGTCACCAGTCTAGACGGACCCTGAGGTCACCCCAGCAACGCAAAGCAGCTCCATGTGCCCCAAATCAACTCGAGATGAGGCCCGATTCCCCTGCATTGACTCCAGAGCCATTCCCCGTTCCCCATTCAACACGACCGGTGGCTCGACTTCCTTCAGGCAACTCCAGAGATGCCCCGAGAACACTGTCCCAAGTCTAGAGGAACACCAACTTCAGCACAGCAACTCGAGGAATGCTCCGTCTACCCCAAATCGTCTCGAGATGCGAGCTGATTCCCTGGCTTAGGCTCAAGACGTATGCCAACTTCCCAGAAGCACCTCAGGAGGAGGCTTCTCTCAGCAATAGGTATGTGGGAGGGACCCCGAGTTTGCTGCCTCAAGGGGAATATACAGCGAGAAGCCCTAACTTGAAAGGAGGCCGGATTTCCTTGCAGTGGCTGGAATACAGGCTCGTCTTTCATCTCACAACATGAAGGGATGTCTGAATCCCCTGTGGAGACCTTAGAGAAAGCCCTAGGTCCCTGCCTCATTTTGACGGAATGCCTCACATCCCGCTGACACCTCGAGAGGCACGCGGAGTTCATTGCTTCAAAAGGTGACGATGCCTGACTCCTCTTGAATACTGATAGGAATCCCAAAATCCCTGTGGCTACTGGAAAGGGTCCTTGGGTGCCCTGCCTCATCTCGAGAAGCGTCCCTTTGGCCCTGCCAAGCCTCGAAGAGATTCCTGAGGTGTCCCTCGTTACTAGACAGGAGTCCTGACGTCACTGAAGAAACTCGTGTTTTGAAGGGCCATCCCCGCCGTAAGTCGAGAACATACCCCAGGTCTCCGCCGCAACTCGAGAAAAACCATGAGACTTCCCCCTAGAGGCGAGATGAGGCCCCATTCCCCTGCAGTGCATGCAGAGCTATTCCGTGACCCCATTCAAACAAGTCAGGAGCTTCGACTTGCTTAATGGATCTCGAGACAGTCCCCAAGAACACTGTCACCAGTCTAGACGGACCCTGAGGTCACCCCAGCAACGCAAAGCAGCTCCATGTGCCCCAAATCAACTCGAGATGAGGCCCGATTCCCCTGCATTGACTCCAGAGCCATTCCCCGTTCCCCATTCAACACGACCGGTGGCTCGACTTCCTTCAGGCAACTCCAGAGATGCCCCGAGAACACTGTCCCAAGTCTAGAGGAACACCAACTTCAGCACAGCAACTCGAGGAATGCTCCGTGTACCCCAAATCGTCTCGAGATGCGAGCTGATTCCCTGGCTTAGGCTCAAGACGTATGCCAACTTCCCAGAAGCACCTCAGGAGGAGGCTTCTCTCAGCAATAGGTATGTGGGAGGGACCCCGAGTTTGCTGCCTCAAGGGGAATATACAGCGAGAAGCCCTAACTTGAAAGGAGGCCGGATTTCCTTGCAGTGGTTTGAATACAGGCTCGTCTTTCATCTCACAACATGAAGGGATGTCTGAATCCCCTGTGGAGACCTTAGAGAAAGCCCTAGGTCCCTGCCTCATTTTGACGGAATGCCTCACATCCCGCTGACACCTCGAGAGGCACGCGGAGTTCATAGCTTCAAAAGGTGACGATGCCTGACTCCTCTTGAATACTGATAGGAATCCCAAAATCCCTGTGGCTACTGGAAAGGGTCCTTGGGTGCCCTGCCTCACCTCGAGAAGCGTCCCTTTGGCCCTGCCAAGCCTCGAAGAGATTCCTGAGGTGTCCCTCGTTACTAGACAGGAGTCCTGACGTCACTGAAGAAACTCGTGTTTTGAAGGGCCATCCCCGCCGTAAGTCGAGAACATACCCCAGGTCCCCGCCGCAACTCGAGAAAAACTATGAGACTTCCCCCTAGAGGCGAGATGAGGACCCATTCCCCTGCAGTGCATGCAGAGCTATTCCGTGACCCCATTCAAACAAGTCAGGAGCTTCGACTTGCTTAATGGATCTCGAGACAGTCCCCAAGAACACTGTCACCAGTCTAGACGGACCCTGAGGTCACCCCAGCAACGCAAAGCAGCTCCATGTGCCCCAAATCAACTCGAGATGAGGCCCGATTCCCCTGCATTGACTCCAGAGCCATTCCCCGTTCCCCATTCAACACGACCGGTGGCTCGACTTCCTTCAGGCAACTCCAGAGATGCCCCGAGAACACTGTCCCAAGTCTAGAGGAACACCAACTTCAGCACAGCAACTCGAGGAATGCTCCGTGTACCCCAAATCGTCTCGAGATGCGAGCTGATTCCCTGGCTTACGCTCAAGACGTATGCCAACTTCCCAGAAGCACCTCAGGAGGAGGCTTCTCTCAGCAATAGGTATGTGGGAGGGACCCCGAGTTTGCTGCCTCAAGGGGAATATACAGCGAGAAGCCCTAACTTGAAAGGAGGCCGGATTTCCTTGCAGTGGTTTGAATACAGGCTCGTCTTTCATCTCACAACATGAAGGGATGTCTGAATCCCCTGTGGAGACCTTAGAGAAAGCCCTAGGTCCCTGCCTCATTTTGACGGAATGCCTCACATCCCGCTGACACCTCGAGAGGCACGCGGAGTTCATAGCTTCAAAAGGTGACGATGCCTGACTCCTCTTGAATACTGATAGGAATCCCAAAATCCCTGTGGCTACTGGAAAGGGTCCTTGGGTGCCCTGCCTCACCTCGAGAAGCGTCCCTTTGGCCCTGCCAAGCGTCGAAGAGATTCCTGAGGTGTCCCTCGTTACTAGACAGGAGTCCTGACGTCACTGAAGAAACTCGTGTTTTGAAGGGCCATCCCCGCCGTAAGTCGAGAACATACCCCAGGTCTCCGCCGCAACTCGAGAAAAACCATGAGACTTCCCCCTAGAGGCGAGATGAGGCCCCATTCCACTGCAGTGCATGCAGAGCTATTCCGTGACCCCATTCAAACAAGTCAGGAGCTTCGACTTGCTTAATGGATCTCGAGACAGTCCCCAAGAACACTGTCACCAGTCTAGACGGACACTGAGGTCACCCCAGCAACGCAAAGCAGCTCCATGTGCCCCAAATCAACTCGAGATGAGGCCCGATTCCCCTGCATTGACTCCAGAGCCATTCCCCGTTCCCCATTCAACACGACCGGTGGCTCGACTTCCTTCAGGCAACTCCAGAGATGCCCCGAGAACACTGTCCCAAGTCTAGAGGAACACCAACTTCAGCACAGCAACTCGAGGAATGCTCCGTCTACCCCAAATCGTCTCGAGATGCGAGCTGATTCCCTGGCTTAGGCTCAAGACGTATGCCAACTTCCCAGAAGCACCTCAGGAGGAGGCTTCTCTCAGCAATAGGTATGTGGGAGGGACCCCGAGTTTGCTGCCTCAAGGGGAATATACAGCGAGAAGCCCTAACTTGAAAGGAGGCCGGATTTCCTTGCAGTGGCTGGAATACAGGCTCGTCTTTCATCTCACAACATGAAGGGATGTCTGAATCCCCTGTGGAGACCTTAGAGAAAGCCCTAGGTCCCTGCCTCATTTTGACGGAATGCCTCACATCCCGCTGACACCTCGAGAGGCACGCGGAGTTCATTGCTTCAAAAGGTGACGATGCCTGACTCCTCTTGAATACTGATAGGAATCCCAAAATCCCTGTGGCTACTGGAAAGGGTCCTTGAGTGCCCTGCCTCACCTCGAGAAGCGTCCCTTTGGCCCTGCCAAGCCTCGAAGAGATTCCTGAGGTGTCCCGCGTTACTAGACAGGAGTTCTGACGTCACTGAAGAATCTCGTGTTTTGAAGGGCCATCCCCGCCGTAAGTCGAGAACATACCCCAGGTCCCCGCCGCAACTCGAGAAAAACCATGAGACTTCCCCCTAGATGCGAGATGAGGCCCCATTCCCCTGCAGTGCATGCAGAGCTATTCCGTGACCCCATTCAAACAAGTCAGGAGCTTCGACTTGCTTAATGGATCTCGAGACAGTCCCCAAGAACACTGTGACCAGTCTAGACGGACCCTGAGGTCACCCCAGCAACGCCAAGCAGCTCCATGTGCCCCAAATCAACTCGAGATGAGGCCCGATTCCCCTGCATTGACTCCAGAGCCATTCCCCGTTCCCCATTCAACACGACCGGTGGCTCGACTTCCTTCAGGCAACTCCAGAGATGCCCCGAGAACACTGTCCCAAGTCTAGAGGAACACCAACTTCAGCACAGCAACTCGAGGAATGCTCCGTCTACCCCAAATCGTCTCGAGATGCGAGCTGATTCCCTGGCTTAGGCTCAAGACGTATGCCAACTTCCCAGAAGCACCTCAGGAGGAGGCTTCTCTCAGCAGTAGGTATGTGGGAGGGACCCCGAGTTTGCTGCCTCAAGGGGAATATACAGCGAGAAGCCCTAACTTGAAAGGACGCCGGATTTCCTTGCAGTGGCTTGAATACAGGCTCGTCTTTCATCTCACAACATGAAGGGATGTCTGAATCCCCTGTGGAGACCTTAGAGAAAGCCCTAGGTCCCTGCCTCATTTTGACGGAATGCCTCACATCCCGCTGACACCTCGAGAGGCACGCGGAGTTCATTGCTTCGAAAGGTGACGATGCCTGACTCCTCTTGAATACTGATAGGAATCCCAAAATCCCTGTGGCTACTGGAAAGGGTCCTTGGGTGCCCTGCCTCACCTCGAGAAGCGTCCCTTTGGCCCTGCCAAGCCTCGAAGAGATTCCTGAGCTGTCCCTCGTTACTAGACAGGAGTCCTGACGTCACTGAAGAAACTCGTGTTTTGAAGGGCCATCCCCGCCGTAAGTCGAGAACATACCCCAGGTCCCCGCCGCAACTCGAGAAAAACCATGAGACTTCCCCCTAGAGGCGAGATGAGGCCCCATTCCCCTGCAGTGCATGCAGAGCTATTCCGTGACCCCATTCAAACAAGTCAGGAGCTTCGACTTGCTTAATGGATCTCGAGACAGTCCCCAAGAACACTGTCACCAGTCTAGACGGACCCTGAGGTCACCCCAGCAACGCAAAGCAGCTCCATGTGCCCCAAATCAACTCGAGATGAGACCCGATTCCCCTGCATTGACTCCAGAGCCATTCCCCGTTCCCCATTCAACACGACCGGTGGCTCGACTTCCTTCAGGCAACTCCAGAGATGCCCCGAGAACACTGTCCCAAGTCTAGAGGAACACCAACTTCAGCACAGCAACTCGAGGAATGATCCGTGTACCCCAAATCGTCTCGAGATGCGAGCTGATTCCCTGGCTTAGGCTCAAGACGTATGCCAACTTCCCAGAAGCACCTCAGGAGGAGGCTTCTCTCAGCAATAGGTATGTGGGAGGGACCCCGAGTTTGCTGCCTCAAGGGGAATATACAGCGAGAAGCCCTAACTTGAAAGGAGGCCGGATTTCCTTCCAGTGGCTGGAATACAGGCTCGTCTTTCATCTCACAACATGAAGGGATGTCTGAATCCCCTGTGGAGACCTTAGAGAAAGCCCTAGGTCCCTGCCTCATTTTGACGGAATGCCTCACATCCCGCTGACACCTCGAGAGGCACGCGGAGTTCATTGTTTCAAAAGGTGACGATGCCTGACTCCTCTTGAATACTGATAGGAATCCCAAAATCCCTGTGGCTACTGGAAAGGGTCCTTGGGTGCCCTGCCTCACCTCGAGAAGCGTCCCTTTGGCCCTGCCAAGCGTCGAAGAGATTCCTGAGGTGTCCCTCGTTACCAGACAGGAGTCCTGACGTCACTGAAGAAACTCGTGTTTTGAAGGGCCATCCCCGCCGTAAGTCGAGAACATACCCCAGGTCCCCGCCGCAACTCGAGAAAAACCATGAGACTTCCCCCTAGAGGCGAGATGAGGCCCCATTCCACTGCAGTGCATGCAGAGCTATTCCGTGACCCCATTCAAGCACGTCAGGAGCTTCGACTTGCTTAATGGATCTCGAGACAGTCCACAAGAACACTGTCACCAGTCTAGACGGACCCTGAGGTCACCCCAGCAACGCAAAGCAGCTCCATGTGCCCCAAATCAACTCGAGATGAGGCCCGATTCCCCTGCATTGACTCCAGAGCCATTCCCCGTTCCCCATTCAACACGACCGGTGGCTCGACTTCCTTCAGGCAACTCCAGAGATGCCCCGAGAACACTGTCCCAAGTCTAGAGGAACACCAACTTCAGCACAGCAACTCGAGGAATGCTCCGTGTACCCCAAATCGTCTCGAGATGCGAGCTGATTCCCTGGCTTACGCTCAAGACGTATGCCAACTTCCCAGAAGCACCTCAGGAGGAGGCTTCTCTCAGCAATAGGTATGTGGGAGGGACCCCGAGTTTGCTGCCTCAAGGGGAATATACAGCGAGAAGCCCTAACTTGAAAGGAGGCCGGATTTCCTTGCAGTGGTTTGAATACAGGCTCGTCTTTCATCTCACAACATGAAGGGATGTCTGAATCCCCTGTGGAGACCTTAGAGAAAGCCCTAGGTCCCTGCCTCATTTTGACGGAATGCCTCACATCCCGCTGACACCTCGAGAGGCACGCGGAGTTCATAGCTTCAAAAGGTGACGATGCCTGACTCCTCTTGAATACTGATAGGAATCCCAAAATCCCTGTGGCTACTGGAAAGGGTCCTTGGGTGCCCTGCCTCACCTCGAGAAGCGTCCCTTTGGCCCTGCCAAGCGTCGAAGAGATTCCTGAGGTGTCCCTCGTTACTAGACAGGAGTCCTGACGTCACTGAAGAAACTCGGGTTTTGAAGGGCCATCCCCGCCGTAAGTCGAGAACATACCCCAGGTCCCCGCCGCAACTCGAGAAAAACCATGAGACTTCCCCCTAGAGGCGAGATGAGGCCCCATTCCCCTGCAGTGCATGCAGAGCTATTCCGTGACCCCATTCAAACAAGTCAGGAGCTTCGACTTGCTTAATGGATCTCGAGACAGTCCCCAAGAACACTGTCACCAGTCTAGACGGACCCTGAGGTCACCCCAGCAACGCAAAGCAGCTCCATGTGCCCCAAATCAACTCGAGATGAGGCCCGATTCCCCTGCATTGACTCCAGAGCCATTCCCCGTTCCCCATTCAACACGACCGGTGGCTCGACTTCCTTCAGGCAACTCCAGAGATGCCCCGAGAACACTGTCCCAAGTCTAGAGGAACACCAACTTCAGCACAGCAACTCGAGGAATGCTCCGTCTACCCCAAATCGTCTCGAGATGCGAGCTGATTCCCTGGCTTAGGCTCAAGACGTATGCCAACTTCCCAGAAGCACCTCAGGAGGAGGCTTCTCTCAGCAATAGGTATGTGGGAGGGACCCCGAGTTTGCTGCCTCAAGGGGAATATACAGCGAGAAGCCCTAACTTGAAAGGAGGCCGGATTTCCTTGCAGTGGCTGGAATACAGGCTCGTCTTTCATCTCACAACATGAAGGGATGTCTGAATCCCCTGTGGAGACCTTAGAGAAAGCCCTAGGTCCCTGCCTCATTTTGACGGAATGCCTCACATCCCGCTGACACCTCGAGAGGCACGCGGAGTTCATTGCTTCAAAAGGTGACGATGCCTGACTCCTCTTGAATACTGATAGGAATCCCAAAATCCCTGTGGCTACTGGAAAGGGTCCTTGAGTGCCCTGCCTCACCTCGAGAAGCGTCCCTTTGGCCCTGCCAAGCCTCGAAGAGATTCCTGAGGTGTCCCTCGTTACTAGACAGGAGTCCTGACGTCACTGAAGAAACTCGTGTTTTGAAGGGCCATCCCCGCCGTAAGTCGAGAACATACCCCAGGTCCCCGCCGCAACTCGAGAAAAACCATGAGACTTCCCCCTAGAGGCGAGATGAGGCCCCATTCCCCTGCAGTGCATGCAGAGCTATTCCGTGACCCCATTCAAACAAGTCAGGAGCTTCGACTTGCTTAATGGATCTCGAGACAGTCCCCAAGAACACTGTCACCAGTCTAGACGGACCCTGAGGTCACCCCAGCAACGCAAAGCAGCTCCATGTGCCCCAAATCAACTCGAGATGAGACCCGATTCCCCTGCATTGACTCCAGAGCCATTCCCCGTTCCCCATTCAACACGACCGGTGGCTCGACTTCCTTCAGGCAACTCCAGAGATGCCCCGAGAACACTGTCCCAAGTCTAGAGGAACACCAACTTCAGCACAGCAACTCGAGGAATGCTCCGTGTACCCCAAATCGTCTCGAGATGCGAGCTGATTCCCTGGCTTAGGCTCAAGACGTATGCCAACTTCCCAGAAGCACCTCAGGAGGAGGCTTCTCTCAGCAATAGGTATGTGGGAGGGACCCCGAGTTTGCTGCCTCAAGGGGAATATACAGCGAGAAGCCCTAACTTGAAAGGAGGCCGGATTTCCTTCCAGTGGCTGGAATACAGGCTCGTCTTTCATCTCACAACATGAAGGGATGTCTGAATCCCCTGTGGAGACCTTAGAGAAAGCCCTAGGTCCCTGCCTCATTTTGACGGAATGCCTCACATCCCGCTGACACCTCGAGAGGCACGCGGAGTTCATTGCTTCAAAAGGTGACGATGCCTGACTCCTCTTGAATACTGATAGGAATCCCAAAATCCCTGTGGCTACTGGAAAGGGTCCTTGGGTGCCCTGCCTCACCTCGAGAAGCGTCCCTTTGGCCCTGCCAAGCGTCGAAGAGATTCCTGAGGTGTCCCTCGTTACCAGACAGGAGTCCTGACGTCACTGAAGAAACTCGTGTTTTGAAGGGCCATCCCCGCCGTAAGTCGAGAACATACCCCAGGTCCCCGCCGCAACTCGAGAAAAACCATGAGACTTCCCCCTAGAGGCGAGATGAGGCCCCATTCCCCTGCAGTGCATGCAGAGCTATTCCGTGACCCCATTCAAGCACGTCAGGAGCTTCGACTTGCTTAATGGATCTCGAGACAGTCCACAAGAACACTGTCACCAGTCTAGACGGACCCTGAGGTCACCCCAGCAACGCAAAGCAGCTCCATGTGCCCCAAATCAACTCGAGATGAGGCCCGATTCCCCTGCATTGACTCCAGAGCCATTCCCCGTTCCCCATTCAACACGACCGGTGGCTCGACTTCCTTCAGGCAACTCCAGAGATGCCCCGAGAACACTGTCCCAAGTCTAGAGGAACACCAACTTCAGCACAGCAACTCGAGGAATGCTCCGTCTACCCCAAATCGTCTCGAGATGCGAGCTGATTCCCTGGCTTAGGCTCAAGACGTATGCCAACTTCCCAGAAGCACCTCAGGAGGAGGCTTCTCTCAGCAGTAGGTATGTGGGAGGGACCCCGAGTTTGCTGCCTCAAGGGGAATATACAGCGAGAAGCCCTAACTTGAAAGGAGGCCGGATTTCCTTGCAGTGGCTTGAATACAGGCTCGTCTTTCATCTCACAACATGAAGGGATGTCTGAATCCCCTGTGGAGACCTTAGAGAAAGCCCTAGGTCCCTGCCTCATTTTGACGGAATGCCTCACATCCCGCTGACACCTCGAGAGGCACGCGGAGTTCATTGCTTCGAAAGGTGACGATGCCTGACTCCTCTTGAATACTGATAGGAATCCCAAAATCCCTGTGGCTACTGGAAAGGGTCCTTGGGTGCCCTGCCTCACCTCGAGAAGCGTCCCTTTGGCCCTGCCAAGCCTCGAAGAGATTCCTGAGGTGTCCCTCGTTACTAGACAGGAGTCCTGACGTCACTGAAGAAACTCGTGTTTTGAAGGGCCATCCCCGCCGTAAGTCGAGAACATACCCCAGGTCCCCGCCGCAACTCGAGAAAAACCATGAGACTTCCCCCTAGAGGCGAGATGAGGCCCCATTCCCCTGCAGTGCATGCAGAGCTATTCCGTGACCCCATTCAAACAAGTCAGGAGCTTCGACTTGCTTAATGGATCTCGAGACAGTCCCCAAGAACACTGTCACCAGTCTAGACGGACCCTGAGGTCACCCCAGCAACGCAAAGCAGCTCCATGTGCCCCAAATCAACTCGAGATGAGGCCCGATTCCCCTGCATTGACTCCAGAGCCATTCCCCGTTCCCCATTCAACACGACCGGTGGCTCGACTTCCTGCAGGCAACTCCAGAGATGCCCCGAGAACACTGTCCCAAGTCTAGAGGAACACCAACTTCAGCACAGCAACTCGAGGAATGTTCCGTGTACCCCAAATCGTCTCGAGATGCGAGCTGATTCCCTGGCTTAGGCTCAAGACGTATGCCAACTTCCCAGAAGCACCTCAGGAGGAGGCTTCTCTCAGCAATAGGTATGTGGGAGGGACCCCGAGTTTGCTGCCTCAAGGGGAATATACAGCGAGAAGCCCTAACTTGAAAGGAGGCCGGATTTCCTTGCAGTGGCTGGAATACAGGCTCGTCTTTCATCTCACAACATGAAGGGATGTCTGAATCCCCTGTGGAGACCTTAGAGAAAGCCCTCGGTCCCTGCCTCATTTTGACGGAATGCCTCACATCCCGCTGACACCTCGAGAGGCACGCGGAGTTCATTGCTTCAAAAGGTGACGATGCCTGACTCCTCTTGAATACTGATAGGAATCCCAAAATCCCTGTGGCTACTGGAAAGGGTCCTTGGGTGCCCTGCCTCACCTCGAGAAGCGTCCCTTTTGCCCTGCCAAGCGTCGAAGAGATTCCTGAGGTGTCCCTCGTTACCAGACAGGAGTCCTGACGTCACTGAAGAAACTCGTGTTTTGAAGGGCCATCCCCGCCGTAAGTCGAGAACATACCCCAGGTCCCCGCCGCAACTCGAGAAAAACCATGAGACTTCCCCCTAGAGGCGAGATGAGGCCCCATTCCCCTGCAGTGCATGCAGAGCTATTCCGTGACCCCATTCAAGCAAGTCAGGAGCTTCGACTTGCTTAATGGATCTCGAGACAGTCCACAAGAACACTGTCACCAGTCTAGACGGACCCTGAGGTCACCCCAGCAACGCAAAGCAGCTCCATGTGCCCCAAATCAACTCGAGATGAGGCCCGATTCCCCTGCATTGACTCCAGAGCCATTCCCCGTTCCCCATTCAACACGACCGGTGGCTCGACTTCCTTCAGGCAACTCCAGAGATGCCCCGAGAACACTGTCCCAAGTCTAGAGGAACACCAACTTCAGCACAGCAACTCGAGGAATGCTCCGTGTACCCCAAATCGTCTCGAGATGCGAGCTGATTCCCTGGCTTAGGCTCAAGACGTATGCCAACTTCCCAGAAGCACCTCAGGAGGAGGCTTCTCTCAGCAATAGGTATGTGGGAGGGACCCCGAGTTTGCTGCCTCAAGGGGAATATACAGCGAGAAGCCCTAACTTGAAAGGAGGCCGGATTTCCTTGCAGTGGCTGGAATACAGGCTCGTCTTTCATCTCACAACATGAAGGGATGTCTGAATCCCCTGTGGAGACCTTAGAGAAAGCCCTAGGTCCCTGCCTCATTTTGACGGAATGCCTCACATCCCGCTGACACCTCGAGAGGCACGCGGAGTTCATTGCTTCAAAAGGTGACGATGCCTGACTCCTCTTGAATACTGATAGGAATCCCAAAATCCCTGTGGCTACTGGAAAGGGTCCTTGGGTGCCCTGCCTCACCTCGAGAAGCGTCCCTTTTGCCCTGCCAAGCGTCGAAGAGATTCCTGAGGTGTCCCTCGTTACCAGACAGGAGTCCTGACGTCACTGAAGAAACTCGTGTTTTGAAGGGCCATCCCCGCCGTAAGTCGAGAACATACCCCAGGTCCCCGCCGCAACTCGAGAAAAACCATGAGACTTCCCCCTAGAGGCGAGATGAGGCCCCATTCCCCTGCAGTGCATGCAGAGCTATTCCGTGACACCATTCAAGCACGTCAGGAGCTTCGACTTGCTTAATGGATCTCGAGACAGTCCACAAGAACACTGTCACCAGTCTAGACGGACCCTGAGGTCACCCCAGCAACGCAAAGCAGCTCCATGTGCCCCAAATCAACTCGAGATGAGGCCCGATTCCCCTGCATTGACTCCAGAGCCATTCCCCGTTCCCCATTCAACACGACCGGTGGCTCGACTTCCTTCAGGCAACTCCAGAGATCACCCGAGAACACTGTCCCAAGTCTAGAGGAACACCAACTTCAGCACAGCAACTCGAGGAATGCTCCGTCTACCCCAAATCGTCTCGAGATGCGAGCTGATTCCCTGGCTGAGGCTCAAGACGTATGCCAACTTCCCAGAAGCACCTCAGGAGGAGGCTTCTCTCAGCAATATGTATGTGGGAGGGACCCCGAGTTTGCTGCCTCAAGGGGAATATACAGCGAGAAACCCTAACTTGAAAGGAGGCCGGATTTCCTTGCAGTGGCTGGAATACAGGCTCGTCTTTCATCTCACAACATGAAGGGATGTCTGAATCCCCTGTGGAGACCTTAGAGAAAGCCCTAGGTCCCTGCCTCATTTTGACGGAATGCCTCACATCCCGCTGAAACCTCGAGAGGCACGCGGAGTTCATTGCTTCAAAAGGTGACGATGCCTGACTCCTCTTGAATACTGATAGGAATCCCAAAATCCCTGTGGCTACTGGAAAGGGTCCTTGGGTGCCCTGCCTCACCTCGAGAAGCGTCCCTTTTGCCCTGCCAAGCGTCGAAGAGATTCCTGAGGTGTCCCTCGTTACTAGACAGGAGTCTTGACGTCACTGAAGAATCTCGTGTTTTGAAGGGCCATCCCCGCCGTAAGTCGAGAACATACCCCAGGTCCCCGCCGCAACTCGAGAAAAACCATGAGACTTCCCCCTAGAGGCGAGATGAGGCCCCATTCCCCTGCAGTGCATGCAGAGCTATTCCGTGACCCCATTCAAACAAGTCAGGAGCTTCGACTTGCTTAATGGATCTCGAGACAGTCCCCAAGAACACTGTCACCAGTCTAGACGGACCCTGAGGTCACCCCAGCAACGCAAAGCAGCTCCATGTGCCCCAAATCAACTCGAGATGAGGCCCGATTCCCCTGCATTGACTCCAGAGCCATTCCCCGTTCCCCATTCAACACGACCGGTGGCTCGACTTCCTTCAGGCAACTCCAGAGATGCCCCGAGAACACTGTCCCAAGTCTAGAGGAACACCAACTTCAGCACAACAACTCGAGGAATGCTCCGTGTACCCCAAATCGTCTCGAGATGCGAGCTGATTCCCTGGCTTAGGCTCAAGACGTATGCCAACTTCCCAGAAGCACCTCAGGAGGAGGCTTCTCTCAGCAATAGGTATGTGGGAGGGACCCCGAGTTTGCTGCCTCAAGGGGAATATACAGCGAGAAGCCCTAACTTGAAAGGAGGCCGGATTTCCTTGCAGTGGCTGGAATACAGGCTCGTCTTTCATCTCACAACATGAAGGGATGTCTGAATCCCCTGTGGAGACCTTAGAGAAAGCCCTAGGTCCCTGCCTCATTTTGACGGAATGCCTCACATCCCGCTGACACCTCGAGAGGCACGCGGAGTTCATTGCTTCAAAAGGTGACGATGCCTGACTACTCTTGAATACTGATAGGAATCCCAAAATCCCTGTGGCTACTGGAAAGGGTCCTTGGGTGCCCTGCCTCACCTCGAGAAGCGTCCCTTTTGCCCTGCCAAGCGTCGAAGAGATTCCTGAGGTGTCCCTCGTTACCAGACAGGAGTCCTGACGTCACTGAAGAAACTCGTGTTTTGAAGGGCCATCCCCGCCGTAAGTCGAGAACATACCCCAGGTCCCCGCCGCAACTCGAGAAAAACCATGAGACTTCCCCCTAGAGGCGAGATGAGGCCCCATTCCCCTGCAGTGCATGCAGAGCTATTCCGTGACCCCATTCAAGCACGTCAGGAGCTTCGACTTGCTTAATGGATCTCGAGACAGTCCACAAGAACACTGTCACCAGTCTAGACGGACCCTGAGGTCACCCCAGCAACGCAAAGCAGCTCCATGTGCCCCAAATCAACTCGAGATGAGGCCCGATTCCCCTGCATTGACTCCAGAGCCATTCCCCGTTCCCCATTCAACACGACCGGTGGCTCGACTTCCTTCAGGCAACTCCAGAGATGCCCCGAGAACCCTGTCCCAAGTCTAGAGGAACACCAACTTCAGCACAGCAACTCGAGGAAAGCTCCGTCTACCCCAAATCGTCTCGAGATGCGAGCTGATTCCCTGGCTTAGGCTCAAGACGTATGCCAACTTCCCAGAAGCACCTCAGGAGGAGGCTTCTCTCAGCAATAGGTATGTGGGAGGGACCCCGAGTTTGCTGCCTCAAGGGGAATATACAGCGAGAAGCCCTAACTTGAAAGGAGGCCGGATTTCCTTGCAGTGGCTGGAATACAGGCTCGTCTTTCATCTCACAACATGAAGGGATGTCTGAATCCCCTGTGGAGACCTTAGAGAAAGCCCTAGGTCCCTGCCTCATTTTGACGGAATGCCTCACATCCCGCTGACACCTCGAGAGGCACGCGGAGTTCATTGCTTCAAAAGGTGACGATGCCTGACTCCTCTTGAATACTGATAGGAATCCCAAAATCCCTGTGGCTACTGGAAAGGGTCCTTGGGTGCCCTGCCTCACCTCGAGAAGCGTCCCTTTTGCCCTGCCAAGCGTCGAAGAGATTCCTGAGGTGTCCCTCGTTACCAGACAGGAGTCCTGACGTCACTGAAGAAACTCGTGTTTTGAAGGGCCATCCCCGCCGTAAGTCGAGAACATACCCCAAGTCCCCGCCGCAACTCGAGAAAAACCATGAGACTTCCCCCTAGAGGCGAGATGAGGCCCCATTCCCCTGCAGTGCATGCAGAGCTATTCCGTGACCCCATTCAAGCACGTCAGGAGCTTCGACTTGCTTAATGGATCTCGAGACAGTCCACAAGAACACTGTCACCAGTCTAGACGGACCCTGAGGTCACCCCAGCAACGCAAAGCAGCTCCATGTGCCCCAAATCAACTCGAGATGAGGCCCGATTCCCCTGCATTGACTCCAGAGCCATTCCCCGTTCCCCATTCAACACGACCGGTGGCTCGACTTCCTTCAGGCAACTCCAGAGATGCCCCGAGAACCCTGTCCCAAGTCTAGAGGAACACCAACTTCAGCACAGCAACTCGAGGAATGCTCCGTGTACCCCAAATCGTCTCGAGATGCGAGCTGATTCCCTGGCTTAGGCTCAAGACGTATGCCAACTTCCCAGAAGCACCTCAGGAGGAGGCTTCTCTCAGCAATAGGTATGTGGGAGGGACCCCGAGTTTGCTGCCTCAAGGGGAATATACAGCGAGAAGCCCTAACTTGAAAGGAGGCCGGATTTCCTTGCAGTGGCTGGAATACAGGCTCGTCTTTCATCTCACAACATGAAGGGATGTCTGAATCCCCTGTGGAGACCTTAGAGAAAGCCCTAGGTCCCTGCCTCATTTTGACGGAATGCCTCACATCCCGCTGACACCTCGAGAGGCACGCGGAGTTCATTGCTTCAAAAGGTGACGATGCCTGACTCCTCTTGAATACTGATAGGAATCCCAAAATCCCTGTGGCTACTGGAAAGGGTCCTTGGGTGCCCTGCCTCACCTCGAGAAGCGTCCCTTTTGCCCTGCCAAGCCTCGAAGAGATTCCTGAGGTGTCCATCGTTACTAGACAGGAGTCCTGACGTCACTGAAGAAACTCGTGTTTTGAAGGGCCATCCCCGCCGTAAGTCGAGAACATACCCCAGGTCCCCGCCGCAACTCGAGAAAAACCATGAGACTTCCCCCTAGAGGCGAGATGAGGCCCCATTCCCCTGCAGTGCATGCAGAGCTATTCCGTTACCCCATTCAAACAAGTCAGGAGCTTCGACTTGCTTAATGGATCTCGAGACAGTCCCCAAGAACACTGTGACCAGTCTAGACGGACCCTGAGGTCACCCCAGCAACGCAAAGCAGCTCCATGTGCCCCAAATCAACTCGAGATGAGGCCCGATTCCCCTGCATTGACTCCAGAGCCATTCCCCGTTCCCCATTCAACACGACCGGTGGCTCGACTTCCTTCAGGCAACTCCAGAGATGCCCCGAGAACACTGTCCCAAGTCTAGAGGAACACCAACTTCAGCACAGCAACTCGAGGAATGCTCCGTCTACCCCAAATCGTCTCGAGATGCGAGCTGATTCCCTGGCTTAGGCTCAAGACGTATGCCAACTTCCCAGAAGCACCTCAGGAGGAGGCTTCTCTCAGCAATAGGTATGTGGGAGGGACCCCGAGTTTGCTGCCTCAAGGGGAATATACAGCGAGAAGCCCTAACTTGAAAGGAGGCCGGATTTCCTTGCAGTGGCTGGAATACAGGCTCGTCTTTCATCTCACAACATGAAGGGATGTCTGAATCCCCTGTGGAGACCTTAGAGAAAGCCCTAGGTCCCTGCCTCATTTTGACGGAATGCCTCACATCCCGCTGACACCTCGAGAGGCACGCGGAGTTCATTGCTTCAAAAGGTGACGATGCCTGACTCCTCTTGAATACTGATAGGAATCCCAAAATCCCTGTGGCTACTGGAAAGGGTCCTTGGGTGCCCTGCCTCATCTCGAGAAGCGTCCCTTTGGCCCTGCCAAGCCTCGAAGAGATTCCTGAGGTGTCCCTCGTTACTAGACAGGAGTCCTGACGTCACTGAAGAAACTCGTGTTTTGAAGGGCCATCTCCGCCGTAAGTCGAGAACATACCCCAGGTCTCCGCCGCAACTCGAGAAAAACCATGAGACTTCCCCCTAGAGGCGAGATGAGGCCCCATTCCCCTGCAGTGCATGCAGAGCTATTCCGTGACCCCATTCAAACAAGTCAGGAGCTTCGACTTGCTTAATGGATCTCGAGACAGTCCCCAAGAACACTGTCACCAGTCTAGACGGACCCTGAGGTCACCCCAGCAACGCAAAGCAGCTCCATGTGCCCCAAATCAACTCGAGATGAGGCCCGATTCCCCTGCATTGACTCCAGAGCCATTCCCCGTTCCCCATTCAACACGACCGGTGGCTCGACTTCCTTCAGGCAACTCCAGAGATGCCCCGAGAACACTGTCCCAAGTCTAGAGGAACACCAACTTCAGCACAGCAACTCGAGGAATGCTCCGTGTACCCCAAATCGTCTCGAGATGCGAGCTGATTCCCTGGCTTAGGCTCAAGACGTATGCCAACTTCCCAGAAGCACCTCAGGAGGAGGCTTCTCTCAGCAATAGGTATGTGGGAGGGACCCCGAGTTTGCTGCCTCAAGGGGAATATACAGCGAGAAGCCCTAACTTGAAAGGAGGCCGGATTTCCTTGCAGTGGTTTGAATACAGGCTCGTCTTTCATCTCACAACATGAAGGGATGTCTGAATCCCCTGTGGAGACCTTAGAGAAAGCCCTAGGTCCCTGCCTCATTTTGACGGAATGCCTCACATCCCGCTGACACCTCGAGAGGCACGCGGAGTTCATAGCTTCAAAAGGTGACGATGCCTGACTCCTCTTGAATACTGATAGGAATCCCAAAATCCCTGTGGCTACTGGAAAGGGTCCTTGGGTGCCCTGCCTCACCTCGAGAAGCGTCCCTTTGGCCCTGCCAAGCCTCGAAGAGATTCCTGAGGTGTCCCTCGTTACTAGACAGGAGTCCTGACGTCACTGAAGAAACTCGTGTTTTGAAGGGCCATCCCCGCCGTAAGTCGAGAACATACCCCAGGTCCCCGCCGCAACTCGAGAAAAACTATGAGACTTCCCCCTAGAGGCGAGATGAGGACCCATTCCCCTGCAGTGCATGCAGAGCTATTCCGTGACCCCATTCAAACAAGTCAGGAGCTTCGACTTGCTTAATGGATCTCGAGACAGTCCCCAAGAACACTGTCACCAGTCTAGACGGACCCTGAGGTCACCCCAGCAACGCAAAGCAGCTCCATGTGCCCCAAATCAACTCGAGATGAGGCCCGATTCCCCTGCATTGACTCCAGAGCCATTCCCCGTTCCCCATTCAACACGACCGGTGGCTCGACTTCCTTCAGGCAACTCCAGAGATGCCCCGAGAACACTGTCCCAAGTCTAGAGGAACACCAACTTCAGCACAGCAACTCGAGGAATGCTCCGTGTACCCCAAATCGTCTCGAGATGCGAGCTGATTCCCTGGCTTACGCTCAAGACGTATGCCAACTTCCCAGAAGCACCTCAGGAGGAGGCTTCTCTCAGCAATAGGTATGTGGGAGGGACCCCGAGTTTGCTGCCTCAAGGGGAATATACAGCGAGAAGCCCTAACTTGAAAGGAGGCCGGATTTCCTTGCAGTGGTTTGAATACAGGCTCGTCTTTCATCTCACAACATGAAGGGATGTCTGAATCCCCTGTGGAGACCTTAGAGAAAGCCCTAGGTCCCTGCCTCATTTTGACGGAATGCCTCACATCCCGCTGACACCTCGAGAGGCACGCGGAGTTCATAGCTTCAAAAGGTGACGATGCCTGACTCCTCTTGAATACTGATAGGAATCCCAAAATCCCTGTGGCTACTGGAAAGGGTCCTTGGGTGCCCTGCCTCACCTCGAGAAGCGTCCCTTTGGCCCTGCCAAGCGTCGAAGAGATTCCTGAGGTGTCCCTCGTTACTAGACAGGAGTCCTGACGTCACTGAAGAAACTCGTGTTTTGAAGGGCCATCCCCGCCGTAAGTCGAGAACATACCCCAGGTCTCCGCCGCAACTCGAGAAAAACCATGAGACTTCCCCCTAGAGGCGAGATGAGGCCCCATTCCCATGCAGTGCATGCAGAGCTATTCCGTGACCCCATTCAAACAAGTCAGGAGCTTCGACTTGCTTAATGGATCTCGAGACAGTCCCCAAGAACACTGTCACCAGTCTAGACGGACCCTGAGGTCACCCCAGCAACGCAAAGCAGCTCCATGTGCCCCAAATCAACTCGAGATGAGGCCCGATTCCCCTGCATTGACTCCAGAGCCATTCCCCGTTCCCCATTCAACACGACCGGTGGCTCGACTTCCTTCAGGCAACTCCAGAGATGCCCCGAGAACACTGTCCCAAGTCTAGAGGAACACCAACTTCAGCACAGCAACTCGAGGAATGCTCCGTCTACCCCAAATCGTCTCGAGATGCGAGCTGATTCCCTGGCTTAGGCTCAAGACGTATGCCAACTTCCCAGAAGCACCTCAGGAGGAGGCTTCTCTCAGCAATAGGTATGTGGGAGGGACCCCGAGTTTGCTGCCTCAAGGGGAATATACAGCGAGAAGCCCTAACTTGAAAGGAGGCCGGATTTCCTTGCAGTGGCTGGAATACAGGCTCGTCTTTCATCTCACAACATGAAGGGATGTCTGAATCCCCTGTGGAGACCTTAGAGAAAGCCCTAGGTCCCTGCCTCATTTTGACGGAATGCCTCACATCCCGCTGACACCTCGAGAGGCACGCGGAGTTCATTGCTTCAAAAGGTGACGATGCCTGACTCCTCTTGAATACTGATAGGAATCCCAAAATCCCTGTGGCTACTGGAAAGGGTCCTTGAGTGCCCTGCCTCACCTCGAGAAGCGTCCCTTTGGCCCTGCCAAGCCTCGAAGAGATTCCTGAGGTGTCCCTCGTTACTAGACAGGAGTTCTGACGTCACTGAAGAATCTCGTGTTTTGAAGGGCCATCCCCGCCGTAAGTCGAGAACATACCCCAGGTCCCCGCCGCAACTCGAGAAAAACCATGAGACTTCCCCCTAGAGGCGAGATGAGGCCCCATTCCCCTGCAGTGCATGCAGAGCTATTCCGTGACCCCATTCAAACAAGTCAGGAGCTTCGACTTGCTTAATGGATCTCGAGACAGTCCCCAAGAACACTGTCACCAGTCTAGACGGACCCTGAGGTCACCCCAGCAACGCAAAGCAGCTCCATGTGCCCCAAATCAACTCGAGATGAGGCCCGATTCCCCTGCATTGATTCCAGAGCCATTCCCCGTTCCCCATTCAACACGACCGGTGGCTCGACTTCCTTCAGGCAACTCCAGAGATGCCCCGAGAACACTGTCCCAAGTCTAGAGGAACACCAACTTCAGCACAGCAACTCGAGGAATGCTCCGTCTACCCCAAATCGTCTCGAGATGCGAGCTGATTCCCTGGCTTAGGCTCAAGACGTATGCCAACTTCCCAGAAGCACCTCAGGAGGAGGCTTCTCTCAGCAGTAGGTATGTGGGAGGGACCCCGAGTTTGCTGCCTCAAGGGGAATATACAGCGAGAAGCCCTAACTTGAAAGGACGCCGGATTTCCTTGCAGTGGCTTGAATACAGGCTCGTCTTTCATCTCACAACATGAAGGGATGTCTGAATCCCCTGTGGAGACCTTAGAGAAAGCCCTAGGTCCCTGCCTCATTTTGACGGAATGCCTCACATCCCGCTGACACCTCGAGAGGCACGCGGAGTTCATTGCTTCGAAAGGTGACGATGCCTGACTCCTCTTGAATACTGATAGGAATCCCAAAATCCCTGTGGCTACTGGAAAGGGTCCTTGGGTGCCCTGCCTCACCTCGAGAAGCGTCCCTTTGGCCCTGCCAAGCCTCGAAGAGATTCCTGAGCTGTCCCTCGTTACTAGACAGGAGTCCTGACGTCACTGAAGAAACTCGTGTTTTGAAGGGCCATCCCCGCCGTAAGTCGAGAACATACCCCAGGTCCCCGCCGCAACTCGAGAAAAACCATGAGACTTCCCCCTAGAGGCGAGATGAGGCCCCATTCCCCTGCAGTGCATGCAGAGCTATTCCGTGACCCCATTCAAACAAGTCAGGAGCTTCGACTTGCTTAATGGATCTCGAGACAGTCCCCAAGAACACTGTCACCAGTCTAGACGGACCCTGAGGTCACCCCAGCAACGCAAAGCAGCTCCATGTGCCCCAAATCAACTCGAGATGAGGCCCGATTCCCCTGCATTGACTCCAGAGCCATTCCCCGTTCCCCATTCAACACGACCGGTGGCTCGACTTCCTTCAGGCAACTCCAGAGATGCCCCGAGAACACTGTCCCAAGTCTAGAGGAACACCAACTTCAGCACAGCAACTCGAGGAATGCTCCGTGTACCCCAAATCGTCTCGAGATGCGAGCTGATTCCCTGGCTTACGCTCAAGACGTATGCCAACTTCCCAGAAGCACCTCAGGAGGAGGCTTCTCTCAGCAATAGGTATGTGGGAGGGACCCCGAGTTTGCTGCCTCAAGGGGAATATACAGCGAGAAGCCCTAACTTGAAAGGAGGCCGGATTTCCTTGCAGTGGCTGGAATACAGGCTCGTCTTTCATCTCACAACATGAAGGGATGTCTGAATCCCCTGTGGAGACCTTAGAGAAAGCCCTAGGTCCCTGCCTCATTTTGACGGAATGCCTCACATCCCGCTGACACCTCGAGAGGCACGCGGAGTTCATTGCTTCAAAAGGTGACGATGCCTAACTCCTCTTGAATACTGATAGGAATCCCAAAATCCCTGTGGCTACTGGAAAGGGTCCTTGGGTGCCCTGCCTCACCTCGAGAAGCGTCCCTTTTGCCCTGCCAAGCGTCGAAGAGATTCCTGAGGTGTCCCTCGTTACTAGACAGGAGTCCTGACGTCACTGAAGAATCTCGTGTTTTGAAGGGCCATCCCCGCCGTAAGTCGAGAACATACCCCAGGTCCCCGCCGCAACTCGAGAAAAACCATGAGACTTCCCCCTAGAGGCGAGATGAGGCCCCATTCCCCTGCAGTGCATGCAGAGCTATTCCGTGACCCCATTCAAACAAGTCAGGAGCTTCGACTTGCTTAATGGATCTCGAGACAGTCCCCAAGAACACTGTCACCAGTCTAGACGGACCCTGAGGTCACCCCAGCAACGCAAAGCAGCTCCATGTGCCCCAAATCAACTCGAGATGAGGCCCGATTCCCCTGCATTGACTCCAGAGCCATTCCCCGTTCCCCATTCAACACTACCGGTGGCTCGACTTCCTTCAGGCAACTCCAGAGATGCCCCGAGAACACTGTCCCAAGTCTAGAGGAACACCAACTTCAGCACAGCAACTCGAGGAATGCTCCATGTACCCCAAATCGTCTCGAGATGCGAGCTGATTCCCTGGCTTAGGCTCAAGACGTATGCCAACTTCCCAGAAGCACCTCAGGAGGAGGCTTCTCTCAGCAATAGGTATGTGGGAGGGACCCCAAGTTTGCTGCCTCAAGGGGAATATACAGCGAGAAGCCCTAACTTGAAAGGAGGCCGGATTTCCTTGCAGTGGCTGGAATACAGGCTCGTCTTTCATCTCACAACATGAAGGGATGTCTGAATCCCCTGTGGAGACCTTAGAGAAAGCCCTAGGTCCCTGCCTCATTTTGACGGAATGCCTCACATCCCGCTGACACCTCGAGAGGCACGCGGAGTTCATTGCTTCAAAAGGTGACGATGCCTGACTCCTCTTGAATACTGATAGGAATCCCAAAATCCCTGTGGCTACTGGAAAGGGTCCTTGGGTGCCCTGCCTCACCTCGAGAAGCGTCCCTTTTGCCCTGCCAAGCGTCGAAGAGATTCCTGAGGTGTCCCTCGTTACCAGACAGGAGTCCTGACGTCACTGAAGAAACTCGTGTTTTGAAGGGCCATCCCCGCCGTAAGTCGAGAACATACCCCAGGTCCCCGCCGCAACTCGAGAAAAACCATGAGACTTCCCCCTAGAGGCGAGATGAGGCCCCATTCCCCTGCAGTGCATGCAGAGCTATTCCGTGACCCCATTCAAGCACGTCAGGAGCTTCGACTTGCTTAATGGATCTCGAGACAGTCCACAAGAACACTGTCACCAGTCTAGACGGACCCTGAGGTCACCCCAGCAACGCAAAGCAGCTCCATGTGCCCCAAATCAACTCGAGATGAGGCCCGATTCCCCTGCATTGACTCCAGAGCCATTCCCCGTTCCCCATTCAACACGACCGGTGGCTCGACTTCCTTCAGGCAACTCCAGAGATGCCCCGAGAACACTGTCCCAAGTCTAGAGGAACACCAACTTCAGCACAGCAACTCGAGGAATGCTCCGTGTACCCCAAATCGTCTCGAGATGCGAGCTGATTCCCTGGCTTAGGCTCAAGACGTATGCCAACTTCCCAGAAGCACCTCAGGAGGAGGCTTCTCTCAGCAATAGGTATGTGGGAGGGACCCCGAGTTTGCTGCCTCAAGGGGAATATACAGCGAGAAGCCCTAACTTGAAAGGAGGCCGGATTTCCTTGCAGTGGCTGGAATACAGGCTCGTCTTTCATCTCACAACATGAAGGGATGTCTGAATCCCCTGTGGAGACCTTAGAGAAAGCCCTAGGTCCCTGCCTCATTTTGACGGAATGCCTCACATCCCGCTGACACCTCGAGAGGCACGCGGAGTTCATTGCTTCAAAAGGTGACGATGCCTGACTCCTCTTGAATACTGATAGGAATCCCAAAATCCCTGTGGCTACTGGAAAGGGTCCTTGGGTGCCCTGCCTCATCTCGAGAAGCGTCCCTTTGGCCCTGCCAAGCCTCGAAGAGATTCCTGAGGTGTCCCTCGTTACTAGACAGGAGTCCTGACGTCACTGAAGAAACTCGTGTTTTGAAGGGCCATCCCCGCCGTAAGTCGAGAACATACCCCAGGTCTCCGCCGCAACTCGAGAAAAACCATGAGACTTCCCCCTAGAGGCGAGATGAGGCCCCATTCCCCTGCAGTGCATGCAGAGCTATTCCGTGACCCCATTCAAACAAGTCAGGAGCTTCGACTTGCTTAATGGATCTCGAGACAGTCCCCAAGAACACTGTCACCAGTCTAGACGGACCCTGAGGTCACCCCAGCAACGCAAAGCAGCTCCATGTGCCCCAAATCAACTCGAGATGAGGCCCGATTCCCCTGCATTGACTCCAGAGCCATTCCCCGTTCCCCATTCAACACGACCGGTGGCTCGACTTCCTTCAGGCAACTCCAGAGATGCCCCGAGAACACTGTCCCAAGTCTAGAGGAACACCAACTTCAGCACAGCAACTCGAGGAATGCTCCGTGTACCCCAAATCGTCTCGAGATGCGAGCTGATTCCCTGGCTTAGGCTCAAGACGTATGCCAACTTCCCAGAAGCACCTCAGGAGGAGGCTTCTCTCAGCAATAGGTATGTGGGAGGGACCCCGAGTTTGCTGCCTCAAGGGGAATATACAGCGAGAAGCCCTAAATTGAAAGGAGGCCGGATTTCCTTGCAGTGGTTTGAATACAGGCTCGTCTTTCATCTCACAACATGAAGGGATGTCTGAATCCCCTGTGGAGAACTTAGAGAAAGCCCTAGGTCCCTGCCTCATTTTGACGGAATGCCTCACATCCCGCTGACACCTCGAGAGGCACGCGGAGTTCATAGCTTCAAAAGGTGACGATGCCTGACTCCTCTTGAATACTGATAGGAATCCCAAAATCCCTGTGGCTACTGGAAAGGGTCCTTGGGTGCCCTGCCTCACCTCGAGAAGCGTCCCTTTGGCCCTGCCAAGCCTCGAAGAGATTCCTGAGGTGTCCCTCGTTACTAGACAGGAGTCCTGACGTCACTGAAGAAACTCGTGTTTTGAAGGGCCATCCCCGCCGTAAGTCGAGAACATACCCCAGGTCCCCGCCGCAACTCGAGAAAAACTATGAGACTTCCCCCTAGAGGCGAGATGAGGCCCCATTCCCCTGCAGTGCATGCAGAGCTATTCCGTGACCCCATTCAAACAAGTCAGGAGCTTCGACTTGCTTAATGGATCTCGAGACAGTCCACAAGAACACTGTCACCAGTCTAGACGGACCCTGAGGTCACCCCAGCAACGCAAAGCAGCTCCATGTGCCCCAAATCAACTCGAGATGAGGCCCGATTCCCCTGCATTGACTCCAGAGCCATTCCCCGTTCCCCATTCAACACGACCGGTGGCTCGACTTCCTTCAGGCAACTCCAGAGATGCCCCGAGAACACTGTCCCAAGTCTAGAGGAACACCAACTTCAGCACAGCAACTCGAGGAATGCTCCGTGTACCCCAAATCGTCTCGAGATGCGAGCTGATTCCCTGGCTTAGGCTCAAGACGTATGCCAACTTCCCAGAAGCACCTCAGGAGGAGGCTTCTCTCAGCAATAGGTATGTGGGAGGGACCCCGAGTTTGCTGCCTCAAGGGGAATATACAGCGAGAAGCCCTAACTTGAAAGGAGGCCGGATTTCCTTGCAGTGGTTTGAATACAGGCTCGTCTTTCATCTCACAACATGAAGGGATGTCTGAATCCCCTGTGGAGACCTTAGAGAAAGCCCTAGGTCCCTGCCTCATTTTGACGGAATGCCTCACATCCCGCTGACACCTCGAGAGGCACGCGGAGTTCATAGCTTCAAAAGGTGACGATGCCTGACTCCTCTTGAATACTGATAGGAATCCCAAAATCCCTGTGGCTACTGGAAAGGGTCCTTGGGTGCCCTGCCTCACCTCGAGAAGCGTCCCTTTGGCCCTGCCAAGCGTCGAAGAGATTCCTGAGGTGTCCCTCGTTACTAGACAGGAGTCCTGACGTCACTGAAGAAACTCGTGTTTTGAAGGGCCATCCCCGCCGTAAGTCGAGAACATACCCCAGGTCCCCGCCGCAACTCGAGAAAAACCATGAGACTTCCCACTAGAGGCGAGATGAGGCCCCATTCCCCTGCAGTGCATGCAGAGCTATTCCGTGACCCCATTCAAACAAGTCAGGAGCTTCGACTTGCTTAATGGATCTCGAGACAGTCCCCAAGAACACTGTCACCAGTCTAGACGGACCCTGAGGTCACCCCAGCAACGCAAAGCAGCTCCATGTGCCCCAAATCAACTCGAGATGAGGCCCGATTCCCCTGCATTGACTCCAGAGCCATTCCCCGTTCCCCATTCAACACGACCGGTGGCTCGACTTCCTTCAGGCAACTCCAGAGATGCCCCGAGAACACTGTCCCAAGTCTAGAGGAACACCAACTTCAGCACAGCAACTCGAGGAATGCTCCGTGTACCCCAAATCGTCTCGAGATGCGAGCTGATTCCCTGGCTTAGGCTCAAGACGTATGCCAACTTCCCAGAAGCACCTCAGGAGGAGGCTTCTCTCAGCAATAGGTATGTGGGAGGGACCCCGAGTTTGCTGCCTCAAGGGGAATATACAGCGAGAAGCCCTAACTTGAAAGGAGGCCGGATTTCCTTGCAGTGGCTGGAATACAGGCTCGTCTTTCATCTCACAACATGAAGGGATGTCTGAATCCCCTGTGGAGACCTTAGAGAAAGCCCTAGGTCCCTGCCTCATTTTGACGGAATGCCTCACATCCCGCTGACACCTCGAGAGGCACGCGGAGTTCATTGCTTCAAAAGGTGACGATGCCTGACTCCTCTTGAATACTGATAGGAATCCCAAAATCCCTGTGGCTACTGGAAAGGGTCCTTGGGTGCCCTGCCTCACCTCGAGAAGCGTCCCTTTTGCCCTGCCAAGCGTCGAAGAGATTCCTGAGGTGTCCCTCGTTACCAGACAGGAGTCCTGACGTCACTGAAGAAACTCGTGTTTTGAAGGGCCATCCCCGCCGTAAGTCGAGAACATACCCCAGGTCCCCGCCGCAACTCGAGAAAAACCATGAGACTTCCCCCTAGAGGCGAGATGAGGCCCCATTCCCCTGCAGTGCATGCAGAGCTATTCCGTGACCCCATTCAACCACGTCAGGAGCTTCGACTTGCTTAATGGATCTCGAGACAGTGCACAAGAACACTGTCACCAGTCTAGACGGACCCTGAGGTCACCCCAGCAACGCAAAGCAGCTCCATGTGCCCCAAATCAACTCGAGATGAGGCCCGATTCCCCTGCATTGACTCCAGAGCCATTCCCCTTTCCCCATTCAACACGACCGGTGGCTCGACTTCCTTCAGGCAACTCCAGAGATGCCCCGAGAACACTGTCCCAAGTCTAGAGGAACACCAACTTCAGCACAGCAACTCGAGGAATGCTCCGTGTACCCCAAATCGTCTCGAGATGCGAGCTGATTCCCTGGCTTAGGCTCAAGACGTATGCCAACTTCCCAGAAGCACCTCAGGAGGAGGCTTCTCTCAGCAATAGGTATGTGGGAGGGACCCCGAGTTTGCTGCCTCAAGGGGAATATACAGCGAGAAGCCCTAACTTGAAAGGAGGCCGGATTTCCTTGCAGTGGCTGGAATACAGGCTCGTCTTTCATCTCACAACATGAAGGGATGTCTGAATCCCCTGTGGAGACCTTAGAGAAAGCCCTAGGTCCCTGCCTCATTTTGACGGAATGCCTCACATCCCGCTGACACCTCGAGAGGCACGCGGAGTTCATTGCTTCAAAAGGTGACGATGCCTGACTCCTCTTGAATACTGATAGGAATCCCAAAATCCCTGTGGCTACTGGAAAGGGTCCTTGGGTGCCCTGCCTCATCTCGAGAAGCGTCCCTTTGGCCCTGCCAAGCCTCGAAGAGATTCCTGAGGTGTCCCTCGTTACCAGACAGGAGTCCTGACGTCACTGAAGAAACTCGTGTTTTGAAGGGCCATCCCCGCCGTAAGTCGAGAACATACCCCAGGTCTCCGCCGCAACTCGAGAAAAACCATGAGACTTCCCCCTAGAGGCGAGATGAGGCCCCATTCCCCTGCAGTGCATGCAGAGCTATTCCGTGACCCCATTCAAACAAGTCAGGAGCTTCGACTTGCTTAATGGATCTCGAGACAGTCCCCAAGAACACTGTCACCAGTCTAGACGGACCCTGAGGTCACCCCAGCAACGCAAAGCAGCTCCATGTGCCCCAAATCAACTCGAGATGAGGCCCGATTCCCCTGCATTGACTCCAGAGCCATTCCCCGTTCCCCATTCAACACGACCGGTGGCTCGACTTCCTTCAGGCAACTCCAGAGATGCCCCGAGAACACTGTCCCAAGTCTAGAGGAACACCAACTTCAGCACAGCAACTCGAGGAATGCTCCGTGTACCCCAAATCGTCTCGAGATGCGAGCTGATTCCCTGGCTTAGGCTCAAGACGTATGCCAACTTCCCAGAAGCACCTCAGGAGGAGGCTTCTCTCAGCAATAGGTATGTGGGAGGGACCCCGAGTTTGCTGCCTCAAGGGAAATATACAGCGAGAAGCCCTAACTTGAAAGGAGGCCGGATTTCCTTGCAGTGGTTTGAATACAGGCTCGTCTTTCATCTCACAACATGAAGGGATGTCTGAATCCCCTGTGGAGACCTTAGAGAAAGCCCTAGGTCCCTGCCTCATTTTGACGGAATGCCTCACATCCCGCTGACACCTCGAGAGGCACGCGGAGTTCATAGCTTCAAAAGGTGACGATGCCTGACTCCTCTTGAATACTGATAGGAATCCCAAAATCCCTGTGGCTACTGGAAAGGGTCCTTGGGTGCCCTGCCTCACCTCGAGAAGCGTCCCTTTGGCCCTGCCAAGCCTCGAAGAGATTCCTGAGGTGTCCCTCGTTACTAGACAGGAGTCCTGACGTCACTGAAGAAACTCGTGTTTTGAAGGGCCATCCCCGCCGTAAGTCGAGAACATACCCCAGGTCCCCGCCGCAACTCGAGAAAAACCATGAGACTTCCCCCTAGAGGCGAGATGAGGCCCCATTCCCCTGCAGTGCATGCAGAGCTATTCCGTGACCCCATTCAAACAAGTCAGGAGCTTCGACTTGCTTAATGGATCTCGAGACAGTCCCCAAGAACACTGTCACCAGTCTAGACGGACCCTGAGGTCACCCCAGCAACGCAAAGCAGCTCCATGTGCCCCAAATCAACTCGAGATGAGGCCCGATTCCCCTGCATTGACTCCAGAGCCATTCCCCGTTCCCCATTCAACACGACCGGTGGCTCGACTTCCTTCAGGCAACTCCAGAGATGCCCCGAGAACACTGTCCCAAGTCTAGAGGAACACCAACTTCAGCACAGCAACTCGAGGAATGCTCCGTGTACCCCAAATCGTCTCCAGATGCGAGCTGATTCCCTGGCTTAGGCTCAAGACGTATGCCAACTTCCCAGAAGCACCTCAGGAGGAGGCTTCTCTCAGCAATAGGTATGTGGGAGGGACCCCGAGTTTGCTGCCTCAAGGGGAATATACAGCGAGAAGCCCTAACTTGAAAGGAGGCCGGATTTCCTTGCAGTGGCTGGAATACAGGCTCGTCTTTCATCTCACAACATGAAGGGATGTCTGAATCCCCTGTGGAGACCTTAGAGAAAGCCCTAGGTCCCTGCCTCATTTTGACGGAATGCCTCACATCCCGCTGACACCTCGAGAGGCACGCGGAGTTCATTGCTTCAAAAGGTGACGATGCCTGACTCCTCTTGAATACTGATAGGAATCCCAAAATCCCTGTGGCTACTGGAAAGGGTCCTTGGGTGCCCTGCCTCACCTCGAGAAGCGTCCCTTTGGCCCTGCCAAGCCTCGAAGAGATTCCTGAGGTGTCCCTCGTTACTAGACAGGAGTCCTGACGTCACTGAAGAATCTCGTGTTTTGAAGGGCCATCCCCGCCGTAAGTCGAGAACATACCCCAGGTCCCCGCCGCAACTCGAGAAAAACCATGAGACTTCCCCCTAGAGGCGAGATGAGGCCCCATTCCCCTGCAGTGCATGCAGAGCTATTCCGTGACCCCATTCAAACAAGTCAGGAGCTTCGACTTGCTTAATGGATCTCGAGACAGTCCCCAAGAACACTGTCACCAGTCTAGACGGACCCTGAGGTCACCCCAGCAACGCAAAGCAGCTCCATGTGCCCCAAATCAACTCGAGATGAGGCCCGATTCCCCTGCATTGACTCCAGAGCCATTCCCCGTTCCCCATTCAACACGACCGGTGGCTCGACTTCCTTCAGGCAACTCCAGAGATGCCCCGAGAACACTGTCCCAAGTCTAGAGGAACACCAACTTCAGCACAGCAACTCGAGGAATGCTCCGTGTACCCCAAATCGTCTCGAGATGCGAGCTGATTCCCTGGCTTAGGCTCAAGACGTATGCCAACTTCCCAGAAGCACCTCAGGAGGAGGCTTCTCTCAGCAATAGGTATGTGGGAGGGACCCCGAGTTTGCTGCCTCAAGGGGAATATACAGCGAGAAGCCCTAACTTGAAAGGAGGCCGGATTTCCTTGCAGTGGCTTGAATACAGGCTCGTCTTTCATCTCAAAACATGAAGGGATGTCTGAATCCCCTGTGGAGACCTTAGAGAAAGCCCTAGGTCCCTGCCTCATTTTGACGGAATGCCTCACATCCCGCTGACACCTCGAGAGGCACGCGGAGTTCATTGCTTCAAAAGGTGACGATGCCTGACTCCTCTTGAATACTGATAGGAATCCCAAAATCCCTGTGGCTACTGGAAAGGGTCCTTGGGTGCCCTGCCTCACCTCGAGAAGCGTCCCTTTTGCCCTGCCAAGCGTCGAAGAGATTCCTGAGGTGTCCCTCGTTACCAGACAGGAGTCCTGACGTCACTGAAGAAACTCGTGTTTTGAAGGGCCATCCCCGCCGTAAGTCGAGAACATACCACAGGTCCCCGCCGCAACTCGAGAAAAACCATGAGACTTCCCCCTAGAGTCGAGATGAGGCCCCATTCCCCTGCAGTGCATGCAGAGCTATTCCGTGACCCCATTCAAGCACGTCAGGAGCTTCGACTTGCTTAATGGATCTCGAGACAGTCCACAAGAACACTGTCACCAGTCTAGACGGACCCTGAGGTCACCCCAGCAACGCAAAGCAGCTCCATGTGCCCCAAATCAACTCGAGATGAGGCCCGATTCCCCTGCATTGACTCCAGAGCCATTCCCCGTTCCCCATTCAACACGACCGGTGGCTCGACTTCCTTCAGGCAACTCCAGAGATGCCCCGAGAACACTGTCCCAAGTCTAGAGGAACACCAACTTCAGCACAGCAACTCGAGGAATGCTCCGTCTACCCCAAATCGTCTCGAGATGCGAGCTGATTCCCTGGCTTAGGCTCAAGACGTATGCCAACTTCCCAGAAGCACCTCAGGAGGAGGCTTCTCTCAGCAGTAGGTATGTGGGAGGGACCCCGAGTTTGCTGCCTCAAGGGGAATATACAGCGAGAAGCCCTAACTTGAAAGGAGGCCGGATTTCCTTGCAGTGGCTTGAATACAGGCTCGTCTTTCATCTCACAACATGAAGGGATGTCTGAATCCCCTGTGGAGACCTTAGAGAAAGCCCTAGGTCCCTGCCTCATTTTGACGGAATGCCTCACATCCCGCTGACACCTCGAGAGGCACGCGGAGTTCATTGCTTCGAAAGGTGACGATGCCTGACTCCTCTTGAATACTGATAGGATTCCCAAAATCCCTGTGGCTACTGGAAAGGGTCCTTGGGTGCCCTGCCTCACCTCGAGAAGCGTCCCTTTGGCCCTGCCAAGCCTCGAAGAGATTCCTGAGCTGTCCCTCGTTACTAGACAGGAGTCCTGACGTCACTGAAGAAACTCGTGTTTTGAAGGGCCATCCCCGCCGTAAGTCGAGAACATACCCCAGGTCCCCGCCGCAACTCGAGAAAAACCATGAGACTTCCCCCTAGAGGCGAGATGAGGCCCCATTCCCCTGCAGTGCATGCAGAGCTATTCCGTGACCCCATTCAAACAAGTCAGGAGCTTCGACTTGCTTAATGGATCTCGAGACAGTCCCCAAGAACACTGTCACCAGTCTAGACGGACCCTGAGGTCACCCCAGCAACGCAAAGCAGCTCCATGTGCCCCAAATCAACTCGAGATGAGACCCGATTCCCCTGCATTGACTCCAGAGCCATTCCCCGTTCCCCATTCAACACGACCGGTGGCTCGACTTCCTTCAGGCAACTCCAGAGATGCCCCGAGAACACTGTCCCAAGTCTAGAGGAACACCAACTTCAGCACAGCAACTCGAGGAATGCTCCGTGTACCCCAAATCGTCTCGAGATGCGAGCTGATTCCCTGGCTTAGGCTCAAGACGTATGCCAACTTCCCAGAAGCACCTCAGGAGGAGGCTTCTCTCAGCAATAGGTATGTGGGAGGGACCCCGAGTTTGCTGCCTCAAGGGGAATATACAGCGAGAAGCCCTAACTTGAAAGGAGGCCGGATTTCCTTCCAGTGGCTGGAATACAGGCTCGTCTTTCATCTCACAACATGAAGGGATGTCTGAATCCCCTGTGGAGACCTTAGAGAAAGCCCTAGGTCCCTGCCTCATTTTGACGGAATGCCTCACATCCCGCTGACACCTCGAGAGGCACGCGGAGTTCATTGCTTCAAAAGGTGACGATGCCTGACTCCTCTTGAATACTGATAGGAATCCCAAAATCCCTGTGGCTACTGGAAAGGGTCCTTGGGTGCCCTGCCTCACCTCGAGAAGCGTCCCTTTGGCCCTGCCAAGCGTCGAAGAGATTCCTGAGGTGTCCCTCGTTACCAGACAGGAGTCCTGACGTCACTGAAGAAACTCGTGTTTTGAAGGGCCATCCCCGCCGTAAGTCGAGAACATACCCCAGGTCCCCGCCGCAACTCGAGAAAAACCATGAGACTTCCCCCTAGAGGCGAGATGAGGCCCCATTCCCCTGCAGTGCATGCAGAGCTATTCCGTGACCCCATTCAAGCACGTCAGGAGCTTCGACTTGCTTAATGGATCTCGAGACAGTCCACAAGAACACTGTCACCAGTCTAGACGGACCCTGAGGTCACCCCAGCAACGCAAAGCAGCTCCATGTGCCCCAAATCAACTCGAGATGAGGCCCGATTCCCCTGCATTGACTCCAGAGCCATTCCCCGTTCCACATTCAACACGACCGGTGGCTCGACTTCCTTCAGGCAACTCCAGAGATGCCCCGAGAACACTGTCCCAAGTCTAGAGGAACACCAACTTCAGCACAGCAACTCGAGGAATGCTCCGTGTACCCCAAATCGTCTCGAGATGCGAGCTGATTCCCTGGCTTAGGCTCAAGACGTATGCCAACTTCCCAGAAGCACCTCAGGAGGAGGCTTCTCTCAGCAATAGGTATGTGGGAGGGACCCCGAGTTTGCTGCCTCAAGGGGAATATACAGCGAGAAGCCCTAACTTGAAAGGAGGCCGGATTTCCTTGCAGTGGCTGGAATACAGGCTCGTCTTTCATCTCACAACATGAAGGGATGTCTGAATCCCCTGTGGAGACCTTAGAGAAAGCCCTAGGTCCCTGCCTCATTTTGACGGAATGCCTCACATCCCGCTGACACCTCGAGAGGCACGCGGAGTTCATTGCTTCAAAAGGTGACGATGCCTGACTCCTCTTGAATACTGATAGGAATCCCAAAATCCCTGTGGCTACTGGAAAGGGTCCTTGGGTGCCCTGCCTCACCTCGAGAAGCGTCCCTTTGGCCCTGCCAAGCGTCGAAGAGATTCCTGAGGTGTCCCTCGTTACCAGACAGGAGTCCTGACGTCACTGAAGAAACTCGTGTTTTGAAGGGCCATCCCCGCCGTAAGTCGAGAACATACCCAAGGTCCCCGCCGCAACTCGAGAAAAACCATGAGACTTCCCCCTAGAGGCGAGATGAGGCCCCATTCCCCTGCAGTGCATGCAGAGCTATTCCGTGACCCCATTCAAACAAGTCAGGAGCTTCGACTTGCTTAATGGATCTCGAGACAGTCCCCAAGAACACTGTCACCAGTCTAGACGGACCCTCAGGTCACCCCAGCAACGCAAAGCAGCTCCATGTGCCCCAAATCAACTCGAGATGAGGCCCGATTCCCCTGCATTGACTCCAGAGCCATTCCCCGTTCCCCATTCAACACGACCGGTGGCTCGACTTCCTTCAGGCAACTCCAGAGATGCCCCGAGAACACTGTCCCAAGTCTAGAGGAACACCAACTTCAGCACAGCAACTCGAGGAATGCTCCGTCTACCCCAAATCGTCTCGAGATGCGAGCTGATTCCCTGGCTTAGGCTCAAGACGTATGCCAACTTCCCAGAAGCACCTCAGGAGGAGGCTTCTCTCAGCAATAGGTATGTGGGAGGGACCCCGAGTTTGCTGCCTCAAGGGGAATATACAGCGAGAAGCCCTAACTTGAAAGGAGTCCGGATTTCCTTGCAGTGGCTGGAATACAGGCTCGTCTTTCATCTCACAACATGAAGGGATGTCTGAATCCCCTGTGGAGACCTTAGAGAAAGCCCTAGGTCCCTGCCTCATTTTGACGGAATGCCTCATATCCCGCTGACACCTCGAGAGGCACGCGGAGTTCATTGCTTCAAAAGGTGACGATGCCTGACTCCTCTTGAATACTGATAGGAATCCCAAAATCCCTGTGGCTACTGGAAAGGGTCCTTGGGTGCCCTGCCTCACCTCGAGAAGCGTCCCTTTTGCCCTGCCAAGCCTCGAAGAGATTCCTGAGGTGTCCCTCGTTACCAGACAGGAGTCCTGACGTCACTGAAGAAACTCGTGTTTTGAAGGGCCATCCCCGCCGTAAGTCGAGAACATACCCCAGGTCCCCGCCGCAACTCGAGAAAAACCATGAGACTTCCCCCTAGAGGCGAGATGAGGCCCCATTCCCCTGCAGTGCATGCAGAGCTATTCCGTGACCCCATTCAAGCACGTCAGGAGCTTCGACTTGCTTAATGGATCTCGAGACAGTCCCCAAGAACACTGTCACCAGTCTAGACGGACCCTGAGGTCACCCCAGCAACGCAAAGCAGCTCCATGTGCCCCAAATCAACTCGAGATGAGGCCCGATTCCCCTGCATTGACTCCAGAGCCATTCCCCGTTCCCCATTCAACACGACCGGTGGCTCGACTTCCTTCAGGCAACTCCAGAGATGCCCCGAGAACACTGTCCCAAGTCTAGAGGAACACCAACTTCAGCACAGCAACTCGAGGAATGCTCCGTGTACCCCAAATCGTCTCGAGATGCGAGCTGATTCCCTGGCTTAGGCTCAAGACGTATGCCAACTTCCCAGAAGCACCTCAGGAGGAGGCTTCTCTCAGCAATAGGTATGTGGGAGGGACCCCGAGTTTGCTGCCTCAAGGGGAATATACAGCGAGAAGCCCTAACTTGAAAGGAGGCCGGATTTCCTTGCAGTGGCTGGAATACAGGCTCGTCTTTCATCTCACAACATGAAGGGATGTCTGAATCCCCTGTGGAGACCTTAGAGAAAGCCCTAGGTCCCTGCCTCATTTTGACGGAATGCCTCACATCCCGCTGACACCTCGAGAGGCACGCGGAGTTCATTGCTTCGAAAGGTGACGATGCCTGACTCCTCTTGAATACTGATAGGAATCCCAAAATCCCTGTGGCTACTGGAAAGGGTCCTTGGGTGCCCTGCCTCACCTCGAGAAGCGTCCCTTTGGCCCTGCCAAGCCTCGAAGAGATTCCTGAGGTGTCCCTCGTTACTAGACAGGAGTCCTGACGTCACTGAAGAAACTCGTGTTTTGAAGGGCCATCCCCGCCGTAAGTCGAGAACATACCCCAGGTCCCCGCCGCAACTCGAGAAAAACCATGAGACTTCCCCCTAGAGGCGAGATGAGGCCCCATTCCCCTGCAGTGCATGCAGAGCTATTCCGTGACCCCATTCAAACAAGTCAGGAGCTTCGACTTGCTTAATGGATCTCGAGACAGTCCCCAAGAACACTGTCACCTGTCTAGACGGACCCTGAGGTCACCCCAGCAACGCAAAGCAGCTCCATGTGCCCCAAATCAACTCGAGATGAGGCCCGATTCCCCTGCATTGACTCCAGAGCCATTCCCCGTTCCCCATTCAACACGACCGGTGGCTCGACTTCCTTCAGGCAACTCCAGAGATGCCCCGAGAACACTGTCCCAAGTCTAGAGGAACACCAACTTCAGCACAGCAACTCGAGGAATGCTCCGTGTACCCCAAATCGTCTCGAGATGCGAGCTGATTCCCTGGCTTAGGCTCAAGACGTATGCCAACTTCCCAGAAGCACCTCAGGAGGAGGCTTCTCTCAGCAGTAGGTATGTGGGAGGGGCCCCGAGTTTGCTGCCTCAAGGGGAATATACAGCGAGAAGCCCTAACTTGAAAGGAGGCCGGATTTCCTTGCAGTGGCTAGAATACAGGCTCGTCTTTCATCTCACAACATGAAGGGATGTCTGAATCCCCTGTGGAGACCTTAGAGAAAGCCCTAGGTCCCTGCCTCATTTTGACGGAATGCCTCACATCCCGCTGACACCTCGAGAGGCACGCGGAGTTCATTGCTTCAAAAGGTGACGATGCCTGACTCCTCTTGAATACTGATAGGAATCCCAAAATCCCTGTGGCTACTGGAAAGGGTCCTTGGGTGCCCTGCCTCACCTCGAGAAGCGTCCCTTTTGCCCTGCCAAGCGTCGAAGAGATTCCTGAAGTGTCCCTCGTTACCAGACAGGAGTCCTGACGTCACTGAAGAAACTCGTGTTTTGAAGGGCCATCCCCGCCGTAAGTCGAGAACATACCCCAGGTCCCCGCCGCAACTCGAGAAAAACCATGAGACTTCCCCCTAGAGGCGAGATGAGGCCCCATTCCCCTGCAGTGCATGCAGAGCTATTCCGTGACCCCATTCAAGCACGTCAGGAGCTTCGACTTGCTTAATGGATCTCGAGACTGTCCACAAGAACACTGTCACCAGTCTAGACGGACCCTGAGGTCACCCCAGCAACGCAAAGCAGCTCCATGTGCCCCAAATCAACTCGAGATGAGGCCCGATTCCCCTGCATTGACTCCAGAGCCATTCCCCGTTCCCCATTCAACACGACCGGTGGCTCGACTTCCTTCAGGCAACTCCAGAGATGCCCCGAGAACACTGTCCCAAGTCTAGAGGAACACCAACTTCAGCACAGCAACTCGAGGAATGCTCCGTCTACCCCAAATCGTCTCGAGATGCGAGCTGATTCCCTGGCTTAGGCTCAAGATGTATGCCAACTTCCCAGAAGCACCTCAGGAGGAGGCTTCTCTCAGCAGTAGGTATGTGGGAGGGACCCCGAGTTTGCTGCCTCAAGGGGAATATACAGCGAGAAGCCCTAACTTGAAAGGAGGCCGGATTTCCTTGCAGTGGCTTGAATACAGGCTCGTCTTTCATCTCACAACATGAAGGGATGTCTGAATCCCCTGTGGAGACATTAGAGAAAGCCCTAGGTCCCTGCCTCATTTTGACGGAATGCCTCACATCCCGCTGACACCTCGAGAGGCACGCGGAGTTCATTGCTTCGAAAGGTGACGATGCCTGACTCCTCTTGAATACTGATAGGAATCCCAAAATCCCTGTGGCTACTGGAAAGTGTCCTTGGGTGCCCTGCCTCACCTCGAGAAGCGTCCCTTTTGCCCTGCCAAGCGTCGAAGAGATTCCTGAAGTGTCCCTCGTTACCAGACAGGAGTCCTGACGTCACTGAAGTAACTCGTGTTTTGAAGGGCCATCCCCGCCGTAAGTCGAGAACATACCCCAGGTCCCCGCCGCAACTCGAGAAAAACCATGAGACTTCCCCCTAGAGGCGAGATGAGGCCCCATTCCACTGCAGTGCATGCAGAGCTATTCCGTGACCCCATTCAAGCACGTCAGGAGCTTCGACTTGCTTAATGGATCTCGAGACTGTCCACAAGAACACTGTCACCAGTCTAGACGGACCCTGAGGTCACCCCAGCAACGCAAAGCAGCTCCATGTGCCCCAAATCAACTCGAGATGAGGCCCAATTCCCCTGCATTGACTCCAGAGCCATTCCCCGTTCCCCATTCAACACGACCGGTGGCTCGACTTCCTTCAGGCAACTCCAGAGATGCCCCGAGAACACTGTCCCAAGTCTAGAGGAACACCAACTTCAGCACAGCAACTCGAGGAATGCTCCGTCTACCCCAAATCGTCTCGAGATGCGAGCTGATTCCCTGGCTTAGGCTCAAGACGTATGCCAACTTCCCAGAAGCACCTCAGGAGGAGGCTTCTCTCAGCAGTAGGTATGTGGGAGGGACCCCGAGTTTGCTGCCTCAAGGGGAATATACAGCGAGAAGCCCTAACTTGAAAGGAGGCCGGGTTTCCTTGCAGTGGCTTGAATACAGGCTCGTCTTTCATCTCACAACATGAAGGGATGTCTGAATCCCCTGTGGAGACCTTAGAGAAAGCCCTAGGTCCCTGCCTCATTTTGACGGAATGCCTCACATCCCGCTGACACCTCGAGAGGCACGCGGAGTTCATTGCTTCGAAAGGTGACGATGCCTGACTCCTCTTGAATACTGATAGGAATCCCAAAATCCTTGTGGCTACTGGAAAGGGTCCTTGGGTGCCCTGCCTCACCTCGAGAAGCGTCCCTTTGGCCCTGCCAAGCCTCGAAGAGATTCCTGAGGTGTCCCTCGTTACTAGACAGGAGTCCTGACGTCACTGAAGAAACTCGTGTTTTGAAGGGCCATCCCCGCCGTAAGTCGAGAACATACCCCAGGTCCCCGCCGCAACTCGAGAAAAACCATGAGACTTCCCCCTAGAGGCGAGATGAGGCCCCATTCCCCTGCAGTGCATGCAGAGCTATTCCGTGACCCCATTCAAACAAGTCAGGAGCTTCGACTTGCTTAATGGATCTCGAGACAGTCCCCAAGAACACTGTCACCAGTCTAGACGGACCCTGAGGTCACCCCAGCAACGCAAAGCAGCTCCATGTGCCCCAAATCAACTCGAGATGAGGCCCGATTCCCCTGCATTGACTCCAGAGCCATTCCCCGTTCCCCATTCAACACGACCGGTGGCTCGACTTCCTTCAGGCAACTCCAGAGATGCCCCGAGAACACTGTCCCAAGTCTAGAGGAACACCAACTTCAGCACAGCAACTCGAGGAATGCTCCGTGTACCCCAAATCGTCTCGAGATGCGAGCTGATTCCCTGGCTTAGGCTCAAGACGTATGCCAACTTCCCAGAAGCACCTCAGGAGGAGGCTTCTCTCAGCAATAGGTATGTGGGAGGGACCCCGAGTTTGCTGCCTCAAGGGGAATATACAGCGAGAAGCCCTAACTTGAAAGGAGGCCGGATTTCCTTGCAGTGGCTGGAATACAGGCTCGTCTTTCATCTCACAACATGAAGGGATGTCTGAATCCCCTGTGGAGACCTTAGAGAAAGCCCTAGGTCCCTGCCTCATTTTGACGGAATGCCTCACATCCCGCTGACACCTCGAGAGGCACGCGGAGTTCATTGCTTCAAAAGGTGACGATGCCTGACTCCTCTTGAATACTGATAGGAATCCCAAAATCCCTGTGGCTACTGGAAAGGGTCCTTGGGTGCCCTGCCTCACCTCGAGAAGCGTCCCTTTTGCCCTGCCAAGCGTCGAAGAGATTCCTGAGGTGTCCCTCGTTACCAGACAGGAGTCCTGACGTCACTGAAGAAACTCGTGTTTTGAAGGGCCATCCCCGCCGTAAGTCGAGAACATACCCCAGGTCCCCGCCTCAACTCGAGAAAAACCATGAGACTTCCCCCTAGAGGCGAGATGAGGCCCCATTCCCCTGCAGGGCATGCAGAGCTATTCCGTGATCCCATTCAAACAAGTCAGGAGCTTCGACTTGCTTAATGGATCTCGAGACTGTCCACAAGAACACTGTCACCAGTCTAGACGGACCCTGAGGTCACCCCAGCAACGCAAAGCAGCTCCATGTGCCCCAAATCAACTCGAGATGAGGCCCGATTCCCCTGCATTGACTCCAGAGCCATTCCCCGTTCCCCATTCAACACGACCGGTGGCTCGACTTCCTTCAGGCAACTCCAGAGATGCCCCGAGAACACTGTCCCAAGTCTAGAGGAACACCAACTTCAGCACAGCAACTCGAGGAATGCTCCGTCTACCCCAAATCGTCTCGAGATGCGAGCTGATTCCCTGGCTTAGGCTCAAGACGTATGCCAACTTCCCAGAAGCACCTCAGGAGGAGGCTTCTCTCAGCAGTAGGTATGTGGGAGGGACCCCGAGTTTGCTGCCTCAAGGGGAATATACAGCGAGAAGCCCTAACTTGAAAGGAGGCCGGATTTCCTTGCAGTGGCTTGAATACAGGCTCGTCTTTCATCTCACAACATGAAGGGATGTCTGAATCCCCTGTGGAGACCTTAGAGGAAGCCCTAGGTCCCTGCCTCATTTTGACGGAATGCCTCACATCCCGCTGACACCTCGAGAGGCACGCGGAGTTCATTGCTTCGAAAGGTGACGATGCCTGACTCCTCTTGAATACTGATAGGAATCCCAAAATCCCTGTGGCTACTGGAAAGGGTCCTTGGGTGCCCTGCCTCACCTCGAGAAGCGTCCCTTTGGCCCTGCCAAGCCTCGAAGAGATTCCTGAGGTGTCCCTCGTTACTAGACAGGAGTCCTGACGTCACTGAAGAAACTCGTGTTTTGAAGGGCCATCCCCGCCGTAAGTCGAGAACATACCCCAGGTCCCCGCCGCAACTCGAGAAAAACCATGAGACTTCCCCCTAGAGGCGAGATGAGGCCCCATTCCCCTGCAGTGCATGCAGAGCTATTCCGTGACCCCATTCAAACAAGTCAGGAGCTTCGACTTGCTTAATGGATCTCGAGACAGTCCCCAAGAACACTGTCACCAGTCTAGACGGACCCTGAGGTCACCCCAGCAACGCAAAGCAGCTCCATGTGCCCCAAATCAACTCGAGATGAGGCCCGATTCCCCTGCATTGACTCCAGAGCCATTCCCCGTTCCCCATTCAACACGACCGGTGGCTCGACTTCCTTCAGGCAACTCCAGAGATGCCCCGAGAACACTGTCCCAAGTCTAGAGGAACACCAACTTCAGCACAGCAACTCGAGGAATGCTCCGTGTACCCCAAATCGTCTCGAGATGCGAGCTGATTCCCTGGCTTAGGCTCAAGACGTATGCCAACTTCCCAGAAGCACCTCAGGAGGAGGCTTCTCTCAGCAATAGGTATGTGGGAGGGACCCCGAGTTTGCTGCCTCAAGGGGAATATACAGCGAGAAGCCCTAACTTGAAAGGAGGCCGGATTTCCTTGCAGTGGCTTGAATACAGGCTCGTCTTTCATCTCACAACATGAAGGGATGTCTGAATCCCCTGTGGAGACCTTAGAGAAAGCCCTAGGTCCCTGCCTCATTTTGACGGAATGCCTCACATCGCGCTGACACCTCGAGAAGCACGTGGAGTTCATTGCTTCAAAAGGTGACGATGCCTGACTCCTCTTGAATACTGATAGGAATCCCAAAATCCCTGTGGCTACTGGAAAGGGTCCTTGGGTGCCCTGCCTCACCTCGAGAAGCGTCCCTTTTGCCCTGCCAAGCCTCGAAGAGATTCCTGAGGTGTCCCTCGTTACTAGACAGGAGTCCTGACGTCACTGAAGAAACTCGTGTTTTGAAGGGCCATCCCCGCCGTAAGTCGAGAACATACCCCAGGTCCCCGCCGCAACTCGAGAAAAACCATGAGACTTCCCCCTAGAGGCGAGATGAGGCCCCATTCCCCTGCAGTGCATGCAGAGCTATTCCGTGATCCCATTCAAACAAGTCAGGAGCTTCGACTTGCTTAATGGATCTCGAGACAGCCCCCAAGAACACTGTCACCAGTCTAGACGGAACCTGAGGTCACCCCAGCAACGCAAAGCAGCCCCATGTGCCCCAAATCAACTCGAGATGAGGCCCGATTCCCCTGCATTGACTCCAGAGCCATTCCCCGTTCCCCATTCAACACGGCCGGTGGCTCGACTTCCTTCAGGCAACTCCAGAGATGCCCCGAGAACACTGTCCCAAGTCTAGAGGAACACCAACTTCAGCACAGCAACTCGAGGAATGCTCCGTGTACCCCAAATCGTCTCGAGATGCGAGCTGATTCCCTGGCTTAGGCTCAAGACGTATGCCAACTTCCCAGAAGCACCTCAGGAGGAGGCTTCTCTCAGCAATAGGTATGTGGGAGGGACCCCGAGTTTGCTGCCTCAAGGGGAATATACAGCGAGAAGCCCTAACTTGAAAGGAGGCCGGATTTCCTTGCAGTGGCTTGAATACAGGCTTGTCTTTCATCTCACAACATGAAGGGATGTCTGAATCCCCTGTGGAGACCTTAGAGAAAGCCCTAGGTCCCTGCGTCATTTTGACGGATTGCCTCACATCCCGCTGACACCTCGAGAGGCACGCGGAGTTCATTGCTTCAAAAGGTGACGATGCCTGACTCCTCTTGAATACCGATAGGAATCCCGAAATCCCTGTGGCTACTGGAAAGGGTCCTTGGGTGCCCTGCCTCACCTCGAGAAGCGTCCCTTTGGCCCTGCCAAGCCTCGAAGAGATTCCTGAGGTGTCCCTCGTTACTAGACAGGAGTCCTGACGTCACTGAAGAAACTCGTGTTTTGAAGGGCCATCCCCGCCGTAAGTCGAGAACATACCCCAGGTCCCCGCCGCAACTCGAGAAAAACCATGAGACTTCCCCCTAGAGGCGAGATGAGGCCCCATTCCCCTGCAGTGCATGCAGAGCTATTCCGTGATCCCATTCAAACAAGTCAGGAGCTTCGACTTGCTTAATGGATCTCGAGACAGTCCCCAAGAACACTGTCACCAGTCTAGACGGACCCTGAGGTCACCCCAGCAACGCAAAGCAGCTCAATGTGCCCCAAATCAACTCGAGATGAGGCCCGATTCCCCTGCATTGACCCCAGAGCCATTCCCCGTTCCCCATTCAGCACGACCGGTGGCTCGACTTCCTTCAGGCAACTCCAGAGATGCCCCGAGAACACTGTCCCAAGTCTAGAGGAACACCAACTTCAGCACAGCAACTCGAGGAATGCTCCGTGTACCCCAAATCGTCTCGAGATGCGAGCTGATTCCCTGGCTTAGGCTCAAGACGTATGCCAACTTCCCAGAAGCACCTCAGGAGGAGGCTTCTCTCAGCAATAGGTATGTGGGAGGGACCCCGAGTTTGCTGCCTCAAGGGGAATATACAGCGAGAAGCCCTAACTTGAAAGGAGGCCAGATTTCCTTGCAGTGGCTTGAATACAGGCTCGTCTTTCATCTCACAACATGAAGGGATGTCTGAATCCCCTGTGGAGACCTTAGAGAAAGCCCTAGGTCCCTGCCTCATTTTGACGGAATGCCTCACATCCCGCTGACACCTCGAGAGGCACGCGGAGTTCATTGCTTCAAAAGGTGACGATGCCTGACTCCTCTTGAATACTGATAGGAATCCCAAAATCCCTGTGGCTACTGGAAAGGGTCCTTGGGTGCCCTGCCTCACCTCGAGAAGCGTCCCTTTTGCCCTGCCAAGCCTCGAAGAGATTCCTGAGGTGTCCCTCGTTACTAGACAGGAGTCCTGACGTCACTGAAGAAACTCGTGTTTTGAAGGGCCATCCCCGCCGTAAGTCGAGAACATACCCCAGGTCCCCGCCGCAACTCGAGAAAAACCATGAGACTTCCCCCTAGAGGCGAGATGAGGCCCCATTCCCCTGCAGTGCATGCAGAGCTATTCCGTGATCCCATTCAAACAAGTCAGGAGCTTCGACTTGCTTAATGGATCTCGAGACAGTCCCCAAGAACACTGTCACCAGTCTAGACGGACCCTGAGGTCACCCCAGCAACGCAAAGCAGCTCCATGTGCCCCAAATCAACTCGAGATGAGGCCCGATTCCCCTGCATTGACCCCAGAGCCATTCCCCGTTCCCCATTCAACACGACCGGTGGCTCGACTTCCTTCAGGCAACTCCAGAGATGCCCCGAGAACACTGTCCCAAGTCTAGAGGAACACCAACTTCAGCACAGCAACTCGAGGAATGCTCCGTGTACCCCAAATCGTCTCGAGATGCGAGCTGATTCCCTGGCTTAGGCTCAAGACGTATGCCAACTTCCCAGAAGCACCTCAGGAGGAGGCTTCTCTCAGCAATAGGTATGTGGGAGGGACCCCGAGTTTGCTGCCTCAAGGGGAATATACAGCGAGAAGCCCTAACTTGAAAGGAGGCCGGATTTCCTTGCAGTGGCTTGAATACAGGCTCGTCTTTCATCTCACAACATGAAGGGATGTCTGAATCCCCTGTGGAGACCTTAGAGAAAGCCCTAGGTCCCTGCCTCATTTTGACGGAATGCCTCACATCCCGCTGACACCTCGAGAGGCACGCGGAGTTCATTGCTTCAAAAGGTGACGATGCCTGACTCCTCTTGAATACTGATAGGAATCCCAAAATCCCTGTGGCTACTGGAAAGGGTCCTTGGGTGCCCTGCCTCACCTCGAGAAGCGTCCCTTTTGCCCTGCCAAGCCTCGAAGAGATTCCTGAGGTGTCCCTCGTTACTAGAGACGAGTCCTGACGTCACTGAAGAAACTCGTGTTTTGAAGGGCCATCCCCGCCGTAAGTCGAGAACATACCCCAGGTCCCCGCCGCAACTCGAGAAAAACCATGAGACTTCCCCCAAAGGCGAGATGAGGCCCCATTCCCCTGCAGTGCATGCAGAGCTATTCCGTGATCACATTCAAACAAGTCAGGAGCTTCGACTTGCTTAATGGATCTCGCGACAGTCCCCAAGAACACTGTCACCAGTCTAGACGGACCCTGAGGTCACCCCAGCAACGCAAAGCAGCCCCATGTGCCCCAAATCAACTCGAGATGAGGCCCGATTCCCCTGCATTGACTCCAGAGCCATTCCCCGTTCCCCATTCAACACGGCCGGTGGCTCGACTTCCTTCAGGCAACTCCAGAGATGCCCCGAGAACACTGTCCCAAGTCTAGAGGAACACCAACTTCAGCACAGCAACTCGAGGAATGCTCCGTGTACCCCAAATCGTCTCGAGATGCGAGCTGATTCCCTGGCTTAGGCTCAAGACGTATGCCAACTTCCCAGAAGCACCTCAGGAGGAGGCTTCTCTCAGCAATAGGTATGTGGGAGGGACCCCGAGTTTGCTGCCTCAAGGGGAATATACAGCGAGAAGCCCTAACTTGAAAGGAGGCCGGATTTCCTTGCAGTGGCTTGAATACAGGCTCGTCTTTCATCTCACAACATGAAGGGATGTCTGAATCCCCTGTGGAGAACTTAGAGAAAGTCCTAGGTCCCTGCCTCATTTTGACGGAATGCCTCACATCGCGCTGACACCTCGAGAGGCACGCGGAGTTCATTGCTTCAAAAGGTGACGATGCCTGACTCCTCTTGAATACTGATAGGAATCCCAAAATCCCTGTGGCTACTGGAAAGGGTCCTTGGGTGCCCTGCCTCACCTCGAGAAGCGTCCCTTTTGCCCTGCCAAGCCTCGAAGAGATTCCTGAGGTGTCCCTCGTTACTAGACAGGAGTCCTGACGTCACTGAAGAAACTCGTGTTTTGAAGGGCCATCCCCGCCGTAAGTCGAGAACATACCCCAGGTCCCCGCCGCAACTCGAGAAAAACCATGAGACTTCCCCCTAGAGGCGAGATGAGTCCCCATTCCCCTTCAGTGCATGCAGAGCTATTCCGTGATCCCATTCAAACAAGTCAGGAGCTTCGACTTGCTTAATGGATCTCGAGACAGTCCCCAAGAACACTGTCACCAGTCTAGACGGACCCTGAGGTCACCCCAGCAACGCAAAGCAGCTCCATGTGCCCCAAATCAACTCGAGATGAGGCCCGATTCCCCTGCATTGACCCCAGAGCCATTCCCCGTTCCCCATTCAACACGACCGGTGGCTCGACTTCCTTCAGGCAACTCCAGAGATGCCCCGAGAACACTGTCCCAAGTCTAGAGAAACACCAACTTCAACACAGCAACTCGAGGAATGCTCCGTGTACCCCAAATCATCTCGAGATGCGAGCTGATTCCCTGGCTTAGGCTCAAGACGTATGCCAACTTCCCAGAAGCACCTCAGGAGGAGGCTTCTCTCAGCAATAGGTATGTGGGAGGGACCCCGAGTTTGCTGCCTCAAGGGGAATATACAGCGAGAAGCCCTAACTTGAAAGGAGGCCGGATTTCCTTGCAGTGGCTTGAATACAGGCTCGTCTTTCATCTCACAACATGAAGGGATGTCTGAATCCCCTGTGGAGAACTTAGAGAAAGTCCTAGGTCCCTGCCTCATTTTGACGGAATGCCTCACATCGCGCTGACACCTCGAGAGGCACGCGGAGTTCATTGCTTCAAAAGGTGACGATGCCTGACTCCTCTTGAATACTGATAGGAATCCCAAAATCCCTGTGGCTACTGGAAAGGGTCCTTGGGTGCCCTGCCTCACCTCGAGAAGCGTCCCTTTTGCCCTGCCAAGCCTCGAAGAGATTCCTGAGGTGTCCCTCGTTACTAGACAGGAGTCCTGACGTCACTGAAGAAACTCGTGTTTTGAAGGGCCATCCCCGCCGTAAGTCGAGAACATACCCCAGGTCCCCGCCGCAACTCGAGAAAAACCATGAGACTTCCCCCTAGAGGCGAGATGAGTCCCCATTCCCCTTCAGTGCATGCAGAGCTATTCCGTGATCCCATTCAAACAAGTCAGGAGCTTCGACTTGCTTAATGGATCTCGAGACAGTCCCCAAGAACACTGTCACCAGTCTAGACGGACCCTGAGGTCACCCCAGCAACGCAAAGCAGCTCCATGTGCCCCAAATCAACTCGAGATGAGGCCCGATTCCCCTGCATTGACCCCAGAGCCATTCCCCGTTCCCCATTCAACACGACCGGTGGCTCGACTTCCTTCAGGCAACTCCAGAGATGCCCCGAGAACACTGTCCCAAGTCTAGAGAAACACCAACTTCAACACAGCAACTCGAGGAATGCTCCGTGTACCCCAAATCATCTCGAGATGCGAGCTGATTCCCTGGCTTAGGCTCAAGACGTATGCCAACTTCCCAGAAGCACCTCAGGAGGAGGCTTCTCTCAGCAATAGGTATGTGGGAGGGACCCCGAGTTTGCTGCCTCAAGGGGAATATACAGCGAGAAGCCCTAACTTGAAAGGAGGCCGGATTTCCTTGCAGTGGCTTGAATACAGGCTCGTCTTTCATCTCACAACATGAAGGGATGTCTGAATCCCCTGTGGAGAACTTAGAGAAAGTCCTAGGTCCCTGCCTCATTTTGACGGAATGCCTCACATCGCGCTGACACCTCGAGAGGCACGCGGAGTTCATTGCTTCAAAAGGTGACGATGCCTGACTCCTCTTGAATACTGATAGGAATCCCAAAATCCCTGTGGCTACTGGAAAGGGTCCTTGGGTGCCCTGCCTCACCTCGAGAAGCGTCCCTTTTGCCCTGCCAAGCCTCGAAGAGATTCCTGAGGTGTCCCTCGTTACTAGACAGGAGTCCTGACGTCACTGAAGAAACTCGTGTTTTGAAGGGCCATCCCCGCCGTAAGTCGAGAACATACCCCAGGTCCCCGCCGCAACTCGAGAAAAACCATGAGACTTCCCCCTAGAGGCGAGATGAGGCCCCATTCCCCTGCAGTGCATGCAGAGCTATTCCGTGATCCCATTCAAACAAGTCAGGAGCTTCGACTTGCTTAATGGATCTCGAGACAGTCCCCAAGAACACTGTCACCAGTCTAGACGGACCCTGAGGTCACCCCAGCAACGCAAAGCAGCTCCATGTGCCCCAAATCAACTCGAGATGAGGCCCGATTCCCCTGCATTGACTCCAGAGCCATTCCCCGTTCCCCATTCAACACGACCGGTGGCTCGACTTCCTTCAGGCAACTCCAGAGATGCCCCGAGAACACTGTCCCAAGTCTAGAGGAACACCAACTTCAGCACAGCAACTCGAGGAATGCTCCGTGTACCCCAAATCGTCTCGAGATGCGAGCTGATTCCCTGGCTTAGGCTCAAGACGTATGCCAACTTCCCAGAAGCACCTCAGGAGGAGGCTTCTCTCAGCAATAGGTATGTGGGAGGGACCCCGAGTTTGCTGCCTCAAGGGGAATATACAGCGCGAAGCCCTAACTTGAAAGGTGGCCGGATTTCCTTGCAGTGGCTGGAATACAGGCTCGTCTTTCATCTCACAACATGAAGGGATGTCTGAATCCCCTGTGGAGACCTTAGAGAAAGCCCTAGGTCCCTGCCTCATTTTGACGGAATGCCTCACATCCCGCTGACACCTCGAGAGGCACGCGGAGTGCATTGCTTCAAAAGGTGACGATGCCTGACTCCTCTTGAATACTGATAGGAATCCCAAAATCCCTGTGGCTACTGGAAAGGGTCCTTGGGTGCCCTGCCTCACCTCGAGAAGCGTCCCTTTTGCCCTGCCAAGCGTCGAAGAGATTCCTGAGGTGTCCCTCGTTACTAGACAGGAGTCCTGACGTCACTGAAGAATCTCGTGTTTTGAAGGGCCATCCCCGCCGTAAGTCGAGAACATACCCCAGGTCCCCGCCGCAACTCGAGAAAAACCATGAGACTTCCCCCTAGAGGCGAGATGAGGCCCCATTCCCCTGCAGTGCATGCAGAGCTATTCCGTGACCCCATTCAAACAAGTCAGGAGCTTCGACTTGCTTAATGGATCTCGAGACAGTCCCCAAGAACACTGTCACCAGTCTAGACGGACCCTGAGGTCACCCCAGCAACGCAAAGCAGCTCCATGTGCCCCAAATCAACTCGAGATGAGGCCCGATTCCCCTGCATTGACTCCAGAGCCATTCCCCGTTCCCCATTCAACACGACCGGTGGCTCGACTTCCTTCAGGCAACTCCAGAGATGCCCCGAGAACACTGTCCCAAGTCTAGAGGAACACCAACTTCAGCACAGCAACTCGAGGAATGCTCCGTGTACCCCAAATCGTCTCGAGATGCGAGCTGATTCCCTGGCTTAGGCTCAAGACGTATGCCAACTTCCCAGAAGCACCTCAGGAGGAGGCTTCTCTCAGCAATAGGTATGTGGGAGGGACCCCGAGTTTGCTGCCTCAAGGGGAATATACAGCGAGAAGCCCTAACTTGAAAGGAGGCCGGATTTCCTTGCAGTGGCTGGAATACAGGCTCGTCTTTCATCTCACAACATGAAGGGATGTCTGAATCCCCTGTGGAGACCTTAGAGAAAGCCCTAGGTCCCTGCCTCATTTTGACGGAATGCCTCACATCCCGCTGACACCTCGAGAGGCACGCGGAGTTCATTGCTTCAAAAGGTGACGATGCCTGACTCCTCTTGAATACTGATAGGAATCCCAAAATCCCTGTGGCTACTGGAAAGGGTCCTTGGGTGCCCTGCCTCACCTCGAGAAGCGTCCCTTTCGCCCTGCCAAGCGTCGAAGAGATTCCTGAGGTGTCCCTCGTTACCAGACAGGAGTCCTGACGTCACTGAAGAAACTCGTGTTTTGAAGGGCCATCCCCGCCGTAAGTCGAGAACATACCCCAGGTCCCCGCCGCAACTCGAGAAAAACCATGAGACTTCCCCCTAGAGGCGAGATGAGGCCCCATTCCCCTGCAGTGCATGCAGAGCTATTCCGTGACCCCATTCAAGCACGTCAGGAGCTTCGACTTGCTTAATGGATCTCGAGACAGTCCACAAGAACACTGTCACCAGTCTAGACGGACCCTGAGGTCACCCCAGCAACGCAAAGCAGCTCCATGTGCCCCAAATCAACTCGAGATGAGGCCCGATTCCCCTGCATTGACTCCAGAGCCATTCCCCGTTCCCCATTCAACACGACCGGTGGCTCGACTTCCTTCAGGCAACTCCAGAGATGCCCCGAGAACACTGTCCCAAGTCTAGAGGAACACCAACTTCAGCACAGCAACTCGAGGAATGCTCCGTGTACCCCAAATCGTCTCGAGATGCGAGCTGATTCCCTGGCTTAGGCTCAAGACGTATGCCAACTTCCCAGAAGCACCTCAGGAGGAGGCTTCTCTCAGCAATAGGTATGTGGGAGGGACCCCGAGTTTGCTGCCTCAAGGGGAATATACAGCGAGAAGCCCTAACTTGAAAGGAGGCCGGATTTCCTTGCAGTGGCTGGAATACAGGCTCGTCTTTCATCTCACAACATGAAGGGATGTCTGAATCCCCTGTGGAGACCTTAGAGAAAGCCCTAGGTCCCTGCCTCATTTTGACGGAATGCCTCACATCCCGCTGACACCTCGAGAGGCACGCGGAGTTCATTGCTTCAAAAGGTGACGATGCCTGACTCCTCTTGAATACTGATAGGAATCCCAAAATCCCTGTGGCTACTGGAAAGGGTCCTTGGGTGCCCTGCCTCACCTCGAGAAGCGTCCCTTTGGCCCTGCCAAGCCTCAAAGAGATTCCTGAGGTGTCCCTCGTTACTAGACAGGAGTCCTGACGTCACTGAAGAATCTCGTGTTTTGAAGGGCCATCCCCGCCGTAAGTCGAGAACATACCCCAGGTCCCCGCCGCAACTCGAGAAAAACCATGAGACTTCCCCCTAGAGGCGAGATGAGGCCCCATTCCCCTGCAGTGCATGCAGAGCTATTCCGTGACCCCATTCAAACAAGTCAGGAGCTTCGACTTGCTTAATGGATCTCGAGACAGTCCCCAAGAACACTGTCACCAGTCTAGACGGACCCTGAGGTCACCCCAGCAACGCAAAGCAGCTCCATGTGCCCCAAATCAACTCGAGATGAGGCCCGATTCCCCTGCATTGACTCCAGAGCCATTCCCCGTTCCCCATTCAACACGACCGGTGGCTCGACTTCCTTCAGGCAACTCCAGAGATGCCCCGAGAACACTGTCCCAAGTCTAGAGGAACACCAACTTCAGCACAGCAACTCGAGGAATGCTCCGTGTACCCCAAATCGTCTCGAGATGCGAGCTGATTCCCTGGCTTAGGCTCAAGACGTATGCCAACTTCCCAGAAGCACCTCAGGAGGAGGCTTCTCTCAGCAATAGGTATGTGGGAGGGACCCCGAGTTTGCTGCCTCAAGGGGAATATACAGCGAGAAGCCCTAACTTGAAAGGAGGCCGGATTTCCTTGCAGTGGCTGGAATACAGGCTCGTCTTTCATCTCACAACATGAAGGGATGTCTGAATCCCCTGTGGAGACCTTAGAGAAAGCCCTAGGTCCCTGCCTCATTTTGACGGAATGCCTCACATCCCGCTGACACCTCGAGAGGCACGCGGAGTTCATTGCTTCAAAAGGTGACGATGCCTGACTCCTCTTGAATACTGATAGGAATCCCAAAATCCCTGTGGCTACTGGAAAGGGTCCTTGGGTGCCCTGCCTCACCTCGAGAAGCGTCCCTTTGGCCCTGCCAAGCCTCGAAGAGATTCCTGAGGTGTCCCTCGTTACTAGACAGGAGTCCTGACGTCACTGAAGAATCTCGTGTTTTGAAGGGCCATCCCCGCCGTAAGTCGAGAACATACCCCAGGTCCCCGCCGCAACTCGAGAAAAACCATGAGACTTCCCCCTAGAGGCGAGATGAGGCCCCATTCCCCTGCAGTGCATGCAGAGCTATTCCGTGACCCCATTCAAACAAGTCAGGAGCTTCGACTTGCTTAATGGATCTCGAGACAGTCCCCAAGAACACTGTCACCAGTCTAGACGGACCCTGAGGTCACCCCAGCAACGCAAAGCAGCTCCATGTGCCCCAAATCAACTCGAGATGAGGCCCGATTCCCCTGCATTGACTCCAGAGCCATTCCCCGTTCCCCATTCAACACGACCGGTGGCTCGACTTCCTTCAGGCAACTCCAGAGATGCCCCGAGAACACTGTCCCAAGTCTAGAGGAACACCAACTTCAGCACAGCAACTCGAGGAATGCTCCGTGTACCCCAAATCGTCTCGAGATGCGAGCTGATTCCCTGGCTTAGGCTCAAGACGTATGCCAACTTCCCAGAAGCACCTCAGGAGGAGGCTTCTCTCAGCAGTAGGTATGTGGGAGGGACCCCGAGTTTGCTGCCTCAAGGGGAATATACAGCGAGAAGCCCTAACTTGAAAGGAGGCCGGATTTCCTTGCAGTGGCTTGAATACAGGCTCGTCTTTCATCTCACAACATGAAGGGATGTCTGAATCCCCTGTGGAGACCTTAGAGGAAGCCCTAGGTCCCTGCCTCATTTTGACGGAATGCCTCACATCCCGCTGACACCTCGAGAGGCACGCGGAGTTCATTGCTTCGAAAGGTGACGATGCCTGACTCCTCTTGAATACTGATAGGAATCCCAAAATCCCTGTGGCTACTGGAAAGGCTCCTTGGGTGCCCTGCCTCACCTCGAGAAGCGTCCCTTTGGCCCTGCCAAGCCTCGAAGAGATTCCTGAGGTGTCCCTCGTTACTAGACAGGAGTCCTGACGTCACTGAAGAAACTCGTGTTTTGAAGGGCCATCCCCGCCGTAAGTCGAGAACATACCCCAGGTCCCCGCCGCAACTCGAGAAAAACCATGAGACTTCCCCCTAGAGGCGAGATGAGGCCCCATTCCCCTGCAGTGCATGCAGAGCTATTCCGTGACCCCATTCAAACAAGTCAGGAGCTTCGACTTGCTTAATGGATCTCGAGACAGTCCCCAAGAACACTGTCACCAGTCTAGACGGACCCTGAGGTCACCCCAGCAACGCAAAGCAGCTCCATGTGCCCCAAATCAACTCGAGATGAGGCCCGATTCCCCTGCATTGACTCCAGAGCCATTCCCCGTTCCCCATTCAACACGACCGGTGGCTCGACTTCCTTCAGGCAACTCCAGAGATGCCCCGAGAACACTGTCCCAAGTCTAGAGGAACACCAACTTCAGCACAGCAACTCGAGGAATGCTCCGTGTACCCCAAATCGTCTCGAGATGCGAGCTGATTCCCTGGCTTAGGCTCAAGACGTATGCCAACTTCCCAGAAGCACCTCAGGAGGAGGCTTCTCTCAGCAATAGGTATGTGGGAGGGACCCCGAGTTTGCTGCCTCAAGGGGAATATACAGCGAGAAGCCCTAACTTGAAAGGAGGCCGGATTTCCTTGCAGTGGCTTGAATACAGGCTCGTCTTTCATCTCACAACATGAAGGGATGTCTGAATCCCCTGTGGAGACCTTAGAGAAAGCCCTAGGTCCCTGCCTCATTTTGACGGAATGCCTCACATCGCGCTGACACCTCGAGAAGCACGTGGAGTTCATTGCTTCAAAAGGTGACGATGCCTGACTCCTCTTGAATACTGATAGGAATCCCAAAATCCCTGTGGCTACTGGAAAGGGTCCTTGGGTGCCCTGCCTCACCTCGAGAAGCGTCCCTTTTGCCCTGCCAAGCCTCGAAGAGATTCCTGAGGTGTCCCTCGTTACTAGACAGGAGTCCTGACGTCACTGAAGAAACTCGTGTTTTGAAGGGCCATCCCCGCCGTAAGTCGAGAACATACCCCAGGTCCCCGCCGCAACTCGAGAAAAACCATGAGACTTCCCCCTAGAGGCGAGATGAGGCCCCATTCCCCTGCAGTGCATGCAGAGCTATTCCGTGATCCCATTCAAACAAGTCAGGAGCTTCGACTTGCTTAATGGATCTCGAGACAGCCCCCAAGAACACTGTCACCAGTCTAGACGGAACCTGAGGTCACCCCAGCAACGCAAAGCAGCCCCATGTGCCCCAAATCAACTCGAGATGAGGCCCGATTCCACTGCATTGACTCCAGAGCCATTCCCCGTTCCCCATTCAACACGGCCGGTGGCTCGACTTCCTTCAGGCAACTCCAGAGATGCCCCGAGAACACTGTCCCAAGTCTAGAGGAACACCAACTTCAGCACAGCAACTCGAGGAATGCTCCGTGTACCCCAAATCGTCTCGAGATGCGAGCTGATTCCCTGGCTTAGGCTCAAGACGTATGCCAACTTCCCAGAAGCACCTCAGGAGGAGGCTTCTCTCAGCAATAGGTATGTGGGAGGGACCCCGAGTTTGCTGCCTCAAGGGGAATATACAGCGAGAAGCCCTAACTTGAAAGGAGGCCGGATTTCCTTGCAGTGGCTTGAATACAGGCTTGTCTTTCATCTCACAACATGAAGGGATGTCTGAATCCCCTGTGGAGACCTTAGAGAAAGCCCTAGGTCCCTGCCTCATTTTGACGGATTGCCTCACATCCCGCTGACACCTCGAGAGGCACGCGGAGTTCATTGCTTCAAAAGGTGACGATGCCTGACTCCTCTTGAATACCGATAGGAATCCCGAAATCCCTGTGGCTACTGGAAAGGGTCCTTGGGTGCCCTGCCTCACCTCGAGAAGCGTCCCTTTGGCCCTGCCAAGCCTCGAAGAGATTCCTGAGGTGTCCCTCGTTACTAGACAGGAGTCCTGACGTCACTGAAGAAACTCGTGTTTTGAAGGGCCATCCCCGCCGTAAGTCGAGAACATACCCCAGGTCCCCGCCGCAACTCGAGAAAAACCATGAGACTTCCCCCTAGAGGCGAGATGAGGCCCCATTCCCCTGCAGTGCATGCAGAGCTATTCCGTGATCCCATTCAAACAAGTCAGGAGCTTCGACTTGCTTAATGGATCTCGAGACAGTCCCCAAGAACACTGTCACCAGTCTAGACGGACCCTGAGGTCACCCCAGCAACGCAAAGCAGCTCAATGTGCCCCAAATCAACTCGAGATGAGGCCCGATTCCCCTGCATTGACCCCAGAGCCATTCCCCGTTCCCCATTCAGCACGACCGGTGGCTCGACTTCCTTCAGGCAACTCCAGAGCTGCCCCGAGAACACTGTCCCAAGTCTAGAGGAACACCAACTTCAGCACAGCAACTCGAGGAATGCTCCGTGTACCCCAAATCGTCTCGAGATGCGAGCTGATTCCCTGGCTTAGGCTCAAGACGTATGCCAACTTCCCAGAAGCACCTCAGGAGGAGGCTTCTCTCAGCAATAGGTATGTGGGAGGGACCCCGAGTTTGCTGCCTCAAGGGGAATATACAGCGAGAAGACCTAACTTGAAAGGAGGCCAGATTTCCTTGCAGTGGCTTGAATACAGGCTCGTCTTTCATCTCACAACATGAAGGGATGTCTGAATCCCCTGTGGAGACCTTAGAGAAAGCCCTAGGTCCCTGCCTCATTTTGACGGAATGCCTCACATCCCGCTGACACCTCGAGAGGCACGCGGAGTTCATTGCTTCAAAAGGTGACGATGCCTGACTCCTCTTGAATACTGATAGGAATCCCAAAATCCCTGTGGCTACGGGAAAGGGTCCTTGGGTGCCCTGCCTCACCTCGAGAAACGTCCCTTTTGCCCTGCCAAGCCTCGAAGAGATTCCTGAGGTGTCCCTCGTTACTAGACAGGAGTCCTGACGTCACTGAAGAAACTCGTGTTTTGAAGGGCCATCCCCGCCGTAAGTCGAGAACATACCCCAGGTCCCCGCCGCAACTCGAGAAAAACCATGAGACTTCCCCCTAGAGGCGAGATGAGGCCCCATTCCCCTGCAGTGCATGCAGAGCTATTCCGTGATCCCATTCAAACAAGTCAGGAGCTTCGACTTGCTTAATGGATCTCGAGACAGTCCCCAAGAACACTGTCACCAGTCTAGACGGACCCTGAGGTCACCCCAGCAACGCAAAGCAGCTCCATGTGCCCCAAATCAACTCGAGATGAGGCCCGATTCCCCTGCATTGACCCCAGAGCCATTCCCCGTTCCCCATTCAACACGACCGGTGGCTCGACTTCCTTCAGGCAACTCCAGAGATGCCCCGAGAACACTGTCCCAAGTCTAGAGGAACACCAACTTCAGCACAGCAACTCGAGGAATGCTCCGTGTACCCCAAATCGTCTCGAGATGCGAGCTGATTCCCTGGCTTAGGCTCAAGACGTATGCCAACTTCCCAGAAGCACCTCAGGAGGAGGCTTCTCTCAGCAATAGGTATGTGGGAGGGACCCCGAGTTTGCTGCCTCAAGGGGAATATACAGCGAGAAGCCCTAACTTGAAAGGAGGCCGGATTTCCTTGCAGTGGCTTGAATACAGGCTCGTCTTTCATCTCACAACATGAAGGGATGTCTGAATCCCCTGTGGAGACCTTAGAGAAAGCCCTAGGTCCCTGCCTCATTTTGACGGAATGCCTCACATCGCGCTGACACCTCGAGAGGCACGCGGAGTTCATTGCTTCAAAAGGTGACGATGCCTGACTCCTCTTGAATACTGATAGGAATCCCAAAATCCCTGTGGCTACTGGAAAGGGTCCTTGGGTGCCCTGCCTCACCTCGAGAAGCGTCCCTTTTGCCCTGCCAAGCCTCGAAGAGATTCCTGAGGTGTCCCTCGTTACTAGAGACGAGTCCTGACGTCACTGAAGAAACTCGTGTTTTGAAGGGCCATCCCCGCCGTAAGTCGAGAACATACCCCAGGTCCCCGCCGCAACTCGAGAAAAACCATGAGACTTCCCCCAAAGGCGAGATGAGGCCCCATTCCCCTGCAGTGCATGCAGAGCTATTCCGTGATCCCATTCAAACAAGTCAGGAGCTTCGACTTGCTTAATGGATCTCGCGAAAGTCCCCAAGAACACTGTCACCAGTCTAGACGGACCCTGAGGTCACCCCAGCAACGCAAAGCAGCTCCATGTGCCCCAAATCAACTCGAGATGAGGCCCGATTCCCCTGCATTGACTCCAGAGCCATTCCCCGTTCCCCATTCAACACGACCGGTGGCTCGACTTCCTTCAGGCAACTCCAGAGATGCCCCGAGAACACTGTCCCAAGTCTAGAGGAACACCAACTTCAGCACAGCAACTCGAGGAATGCTCCGTGTACCCCAAATCGTCTCGAGATGCGAGCTGATTCCCTGGCTTAGGCTCAAGACGTATGCCAACTTCCCAGAAGCACCTCAGGAGGAGACTTCTCTCAGCAATAGGTATGTGGGAGGGACCCCGAGTTTGCTGCCTCAAGGGGAATATACAGCGAGAAGCCCTAACTTGAAAGGAGGCCGGATTTCCTTGCAGTGGCTTGAATACAGGCTCGTCTTTCATCTCACAACATGAAGGGATGTCTGAATCCCCTGTGGAGAACTTAGAGAAAGTCCTAGGTCCCTGCCTCATTTTGACGGAATGCCTCACATCGCGCTGACACCTCGAGAGGCACGCGGAGTTCATTGCTTCAAAAGGTGACGATGCCTGACTCCTCTTGAATACTGATAGGAATCCCAAAATCCCTGTGGCTACTGGAAAGGGTCCTTGGGTGCCCTGCCTCACCTCGAGAAGCGTCCCTTTTGCCCTGCCAAGCCTCGAAGAGATTCCTGAGTTGTCCCTCGTTACTAGACAGGAGTCCTGACGTCACTGAAGAAACTCGTGTTTTGAAGGGCCATCCCCGCCGTAAGTCGAGAACATACCCCAGGTCCCCGCCGCAACTCGAGAAAAACCATGAGACTTCCCCCTAGAGGCGAGATGAGTCCCCATTCCCCTTCAGTGCATGCAGAGCTATTCCGTGATCCCATTCAAACAAGTCAGGAGCTTCGACTTGCTTAATGGATCTCGAGACAGTCCCCAAGAACACTGTCACCAGTCTAGACGGACCCTGAGGTCACCCCAGCAACGCAAAGCAGCTCCATGTGCCCCAAATCAACTCGAGATGAGGCCCGATTCCCCTGCATTGACCCCAGAGCCATTCCCCGTTCCCCATTCAACACGACCGGTGGCTCGACTTCCTTCAGGCAACTCCAGAGATGCCCCGAGAACACTGTCCCAAGTCTAGAGAAACACCAACTTCAACACAGCAACTCGAGGAATGCTCCGTGTACCCCAAATCATCTCGAGATGCGAGCTGATTCCCTGGCTTAGGCTCAAGACGTATGCCAACTTCCCAGAAGCACCTCAGGAGGAGGCTTCTCTCAGCAATAGGTATGTGGGAGGGACCCCGAGTTTGCTGCCTCAAGGGGAATATACAGCGAGAAGCCCTAACTTGAAAGGAGGCCGGATTTCCTTGCAGTGGCTTGAATACAGGCTCGTCTTTCATCTCACAACATGAAGGGATGTCTGAATCCCCTGTGGAGAACTTAGAGAAAGTCCTAGGTCCCTGCCTCATTTTGACGGAATGCCTCACATCGCGCTGACACCTCGAGAGGCACGCGGAGTTCATTGCTTCAAAAGGTGACGATGCCTGACTCCTCTTGAATACTGATAGGAATCCCAAAATCCCTGTGGCTACTGGAAAGGGTCCTTGGGTGCCCTGCCTCACCTCGAGAAGCGTCCCTTTTGCCCTGCCAAGCCTCGAAGAGATTCCTGAGGTGTCCCTCGTTACTAGACAGGAGTCCTGACGTCACTGAAGAAACTCGTGTTTTGAAGGGCCATCCCCGCCGTAAGTCGAGAACATACCCCAGGTCCCCGCCGCAACTCGAGAAAAACCATGAGACTTCCCCCTAGAGGCGAGATGAGGCCCCATTCCCCTGCAGTGCATGCAGAGCTATTCCGTGATCCCATTCAAACAAGTCAGGAGCTTCGACTTGCTTAATGGATCTCGAGACAGTCCCCAAGAACACTGTCACCAGTCTAGACGGACCCTGAGGTCACCCCAGCAACGCAAAGCAGCTCCATGTGCCCCAAATCAACTCGAGATGAGGCCCGATTCCCCTGCATTGACTCCAGAGCCATTCCCCGTTCCCCATTCAACACGACCGGTGGCTCGACTTCCTTCAGGCAACTCCAGAGATGCCCCGAGAACACTGTCCCAAGTCTAGAGGAACACCAACTTCAGCACAGCAACTCGAGGAATGCTCCGTGTACCCCAAATCGTCTCGAGATGCGAGCTGATTCCCTGGCTTAGGCTCAAGACGTATGCCAACTTCCCAGAAGCACCTCAGGAGGAGGCTTCTCTCAGCAATAGGTATGTGGGAGGGACCCCGAGTTTGCTGCCTCAAGGGGAATATACAGCGAGAAGCCCTAACTTGAAAGGTGGCAGGATTTCCTTGCAGTGGCTGGAATACAGGCTCGTCTTTCATCTCACAACATGAAGGGATGTCTGAATCCCCTGTGGAGACCTTAGAGAAAGCCCTAGGTCCCTGCCTCATTTTGACGGAATGCCTCACATCCCGCTGACACCTCGAGAGGCACGCGGAGTTCATTGCTTCAAAAGGTGACGATGCCTGACTCTTCTTGAATACTGATAGGAATCCCAAAATCCCTGTGGCTACTGGAAAGGGTCCTTGGGTGCCCTGCCTCACCTCGAGAAGCGTCCCTTTTGCCCTGCCAAGCGTCGAAGAGATTCCTGAGGTGTCCCTCGTTACTAGACAGGAGTCCTGACGTCACTGAAGAATCTCGTGTTTTGAAGGGCCATCCCCGCCGTAAGTCGAGAACATACCCCAGGTCCCCGCCGCAACTCGAGAAAAACCATGAGACTTCCCCCTAGAGGCGAGATGAGGCCCCATTCCCCTGCAGTGCATGCAGAGCTATTCCGTGACCCCATTCAAACAAGTCAGGAGCTTCGACTTGCTTAATGGATCTCGAGACAGTCCCCAAGAACACTGTCACCAGTCTAGACGGACCCTGAGGTCACCCCAGCAACGCAAAGCAGCTCCATGTGCCCCAAATCAACTCGAGATGAGGCCCGATTCCCCTGCATTGACTCCAGAGCCATTCCCCGTTCCCCATTCAACACGACCGGTGGCTCGACTTCCTTCAGGCAACTCCAGAGATGCCCCGAGAACACTGTCCCAAGTCTAGAGGAACACCAACTTCAGCACAGCAACTCGAGGAATGCTCCGTGTACCCCAAATCGTCTCGAGATGCGAGCTGATTCCCTGGCTTAGGCTCAAGACGTATGCCAACTTCCCAGAAGCACCTCAGGAGGAGGCTTCTCTCAGCAATAGGTATGTGGGAGGGACCCCGAGTTTGCTGCCTCAAGGGGAATATACAGCGAGAAGCCCTAACTTGAAAGGAGGCCGGATTTCCTTGCAGTGGCTGGAATACAGGCTCGTCTTTCATCTCACAACATGAAGGGATGTCTGAATCCCCTGTGGAGACCTTAGAGAAAGCCCTAGGTCCCTGCCTCATTTTGACGGAATGCCTCACATCCCGCTGACACCTCGAGAGGCACGCGGAGTTCATTGCTTCAAAAGGTGACGATGCCTGACTCCTCTTGAATACTGATAGGAATCCCAAAATCCCTGTGGCTACTGGAAAGGGTCCTTGGGTGCCCTGCCTCACCTCGAGAAGCGTCCCTTTTGCCCTGCCAAGCGTCGAAGAGATTCCTGAGGTGTCCCTCGTTACCAGACAGGAGTCCTGACGTCACTGAAGAAACTCGTGTTTTGAAGGGCCATCCCCGCCGTAAGTCGAGAACATACCCCAGGTCCCCGCCGCAACTCGAGAAAAACCATGAGACTTCCCCCTAGAGGCGAGATGAGGCCCCATTCCCCTGCAGTGCATGCAGAGCTATTCCGTGACCCCATTCAAGCACGTCAGGAGCTTCGACTTGCTTAATGGATCTCGAGACAGTCCCCAAGAACACTGTCACCAGTCTAGACGGACCCTGAGGTCACCCCAGCAACGCAAAGCAGCTCCATGTGCCCCAAATCAACTCGAGATGAGGCCCGATTCCCCTGCATTGACTCCAGAGCCATTCCCCGTTCCCCATTCAACACGACCGGTGGCTCGACTTCCTTCAGGCAACTCCAGAGATGCCCCGAGAACACTGTCCCAAGTCTAGAGGAACACCAACTTCAGCACAGCAACTCGAGGAATGCTCCGTGTACCCCAAATCGTCTCGAGATGCGAGCTGATTCCCTGGCTTAGGCTCAAGACGTATGCCAACTTCCCAGAAGCACCTCAGGAGGAGGCTTCTCTCAGCAATAGGTATGTGGGAGGGACCCCGAGTTTGCTGCCTCAAGGGGAATATACAGCGAGAAGCCCTAACTTGAAAGGAGGCCGGATTTCCTTGCAGTGGCTGGAATACAGGCTCGTCTTTCATCTCACAACATGAAGGGATGTCTGAATCCCCTGTGGAGACCTTAGAGAAAGCCCTAGGTCCCTGCCTCATTTTGACGGAATGCCTCACATCCCGCTGACACCTCGAGAGGCACGCGGAGTTCATTGCTTCAAAAGGTGACGATGCCTGACTCCTCTTGAATACTGATAGGAATCCCAAAATCCCTGTGGCTACTGGAAAGGGTCCTTGGGTGCCCTGCCTCACCTCGAGAAGCGTCCCTTTGGCCCTGCCAAGCCTCGAAGAGATTCCTGAGGTGTCCCTCGTTACTAGACAGGAGTCCTGACGTCACTGAAGAATCTCGTGTTTTGAAGGGCCATCCCCGCCGTAAGTCGAGAACATACCCCAGGTCCCCGCCGCAACTCGAGAAAAACCATGAGACTTCCCCCTAGAGGCGAGATGAGGCCCCATTCCCCTGCAGTGCATGCAGAGCTATTCCGTGACCCCATTCAAACAAGTCAGGAGCTTCGACTTGCTTAATGGATCTCGAGACAGTCCCCAAGAACACTGTCACCAGTCTAGACGGACCCTGAGGTCACCCCAGCAACGCAAAGCAGCTCCATGTGCCCCAAATCAACTCGAGATGAGGCCCGATTCCCCTGCATTGACTCCAGAGCCATTCCCCGTTCCCCATTCAACACGACCGGTGGCTCGACTTCCTTCAGGCAACTCCAGAGATGCCCCGAGAACACTGTCCCAAGTCTAGAGGAACACCAACTTCAGCACAGCAACTCGAGGAATGCTCCGTGTACCCCAAATCGTCTCGAGATGCGAGCTGATTCCCTGGCTTAGGCTCAAGACGTATGCCAACTTCCCAGAAGCACCTCAGGAGGAGGCTTCTCTCAGCAATAGGTATGTGGGAGGGACCCCGAGTTTGCTGCCTCAAGGGGAATATACAGCGAGAAGCCCTAACTTGAAAGGAGGCCGGATTTCCTTGCAGTGGCTGGAATACAGGCTCGTCTTTCATCTCACAACATGAAGGGATGTCTGAATCCCCTGTGGAGACCTTAGAGAAAGCCCTAGGTCCCTGCCTCATTTTGACGGAATGCCTCACATCCCGCTGACACCTCGAGAGGCACGCGGAGTTCATTGCTTCAAAAGGTGACGATGCCTGACTCCTCTTGAATACTGATAGGAATCCCAAAATCCCTGTGGCTACTGGAAAGGGTCCTTGGGTGCCCTGCCTCACCTCGAGAAGCGTCCCTTTGGCCCTGCCAAGCCTCGAAGAGATTCCTGAGGTGTCCCTCGTTACTAGACAGGAGTCCTGACGTCACTGAAGAATCTCGTGTTTTGAAGGGCCATCCCCGCCGTAAGTCGAGAACATACCCCAGGTCCCCGCCGCAACTCGAGAAAAACCATGAGACTTCCCCCTAGAGGCGAGATGAGGCCCCATTCCCCTGCAGTGCATGCAGAGCTATTCCGTGACCCCATTCAAACAAGTCAGGAGCTTCGACTTGCTTAATGGATCTCGAGACAGTCCCCAAGAACACTGTCACCAGTCTAGACGGACCCTGAGGTCACCCCAGCAACGCAAAGCAGCTCCATGTGCCCCAAATCAACTCGAGATGAGGCCCGATTCCCCTGCATTGACTCCAGAGCCATTCCCCGTTCCCCTTCAACACGACCGGTGGCTCGACTTCCTTCAGGCAACTCCAGAGATGCCCCGAGAACACTGTCCCAAGTCTAGAGGAACACCAACTTCAGCACAGCAACTCGAGGAATGCTCCGTGTACCCCAAATCGTCTCGAGATGCGAGCTGATTCCCTGGCTTAGGCTCAAGACGTATGCCAACTTCCCAGAAGCACCTCAGGAGGAGGCTTCTCTCAGCAATAGGTATGTGGGAGGGACCCCGAGTTTGCTGCCTCAAGGGGAATATACAGCGAGAAGCCCTAACTTGAAAGGAGGCCGGATTTCCTTGCAGTGGCTGGAATACAGGCTCGTCTTTCATCTCACAACATGAAGGGATGTCTGAATCCCCTGTGGAGACCTTAGAGAAAGCCCTAGGTCCCTGCCTCATTTTGACGGAATGCCGCACATCCCGCTGACACCTCGAGAGGCACGCGGAGTTCATTGCTTCAAAAGGTGACGATGCCTGACTCCTCTTGAATACTGATAGGAATCCCAAAATCCCTGTGGCTACTGGAAAGGGTCCTTGGGTGCCCTGCCTCACCTCGAGAAGCGTCCCTTTTGCCCTGCCAAGCGTCGAAGAGATTCCTGAGGTGTCCCTCGTTACCAGACAGGAGTCCTGACGTCACTGAAGAAACTCGTGTTTTGAAGGGCCATCCCCGCCGTAAGTCGAGAACATACCCCAGGTCCCCGCCGCAACTCGAGAAAAACCATGAGACTTCCCCCTAGAGGCGAGATGAGGCCCCATTCCCCTGCAGTGCATGCAGAGCTATTCCGTGACCCCATTCAAGCACGTCAGGAGCTTCGACTTGCTTAATGGATCTCGAGACAGTCCCCAAGAACACTGTCACCAGTCTAGACGGACCCTGAGGTCACCCCAGCAACGCAAAGCAGCTCCATGTGCCCCAAATCAACTCGAGATGAGGCCCGATTCCCCTGCATTGACTCCAGAGCCATTCCCCGTTCCCCATTCAACACGACCGGTGGCTCGACTTCCTTCAGGCAACTCCAGAGATGCCCCGAGAACACTGTCCCAAGTCTAGAGGAACACCAACTTCAGCACAGCAACTCGAGGAATGCTCCGTGTACCCCAAATCGTCTCGAGATGCGAGCTGATTCCCTGGCTTAGGCTCAAGACGTATGCCAACTTCCCAGAAGCACCTCAGGAGGAGGCTTCTCTCAGCAATAGTTATGTGGGAGGGACCCCGAGTTTGCTGCCTCAAGGGGAATATACAGCGAGAAGCCCTAACTTGAAAGGAGGCCGGATTTCCTTGCGGTGGCTGGAATACAGGCTCGTCTTTCATCTCACAACATGAAGGGATGTCTGAATCCCCTGTGGAGACCTTAGAGAAAGCCCTAGGTCCCTGCCTCATTTTGACGGAATGCCTCACATCCCGCTGACACCCCGAGAGGCACGCGGAGTTCATTGCTTCAAAAGGTGACGATGCCTGACTACTCTTGAATACTGATAGGAATCCCAAAATCCCTGTGGCTACTGGAAAGGGTCCTTGGGTGCCCTGCCTCACCTCGAGAAGCGTCCCTTTTGCCCTGCCAAGCGTCGAAGAGATTCCTGAGGTGTCCCTCGTTACCAGACAGGAGTCCTGACGTCACTGAAGAAACTCGTGTTTTGAAGGGCCATCCCCGCCGTAAGTCGAGAACATACCCCAGGTCCCCGCCGCAACTCGAGAAAAACCATGAGACTTCCCCCTAGAGGCGAGATGAGGCCCCATTCCCCTGCAGTGCATGCAGAGCTATTCCGTGACCCCATTCAAGCACGTCAGGACCTTCGACTTGCTTAATGGATCTCGAGACAGTCCACAAGAACACTGTCACCAGTCTAGACGGACCCTGAGGTCACCCCAGCAACGCAAAGCAGCTCCATGTGCCCCAAATCAACTCGAGATGAGGCCCGATTCCCCTGCATTGACTCCAGAGCCATTCCCCGTTCCCCATTCAACACGACCGGTGGCTCGACTTCCTTCAGGCAACTCCAGAGATGCCCCGAGAACACTGTCCCAAGTCTAGAGGAACACCAACTTCAGCACAGCAACTCGAGGAATGCTCCGTGTACCCCAAATCGTCTCGAGATGCGAGCTGATTCCCTGGCTTAGGCTCAAGACGTATGCCAACTTCCCAGAAGCACCTCAGGAGGAGGCTTCTCTCAGCAATAGGTATGTGGGAGGGACCCCGAGTTTGCTGCCTCAAGGGGAATATACAGCGAGAAGCCCTAACTTGAAAGGAGGCCGGATTTCCTTGCAGTGGCTGGAATACAGGCTCGTCTTTCATCTCACAACATGAAGGGATGTCTGAATCCCCTGTGGAGACCTTAGAGAAAGCCCTAGGTCCCTGCCTCATTTTGACGGAATGCCTCACATCCCGCTGACACCTCGAGAGGCACGCGGAGTTCATTGCTTCAAAAGGTGACGATGCCTGACTCCTCTTGAATACTGATAGGAATCCCAAAATCCCTGTGGCTACTGGAAAGGGTCCTTGGGTGCCCTGCCTCACCTCGAGAAGCGTCCCTTTTGCCCTGCCAAGCCTCGAAGAGATTCCTGAGGTGTCCCTCGTTACTAGACAGGAGTCCTGACGTCACTGAAGAATCTCGTGTTTTGAAGGGCCATCCCCGCCGTAAGTCGAGAACATACCCCAGGTCCCCGCCGCAACTCGAGAAAAACCATGAGACTTCCCCCTAGAGGCGAGATGAGGCCCCATTCCCCTGCAGTGCATGCAGAGCTATTCCGTTACCCCATTCAAACAAGTCAGGAGCTTCGACTTGCTTAATGGATCTCGAGACAGTCCCCAAGAACACTGTCACCAGTCTAGACGGACCCTGAGGTCACCCCAGCAACGCAAAGCAGCTCCATGTGCCCCAAATCAACTCGAGATGAGGCCCGATTCCCCTGCATTGACTCCAGAGCCATTCCCCGTTCCCCATTCAACACGACCGGTGGCTCGACTTCCTTCAGGCAACTCCAGAGATGCCCCGAGAACACTGTCCCAAGTCTAGAGGAACACCAACTTCAGCACAGCAACTCGAGGAATGCTCCGTGTACCCCAAATCGTCTCGAGATGCGAGCTGATTCCCTGGCTTAGGCTCAAGACGTATGCCAACTTCCCAGAAGCACCTCAGGAGGAGGCTTCTCTCAGCAATAGGTATGTGGGAGGGACCCCGAGTTTGCTGCCTCAAGGGGAATATACAGCGAGAAGCCCTAACTTGAAAGGAGGCCGGATTTCCTTGCAGTGGCTGGAATACAGGCTCGTCTTTCATCTCACAACATGAAGGGATGTCTGAATCCCCTGTGGAGACCTTAGAGAAAGCCCTAGGTCCCTGCCTCATTTTGACGGAATGCCTCACATCCCGCTGACACCTCGAGAGGCACGCGGAGTTCATTGCTTCAAAAGGTGACGATGCCTGACTCCTCTTGAATACTGATAGGAATCCCAAAATCCCTGTGGCTACTGGAAAGGGTCCTTGGGTGCCCTGCCTCATCTCGAGAAGCGTCCCTTTGGCCCTGCCAAGCCTCGAAGAGATTCCTGAGGTGTCCCTCGTTACTAGACAGGAGTCCTGACGTCACTGAAGAAACTCGTGTTTTGAAGGGCCATCCCCGCCGTAAGTCGAGAACATACCCCAGGTCTCCGCCGCAACTCGAGAAAAACCATGAGACTTCCCCCTAGAGGCGAGATGAGGCCCCATTCCCCTGCAGTGCATGCAGAGCTATTCCGTGACCCCATTCAAACAAGTCAGGAGCTTCGACTTGCTTAATGGATCTCGAGACAGTCCCCAAGAACACTGTCACCAGTCTAGACGGACCCTGAGGTCACCCCAGCAACGCAAAGCAGCTCCATGTGCCCCAAATCAACTCGAGATGAGGCCCGATTCCCCTGCATTGACTCCAGAGCCATTCCCCGTTCCCCATTCAACACGACCGGTGGCTCGACTTCCTTCAGGCAACTCCAGAGATGCCCCGAGAACACTGTCCCAAGTCTAGAGGAACACCAACTTCAGCACAGCAACTCGAGGAATGCTCCGTGTACCCCAAATCGTCTCGAGATGCGAGCTGATTCCCTGGCTTAGGCTCAAGACGTATGCCAACTTCCCAGAAGCACCTCAGGAGGAGGCTTCTCTCAGCAATAGGTATGTGGGAGGGACCCCGAGTTTGCTGCCTCAAGGGGAATATACAGCGAGAAGCCCTAACTTGAAAGGAGGCCGGATTTCCTTGCAGTGGTTTGAATACAGGCTCGTCTTTCATCTCACAACATGAAGGGATGTCTGAATCCCCTGTGGAGACCTTAGAGAAAGCCCTAGGTCCCTGCGTCATTTTGACGGAATGCCTCACATCCCGCTGACACCTCGAGAGGCACGCGGAGTTCATTGCTTCAAAAGGTGACGATGCCTGACTCCTCTTGAATACTGATAGGAATCCCAAAATCCCTGTGGCTACTGGAAAGGGTCCTTGGGTGCCCTGCCTCACCTCGAGAAGCGTCCCTTTGGCCCTGCCAAGCGTCGAAGAGATTCCTGAGGTGTCCCTCGTTACTAGACAGGAGTCCTGACGTCACTGAAGAAACTCGTGTTTTGAAGGGCCATCCCCGCCGTAAGTCGAGAACATACCCCAGGTCCCCGCCGCAACTCGAGAAAAACCATGAGACTTCCCCCTAGAGGCGAGATGAGGCCCCATTCCACTGCAGTGCATGCAGAGCTATTCCGTGACCCCATTCAAACAAGTCAGGAGCTTCGACTTGCTTAATGGATCTCGAGACAGTCCCCAAGAACACTGTCACCAGTCTAGACGGACCCTGAGGTCACCCCAGCAACGCAAAGCAGCTCCATGTGCCCCAAATCAACTCGAGATGAGGCCCGATTCCCCTGCATTGACTCCAGAGCCATTCCCCGTTCCCCATTCAACACGACCGGTGGCTCGACTTCCTTCAGGCAACTCCAGAGATGCCCCGAGAACACTGTCCCAAGTCTAGAGGAACACCAACTTCAGCACAGCAACTCGAGGAATGCTCCGTCTACCCCAAATCGTCTCGAGATGCGAGCTGATTCCCTGGCTTAGGCTCAAGACGTATGCCAACTTCCCAGAAGCACCTCAGGAGGAGGCTTCTCTCAGCAATAGGTATGTGGGAGGGACCCCGAGTTTGCTGCCTCAAGGGGAATATACAGCGAGAAGCCCTAACTTGAAAGGAGGCCGGATTTCCTTGCAGTGGCTGGAATACAGGCTCGTCTTTCATCTCACAACATGAAGGGATGTCTGAATCCCCTGTGGAGACCTTAGAGAAAGCCCTAGGTCCCTGCCTCATTTTGACGGAATGCCTCACATCCCGCTGACACCTCGAGAGGCACGCGGAGTTCATTGCTTCAAAAGGTGACGATGCCTGACTCCTCTTGAATACTGATAGGAATCCCAAAATCCCTGTGGCTACTGGAAAGGGTCCTTGAGTGCCCTGCCTCATCTCGAGAAGCGTCCCTTTGGCTCTGCCAAGCCTCGAAGAGATTCCTGAGGTGTCCCTCGTTACTAGACAGGAGTCTTGACGTCACTGAAGAATCTCGTGTTTTGAAGGGCCATCCCCGCCGTAAGTCGAGAACATACCCCAGGTCCCCGCCGCAACTCGAGAAAAACCATGAGACTTCCCCCTAGAGGCGAGATGAGTCCCCATTCCCCTGCAGTGCATGCAGAGCTATTCCGTGACCCCATTCAAACAAGTCAGGAGCTTCGACTTGCTTAATGGATCTCGAGACAGTCCCCAAGAACACTGTCACCAGTCTAGACGGACCCTGAGGTCACCCCAGCAACGCAAAGCAGCTCCATGTGCCCCAAATCAACTCGAGATGAGGCCCGATTCCCCTGCATTGACTCCAGAGCCATTCCCCGTTCCCCATTCAACACGACCGGTGGCTCGACTTCCTTCAGGCAACTCCAGAGATGCCCCGAGAACACTGTCCCAAGTCTAGAGGAACACCAACTTCAGCACAGCAACTCGAGGAATGCTCCGTCTACCCCAAATCGTCTAGAGATGCGAGCTGATTCCCTGGCTTAGGCTCAAGACGTATGCCAACTTCCCAGAAGCACCTCAGGAGGAGGCTTCTCTCAGCAGTAGGTATGTGGGAGGGACCCCGAGTTTGCTGCCTCAGGGGGAATATACAGCGAGAAGCCCTAACTTGAAAGGACGCCGGATTTCCTTGCAGTGGCTTGAATACAGGCTCGTCTTTTATCTCACAACATGAAGGGATGTCTGAATCCCCTGTGGAGACCTTAGAGAAAGCCCTAGGTCCCTGCCTCATTTTGACGGAATGCCTCACATCCCGCTGACACCTCGAGAGGCACGCGGAGTTCATTGCTTCGAAAGGTGACGATGCCTGACTCCTCTTGAATACTGATAGGAATCCCAAAATCCCTGTGGCTACTGGAAAGGGTCCTTGGGTGCCCTGCCTCACGTCGAGAAGCGTCCCTTTGGCCCTGCCAAGCCTCGAAGAGATTCCTGAGCTGTCCCTCGTTACTAGACAGGAGTCCTGACGTCACTGAAGAAACTCGTGTTTTGAAGGGCCATCCCCGCCGTAAGTCGAGAACATACCCCAGGTCCCCGCCGCAACTCGAGAAAAACCATGAGACTTCCCCCTAGAGGCGAGATGAGGCCCCATTCCCCTGCAGTGCATGCAGAGCTATTCCGTGACCCCATTCAAACAAGTCAGGAGCTTCGACTTGCTTAATGGATCTCGAGACAGTCCCCAAGAACACTGTCACCAGTCTAGACGGACCCTGAGGTCACCCCAGCAACGCAAAGCAGCTCCATGTGCCCCAAATCAACTCGAGATGAGACCCGATTCCCCTGCATTGACTCCAGAGCCATTCCCCGTTCCCCATTCAACACGACCGGTGGCTCGACTTCCTTCAGGCAACTCCAGAGATGCCCCGAGAACACTGTCCCAAGTCTAGAGGAACACCAACTTCAGCACAGCAACTCGAGGAATGCTCCGTGTACCCCAAATCGTCTCGAGATGCGAGCTGATTCCCTGGCTTAGGCTCAAGACGTATGCCAACTTCCCAGAAGCACCTCAGGAGGAGGCTTCTCTCAGCAATAGGTATGTGGGAGGGACCCCGAGTTTGCTGCCTCAAGGGGAATATACAGCGAGAAGCCCTAACTTGAAAGGAGGCCGGATTTCCTTCCAGTGGCTGGAATACAGGCTCGTCTTTCATCTCACAACATGAAGGGATGTCTGAATCCCCTGTGGAGACCTTAGAGAAAGCCCTAGGTCCCTGCCTCATTTTGACGGAATGCCTCACATCCCGCTGACACCTCGAGAGGCACGCGGAGTTCATTGCTTCAAAAGGTGACGATGCCTGACTCCTCTTGAATACTGATAGGAATCCCAAAATCCCTGTGGCTACTGGAAAGGGTCCTTGGGTGCCCTGCCTCACCTCGAGAAGCGTCCCTTTGGCCCTGCCAAGCGTCGAAGAGATTCCTGAGGTGTCCCTCGTTACCAGACAGGAGTCCTGACGTCACTGAAGAAACTCGTGTTTTGAAGGGCCATCCCCGCCGTAAGTCGAGAACATACCCCAGGTCCCCGCCGCAACTCGAGAAAAACCATGAGACTTCCCCCTAGAGGCGAGATGAGGCCCCATTCCCCTGCAGTGCATGCAGAGCTATTCCGTGACCCCATTCAAGCACGTCAGGACCTTCGACTTGCTTAATGGATCTCGAGACAGTCCACAAGAACACTGTCACCAGTCTAGACGGACCCTGAGGTCACCCCAGCAACGCAAAGCAGCTCCATGTGCCCCAAATCAACTCGAGATGAGGCCCGATTCCCCTGCATTGACTCCAGAGCCATTCCCCGTTCCCCATTCAACACGACCGGTGGCTCGACTTCCTTCAGGCAACTCCAGAGATGCCCCGAGAACACTGTCCCAAGTCTAGAGGAACACCAACTTCAGCACAGCAACTCGAGGAATGCTCCGTCTACCCCAAATCGTCTCGAGATGCGAGCTGATTCCCTGGCTTAGGCTCAAGACGTATGCCAACTTCCCAGAAGCACCTCAGGAGGAGGCTTCTCTCAGCAGTAGGTATGTGGGAGGGACCCCGAGTTTGCTGCCTCAAGGGGAATATACAGCGAGAAGCCCTAACTTGAAAGGAGGCCGGATTTCCTTGCAGTGGCTTGAATACAGGCTCGTCTTTCATCTCACAACATGAAGGGATGTCTGAATCCCCTGTGGAGACCTTAGAGAAAGCCCTAGGTCCCTGCCTCATTTTGACGGAATGCCTCACATCCCGCTGACACCTCGAGAGGCACGCGGAGTTCATTGCTTCGAAAGGTGACGATGCCTGACTCCTCTTGAATACTGATAGGAATCCCAAAATCCCTGTGGCTACTGGAAAGGGTCCTTGGGTGCCCTGCCTCACCTCGAGAAGCGTCCCTTTGGCCCTGCCAAGCCTCGAAGAGATTCCTGAGCTGTCCCTCGTTACTAGACAGGAGTCCTGACGTCACTGAAGAAACTCGTGTTTTGAAGGGCCATCCCCGCCGTAAGTCGAGAACATACCCCAGGTCCCCGCCGCAACTCGAGAAAAACCATGAGACTTCCCCCTAGAGGCGAGATGAGGCCCCATTCCCCTGCAGTGCATGCAGAGCTATTCCGTGACCCCATTCAAACAAGTCAGGAGCTTCGACTTGCTTAATGGATCTCGAGACAGTCCCCAAGAACACTGTCACCAGTCTAGACGGACCCTGAGGTCACCCCAGCAACGCAAAGCAGCTCCATGTGCCCCAAATCAACTCGAGATGAGGCCCGATTCCCCTGCATTGACTCCAGAGCCATTCCCCGTTCCCCATTCAACACGACCGGTGGCTCGACTTCCTTCAGGCAACTCCAGAGATGCCCCGAGAACACTGTCCCAAGTCTAGAGGAACACCAACTTCAGCACAGCAACTCGAGGAATGCTCCGTCTACCCCAAATCGTCTCGAGATGCGAGCTGATTCCCTGGCTTAGGCTCAAGACGTATGCCAACTTCCCAGAAGCACCTCAGGAGGAGGCTTCTCTCAGCAGTAGGTATGTGGGAGGGACCCCGAGTTTGCTGCCTCAGGGGGAATATACAGCGAGAAGCCCTAACTTGAAAGGACGCCGGATTTCCTTGCAGTGGCTTGAATACAGGCTCGTCTTTCATCTCACAACATGAAGGGATGTCTGAATCCCCTGTGGAGACCTTAGAGAAAGCCCTAGGTCCCTGCCTCATTTTGACGGAATGCCTCACATCCCGCTGACACCTCGAGAGGCACGCGGAGTTCATTGCTTCGAAAGGTGACGATGCCTGACTCCTCTTGAATACTGATAGGAATCCCAAAATCCCTGTGGCTACTGGAAAGGGTCCTTGGGTGCCCTGCCTCACGTCGAGAAGCGTCCCTTTGGCCCTGCCAAGCCTCGAAGAGATTCCTGAGCTGTCCCTCGTTACTAGACAGGAGTCCTGACGTCACTGAAGAAACTCGTGTTTTGAAGGGCCATCCCCGCCGTAAGTCGAGAACATACCCCAGGTCCCCGCCGCAACTCGAGAAAAACCATGAGACTTCCCCCTAGAGGCGAGATGAGGCCCCATTCCCCTGCAGTGCATGCAGAGCTATTCCGTGACCCCATTCAAACAAGTCAGGAGCTACGACTTGCTTAATGGATCTCGAGACAGTCCCCAAGAACACTGTCACCAGTCTAGACGGACCCTGAGGTCACCCCAGCAACGCAAAGCAGCTCCATGTGCCCCAAATCAACTCGAGATGAGACCCGATTCCCCTGCATTGACTCCAGAGCCATTCCCCGTTCCCCATTCAACACGACCGGTGGCTCGACTTCCTTCAGGCAACTCCAGAGATGCCCCGAGAACACTGTCCCAAGTCTAGAGGAACACCAACTTCAGCACAGCAACTCGAGGAATGCTCCGTGTACCCCAAATCGTCTCGAGATGCGAGCTGATTCCCTGGCTTAGGCTCAAGACGTATGCCAACTTCCCAGAAGCACCTCAGGAGGAGGCTTCTCTCAGCAATAGGTATGTGGGAGGGACCCCGAGTTTGCTGCCTCAAGGGGAATATACAGCGAGAAGCCCTAACTTGAAAGGAGGCCGGATTTCCTTCCAGTGGCTGGAATACAGGCTCGTCTTTCATCTCACAACATGAAGGGATGTCTGAATCCCCTGTGGAGACCTTAGAGAAAGCCCTAGGTCCCTGCCTCATTTTGACGGAATGCCTCACATCCCGCTGACACCTCGAGAGGCACGCGGAGTTCATTGCTTCAAAAGGTGACGATGCCTGACTCCTCTTGAATACTGATAGGAATCCCAAAATCCCTGTGGCTACTGGAAAGGGTCCTTGGGTGCCCTGCCTCACCTCGAGAAGCGTCCCTTTGGCCCTGCCAAGCGTCGAAGAGATTCCTGAGGTGTCCCTCGTTACCAGACAGGAGTCCTGACGTCACTGAAGAAACTCGTGTTTTGAAGGGCCATCCCCGCCGTAAGTCGAGAACATACCCCAGGTCCCCGCCGCAACTCGAGAAAAACCATGAGACTTCCCCCTAGAGGCGAGATGAGGCCCCATTCCCCTGCAGTGCATGCAGAGCTATTCCGTGACCCCATTCAAGCACGTCAGGACCTTCGACTTGCTTAATGGATCTCGAGACAGTCCACAAGAACACTGTCACCAGTCTAGACGGACCCTGAGGTCACCCCAGCAACGCAAAGCAGCTCCATGTGCCCCAAATCAACTCGAGATGAGGCCCGATTCCCCTGCATTGACTCCAGAGCCATTCCCCGTTCCCCATTCAACACGACCGGTGGCTCGACTTCCTTCAGGCAACTCCAGAGATGCCCCGAGAACACTGTCCCAAGTCTAGAGGAACACCAACTTCAGCACAGCAACTCGAGGAATGCTCCGTCTACCCCAAATCGTCTCGAGATGCGAGCTGATTCCCTGGCTTAGGCTCAAGACGTATGCCAACTTCCCAGAAGCACCTCAGGAGGAGGCTTCTCTCAGCAGTAGGTATGTGGGAGGGACCCCGAGTTTGCTGCCTCAAGGGGAATATACAGCGAGAAGCCCTAACTTGAAAGGAGGCCGGATTTCCTTGCAGTGGCTTGAATACAGGCTCGTCTTTCATCTCACAACATGAAGGGATGTCTGAATCCCCTGTGGAGACCTTAGAGAAAGCCCTAGGTCCCTGCCTCATTTTGACGGAATGCCTCACATCCCGCTGACACCTCGAGAGGCACGCGGAGTTCATTGCTTCGAAAGGTGACGATGCCTGACTCCTCTTGAATACTGATAGGAATCCCAAAATCCCTGTGGCTACTGGAAAGGGTCCTTGGGTGCCCTGCCTCACCTCGAGAAGCGTCCCTTTGGCCCTGCCAAGCCTCGAAGAGATTCCTGAGGTGTCCCTCGTTACTAGACAGGAGTCCTGACGTCACTGAAGAAACTCGTGTTTTGAAGGGCCATCCCCGCCGTAAGTCGAGAACATACCCCAGGTCCCCGCCGCAACTCGAGAAAAACCATGAGACTTCCCCCTAGAGGCGAGATGAGGCCCCATTCCCCTGCAGTGCATGCAGAGCTATTCCGTGACCCCATTCAAACAAGTCAGGAGCTTCGACTTGCTTAATGGATCTCGAGACAGTCCCCAAGAACACTGTCACCAGTCTAGACGGACCCTGAGGTCACCCCAGCAACGCAAAGCAGCTCCATGTGCCCCAAATCAACTCGAGATGAGGCCCGATTCCCCTGCATTGACTCCAGAGCCATTCCCCGTTCCCCATTCAACACGACCGGTGGCTCGACTTCCTTCAGGCAACTCCAGAGATGCCCCGAGAACACTGTCCCAAGTCTAGAGGAACACCAACTTCAGCACAGCAACTCGAGGAATGTTCCGTGTACCCCAAATCGTCTCGAGATGCGAGCTGATTCCCTGGCTTAGGCTCAAGACGTATGCCAACTTCCCAGAAGCACCTCAGGAGGAGGCTTCTCTCAGCAATAGGTATGTGGGAGGGACCCCGAGTTTGCTGCCTCAAGGGGAATATACAGCGAGAAGCCCTAACTTGAAAGGAGGCCGGATTTCCTTGCAGTGGCTGGAATACAGGCTCGTCTTTCATCTCACAACATGAAGGGATGTCTGAATCCCCTGTGGAGACCTTAGAGAAAGCCCTAGGTCCCTGCCTCATTTTGACGGAATGCCTCACATCCCGCTGACACCTCGAGAGGCACGCGGAGTTCATTGCTTCAAAAGGTGACGATGCCTGACTCCTCTTGAATACTGATAGGAATCCCAAAATCCCTGTGGCTACTGGAAAGGGTCCTTGGGTGCCCTGCCTCACCTCGAGAAGCGTCCCTTTTGCCCTGCCAAGCGTCGAAGAGATTCCTGAGGTGTCCCTCGTTACCAGACAGGAGTCCTGACGTCACTGAAGAAACTCGTGTTTTGAAGGGCCATCCCCGCCGTAAGTCGAGAACATACCCCAGGTCCCCGCCGCAACTCGAGAAAAACCATGAGACTTCCCCCTAGAGGCGAGATGAGGCCCCATTCCCCTGCAGTGCATGCAGAGCTATTCCGTGACCCCATTCAACCACGTCAGGAGCTTCGACTTGCTTAATGGATCTCGAGACAGTCCACAAGAACACTGTCACCAGTCTAGACGGACCCTGAGGTCACCCCAGCAACGCAAAGCAGCTCCATGTGCCCCAAATCAACTCGAGATGAGGCCCGATTCCCCTGCATTGACTCCAGAGCCATTCCCCGTTCCCCATTCAACACGACCGGTGGCTCGACTTCCTTCAGGCAACTCCAGAGATGCCCCGAGAACACTGTCCCAAGTCTAGAGGAACACCAACTTCAGCACAGCAACTCGAGGAATGCTCCGTGTACCCCAAATCGTCTCGAGATGCGAGCTGATTCCCTGGCTTACGCTCAAGACGTATGCCAACTTCCCAGAAGCACCTCAGGAGGAGGCTTCTCTCAGCAATAGGTATGTGGGAGGGACCCCGAGTTTGCTGCCTCAAGGGGAATATACAGCGAGAAGCCCTAACTTGAAAGGAGGCCGGATTTCCTTGCAGTGGCTGGAATACAGGCTCGTCTTTCATCTCACAACATGAAGGGATGTCTGAATCCCCTGTGGAGACCTTAGAGAAAGCCCTAGGTCCCTGCCTCATTTTGACGGAATGCCTCACATCCCGCTGACACCTCGAGAGGCACGCGGAGTTCATTGCTTCAAAAGGTGACGATGCCTGACTCCTCTTGAATACTGATAGGAATCCCAAAATCCCTGTGGCTACTGGAAAGGGTCCTTGGGTGCCCTGCCTCACCTCGAGAAGCGTCCCTTTTGCCCTGCCAAGCGTCGAAGAGATTCCTGAGGTGTCCCTCGTTACTAGACAGGAGTCCTGACGTCACTGAAGAATCTCGTGTTTTGAAGGGCCATCCCCGCCGTAAGTCGAGAACATACCCCAGGTCCCCGCCGCAACTCGAGAAAAACCATGAGACTTCCCCCTAGAGGCGAGATGAGGCCCCATTCCCCTGCAGTGCATGCAGAGCTATTCCGTGACCCCATTCAAACAAGTCAGGAGCTTCGACTTGCTTAATGGATCTCGAGACAGTCCCCAAGAACACTGTCACCAGTCTAGACGGACCCTGAGGTCACCCCAGCAACGCAAAGCAGCTCCATGTGCCCCAAATCAACTCGAGATGAGGCCCGATTCCCCTGCATTGACTCCAGAGCCATTCCCCGTTCCCCATTCAACACGACCGGTGGCTCGACTTCCTTCAGGCAACTCCAGAGATGCCCCGAGAACACTGTCCCAAGTCTAGAGGAACACCAACTTCAGCACAGCAACTCGAGGAATGCTCCGTGTACCCCAAATCGTCTCGAGATGCGAGCTGATTCCCTGGCTTAGGCTCAAGACGTATGCCAACTTCCCAGAAGCACCTCAGGAGGAGGCTTCTCTCAGCAATAAGTATGTGGGAGGGACCCCGAGTTTGCTGCCTCAAGGGGAATATACAGCGAGAAGCCCTAACTTGAAAGGAGGCCGGATTTCCTTGCAGTGGCTGGAATACAGGCTCGTCTTTCATCTCACAACATGAAGGGATGTCTGAATCCCCTGTGGAGACCTTAGAGAAAGCCCTAGGTCCCTGCCTCATTTTGCCGGAATGCCTCACATCCCGCTGACACCTCGAGAGGCACGCGGAGTTCATTGCTTCAAAAGGTGACGATGCCTGACTCCTCTTGAATACTGATAGGAATCCCAAAATCCCTGTGGCTACTGGAAAGGGTCCTTGGGTGCCCTGCCTCACCTCGAGAAGCGTCCCTTTTGCCCTGCCAAGCGTCGAAGAGATTCCTGAGCTGTCCCTCGTTACCAGACAGGAGTCCTGACGTCACTGAAGAAACTCGTGTTTTGAAGGGCCATCCCCGCCGTAAGTCGAGAACATACCCCAGGTCCCCGCCGCAACTCGAGAAAAACCATGAGACTTCCCCCTAGAGGCGAGATGAGGCCCCATTCCCCTGCAGTGCATGCAGAGCTATTCCGTGACCCCATTCAAGCACGTCAGGAGCTTCGACTTGCTTAATGGATCTCGAGACAGTCCACAAGAACACTGTCACCAGTCTAGACGGACCCTGAGGTCACCCCAGCAACGCAAAGCAGCTCCATGTGCCCCAAATCAACTCGAGATGAGGCCCGATTCCCCTGCATTGACTCCAGAGCCATTCCCCGTTCCCCATTCAACACGACCGGTGGCTCGACTTCCTTCAGGCAACTCCAGAGATGCCCCGAGAACACTGTCCCAAGTCTAGAGGAACACCAACTTCAGCACAGCAACTCGAGGAATGCTCCGTGTACCCCAAATCGTCTCGAGATGCGAGCTGATTCCCTGGCTTAGGCTCAAGACGTATGCCAACTTCCCAGAAGCACCTCAGGAGGAGGCTTCTCTCAGCAATAGGTATGTGGGAGGGACCCCGAGTTTGCTGCCTCAAGGGGAATATACAGCGAGAAGCCCTAACTTGAAAGGAGGCCGGATTTCCTTGCAGTGGCTGGAATACAGGCTCGTCTTTCATCTCACAACATGAAGGGATGTCTGAATCCCCTGTGGAGACCTTAGAGAAAGCCCTAGGTCCCTGCCTCATTTTGACGGAATGCCTCACATCCCGCTGACACCTCGAGAGGCACGCGGAGTTCATTGCTTCAAAAGGTGACGATGCCTGACTCCTCTTGAATACTGATAGGAATCCCAAAATCCCTGTGGCTACTGGAAAGGGTCCTTGGGTGCCCTGCCTCACCTCGAGAAGCGTCCCTTTTGCCCTGCCAAGCCTCGAAGAGATTCCTGAGGTGTCCCTCGTTACCAGACAGGAGTCCTGACGTCACTGAAGAAACTCGTGTTTTGAAGGGCCATCCCCGCCGTAAGTCGAGAACATACCCCAGGTCTCCGCCGCAACTCGAGAAAAACCATGAGACTTCCCCCTAGAGGCGAGATGAGGCCCCATTCCCCTGCAGTGCATGCAGAGCTATTCCGTGACCCCATTCAAACAAGTCAGGAGCTTCGACTTGCTTAATGGATCTCGAGACAGTCCCCAAGAACACTGTCACCAATCTAGACGGACCCTGAGGTCACCCCAGCAACGCAAAGCAGCTCCATGTGCCCCAAATCAACTCGAGATGAGGCCCGATTCCCCTGCATTGACTCCAGAGCCATTCCCCGTTCCCCATTCAACACGACCGGTGGCTCGACTTCCTTCAGGCAACTCCAGAGATGCCCCGAGAACACTGTCCCAAGTCTAGAGGAACACCAACTTCAGCACAGCAACTCGAGGAATGCTCCGTGTACCCCAAATCGTCTCGAGATGCGAGCTGATTCCCTGGCTTACGCTCAAGACGTATGCCAACTTCCCAGAAGCACCTCAGGAGGAGGCTTCTCTCAGCAATAGGTATGTGGGAGGGACCCCGAGTTTGCTGCCTCAAGGGGAATATACAGCGAGAAGCCCTAACTTGAAAGGAGGCCGGATTTCCTTGCAGTGGTTTGAATACAGGCTCGTCTTTCATCTCACAACATGAAGGGATGTCTGAATCCCCTGTGGAGACCTTAGAGAAAGCCCTAGGTCCCTGCCTCATTTTGACGGAATGCCTCACATCCCGCTGACACCTCGAGAGGCACGCGGAGTTCATAGCTTCAAAAGGTGACGATGCCTGACTCCTCTTGAATACTGATAGGAATCCCAAAATCCCTGTGGCTACTGGAAAGGGTCCTTGGGTGCCCTGCCTCACCTCGAGAAGCGTCCCTTTGGCCCTGCCAAGCCTCGAAGAGATTCCTGAGCTGTCCCTCGTTACTAGACAGGAGTCCTGACGTCACTGAAGAAACTCGTGTTTTGAAGGGCCATCCCCGCCGTAAGTCGAGAACATACCCCAGGTCCCCGCCGCAACTCGAGAAAAACTATGAGACTTCCCCCTAGAGGCGAGATGAGGCCCCATTCCCCTGCAGTGCATGCAGAGCTATTCCGTGACCCCATTCAAACAAGTCAGGAGCTTCGACTTGCTTAATGGATCTCGAGACAGTCCCCAAGAACACTGTCACCAGTCTAGACGGACCCTGAGGTCACCCCAGCAACGCAAAGCAGCTCCATGTGCCCCAAATCAACTCGAGATGAGGCCCGATTCCCCTGCATTGACTCCAGAGCCATTCCCCGTTCCCCATTCAACACGACCAGTGGCTCGACTTCCTTCAGGCAACTCCAGAGATGCCCCGAGAACACTGTCCCAAGTCTAGAGGAACACCAACTTCAGCACAGCAACTCGAGGAATGCTCCGTGTACCCCAAATCGTCTCGAGATGCGAGCTGATTCCCTGGCTTACGCTCAAGACGTATGCCAACTTCCCAGAAGCACCTCAGGAGGAGGCTTCTCTCAGCAATAGGTATGTGGGAGGGACCCCGAGTTTGCTGCCTCAAGGGGAATATACAGCGAGAAGCCCTAACTTGAAAGGAGGCCGGATTTCCTTGCAGTGGTTTGAATACAGGCTCGTCTTTCATCTCACAACATGAAGGGATGTCTGAATCCCCTGTGGAGACCTTAGAGAAAGCCCTAGGTCCCTGCCTCATTTTGACGGAATGCCTCACATCCCGCTGACACCTCGAGAGGCACGCGGAGTTCATAGCTTCAAAAGGTGACGATGCCTGACTCCTCTTGAATACTGATAGGAATCCCAAAATCCCTGTGGCTACTGGAAAGGGTCCTTGGGTGCCCTGCCTCACCTCGAGAAGCGTCCCTTTGGCCCTGCCAAGCCTCGAAGAGATTCCTGAGCTGTCCCTCGTTACTAGACAGGAGTCCTGACGTCACTGAAGAAACTCGTGTTTTGAAGGGCCATCCCCGCCGTAAGTCGAGAACATACCCCAGGTCCCCGCCGCAACTCGAGAAAAACCATGAGACTTCCCCCTAGAGGCGAGATGAGGCCCCATTCCCCTGCAGTGCATGCAGAGCTATTCCGTGACCCCATTCAAACAAGTCAGGAGCTTCGACTTGCTTAATGGATCTCGAGACAGTCCCCAAGAACACTGTCACCAGTCTAGACGGACCCTGAGGTCACCCCAGCAACGCAAAGCAGCTCCATGTGCCCCAAATCAACTCGAGATGAGGCCCGATTCCCCTGCATTGACTCCAGAGCCATTCCCCGTTCCCCATTCAACACGACCGGTGGCTCGACTTCCTTCAGGCAACTCCAGAGATGCCCCGAGAACACTGTCCCAAGTCTAGAGGAACACCAACTTCAGCACAGCAACTCGAGGAATGCTCCGTGTACCCCAAATCGTCTCGAGATGCGAGCTGATTCCCTGGCTTAGGCTCAAGACGTATGCCAACTTCCCAGAAGCACCTCAGGAGGAGGCTTCTCTCAGCAATAGGTATGTGGGAGGGACCCCGAGTTTGCTGCCTCAAGGGGAATATACAGCGAGAAGCCCTAACTTGAAAGGAGGCCGGATTTCCTTCCAGTGGCTGGAATACAGGCTCGTCTTTCATCTCACAACATGAAGGGATGTCTGAATCCCCTGTGGAGACCTTAGAGAAAGCCCTAGGTCCCTGCCTCATTTTGACGGAATGCCTCACATCCCGCTGACACCTCGAGAGGCACGCGGAGTTCATTGCTTCAAAAGGTGACGATGCCTGACTCCTCTTGAATACTGATAGGAATCCCAAAATCCCTGTGGCTACTGGAAAGGGTCCTTGGGTGCCCTGCCTCACCTCGAGAAGCGTCCCTTTGGCCCTGCCAAGCCTCGAAGAGATTCCTGAGGTGTCCCTCGTTACTAGACAGGAGTCCTGACGTCACTGAAGAATCTCGTGTTTTGAAGGGCCATCCCCGCCGTAAGTCGAGAACATACCCCAGGTCCCCGCCGCAACTCGAGAAAAACCATGAGACTTCCCCCTAGAGGCGAGATGAGGCCCCATTCCCCTGCAGTGCATGCAGAGCTATTCCGTGACCCCATTCAAACAAGTCAGGAGCTTCGACTTGCTTAATGGATCTCGAGACAGTCCCCAAGAACACTGTCACCAGTCTAGACGGACCCTGAGGTCACCCCAGCAACGCAAAGCAGCTCCATGTGCCCCAAATCAACTCGAGATGAGGCCCGATTCCCCTGCATTGACTCCAGAGCCATTCCCCGTTCCCCATTCAACACGACCGGTGGCTCGACTTCCTTCAGGCAACTCCAGAGATGCCCCGAGAACACTGTCCCAAGTCTAGAGGAACACCAACTTCAGCACAGCAACTCGAGGAATGCTCCGTCTACCCCAAATCGTCTCGAGATGCGAGCTGATTCCCTGGCTTAGGCTCAAGACGTATGCCAACTTCCCAGAAGCACCTCAGGAGGAGGCTTCTCTCAGCAGTAGGTATGTGGGAGGGACCCCGAGTTTGCTGCCTCAAGGGGAATATACAGCGAGAAGCCCTAACTTGAAAGGAGGCCGGATTTCCTTGCAGTGGCTTGAATACAGGCTCGTCTTTCATCTCACAACATGAAGGGATGTCTGAATCCCCTGTGGAGACCTTAGAGAAAGCCCTAGGTCCCTGCCTCATTTTGACGGAATGCCTCACATCCCGCTGACACCTCGAGAGGCACGCGGAGTTCATTGCTTCGAAAGGTGACGATGCCTGACTCCTCTTGAATACTGATAGGAATCCCAAAATCCCTGTGGCTACTGGAAAGGGTCCTTGGGTGCCCTGCCTCACCTCGAGAAGCGTCCCTTTGGCCCTGCCAAGCCTCGAAGAGATTCCTGAGCTGTCCCTCGTTACTAGACAGGAGTCCTGACGTCACTGAAGAAACTCGTGTTTTGAAGGGCCATCCCCGCCGTAAGTCGAGAACATACCCCAGGTCCCCGCCACAACTCGAGAAAAACTATGAGACTTCCCCCTAGAGGCGAGATGAGGCCCCATTCCCCTGCAGTGCATGCAGAGCTATTCCGTGACCCCATTCAAACAAGTCAGGAGCTTCGACTTGCTTAATGGATCTCGAGACAGTCCCCAAGAACACTGTCACCAGTCTAGACGGACCCTGAGGTCACCCCAGCAACGCAAAGCAGCTCCATGTGCCCCAAATCAACTCGAGATGAGGCCCGATTCCCCTGCATTGACTCCAGAGCCATTCCCCGTTCCCCATTCAACACGACCGGTGGCTCGACTTCCTTCAGGCAACTCCAGAGATGCCCCGAGAACACTGTCCCAAGTCTAGAGGAACACCAACTTCAGCACAGCAACTCGAGGAATGCTCCGTGTACCCCAAATCGTCTCGAGATGCGAGCTGATTCCCTGGCTTACGCTCAAGACGTATGCCAACTTCCCAGAAGCACCTCAGGAGGAGGCTTCTCTCAGCAATAGGTATGTGGGAGGGACCCCGAGTTTGCTGCCTCAAGGGGAATATACAGCGAGAAGCCCTAACTTGAAAGGAGGCCGGATTTCCTTGCAGTGGTTTGAATACAGGCTCGTCTTTCATCTCACAACATGAAGGGATGTCTGAATCCCCTGTGGAGACCTTAGAGAAAGCCCTAGGTCCCTGCCTCATTTTGACGGAATGCCTCACATCCCGCTGACACCTCGAGAGGCACGCGGAGTTCATAGCTTCAAAAGGTGACGATGCCTGACTCCTCTTGAATACTGATAGGAATCCCAAAATCCCTGTGGCTACTGGAAAGGGTCCTTGGGTGCCCTGCCTCACCTCGAGAAGCGTCCCTTTGGCCCTGCCAAGCCTCGAAGAGATTCCTGAGCTGTCCCTCGTTACTAGACAGGAGTCCTGACGTCACTGAAGAAACTCGTGTTTTGAAGGGCCATCCCCGCCGTAAGTCGAGAACATACCCCAGGTCCCCGCCGCAACTCGAGAAAAACCATGAGACTTCCCCCTAGAGGCGAGATGAGGCCCCATTCCCCTGCAGTGCATGCAGAGCTATTCCGTGACCCCATTCAAACAAGTCAGGAGCTTCGACTTGCTTAATGGATCTCGAGACAGTCCCCAAGAACACTGTCACCAGTCTAGACGGACCCTGAGGTCACCCCAGCAACGCAAAGCAGCTCCATGTGCCCCAAATCAACTCGAGATGAGGCCCGATTCCCCTGCATTGACTCCAGAGCCATTCCCCGTTCCCCATTCAACACGACCGGTGGCTCGACTTCCTTCAGGCAACTCCAGAGATGCCCCGAGAACACTGTCCCAAGTCTAGAGGAACACCAACTTCAGCACAGCAACTCGAGGAATGCTCCGTGTACCCCAAATCGTCTCGAGATGCGAGCTGATTCCCTGGCTTAGGCTCAAGACGTATGCCAACTTCCCAGAAGCACCTCAGGAGGAGGCTTCTCTCAGCAATAGGTATGTGGGAGGGACCCCGAGTTTGCTGCCTCAAGGGGAATATACAGCGAGAAGCCCTAACTTGAAAGGAGGCCGGATTTCCTTCCAGTGGCTGGAATACAGGCTCGTCTTTCATCTCACAACATGAAGGGATGTCTGAATCCCCTGTGGAGACCTTAGAGAAAGCCCTAGGTCCCTGCCTCATTTTGACGGAATGCCTCACATCCCGCTGACACCTCGAGAGGCACGCGGAGTTCATAGCTTCAAAAGGTGACGATGCCTGACTCCTCTTGAATACTGATAGGAATCCCAAAATCCCTGTGGCTACTGGAAAGGGTCCTTGGGTGCCCTGCCTCACCTCGAGAAGCGTCCCTTTGGCCCTGCCAAGCCTCGAAGAGATTCCTGAGGTGTCCCTCGTTACTAGACAGGAGTCCTGACGTCACTGAAGAATCTCGTGTTTTGAAGGGCCATCCCCGCCGTAAGTCGAGAACATACCCCAGGTCCCCGCCGCAACTCGAGAAAAACCATGAGACTTCCCCCTAGAGGCGAGATGAGGCCCCATTCCCCTGCAGTGCATGCAGAGCTATTCCGTGACCCCATTCAAACAAGTCAGGAACTTCGACTTGCTTAATGGATCTCGAGACAGTCCCCAAGAACACTGTCACCAGTCTAGACGGACCCTGAGGTCACCCCAGCAACGCAAAGCAGCTCCATGTGCCCCAAATCAACTCGAGATGAGGCCCGATTCCCCTGCATTGACTCCAGAGCCATTCCCCGTTCCCCATTCAACACGACCGGTGGCTCGACTTCCTTCAGGCAACTCCAGAGATGCCCCGAGAACACTGTCCCAAGTCTAGAGGAACACCAACTTCAGCACAGCAACTCGAGGAATGCTCCGTCTACCCCAAATCGTCTCGAGATGCGAGCTGATTCCCTGGCTTAGGCTCAAGACGTATGCCAACTTCCCAGAAGCACCTCAGGAGGAGGCTTCTCTCAGCAGTAGGTATGTGGGAGGGACCCCGAGTTTGCTGCCTCAAGGGGAATATACAGCGAGAAGCCCTAACTTGAAAGGAGGCCGGATTTCCTTGCAGTGGCTTGAATACAGGCTCGTCTTTCATCTCACAACATGAAGGGATGTCTGAATCCCCTGTGGAGACCTTAGAGAAAGCCCTAGGTCCCTGCCTCATTTTGACGGAATGCCTCACATCCCGCTGACACCTCGAGAGGCACGCGGAGTTCATTGCTTCGAAAGGTGACGATGCCTGACTCCTCTTGAATACTGATAGGAATCCCAAAATCCCTGTGGCTACTGGAAAGGGTCCTTGGGTGCCCTGCCTCACCTCGAGAAGCGTCCCTTTGGCCCTGCCAAGCCTCGAAGAGATTCCTGAGCTGTCCCTCGTTACTAGACAGGAGTCCTGACGTCACTGAAGAAACTCGTGTTTTGAAGGGCCATCCCCGCCGTAAGTCGAGAACATACCCCAGGTCCCCGCCGCAACTCGAGAAAAACTATGAGACTTCCCCCTAGAGGCGAGATGAGGCCCCATTCCCCTGCAGTGCATGCAGAGCTATTCCGTGACCCCATTCAAACAAGTCAGGAGCTTCGACTTGCTTAATGGATCTCGAGACAGTCCCCAAGAACACTGTCACCAGTCTAGACGGACCCTGAGGTCACCCCAGCAACGCAAAGCAGCTCCATGTGCCCCAAATCAACTCGAGATGAGGCCCGATTCCCCTGCATTGACTCCAGAGCCATTCCCCGTTCCCCATTCAACACGACCGGTGGCTCGACTTCCTTCAGGCAACTCCAGAGATGCCCCGAGAACACTGTCCCAAGTCTAGAGGAACACCAACTTCAGCACAGCAACTCGAGGAATGCTCCGTGTACCCCAAATCGTCTCGAGATGCGAGCTGATTCCCTGGCTTACGCTCAAGACGTATGCCAACTTCCCAGAAGCACCTCAGGAGGAGGCTTCTCTCAGCAATAGGTATGTGGGAGGGACCCCGAGTTTGCTGCCTCAAGGGGAATATACAGCGAGAAGCCCTAACTTGAAAGGAGGCCGGATTTCCTTGCAGTGGTTTGAATACAGGCTCGTCTTTCATCTCACAACATGAAGGGATGTCTGAATCCCCTGTGGAGACCTTAGAGAAAGCCCTAGGTCCCTGCCTCATTTTGACGGAATGCCTCACATCCCGCTGACACCTCGAGAGGCACGCGGAGTTCATAGCTTCAAAAGGTAACGATGCCTGACTCCTCTTGAATACTGATAGGAATCCCAAAATCCCTGTGGCTACTGGAAAGGGTCCTTGGGTGCCCTGCCTCACCTCGAGAAGCGTCCCTTTGGCCCTGCCAAGCCTCGAAGAGATTCCTGAGCTGTCCCTCGTTACTAGACAGGAGTCCTGACGTCACTGAAGAAACTCGTGTTTTGAAGGGCCATCCCCGCCGTAAGTCGAGAACATACCCCAGGTCCCCGCCGCAACTCGAGAAAAACCATGAGACTTCCCCCTAGAGGCGAGATGAGGCCCCATTCCCCTGCAGTGCATGCAGAGCTATTCCGTGACCCCATTCAAACAAGTCAGGAGCTTCGACTTGCTTAATGGATCTCGAGACAGTCCCCAAGAACACTGTCACCAGTCTAGACGGACCCTGAGGTCACCCCAGCAACGCAAAGCAGCTCCATGTGCCCCAAATCAACTCGAGATGAGGCCCGATTCCCCTGCATTGTCTCCAGAGCCATTCCCCGTTCCCCATTCAACACGACCGGTGGCTCGACTTCCTTCAGGCAACTCCAGAGATGCCCCGAGAACACTGTCCCAAGTCTAGAGGAACACCAACTTCAGCACAGCAACTCGAGGAATGCTCCGTGTACCCCAAATCGTCTCGAGATGCGAGCTGATTCCCTGGCTTAGGCTCAAGACGTATGCCAACTTCCCAGAAGCACCTCAGGAGGAGGCTTCTCTCAGCAATAGGTATGTGGGAGGGACCCCGAGTTTGCTGCCTCAAGGGGAATATACAGCGAGAAGCCCTAACTTGAAAGGAGGCCGGATTTCCTTGCAGTGGCTGGAATACAGGCTCGTCTTTCATCTCACAACATGAAGGGATGTCTGAATCCCCTGTGGAGACCTTAGAGAAAGCCCTAGGTCCCTGCCTCATTTTGACGGAATGCCTCACATCCCGCTGACACCTCGAGAGGCACGCGGAGTTCATTGCTTCAAAAGGTGACGATGCCTGACTCCTCTTGAATACTGATAGGAATCCCAAAATCCCTGTGGCTACTGGAAAGGGTCCTTGGGTGCCCTGCCTCACCTCGAGAAGCGTCCCTTTGGCCCTGCCAAGCCTCGAAGAGATTCCTGAGGTGTCCCTCGTTACTAGACAGGAGTCCTGACGTCACTGAAGAATCTCGTGTTTTGAAGGGCCATCCCCGCCGTAAGTCGAGAACATACCCCAGGTCCCCGCCGCAACTCGAGAAAAACCATGAGACTTCCCCCTAGAGGCGAGATGAGGCCCCATTCCCCTGCAGTGCATGCAGAGCTATTCCGTGACCCCATTCAAACAAGTCAGGAGCTTCGACTTGCTTAATGGATCTCGAGACAGTCCCCAAGAACACTGTCACCAGTCTAGACGGACCCTGAGGTCACCCCAGCAACGCAAAGCAGCTCCATGTGCCCCAAATCAACTCGAGATGAGGCCCGATTCCCCTGCATTGACTCCAGAGCCATTCCCCGTTCCCCATTCAACACGACCGGTGGCTCGACTTCCTTCAGGCAACTCCAGAGATGCCCCGAGAACACTGTCCCAAGTCTAGAGGAACACCAACTTCAGCACAGCAACTCGAGGAATGCTCCGTGTACCCCAAATCGTCTCGAGATGCGAGCTGATTCCCTGGCTTAGGCTCAAGACGTATGCCAACTTCCCAGAAGCACCTCAGGAGGAGGCTTCTCTCAGCAATAGGTATGTGGGAGGGACCCCGAGTTTGCTGCCTCAAGGGGAATATACAGCGAGAAGCCCTAACTTGAAAGGAGGCCGGATTTCCTTGCAGTGGCTTGAATACAGGCTCGTCTTTCATCTCAAAACATGAAGGGATGTCTGAATCCCCTGTGGAGACCTTAGAGAAAGCCCTAGGTCCCTGCCTCATTTTGACGGAATGCCTCACATCCCGCTGACACCTCGAGAGGCACGCGGAGTTCATTGCTTCAAAAGGTGACGATGCCTGACTCCTCTTGAATACTGATAGGAATCCCAAAATCCCTGTGGCTACTGGAAAGGGTCCTTGGGTGCCCTGCCTCACCTCGAGAAGCGTCCCTTTTGCCCTGCCAAGCGTCGAAGAGATTCCTGAGGTGTCCCTCGTTACCAGACAGGAGTCCTGACGTCACTGAAGAAACTCGTGTTTTGAAGGGCCATCCCCGCCGTAAGTCGAGAACATACCACAGGTCCCCGCCGCAACTCGAGAAAAACCATGAGACTTCCCCCTAGAGGCGAGATGAGGCCCCATTCCCCTGCAGTGCATGCAGAGCTATTCCGTGACCCCATTCAAGCACGTCAGGAGCTTCGACTTGCTTAATGGATCTCGAGACAGTCCACAAGAACACTGTCACCAGTCTAGACGGACCCTGAGGTCACCCCAGCAACGCAAAGCAGCTCCATGTGCCCCAAATCAACTCGAGATGAGGCCCGATTCCCCTGCATTGACTCCAGAGCCATTCCCCGTTCCCCATTCAACACGACCGGTGGCTCGACTTCCTTCAGGCAACTCCAGAGATGCCCCGAGAACACTGTCCCAAGTCTAGAGGAACACCAACTTCAGCACAGCAACTCGAGGAATGCTCCGTCTACCCCAAATCGTCTCGAGATGCGAGCTGATTCCCTGGCTTAGGCTCAAGACGTATGCCAACTTCCCAGAAGCACCTCAGGAGGAGGCTTCTCTCAGCAGTAGGTATGTGGGAGGGACCCCGAGTTTGCTGCCTCAAGGGGAATATACAGCGAGAAGCCCTAACTTGAAAGGAGGCCGGATTTCCTTGCAGTGGCTTGAATACAGGCTCGTCTTTCATCTCACAACATGAAGGGATGTCTGAATCCCCTGTGGAGACCTTAGAGAAAGCCCTAGGTCCCTGCCTCATTTTGACGGAATGCCTCACATCCCGCTGACACCTCGAGAGGCACGCGGAGTTCATTGCTTCGAAAGGTGACGATGCCTGACTCCTCTTGAATACTGATAGGAATCCCAAAATCCCTGTGGCTACTGGAAAGGGTCCTTGGGTGCCCTGCCTCACCTCGAGAAGCGTCCCTTTGGCCCTGCCAAGCCTCGAAGAGATTCCTGAGCTGTCCCTCGTTACTAGACAGGAGTCCTGACGTCACTGAAGAAACTCGTGTTTTGAAGGGCCATCCCCGCCGTAAGTCGAGAACATACCCCAGGTCCCCGCCGCAACTCGAGAAAAACCATGAGACTTAACCCTAGAGGCGAGATGAGGCCCCATTCCCCTGCAGTGCATGCAGAGCTATTCCGTGACCCCATTCAAACAAGTCAGGAGCTTCGATTTGCTTAATGGATCTCGAGACAGTCCCCAAGAACACTGTCACCAGTCTAGACGGACCCTGAGGTCACCCCAGCAACGCAAAGCAGCTCCATGTGCCCCAAATCAACTCGAGATGAGACCCGATTCCCCTGCATTGACTCCAGAGCCATTCCCCGTTCCCCATTCAACACGACCGGTGGCTCGACTTCCTTCAGGCAACTCCAGAGATGCCCCGAGAACACTGTCCCAAGTCTAGAGGAACACCAACTTCAGCACAGCAACTCGAGGAATGCTCCGTGTACCCCAAATCGTCTCCAGATGCGAGCTGATTCCCTGGCTTAGGCTCAAGACGTATGCCAACTTCCCAGAAGCACCTCAGGAGGAGGCTTCTCTCAGCAATAGGTATGTGGGAGGGACCCCGAGTTTGCTGCCTCAAGGGGAATATACAGCGAGAAGCCCTAACTTGAAAGGAGGCCGGATTTCCTTCCAGTGGCTGGAATACAGGCTCGTCTTTCATCTCACAACATGAAGGGATGTCTGAATCCCCTGTGGAGACCTTAGAGAAAGCCCTAGGTCCCTGCCTCATTTTGACGGAATGCCTCACATCCCGCTGACACCTCGAGAGGCACGCGGAGTTCATTGCTTCAAAAGGTGACGATGCCTGACTCCTCTTGAATACTGATAGGAATCCCAAAATCCCTGTGGCTACTGGAAAGGGTCCTTGGGTGCCCTGCCTCACCTCGAGAAGCGTCCCTTTGGCCCTGCCAAGCGTCGAAGAGATTCCTGAGGTGTCCCTCGTTACCAGACAGGAGTCCTGACGTCACTGAAGAAACTCGTGTTTTGAAGGGCCATCCCCGCCGTAAGTCGAGAACATACCCCAGGTCCCCGCCGCAACTCGAGAAAAACCATGAGACTTCCCCCTAGAGGCGAGATGAGGCCCCATTCCCCTGCAGTGCATGCAGAGCTATTCCGTGACCCCATTCAAGCACGTCAGGAGCTTCGACTTGCTTAATGGATCTCGAGACAGTCCACAAGAACACTGTCACCAGTCTAGACGGACCCTGAGGTCACCCCAGCAACGCAAAGCAGCTCCATGTGCCCCAAATCAACTCGAGATGAGGCCCGATTCCCCTGCATTGACTCCAGAGCCATTCCCCGTTCCCCATTCAACACGACCGGTGGCTCGACTTCCTTCAGGCAACTCCAGAGATGCCCCGAGAACACTGTCCCAAGTCTAGAGGAACACCAACTTCAGCACAGCAACTCGAGGAATGCTCCGTCTACCCCAAATCGTCTCGAGATGCGAGCTGATTCCCTGGCTTAGGCTCAAGACGTATGCCAACTTCCCAGAAGCACCTCAGGAGGAGGCTTCTCTCAGCAGTAGGTATGTGGGAGGGACCCCGAGTTTGCTGCCTCAAGGGGAATATACAGCGAGAAGCCCTAACTTGAAAGGAGGCCGGATTTCCTTGCAGTGGCTTGAATACAGGCTCGTCTTTCATCTCACAACATGAAGGGATGTCTGAATCCCCTGTGGAGACCTTAGAGAAAGCCCTAGGTCCCTGCCTCATTTTGACGGAATGCCTCACATCCCGCTGACACCTCGAGAGGCACGCGGAGTTCATTGCTTCGAAAGGTGACGATGCCTGACTCCTCTTGAATACTGATAGGAATCCCAAAATCCCTGTGGCTACTGGAAAGGGTCCTTGGGTGCCCTGCCTCACCTCGAGAAGCGTCCCTTTGGCCCTGCCAAGCCTCGAAGAGATTCCTGAGCTGTCCCTCGTTACTAGACAGGAGTCCTGACGTCACTGAAGAAACTCGTGTTTTGAAGGGCCATCCCCGCCGTAAGTCGAGAACATACCCCAGGTCCCCGCCGCAACTCGAGAAAAACTATGAGACTTCCCCCTAGAGGCGAGATGAGGCCCCATTCCCCTGCAGTGCATGCAGAGCTATTCCGTGACCCCATTCAAACAAGTCAGGAGCTTCGACTTGCTTAATGGATCTCGAGACAGTCCCCAAGAACACTGTCACCAGTCTAGACGGACCCTGAGGTCACCCCAGCAACGCAAAGCAGCTCCATGTGCCCCAAATCAACTCGAGATGAGGCCCGATTCCCCTGCATTGACTCCAGAGCCATTCCCCGTTCCCCATTCAACACGACCGGTGGCTCGACTTCCTTCAGGCAACTCCAGAGATGCCCCGAGAACACTGTCCCAAGTCTAGAGGAACACCAACTTCAGCACAGCAACTCGAGGAATGCTCCGTGTACCCCAAATCGTCTCGAGATGCGAGCTGATTCCCTGGCTTACGCTCAAGACGTATGCCAACTTCCCAGAAGCACCTCAGGAGGAGGCTTCTCTCAGCAATAGGTATGTGGGAGGGACCCCGAGTTTGCTGCCTCAAGGGGAATATACAGCGAGAAGCCCTAACTTGAAAGGAGGCCGGATTTCCTTGCAGTGGTTTGAATACAGGCTCGTCTTTCATCTCACAACATGAAGGGATGTCTGAATCCCCTGTGGAGACCTTAGAGAAAGCCCTAGGTCCCTGCCTCATTTTGACGGAATGCCTCACATCCCGCTGACACCTCGAGAGGCACGCGGAGTTCATAGCTTCAAAAGGTGACGATGCCTGACTCCTCTTGAATACTGATAGGAATCCCAAAATCCCTGTGGCTACTGGAAAGGGTCCTTGGGTGCCCTGCCTCACCTCGAGAAGCGTCCCTTTGGCCCTGCCAAGCCTCGAAGAGATTCCTGAGCTGTCCCTCGTTACTAGACAGGAGTCCTGACGTCACTGAAGAAACTCGTGTTTTGAAGGGCCATCCCCGCCGTAAGTCGAGAACATACCCCAGGTCCCCGCCGCAACTCGAGAAAAACCATGAGACTTCCCCCTAGAGGCGAGATGAGGCCCCATTCCCCTGCAGTGCATGCAGAGCTATTCCGTGACCCCATTCAAACAAGTCAGGAGCTTCGACTTGCTTAATGGATCTCGAGACAGTCCCCAAGAACACTGTCACCAGTCTAGACGGACCCTGAGGTCACCCCAGCAACGCAAAGCAGCTCCATGTGCCCCAAATCAACTCGAGATGAGGCCCGATTCCCCTGCATTGACTCCAGAGCCATTCCCCGTTCCCCATTCAACACGACCGGTGGCTCGACTTCCTTCAGGCAACTCCAGAGATGCCCCGAGAACACTGTCCCAAGTCTAGAGGAACACCAACTTCAGCACAGCAACTCGAGGAATGCTCCGTCTACCCCAAATCGTCTCGAGATGCGAGCTGATTCCCTGGCTTAGGCTCAAGACGTATGCCAACTTCCCAGAAGCACCTCAGGAGGAGGCTTCTCTCAGCAGTAGGTATGTGGGAGGGACCCCGAGTTTGCTGCCTCAAGGGGAATATACAGCGAGAAGCCCTAACTTGAAAGGAGGCCGGATTTCCTTGCAGTGGCTTGAATACAGGCTCGTCTTTCATCTCACAACATGAAGGGATGTCTGAATCCCCTGTGGAGACCTTAGAGAAAGCCCTAGGTCCCTGCCTCATTTTGACGGAATGCCTCACATCCCGCTGACACCTCGAGAGGCACGCGGAGTTCATTGCTTCGAAAGGTGACGATGCCTGACTCCTCTTGAATACTGATAGGAATCCCAAAATCCCTGTGGCTACTGGAAAGGGTCCTTGGGTGCCCTGCCTCACCTCGAGAAGCGTCCCTTTGGCCCTGCCAAGCCTCGAAGAGATTCCTGAGCTGTCCCTCGTTACTAGACAGGAGTCCTGACGTCACTGAAGAAACTCGTGTTTTGAAGGGCCATCCCCGCCGTAAGTCGAGAACATACCCCAGGTCCCCGCCGCAACTCGAGAAAAACCATGAGACTTAACCCTAGAGGCGAGATGAGGCCCCATTCCCCTGCAGTGCATGCAGAGCTATTCCGTGACCCCATTCAAACAAGTCAGGAGCTTCGATTTGCTTAATGGATCTCGAGACAGTCCCCAAGAACACTGTCACCAGTCTAGACGGACCCTGAGGTCACCCCAGCAACGCAAAGCAGCTCCATGTGCCCCAAATCAACTCGAGATGAGACCCGATTCCCCTGCATTGACTCCAGAGCCATTCCCCGTTCCCCATTCAACACGACCGGTGGCTCGACTTCCTTCAGGCAACTCCAGAGATGCCCCGAGAACACTGTCCCAAGTCTAGAGGAACACCAACTTCAGCACAGCAACTCGAGGAATGCTCCGTGTACCCCAAATCGTCTCCAGATGCGAGCTGATTCCCTGGCTTAGGCTCAAGACGTATGCCAACTTCCCAGAAGCACCTCAGGAGGAGGCTTCTCTCAGCAATAGGTATGTGGGAGGGACCCCGAGTTTGCTGCCTCAAGGGGAATATACAGCGAGAAGCCCTAACTTGAAAGGAGGCCGGATTTCCTTCCAGTGGCTGGAATACAGGCTCGTCTTTCATCTCACAACATGAAGGGATGTCTGAATCCCCTGTGGAGACCTTAGAGAAAGCCCTAGGTCCCTGCCTCATTTTGACGGAATGCCTCACATCCCGCTGACACCTCGAGAGGCACGCGGAGTTCATTGCTTCAAAAGGTGACGATGCCTGACTCCTCTTGAATACTGATAGGAATCCCAAAATCCCTGTGGCTACTGGAAAGGGTCCTTGGGTGCCCTGCCTCACCTCGAGAAGCGTCCCTTTGGCCCTGCCAAGCGTCGAAGAGATTCCTGAGGTGTCCCTCGTTACCAGACAGGAGTCCTGACGTCACTGAAGAAACTCGTGTTTTGAAGGGCCATCCCCGCCGTAAGTCGAGAACATACCCCAGGTCCCCGCCGCAACTCGAGAAAAACCATGAGACTTCCCCCTAGAGGCGAGATGAGGCCCCATTCCCCTGCAGTGCATGCAGAGCTATTCCGTGACCCCATTCAAGCACGTCAGGAGCTTCGACTTGCTTAATGGATCTCGAGACAGTCCACAAGAACACTGTCACCAGTCTAGACGGACCCTGAGGTCACCCCAGCAACGCAAAGCAGCTCCATGTGCCCCAAATCAACTCGAGATGAGGCCCGATTCCCCTGCATTGACTCCAGAGCCATTCCCCGTTCCCCATTCAACACGACCGGTGGCTCGACTTCCTTCAGGCAACTCCAGAGATGCCCCGAGAACACTGTCCCAAGTCTAGAGGAACACCAACTTCAGCACAGCAACTCGAGGAATGCTCCGTCTACCCCAAATCGTCTCGAGATGCGAGCTGATTCCCTGGCTTAGGCTCAAGACGTATGCCAACTTCCCAGAAGCACCTCAGGAGGAGGCTTCTCTCAGCAGTAGGTATGTGGGAGGGACCCCGAGTTTGCTGCCTCAAGGGGAATATACAGCGAGAAGCCCTAACTTGAAAGGAGGCCGGATTTCCTTGCAGTGGCTTGAATACAGGCTCGTCTTTCATCTCACAACATGAAGGGATGTCTGAATCCCCTGTGGAGACCTTAGAGAAAGCCCTAGGTCCCTGCCTCATTTTGACGGAATGCCTCACATCCCGCTGACACCTCGAGAGGCACGCGGAGTTCATTGCTTCGAAAGGTGACGATGCCTGACTCCTCTTGAATACTGATAGGAATCCCAAAATCCCTGTGGCTACTGGAAAGGGTCCTTGGGTGCCCTGCCTCACCTCGAGAAGCGTCCCTTTGGCCCTGCCAAGCCTCGAAGAGATTCCTGAGCTGTCCCTCGTTACTAGAGAGGAGTCCTGACGTCACTGAAGAAACTCGTGTTTTGAAGGGCCATCCCCGCCGTAAGTCGAGAACATACCCCAGGTCCCCGCCGCAACTCGAGAAAAACTATGAGACTTCCCCCTAGAGGCGAGATGAGGCCCCATTCCCCTGCAGTGCATGCAGAGCTATTCCGTGACCCCATTCAAACAAGTCAGGAGCTTCGACTTGCTTAATGGATCTCGAGACAGTCCCCAAGAACACTGTCACCAGTCTAGACGGACCCTGAGGTCACCCCAGCAACGCAAAGCAGCTCCATGTGCCCCAAATCAACTCGAGATGAGGCCCGATTCCCCTGCATTGACTCCAGAGCCATTCCCCGTTCCCCATTCAACACGACCGGTGGCTCGACTTCCTTCAGGCAACTCCAGAGATGCCCCGAGAACACTGTCCCAAGTCTAGAGGAACACCAACTTCAGCACAGCAACTCGAGGAATGCTCCGTGTACCCCAAATCGTCTCGAGATGCGAGCTGATTCCCTGGCTTACGCTCAAGACGTATGCCAACTTCCCAGAAGCACCTCAGGAGGAGGCTTCTCTCAGCAATAGGTATGTGGGAGGGACCCCGAGTTTGCTGCCTCAAGGGGAATATACAGCGAGAAGCCCTAACTTGAAAGGAGGCCGGATTTCCTTGCAGTGGTTTGAATACAGGCTCGTCTTTCATCTCACAACATGAAGGGATGTCTGAATCCCCTGTGGAGACCTTAGAGAAAGCCCTAGGTCCCTGCCTCATTTTGACGGAATGCCTCACATCCCGCTGACACCTCGAGAGGCACGCGGAGTTCATAGCTTCAAAAGTTGACGATGCCTGACTCCTCTTGAATACTGATAGGAATCCCAAAATCCCTGTGGCTACTGGAAAGGGTCCTTGGGTGCCCTGCCTCACCTCGAGAAGCGTCCCTTTGGCCCTGCCAAGCCTCGAAGAGATTCCTGAGCTGTCCCTCGTTACTAGACAGGAGTCCTGACGTCACTGAAGAAACTCGTGTTTTGAAGGGCCATCCCCGCCGTAAGTCGAGAACATACCCCAGGTCCCCGCCGCAACTCGAGAAAAACCATGAGACTTCCCCCTAGAGGCGAGATGAGGCCCCATTCCCCTGCAGTGCATGCAGAGCTATTCCGTGACCCCATTCAAACAAGTCAGGAGCTTCGACTTGCTTAATGGATCTCGAGACAGTCCCCAAGAACACTGTCACCAGTCTAGACGGACCCTGAGGTCACCCCAGCAACGCAAAGCAGCTCCATGTGCCCCAAATCAACTCGAGATGAGGCCCGATTCCCCTGCATTGACTCCAGAGCCATTCCCCGTTCCCCATTCAACACGACCGGTGGCTCGACTTCCTTCAGGCAACTCCAGAGATGCCCCGAGAACACTGTCCCAAGTCTAGAGGAACACCAACTTCAGCACAGCAACTCGAGGAATGCTCCGTGTACCCCAAATCGTCTCGAGATGCGAGCTGATTCCCTGGCTTAGGCTCAAGACGTATGCCAACTTCCCAGAAGCACCTCAGGAGGAGGCTTCTCTCAGCAATAGGTATGTGGGAGGGACCCCGAGTTTGCTGCCTCAAGGGGAATATACAGCGAGAAGCCCTAACTTGAAAGGAGGCCGGATTTCCTTCCAGTGGCTGGAATACAGGCTCGTCTTTCATCTCACAACATGAAGGGATGTCTGAATCCCCTGTGGAGACCTTAGAGAAAGCCCTAGGTCCCTGCCTCATTTTGACGGAATGCCTCACATCCCGCTGACACCTCGAGAGGCACGCGGAGTTCATTGCTTCAAAAGGTGACGATGCCTGACTCCTCTTGAATACTGATAGGAATCCCAAAATCCCTGTGGCTACTGGAAAGGGTCCTTGGGTGCCCTGCCTCACCTCGAGAAGCGTCCCTTTGGCCCTGCCAAGCCTCGAAGAGATTCCTGAGGTGTCCCTCGTTACTAGACAGGAGTCCTGACGTCACTGAAGAATCTCGTGTTTTGAAGGGCCATCCCCGCCGTAAGTCGAGAACATACCCCAGGTCCCCGCCGCAACTCGAGAAAAACCATGAGACTTCCCCCTAGAGGCGAGATGAGGCCCCATTCCCCTGCAGTGCATGCAGAGCTATTCCGTGACCCCATTCAAACAAGTCAGGAGCTTCGACTTGCTTAATGGATCTCGAGACAGTCCCCAAGAACACTGTCACCAGTCTAGACGGACCCTGAGGTCACCCCAGCAACGCAAAGCAGCTCCATGTGCCCCAAATCAACTCGAGATGAGGCCCGATTCCCCTGCATTGACTCCAGAGCCATTCCCCGTTCCCCATTCAACACGACCGGTGGCTCGACTTCCTTCAGGCAACTCCAGAGATGCCCCGAGAACACTGTCCCAAGTCTAGAGGAACACCAACTTCAGCACAGCAACTCGAGGAATGCTCCGTGTACCCCAAATCGTCTCCAGATGCGAGCTGATTCCCTGGCTTAGGCTCAAGACGTATGCCAACTTCCCAGAAGCACCTCAGGAGGAGGCTTCTCTCAGCAATAGGTATGTGGGAGGGACCCCGAGTTTGCTGCCTCAAGGGGAATATACAGCGAGAAGCCCTAACTTGAAAGGAGGCCGGATTTCCTTGCAGTGGCTTGAATACAGGCTCGTCTTTCATCTCAAAACATGAAGGGATGTCTGAATCCCCTGTGGAGACCTTAGAGAAAGCCCTAGGTCCCTGCCTCATTTTGACGGAATGCCTCACATCCCGCTGACACCTCGAGAGGCACGCGGAGTTCATTGCTTCAAAAGGTGACGATGCCTGACTCCTCTTGAATACTGATAGGAATCCCAAAATCCCTGTGGCTACTGGAAAGGGTCCTTGGGTGCCCTGCCTCACCTCGAGAAGCGTCCCTTTTGCCCTGCCAAGCGTCGAAGAGATTCCTGAGGTGTCCCTCGTTACCAGACAGGAGTCCTGACGTCACTGAAGAAACTCGTGTTTTGAAGGGCCATCCCCGCCGTAAGTCGAGAACATACCACAGGTCCCCGCCGCAACTCGAGAAAAACCATGAGACTTCCCCCTAGAGGCGAGATGAGGCCCCATTCCCCTGCAGTGCATGCAGAGCTATTCCGTGACCCCATTCAAGCACGTCAGGAGCTTCGACTTGCTTAATGGATCTCGAGACAGTCCACAAGAACACTGTCACCAGTCTAGACGGACCCTGAGGTCACCCCAGCAACGCAAAGCAGCTCCATGTGCCCCAAATCAACTCGAGATGAGGCCCGATTCCCCTGCATTGACTCCAGAGCCATTCCCCGTTCCCCATTCAACACGACCGGTGGCTCGACTTCCTTCAGGCAACTCCAGAGATGCCCCGAGAACACTGTCCCAAGTCTAGAGGAACACCAACTTCAGCACAGCAACTCGAGGAATGCTCCGTCTACCCCAAATCGTCTCGAGATGCGAGCTGATTCCCTGGCTTAGGCTCAAGACGTATGCCAACTTCCCAGAAGCACCTCAGGAGGAGGCTTCTCTCAGCAGTAGGTATGTGGGAGGGACCCCGAGTTTGCTGCCTCAAGGGGAATATACAGCGAGAAGCCCTAACTTGAAAGGAGGCCGGATTTCCTTGCAGTGGCTTGAATACAGGCTCGTCTTTCATCTCACAACATGAAGGGATGTCTGAATCCCCTGTGGAGACCTTAGAGAAAGCCCTAGGTCCCTGCCTCATTTTGACGGAATGCCTCACATCCCGCTGACACCTCGAGAGGCACGCGGAGTTCATTGCTTCGAAAGGTGACGATGCCTGACTCCTCTTGAATACTGATAGGAATCCCAAAATCCCTGTGGCTACTGGAAAGGGTCCTTGGGTGCCCTGCCTCACCTCGAGAAGCGTCCCTTTGGCCCTGCCAAGCCTCGAAGAGATTCCTGAGCTGTCCCTCGTTACTAGACAGGAGTCCTGACGTCACTGAAGAAACTCGTGTTTTGAAGGGCCATCCCCGCCGTAAGTCGAGAACATACCCCAGGTCCCCGCCGCAACTCGAGAAAAACCATGAGACTTAACCCTAGAGGCGAGATGAGGCCCCATTCCCCTGCAGTGCATGCAGAGCTATTCCGTGACCCCATTCAAACAAGTCAGGAGCTTCGATTTGCTTAATGGATCTCGAGACAGTCCCCAAGAACACTGTCACCAGTCTAGACGGACCCTGAGGTCACCCCAGCAACGCAAAGCAGCTCCATGTGCCCCAAATCAACTCGAGATGAGACCCGATTCCCCTGCATTGACTCCAGAGCCATTCCCCGTTCCCCATTCAACACGACCGGTGGCTCGACTTCCTTCAGGCAACTCCAGAGATGCCCCGAGAACACTGTCCCAAGTCTAGAGGAACACCAACTTCAGCACAGCAACTCGAGGAATGCTCCGTGTACCCCAAATCGTCTCCAGATGCGAGCTGATTCCCTGGCTTAGGCTCAAGACGTATGCCAACTTCCCAGAAGCACCTCAGGAGGAGGCTTCTCTCAGCAATAGGTATGTGGGAGGGACCCCGAGTTTGCTGCCTCAAGGGGAATATACAGCGAGAAGCCCTAACTTGAAAGGAGGCCGGATTTCCTTCCAGTGGCTGGAATACAGGCTCGTCTTTCATCTCACAACATGAAGGGATGTCTGAATCCCCTGTGGAGACCTTAGAGAAAGCCCTAGGTCCCTGCCTCATTTTGACGGAATGCCTCACATCCCGCTGACACCTCGAGAGGCACGCGGAGTTCATTGCTTCAAAAGGTGACGATGCCTGACTCCTCTTGAATACTGATAGGAATCCCAAAATCCCTGTGGCAACTGGAAAGGGTCCTTGGGTGCCCTGCCTCACCTCGAGAAGCGTCCCTTTGGCCCTGCCAAGCGTCGAAGAGATTCCTGAGGTGTCCCTCGTTACCAGACAGGAGTCCTGACGTCACTGAAGAAACTCGTGTTTTGAAGGGCCATCCCCGCCGTAAGTCGAGAACATACCCCAGGTCCCCGCCGCAACTCGAGAAAAACCATGAGACTTCCCCCTAGAGGCGAGATGAGGCCCCATTCCCCTGCAGTGCATGCAGAGCTATTCCGTGACCCCATTCAAGCACGTCAGGAGCTTCGACTTGCTTAATGGATCTCGAGACAGTCCACAAGAACACTGTCACCAGTCTAGACGGACCCTGAGGTCACCCCAGCAACGCAAAGCAGCTCCATGTGCCCCAAATCAACTCGAGATGAGGCCCGATTCCCCTGCATTGACTCCAGAGCCATTCCCCGTTCCCCATTCAACACGACCGGTGGCTCGACTTCCTTCAGGCAACTCCAGAGATGCCCCGAGAACACTGTCCCAAGTCTAGAGGAACACCAACTTCAGCACAGCAACTCGAGGAATGCTCCGTCTACGCCAAATCGTCTCGAGATGCGAGCTGATTCCCTGGCTTAGGCTCAAGACGTATGCCAACTTCCCAGAAGCACCTCAGGAGGAGGCTTCTCTCAGCAGTAGGTATGTGGGAGGGACCCCGAGTTTGCTGCCTCAAGGGGAATATACAGCGAGAAGCCCTAACTTGAAAGGAGGCCGGATTTCCTTGCAGTGGCTTGAATACAGGCTCGTCTTTCATCTCACAACATGAAGGGATGTCTGAATCCCCTGTGGAGACCTTAGAGAAAGCCCTAGGTCCCTGCCTCATTTTGACGGAATGCCTCACATCCCGCTGACACCTCGAGAGGCACGCGGAGTTCATTGCTTCGAAAGGTGACGATGCCTGACTCCTCTTGAATACTGATAGGAATCCCAAAATCCCTGTGGCTACTGGAAAGGGTCCTTGGGTGCCCTGCCTCACCTCGAGAAGCGTCCCTTTGGCCCTGCCAAGCCTCGAAGAGATTCCTGAGCTGTCCCTCGTTACTAGACAGGAGTCCTGACGTCACTGAAGAAACTCGTGTTTTGAAGGGCCATCCCCGCCGTAAGTCGAGAACATACCCCAGGTCCCCGCCGCAACTCGAGAAAAACTATGAGACTTCCCCCTAGAGGCGAGATGAGGCCCCATTCCCCTGCAGTGCATGCAGAGCTATTCCGTGACCCCATTCAAACAAGTCAGGAGCTTCGACTTGCTTAATGGATCTCGAGACAGTCCCCAAGAACACTGTCACCAGTCTAGACGGACCCTGAGGTCACCCCAGCAACGCAAAGCAGCTCCATGTGCCCCAAATCAACTCGAGATGAGGCCCGATTCCCCTGCATTGACTCCAGAGCCATTCCCCGTTCCCCATTCAACACGACCGGTGGCTCGACTTCCTTCAGGCAACTCCAGAGATGCCCCGAGAACACTGTCCCAAGTCTAGAGGAACACCAACTTCAGCACAGCAACTCGAGGAATGCTCCGTGTACCCCAAATCGTCTCGAGATGCGAGCTGATTCCCTGGCTTAGGCTCAAGACGTATGCCAACTTCCCAGAAGCACCTCAGGAGGAGGCTTCTCTCAGCAATAGGTATGTGGGAGGGACCCCGAGTTTGCTGCCTCAAGGGGAATATACAGCGAGAAGCCCTAACTTGAAAGGAGGCCGGATTTCCTTGCAGTGGTTTGAATACAGGCTCGTCTTTCATCTCACAACATGAAGGGATGTCTGAATCCCCTGTGGAGACCTTAGAGAAAGCCCTAGGTCCCTGCCTCATTTTGACGGAATGCCTCACATCCCGCTGACACCTCGAGAGGCACGCGGAGTTCATAGCTTCAAAAGGTGACGATGCCTGACTCCTCTTGAATACTGATAGGAATCCCAAAATCCCTGTGGCTACTGGAAAGGGTCCTTGGGTGCCCTGCCTCACCTCGAGAAGCGTCCCTTTGGCCCTGCCAAGCCTCGAAGAGATTCCTGAGCTGTCCCTCGTTACTAGACAGGAGTCCTGACGTCACTGAAGAAACTCGTGTTTTGAAGGGCCATCCCCGCCGTAAGTCGAGAACATACCCCAGGTCCCCGCCGCAACTCGAGAAAAACCATGAGACTTCCCCCTAGAGGCGAGATGAGGCCCCATTCCCCTGCAGTGCATGCAGAGCTATTCCGTGACCCCATTCAAACAAGTCAGGAGCTTCGACTTGCTTAATGGATCTCGAGACAGTCCCCAAGAACACTGTCACCAGTCTAGACGGACCCTGAGGTCACCCCAGCAACGCAAAGCAGCTCCATGTGCCCCAAATCAACTCGAGATGAGGCCCGATTCCCCTGCATTGACTCCAGAGCCATTCCCCGTTCCCCATTCAACACGACCGGTGGCTCGACTTCCTTCAGGCAACTCCAGAGATGCCCCGAGAACACTGTCCCAAGTCTAGAGGAACACCAACTTCAGCACAGCAACTCGAGGAATGCTCCGTGTACCCCAAATCGTCTCGAGATGCGAGCTGATTCCCTGGCTTAGGCTCAAGACGTATGCCAACTTCCCAGAAGCACCTCAGGAGGAGGCTTCTCTCAGCAATAGGTATGTGGGAGGGACCCCGAGTTTGCTGCCTCAAGGGGAATATACAGCGAGAAGCCCTAACTTGAAAGGAGGCCGGATTTCCTTGCAGTGGCTGGAATACAGGCTCGTCTTTCATCTCACAACATGAAGGGATGTCTGAATCCCCTGTGGAGACCTTAGAGAAAGCCCTAGGTCCCTGCCTCATTTTGACGGAATGCCTCACATCCCGCTGACACCTCGAGAGGCACGCGGAGTTCATTGCTTCAAAAGGTGACGATGCCTGACTCCTCTTGAATACTGATAGGAATCCCAAAATCCCTGTGGCTACTGGAAAGGGTCCTTGGGTGCCCTGCCTCACCTCGAGAAGCGTCCCTTTGGCCCTGCCAAGCCTCGAAGAGATTCCTGAGGTGTCCCTCGTTACTAGACAGGAGTCCTGACGTCACTGAAGAATCTCGTGTTTTGAAGGGCCATCCCCGCCGTAAGTCGAGAACATACCCCAGGTCCCCGCCGCAACTCGAGAAAAACCATGAGACTTCCCCCTAGAGGCGAGATGAGGCCCCATTCCCCTGCAGTGCATGCAGAGCTATTCCGTGACCCCATTCAAACAAGTCAGGAGCTTCGACTTGCTTAATGGATCTCGAGACAGTCCCCAAGAACACTGTCACCAGTCTAGACGGACCCTGAGGTCACCCCAGCAACGCAAAGCAGCTCCATGTGCCCCAAATCAACTCGAGATGAGGCCCGATTCCCCTGCATTGACTCCAGAGCCATTCCCCGTTCCCCATTCAACACGACCGGTGGCTCGACTTCCTTCAGGCAACTCCAGAGATGCCCCGAGAACACTGTCCCAAGTCTAGAGGAACACCAACTTCAGCACAGCAACTCGAGGAATGCTCCGTGTACCCCAAATCGTCTCGAGATGCGAGCTGATTCCCTGGCTTAGGCTCAAGACGTATGCCAACTTCCCAGAAGCACCTCAGGAGGAGGCTTCTCTCAGCAATAGGTATGTGGGAGGGACCCCGAGTTTGCTGCCTCAAGGGGAATATACAGCGAGAAGCCCTAACTTGAAAGGAGGCCGGATTTCCTTGCAGTGGCTTGAATACAGGCTCGTCTTTCATCTCAAAACATGAAGGGATGTCTGAATCCCCTGTGGAGACCTTAGAGAAAGCCCTAGGTCCCTGCCTCATTTTGACGGAATGCCTCACATCCCGCTGACACCTCGAGAGGCACGCGGAGTTCATTGCTTCAAAAGGTGACGATGCCTGACTCCTCTTGAATACTGATAGGAATCCCAAAATCCCTGTGGCTACTGGAAAGGGTCCTTGGGTGCCCTGCCTCACCTCGAGAAGCGTCCCTTTTGCCCTGCCAAGCGTCGAAGAGATTCCTGAGGTGTCCCTCGTTACCAGACAGGAGTCCTGACGTCACTGAAGAAACTCGTGTTTTGAAGGGCCATCCCCGCCGTAAGTCGAGAACATACCACAGGTCCCCGCCGCAACTCGAGAAAAACCATGAGACTTCCCCCTAGAGGCGAGATGAGGCCCCATTCCCCTGCAGTGCATGCAGAGCTATTCCGTGACCCCATTCAAGCACGTCAGGAGCTTCGACTTGCTTAATGGATCTCGAGACAGTCCACAAGAACACTGTCACCAGTCTAGACGGACCCTGAGGTCACCCCAGCAACGCAAAGCAGCTCCATGTGCCCCAAATCAACTCGAGATGAGGCCCGATTCCCCTGCATTGACTCCAGAGCCATTCCCCGTTCCCCATTCAACACGACCGGTGGCTCGACTTCCTTCAGGCAACTCCAGAGATGCCCCGAGAACACTGTCCCAAGTCTAGAGGAAAACCAACTTCAGCACAGCAACTCGAGGAATGCTCCGTCTACCCCAAATCGTCTCGAGATGCGAGCTGATTCCCTGGCTTAGGCTCAAGACGTATGCCAACTTCCCAGAAGCACCTCAGGAGGAGGCTTCTCTCAGCAGTAGGTATGTGGGAGGGACCCCGAGTTTGCTGCCTCAAGGGGAATATACAGCGAGAAGCCCTAACTTGAAAGGAGGCCGGATTTCCTTGCAGTGGCTTGAATACAGGCTCGTCTTTCATCTCACAACATGAAGGGATGTCTGAATCCCCTGTGGAGACCTTAGAGAAAGCCCTAGGTCCCTGCCTCATTTTGACGGAATGCCTCACATCCCGCTGACACCTCGAGAGGCACGCGGAGTTCATTGCTTCGAAAGGTGACGATGCCTGACTCCTCTTGAATACTGATAGGAATCCCAAAATCCCTGTGGCTACTGGAAAGGGTCCTTGGGTGCCCTGCCTCACCTCGAGAAGCGTCCCTTTGGCCCTGCCAAGCCTCGAAGAGATTCCTGAGCTGTCCCTCGTTACTAGACAGGAGTCCTGACGTCACTGAAGAAACTCGTGTTTTGAAGGGCCATCCCCGCCGTAAGTCGAGAACATACCCCAGGTCCCCGCCGCAACTCGAGAAAAACCATGAGACTTCCCCCTAGAGGCGAGATGAGGCCCCATTCCCCTGCAGTGCATGCAGAGCTATTCCGTGACCCCATTCAAACAAGTCAGGAGCTTCGATTTGCTTAATGGATCTCGAGACAGTCCCCAAGAACACTGTCACCAGTCTAGACGGACCCTGAGGTCACCCCAGCAACGCAAAGCAGCTCCATGTGCCCCAAATCAACTCGAGATGAGACCCGATTCCCCTGCATTGACTCCAGAGCCATTCCCCGTTCCCCATTCAACACGACCGGTGGCTCGACTTCCTTCAGGCAACTCCAGAGATGCCCCGAGAACACTGTCCCAAGTCTAGAGGAACACCAACTTCAGCACAGCAACTCGAGGAATGCTCCGTGTACCCCAAATCGTCTCCAGATGCGAGCTGATTCCCTGGCTTAGGCTCAAGACGTATGCCAACTTCCCAGAAGCACCTCAGGAGGAGGCTTCTCTCAGCAATAGGTATGTGGGAGGGACCCCGAGTTTGCTGCCTCAAGGGGAATATACAGCGAGAAGCCCTAACTTGAAAGGAGGCCGGATTTCCTTCCAGTGGCTGGAATACAGGCTCGTCTTTCATCTCACAACATGAAGGGATGTCTGAATCCCCTGTGGAGACCTTAGAGAAAGCCCTAGGTCCCTGCCTCATTTTGACGGAATGCCTCACATCCCGCTGACACCTCGAGAGGCACGCGGAGTTCATTGCTTCAAAAGGTGACGATGCCTGACTCCTCTTGAATACTGATAGGAATCCCAAAATCCCTGTGGCTACTGGAAAGGGTCCTTGGGTGCCCTGCCTCACCTCGAGAAGCGTCCCTTTGGCCCTGCCAAGCGTCGAAGAGATTCCTGAGGTGTCCCTCGTTACCAGACAGGAGTCCTGACGTCACTGAAGAAACTCGTGTTTTGAAGGGCCATCCCCGCCGTAAGTCGAGAACATACCCCAGGTCCCCGCCGCAACTCGAGAAAAACCATGAGACTTCCCCCTAGAGGCGAGATGAGGCCCCATTCCCCTGCAGTGCATGCAGAGCTATTCCGTGACCCCATTCAAGCACGTCAGGAGCTTCGACTTGCTTAATGGATCTCGAGACAGTCCACAAGAACACTGTCACCAGTCTAGACGGACCCTGAGGTCACCCCAGCAACGCAAAGCAGCTCCATGTGCCCCAAATCAACTCGAGATGAGGCCCGATTCCCCTGCATTGACTCCAGAGCCATTCCCCGTTCCCCATTCAACACGACCGGTGGCTCGACTTCCTTCAGGCAACTCCAGAGATGCCCCGAGAACACTGTCCCAAGTCTAGAGGAACACCAACTTCAGCACAGCAACTCGAGGAATGCTCCGTCTACCCCAAATCGTCTCGAGATGCGAGCTGATTCCCTGGCTTAGGCTCAAGACGTATGCCAACTTCCCAGAAGCACCTCAGGAGGAGGCTTCTCTCAGCAGTAGGTATGTGGGAGGGACCCCGAGTTTGCTGCCTCAAGGGGAATATACAGCGAGAAGCCCTAACTTGAAAGGAGGCCGGATTTCCTTGCAGTGGCTTGAATACAGGCTCGTCTTTCATCTCACAACATGAAGGGATGTCTGAATCCCCTGTGGAGACCTTAGAGAAAGCCCTAGGTCCCTGCCTCATTTTGACGGAATGCCTCACATCCCGCTGACACCTCGAGAGGCACGCGGAGTTCATTGCTTCGAAAGGTGACGATGCCTGACTCCTCTTGAATACTGATAGGAATCCCAAAATCCCTGTGGCTACTGGAAAGGGTCCTTGGGTGCCCTGCCTCACCTCGAGAAGCGTCCCTTTGGCCCTGCCAAGCCTCGAAGAGATTCCTGAGCTGTCCCTCGTTACTAGACAGGAGTCCTGACGTCACTGAAGAAACTCGTGTTTTGAAGGGCCATCCCCGCCGTAAGTCGAGAACATACCCCAGGTCCCCGCCGCAACTCGAGAAAAACCATGAGACTTCCCCCTAGAGGCGAGATGAGGCCCCATTCCCCTGCAGTGCATGCAGAGCTATTCCGTGACCCCATTCAAACAAGTCAGGAGCTTCGACTTGCTTAATGGATCTCGAGACAGTCCCCAAGAACACTGTCACCAGTCTAGACGGACCCTGAGGTCACCCCAGCAACGCAAAGCAGCTCCATGTGCCCCAAATCAACTCGAGATGAGACCCGATTCCCCTGCATTGACTCCAGAGCCATTCCCCGTTCCCCATTCAACACGACCGGTGGCTCAACTTCCTTCAGGCAACTCCAGAGATGCCCCGAGAACACTGTCCCAAGTCTAGAGGAACACCAACTTCAGCACAGCAACTCGAGGAATGCTCCGTGTACCCCAAATCGTCTCCAGATGCGATCTGATTCCCTGGCTTAGGCTCAAGACGTATGCCAACTTCCCAGAAGCACCTCAGGAGGAGGCTTCTCTCAGCAATAGGTATGTGGGAGGGACCCCGAGTTTGCTGCCTCAAGGGGAATATACAGCGAGAAGCCCTAACTTGAAAGGAGGCCGGATTTCCTTCCAGTGGCTGGAATACAGGCTCGTCTTTCATCTCACAACATGAAGGGATGTCTGAATCCCCTGTGGAGACCTTAGAGAAAGCCCTAGGTCCCTGCCTCATTTTGACGGAATGCCTCACATCCCGCTGACACCTCGAGAGGCACGCGGAGTTCATTGCTTCAAAAGGTGACGATGCCTGACTCCTCTTGAATACTGATAGGAATCCCAAAATCCCTGTGGCTACTGGAAAGGGTCCTTGGGTGCCCTGCCTCACCTCGAGAAGCGTCCCTTTGGCCCTGCCAAGCGTCGAAGAGATTCCTGAGGTGTCCCTCGTTACCAGACAGGAGTCCTGACGTCACTGAAGAAACTCGTGTTTTGAAGGGCCATCCCCGCCGTAAGTCGAGAACATACCCCAGGTCCCCGCCGCAACTCGAGAAAAACCATGAGACTTCCCCCTAGAGGCGAGATGAGGCCCCATTCCCCTGCAGTGCATGCAGAGCTATTCCGTGACCCCATTCAAGCACGTCAGGAGCTTCGACTTGCTTAATGGATCTCGAGACAGTCCACAAGAACACTGTCACCAGTCGAGACGGACCCTGAGGTCACCCCAGCAACGCAAAGCAGCTCCATGTGCCCCAAATCAACTCGAGATGAGGCCCGATTCCCCTGCATTGACTCCAGAGCCATTCCCCGTTCCCCATTCAACACGACCGGTGGCTCGACTTCCTTCAGGCAACTCCAGAGATGCCCCGAGAACACTGTCCCAAGTCTAGAGGAACACCAACTTCAGCACAGCAACTCGAGGAATGCTCCGTGTACCCCAAATCGTCTCGAGATGCGAGCTGATTCCCTGGCTTAGGCTCAAGACGTATGCCAACTTCCCAGAAGCACCTCAGGAGGAGGCTTCTCTCAGCAATAGGTATGTGGGAGGGACCCCGAGTTTGCTGCCTCAAGGGGAATATACAGCGAGAAGCCCTAACTTGAAAGGAGGCCGGATTTCCTTGCAGTGGCTGGAATACAGGCTCGTCTTTCATCTCACAACATGAAGGGATGTCTGAATCCCCTGTGGAGACCTTAGAGAAAGCCCTAGGTCCCTGCCTCATTTTGACGGAATGCCTCACATCCCGCTGACACCTCGAGAGGCACGCGGAGTTCATTGCTTCAAAAGGTGACGATGCCTGACTCCTCTTGAATACTGATAGGAATCCCAAAATCCCTGTGGCTACTGGAAAGGGTCCTTGGGTGCCCTGCCTCACCTCGAGAAGCGTCCCTTTGGCCCTGCCAAGCGTCGAAGAGATTCCTGAGGTGTCCCTCGTTACCAGACAGGAGTCCTGACGTCACTGAAGAAACTCGTGTTTTGAAGGGCCATCCCCGCCGTAAGTCGAGAACATACCCCAGGTCCCCGCCGCAACTCGAGAAAAACCATGAGACTTCCCCCTAGAGGCGAGATGAGGCCCCATTCCCCTGCAGTGCATGCAGAGCTATTCCGTGACCCCATTCAAGCACGTCAGGAGCTTCGACTTGCTTAATGGATCTCGAGACAGTCCACAAGAACACTGTCACCAGTCTAGACGGACCCTGAGGTCACCCCAGCAACGCAAAGCAGCTCCATGTGCCCCAAATCAACTCGAGATGAGGCCCGATTCCCCTGCATTGACTCCAGAGCCATTCCCCGTTCCCCATTCAACACGACCGGTGGCTCGACTTCCTTCAGGCAACTCCAGAGATGCCCCGAGAACACTGTCCCAAGTCTAGAGGAACACCAACTTCAGCACAGCAACTCGAGGAATGCTCCGTCTACCCCAAATCGTCTCGAGATGCGAGCTGATTCCCTGGCTTAGGCTCAAGACGTATGCCAACTTCCCAGAAGCACCTCAGGAGGAGGCTTCTCTCAGCAGTAGGTATGTGGGAGGGACCCCGAGTTTGCTGCCTCAAGGGGAATATACAGCGAGAAGCCCTAACTTGAAAGGAGGCCGGATTTCCTTGCAGTGGCTTGAATACAGGCTCGTCTTTCATCTCACAACATGAAGGGATGTCTGAATCCCCTGTGGAGACCTTAGAGAAAGCCCTAGGTCCCTGCCTCATTTTGACGGAATGCCTCACATCCCGCTGACACCTCGAGAGGCACGCGGAGTTCATTGCTTCGAAAGGTGACGATGCCTGACTCCTCTTGAATACTGATAGGAATCCCAAAATCCCTGTGGCTACTGGAAAGGGTCCTTGGGTGCCCTGCCTCACCTCGAGAAGCGTCCCTTTGGCCCTGCCAAGCCTCGAAGAGATTCCTGAGGTGTCCCTCGTTACTAGACAGGAGTCCTGACGTCACTGAAGAAACTCGTGTTTTGAAGGGCCATCCCCGCCGTAAGTCGAGAACATACCCCAGGTCCCCGCCGCAACTCGAGAAAAACCATGAGACTTCCCCCTAGAGGCGAGATGAGGCCCCATTCCCCTGCAGTGCATGCAGAGCTATTCCGTGACCCCATTCAAACAAGTCAGGAGCTTCGACTTGCTTAATGGATCTCGAGACAGTCCCCAAGAACACTGTCACCAGTCTAGACGGACCCTGAGGTCACCCCAGCAACGCAAAGCAGCTCCATGTGCCCCAAATCAACTCGAGATGAGGCCCGATTCCCCTGCATTGACTCCAGAGCCATTCCCCGTTCCCCATTCAACACGACCGGTGGCTCGACTTCCTTCAGGCAACTCCAGAGATGCCCCGAGAACACTGTCCCAAGTCTAGAGGAACACCAACTTCAGCACAGCAACTCGAGGAATGCTCCGTGTACCCCAAATCGTCTCGAGATGCGAGCTGATTCCCTGGCTTAGGCTCAAGACGTATGCCAACTTCCCAGAAGCACCTCAGGAGGAGGCTTCTCTCAGCAATAGGTATGTGGGAGGGACCCCGAGTTTGCTGCCTCAAGGGGAATATACAGCGAGAAGCCCTAACTTGAAAGGAGTCCGGATTTCCTTGCAGTGGCTGGAATACAGGCTCGTCTTTCATCTCACAACATGAAGGGATGTCTGAATCCCCTGTGGAGACCTTAGAGAAAGCCCTAGGTCCCTGCCTCATTTTGACGGAATGCCTCACATCCCGCTGACACCTCGAGAGGCACGCGGAGTTCATTGCTTCAAAAGGTGACGATGCCTGACTCCTCTTGAATACTGATAGGAATCCCAAAATCCCTGTGGCTACTGGAAAGGGTCCTTGGGTGCCCTGCCTCACCTCGAGAAGCGTCCCTTTTGCCCTGCCAAGCCTCGAAGAGATTCCTGAGGTGTCCCTCGTTACCAGACAGGAGTCCTGACGTCACTGAAGAAACTCGTGTTTTGAAGGGCCATCCCCGCCGTAAGTCGAGAACATACCCCAGGTCCCCGCCGCAACTCGAGAAAAACCATGAGACTTCCCCCTAGAGGCGAGATGAGGCCCCATTCCCCTGCAGTGCATGCAGAGCTATTCCGTGACCCCATTCAAGCACGTCAGGAGCTTCGACTTGCTTAATGGATCTCGAGACAGTCCACAAGAACACTGTCACCAGTCTAGACGGACCCTGAGGTCACCCCAGCAACGCAAAGCAGCTCCATGTGCCCCAAATCAACTCGAGATGAGGCCCGATTCCCCTGCATTGACTCCAGAGCCATTCCCCGTTCCCCATTCAACACGACCGGTGGCTCGACTTCCTTCAGGCAACTCCAGAGATGCCCCGAGAACACTGTCCCAAGTCTAGAGGAACACCAACTTCAGCACAGCAACTCGAGGAATGCTCCGTGTACCCCAAATCGTCTCGAGATGCGAGCTGATTCCCTGGCTTAGGCTCAAGACGTATGCCAACTTCCCAGAAGCACCTCAGGAGGAGGCTTCTCTCAGCAGTAGGTATGTGGGAGGGACCCCGAGTTTGCTGCCTCAAGGGGAATATACAGCGAGAATCCCTAACTTGAAAGGAGGCCGGATTTCCTTGCAGTGGCTTGAATACAGGCTCGTCTTTCATCTCACAACATGAAGGGATGTCTGAATCCCCGGTGGAGACCTTAGAGTAAGCCCTAGGTCCCTGCCTCATTTTGACGGAATGCCTCACATCCCGCTGACACCTCGAGAGGCACGCGGAGTTCATTGCTTCGAAAGGTGACGATGCCTGACTCCTCTTGAATACTGATAGGAATCCCAAAATCCCTGTGGCTACTGGAAAGGGTCCTTGGGTGCCCTGCCTCACCTCGAGAAGCGTCCCTTTGGCCCTGCCAAGCCTCGAAGAGATTCCTGAGGTGTCCCTCGTTACTAGACAGGAGTCCTGACGTCACTGAAGAAACTCGTGTTTTGAAGGGCCATCCCCGCCGTAAGTCGAGAACATACCCCAGGTCCCCGCCGCAACTCGAGAAAAACCATGAGACTTCCCCCTAGAGGCGAGATGAGGCCCCATTCCCCTGCAGTGCATGCAGAGCTATTCCGTGACCCCATTCAAACAAGTCAGGAGCTTCGACTTGCTTAATGGATCTCGAGACAGTCCCCAAGAACACTGTCACCAGTCTAGACGGACCCTGAGGTCACCCCAGCAACGCAAAGCAGCTCCATGTGCCCCAAATCAACTCGAGATGAGGCCCGATTCCCCTGCATTGACTCCAGAGCCATTCCCCGTTCCCCATTCAACACGACCGGTGGCTCGACTTCCTTCAGGCAACTCCAGAGATGCCCCGAGAACACTGTCCCAAGTCTAGAGGAACACCAACTTCAGCACAGCAACTCGAGGAATGCTCCGTCTACCCCAAATCGTCTCGAGATGCGAGCTGATTCCCTGGCTTAGGCTCAAGACGTATGCCAACTTCCCAGAAGCACCTCAGGAGGAGGCTTCTCTCAGCAATAGGTATGTGGGAGGGACCCCGAGTTTGCTGCCTCAAGGGGAATATACAGCGAGAAGCCCTAACTTGAAAGGAGTCCGGATTTCCTTGCAGTGGCTGGAATACAGGCTCGTCTTTCATCTCACAACATGAAGGGATGTCTGAATCCCCTGTGGAGACCTTAGAGAAAGCCCTAGGTCCCTGCCTCATTTTGACGGAATGCCTCACATCCCGCTGACACCTCGAGAGGCACGCGGAGTTCATTGCTTCAAAAGGTGACGATGCCTGACTCCTCTTGAATACTGATAGGAATCCCAAAATCCCTGTGGCTACTGGAAAGGGTCCTTGGGTGCCTTCCTCACCTCGAGAAGCGTCCCTTTTGCCCTGCCAAGCGTCGAAGAGATTCCTGAGGTGTCCCTCGTTACCAGACAGGAGTCCTGACGTCACTGAAGAAACTCGTGTTTTGAAGGGCCATCCCCGCCGTAAGTCGAGAACATACCCCAGGTCCCCGCCGCAACTCGAGAAAAACCATGAGACTTCCCCCTAGAGGCGAGATGAGGCCCCATTCCCCTGCAGTGCATGCAGAGCTATTCCGTGACCCCATTCAAGCACGTCAGGAGCTTCGACTTGCTTAATGGATCTCGAGACTGTCCACAAGAACACTGTCACCAGTCTAGACGGACCCTGAGGTCACCCCAGCAACGCAAAGCAGCTCCATGTGCCCCAAATCAACTCGAGATGAGGCCCGATTCCCCTGCATTGACTCCAGAGCCATTCCCCGTTCCCCATTCAACACGACCGGTGGCTCGACTTCCTTCAGGCAACTCCAGAGATGCCCCGAGAACACTGTCCCAAGTCTAGAGGAACACCAACTTCAGCACAGCAACTCGAGGAATGCTCCGTCTACCCCAAATCGTCTCGAGATGCGAGCTGATTCCCTGGCTTAGGCTCAAGACGTATGCCAACTTCCCAGAAGCACCTCAGGAGGAGGCTTCTCTCAGCAGTAGGTATGTGGGAGGGACCCCGAGTTTGCTGCCTCAAGGGGAATATACAGCGAGAAGCCCTAACTTGAAAGGAGGCCGGATTTCCTTGCAGTGGCTTGAATACAGGCTCGTCTTTCATCTCACAACATGAAGGGATGTCTGAATCCTCTGTGGAGACCTTAGAGAAAGCCCTAGGTCCCTGCCTCATTTTGACGGAATGCCTCACATCCCGCTGACACCTCGAGAGGCACGCGGAGTTCATTGCTTCGAAAGGTGACGATGCCTGACTCCTCTTGAATACTGATAGGAATCCCAAAATCCCTGTGGCTACTGGAAAGGGTCCTTGGGTGCCCTGCCTCACCTCGAGAAGCGTCCCTTTGGCCCTGCCAAGCCTCGAAGAGATTCCTGAGGTGTCCCTCGTTACTAGACAGGAGTCCTGACGTCACTGAAGAAACTCGTGTTTTGAAGGGCCATCCCCGCCGTAAGTCGAGAACATACCCCAGGTCCCCGCCGCAACTCGAGAAAAACCATGAGACTTCCCCCTAGAGGCGAGATGAGGCCCCATTCCCCTGCAGTGCATGCAGAGCTATTCCGTGACCCCATTCAAACAAGTCAGGAGCTTCGACTTGCTTAATGGATCTCGAGACAGTCCCCAAGAACACTGTCACCAGTCTAGACGGACCCTGAGGTCACCCCAGCAACGCAAAGCAGCTCCATGTGCCCCAAATCAACTCGAGATGAGGCCCGATTCCCCTGCATTGACTCCAGAGCCATTCCCCGTTCCCCATTCAACACGACCGGTGGCTCGACTTCCTTCAGGCAACTCCAGAGATGCCCCGAGAACACTGTCCCAAGTCTAGAGGAACACCAACTTCAGCACAGCAACTCGAGGAATGCTCCGTGTACCCCAAATCGTCTCGAGATGCGAGCTGATTCCCTGGCTTAGGCTCAAGACGTATGCCAACTTCCCAGAAGCACCTCAGGAGGAGGCTTCTCTCAGCAATAGGTATGTGGGAGGGACCCCGAGTTTGCTGCCTCAAGGGGAATATACAGCGAGAAGCCCTAACTTGAAAGGAGGCCGGATTTCCTTGCAGTGGCTTGAATACAGGCTCGTCTTTCATCTCACAACATGAAGGGATGTCTGAATCCCCTGTGGAGACCTTAGAGAAAGCCCTAGGTCCCTGCCTCATTTTGACGGAATGCCTCACATCCCGCTGACACCTCGAGAGGCACGCGGAGTTCATTGCTTCAAAAGGTGATGATGCCTGACTCCTCTTGAATACTGATAGGAATCCCAAAATCCCTGTGGCTACTGGAAAGGGTCCTTGGGTGCCCTGCCTCACCTCGAGAAGCGTCCCTTTTGCCCTGCCAAGCGTCGAAGAGATTCCTGAAGTGTCCCTCGTTACCAGACAGGAGTCCTGACGTCACTGAAGAAACTCGTGTTTTGAAGGGCCATCCCCGCCGTAAGTCGAGAACATACCCCAGGTCCCCGCCGCAACTCGAGAAAAACCATGAGACTTCCCCCTAGAGGCGAGATGAGGCCCCATTCCCCTGCAGTGCATGCAGAGCTATTCCGTGACCCCATTCAAGCACGTCAGGAGCTTCGACTTGCTTAATGGATCTCGAGACTGTCCACAAGAACACTGTCACCAGTCTAGACGGACCCTGAGGTCACCCCAGCAACGCAAAGCAGCTCCATGTGCCCCAAATCAACTCGAGATGAGGCCCGATTCCCCTGCATTGACTCCAGAGCCATTCCCCGTTCCCCATTCAACACGACCGGTGGCTCGACTTCCTTCAGGCAACTCCAGAGATGCCCCGAGAACACTGTCCCAAGTCTAGAGGAACACCAACTTCAGCACAGCAACTCGAGGAATGCTCCGTCTACCCCAAATCGTCTCGAGATGCGAGCTGATTCCCTGGCTTAGGCTCAAGACGTATGCCAACTTCCCAGAAGCACCTCAGGAGGAGGCTTCTCTCAGCAGTAGGTATGTGGGAGGGACCCCGAGTTTGCTGCCTCAAGGGGAATATACAGCGAGAAGCCCTAACTTGAAAGGAGGCCGGATTTCCTTGCAGTGGCTTGAATACAGGCTCGTCTTTCATCTCACAACATGAAGGGATGTCTGAATCCCCTGTGGAGACCTTAGAGAAAGCCCTAGGTCCCTGCCTCATTTTGACGGAATGCCTCACATCCCGCTGACACCTCGAGAGGCACGCGGAGTTCATTGCTTCGAAAGGTGACGATGCCTGACTCCTCTTGAATACTGATAGGAATCCCAAAATCCTTGTGGCTACTGGAAAGGGTCCTTGGGTGCCCTGCCTCACCTCGAGAAGCGTCCCTTTGGCCCTGCCAAGCCTCGAAGAGATTCCTGAGGTGTCCCTCGTTACTAGACAGGAGTCCTGACGTCACTGAAGAAACTCGTGTTTTGAAGGGCCATCCCCGCCGTAAGTCGAGAACATACCCCAGGTCCCCGCCGCAACTCGAGAAAAACCATGAGACTTCCCCCTAGAGGCGAGATGAGGCCCCATTCCCCTGCAGTGCATGCAGAGCTATTCCGTGACCCCATTCAAACAAGTCAGGAGCTTCGACTTGCTTAATGGATCTCGAGACAGTCCCCAAGAACACTGTCACCAGTCTAGACGGACCCTGAGGTCACCCCAGCAACGCAAAGCAGCTCCATGTGCCCCAAATCAACTCGAGATGAGGCCCGATTCCCCTGCATTGACTCCAGAGCCATTCCCCGTTCCCCATTCAACACGACCGGTGGCTCGACTTCCTTCAGGCAACTCCAGAGATGCCCCGAGAACACTGTCCCAAGTCTAGAGGAACACCAACTTCAGCACAGCAACTCGAGGAATGCTCCGTGTACCCCAAATCGTCTCGAGATGCGAGCTGATTCCCTGGCTTAGGCTCAAGACGTATGCCAACTTCCCAGAAGCACCTCAGGAGGAGGCTTCTCTCAGCAATAGGTATGTGGGAGGGACCCCGAGTTTGCTGCCTCAAGGGGAATATACAGCGAGAAGCCCTAACTTGAAAGGAGTCCGGATTTCCTTGCAGTGGCTGGAATACAGGCTCGTCTTTCATCTCACAACATGAAGGGATGTCTGAATCCCCTGTGGAGACCTTAGAGAAAGCCCTAGGTCCCTGCCTCATTTTGACGGAATGCCTCACATCCCGCTGACACCTCGAGAGGCACGCGGAGTTCATTGCTTCAAAAGGTGACGATGCCTGACTCCTCTTGAATACTGATAGGAATCCCAAAATCCCTGTGGCTACTGGAAAGGGTCCTTGGGTGCCCTGCCTCACCTCGAGAAGCGTCCCTTTTGCCCTGCCAAGCCTCGAAGAGATTCCTGAGGTGTCCCTCGTTACCAGACAGGAGTCCTGACGTCACTGAAGAAACTCGTGTTTTGAAGGGCCATCCCCGCCGTAAGTCGAGAACATACCCCAGGTCCCCGCCGCAACTCGAGAAAAACCATGAGACTTCCCCCTAGAGGCGAGATGAGGCCCCATTCCCCTGCAGTGCATGCAGAGCTATTCCGTGACCCCATTCAAGCACGTCAGGAGCTTCGACTTGCTTAATGGATCTCGAGACAGTCCACAAGAACACTGTCACCAGTCTAGACGGACCCTGAGGTCACCCCAGCAACGCAAAGCAGCTCCATGTGCCCCAAATCAACTCGAGATGAGGCCCGATTCCCCTGCATTGACTCCAGAGCCATTCCCCGTTCCCCATTCAACATGACCGGTGGCTCGACTTCCTTCAGGCAACTCCAGAGATGCCCCGAGAACACTGTCCCAAGTCTAGAGGAACACCAACTTCAGCACAGCAACTCGAGGAATGCTCCGTCTACCCCAAATCGTCTCGAGATGCGAGCTGATTCCCTGGCTTAGGCTCAAGACGTATGCCAACTTCCCAGAAGCACCTCAGGAGGAGGCTTCTCTCAGCAGTAGGTATGTGGGAGGGACCCCGAGTTTGCTGCCTCAAGGGGAATATACAGCGAGAAGCCCTAACTTGAAAGGAGGCCGGATTTCCTTGCAGTGGCTGGAATACAGGCTCGTCTTTCATCTCACAACATGAAGGGATGTCTGAATCCCCTGTGGAGACCTTAGAGAAAGCCCTAGGTCCCTGCCTCATTTTGACGGAATGCCTCACATCCCGCTGACACCTCGAGAGGCACGCGGAGTTCATTGCTTCAAAAGGTGACGATGCCTGACTCCTCTTGAATACTGATAGGAATCCCAAAATCCCTGTGGCTACTGGAAAGGGTCCTTGGGTGCCCTGCCTCACCTCGAGAAGCGTCCCTTTTGCCCTGCCAAGCGTCGAAGAGATTCCTGAGGTGTCCCTCGTTACCAGACAGGAGTCCTGACGTCACTGAAGAAACTCGTGTTTTGAAGGGCCATCCCCGCCGTAAGTCGAGAACATACCCCAGGTCCCCGCCTCAACTCGAGAAAAACCATGAGACTTCCCCCTAGAGGCGAGATGAGGCCCCATTCCCCTGCAGGGCATGCAGAGCTATTCCGTGATCCCATTCAAACAAGTCAGGAGCTTCGACTTGCTTAATGGATCTCGAGACTGTCCACAAGAACACTGTCACCAGTCTAGACGGACCCTGAGGTCACCCCAGCAACGCAAAGCAGCTCCATGTGCCCCAAATCAACTCGAGATGAGGCCCGATTCCCCTGCATTGACTCCAGAGCCATTCCCCGTTCCCCATTCAACACGACCGGTGGCTCGACTTCCTTCAGGCAACTCCAGAGATGCCCCGAGAACACTGTCCCAAGTCTAGAGGAACACCAACTTCAGCACAGCAACTCGAGGAATGCTCCGTCTACCCCAAATCGTCTCGAGATGCGAGCTGATTCCCTGGCTTAGGCTCAAGACGTATGCCAACTTCCCAGAAGCACCTCAGGAGGAGGCTTCTCTCAGCAGTAGGTATGTGGGAGGGACCCCGAGTTTGCTGCCTCAAGGGGAATATACAGCGAGAAGCCCTAACTTGAAAGGAGGCCGGATTTCCTTGCAGTGGCTTGAATACAGGCTCGTCTTTCATCTCACAACATGAAGGGATGTCTGAATCCCCTGTGGAGACCTTAGAGGAAGCCCTAGGTCCCTGCCTCATTTTGACGGAATGCCTCACATCCCGCTGACACCTCGAGAGGCACGCGGAGTTCATTGCTTCGAAAGGTGACGATGCCTGACTCCTCTTGAATACTGATAGGAATCCCAAAATCCCTGTGGCTACTGGAAAGGCTCCTTGGGTGCCCTGCCTCACCTCGAGAAGCGTCCCTTTGGCCCTGCCAAGCCTCGAAGAGATTCCTGAGGTGTCCCTCGTTACTAGACAGGAGTCCTGACGTCACTGAAGAAACTCGTGTTTTGAAGGGCCATCCCCGCCGTAAGTCGAGAACATACCCCAGGTCCCCGCCGCAACTCGAGAAAAACCATGAGACTTCCCCCTAGAGGCGAGATGAGGCCCCATTCCCCTGCAGTGCATGCAGAGCTATTCCGTGACCCCATTCAAACAAGTCAGGAGCTTCGACTAGCTTAATGGATCTCGAGACAGTCCCCAAGAACACTGTCACCAGTCTAGACGGACCCTGAGGTCACCCCAGCAACGCAAAGCAGCTCCATGTGCCCCAAATCAACTCGAGATGAGGCCCGATTCCCCTGCATTGACTCCAGAGCCATTCCCCGTTCCCCATTCAACACGACCGGTGGCTCGACTTCCTTCAGGCAACTCCAGAGATGCCCCGAGAACACTGTCCCAAGTCTAGAGGAACACCAACTTCAGCACAGCAACTCGAGGAATGCTCCGTGTACCCCAAATCGTCTCGAGATGCGAGCTGATTCCCTGGCTTAGGCTCAAGACGTATGCCAACTTCCCAGAAGCACCTCAGGAGGAGGCTTCTCTCAGCAATAGGTATGTGGGAGGGACCCCGAGTTTGCTGCCTCAAGGGGAATATACAGCGAGAAGCCCTAACTTGAAAGGAGGCCGGATTTCCTTGCAGTGGCTGGAATACAGGCTCGTCTTTCATCTCACAACATGAAGGGATGTCTGAATCCCCTGTGGAGACCTTAGAGAAAGCCCTAGGTCCCTGCCTCATTTTGACGGAATGCCTCACATCCCGCTGACACCTCGAGAGGCACGCGGAGTTCATTGCTTCAAAAGGTGACGATGCCTGACTCCTCTTGAATACTGATAGGAATCCCAAAATCCCTGTGGCTACTGGAAAGGGTCCTTGGGTGCCCTGCCTCACCTCGAGAAGCGTCCCTTTTGCCCTGCCAAGCCTCGAAGAGATTCCTGAGGTGTCCCTCGTTACTAGACAGGAGTCCTGACTTCACTGAAGAAACTCGTGTTTTGAAGGGCCATCCCCGCCGTAAGTCGAGAACATACCCCAGGTCCCCGCCGCAACTCGAGAAAAACCATGAGACTTCCCCCTAGAGGCGAGATGAGGCCCCATTCCCCTGCAGTGCATGCAGAGCTATTCCGTGATCCCATTCAAACAAGTCAGGAGCTTCGACTTGCTTAATGGATCTCGAGACAGCCCCCAAGAACACTGTCACCAGTCTAGACGGAACCTGAGGTCACCCCAGCAACGCAAAGCAGCCCCATGTGCCCCAAATCAACTCGAGATGAGGCCCGATTCCCCTGCATTGACTCCAGAGCCATTCCCCGTTCCCCATTCAACACGGCCGGTGGCTCGACTTCCTTCAGGCAACTCCAGAGATGCCCCGAGAACACTGTCCCAAGTCTAGAGGAACACCAACTTCAGCACAGCAAATCGAGGAATGCTCCGTGTACCCCAAATCGTCTCGAGATGCGAGCTGATTCCCTGGCTTAGGCTCAAGACGTATGCCAACTTCCCAGAAGCACCTCAGGAGGAGGCTTCTCTCAGCAATAGGTATGTGGGAGGGACCCCGAGTTTGCTGCCTCAAGGGGAATATACAGCGAGAAGCCCTAACTTGAAAGGAGGCCGGATTTCCTTGCAGTGGCTTGAATACAGGCTTGTCTTTCATCTCACAACATGAAGGGATGTCTGAATCCCCTGTGGAGACCTTAGAGAAAGCCCTAGGTCCCTGCCTCATTTTGACGGATTGCCTCACATCCCGCTGACACCTCGAGAGGCACGCGGAGTTCATTGCTTCAAAAGGTGACGATGCCTGACTCCTCTTGAATACCGATAGGAATCCCGAAATCCCTGTGGCTACTGGAAAGGGTCCTTGGGTGCCCTGCCTCACCTCGAGAAGCGTCCCTTTGGCCCTGCCAAGCCTCGAAGAGATTCCTGAGGTGTCCCTCGTTACTAGACAGGAGTCCTGACGTCACTGAAGAAACTCTTGTTTTGAAGGGCCATCCCCGCCGTAAGTCGAGAACATACCCCAGGTCCCCGCCGCAACTCGAGAAAAACCATGAGACTTCCCCCTAGAGGCGAGATGAGGCCCCATTCCCCTGCAGTGCATGCAGAGCTATTCCGTGATCCCATTCAAACAAGTCAGGAGCTTCGACTTGCTTAATGGATCTCGAGACAGTCCCCAAGAACACTGTCACCAGTCTAGACGGACCCTGAGGTCACCCCAGCAACGCAAAGCAGCTCCATGTGCCCCAAATCAACTCGAGATGAGGCCCGATTCCCCTGCATTGACCCCAGAGCCATTCCCCGTTCCCCATTCAACACGACCGGTGGCTCGACTTCCTTCAGGCAACTCCAGAGATGCCCCGAGAACACTGTCCCAAGTCTAGAGGAACACCAACTTCAACACAGCAACTCGAGGAATGCTCCGTGTACCCCTAATCATCTCGAGATGCGAGCTGATTCCCTGGCTTAGGCTCAAGACGTATGCCAACTTCCCAGAAGCACCTCAGGAGGAGGCTTCTCTCAGCAATAGGTATGTGGGAGGGACCCCGAGTTTGCTGCCTCAAGGGGAATATACAGCGAGAAGCCCTAACTTGAAAGGAGGCCGGATTTCCTTGCAGTGGCTTGAATACAGGCTCGTCTTTCATCTCACAACATGAAGGGATGTCTGAATCCCCTGTGGAGAACTTAGAGAAAGTCCTAGGTCCCTGCCTCATTTTGACGGAATGCCTCACATCGCGCTGACACCTCGAGAGGCACGCGGAGTTCATTGCTTCAAAAGGTGACGATGCCTGACTCCTCTTGAATACTGATAGGAATCCCAAAATCCCTGTGGCTACTGGAAAGGGTCCTTGGGTGCCCTGCCTCACCTCGAGAAGCGTCCCTTTTGCCCTGCCAAGCCTCGAAGAGATTCCTGAGGTGTCCCTTGTTACTAGACAGGAGTCCTGACGTCACTGAAGAAACTCGTGTTTTGAAGGGCCATCCCCGCCGTAAGTCGAGAACATACCCCAGGTCCCCGCCGCAACTCGAGAAAAACCATGAGACTTCCCCATAGAGGCGAGATGAGGCCCCATTCCCCTGCAGTGCATGCAGAGCTATTCCGTGATCCCATTCAAACAAGTCAGGAGCTTCGACTTGCTTAATGGATCTCGAGACAGTCCCCAAGAACACTGTCACCAGTCTAGACGGACCCTGAGGTCACCCCAGCAACGCAAAGCAGCTCCATGTGCCCCAAATCAAATCGAGATGAGGCCCGATTCCCCTGCATTGACTCCAGAGCCATTCCCCGTTCCCCATTCAACACGACCGGTGGCTCGACTTCCTTCACTCAACTCCAGAGATGCCCCGAGAACACTGTCCCAAGTCTAGAGGAACACCAACTTCAGCACAGCAACTCGAGGAATGCTCCGTGTACCCCAAATCGTCTCGAGATGCGAGCTGATTCCCTGGCTTAGGCTCAAGACGTATGCCAACTTCCCAGAAGCACCTCAGGAGGAGGCTTCTCTCAGCAATAGGTATGTGGGAGGGACCCCGAGTTTGCTGCCTCAAGGGGAATATACAGCGAGAAGCCCTAACTTGAAAGGAGGCCGGATTTCCTTGCAGTGGCTTGAATACAGGCTCGTCTTTCATCTCACAACATGAAGGGATGTCTGAATCCCCTGTGGAGACCTTAGAGAAAGCCCTAGGTCCCTGCCTCATTTTGACGGAATGCCTCACATCCCGCTGACACTTCGAGAGGCACGCGGAGTTCATTGCTTCAAAAGGTGACGATGCCTGACTCTTCTTGAATACTGATAGGAATCCCAAAATCCCTGTGGCTACTGGAAAGGGTCCTTGGGTGCCCTGCCTCACCTCGAGAAGCGTCCCTTTGGCCCTGCCAAGCCTCGAAGAGATTCCTGAGGTGTCCCTCGTTACTAGACAGGAGTCCTGACGTCACTGAAGAAACTCGTGTTTTGAAGGGCCATCCCCGCCGTAAGTCGAGAACATACCCCAGGTCCCCGCCGCAACTCGAGAAAAACCATGAGACTTCCCCCTAGAGGCGAGATGAGGCCCCATTCCCCTGCAGTGCATGCAGAGCTATTCCGTGATCCCATTCAAACAAGTCAGGAGCTTCGACTTGCTTAATGGATCTCGAGACAGTCCCCAAGAACACTGTCACCAGTCTAGACGGACACTGAGGTCACCCCAGCAACGCAAAGCAGCTCCATGTGCCCCAAATCAACTCGAGATGAGGCCCGATTCCCCTGCATTGACCCCAGAGCCATTCCCCGTTCCCCATTCAACACGACCGGTGGCTCGACTTCCTTCAGGCAACTCCAGAGATGCCCCGAGAACACTGTCCCAAGTCTAGAGGAACACCAACTTCAGCACAGCAACTCGAGGAATGCTCCGTGTACCCCAAATCGTCTCGAGATGCGAGCTGATTCGATGGCTTAGGTTCAAGACGTATGCCAACTTCCCAGAAGCACCTCAGGAGGAGGCTTCTCTCAGCAATAGGTATGTGGGAGGGACCCCGAGTTTGCTGCCTCAAGGGGAATATACAGCGAGAAGCCCTAACTTGAAAGGAGGCCGGATTTCCTTGCAGTGGCTTGAATACAGGCTCGTCTTTCATCTCACAACATGAAGGGATGTCTGAATCCCCTGTGGAGAACTTAGAGAAAGTCCTAGGTCCCTGCCTCATTTTGACGGAATGCCTCACATCGCGCTGACACCTCGAGAGGCACGCGGAGTTCATTGCTTCAAAAGGTGACGATGCCTGACTCCTCTTGAATACTGATAGGAATCCCAAAATCCCTGTGGCTACTGGAAAGGGTCCTTGGGTGCCCTGCCTCACCTCGAGAAGCGTCCCTTTTGCCCTGCCAAGCCTCGAAGAGATTCCTGAGGTGTCCCTCGTTACTAGACAGGAGTCCTGACGTCACTGAAGAAACTCGTGTTTTGAAGGGCCATCCCCGCCGTAAGTCGAGAACATACCCCAGGTCCCCGCCGCAACTCGAGAAAAACCATGAGACTTCCCCCTAGAGGCGAGATGAGGCCCCATTCCCCTGCAGTGCATGCAGAGCTATTCCGTGATCCCATTCAAACAAGTCAGGAGCTTCGACTTGCTTAATGGATCTCGAGACAGTCCCCAAGAACACTGTCACCAGTCTAGACGGACCCTGAGGTCACCCCAGCAAAGCAAAGCAGCTCCATGTGCCCCAAATCAACTCGAGATGAGGCCCGATTCCCCTGCATTGACCCCAGAGCCATTCCCCGTTCCCCATTCAACACGACCGGTGGCTCGACTTCCTTCAGGCAACTCCAGAGATGCCCCGAGAACACTGTCCCAAGTCTAGAGAAACACCAACTTCAACACAGCAACTCGAGGAATGCTCCGTGTACCCCAAATCATCTCGAGATGCGAGCTGATTCCCTGGCTTAGGCTCAAGACGTATGCCAACTTCCCAGAAGCACCTCAGGAGGAGGCTTCTCTCAGCAATAGGTATGTGGGAGGGACCCCGAGTTTGCTGCCTCAAGGGGAATATACAGCGAGAAGCCCTAACTTGAAAGGAGGCCGGATTTCCTTGCAGTGGCTTGAATACAGGCTCGTCTTTCATCTCACAACATGAAGGGATGTCTGAATCCCCTGTGGAGAACTTAGAGAAAGTCCTAGGTCCCTGCCTCATTTTGACGGAATGCCTCACATCGCGCTGACACCTCGAGAGGCACGCGGAGTTCATTGCTTCAAAAGGTGACGATGCCTGACTCCTCTTGAATACTGATAGGAATCCCAAAATCCCTGTGGCTACTGGAAAGGGTCCTTGGGTGCCCTGCCTCACCTCGAGAAGCGTCCCTTTTGCCCTGCCAAGCCTCGAAGAGATTCCTGAGGTGTCCCTCGTTACTAGACAGGAGTCCTGACGTCACTGAAGAAACTCGTGTTTTGAAGGGCCATCCCCGCCGTAAGTCGAGAACATACCCCAGGTCCCCGCCGCAACTCGAGAAAAACCATGAGACTTCCCCCTAGAGGCGAGATGAGGCCCCATTCCCCTGCAGTGCATGCAGAGCTATTCCGTGATCCCATTCAAACAAGTCAGGAGCTTCGACTTGCTTAATGGATCTCGAGACAGTCCCCAAGAACACTGTCACCAGTCTAGACGGACCCTGAGGTCACCCCAGCAACGCAAAGCAGCTCCATGTGCCCCAAATCAACTCGAGATGAGGCCCGATTCCCCTGCATTGACTCCAGAGCCATTCCCCGTTCCCCACTCAACACGACCGGTGGCTCGACTTCCTTCAGGCAACTCCAGAGATGCCCCGAGAACACTGTCCCAAGTCTAGAGGAACACCAACTTCAGCACAGCAACTCGAGGAATGCTCCGTGTACCCCAAATCGTCTCGAGATGCGAGCTGATTCCCTGGCTTAGGCTCAAGACGTATGCCAACTTCCCAGAAGCACCTCAGGAGGAGGCTTCTCTCAGCAATAGGTATGTGGGAGGGACCCCGAGTTTGCTGCCTCAAGGGGAATATACAGCGAGAAGCCCTAACTTGAAAGGAGGCCGGATTTCCTTGCAGTGGCTTGAATACAGGCTCGTCTTTCATCTCACAACATGAAGGGATGTCTGAATCCCCTGTGGAGACCTTAGAGAAAGCCCTAGGTCCCTGCCTCATTTTGACGGAATGCCTCACATCCCGCTGACACCTCGAGAGGCACGCGGAGTTCATTGCTTCAAAAGGTGACGATGCCTGACTCCTCTTGAATACTGATAGGAATCCCAAAATCCCTGTGGCTACTGGAAAGGGTCCTTGGGTGCCCTGCCTCACCTCGAGAAGCGTCCCTTTGGCCCTGCCAAGCCTCGAAGAGATTCCTGAGGTGTCCCTCGTTACTAGACAGGAGTCCTGACGTCACTGAAGAAACTCGTGTTTTGAAGGGCCATCCCCGCCGTAAGTCGAGAACATACCCCAGGTCCCCGCCGCAACTCGAGAAAAACCATGAGACTTCCCCCTAGAGGCGAGATGAGGCCCCATTCCCCTGCAGTGCATGCAGAGCTATTCCGTGATCCCATTCAAACAAGTCAGGAGCTTCGACTTGCTTAATGGATCTCGAGACAGTCCCCAAGAACACTGTCACCAGTCTAGACGGACCCTGAGGTCACCCCACCAACGCAAAGCAGCTCCATGTGCCCCAAATCAACTCGAGATGAGGCCCGATTCCCCTGCATTGACCCCAGAGCCATTCCCCGTTCCCCATTCAACACGACCGGTGGCTCGACTTCCTTCAGGCAACTCCAGAGATGCCCCGAGAACACTGTCCCAAGTCTAGAGGAACACCAACTTCAACACAGCAACTCGAGGAATGCTCCGTGTACCCCAAATCGTCTCGAGATGCGAGCTGATTCGATGGCTTAGGTTCAAGACGTATGCCAACTTCCCAGAAGCACCTCAGGAGGAGGCTTCTCTCAGCAATAGGTATGTGGGAGGGACCCCGAGTTTGCTGCCTCAAGGGGAATATACAGCGAGAAGCCCTAACTTGAAAGGAGGCCGGATTTCTTTGCAGTGGCTTGAATACAGGCTCGTCTTTCATCTCACAACATGAAGGGATGTCTGAATCCCCTGTGGAGACCTTAGAGAAAGCCCTAGGTCCCTGCCTCATTTTGACGGAATGCCTCACATCCCGCTGACACCTCGAGAGGCACGCGGAGTTCATTGCTTCAAAAGGTGACGATGCCTGACTCCTCTTGAATACTGATAGGAATCCCAAAATCCCTGTGGCTACTGGAAAGTGTCCTTGGGTGCCCTGCCTCACCTCGAGAAGCGTCCCTTTGGCCCTGCCAAGCCTCGAAGAGATTCCTGAGGTGTCCCTCGTTACTAGACAGGAGTCCTGACGTCACTGAAGAAACTCGTGTTTTGAAGGGCCATCCCCGCCGTAAGTCGAGAACATACCCCAGGTCCCCGCCGCAACTCGAGAAAAACCATGAGACTTCCCCCTAGAGGCGATATGAGGCCCCATTCCCCTGCAGTGCATGCAGAGCTATTCCGTGATCCCATTCAAACAAGTCAGGAGCTTCGACTTGCTTAATGGATCTCGAGACAGTCCCCAAGAACACTGTCACCAGTCTAGACGGACCCTGAGGTCACCCCAGCAACGCAAAGCAGCTCCATGTGCCCCAAATCAACTCGAGATGAGGCCCGATTCCCCTGCATTGAACCCAGAGCCATTCCCCGTTCCCCATTCAACACGACCGGTGGCTCGACTTCCTTCAGGCAACTCCAGAGATGCCCCGAGAACACTGTCCCAAGTCTAGAGGAACACCAACTTCAACACAGCAACTCGAGGAATGCTCCGTGTACCCCTAATCGTCTCGAGATGCGAGCTGATTCCCTGGCTTAGGCTCAAGACGTATGCCAACTTCCCAGAAGCACCTCAGGAGGAGGCTTCTCTCAGCAATAGGTATGTGGGAGGGACCCCGAGTTTGCTGCCTCAAGGGGAATATACAGCGAGAAGCCCTAACTTGAAAGGAGGCCGGATTTCCTTGCAGTGGCTTGAATACAGGCTCGTCTTTAATCTCACAACATGAAGGGATGTCTGAATCCCCTGTGGAGAACTTAGAGAAAGTCCTAGGTCCCTGCCTCATTTTGACGGAATGCCTCACATCGCGCTGACACCTCGAGAGGCACGCGGAGTTCATTGCTTCAAAAGGTGACGATGCCTGACTCCTCTTGAATACTGATAGGAATCCCAAAATCCCTGTGGCTACTGGAAAGGGTCCTTGGGTGCCCTGCCTCACCTCGAGAAGCGTCCCTTTGGCCCTGCCAAGCCTCGAAGAGATTCCTGAGGTGTCCCTCGTTACTAGACAGGAGTCCTGACGTCACTGAAGAAACTCGTGTTTTGAAGGGCCATCCCCGCCGTAAGTCGAGAACATACCCCAGGTCCCCGCCGCAACTCGAGAAAAACCATGAGACTTCCCCCTAGAGGCGAGATGAGTCCCCATTCCCCTTCAGTGCATGCAGAGCTATTCCGTGATCCCATTCAAACAAGTCAGGAGCTTCGACTTGCTTAATGGATCTCGAGACAGTCCCCAAGAACACTGTCACCAGTCTAGACGGACCCTGAGGTCACCCCAGCAACGCAAAGCAGCTCCATGTGCCCCAAATCAACTCGAGATGAGGCCCGATTCCCCTGCATTGACCCCAGAGCCATTCCCCGTTCCCCATTCAACACGACCGGTGGCTCGACTTCCTTCAGGCAACTCCAGAGATGCCCCGAGAACACTGTCCCAAGTCTAGAGAAACACCAACTTCAACACAGCAACTCGAGGAATGCTCCGTGTACCCCAAATCATCTCGAGATGCGAGCTGATTCCCTGGCTTAGGCTCAAGACGTATGCCAACTTCCCAGAAGCACCTCAGGAGGAGGCTTCTCTCAGCAATAGGTATGTGGGAGGGACCCCGAGTTTGCTGCCTCAAGGGGAATATACAGCGAGAAGCCCTAACTTGAAAGGAGGCCGGATTTCCTTGCAGTGGCTTGAATACAGGCTCGTCTTTCATCTCATAACATGAAGGGATGTCTGAATCCCCTGTGGAGAACTTAGAGAAAGTCCTAGGTCCCTGCCTCATTTTGACGGAATGCCTCACATCGCGCTGACACCTCGAGAGGCACGCGGAGTTCATTGCTTCAAAAGGTGACGATGCCTGACTCCTCTTGAATACTGATAGGAATCCCAAAATCCCTGTGGCTACTGGAAAGGGTCCTTGGGTGCCCTGCCTCACCTCGAGAAGCGTCCCTTTTGCCCTGCCAAGCCTCGAAGAGATTCCTGAGGTGTCCCTCGTTACTAGACAGGAGTCCTGACGTCACTGAAGAAACTCGTGTTTTGAAGGGCCATCCCCGCCGTAAGTCGAGAACATACCCCAGGTCCCCGCCGCAACTCGAGAAAAACCATGAGACTTCCCCCTAGAGGCGAGATGAGGCCCCATTCCCCTGCAGTGCATGCAGAGCTATTCCGTGATCCCATTCAAACAAGTCAGGAGCTTCGACTTGCTTAATGGATCTCGAGACAGTCCCCAAGAACACTGTCACCAGTCTAGACGGACCCTGAGGTCACCCCAGCAACGCAAAGCAGCTCCATGTGCCCCAAATCAACTCGAGATGAGGCCCGATTCCCCTGCATTGACTCCAGAGCCATTCCCCGTTCCCCACTCAACACGACCGGTGGCTCGACTTCCTTCAGGCAACTCCAGAGATGCCCCGAGAACACTGTCCCAAGTCTAGAGGAACACCAACTTCAGCACAGCAACTCGAGGAATGCTCCGTGTACCCCAAATCGTCTCGAGATGCGAGCTGATTCCCTGGCTTAGGCTCAAGACGTATGCCAACTTCCCAGAAGCACCTCAGGAGGAGGCTTCTCTCAGCAATAGGTATGTGGGAGGGACCCCGAGTTTGCTGCCTCAAGGGGAATATACAGCGAGAAGCCCTAACTTGAAAGGAGGCCGGATTTCCTTGCAGTGGCTTGAATACAGGCTCGTCTTTCATCTCACAACATGAAGGGATGTCTGAATCCCCTGTGGAGACCTTAGAGAAAGCCCTAGGTCCCTGCCTCATTTTGACGGAATGCCTCACATCCCGCTGACACCTCGAGAGGCACGCGGAGTTCATTGCTTCAAAAGGTGACGATGCCTGACTCCTCTTGAATACTGATAGGAATCCCAAAATCCCTGTGGCTACTGGAAAGGGTCCTTGGGTGCCCTGCCTCACCTCGAGAAGCGTCCCTTTGGCCCTGCCAAGCCTCGAAGAGATTCCTGAGGTGTCCCTCGTTACTAGACAGGAGTCCTGACGTCACTGAAGAAACTCGTGTTTTGAAGGGCCATCCCCGCCCTAAGTCGAGAACATACCCCAGGTCCCCGCCGCAACTCGAGAAAAACCATGAGACTTCCCCCTAGAGGCGAGATGAGGCCCCATTCCCCTGCAGGGCATGCAGAGCTATTCCGTGATCCCATTCAAACAAGTCAGGAGCTTCGACTTGCTTAATGGATCTCGAGACAGTCCCCAAGAACACTGTCACCAGTCTAGACGGACCCTGAGGTCACCCCAGCAACGCAAAGCAGCTCCATGTGCCCCAAATCAACTCGAGATGAGGCCCGATTCCCCTGCATTGACCCCAGAGCCATTCCCCGTTCCCCATTCAACACGACCGGTGGCTCGACTTCCTTCAGGCAACTCCAGAGATGCCCCGAGAACACTGTCCCAAGTCTAGAGGAACACCAACTTCAACACAGCAACTCGAGGAATGCTCCGTGTACCCCAAATCGTCTCGAGATGCGAGCTGATTCGATGGCTTAGGTTCAAGACGTATGCCAACTTCCCAGAAGCACCTCAGGAGGAGGCTTCTCTCAGCAATAGGTATGTGGGAGGGACCCCGAGTTTGCTGCCTCAAGGGGAATATACAGCGAGAAGCCCTAACTTGAAAGGAGGCCGGATTTCTTTGCAGTGGCTTGAATACAGGCTCGTCTTTCATCTCACAACATGAAGGGATGTCTGAATCCCCTGTGGAGACCTTAGAGAAAGCCCTAGGTCCCTGCCTCATTTTGACGGAATGCCTCACATCCCGCTGACACCTCGAGAGGCACGCGGAGTTCATTGCTTCAAAAGGTGACGATGCCTGACTCCTCTTGAATACTGATAGGAATCCCAAAATCCCTGTGGCTACTGGAAAGGGTCCTTGGGTGCCCTGCCTCACCTCGAGAAGCGTCCCTTTGGCCCTGCCAAGCCTCGAAGAGATTCCTGAGGTGTCCCTCGTTACTAGACAGGAGTCCTGACGTCACTGAAGAAACTCGTGTTTTGAAGGGCCATCCCCGCCGTAAGTCGAGAACATACCCCAGGTCCCCGCCGCAACTCGAGAAAAACCATGAGACTTCCCCCTAGAGGCGAGATGAGGCCCCATTCCCCTGCAGTGCATGCAGAGCTATTCCGTGATCCCATTCAAACAAGTCAGGAGCTTCGACTTGCTTAATGGATCTCGAGACAGTCCCCAAGAACACTGTCACCAGTCTAGACGGACCCTGAGGTCACCCCAGCAACGCAAAGCAGCTCCATGTGCCCCAAATCAACTCGAGATGAGGCCCGATTCCCCTGCATTGAACCCAGAGCCATTCCCCGTTCCCCATTCAACACGACCGGTGGCTCGACTTCCTTCAGGCAACTCCAGAGATGCCCCGAGAACACTGTCCCAAGTCTAGAGGAACACCAACTTCAACACAGCAACTCGAGGAATGCTCCGTGTACCCCTAATCGTCTCGAGATGCGAGCTGATTCCCTGGCTTAGGCTCAAGACATATGCCAACTTCCCAGAAGCACCTCAGGAGGAGGCTTCTCTCAGCAATAGGTATGTGGGAGGGACCCCGAGTTTGCTGCCTCAAGGGGAATATACAGCGAGAAGCCCTAACTTGAAAGGAGGCCGGATTTAATTGCAGTGGCTTGAATACAGGCTCGTCTTTCATCTCACAACATGAAGGGATGTCTGAATCCCCTGTGGAGAACTTAGAGAAAGTCCTAGGTCCCTGCCTCATTTTGACGGAATGCCTCACATCGCGCTGACACCTCGAGAGGCACGCGGAGTTCATTGCTTCAAAAGGTGACGATGCCTGACTCCTCTTGAATACTGATAGGAATCCCAAAATCCCTGTGGCTACTGGAAAGGGTCCTTGGGTGCCCTGCCTCACCTCGAGAAGCGTCCCTTTTGCCCTGCCAAGCCTCGAAGAGATTCCTGAGGTGTCCCTCGTTACTAGACAGGAGTCCTGACGTCACTGAAGAAACTCGTGTTTTGAAGGGCCATCCCCGCCGTAAGTCGAGAACATACCCCAGGTCCCCGCCGCAACTCGAGAAAAACCATGAGACTTCCCCCTAGAGGCGAGATGAGTCCCCATTCCCCTTCAGTGCATGCAGAGCTATTCCGTGATCCCATTCAAACAAGTCAGGAGCTTCGACTTGCTTAATGGATCTCGAGACAGTCCCCAAGAACACTGTCACCAGTCTAGACGGACCCTGAGGTCACCCCAGCAACGCAAAGCAGCTCCATGTGCCCCAAATCAACTCGAGATGAGGCCCGATTCCCCTGCATTGACCCCAGAGCCATTCCCCGTTCCCCATTCAACACGACCGGTGGCTCGACTTCCTTCAGGCAACTCCAGAGATGCCCCGAGAACACTGTCCCAAGTCTAGAGAAACACCAACTTCAACACAGCAACTCGAGGAATGCTCCGTGTACCCCAAATCATCTCGAGATGCGAGCTGATTCCCTGGCTTAGGCTCAAGACGTATGCCAACTTCCCAGAAGCACCTGAGGAGGAGGCTTCTCTCAGCAATAGGTATGTGGGAGGGACCCCGAGTTTGCTGCCTCAAGGGGAATATACAGCGAGAAGCCCTAACTTGAAAGGAGGCCGGATTTCCTTGCAGTGGCTTGAATACAGGCTCGTCTTTCATCTCACAACATGAAGGGATGTCTGAATCCCCTGTGGAGAACTTAGAGAAAGTCCTAGGTCCCTGCCTCATTTTGACGGAATGCCTCACATCCCGCTGACACCTCGAGAGGCACGCGGAGTTCATTGCTTCAAAAGGTGACGATGCCTGACTCCTCTTGAATACTGATAGGAATCCCAAAATCCCTGTGGCTACTGGAAAGGGTCCTTGGGTGCCCTGCCTCACCTCGAGAAGCGTCCCTTTTGCCCTGCCAAGCCTCGAAGAGATTCCTGAGGTGTCCCTCGTTACTAGACAGGAGTCCTGACGTCACTGAAGAAACTCGTGTTTTGAAGGGCCATCCCCGCCGTAAGTCGAGAACATACCCCAGGTCCCCGCCGCAACTCGAGAAAAACCATGAGACTTCCCCCTAGAGGCGAGATGAGGCCCCATTCCCCTGCAGTGCATGCAGAGCTATTCCGTGATCCCATTCAAACAAGTCAGGAGCTTCGACTTGCTTAATGGATCTCGAGACAGTCCCCAAGAACACTGTCACCAGTCTAGACGGACCCTGAGGTCACCCCAGCAACGCAAAGCAGCTCCATGTGCCCCAAATCAACTCGAGATGAGGCCCGATTCCCCTGCATTGACTCCAGAGCCATTCCCCGTTCCCCACTCAACACGACCGGTGGCTCGACTTCCTTCAGGCAACTCCAGAGATGCCCCGAGAACACTGTCCCAAGTCTAGAGGAACACCAACTTCAGCACAGCAACTCGAGGAATGCTCCGTGTACCCCAAATCGTCTCGAGATGCGAGCTGATTCCCTGGCTTAGGCTCAAGACGTATGCCAACTTCCCAGAAGCACCTCAGGAGGAGGCTTCTCTCAGCAATAGGTATGTGGGAGGGACCCCGAGTTTGCTGCCTCAAGGGGAATATACAGCGAGAAGCCCTAACTTGAAAGGAGGCCGGATTTCCTTGCAGTGGCTTGAATACAGGCTCGTCTTTCATCTCACAACATGAAGGGATGTCTGAATCCCCTGTGGAGACCTTAGAGAAAGCCCTAGGTCCCTGCCTCATTTTGACGGAATGCCTCACATCCCGCTGACACCTCGAGAGTCACGCGGAGTTCATTGCTTCAAAAGGTGACGATGCCTGACTCCTCTTGAATACTGATAGGAATCCCAAAATCCCTGTGGCTACTGGAAAGGGTCCTTGGGTGCCCTGCCTCACCTCGAGAAGCGTCCCTTTGGCCCTGCCAAGCCTCGAAGAGATTCCTGAGGTGTCCCTCGTTACTAGACAGGAGTCCTGACGTCACTGAAGAAACTCGTGTTTTGAAGGGCCATCCCCGCCGTAAGTCGAGAACATACCCCAGGTCCCCGCCGCAACTCGAGAAAAACCATGAGACTTCCCCCTAGAGGCGAGATGAGGCCCCATTCCCCTGCAGGGCATGCAGAGCTATTCCGTGATCCCATTCAAACAAGTCAGGAGCTTCGACTTGCTTAATGGATCTCGAGACAGTCCCCAAGAACACTGTCACCAGTCTAGACGGACCCTGAGGTCACCCCAGCAACGCAAAGCAGCTCCATGTGCCCCAAATCAACTCGAGATGAGGCCCGATTCCCCTGCATTGACCCCAGAGCCATTCCCCGTTCCCCATTCAACACGACCGGTGGCTCGACTTCCTTCAGGCAACTCCAGAGATGCCCCGAGAACACTGTCCCAAGTCTAGAGGAACACCAACTTCAACACAGCAACTCGAGGAATGCTCCGTGTACCCCAAATCGTCTCGAGATGCGAGCTGATTCGATGGCTTAGGTTCAAGACGTATGCCAACTTCCCAGAAGCACCTCAGGAGGAGGCTTCTCTCAGCAATAGGTATGTGGGAGGGACCCCGAGTTTGCTGCCTCAAGGGGAATATACAGCGAGAAGCCCTAACTTGAAAGGAGGCCGGATTTCTTTGCAGTGGCTTGAATACAGGCTCGTCTTTCATCTCACAACATGAAGGGATGTCTGAATCCCCTGTGGAGACCTTAGAGAAAGCCCTAGGTCCCTGCCTCATTTTGACGGAATGCCTCACATCCCGCTGACACCTCGAGAGGCACGCGGAGTTCATTGCTTCAAAAGGTGACGATGCCTGACTCCTCTTGAATACTGATAGGAATCCCAAAATCCCTGTGGCTACTGGAAAGGGTCCTTGGGTGCCCTGCCTCACCTCGAGAAGCGTCCCTTTGGCCCTGCCAAGCCTCGAAGAGATTCCTGAGGTGTCCCTCGTTACTAGACAGGAGTCCTGACGTCACTGAAGAAACTCGTGTTTTGAAGGGCCATCCCCGCCGTAAGTCGAGAACATACCCCAGGTCCCCGCCGCAACTCGAGAAAAACCATGAGACTTCCCCCTAGAGGCGAGATGAGGCCCCATTCCCCTGCAGTGCATGCAGAGCTATTCCGTGATCCCATTCAAACAAGTCAGGAGCTTCGACTTGCTTAATGGATCTCGAGACAGTCCCCAAGAACACTGTCACCAGTCTAGACGGACCCTGAGGTCACCCCAGCAACGCAAAGCAGCTCCATGTGCCCCAAATCAACTCGAGATGAGGCCCGATTCCCCTGCATTGAACCCAGAGCCATTCCCCGTTCCCCATTCAACACGACCGGTGGCTCGAATTCCTTCAGGCAACTCCAGTGATGCCCCGAGAACACTGTCCCAAGTCTAGAGGAACACCAACTTCAACACAGCAACTCGAGGAATGCTCCGTGTACCCCTAGTCGTCTCGAGATGCGAGCTGATTCCCTGGCTTAGGCTCAAGACCTATGCCAACTTCCCAGAAGCACCTCAGGAGGAGGCTTCTCTCAGCAATAGGTATGTGGGAGGGACCCCGAGTTTGCTGCCTCAAGGGGAATATACAGCGAGAAGCCCTAACTTGAAAGGAGGCCGGATTTCCTTGCAGTGGCTTGAATACAGGCTCGTCTTTCATCTCACAACATGAAGGGATGTCTGAATCCCCTGTGGAGACCTTAGAGAAAGCCCTAGGTCCCTGCCTCATTTTGACGGAATGCCTCACATCCCGCTGACACCTCGAGAGGCACGCGGAGTTCATTGCTTCAAAAGGTGACGATGCCTGACTCCTCTTGAATACTGATAGGAATCCCAAAATCCCTGTGGCTACTGGAAAGGGTCCTTGGGTGCCCTGCCTCACCTCGAGAAGCGTCCCTTTTGCCCTGCCAAGCCTCGAAGAGATTCCTGAGGTGTCCCTCGTTACTAGACAGGAGTCCTGACGTCACTGAAGAAACTCGTGTTTTGAAGGGCCATCCCCGCCGTAAGTCGAGAACATACCCCAGGTCCCCGCCGCAACTCGAGAAAAACCATGAGACTTCCCCCTAGAGGCGAGATGAGGCCCCATTCCCCTGCAGTGCATGCAGAGCTATTCCGTGATCCCATTCAAACAAGTCAGGAGCTTCGACTTGCTTAATGGATCTCGAGACAGTCCCCAAGAACACTGTCACCAGTCTAGACGGACCCTGAGGTCACCCCAGCAACGCAAAGCAGCTCCATGTGCCCCAAATTAACTCGAGATGAGGCCCGATTCCCCTGCATTGACTCCAGAGCCATTCCCCGTTCCCCACTCAACACGACCGGTGGCTCGACTTCCTTCAGGCAACTCCAGAGATGCCCCGAGAACACTGTCCCAAGTCTAGAGGAACACCAACTTCAGCACAGCAACTCGAGGAATGCTCCGTGTACCCCAAATCGTCTCGAGATGCGAGCTGATTCCCTGGCTTAGGCTCAAGACGTATGCCAACTTCCCAGAAGCACCTCAGGAGGAGGCTTCTCTCAGCAATAGGTATGTGGGAGGGACCCCGAGTTTGCTGCCTCAAGGGGAATATACAGCGAGAAGCCCTAACTTGAAAGGAGGCCGGATTTCCTTGCAGTGGCTTGAATACAGGCTCGTCTTTCATCTCACAACATGAAGGGATGTCTGAATCCCCTGTGGAGACCTTAGAGAAAGCCCTAGGTCCCTGCCTCATTTTGACGGAATGCCTCACATCCCGCTGACACCTCGAGAGTCACGCGGAGTTCATTGCTTCAAAAGGTGACGATGCCTGACTCCTCTTGAATACTGATAGGAATCCCAAAATCCCTGTGGCTACTGGAAAGGGTCCTTGGGTGCCCTGCCTCACCTCGAGAAGCGTCCCTTTGGCCCTGCCAAGCCTCGAAGAGATTCCTGAGGTGTCCCTCGTTACTAGACAGGAGTCCTGACGTCACTGAAGAAACTCGTGTTTTGAAGGGCCATCCCCGCCGTAAGTCGAGAACATACCCCAGGTCCCCGCCGCAACTCGAGAAAAACCATGAGACTTCCCCCTAGAGGCGAGATGAGGCCCCATTCCCCTGCAGGGCATGCAGAGCTATTCCGTGATCCCATTCAAACAAGTCAGGAGCTTCGACTTGCTTAATGGATCTCGAGACAGTCCCCAAGAACACTGTCACCAGTCTAGACGGACCCTGAGGTCACCCCAGCAACGAAAAGCAGCTCCATGTGCCCCAAATCAACTCGAGATGAGGCCCGATTCCCCTGCATTGACCCCAGAGCCATTCCCCGTTCCCCATTCAACACGACCGGTGGCTCGACTTCCTTCAGGCAACTCCAGAGATGCCCCGAGAACACTGTCCCAAGTCTAGAGGAACACCAACTTCAACACAGCAACTCGAGGAATGCTCCGTGTACCCCAAATCGTCTCGAGATGCGAGCTGATTCGATGGCTTAGGTTCAAGACGTATGCCAACTTCCCAGAAGCACCTCAGGAGGAGGCTTCTCTCAGCAATAGGTATGTGGGAGGGACCCCGAGTTTGCTGCCTCAAGGGGAATATACAGCGAGAAGCCCTAACTTGAAAGGAGGCCGGATTTCTTTGCAGTGGCTTGAATACAGGCTCGTCTTTCATCTCACAACATGAAGGGATGTCTGAATCCCCTGTGGAGACCTTAGAGAAAGCCCTAGGTCCCTGCCTCATTTTGACGGAATGCCTCACATCCCGCTGACACCTCGAGAGGCACGCGGAGTTCATTGCTTCAAAAGGTGACGATGCCTGACTCCTCTTGAATACTGATAGGAATCCCAAAATCCCTGTGGCTACTGGAAAGGGTCCTTGGGTGCCCTGCCTCACCTCGAGAAGCGTCCCTTTGGCCCTGCCAAGCCTCGAAGAGATTCCTGAGGTGTCCCTCGTTACTAGACAGGAGTCCTGACGTCACTGAAGAAACTCGTGTTTTGAAGGGCCATCCCCGCCGTAAGTCGAGAACATACCCCAGGTCCCCGCCGCAACTCGAGAAAAACCATGAGACTTCCCCCTAGAGGCGAGATGAGGCCCCATTCCCCTGCAGTGCATGCAGAGCTATTCCGTGATCCCATTCAAACAAGTCAGGAGCTTCGACTTGCTTAATGGATCTCGAGACAGTCCCCAAGAACACTGTCACCAGTCTAGACGGACCCTGAGGTCACCCCAGCAACGCAAAGCAGCTCCATGTGCCCCAAATCAACTCGAGATGAGGCCCGATTCCCCTGCATTGACCCCAGAGCCATTCCCCGTTCCCCATTCAACACGACCGGTGGCTCGACTTCCTTCAGGCAACTCCAGTGATGCCCCGAGAACACTGTCCCAAGTCTAGAGGAACACCAACTTCAACACAGCAACTCGAGGAATGCTCCGTGTACCCCTAGTCGTCTCGAGATGCGAGCTGATTCCCTGGCTTAGGCTCAAGACCTATGCCAACTTCCCAGAAGCACCTCAGGAGGAGGCTTCTCTCAGCAATAGGTATGTGGGAGGGACCCCGAGTTTGCTGCCTCAAGGGGAATATACAGCGAGAAGCCCTAACTTGAAAGGAGGCCGGATTTCCTTGCAGTGGCTTGAATACAGGCTCGTCTTTCATCTCACAACATGAAGGGATGTCTGAATCCCCTGTGGAGACCTTAGAGAAAGCCCTAGGTCCCTGCCTCATTTTGACGGAATGCCTCACATCCCGCTGACACCTCGAGAGGCACGCGGAGTTCATTGCTTCAAAAGGTGACGATGCCTGACTCCTCTTGAATACTGATAGGAATCCCAAAATCCCTGTGGCTACTGGAAAGGGTCCTTGGGTGCCCTGCCTCACCTCGAGAAGCGTCCCTTTTGCCCTGCCAAGCCTCGAAGAGATTCCTGAGGTGTCCCTCGTTACTAGACAGGAGTCCTGACGTCACTGAAGAAACTCGTGTTTTGAAGGGCCATCCCCGCCGTAAGTCGAGAACATACCCCAGGTCCCCGCCGCAACTCGAGAAAAACCATGAGACTTCCCCCTAGAGGCGAGATGAGGCCCCATTCCCCTGCAGTGCATGCAGAGCTATTCCGTGATCCCATTCAAACAAGTCAGGAGCTTCGACTTGCTTAATGGATCTCGAGACAGTCCCCAAGAACACTGTCACCAGTCTAGACGGACCCTGAGGTCACCCCAGCAACGCAAAGCAGCTCCATGTGCCCCAAATTAACTCGAGATGAGGCCCGATTCCCCTGCATTGACTCCAGAGCCATTCCCCGTTCCCCACTCAACACGACCGGTGGCTCGACTTCCTTCAGGCAACTCCAGAGATGCCCCGAGAACACTGTCCCAAGTCTAGAGGAACACCAACTTCAGCACAGCAACTCGAGGAATGCTCCGTGTACCCCAAATCGTCTCGAGATGCGAGCTGATTCCCTGGCTTAGGCTCAAGACGTATGCCAACTTCCCAGAAGCACCTCAGGAGGAGGCTTCTCTCAGCAATAGGTATGTGGGAGGGACCCCGAGTTTGCTGCCTCAAGGGGAATATACAGCGAGAAGCCCTAACTTGAAAGGAGGCCGGATTTCCTTGCAGTGGCTTGAATACAGGCTCGTCTTTCATCTCACAACATGAAGGGATGTCTGAATCCCCTGTGGAGACCTTAGAGAAAGCCCTAGGTCCCTGCCTCATTTTGACGGAATGCCTCACATCCCGCTGACACCTCGAGAGGCACGCGGAGTTCATTGCTTCAAAAGGTGACGATGCCTGACTCCTCTTGAATACTGATAGGAATCCCAAAATCCCTGTGGCTACTGGAAAGGGTCCTTGGGTGCCCTGCCTCACCTCGAGAAGCGTCCCTTTGGCCCTGCCAAGCCTCGAAGAGATTCCTGAGGTGTCCCTCGTTACTAGACAGGAGTCCTGACGTCACTGAAGAAACTCGTGTTTTGAAGGGCCATCCCCGCCGTAAGTCGAGAACATACCCCAGGTCCCCGCCGCAACTCGAGAAAAACCATGAGACTTCCCCCTAGAGGCGAGATGAGGCCCCATTCCCCTGCAGGGCATGCAGAGCTATTCCGTGATCCCATTCAAACAAGTCAGGAGCTTCGACTTGCTTAATGGATCTCGAGACAGTCCCCAAGAACACTGTCACCAGTCTAGACGGACCCTGAGGTCACCCCAGAAACGCAAAGCAGCTCCATGTGCCCCAAATCAACTCGAGATGAGGCCCGATTCCCCTGCATTGACCCCAGAGCCATTCCCCGTTCCCCATTCAACATGACCGGTGGCTCGACTTCCTTCAGGCAACTCCAGAGATGCCCCGAGAACACTGTCCCAAGTCTAGAGGAACACCAACTTCAACACAGCAACTCGAGGAATGCTCCGTGTACCCCAAATCGTCTCGAGATGCGAGCTGATTCGATGGCTTAGGTTCAAGACGTATGCCAACTTCCCAGAAGCACCTCAGGAGGAGGCTTCTCTCAGCAATAGGTATGTGGGAGGGACCCCGAGTTTGCTGCCTCAAGGGGAATATACAGCGAGAAGCCCTAACTTGAAAGGAGGCCGGATTTCCTTGCAGTGGCTTGAATACAGGCTCGTCTTTCATCTCACAACATGAAGGGATGTCTGAATCCCCTGTGGAGACCTTAGAGCAAGCCCTAGGTCCCTGCCTCATTTTGACGGAATGCCTCACATCCCGCTGACACCTCGAGAGGCACGCGGAGTTCATTGCTTCAAAAGGTGACGATGCCTGACTCCTCTTGAATACTGATAGGAATCCCAAAATCCCTGTGGCTACTGGAAAGGGTCCTTGGGTGCCCTGCCTCACCTCGAGAAGCGTCCCTTTGGCCCTGCCAAGCCTCGAAGAGATTCCTGAGGTGTCCCTCGTTACTAGACAGGAGTCCTGACGTCACTGAAGAAACTCGTGTTTTGAAGGGCCATCCCCGCCGTAAGTCGAGAACATACCCCAGGTCCCCGCCGCAACTCGAGAAAAACCATGAGACTTCCCCCTAGAGGCGAGATGAGGCCCCATTCCCCTGCAGTGCATGCAGAGCTATTCCGTGATCCCATTCAAACAAGTCAGGAGCTTCGACTTGCTTAATGGATCTCGAGACAGTCCCCAAGAACACTGTCACCAGTCTAGACGGACCCTGAGGTCACCCCAGCAACGCAAAGCAGCTCCATGTGCCCCAAATCAACTCGAGATGAGGCCCGATTCCCCTGCATTGACCCCAGAGCCATTCCCCGTTCCCCATTCAACACGACCGGTGGCTCGACTTCCTTCAGGCAACTCCAGAGATGCCCCGAGAACACTTTCCCAAGTCTAGAGAAACACCAACTTCAACACAGCAGCTCGAGGAATGCTCCGTGTACCCCAAATCATCTCGAGATGCGAGCTGATTCCCTGGCTTAGGCTCAAGACGTATGCCAACTTCCCAGAAGCACCTCAGGAGGAGGCTTCTCTCAGCAATAGGTATGTGGGAGGGACCCCGAGTTTGCTGCCTCAAGGGGAATATACAGCGAGAAGCCCTAACTTGAAAGGAGGCCGGATTTCCTTGCAGTGGCTTGAATACAGGCTCGTCTTTCATCTCACAACATGAAGGGATGTCTGAATCCCCTGTGGAGACCTTAGAGAAAGCCCTAGGTCCCTGCCTCATTTTGACGGAATGCCTCACATCCCGCTGACACCTCGAGAGGCACGCGGAGTTCATTGCTTCAAAAGGTGACGATGCCTGACTCCTCTTGAATACTGATAGGAATCCCAAAATCCCTGTGGCTACTGGAAAGGGTCCTTGGGTGCCCTGCCTCACCTCGAGAAGCGTCCCTTTGGCCCTGCCAAGCCTCGAAGAGATTCCTGAGTTGTCCCTCGTTACTAGACAGGAGTCCTGACGTCACTGAAGAAACTCGTGTTTTGAAGGGCCATCCCCGCCGTAAGTCGAGAACATACCCCAGGTCCCCGCCGCAACTCGAGAAAAACCATGAGACTTCCCCCTAGAGGCGAGATGAGGCCCCATTCCCCTGCAGGGCATGCAGAGCTATTCCGTGATCCCATTCAAACAAGTCAGGAGCTTCGACTTGCTTAATGGATCTCGAGACAGTCCCCAAGAACACTGTCACCAGTCTAGACGGACCCTGAGGTCACCCCAGCAACGCAAAGCAGCTCCATGTGCCCCAAATCAACTCGAGATGAGGCCCGATTCCCCTGCATTGACCCCAGAGCCATTCCCCGTTCCCCATTCAACACGACCGGTGGCTCGACTTCCTTCAGGCAACTCCAGAGATGCCCCGAGAACACTGTCCCAAGTCTAGAGGAACACCAACTTCAACACAGCAACTCGAGGAATGCTCCGTGTACCCCAAATCGTCTCGAGATGCGAGCTGATTCGATGGCTTAGGTTCAAGACGTATGCCAACTTCCCAGAAGCACCTCAGGAGGAGGCTTCTCTCAGCAATAGGTATGTGGGAGGGACCCCGAGTTTGCTGCCTCAAGGGGAATATACAGCGAGAAGTCCTAACTTGAAAGGAGGCCGGATTTCCTTGCAGTGGCTTGAATACAGGCTCGTCTTTCATCTCACAACATGAAGGGATGTCTGAATCCCCTGTGGAGACCTTAGAGAAAGCCCTAGGTCCCTGCCTCATTTTGACGGAATGCCTCACATCCCGCTGACACCTCGAGAGGCACGCGGAGTTCATTGCTTCAAAAGGTGACGATGCCTGACTCCTCTTGAATACTGATAGGAATCCCAAAATCCCTGTGGCTACTGGAAAGGGTCCTTGGGTGCCCTGCCTCACCTCGAGAAGCGTCCCTTTGGCCCTGCCAAGCCTCGAAGAGATTCCTGAGGTGTCCCTCGTTACTAGACAGGAGTCCTGACGTCACTGAAGAAACTCGTGTTTTGAAGGGCCATCCCCGCCGTAAGTCGAGAACATACCCCAGGTCCCCGCCGCAACTCGAGAAAAACCATGAGACTTCCCCCTAGAGGCGAGATGAGGCCCCATTCCCCTGCAGTGCATGCAGAGCTATTCCGTGATCCCATTCAAACAAGTCAGGAGCTTCGACTTGCTTAATGGATCTCGAGACAGTCCCCAAGAACACTGTCACCAGTCTAGACGGACCCTGAGGTCACCCCAGCAACGCAAAGCAGCTCCATGTGCCCCAAATCAACTCGAGATGAGGCCCGATTCCCCTGCATTGACTCCAGAGCCATTCCCCGTTCCCCACTCAACACGACCGGTGGCTCGACTTCCTTCAGGCAACTCCAGAGATGCCCCGAGAACACTGTCCCAAGTCTAGAGGAACACCAACTTCAGCACAGCAACTCGAGGAATGCTCCGTGTACCCCAAATCGTCTCGAGATGCGAGCTGATTCCCTTGCTTAGGCTCAAGACGTATGCCAACTTCCCAGAAGCACCTCAGGAGGAGGCTTCTCTCAGCAATAGGTATGTGGGAGGGACCCCGAGTTTGCTGCCTCAAGGGGAATATACAGCGAGAAGCCCTAACTTGAAAGGAGGCCGGATTTCCTTGCAGTGGCTTGAATACAGGCTCGTCTTTCATCTCACAACATGAAGGGATGTCTGAATCCCCTGTGGAGACCTTAGAGAAAGCCCTAGGTCCCTGCCTCATTTTGACGGAATGCCTCACATCCCGCTGACACCTCGAAAGGCACGCGGAGTTCATTGCTTCAAAAGGTGACGATGCCTGACTCCTCTTGAATACTGATAGGAATCCCAAAATCCCTGTGGCTACTGGAAAGGGTCCTTGGGTGCCCTGCCTCACCTCGAGAAGCGTCCCTTTGGCCCTGCCAAGCCTCGAAGAGATTCCTGAGGTGTCCCTCGTTACTAGACAGGAGTCCTGACGTCACTGAAGAAACTCGTGTTTTGAAGGGCCATCCCCGCCGTAAGTCGAGAACATACCCCAGGTCCCCGCCGCAACTCGAGAAAAACCATGAGACTTCCCCCTAGAGGCGAGATGAGGCCCCATTCCCCTGCAGGGCATGCAGAGCTATTCCGTGATCCCATTCAAACAAGTCAGGAGCTTCGACTTGCTTAATGGATCTCGAGACAGTCCCCAAGAACACTGTCACCAGTCTAGACGGACCCTGAGGTCACCCCAGCAACGCAAAGCAGCTCCATGTGCCCCAAATCAACTCGAGATGAGGCCCGATTCCCCTGCATTGACCCCAGAGCCATTCCCCGTTCCCCATTCAACACGACCGGTGGCTCGACTTCCTTCAGGCAACTCCAGAGATGCCCCGAGAACACTGTCCCAAGTCTAGAGGAACACCAACTTCAACACAGCAACTCGAGGAATGCTCCGTGTACCCCAAATCATCTCGAGATGCGAGCTGATTCGATGGCTTAGGTCAAGACGTATGCCAACTTCCCAGAAGCACCTCAGGTGGAGGCTTCTCTCAGCAATAGGTATGTGGGAGGGACCCCGAGTTTGCTGCCTCAAGGGGAATATACAGCGAGAAGCCCTAACTTGAAAGGAGGCCGGATTTCCTTGCAGTGGCTTGAATACAGGCTCGTCTTTCATCTCACAACATGAAGGGATGTCTGAATCCCCTGTGGAGACCTTAGAGAAAGCCCTAGGTCCCTGCCTCATTTTGACGGAATGCCTCACATCCCGCTGACACCTCGAGAGGCACGCGGAGTTCATTGCTTCAAAAGGTGACGATGCCTGACTCCTCTTGAATACTGATAGGAATCCCAAAATCCCTGTGGCTACTGGAAAGGGTCCTTGGGTGCCCTGCCTCACCTCGAGAAGCGTCCCTTTGGCCCTGCCAAGCCTCGAAGAGATTCCTGAGGTGTCCCTCGTTACTAGACAGGAGTCCTGACGTCACTGAAGAAACTCGTGTTTTGAAGGGCCATCCCCGCCGTAAGTCGAGAACATACCCCAGGTCCCCGCCGCAACTCGAGAAAAACCATGAGACTTCCCCCTAGAGGCGAGATGAGGCCCCATTCCCCTGCAGTGCATGCAGAGCTATTCCGTGATCCCATTCAAACAAGTCAGGAGCTTCGACTTGCTTAATGGATCTCGAGACAGTCCCCAAGAACACTGTCACCAGTCTAGACGGACCCTGAGGTCACCCCAGCAACGCAAAGCAGCTCCATGTGCCCCAAATCAACTGGAGATGAGGCCCGATTCCCCTGCATTGACCCCAGAGCCATTCCCCGTTCCCCATTCAACACGACCGGTGGCTCGACTTCCTTCAGGCAACTCCAGAGATGCCCCGAGAACACTGTCCCAAGTCTAGAGAAACACCAACTTCAACACAGCAACTCGAGGAATGCTCCGTGTACCCCAAATCATCTCGAGATGCGAGCTGATTCCCTGGCTTAGGCTCAAGACGTATGCCAACTTCCCAGAAGCACCTCAGGAGGAGGCTTCTCTCAGCAATAGGTATGTGGGAGGGACCCCGAGTTTGCTGCCTCAAGGGGAATATACAGCGAGAAGCCCTAACTTGAAAGGAGGCCGGATTTCCTTGCAGTGGCTTGAATACAGGCTCGTCTTTCATCTCACAACATGAAGGGATGTCTGAATCCCCTGTGGAGAACTTAGAGAAAGTCCTAGGTCCCTGCCTCATTTTGACGGAATGCCTCACATCGCGCTGACACCTCGAGAGGCACGCGGAGTTCATTGCTTCAAAAGGTGACGATGCCTGACTCCTCTTGAATACTGATAGGAATCCCAAAATCCCTGTGGCTACTGGAAAGGGTCCTTGGGTGCCCTGCCTCACCTCGAGAAGCGTCCCTTTTGCCCTGCCAAGCCTCGAAGAGATTCCTGAGGTGTCCCTCGTTACTAGACAGGAGTCCTGACGTCACTGAAGAAACTCGTGTTTTGAAGGGCCATCCCCGCCGTAAGTCGAGAACATACCCCAGGTCCCCGCCGCAACTCGAGAAAAACCATGAGACTTCCCCCTAGAGGCGAGATGAGGCCCCATTCCCCTGCAGTGCATGCAGAGCTATTCCGTGATCCCATTCAAACAAGTCAGGAGCTTCGACTTGCTTAATGGATCTCGAGACAGTCCCCAAGAACACTGTCACCAGTCTAGACGGACCCTGAGGTCACCCCAGCAACGCAAAGCAGCTCCATGTGCCCCAAATCAACTCGAGATGAGGCCCGATTCCCCTGCATTGACTCCAGAGCCATTCCCCGTTCCCCACTCAACACGACCGGTGGCTCGACTTCCTTCAGGCAACTCCAGAGATGCCCCGAGAACACTGTCCCAAGTCTAGAGGAACACCAACTTCAGCACAGCAACTCGAGGAATGCTCCGTGTACCCCAAATCGTCTCGAGATGCGAGCTGATTCCCTGGCTTAGGCTCAAGACGTATGCCAACTTCCCAGAAGCACCTCAGGAGGAGGCTTCTCTCAGCAATAGGTATGTGGGAGGGACCCCGAGTTTGCTGCCTCAAGGGGAATATACAGCGAGAAGCCCTAACTTGAAAGGAGGCCGGATTTCCTTGCAGTGGCTGGAATACAGGCTCGTCTTTCATCTCACAACATGAAGGGATGTCTGAATCCCCTGTGGAGACCTTAGAGCAAGCCCTAGGTCCCTGCCTCATTTTGACGGAATGCCTCACATCCCGCTGACACCTTGAGAGGCACGCGGAGTTCATTGCTTCAAAAGGTGACGATGCCTGACTCCTCTTGAATACTGATAGGAATCCCAAAATCCCTGTGGCTACTGGAAAGGGTCCTTGGGTGCCCTGCCTCACCTCGAGAAGCGTCCCTTTGGCCCTGCCAAGCCTCGAAGAGATTCCTGAGGTGTCCCTCGTTACTAGACAGGAGTCCTGACGTCACTGAAGAAACTCGTGTTTTGAAGGGCCATCCCCGCCGTAAGTCGAGAACATACCCCAGGTCCCCGCCGCAACTCGAGAAAAACCATGAGACTTCCCCCTAGAGGCGAGATGAGGCCCCATTCCCCTGCAGTGCATGCAGAGCTATTCCGTGATCCCATTCAAACAAGTCAGGAGCTTCGACTTGCTTAATGGATCTCGAGACAGTCCCCAAGAACACTGTCACCAGTCTAGACGGACCCTGAGGTCACCCCAGCAACGCAAAGCAGCTCCATGTGCCCCAAATCAACTCGAGATGAGGCCCGATTCCCCTGCATTGACCCCAGAGCCATTCCCCTTTCCCCATTCAACACGACCGGTGGCTCGACTTCCTTCAGGCAACTCCAGAGATGCCCCGAGAACACTGTCCCAAGTCTAGAGGAACACCAACTTCAACACAGCAACTCGAGGAATGCTCCGTGTACCCCTAATCGTCTCGAGATGCGAGCTGATTCCCTGGCTTAGGCTCAAGACGTATGCCAACTTCCCAGAAGCACCTCAGGAGGAGGCTTCTCTCAGCAATAGGTATGTGGGAGGGACCCCGAGTTTGCTGCCTCAAGGGGAATATACAGCGAGAAGCCCTAACTTGAAAGGAGGCCGGATTTCCTTGCAGTGGCTTGAATACAGGCTCGTCTTTCATCTCACAACATGAAGGGATGTCTGAATCCCCTGTGGAGAACTTAGATAAAGTCCTAGGTCCCTGCCTCATTTTGACGGAATGCCTCACATCGCGCTGACACCTCGAGAGGCACGCGAAGTTCATTGCTTCAAAAGGTGACGATGCCTGACTCCTCTTGAATACTGATAGGAATCCCAAAATCCCTGTGGCTACTGGAAAGGGTCCTTGGGTGCCCTGCCTCACCTCGAGAAGCGTCCCTTTTGCCCTGCCAAGCCTCGAAGAGATTCCTGAGGTGTCCCTCGTTACTAGACAGGAGTCCTGACGTCACTGAAGAAACTCGTGTTTTGAAGGGCCATCCCCGCCGTAAGTCGAGAACATACCCCAGGTCCCCGCCGCAACTCGAGAAAAACCATGAGACATCCCCCTAGAGGCGAGATGAGTCCCCATTCCCCTTCAGTGCATGCAGAGCTATTCCGTGATCCCATTCAAACAAGTCAGGAGCTTCGACTTGCTTAATGGATCTCGAGACAGTCCCCAAGAACACTGTCACCAGTCTAGACGGACCCTGAGGTCACCCCAGCAACGCAAAGCAGCTCCATGTGCCCCAAATCAACTCGAGATGAGGCCCGATTCCCCTGCATTGACCCCAGAGCCATTCCCCGTTCCCCATTCAACACGACCGGTGGCTCGACTTCCTTCAGGCAACTCCAGAGATGCCCCGAGAACACTGTCCCAAGTCTAGAGAAACACCAACTTCAACACAGCAACTCGAGGAATGCTCCGTGTACCCCAAATCATCTCGAGATGCGAGCTGATTCCCTGGCTTAGGCTCAAGACGTATGCCAACTTCCCAGAAGCACCTCAGGAGGAGGCTTCTCTCAGCAATAGGTATGTGGGAGGGACCCCGAGTTTGCTGCCTCAAGGGGAATATACAGCGAGAAGCCCTAACTTGAAAGGAGGCCGGATTTCCTTGCAGTGGCTTGAATACAGGCTCGTCTTTCATCTCACAACATGAAGGGATGTCTGAATCCCCTGTGGAGAACTTAGAGAAAGTCCTAGGTCCCTGCCTCATTTTGACGGAATGCCTCACATCGCGCTGACACCTCGAGAGGCACGCGGAGTTCATTGCTTCAAAAGGTGACGATGCCTGACTCCTCTTGAATACTGATAGGAATCCCAAAATCCCTGTGGCTACTGGAAAGGGTACTTGGGTGCCCTGCCTCACCTCGAGAAGCGTCCCTTTGGCCCTGCCAAGCCTCGAAGAGATTCCTGAGGTGTCCCTCGTTACTAGACAGGAGTCCTGACGTCACTGAAGAAACTCGTGTTTTGAAGGGCCATCCCCGCCGTAAGTCGAGAACATACCCCAGGTCCCCGCCGCAACTCGAGAAAAACCATGAGACTTCCCCCTAGAGGCGAGATGAGTCCCCATTCCCCTTCAGTGCATGCAGAGCTATTCCGTGATCCCATTCAAACAAGTCAGGAGCTTCGACTTGCTTAATGGATCTCGAGACAGTCCCCAAGAACACTGTCACCAGTCTAGACGGACCCTGAGGTCACCCCAGCAACGCAAAGCAGCTCCATGTGCCCCAAATCAACTCGAGATGAGGCCCGATTCCCCTGCATTGACTCCAGAGCCATTCCCCGTTCCCCACTCAACACGACCGGTGGCTCGACTTCCTTCAGGCAACTCCAGAGATGCCCCGAGAACACTGTCCCAAGTCTAGAGGAACACCAACTTCAGCACAGCAACTCGAGGAATGCTCCGTGTACCCCAAATCGTCTCGAGATGCGAGCTGATTCCCTGGCTTAGGCTCAAGACGTATGCCAACTTCCCAGAAGCACCTCAGGAGGAGGCTTCTCTCAGCAATAGGTATGTGGGAGGGACCCCGAGTTTGCTGCCTCAACGGGAATATACAGCGAGAAGCCCTAACTTGAAAGGAGGCCGGATTTCCTTGCAGTGGCTTGAATACAGGCTCGTCTTTCATCTCACAACATGAAGGGATGTCTGAATCCCCTGTGGAGACCTTAGAGAAAGCCCTAGGTCCCTGCCTCATTTTGACGGAATGCCTCACATCGCGCTGACACCTCGAGAGGCACGCGGAGTTCATTGCTTCAAAAGGTGACGATGCCTGACTCCTCTTGAATACTGATAGGAATCCCAAAATCCCTGTGGCTACTGGAAAGGGTCCTTGGGTGCCGTGCCTCACCTCGAGAAGCGTCCCTTTGGCCCTGCCAAGCCTCGAAGAGATTCCTGAGGTGTCCCTCGTTACTAGACAGGAGTCCTGACGTCACTGAAGAAACTCGTGTTTTGAAGGGCCATCCCCGCCGTAAGTCGAGAACATACCCCAGGTCCCCGCCGCAACTCGAGAAAAACCATGAGACTTCCCCCTAGAGGCGAGATGAGGCCCCATTCCCCTGCAGGGCATGCAGAGCTATTCCGTGATCCCATTCAAACAAGTCAGGAGCTTCGACTTGCTTAATGGATCTCGAGACAGTCCCCAAGAACACTGTCACCAGTCTAGACGGACCCTGAGGTCACCCCAGCAACGCAAAGCAGCTCCATGTGCCCCAAATCAACTCGAGATGAGGCCCGATTCCCCTGCATTGACCCCAGAGCCATTCCCCGTTCCCCATTCAACACGACCGGTGGCTCGACTTCCTTCAGGCAACTCCAGAGATGCCCCGAGAACACTGTCATAAGTCTAGAGGAACACAAACTTCAACACAGCAACTCGAGGAATGCTCCGTGTACCCCAAATCATCTCGAGATGCGAGCTGATTCGATGGCTTAGGTTCAAGACGTATGCCAACTTCCCAGAAGCACCTCAGGAGGAGGCTTCTCTCAGCAATAGGTATGTGGGAGGGACCCCGAGTTTGCTGCCTCAAGGGGAATATACAGCGAGAAGCCCTAACTTGAAAGGAGGCCGGATTTCCTTGCAGTGGCTTGAATACAGGCTCGTCTTTCATCTCACAACATGAAGGGATGTCTGAATCCCCTGTGGAGACCTTAGAGAAAGCCCTAGGTCCCTGCCTCATTTTGACGGAATGCCTCACATCCCGCTGACACCTCGAGAGGCACGCGGAGTTCATTGCTTCAAAAGGTGACGATGCCTGACTCCTCTTGAATACTGATAGGAATCCCAAAATCCCTGTGGCTACTGGAAAGGGTCCTTGGGTGCCCTGCCTCACCTCGAGAAGCGTCCCTTTGGCCCTGCCAAGCCTCGAAGAGATTCCTGAGGTGTCCCTCGTTACTAGACAGGAGTCCTGACGTCACTGAAGAAACTCGGGTTTGGAAGGGCCATCCCCGCCGTAAGTCGAGAACATACCCCAGGTCCCCGCCGCAACTCGAGAAAAACCATGAGAGTTCCCCCTAGAGGCGAGATGAGGCCCCATTCCCCTGCAGTGCATGCAGAGCTATTCCGTGATCCCATTCAAACAAGTCAGGAGCTTCGACTTGCTTAATGGATCTCGAGACAGTCCCCAAGAACACTGTCACCAGTCTAGACGGACCCTGAGGTCACCCCAGCAACGCAAAGCAGCTCCATGTGCCCCAAATCAACTCGAGATGAGGCCCGATTCCCCTGCATTGACTCCAGAGCCATTCCCCGTTCCCCACTCAACACGACCGGTGGCTCGACTTCCTTCAGGCAACTCCAGAGATGCCCCGAGAACACTGTCCCAAGTCTAGAGGAACACCAACTTCAGCACAGCAACTCGAGGAATGCTCCGTGTACCCCAAATCGTCTCGAGATGCGAGCTGATTCCCTGGCTTAGGCTCAAGACGTATGCCAACTTCCCAGAAGCACCTCAGGAGGAGGCTTCTCTCAGCAATAGGTATGTGGGAGGGACCCCGAGTTTGCTGCCTCAAGGGGAATATACAGCGAGAAGCCCTAACTTGAAAGGAGGCCGGATTTCCTTGCAGTGGCTTGAATACAGGCTCGTCTTTCATCTCACAACATGAAGGGATGTCTGAATCCCCTGTGGAGACCTTAGAGAAAGCCCTAGGTCCCTGCCTCATTTTGACGGAATGCCTCACATCGCGCTGACACCTCGAGAGGCACGCGGAGTTCATTGCTTCAAAAGGTGACGATGCCTGACTCCTCTTGAATACTGATAGGAATCCCAAAATCCCTGTGGCTACTGGAAAGGGTCCTTGGGTGCCCTGCCTCACCTCGAGAAGCGTCCCTTTTGCCCTGCCAAGCCTCGAAGAGATTCCTGAGGTGTCCCTCGTTACTAGACAGGAGTCCTGACGTCACTGAAGAAACTCGTGTTTTGAAGGGCCATCCCCGCCGTAAGTCGAGAACATACCCCAGGTCCCCGCCGCAACTCGAGAAAAACCATGAGACTTCCCCCTAGAGGCGAGATGAGGCCCCATTCCCCTGCAGGGCATGCAGAGCTATTCCGTGATCCCATTCAAACAAGTCAGGAGCTTCGACTTGCTTAATGGATCTCGAGACAGTCCCCAAGAACACTGTCACCAGTCTAGACGGACCCTGAGGTCACCCCAGCAACGCAAAGCAGCTCCATGTGCCCCAAATCAACTCGAGATGAGGCCCGATTCCCCTGCATTGACCCCAGAGCCATTCCCCGTTCCCCATTCAACACGACCGGTGGCTCGACTTCCTTCAGGCAACTCCAGAGATGCCCCGAGAACACTGTCCCAAGTCTAGAGGAACACCAACTTCAACACAGCAACTCGAGGAATGCTCCGTGTACCCCAAATCGTCTCGAGATGCGAGCTGATTCGATGGCTTAGGTTCAAGACGTATGCCAACTTCCCAGAAGCACCTCAGGAGGAGGCTTCTCTCAGCAATAGGTATGTGGGAGGGACCCCGAGTTTGCTGCCTCAAGGGGAATATACAGCGAGAAGCCCTAACTTGAAAGGAGGCCGGATTTCTTTGCAGTGGCTTGAATACAGGCTCGTCTTTCATCTCACAACATGAAGGGATGTCTGAATCCCCTGTGGAGACCTTAGAGAAAGCCCTAGGTCCCTGCCTCATTTTGACGGAATGCCTCACATCCCGCTGACACCTCGAGAGGCACGCGGAGTTCATTGCTTCAAAAGGTGACGATGCCTGACTCCTCTTGAATACTGATAGGAATCCCAAAATCCCTGTGGCTACTGGAAAGGGTCCTTGGGTGCCCTGCCTCACCTCGAGAAGCGTCCCTTTGGCCCTGCCAAGCCTCGAAGAGATTCCTGAGGTGTCCCTCGTTACTAGACAGGAGTCCTGACGTCACTGAAGAAACTCGTGTTTTGAAGGGCCATCCCCGCCGTAAGTCGTGAACATACCCCAGGTCCCCGCCGCAACTCGAGAAAAACCATGAGACATCCCCCTAGAGGCGAGATGAGTCCCCATTCCCCTTCAGTGCATGCAGAGCTATTCCGTGATCCCATTCAAACAAGTCAGGAGCTTCGACTTGCTTAATGGATCTCGAGACAGTCCCCAAGAACACTGTCACCAGTCTAGACGGACCCTGAGGTCACCCCAGCAACGCAAAGCAGCTCCATGTGCCCCAAATCAACTCGAGATGAGGCCCGATTCCCCTGCATTGACCCCAGAGCCATTCCCCGTTCCCCATTCAACACGACCGGTGGCTCGACTTCCTTCAGGCAACTCCAGAGATGCCCCGAGAACACTGTCCCAAGTCTAGAGAAACACCAACTTCAACACAGCAACTCGAGGAATGCTCCGTGTACCCCAAATCATCTCGAGATGCGAGCTGATTCCCTGGCTTAGGCTCAAGACGTATGCCAACTTCCCAGAAGCACCTCAGGAGGAGGCTTCTCTCAGCAATAGGTATGTGGGAGGGACCCCGAGTTTGCTGCCTCAAGGGGAATATACAGCGAGAAGCCCTAACTTGAAAGGAGGCCGGATTTCCTTGCAGTGGCTTGAATACAGGCTCGTCTTTCATCTCACAACATGAAGGGATGTCTGAATCCCCTGTGGAGACCTTAGAGAAAGCCCTAGGTCCCTGCCTCATTTTGACGGAATGCCTCACATCGCGCTGACACCTCGAGAGGCACGCGGAGTTCATTGCTTCAAAAGGTGACGATGCCTGACTCCTCTTGAATACTGATAGGAATCCCAAAATCCCTGTGGCTACTGGAAAGGGTCCTTGGGTGCCCTGCCTCACCTCGAGAAGCGTCCCTTTTGCCCTGCCAAGCCTCGAAGAGATTCCTGAGGTGTCCCTCGTTACTAGACAGGAGTCCTGACGTCACTGAAGAAACTCGTGTTTTGAAGGGCCATCCCCGCCGTAAGTCGAGAACATACCCCAGGTCCCCGCCGCAACTCGAGAAAAACCATGAGACTTCCCCCTAGAGGCGAGATGAGGCCCCATTCCCCTGCAGTGCATGCAGAGCTATTCCGTGATCCCATTCAAACAAGTCAGGAGCTTCGACTTGCTTAATGGATCTCGAGACAGTCCCCAAGAACACTGTCACCAGTCTAGACGGACCCTGAGGTCACCCCAGCAACGCAAAGCAGCTCCATGTGCCCCAAATCAACTCGAGATGAGGCCCGATTCCCCTGCATTGACTCCAGAGCCATTCCCCGTTCCCCACTCAACACGACCGGTGGCTCGACTTCCTTCAGGCAACTCCAGAGATGCCCCGAGAACACTGTCCCAAGTCTAGAGGAACACCAACTTCAGCACAGCAACTCGAGGAATGCTCCGTGTACCCCAAATCGTCTCGAGATGCGAGCTGATTCCCTGGCTTAGGCTCAAGACGTATGCCAACTTCCCAGAAGCACCTCAGGAGGAGGCTTCTCTCAGCAATAGGTATGTGGGAGGGACCCCGAGTTTGCTGCCTCAAGGGGAATATACAGCGAGAAGCCCTAACTTGAAAGGAGGCCGGATTTCCTTGCAGTGGCTTGAATACAGGCTCGTCTTTCATCTCACAACATGAAGGGATGTCTGAATCCCCTGTGGAGACCTTAGAGAAAGCCCTAGGTCCCTGCCTCATTTTGACGGAATGCCTCACATCCCGCTGACACCTCGAGAGGCACGCGGAGTTCATTGCTTCAAAAGGTGACGATGCCTGACTCCTCTTGAATACTGATAGGAATCCCAAAATCCCTGTGGCTACTGGAAAGGGTCCTTGGGTGCCCTGCCTCACCTCGAGAAGCGTCCCTTTGGCCCTGCCAAGCCTCGAAGAGATTCCTGAGGTGTCCCTCGTTACTAGACAGGAGTCCTGACGTCACTGAAGAAACTCGTGTTTTGAAGGGCCATCACCGCCGTAAGTCGAGAACATACCCCAGGTCCCCGCCGCAAATCGAGAAAAACCATGAGACTTCCCCCTAGAGGCGAGATGAGGCCCCATTCCCCTGCAGGGCATGCAGAGCTATTCCGTGATCCCATTCAAACAAGTCAGGAGCTTCGACTTGCTTAATGGATCTCGAGACAGTCCCCAAGAACACTGTCACCAGTCTAGACGGACCCTGAGGTCACCCCAGCAACGCAAAGCAGCTCCATGTGCCCCAAATCAACTCGAGATGAGGCCCGATTCCCCTGCATTGACCCCAGAGCCATTCCCCGTTCCCCATTCAACACGACCGGTGGCTCGACTTCCTTCAGGCAACTCCAGAGATGCCCCGAGAACACTGTCCCAAGTCTAGAGGAACACCAACTTCAACACAGCAACTCGAGGAATGCTCCGTGTACCCCAAATCGTCTTGAGATGCGAGCTGATTCGATGGCTTAGGTTCAAGACGTATGCCAACTTCCCAGAAGCACCTCAGGAGGAGGCTTCTCTCAGCAATAGGTATGTGGGAGGGACCCCGAGTTTGCTGCCTCAAGGGGAATATACAGCGAGAAGCCCTAACTTGAAAGGAGGCCGGATTTCCTTGCAGTGGCTTGAATACAGGCTCGTCTTTCATCTCACAACATGAAGGGATGTCTGAATCCCCTGTGGAGACCTTAGAGAAAGCCCTAGGTCCCTGCCTCATTTTGACGGAATGCCTCACATCGCGCTGACACCTCGAGAGGCACGCGGAGTTCATTGCTTCAAAAGGTGACGATGCCTGACTCCTCTTGAATACTGATAGGAATCCCAAAATCCCTGTGGCTACTGGAAAGGGTCCTTGGGTGCCCTGCCTCACCTCGAGAAGCGTCCCTTTGGCCCTGCCAAGCCTCGAAGAGATTCCTGAGGTGTCCCTCGTTACTAGACAGGAGTCCTGACGTCACTGAAGAAACTCGTGTTTTGAAGGGCCATCCCCGCAGTAAGTCGAGAACATACCCCAGGTCCCCGCCGCAACTCGAGAAAAACCATGAGACTTCCCCCTAGAGGCGAGATGAGGCCCCATTCCCCTGCAGTGCATGCAGAGCTATTCCGTGATCCCATTCAAACAAGTCAGGAGCTTCGACTTGCTTAATGGATCTCGAGACAGTCCCCAAGAACACTGTCACCAGTCTAGACGGACCCTGAGGTCACCCCAGCAACGCAAAGCAGCTCCATGTGCCCCAAATCAACTCGAGATGAGGCCCGATTCCCCTGCATTGACTCCAGAGCCATTCCCCGTTCCCCATTCAACACGACCGGTGGCTCGACTTCCTTCATGCAACTCCAGAGATGCCCCGAGAACACTGTCCCAAGTCTAGAGGAACACCAACTTCAGCACAGCAACTCGAGGAATGCTCCGTGTACCCCAAATCGTCTCGAGATGCGAGCTAATTCCCTGGCTTAGGCTCAAGACGTTTGCCAACTTCCCAGAAGCACCTCAGGAGGAGGCTTCTCTCAGCAATAGGTATGTGGGAGGGACCCCGAGTTTGCTGCCTCAAGGGGAATATACAGCGAGAAGCCCTAACTTGAAAGGAGGCCGGATTTCCTTGCAGTGGCTTGAATACAGGCTCGTCTTTCATCTCACAACATGAAGGGATGTCTGAATCCCCTGTGGAGACCTTAGAGAAAGCCCTAGGTCCCTGCCTCATTTTGACGGAATGCCTCACATCCCGCTGACACTTCGAGAGGCACGCGGAGTTCATTGCTTCAAAAGGTGACGATGCCTGACTCCTCTTGAATACTGATAGGAATCCCAAAATCCCTGTGGCTACTGGAAAGGGTCCTTGGGTGCCCTGCCTCACCTCGAGAAGCGTCCCTTTGGCCCTGCCAAGCCTCGAAGAGATTCCTGAGGTGTCCCTCGTTACTAGACAGGAGTCCTGACGTCACTGAAGAAACTCGTGTTTTGAAGGGCCATCCCCGCCGTAAGTCGAGAACATACCCCAGGTCCCCGCCGCAACTCGAGAAAAACCATGAGACTTCCCCCTAGAGGCGAGATGAGGCCCCATTCCCCTGCAGGGCATGCAGAGCTATTCCGTGATCCCATTCAAACAAGTCAGGAGCTTCGACTTGCTTAATGGATCTCGAGACAGTCCCCAAGAACACTGTCACCAGTCTAGACGGACCCTGAGGTCACCCCAGCAACGCAAAGCAGCTCCATGTGCCCCAAATCAACTCGAGATGAGGCCCGATTCCCCTGCATTGACCCCAGAGCCATTCCCCGTTCCCCATTCAACACGACCGGTGGCTCGACTTCCTTCAGGCAACTCCCGAGATGCCCCGAGAACACTGTCCCAAGTCTAGAGGAACACCAACTTCAGCACAGCAACTCGAGGAATGCTCCGTGTACACCAAATCGTCTCGAGATGCGAGCTGATTCCCTGGCTTAGGCTCAAGACGTATGCAAACTTCCCAGAAGCACCTCAGGAGGAGGCTTCTCTCAGCAATAGGTATGTGGAACGGACCCCGAGTTTGCTGACTCAAGGGGAATATACAGCGAGAAGCCCTAACTTGAAAGGAGGCCGGATTTCCTTGCAGTGGCTTGAATACAGGCTCGTCTTTCATCTCACAACATGAAGGGATGTCTGAATCCCCTGTGGAGACCTTAGAGAAAGCCCTAGGTCCCTGCCTCATTTTGACGGAATGCCTCACATCCCGCTGACACCTCGAGAGGCACGCGGAGTTCATTGCTTCAAAAGGTGACGATGCCTGACTACTCTTGAATACTGATAGGAATCCCAAAATCCCTGTGGCTACTGGAAAGGGTCCTTGGGTGCCCTGCCTCACCTCGAGAAGCGTCCCTTTGGCCCTGCCAAGCCTCGAAGAGATTCCTGAGGTGTCCCTCATTACTAGACAGGAGTCCTGACATCACTGAAGAAACTCGTGTTTTGAAGGGCCATCCCCGCCGTAAGTCGAGAACATACCCCAGGTCCCCGCCGCAACTCGAGAAAAACCATGAGACTTCCCCCTAGAGGCGAGATGAGGCCCCATTCCCCTGCAGTGCATGCAGAGCTATTCCGTGATCCCATTCAAACAAGTCAGGAGCTTCGACTTGCTTAATGGATCTCGAGACAGTCCCCAAGAACACTGTCACCAGTCTAGACAGACCCTGAGGTCACCCCAGCAACGCAAAGCAGCTCCATGTGCCACAAATCAACTCGAGATGAGGCCCGATTCCCCTGCATTGACCCCAGAGCCATTCCCCGTTCGCCATTCAACAAGACCGGTGGCTCGACTTCCTTCAGGCAACTCCAGAGATGCCCCGAGAACACTGTCCCAAGTCTAGAGGAACACCAACTTCAACACAGCAACTCGAGGAATGCTCCGTGTACCCCAAATCGTCTCGAGATGCGAGCTGATTCCCTGGCTTAGGCTCAAGACGTATGCCAACTTCCCAGAAGCACCTCAGGAGGAGGCTTCTCTCAGCAATAGGTATGTGGGAGGGACCCCGAGTTTGCTGCCTCAAGGGGAATATACAGCGAGAAGCCCTAACTTGAAAGGAGGCCGGATTTCCTTGCAGTGGCTTGAATACAGGCTCGTCTTTCATCTCACAACATGAAGGGATGTCTGAATCCCCTGTGGAGAACTTAGAGAAAGTCCTAGGTCCCTGCCTCATTTTGACGGAATGCCTCACATCGCGCTGACACCTCGAGAGGCACGCGGAGTTCATTGCTTCAAAAGGTGACGATGCCTGACTCCTCTTGAATACTGATAGGAATCCCAAAATCCCTGTGGCTACTGGAAAGGGTCCTTGGGTGCCCTGCCTCACCTCGAGAAGCGTCCCTTTTGCCCTGCCAAGCCTCGAAGAGATTCCTGAGGTGTCCCTCGTTACTAGACAGGAGTCCTGACATCACTGAAGAAACTCGTGTTTTGAAGGGCCATCCCCGCCGTAAGTCGAGAACATACCCCAGGGCCCCGCCGCAACTCGAGAAAAACCATGAGACTTCCCCCTAGAGGCGAGATGAGGCCCCATTCCCCTGCAGTGCATGCAGAGCTATTCCGTGATCCCATTCAAACAAGTCAGGAGCTTCGACTTGCTTAATGGATCTCGAGACAGTCCCCAAGAACACTGTCACCAGTCTAGACGGACCCTGAGGTCACCCCAGCAACGCAAAGCAGCTCCATGTGCCCCAAATCAACTCGAGATGAGGCCCGATTCCCCTGCATTGACCCCAGAGCCATTCCCCGTTCCCCATTCAACACGACCGGTGGCTCGACTTCCTTCAGGCAACTCCAGAGATGCCCCGAGAACACTGTCCCAAGTCTAGAGAAACACCAACTTCAACACAGCAACTCGAGGAATGCTCCGTGTACCCCAAATCATCTCGAGATGCGAGCTGATTCCCTGGCTTAGGCTCAAGACGTATGCCAACTTCCCAGAAGCACCTCAGGAGGAGGCTTCTCTCAGCAATAGGTATGTGGGAGGGACCCCGAGTTTGCTGCCTCAAGGGGAATATACAGCGAGAAGCCCTAACTTGAAAGGAGGCCGGATTTCCTTGCAGTGGCTTGAATACAGGCTCGTCTTTCATCTCACAACATGAAGGGATGTCTGAATCCCCTGTGGAGAACTTAGAGAAAGTCCTAGGTCCCTGCCTCATTTTGACGGAATGCCTCACATCGCGCTGACACCTCGAGAGGCACGCGGAGTTCATTGCTTCAAAAGGTGACAATGCCTGACTCCTCTTGAATACTGATAGGAATCCCAAAATCCCTGTGGCTACTGGAAAGGGTCCTTGGGTGCCCTGCCTCACCTCGAGAAGCGTCCCTTTTGCCCTGCCAAGCCTCGAAGAGATTCCTGAGGTGTCCCTCGTTACTAGACAGGAGTCCTGACGTCACTGAAGAAACTCGTGTTTTGAAGGGCCATCCCCGCCGTAAGTCGAGAACATACCCCAGGTCCCCGCCGCAACTCGAGAAAAACCATGAGACTTCCCCCTAGAGGCGAGATGAGTCCCCATTCCCCTTCAGTGCATGCAGAGCTATTCCGTGATCCCATTCAAACAAGTCAGGAGCTTCGACTTGCTTAATGGATCTCGAGACAGTCCCCAAGAACACTGTCACCAGTCTAGACGGACCCTGAGGTCACCCCAGCAACGCAAAGCAGCTCCATGTGCCCCAAATCAACTCGAGATGAGGCCCGATTCCCCTGCATTGACCCCAGAGCCATTCCCCGTTCCCCATTCAACACGACCGGTGGCTCGACTTCCTTCAGGCAACTCCAGAGATGCCCCGAGAACACTGTCCCAAGTCTAGAGAAACACCAACTTCAACACAGCAACTCGAGGAATGCTCCGTGTACCCCAAATCATCTCGAGATGCGAGCTGATTCCCTGGCTTAGGCTCAAGACGTATGCCAACTTCCCAGAAGCACCTCAGGAGGAGGCTTCTCTCAGCAATAGGTATGTGGGAGGGACCCCGAGTTTGCTGCCTCAAGGGGAATATACAGCGAGAAGCCCTAACTTGAAAGGAGGCCGGATTTCCTTGCAGTGGCTTGAATACAGGCTCGTCTTTCATCTCACAACATGAAGGGATGTCTGAATCCCCTGTGGAGAACTTAGAGAAAGTCCTAGGTCCCTGCCTCATTTTGACGGAATGCCTCACATCGCGCTGACACCTCGAGAGGCACGCGGAGTTCATTGCTTCAAAAGGTGACGATGCCTGACTCCTCTTGAATACTGATAGGAATCCCAAAATCCCTGTGGCTACTGGAAAGGGTCCTTGGGTGCCCTGCCTCACCTCGAGAAGCGTCCCTTTTGCCCTGCCAAGCCTCGAAGAGATTCCTGAGGTGTCCCTCGTTACTAGACAGGAGTCCTGACGTCACTGAAGAAACTCGTGTTTTGAAGGGCCATCCCCGCCGTAAGTCGAGAACATACCCCAGGTCCCCGCCGCAACTCGAGAAAAACCATGAGACTTCCCCCTAGAGGCGAGATGAGGCCCCATTCCCCTGCAGTGCATGCAGAGCTATTCCGTGATCCCATTCAAACAAGTCAGGAGCTTCGACTTGCTTAATGGATCTCGAGACAGTCCCCAAGAACACTGTCACCAGTCTAGACGGACCCTGAGGTCACCCCAGCAACGCAAAGCAGCTCCATGTGCCCCAAATCAACTCGAGATGAGGCCCGATTCCCCTGCATTGACTCCAGAGCCATTCCCCGTTCCCCACTCAACACGACCGGTGGCTCGACTTCCTTCAGGCAACTCCAGAGATGCCCCGAGAACACTGTCCCAAGTCTAGAGGAACACCAACTTCAGCACAGCAACTCGAGGAATGCTCCGTGTACCCCAAATCGTCTCGAGATGCGAGCTGATTCCCTGGCTTAGGCTCAAGACGTATGCCATCTTCCCAGAAGCACCTCAGGAGGAGGCTTCTCTCAGCAATAGGTATGTGGGAGGGACCCCGAGTTTGCTGCCTCAAGGGGAATATACAGCGAGAAGCCCTAACTTGAAAGGAGGCCGGATTTCCTTGCAGTGGCTTGAATACAGGCTCGTCTTTCATCTCACAACATGAAGGGATGTCTGAATCCCCTGTGGAGACCTTAGAGAAAGCCCAAGTCCCTGCCTCATTTTGACGGAATGCCTCACATCGCGCTGACACCTCGAGAGGCACGCGGAGTTCATTGCTTCAAAAGGTGACGATGCCTGACTCCTCTTGAATACTGATAGGAATCCCAAAATCCCTGTGGCTACTGGAAAGGGTCCTTGGGTGCCCTGCCTCACCTCGAGAAGCGTCCCTTTGGCCCTGCCAAGCCTCGAAGAGATTCCTGAGGTGTCCCTCGTTACTAGACAGGAGTCCTGACGTCACTGAAGAAACTCGTGTTTTGAAGGGCCATCCCCGCCGTAAGTCGAGAACATACCCCAGGTCCCCGCCGCAACTCGAGAAAAACCATGAGACTTCCCCCTAGAGGCGAGATGAGGCCCCATTCCCCTGCAGGGCATGCAGAGCTATTCCGTGATCCCATTCAAACAAGTCAGGAGCTTCGACTTGCTTAATGGATCTCGAGACAGTCCCCAAGAACACTGTCACCAGTCTAGACGGACCCTGAGGTCACCCCAGCAACGCAAAGCAGCTCCATGTGCCCCAAATCAACTCGAGATGAGGCCCGATTCCCCTGCATTGACCCCAGAGCCATTCCCCGTTCCCCATTCAACACGACCGGTGGCTCGACTTCCTTCAGGCAACTCCAGAGATGCCCCGAGAACACTGTCCCAAGTCTAGAGGAACACCAACTTCAACACAGCAACTCGAGGAATGCTCCGTGTACCCCAAATCGTCTCGAGATGCGAGCTGATTCGATGGCTTAGGTTCAAGACGTATGCCAACTTCCCAGAAGCACCTCAGGAGGAGGCTTCTCTCAGCAATAGGTATGTTGGAGGGACCCCGAGTTTGCTGCCTCAAGGGGAATATACAGCGAGAAGCCCTAACTTGAAAGGAGGCCGGATTTCCTTGCAGTGGCTTGAATACAGGCTCGTCTTTCATCTCACAACATGAAGGGATGTCTGAATCCCCTGTGGAGACCTTAGAGAAAGCCCTAGGTCCCTGCCTCATTTTGACGGAATGCCTCACATCCCGCTGACACCTCAAGAGGCACGCGGAGTTCATTGCTTCAAAAGGTGACGATGCCTGACTCCTCTTGAATACTGATAGGAATCCCAAAATCCCTGTGGCTACTGGAAAGGGTCCTTGGGTGCCCTGCCTCACCTCGAGAAGCGTCCCTTTGGCCCTGCCAAGCCTCGAAGATATTCCTGAGGTGTCCCTCGTTACTAGACAGGAGTCCTGACGTCACTGAAGAAACTCGTGTTTTGAAGGGCCATCCCCGCAGTAAGTCGAGAACATACCCCAGGTCCCCGCCGCAACTCGAGCAAAACCATGAGACTTCCCCCTAGAGGCGAGATGAGGCCCCATTCCCCTGTAGTGCATGCAGAGCTATTCCGTGATCCCATTCAAACAAGTCAGGAGCTTCGACTTGCTTAATGGATCTCGAGACAGTCCCCAAGAACACTGTCACCAGTCTAGACGGACCCTGAGGTCACCCCAGCAACGCAAAGCAGCTCCATGTGCCCCAAATCAACTCGAGATGAGGCCCGATTCCCCTGCATTGACCCCAGAGCCATTCCCCGTTCCCCATTCAACACGACCGGTGGCTCGACTTCCTTCAGGCAACTCCAGAGATGCCCCGAGAACACTGTCCCAAGTCTAGAGGAACACCAACTTCAACACAGCAACTCGAGGAATGCTCCGTGTACCCCTAATCGTCTCGAGATGCGAGCTGATTCCCTGGCTTAGGCTCAAGACGTATGCCAACTTCCCAGAAGCACCTCAGGAGGAGGCTTCTCTCAGCAATAGGTATGTGGGAGGGACCCCGAGTTTGCTGCCTCAAGGGGAATATACAGCGAGAAGCCCTAACTTGAAAGGAGGCCGGATTTCCTTGCAGTGGCTTGAATACAGGCTCGTCTTTCATCTCACAACATGAAGGGATGTCTGAATCCCCTGTGGAGAACTTAGAGAAAGTCCTAGGTCCCTGCCTCATTTTGACGGAATGACTCACATCGCGCTGACACCTCGAGAGGCACGCGGAGTTCATTGCTTCAAAAGGTGACGATGCCTGACTCCTCTTGAATACTGATAGGAATCCCAAAATCCCTGTGGCTACTGGAAAGGGTCCTTGGGTGCCCTGCCTCACCTCGAGAAGCGTCCCTTTTGCCCTGCCAAGCCTCGAAGAGATTCCTGAGGTGTCCCTCGTTACTAGACAGGAGTCCTGACGTCACTGAAGAAACTCGTGTTTTGAAGGGCCATCCCCGCCGTAAGTCGAGAACATACCCCAGGGCCCCGCCGCAACTCGAGAAAAACCATGAGACTTCCCCCTAGAGGCGAGATGAGGCCCCATTCCCCTGCAGTGCATGCAGAGCTATTCCGTGATCCCATTCAAACAAGTCAGGAGCTTCGACTTGCTTAATGGATCTCGAGACAGTCCCCAAGAACACTGTCACCAGTCTAGACGGACCCTGAGGTCACCCCAGCAACGCAAAGCAGCTCCATGTGCCCCAAATCAACTCGAGATGAGGCCCGATTCCCCTGCATTGACTCCAGAGCCATTCCCCGTTCCCCATTCAACACGACCGGTGGCTCGACTTCCTTCATGCAACTCCAGAGATGCCCCGAGAACACTGTCCCAAGTCTAGAGGAACACCAACTTCAACACAGCAACTCGAGGAATGCTCCGTGTACCCCAAATCGTCTCGAGATGCGAGCTGATTCGATGGCTTAGGTTCAAGACGTATGCCAACTTCCCAGAAGCACCTCAGGAGGAGGCTTCTCTCAGCAATAGTTATGTGGGAGGGACCCCGAGTTTGCTGCCTCAAGGGGAATATACAGCGAGAAGCCCTAACTTGAAAGGAGGCCGGATTTCCTTGCAGTGGCTTGAATACAGGCTCGTCTTTCATCTCACAACATGAAGGGATGTCTGAATCCCCTGTGGAGACCTTAGAGAAAGCCCTAGGTCCCTGCCTCATTTTGACGGAATGCCTCACATCGCGCTGACACCTCGAGAGGCACGCGGAGTTCATTGCTTCAAAAGGTGACGATGCCTGACTCCTCTTGAATACTGATAGGAATCCCAAAATCCCTGTGGCTACTGGAAAGGGTCCTTGGGTGCCCTGCCTCACCTCGAGAAGCGTCCCTTTGGCCCTGCCAAGCCTCGAAGAGATTCCTGAGGTGTCCCTCGTTACTAGACAGGAGTCCTGACGTCACTGAAGAAACTCGTGTTTTGAAGGGCCATCCCCGCCGTAAGTCGAGAACATACCCCAGGTCCCCGCCGCAACTCGAGAAAAACCATGAGACTTCCCCCTAGAGGCGAGATGAGGCCCCATTCCCCTGCAGTGCATGCAGAGCTATTCCGTGATCCCATTCAAACAAATCAGGAGCTTCGACTTGCTTAATGGATCTCGAGACAGTCCCCAAGAACACTGTCACCAGTCTAGACGGACCCTGAGGTCACCCCAGCAACGCAAAGCAGCTCCATGTGCCCCAAATCAACTCGAGATGAGGCCCAATTCCCCTGCATTGACTCCAGAGCCATTCCCCGTTCCCCATTCAACACGACCGGTGGCTCGACTTCCTTCAGGCAACTCCAGAGATGCCCCGCGAACACTGTCCCAAGTCTAGGGGAACACCAACTTCAGCACAGCAACTCGAGGAATGCTCCGTGTACCCCAAATCGTCTCGAGATGCGAGCTGATTCCCTGGCTTAGGCTCAAGACGTATGCCAACTTCCCAGAAGCACCTCAGGAGGAGGCTTCTCTCAGCAGTAGGTATGTGGGAGGGACCCCGAGTTTGCTGCCTCAAGGGGAATATACAGCGAGAAGCCCTGACTTGAAAGGAGGCCGGATTTCCTTGCAGTGGCTTGAATACAGGCTCGTCTTTCATCTCACAACATGAAGGGATGTCTGAATCCCCTGTGGAGACCTTAGAGAAAGCCCTAGGTCCCTGCCTCATTTTGACGGAATGCCTCACATCCCGCTGACACCTCGAGAGGCACGCGGAGTTCATTGCTTCAAAAGGTGACGATGCCTGACTCCTCTTGAATACTGATAGGAATCCCAAAATACCTGTGGCTACTGGAAAGGGTCCTTGGGTGCCCTGCCTCACCTCGAGAAGCGTCCCTTTTGCCCTGCCAAGCCTCGAAGAGATTCCTGAGGTGTCCCTCGTTACTAGACAGGAGTCCTGACGTCACTGAAGAAACTCGTGTTTTGAAGGGCCATCCCCGCCGTAAGTCGAGAACATACCCCAGGTCCCCGCCGCAACTCGAGAAAAACCATGAGACTTCCCCCTAGAGGCGAGATGAGGCCCCATTCCCCTGCAGGGCATGCAGAGCTATTCCGTGATCCCATTCAAACAAGTCAGGAGCTTCGACTTGCTTAATGGATCTCGAGACAGTCCCCAAGAACACTGTCACCAGTCTAGACGGACCCTGAGGTCACCCCAGCAACGCAAAGCAGCTCCATGTGCCCCAAATCAACTCGAGATGAGGCCCGATTCCCCTGCATTGACCCCAGAGCCATTCCCCGTTCCCCATTCAACACGACCGGTGGCTCGACTTCCTTCAGGCAACTCCCGAGATGCCCCGAGAACACTGTCCCAAGTCTAGAGGAACACCAACTTCAGCACAGCAACTCGAGGAATGCTCCGTGTACACCAAATCGTCTCGAGATGCGAGCTGATTCCCTGGCTTAGGCTCAAGACGTATGCAAACTTCCCAGAAGCACCTCAGGAGGAGGCTTCTCTCAGCAATAGGTATGTGGAACGGACCCCGAGTTTGCTGACTCAAGGGGAATATACAGCGAGAAGCCCTAACTTGAAAGGAGGCCGGATTTCCTTGCAGTGGCTTGAATACAGGCTCGTCTTTCATCTCACAACATGAAGGGATGTCTGAATCCCCTGTGGAGACCTTAGAGAAAGCCCTAGGTCCCTGCCTCATTTTGACGGAATGCCTCACATCCCGCTGACACCTCGAGAGGCACGCGGAGTTCATTGCTTCAAAAGGTGACGATGCCTGACTACTCTTGAATACTGATAGGAATCCCAAAATCCCTGTGGCTACTGGAAAGGGTCCTTGGGTGCCCTGCCTCACCTCGAGAAGCGTCCCTTTGGCCCTGCCAAGCCTCGAAGAGATTCCTGAGGTGTCCCTCATTACTAGACAGGAGTCCTGACATCACTGAAGAAACTCGTGTTTTGAAGGGCCATCCCCGCCGTAAGTCGAGAACATACCCCAGGTCCCCGCCGCAACTCGAGAAAAACCATGAGACTTCCCCCTAGAGGCGAGATGAGGCCCCATTCCCCTGCAGTGCATGCAGAGCTATTCCGTGATCCCATTCAAACAAGTCAGGAGCTTCGACTTGCTTAATGGATCTCGAGACAGTCCCCAAGAACACTGTCACCAGTCTAGACGGACCCTGAGGTCACCCCAGCAACGCAAAGCAGCTCCATGTGCCACAAATCAACTCGAGATGAGGCCCGATTCCCCTGCATTGACCCCAGAGCCATTCCCCGTTCCCCATTCAACAAGACCGGTGGCTCGACTTCCTTCAGGCAACTCCAGAGATGCCCCGAGAACACTGTCCCAAGTCTAGAGGAACACCAACTTCAACACAGCAACTCGAGGAATGCTCCGTGTACCCCAAATCGTCTCGAGATGCGAGCTGATTCCCTGGCTTAGGCTCAAGACGTATGCCAACTTCCCAGAAGCACCTCAGGAGGAGGCTTCTCTCAGCAATAGGTATGTGGGAGGGACCCCGAGTTTGCTGCCTCAAGGGGAATATACAGCGAGAAGCCCTAACTTGAAAGGAGGCCGGATTTCCTTGCAGTGGCTTGAATACAGGCTCGTCTTTCATCTCACAACATGAAGGGATGTCTGAATCCCCTGTGGAGAACTTAGAGAAAGTCCTAGGTCCCTGCCTCATTTTGACGGAATGCCTCACATCGCGCTGACACCTCGAGAGGCACGCGGAGTTCATTGCTTCAAAAGGTGACGATGCCTGACTCCTCTTGAATACTGATAGGAATCCCAAAATCCCTGTGGCTACTGGAAAGGGTCCTTGGGTGCCCTGCCTCACCTCGAGAAGCGTCCCTTTTGCCCTGCCAAGCCTCGAAGAGATTCCTGAGGTGTCCCTCGTTACTAGACAGGAGTCCTGACATCACTGAAGAAACTCGTGTTTTGAAGGGCCATCCCCGCCGTAAGTCGAGAACATACCCCAGGGCCCCGCCGCAACTCGAGAAAAACCATGAGACTTCCCCCTAGAGGCGAGATGAGGCCCCATTCCCCTGCAGTGCATGCAGAGCTATTCCGTGATCCCATTCAAACAAGTCAGGAGCTTCGACTTGCTTAATGGATCTCGAGACAGTCCCCAAGAACACTGTCACCAGTCTAGACGGACCCTGAGGTCACCCCAGCAACGCAAAGCAGCTCCATGTGCCCCAAATCAACTCGAGATGAGGCCCGATTCCCCTGCATTGACCCCAGAGCCATTCCCCGTTCCCCATTCAACACGACCGGTGGCTCGACTTCCTTCAGGCAACTCCAGAGATGCCCCGAGAACACTGTCCCAAGTCTAGAGAAACACCAACTTCAACACAGCAACTCGAGGAATGCTCCGTGTACCCCAAATCATCTCGAGATGCGAGCTGATTCCCTGGCTTAGGCTCAAGACGTATGCCAACTTCCCAGAAGCACCTCAGGAGGAGGCTTCTCTCAGCAATAGGTATGTGGGAGGGACCCCGAGTTTGCTGCCTCAAGGGGAATATACAGCGAGAAGCCCTAACTTGAAAGGAGGCCGGATTTCCTTGCAGTGGCTTGAATACAGGCTCGTCTTTCATCTCACAACATGAAGGGATGTCTGAATCCCCTGTGGAGAACTTAGAGAAAGTCCTAGGTCCCTGCCTCATTTTGACGGAATGCCTCACATCGCGCTGACACCTCGAGAGGCACGCGGAGTTCATTGCTTCAAAAGGTGACAATGCCTGACTCCTCTTGAATACTGATAGGAATCCCAAAATCCCTGTGGCTACTGGAAAGGGTCCTTGGGTGCCCTGCCTCACCTCGAGAAGCGTCCCTTTTGCCATGCCAAGCCTCGAAGAGATTCCTGAGGTGTCCCTCGTTACTAGACAGGAGTCCTGACGTCACTGAAGAAACTCGTGTTTTGAAGGGCCATCCCCGCCGTAAGTCGAGAACATACCCCAGGTCCCCGCCGCAACTCGAGAAAAACCATGAGACTTCCCCCTAGAGGCGAGATGAGTCCCCATTCCCCTTCAGTGCATGCAGAGCTATTCCGTGATCCCATTCAAACAAGTCAGGAGCTTCGACTTGCTTAATGGATCTCGAGACAGTCCCCAAGAACACTGTCACCAGTCTAGACGGACCCTGAGGTCACCCCAGCAACGCAAAGCAGCTCCATGTGCCCCAAATCAACTCGAGATGAGGCCCGATTCCCCTGCATTGACCCCAGAGCCATTCCCCGTTCCCCATTCAACACGACCGGTGGCTCGACTTCCTTCAGGCAACTCCAGAGATGCCCCGAGAACACTGTCCCAAGTCTAGAGAAACACCAACTTCAACACAGCAACTCGAGGAATGCTCCGTGTACCCCAAATCATCTCGAGATGCGAGCTGATTCCCTGGCTTAGGCTCAAGACGTATGCCAACTTCCCAGAAGCACCTCAGGAGGAGGCTTCTCTCAGCAATAGGTATGTGGGAGGGACCCCGAGTTTGCTGCCTCAAGGGGAATATACAGCGAGAAGCCCTAACTTGAAAGGAGGCCGGATTTCCTTGCAGTGGCTTGAATACAGGCTCGTCTTTCATCTCACAACATGAAGGGATGTCTGAATCCCCTGTGGAGAACTTAGAGAAAGTCCTAGGTCCCTGCCTCATTTTGACGGAATGCCTCACATCGCGCTGACACCTCGAGAGGCACGCGGAGTTCATTGCTTCAAAAGGTGACGATGCCTGACTCCTCTTGAATACTGATAGGAATCCCAAAATCCCTGTGGCTACTGGAAAGGGTCCTTGGGTGCCCTGCCTCACCTCGAGAAGCGTCCCTTTTGCCCTGCCAAGCCTCGAAGAGATTCCTGAGGTGTCCCTCGTTACTAGACAGGAGTCCTGACGTCACTGAAGAAACTCGTGTTTTGAAGGGCCATCCCCGCCGTAAGTCGAGAACATACCCCAGGTCCCCGCCGCAACTCGAGAAAAACCATGAGACTTCCCCCTAGAGGCGAGATGAGGCCCCATTCCCCTGCAGTGCATGCAGAGCTATTCCGTGATCCCATTCAAACAAGTCAGGAGCTTCGACTTGCTTAATGGATCTCGAGACAGTCCCCAAGAACACTGTCACCAGTCTAGACGGACCCTGAGGTCACCCCAGCAACGCAAAGCAGCTCCATGTGCCCCAAATCAACTCGAGATGAGGCCCGATTCCCCTGCATTGACTCCAGAGCCATTCCCCGTTCCCCACTCAACACGACCGGTGGCTCGACTTCCTTCAGGCAACTCCAGAGATGCCCCGAGAACACTGTCCCAAGTCTAGAGGAACACCAACTTCAGCACAGCAACTCGAGGAATGCTCCGTGTACCCCAAATCGTCTCGAGATGCGAGCTGATTCCCTGGCTTAGGCTCAAGACGTATGCCATCTTCCCAGAAGCACCTCAGGAGGAGGCTTCTCTCAGCAATAGGTATGTGGGAGGGACCCCGAGTTTGCTGCCTCAAGGGGAATATACAGCGAGAAGCCCTAACTTGAAAGGAGGCCGGATTTCCTTGCAGTGGCTTGAATACAGGCTCGTCTTTCATCTCACAACATGAAGGGATGTCTGAATCCCCTGTGGAGACCTTAGAGAAAGCCCAAGTCCCTGCCTCATTTTGACGGAATGCCTCACATCGCGCTGACACCTCGAGAGGCACGCGGAGTTCATTGCTTCAAAAGGTGACGATGCCTGACTCCTCTTGAATACTGATAGGAATCCCAAAATCCCTGTGGCTACTGGAAAGGGTCCTTGGGTGCCCTGCCTCACCTCGAGAAGCGTCCCTTTGGCCCTGCCAAGCCTCGAAGAGATTCCTGAGGTGTCCCTCGTTACTAGACAGGAGTCCTGACGTCACTGAAGAAACTCGTGTTTTGAAGGGCCATCCCCGCCGTAAGTCGAGAACATACCCCAGGTCCCCGCCGCAACTCGAGAAAAACCATGAGACTTCCCCCTAGAGGCGAGATGAGGCCCCATTCCCCTGCAGGGCATGCAGAGCTATTCCGTGATCCCATTCAAACAAGTCAGGAGCTTCGACTTGCTTAATGGATCTCGAGACAGTCCCCAAGAACACTGTCACCAGTCTAGACGGACCCTGAGGTCACCCCAGCAACGCAAAGCAGCTCCATGTGCCCCAAATCAACTCGAGATGAGGCCCGATTCCCCTGCATTGACCCCAGAGCCATTCCCCGTTCCCCATTCAACACGACCGGTGGCTCGACTTCCTTCAGGCAACTCCAGAGATGCCCCGAGAACACTGTCCCAAGTCTAGAGGAACACCAACTTCAACACAGCAACTCGAGGAATGCTCCGTGTACCCCAAATCGTCTCGAGATGCGAGCTGATTCGATGGCTTAGGTTCAAGACGTATGCCAACTTCCCAGAAGCACCTCAGGAGGAGGCTTCTCTCAGCAATAGGTATGTTGGAGGGACCCCGAGTTTGCTGCCTCAAGGGGAATATACAGCGAGAAGCCCTAACTTGAAAGGAGGCCGGATTTCCTTGCAGTGGCTTGAATACAGGCTCGTCTTTCATCTCACAACATGAAGGGATGTCTGAATCCCCTGTGGAGACCTTAGAGAAAGCCCTAGATCCCTGCCTCATTTTGACGGAATGCCTCACATCCCGCTGACACCTCAAGAGGCACGCGGAGTTCATTGCTTCAAAAGGTGACGATGCCTGACTCCTCTTGAATACTGATAGGAATCCCAAAATCCCTGTGGCTACTGGAAAGGGTCCTTGGGTGCCCTGCCTCACCTCGAGAAGCGTCCCTTTGGCCCTGCCAAGCCTCGAAGAGATTCCTGAGGTGTCCCTCGTTACTAGACAGGAGTCCTGACGTCACTGAAGAAACTCGTGTTTTGAAGGGCCATCCCCGCAGTAAGTCGAGAACATACCCCAGGTCCCCGCCGCAACTCGAGCAAAACCATGAGACTTCCCCCTAGAGGCGAGATGAGGCCCCATTCCCCTGCAGTGCATGCAGAGCTATTCCGTGATCCCATTCAAACAAGTCAGGAGCTTCGACTTGCTTAATGGATCTCGAGACAGTCCCCAAGAACACTGTCACCAGTCTAGACGGACCCTGAGGTCACCCCAGCAACGCAAAGCAGCTCCATGTGCCCCAAATCAACTCGAGATGAGGCCCGATTCCCCTGCATTGACCCCAGAGCCATTCCCCGTTCCCCATTCAACACGACCGGTGGCTCGACTTCCTTCAGGCAACTCCAGAGATGCCCCGCGAACACTGTCCCAAGTCTAGGGGAACACCAACTTCAGCACAGCAACTCGAGGAATGCTCCGTGTACCCCAAATCGTCTCGAGATGCGAGCTGATTCCCTGGCTTAGGCTCAAGACGTATGCCAACTTCCCAGAAGCACCTCAGGAGGAGGCTTCTCTCAGCAGTAGGTATGTGGGAGGGACCCCGAGTTTGCTGCCTCAAGGGGAATATACAGCGAGAAGCCCTGACTTGAAAGGAGGCCGGATTTCCTTGCAGTGGCTTGAATACAGGCTCGTCTTTCATCTCACAACATGAAGGGATGTCTGAATCCCCTGTGGAGACCTTAGAGAAAGCCCTAGGTCCCTGCCTCATTTTGACGGAATGCCTCACATCCCGCTGACACCTCGAGAGGCACGCGGAGTTCATTGCTTCAAAAGGTGACGATGCCTGACTCCTCTTGAATACTGATAGGAATCCCAAAATACCTGTGGCTACTGGAAAGGGTCCTTGGGTGCCCTGCCTCACCTCGAGAAGCGTCCCTTTTGCCCTGCCAAGCCTCGAAGAGATTCCTGAGGTGTCCCTCGTTACTAGACAGGAGTCCTGACGTCACTGAAGAAACTCGTGTTTTGAAGGGCCATCCCCGCCGTAAGTCGAGAACATACCCCAGGTCCCCGCCGCAACTCGAGAAAAACCATGAGATTTCCCCCTAGAGGCGAGATGAGGCCCCATTCCCCTGCAGTGCATGCAGAGCTATTCCGTGATCCCATTCAAACAAGTCAGGAGCTTCGACTTGCTTAATGGATCTCGAGACAGTCCCCAAGAACACTGTCACCAGTCTAGACGGACCCTGAGGTCACCCCAGCAACGCAAAGCAGCTCCATGTGCCCCAAATCAACTCGAGATGAGGCCCGATTCCCCTGCATTGACCCCAGAGCCATTCCCCGTTCCCCATTCAACACGACCGGTGGCTCGACTTCCTTCAGGCAACTCCAGAGATGCCCCGAGAACACTGTCCCAAGTCTAGAGGAACACCAACTTCAGCACAGCAACTCGAGGAATGCTCCGTGTACCCCAAATCGTCTCGAGATGCGAGCTGATTCCCTGGCTTAGGCTCAAGACGTATGCCAACTTCCCAGAAGCACCTCAGGAGGAGGCTTCTCTCAGCAATAGGTATGTGGGAGGGACCCCGAGTTTGCTGCCTCAAGGGGAATATACAGCGAGAAGCCCTAACTTGAAAGGAGGCCGGATTTCCTTGCAGTGGCTTGAATACAGGCTCGTCTTTCATCTCACAACATGAAGGGATGTCTGAATCCCCTGTGGAGACCTTAGAGAAAGCCCTAGGTCCCTGCCTCATTTTGACGGAATGCCTCACATCCCGCTGACACCTCGAGAGGCACGCTGAGTTCATTGCTTCAAAAGGTGACGATGCCTGACTCCTCTTGAATACTGATAGGAATCCCAAAATCCCTGTGGCTACTGGAAAGGGTCCTTGGATGCCTGCCTCACCTCGAGAAGCGTCCCTTTTGCCCTGCCAAGCCTCGAAGAGATTCCTGAGGTGTCCTTCGTTACTAGAGAGGAGTCCTGACGTCACTGAAGAAACTCGTGTTTTGAAGGGCCATCCCCGCCGTAAGTCGAGAACATACCCCAGGTCCCCGCCGCAACTCGAGAAAAACCATGAGACTTCCCCCAAAGGCGAGATGAGGCCCCATTCCCCTGCAGTGCATGCAGAGCTATTCCGTGATCCCATTCAAACAAGTCAGGAGCTTCGACTTGCTTAATGGATCTCGCGACAGTCCCCAAGAACACTGTCACCAGTCTAGACGGACCCTGAGGTCACCCCAGCAACGCAAAGCAGCTCCATGTGCCCCAAATCAACTCGAGATGAGGCCCGATTCCCCTGCATTGACTCCAGAGCCATTCCCCGTTCCCCATTCAACACGACCGGTGGCTCGACTTCCTTCAGGCAACTCCAGAGATGCCCCGAGAACACTGTCCCAAGTCTAGAGGAACACCAACTTCAACACAGCAACTCGAGGAATGCTCCGTGTACCCCAAATCGTCTCGAGATGCGAGCTGATTCCCTGGCTTAGGCTCAAGACGTATGCCAACTTCCCAGAAGCACCTCAGGAGGAGGCTTCTCTCAGCAATAGGTATGTGGGAGGGACCCCGAGTTTGCTGCCTCAAGGGGAATATACAGCGAGAAGCCCTAACTTGAAAGGAGGCCGGATTTCCTTGCAGTGGCTTGAATACAGGCTCGTCTTTCATCTCACAACATGAAGGGATGTCTGAATCCCCTGTGGAGAACTTAGAGAAAGTCCTAGGTCCCTGCCTCATTTTGACGGAATGCCTCACATCGCGCTGACACCTCGAGAGGCACGCGGAGTTCATTGCTTCAAAAGGTGACGATGCCTGACTCCTCTTGAATACTGATAGGAATCCCAAAATCCCTGTGGCTACTGGAAAGGGTCCTTGGGTGCCCTGCCTCACCTCGAGAAGCGTCCCTTTTGCCCTGCCAAGCCTCGAAGAGATTCCTGAGGTGTCCCTCGTTACTAGACAGGAGTCCTGACATCACTGAAGAAACTCGTGTTTTGAAGGGCCATCCCCGCCGTAAGTCGAGAACATACCCCAGGGCCCCGCCGCAACTCGAGAAAAACCATGAGACTTCCCCCTAGAGGCGAGATGAGGCCCCATTCCCCTGCAGTGCATGCAGAGCTATTCCGTGATCCCATTCAAACAAGTCAGGAGCTTCGACTTGCTTAATGGATCTCGAGACAGTCCCCAAGAACACTGTCACCAGTCTAGACGGACCCTGAGGTCACCCCAGCAACGCAAAGCAGCTCCATGTGCCCCAAATCAACTCGAGATGAGGCCCGATTCCCCTGCATTGACCCCAGAGCCATTCCCCGTTCCCCATTCAACACGACCGGTGGCTCGACTTCCTTCAGGCAACTCCAGAGATGCCCCGAGAACACTGTCCCAAGTCTAGAGGAACACCAACTTCAACACAGCAACTCGAGGAATGCTCCGTGTACCCCAAATCGTCTCGAGATGCGAGCTGATTCCCTGGCTTAGGCTCAAGACATATGCCAACTTCCCAGAAGCACCTCAGGAGGAGGCTTCTCTCAGCAATAGGTATGTGGGAGGGACCCCGAGTTTGCTGCCTCAAGGGGAATATACAGCGAGAAGCCCTAACTTGAAAGGAGGCCGGATTTCCTTGCAGTGGCTTGAATACAGGCTCGTCTTTCATCTCACAACATGAAGGGATGTCTGAATCCCCTGTGGAGACCTTAGAGAAAGCCCTAGGTCCCTGCCTCATTTTGACGGAATGCCTCACATCGCGCTGACACCTCGAGAGGCACGCGGAGTTCATTGCTTCAAAAGGTGACGATGCCTGACTCCTCTTGAATACTGATAGGAATCCCAAAATCCCTGTGGCTACTGGAAAGGGTCCTTGGGTGCCCTGCCTCACCTCGAGAAGCGTCCCTTTGGCACTGCCAAGCCTCGAAGAGATTCCTTAGGTGTCCCTCGTTACTAGACAGGAGTCCTGACGTCACTGAAGAAACTCGTGTTTTGAAGGGCCATCCCCGCCGTAAGTCGAGAACATACCCCAGGTCCCCGCCGCAACTCGAGAAAAACCATGAGACTTCCCCCTAGAGGCAAGATGAGGCCCCATTCCCCTGCAGTGCATGCAGAGCTATTCCGTGATCCCATTCAAACAAGTCAGGAGCTTCGACTTGCTTAATGGATCTCGAGACAGTCCCCAAGAACACTGTCACCAGTCTAGACGGACCCTGAGGTCACCCCAGCAACGCAAAGCAGCTCCATGTGCCCCAAATCAACTCGAGATGAGGCCCGATTCCCCTGCATTGACCCCAGAGCCATTCCCCGTTCCCCATTCAACACGACCGGTGGCTCGACTTCCTTCAGGCAACTCCAGAGATGCCCCGAGAACACTGTCCCAAGTCTTGAGGAACACCAACTTCAGCACAGCAACTCGAGGAATGCTCCGTGTACCCCAAATCGTCTCGAGATGCGAGCTGATTCCCTGGCTTAGGCTCAAGACGTATGCCAACTTCCCAGAAGCACCTCAGGAGGAGGCTTCTCTCAGCAATAGGTATGTGGGAGGGACCCCGAGTTTGCTGCCTCAAGGGGAATATACAGCGAGAAGCCCTAACTTGAAAGGAGGCCGGATTTCCTTGCAGTGGCTTGAATACAGGCTCGTCTTTCATCTCACAACATGAAGGGATGTCTGAATCCCCTGTGGAGACCTTAGAGAAAGCCCTAGGTCCCTGCCTCATTTTGACGGAATGCCTCACATCGCGCTGACACCTCGAGAGGCACGCGGAGTTCATTGCTTCAAAAGGTGACGATGCCTGACTCCTCTTGAATACTGATAGGAATCCCAAAATCGCTGTGGCTACTGGAAAGGGTCCTTGGGTGCCCTGCCTCACCTCGAGAAGCGTCCCTTTTGCCCTGCCAAGCCTCGAAGAGATTCCTGAGGTGTCCCTCGTTACTAGACAGGAGTCCTGACGTCACTGAAGAAACTCGTGTTTTGAAGGGCCATCCCCGCCGTAAGTCGAGAACATACCCCAGGTCCCCGCCGCAACTCGAGAAAAACCATGAGATTTCCCCCTAGAGGCGAGATGAGGCCCCATTCCCCTGCAGTGCATGCAGAGCTATTCCGTGATCCCATTCAAACAAGTCAGGAGCTTCGACTTGCTTAATGGATCTCGAGACAGTCCCCAAGAACACTGTCACCAGTCTAGACGGACCCTGAGGTCACCCCAGCAACGCAAAGCAGCTCCATGTGCCCCAAATCAACTCGAGATGAGGCCCGATTCCCCTGCATTGACCCCAGAGCCATTCCCCGTTCCCCATTCAACACGACCGGTGGCTCGACTTCCTTCAGGCAACTCCAGAGATGCCCCGAGAACACTGTCCCAAGTCTAGAGGAACACCAACTTCAGCACAGCAACTCGAGGAATGCTCCGTGTACCCCAAATCGTCTCGAGATGCGAGCTGATTCCCTGGCTTAGGCTCAAGACGTATGCCAAATTCCCAGAAGCACCTCAGGAGGAGGCTTCTCTCAGCAATAGGTATGTGGGAGGGACCCCGAGTTTGCTGCCTCAAGGGGAATATACAGCGAGAAGCCCTAACTTGAAAGGAGGCCGGATTTCCTTGCAGTGGCTTGAATACAGGCTCGTCTTTCATCTCACAACATGAAGGGATGTCTGAATCCCCTGTGGAGACCTTAGAGAAAGCCCTAGGTCCCTGCCTCATTTTGACGGAATGCCTCACATCCCGCTGACACCTCGAGAGGCACGCTGAGTTCATTGCCTCAAAAGGTGACGATGCCTGACTCCTCTTGAATACTGATAGGAATCCCAAAATCCCTGTGGCTACTGGAAAGGGTCCTTGGATGCCCTGCCTCACCTCGAGAAGCGTCCCTTTTGCCCTGCCAAGCCTCGAAGAGATTCCTGAGGTGTCCTTCGTTACTAGAGAGGAGTCCTGACGTCACTGAAGAAACTCGTGTTTTGAAGGGCCATCCCCGCCGTAAGTCGAGAACATACCCCAGGTCCCCGCCGCAACTCGAGAAAAACCATGAGACTTCCCCCAAAGGCGAGATGAGGCCCCATTCCCCTGCAGTGCATGCAGAGCTATTCCGTGATCCCATTCAAACAAGTCAGGAGCTTCGACTTGCTTAATGGATCTCGCGACAGTCCCCAAGAACACTGTCACCAGTCTAGACGGACCCTGAGGTCACCCCAGCAACGCAAAGCAGCTCCATGTGCCCCAAATCAACTCGAGATGAGGCCCGATTCCCCTGCATTGACTCCAGAGCCATTCCCCGTTCCCCATTCAACACGACCGGTGGCTCGACTTCCTTCAGGCAACTCCAGAGATGCCCCGAGAACACTGTCCCAAGTCTAGAGGAACACCAACTTCAGCACAGCAACTCGAGGAATGCTCCGTGTACCCCAAATCGTCTCGAGATGCGAGCTGATTCCCTGGCTTAGGCTCAAGACGTATGCCAACTTCCCAGAAGCACCTCAGGAGGAGGCTTCTCTCAGCAATAGGTATGTGGGAGGGACCCCGAGTTTGCTGCCTCAAGGGGAATATACAGCGAGAAGCCCTAACTTGAAAGGAGGCCGGATTTCCTTGCAGTGGCTTGAATACAGGCTCGTCTTTCATCTCACAACATGAAGGGATGTCTGAATCCCCTGTGGAGACCTTAGAGAAAGCCCTAGGTCCCTGCCTCATTTTGACGGAATGCCTCACATCGCGCTGACACCTCGAGAGGCACGCGGAGTTTATTGCTTCAAAAGGTGACGATGCCTGACTCCTCTTGAATACTGATAGGAATCCCAAAATCCCTGTGGCTACTGGAAAGGGTCCTTGGGTGCCCTGCCTCACCTCGAGAAGCGTCCCTTTGGCCCTGCCAAGCCTCGAAGAGATTCCTGAGGTGTCCCTCGTTACTAGACAGGAGTCCTGACGTCACTGAAGAAACTCGTGTTTTGAAGGGCCATCCCCGCCGTAAGTCGAGAACATACCCCAGGTCCCCGCCGCAACTCGAGAAAAACCATGAGACTTCCCCCTAGAGGCGAGATGAGGCCCCATTCCCCTGCAGTGCATGCAGAGCTATTCCGTGATCCCATTCAAACAAGTCAGGAGCTTCGACTTGCTTAATGGATCTCGAGACAGTCCCCAAGAACACTGTCACCAGTCTAGACGGACCCTGAGGTCACCCCAGCAATGCAAAGCAGCTCCATGTGCCCCAAATCAACTCGAGATGAGGCCCGATTCCCCTGCATTGACCCCAGAGCCATTCCCCGTTCCCCATTCAACACGACCGGTGGCTCGACTTCCTTCAGGCAACTCCAGAGATGCCCCGAGAACACTGTCCCAAGTCTAGAGGAACACCAACTTCAGCACAGCAACTCGAGGAATGCTCCGTGTTCCCCAAATCGTCTCGAGATGCGAGCTGATTCCCTGGCTTAGGCTCAAGACGTATGCCAAATTCCCAGAAGCACCTCAGGAGGAGGCTTCTCTCAGCAATAGGTATGTGGGAGGGACCCCGAGTTTGCTGCCTCAAGGGGAATATACAGCGAGAAGCCCTAACTTGAAAGGAGGCCGGATTTCCTTGCAGTGGCTTGAAGACAGGCTCGTCTTTCATCTCACAACATGAAGGGATGTCTGAATCCCCTGTGGAGACCTTAGAGAAAGCCCTAGGTCCCTGCCTCATTTTGACGGAATGCCTCACATCCCGCTGACACCTCGAGAGGCACGCTGAGTTCATTGCTTCAAAAGGTGACGATGCCTGACTCCTCTTGTATACTGATAGGAATCCCAAAATCCCTGTGGCTACTGGAAAGGGTCCTTGGATGCCCTGCCTCACCTCGAGAAGCGTCCCTTTTGCCCTGCCAAGCCTCGAAGAGATTCCTGAGGTGTCCTTCGTTACTAGAGAGGAGTCCTGACGTCACTGAAGAAACTCGTGTTTTGAAGGGCCATCCCCGCCGTAAGTCGAGAACATACCCCAGGTCCCCGCCGCAACTCGAGAAAAACCATGAGACTTCCCCCAAAGGCGAGATGAGGCCCCATTCCCCTGCAGTGCATGCAGAGCTATTCCGTGATCCCATTCAAACAAGTCAGGAGCTTCGACTTGCTTAATGGATCTCGAGACAGTCCCCAAGAACACTGTCACCAGTCTAGACGGACCCTGAGGTCACCCCAGCAACGCAAAGCAGCTCCATGTGCCCCAAATCAACTCGAGATGAGGCCCGATTCCCCTGCATTGACCCCAGAGCCATTCCCCGTTCCCCATTCAACACGACCGGTGGCTCGACTTCCTTCAGGCAACTCCAGAGATGCCCCGAGAACACTGTCCCAAGTCTAGAGGAACACCAACTTCAGCACAGCAACTCGAGGAATGCTCCGTGTACCCCAAATCGTCTCGAGATGCGAGCTGATTCCCTGGCTTAGGCTCAAGACGTATGCCAACTTCCCAGAAGCACCTCAGGAGGAGGCTTCTCTCAGCAATAGGTATGTGGGAGGGACCCCGAGTTTGCTGCCTCAAGGGGAATATACAGCGCGAAGCCCTAACTTAAAGGAGGCCGGATTTCCTTGCAGTGGCTTGAATACAGGCTCGTCTTTCATCTCACAACATGAAGGGATGTCTGAATCCCCTGTGGAGACCTTAGAGAAAGCCCTAGTTCCCTGCCTCATTTTGACGGAATGCCTCACATCGCGCTGACACCTCGAGAGGCACGCGGAGTTCATTGCTTCAAAAGGTGACGATGCCTGACTCCTCTTGAATACTGATAGGAATCCCAAAATCCCTGTGGCTACTGGAAAGGGTCCTTGGGTGCCCTGCCTCACCTCGAGAAGCGTCCCTTTGGCCCTGCCAAGCCTCGAAGAGATTCCTGAGGTGTCCCTCGTTACTAGACAGGAGTCCTGACGTCACTGAAGAAACTCGTGTTTTGAAGGGCCATCCCCGCCGTAAGTCGAGAACATACCCCAGGTCCCCGCCGCAACTCGAGAAAAACCATGAGACTTCCCCCTAGAGGCGAGATGAGGCCCCATTCCCCTGCAGTGCATGCAGAGCTATTCCGTGATCCCATTCAAACAAGTCAGGAGCTTCGACTTGCTTAATGGATCTCGAGACAGTCCCCAAGAACACTGTCACCAGTCTAGACGGACCCTGAGGTCACCCCAGCAACGCAAAGCAGCTCCATGTGCCCCAAATCAACTCGAGATGAGGCCCGATTCCCCTGCATTGACTCCAGAGCCATTCCCCGTTCCCCATTCAACACGACCGGTGGCTCGAGTTCCTTCAGGCAACTCCAGAGATGCCCCGAGAACACTGTCACAAGTCTAGAGGAACACCAACTTCAACACAGCAACTCGAGGAATGCTCCGTGTACCCCAAATCGTCTCGAGATGCGAGCTGATTCCCTGGCTTAGGCTCAAGACGTATGCCAAATTCCCAGAAGCACCTCAGGAGGAGGCTTCTCTCAGCAATAGGTATGTGGGAGGGACCCCGAGTTTGCTGCCTCAAGGGGAATATACAGCGAGAAGCCCTAACTTGAAAGGAGGCCGGATTTCCTTGCAGTGGCTTGAATACAGGCTCGTCTTTCATCTCACAACATGAAGGGATGTCTGAATCCCCTGTGGAGACCTTAGAGAAAGCCCTAGGTCCCTGCCTCATTTTGACGGAATGCCTCACATCCCGCTGACACCTCGAGAGGCACGCGGAGTTCATTGCTTCAAAAGGTGACGATGCCTGACTCCTCTTGAATACTGATAGGAATCCCAAAATCCCTGTGGCTACTGGAAAGGGTCTTGGGTGCCCTGCCTCACCTCGAGAAGCGTCCCTTTGGCCCTGCCAAGCCTCGAAGAGATTCCTGAGGTGTCCCTCGTTACTAGACAGGAGTCCTGACGTCACTGAAGAAACTCGTGTTTTGAAGGGCCATCCCCGCCGTAAGTCGAGAACATACCCCAGGTCCCCGCCGCAACTTGAGAAAAATCATGAGACTTCCCCCAAAGGCGAGATGAGGCCCCATTCCCCTGCAGTGCATGCAGAGCTATTCCGTGATCCCATTCAAACAAGTCAGGAGCTTCGACTTGCTTAATGGATCTCGAGACAGTCCCCAAGAACACTGTCACCAGTCTAGACGGACCCTGAGGTCACTCCAGCAACGCAAAGCAGCTCCATGTGCCCCAAATCAACTCGAGATGAGGCCCGATTCCCCTGCATTGACCCCAGAGCCATTCCCCGTTCCCCATTCAACACGAACGGTGGCTCGACTTCCTTCAGGCAACTCCAGAGATGCCCCGAGAACACTGTCCCAAGTCTTGAGGAACACCAACTTCAGCACAGCAACTCGAGGAATGCTCCGTGTACCCCAAATCGTCTCGAGATGCGAGCTGATTCCCTGGCTTAGGCTCAAGACGTATGCCAACTTCCCAGAAGCACCTCAGGAGGAGGCTTCTCTCAGCAATAGGTATGTGGGAGGGACCCCGAGTTTGCTGCCTCAAGGGGAATATACATCGAGAAGCCCTAACTTGAAAGGAGGCCGGATTTCCTTGCAGTGGCTTGAATACAGGCTCGTCTTTCATCTCACAACATGAAGGGGTGTCTGAATCCCCTGTGGAGACCTTAGAGAAAGCCCTAGGTCCCTGCCTCATTTTGAAGGAATGCCTCACATCCCGCTGACACCTCGAGAGGCACGCGGAGTTCATTGCTTCAAAAGGTGACGATGCCTGACTCCTCTTGAATACTGATAGGAATCCCAAAATCCCTGTGGCTACTGGAAAGGGTCCTTGGGTGCCCTGCCTCACCTCGAGAAGCGTCCCTTTTGCCCTGCCAAGCCTCGAAGAGATTCCTGAGGTGTCCCTCGTTACTAGACAGGAGTCCTGACGTCACTGAAGAAACTCGTGTTTTGAAGGGCCATCCCCGCCGTAAGTCGAGAACATACCCCAGGTCCCCGCCGCAACTCGAGAAAAACCATGAGACTTCCCCCTAGAGGCGAGATGAGGCCCCATTCCCCTGCAGTGCATGCAGAGCTATTCCGTGATCCCATTCAAACAAGTCAGGAGCTTCGACTTGCTTAATGGATCTCGAGACAGTCCCCAAGAACACTGTCACCAGTCTAGACGGACCCTGAGGTCACCCCAGCAACGCAAAGCAGCTCCATGTGCCCCAAATCAACTCGAGATGAGGCCCGATTCCCCTGCATTGACCCCAGAGCCATTCCCCGTTCCCCATTCAACACGACCGGTGGCTCGACTTCCTTCAGGCAACTCCAGAGATGCCCCGAGAACACTGTCCCAAGTCTTGAGGAACACCAACTTCAGCACAGCAACTCGAGGAATGCTCCGTGTACCCCAAATCGTCTCGAGATGCGAGCTGATTCCCTGGCTTAGGCTCAAGACGTATGCCAACTTCCCAGAAGCACCTCAGGAGGAGGCTTCTCTCAGCAATAGGTATGTGGGAGGGACCCCGAGTTTGCTGCCTCAAGGGGAATATACATCGAGAAGCCCTAACTTGAAAGGAGGCCGGATTTCCTTGCAGTGGCTTGAATACAGGCTCGTCTTTCATCTCACAACATGAAGGGGTGTCTGAATCCCCTGTGGAGACCTTAGAGAAAGCCCTAGGTCCCTGCCTCATTTTGAAGGAATGCCTCACATCCCGCTGACACCTCGAGAGGCACGCGGAGTTCATTGCTTCAAAAGGTGACGATGCCTGACTCCTCTTGAATACTGATAGGAATCCCAAAATCCCTGTGGCTACTGGAAAGGGTCCTTGGGTGCCCTGCCTCACCTCGAGAAGCGTCCCTTTTGCCCTGCCAAGCCTCGAAGAGATTCCTGAGGTGTCCCTCGTTACTAGACAGGAGTCCTGACGTCACTGAAGAAACTCGTGTTTTGAAGGGCCATCCCCGCCGTAAGTCGAGAACATACCCCAGGTCCCCGCCGCAACTCGAGAAAAACCATGAGACTTCCCCCTAGAGGCGAGATGAGGCCCCATTCCCCTGCAGTGCATGCAGAGCTATTCCGTGATCCCATTCAAACAAGTCAGGAGCTTCGACTTGCTTAATGGATCTCGAGACAGTCCCCAAGAACACTGTCACCAGTCTAGACGGACCCTGAGGTCACCCCAGCAACGCAAAGCAGCTCCATGTGCCCCAAATCAACTCGAGATGAGGCCCGATTCCCCTGCATTGACCCCAGAGCCATTCCCCGTTCCCCATTCAACACGACCGGTGGCTCGACTTCCTTCAGGCAACTCCAGAGATGCCCCCAGAACACTGTCCCAAGTCTTGAGGAACACCAACTTCAGCACAGCAACTCGAGGAATGCTCCGTGTACCCCAAATCGTCTCGAGATGCGAGCTGATTCCCTGGCTTAGGCTCAAGACGTATGCCAACTTCCCAGAAGCACCTCAGGAGGAGGCTTCTCTCAGCAATAGGTATGTGGGAGGGACCCCGAGTTTGCTGCCTCAAGGGGAATATACAGCGAGAAGCCCTAACTTGAAAGGAGGCCGGATTTCCTTGCAGTGGCTTGAATACAGGCTCGTCTTTCATCTCACAACATGAAGGGATGTCTGAATCCCCTGTGGAGACCTTAGAGAAAGCCCTAGGTCCCTGCCTCATTTTGACGGAATGCCTCACATCCCGCTGACACCTCGAGAGGCACGCGGAGTTCTTTGCTTCAAAAGGTGACGATGCCTGACTCCTCTTGAATACTGATAGGAATCCCAAAATCCCTTTGGCTACTGGAAAGGGTCCTTGGGTGCCCTGCCTCACCTCGAGAAGCGTCCCTTTTGCCCTGCCAAGCCTCGAAGAGATTCCTGAGGTGTCCCTCGTTACTAGACAGGAGTCCTGACGTCACTGAAGAAACTCGTGTTTTGAAGGGCCATCCCCGCCGTAAGTCGAGAACATACCCCAGGTCCCCGCCGCAACTCGAGAAAAACCATGAGATTTCCCCCTAGAGGCGAGATGAGGCCCCATTCCCCTGCAGTGCATGCAGAGCTATTCCGTGATCCCATTCAAACAAGTCAGGAGCTTCGACTTGCTTAATGGATCTCGAGACAGTCCCCAAGAACACTGTCACCAGTCTAGACGGACCCTGAGGTCACCCCAGCAACGCAAAGCAGCTCCATGTGCCCCAAATCAACTCGAGATGAGGCCCGATTCCCCTGCATTGACCCCAGAGCCATTCCCCGTTCCCCATTCAACACGACCGGTGGCTCGACTTCCTTCAGGCAACTCCAGAGATGCCCCGAGAACACTGTCCCAAGTCTAGAGGAACACCAACTTCAGCACAGCAACTCGAGGAATGCTCCGTGTACCCCAAATCGTCTCGAGATGCGAGCTGATTCCCTGGCTTAGGCTCAAGACGTATGCCAACTTCCCAGAAGCACCTCAGGAGGAGGCTTCTCTCAGCAATAGGTATGTGGGAGGGACCCCGAGTTTGCTGCCTCAAGGGGAATATACAGCGAGAAGCCCTAACTTGAAAGGAGGCCGGATTTCCTTGCAGTGGCTTGAATACAGGCTCGTCTTTCATCTCACAACATGAAGGGATGTCTGAATCCCCTGTGGAGACCTTAGAGAAAGCCCTAGGTCCCTGCCTCATTTTGACGGAATGCCTCACATCGCGCTGACACCTCGAGAGGCACGCTGAGTTCATAGCTTCAAAAGGTGACGATGCCTGACTCCTCTTGAATACTGATAGGAATCCCAAAATCCCTGTGGCTACTGGAAAGGGTCCTTGGATGCCCTGCCTCACCTCGAGAAGCGTCCCTTTTGCCCTGCCAAGCCTCGAAGAGATTCCTGAGTTGTCCTTCGTTACTAGAGAGGAGTCCTGACGTCACTGAAGAAACTCGTGTTTTGAAGGGCCATCCCCGCCGTAAGTCGAGAACATACCCCAGGTCCCCGCCGCAACTCGAGAAAAACCATGAGACTTCCCCCAAAGGCGAGATGAGGCCCCATTCCCCTGCAGTGCATGCAGAGCTATTCCGTGATCCCATTCAAACAAGTCAGGAGCTTCGACTTGCTTAATGGATCTCGCGACAGTCCCCAAGAACACTGTCACCAGTCTAGACGGACCCTGAGGTCACCCCAGCAACGCAAAGCAGCTCCATGTGCCCCAAATCAACTCGAGATGAGGCCCGATTCCCCTGCATTGACTCCAGAGCCATTCCCCGTTCCCCATTCAACACGACCGGTGGCTCGACTTCCTTCAGGCAACTCCAGAGATGCCCCGAGAACACTGTCCCAAGTCTAGAGGAACACCAACTTCAGCACAGCAACTCGAGGAATGCTCCGTGTACCCCAAATCGTCTCGAGATGCGAGCTGATTCCCTGGCTTAGGCTCAAGACGTATGCCAACTTCCCAGAAGCACCTCAGGAGGAGGCTTCTCTCAGCAATAGGTATGTGGGAGGGACCCCGAGTTTGCTGCCTCAAGGGGAATATACAGCGAGAAGCCCTAACTTGAAAGGAGGCCGGATTTCCTTGCAGTGGCTTGAATACAGGCTCGTCTTTCATCTCACAACATGAAGGGATGTCTGAATCCCCTGTGGAGACCTTAGAGAAAGCCCTAGGTCCCTGCCTCATTTTGACGGAATGCCTCACATCCCGCTGACACCTCGAGAGGCACGCGGAGTTCATTGCTTCAAAAGGTGACGATGCCTGACTCCTCTTGAATACTGATAGGAATCCCAAAATCCCTGTGGCTACTGGAAAGGGTCCTTGGGTGCCCTGCCTCACCTCGAGAAGCGTCCCTTTGGCCCTGCCAAGCCTCGAAGAGATTCCTGAGGTGTCCCTCGTTGCTAGACAGGAGTCCTGACGTCACTGAAGAAACTCGTGTTTTGAAGGGCCATCCCCGCCGTAAGTCGAGAACATACCCCAGGTCCCCGCCGCAACTCGAGAAAAACCATGAGACTTCCCCCTAGAGGCGAGATGAGGCCCCATTCCCCTGCAGTGCATGCAGAGCTATTCCGTGATCCCATTCAAACAAGTCAGGAGCTTCGACTTGCTTAATGGATCTCGAGACAGTCCCCAAGAACACTGTCACCAGTCTAGACGGACCCTGAGGTCACCCCAGCAACGCAAAGCAGCTCCATGTGCCCCAAATCAACTCGAGATGAGGCCCGATTCCCCTGCATTGACCCCAGAGCCATTCCCCGTTCCCCATTCAACACGACCGGTGGCTCGAGTTCCTTCAGGCAACTCCAGAGATGCCCCGAGAACACTGTCACAAGTCTAGAGGAACACCAACTTCAACACAGCAACTCGAGGAATGCTCCGTGTACCCCAAATCGTCTCGAGATGCGAGCTGATTCCCTGGCTTAGGCTCAAGACGTATGCCAAATTCCCAGAAGCACCTCAGGAGGAGGCTTCTCTCAGCAATAGTTATGTGGGAGGGACCCCGAGTTTGCTGCCTCAAGGGGAATATACAGCGAGAAGCCCTAACTTGAAAGGAGGCCGGATTTCCTTGCAGTGGCTTGAATACAGGCTCGTCTTTCATCTCACAACATGAAGGGATGTCTGAATCCCCTGTGGAGACCTTAGAGAAAGCCCTAGGTCCCTGCCTCATTTTGACGGAATGCCTCACATCCCGCTGACACCTCGAGAGGCACGCGGAGTTCATTGCTTCAAAAGGTGACGATGCCTGACTCCTCTTGAATACTGATAGGAATCCCAAAATCCCTGTGGCTACTGGAAAGGGTCCTTGGGTGCCCTGCCTCACCTCGAGAAGCGTCCCTTTGGCCCTGCCAAGCCTCGAAGAGATTCCTGAGGTGTCCCTCGTTACTAGACAGGAGTCCTGACGTCACTGAAGAAACTCGTGTTTTGAAGGGCCATCCCCGCCGTAAGTCGAGAACATACCCCAGGTCCCCGCCGCAACTCGAGAAAAATCATGAGACTTCCCCCAAAGGCGAGATGAGGCCCCATTCCCCTGCAGTGCATGCAGAGCTATTCCGTGATCCCATTCAAACAAGTCAGGAGCTTCGACTTGCTTAATGGATCTCGAGACAGTCCCCAAGAACACTGTCACCAGTCTAGACGGACCCTGAGGTCACCCCAGCAACGCAAAGCAGCTCCATGTGCCCCAAATCAACTCGAGATGAGGCCCGATTCCCCTGCATTGACCCCAGAGCCATTCCCCGTTCCCCATTCAACACGACCGGTGGCTCGACTTCCTTCAGGCAACTCCAGAGATGCCCCGAGAACACTGTCCCAAGTCTTGAGGAACACCAACTTCAGCACAGCAACTCGAGGAATGCTCCGTGTACCCCAAATCGTCTCGAGATGCGAGCTGATTCCCTGGCTTAGGCTCAAGACGTATGCCAACTTCCCAGAAGCACCTCAGGAGGAGGCTTCTCTCAGCAATAGGTATGTGGGAGGGACCCCGAGTTTGCTGCCTCAAGGGGAATATACATCGAGAAGCCCTAACTTGAAAGGAGGCCGGATTTCCTTGCAGTGGCTTGAATACAGGCTCGTCTTTCATCTCACAACATGAAGGGGTGTCTGAATCCCCTGTGGAGACCTTAGAGAAAGCCCTAGGTCCCTGCCTCATTTTGAAGGAATGCCTCACATCCCGCTGACACCTCGAGAGGCACGCGGAGTTCATTGCTTCAAAAGGTGACGATGCCTGACTCCTCTTGAATACTGATAGGAATCCCAAAATCCCTGTGGCTACTGGAAAGGGTCCTTGGGTGCCCTGCCTCACCTCGAGAAGCGTCCCTTTTGCCCTGCCAAGCCTCGAAGAGATTCCTGAGGTGTCCCTCGTTACTAGACAGGAGTCCTGACGTCACTGAAGAAACTCGTGTTTTGAAGGGCCATCCCCGCCGTAAGTCGAGAACATACCCCAGGTCCCCGCCGCAACTCGAGAAAAACCATGAGACTTCCCCCTAGAGGCGAGATGAGGCCCCATTCCCCTGCAGTGCATGCAGAGCTATTCCGTGATCCCATTCAAACAAGTCAGGAGCTTCGACTTGCTTAATGGATCTCGAGACAGTCCCCAAGAACACTGTCACCAGTCTAGACGGACCCTGAGGTCACCCCAGCAACGCAAAGCAGCTCCATGTGCCCCAAATCAACTCGAGATGAGGCCCGATTCCCCTGCATTGACCCCAGAGCCATTCCCCGTTCCCCATTCAACACGACCGGTGGCTCGACTTCCTTCAGGCAACTCCAGAGATGCCCCGAGAACACTGTCCCAAGTCTTGAGGAACACCAACTTCAGCACAGCAACTCGAGGAATGCTCCGTGTACCCCAAATCGTCTCGAGATGCGAGCTGATTCCCTGGCTTAGGCTCAAGACGTATGCCAACTTCCCAGAAGCACCTCAGGAGGAGGCTTCTCTCAGCAATAGGTATGTGGGAGGGACCCCGAGTTTGCTGCCTCAAGGGGAATATACATCGAGAAGCCCTAACTTGAAAGGAGGCCGGATTTCCTTGCAGTGGCTTGAATACAGGCTCGTCTTTCATCTCACAACATGAAGGGGTGTCTGAATCCCCTGTGGAGACCTTAGAGAAAGCCCTAGGTCCCTGCCTCATTTTGAAGGAATGCCTCACATCCCGCTGACACCTCGAGAGGCACGCGGAGTTCATTGCTTCAAAAGGTGACGATGCCTGACTCCTCTTGAATACTGATAGGAATCCCAAAATCCCTGTGGCTACTGGAAAGGGTCCTTGGGTGCCCTGCCTCACCTCGAGAAGCGTCCCTTTTGCCCTGCCAAGCCTCGAAGAGATTCCTGAGGTGTCCCTCGTTACTAGACAGGAGTCCTGACGTCACTGAAGAAACTCGTGTTTTGAAGGGCCATCCCCGCCGTAAGTCGAGAACATACCCCAGGTCCCCGCCGCAACTCGAGAAAAACCATGAGACTTCCCCCTAGAGGCGAGATGAGGCCCCATTCCCCTGCAGTGCATGCAGAGCTATTCCGTGATCCCATTCAAACAAGTCAGGAGCTTCGACTTGCTTAATGGATCTCGAGACAGTCCCCAAGAACACTGTCACCAGTCTAGACGGACCCTGAGGTCACCCCAGCAACGCAAAGCAGCTCCATGTGCCCCAAATCAACTCGAGATGAGGCCCGATTCCCCTGCATTGACCCCAGAGCCATTCCCCGTTCCCCATTCAACACGACCGGTGGCTCGACTTCCTTCAGGCAACTCCAGAGATGCCCCGAGAACACTGTCCCAAGTCTTGAGGAACACCAACTTCAGCACAGCAACTCGAGGAATGCTCCGTGTACCCCAAATCGTCTCGAGATGCGAGCTGATTCCCTGGCTTAGGCTCAAGACGTATGCCAACTTCCCAGAAGCACCTCAGGAGGAGGCTTCTCTCAGCAATAGGTATGTGGGAGGGACCCCGAGTTTGCTGCCTCAAGGGGAATATACAGCGAGAAGCCCTAACTTGAAAGGAGGCCGGATTTCCTTGCAGTGGCTTGAATACAGGCTCGTCTTTCATCTCACAACATGAAGGGATGTCTGAATCCCCTGTGGAGACCTTAGAGAAAGCCCTAGGTCCCTGCCTCATTTTGACGGAATGCCTCACATCCCGCTGACACCTCGAGAGGCACGCGGAGTTCTTTGCTTCAAAAGGTGACGATGCCTGACTCCTCTTGAATACTGATAGGAATCCCAAAATCCCTTTGGCTACTGGAAAGGGTCCTTGGGTGCCCTGCCTCACCTCGAGAAGCGTCCCTTTTGCCCTGCCAAGCCTCGAAGAGATTCCTGAGGTGTCCCTCGTTACTAGACAGGAGTCCTGACGTCACTGAAGAAACTCGTGTTTTGAAGGGCCATCCCCGCCGTAAGTCGAGAACATACCCCAGGTCCCCGCCGCAACTCGAGAAAAACCATGAGATTTCCCCCTAGAGGCGAGATGAGGCCCCATTCCCCTGCAGTGCATGCAGAGCTATTCCGTGATCCCATTCAAACAAGTCAGGAGCTTCGACTTGCTTAATGGATCTCGAGACAGTCCCCAAGAACACTGTCACCAGTCTAGACGGACCCTGAGGTCACCCCAGCAACGCAAAGCAGCTCCATGTGCCCCAAATCAACTCGAGATGAGGCCCGATTCCCCTGCATTGACCCCAGAGCCATTCCCCGTTCCCCATTCAACACGACCGGTGGCTCGACTTCCTTCAGGCAACTCCAGAGATGCCCCGAGAACACTGTCCCAAGTCTAGAGGAACACCAACTTCAGCACAGCAACTCGAGGAATGCTCCGTGTACCCCAAATCGTCTCGAGATGCGAGCTGATTCCCTGGCTTAGGCTCAAGACGTATGCCAACTTCCCAGAAGCACCTCAGGAGGAGGCTTCTCTCAGCAATAGGTATGTGGGAGGGACCCCGAGTTTGCTGCCTCAAGGGGAATATACAGCGAGAAGCCCTAACTTGAAAGGAGGCCGGATTTCCTTGCAGTGGCTTGAATACAGGCTCGTCTTTCATCTCACAACATGAAGGGATGTCTGAATCCCCTGTGGAGACCTTAGAGAAAGCCCTAGGTCCCTGCCTCATTTTGACGGAATGCCTCACATCGCGCTGACACCTCGAGAGGCACGCTGAGTTCATAGCTTCAAAAGGTGACGATGCCTGACTCTTCTTGAATACTGATAGGAATCCCAAAATCCCTGTGGCTACTGGAAAGGGTCCTTGGATGCCCTGCCTCACCTCGAGAAGCGTCCCTTTTGCCCTGCCAAGCCTCGAAGAGATTCCTGAGTTGTCCTTCGTTACTAGAGAGGAGTCCTGACGTCACTGAAGAAACTCGTGTTTTGAAGGGCCATCCCCGCCGTAAGTCGAGAACATACCCCAGGTCCCCGCCGCAACTCGAGAAAAACCATGAGACTTCCCCCAAAGGCGAGATGAGGCCCCATTCCCCTGCAGTGCATGCAGAGCTATTCCGTGATCCCATTCAAACAAGTCAGGAGCTTCGACTTGCTTAATGGATCTCGCGACAGTCCCCAAGAACACTGTCACCAGTCTAGACGGACCCTGAGGTCACCCCAGCAACGCAAAGCAGCTCCATGTGCCCCAAATCAACTCGAGATGAGGCCCGATTCCCCTGCATTGACTCCAGAGCCATTCCCCGTTCCCCATTCAACACGACCGGTGGCTCGACTTCCTTCAGGCAACTCCAGAGATGCCCCGAGAACACTGTCCCAAGTCTAGAGGAACACCAACTTCAGCACAGCAACTCGAGGAATGCTCCGTGTACCCCAAATCGTCTCGAGATGCGAGCTGATTCCCTGGCTTAGGCTCAAGACGTATGCCAACTTCCCAGAAGCACCTCAGGAGGAGGCTTCTCTCAGCAATAGGTATGTGGGAGGGACCCCGAGTTTGCTGCCTCAAGGGGAATATACAGCGAGAAGCCCTAACTTGAAAGGAGGCCGGATTTCCTTGCAGTGGCTTGAATACAGGCTCGTCTTTCATCTCACAACATGAAGGGATGTCTGAATCCCCTGTGGAGACCTTAGAGAAAGCCCTAGGTCCCTGCCTCATTTTGACGGAATGCCTCACATCCCGCTGACACCTCGAGAGGCACGCGGAGTTCATTGCTTCAAAAGGTGACGATGCCTGACTCCTCTTGAATACTGATAGGAATCCCAAAATCCCTGTGGCTACTGGAAAGGGTCCTTGGGTGCCCTGCCTCACCTCGAGAAGCGTCCCTTTGGCCCTGCCAAGCCTCGAAGAGATTCCTGAGGTGTCCCTCGTTGCTAGACAGGAGTCCTGACGTCACTGAAGAAACTCGTGTTTTGAAGGGCCATCCCCGCCGTAAGTCGAGAACATACCCCAGGTCCCCGCCGCAACTCGAGAAAAACCATGAGACTTCCCCCTAGAGGCGAGATGAGGCCCCATTCCCCTGCAGTGCATGCAGAGCTATTCCGTGATCCCATTCAAACAAGTCAGGAGCTTCGACTTGCTTAATGGATCTGGAGACAGTCCCCAAGAACACTGTCACCAGTCTAGACGGACCCTGAGGTCACCCCAGCAACGCAAAGCAGCTCCATGTGCCCCAAATCAACTCGAGATGAGGCCCGATTCCCCTGCATTGACCCCAGAGCCATTCCCCGTTCCCCATTCAACACGACCGGTGGCTCGAGTTCCTTCAGGCAACTCCAGAGATGCCCCGAGAACACTGTCCCAAGTCTAGAGGAACACCAACTTCAGCACAGCAACTCGAGGAATGCTCCGTGTACCCCAAATCGTCTCGAGATGCGAGCTGATTCCCTGGCTTAGGCTCAAGACGTATGCCAACTTCCCAGAAGCACCTCAGGAGGAGGCTTCTCTCAGCAATAGGTATGTGGGAGGGACCCCGAGTTTGCTGCCTCAAGGGGAATATACAGCGAGAAGCCCTAACTTGAAAGGAGGCCGGATTTCCTTGCAGTGGCTTGAATACAGGCTCGTCTTTCATCTCACAACATGAAGGGATGTCTGAATCCCCTGTGGAGACCTTAGAGAAAGCCCTAGGTCCCTGCCTCATTTTGACGGAATGCCTCACATCCCGCTGACACCTCGAGAGGCACGCGGAGTTCATTGCTTCAAAAGGTGACGATGCCTGACTCCTCTTGAATACTGATAGGAATCCCAAAATCCCTGTGGCTACTGGAAAGGGTCCTTGGGTGCCCTGCCTCACCTCGAGAAGCGTCCCTTTGGCCCTGCCAAGCCTCGAAGAGATTCCTGAGGTGTCCCTCGTTGCTAGACAGGAGTCCTGACGTCACTGAAGAAACTCGTGTTTTGAAGGGCCATCCCCGCCGTAAGTCGAGAACATACCCCAGGTCCCCGCCGCAACTCGAGAAAAACCATGAGACTTCCCCCTAGAGGCGAGATGAGGCCCCATTCCCCTGCAGTGCATGCAGAGCTATTCCGTGATCCCATTCAAACAAGTCAGGAGCTTCGACTTGCTTAATGGATCTCGAGACAGTCCCCAAGAACACTGTCACCAGTCTAGACGGACCCTGAGGTCACCCCAGCAACGCAAAGCAGCTCCATGTGCCCCAAATCAACTCGAGATGAGGCCCGATTCCCCTGCATTGACCCCAGAGCCATTCCCCGTTCCCCATTCAACACGACCGGTGGCTCGAGTTCCTTCAGGCAACTCCAGAGATGCCCCGAGAACACTGTCACAAGTCTAGAGGAACACCAACTTCAACACAGCAACTCGAGGAATGCTCCGTGTACCACAAATCGTCTCGAGATGCGAGCTGATTCCCTGGCTTAGGCTCAAGACGTATGCCAAATTCCCAGAAGCACCTCAGGAGGAGGCTTCTCTCAGCAATAGTTATGTGGGAGGGACCCCGAGTTTGCTGCCTCAAGGGGAATATACAGCGAGAAGCCCTAACTTGAAAGGAGGCCGGATTTCCTTGCAGTGGCTTGAATACAGGCTCGTCTTTCATCTCACAACATGAAGGGATGTCTGAATCCCCTGTGGAGACCTTAGAGAAAGCCCTAGGTCCCTGCCTCATTTTGACGGAATGCCTCACATCCCGCTGACACCTCGAGAGGCACGCGGAGTTCATTGCTTCAAAAGGTGACGATGCCTGACTCCTCTTGAATACTGATAGGAATCCCAAAATCCCTGTGGCTACTGGAAAGGGTCCTTGGGTGCCCTGCCTCACCTCGAGAAGCGTCCCTTTGGCCCTGCCAAGCCTCGAAGAGATTCCTGAGGTGTCCCTCGTTACTAGACAGGAGTCCTGACGTCACTGAAGAAACTCGTGTTTTGAAGGGCCATCCCCGCCGTAAGTCGAGAACATACCACAGGTCCCCGCCGCAACTCGAGAAAAATCATGAGACTTCCCCCAAAGGCGAGATGAGGCCCCATTCCCCTGCAGTGCATGCAGAGCTATTCCGTGATCCCATTCAAACAAGTCAGGAGCTTCGACTTGCTTAATGGATCTCGAGACAGTCCCCAAGAACACTGTCACCAGTCTAGACGGACCCTGAGGTCACCCCAGCAACGCAAAGCAGCTCCATGTGCCCCAAATCAACTCGAGATGAGGCCCGATTCCCCTGCATTGACCCCAGAGCCATTCCCCGTTCCCCATTCAACACGACCGGTGGCTCGACTTCCTTCAGGCAACTCCAGAGATGCCCCGAGACCACTGTCCCAAGTCTAGAGGAACACCAACTTCAGCACAGCAACTCGAGGAATGCTCCGTGAACCCCAAATCGTCTCGAGATGCGAGCTGATTCCCTGGCTTAGGCTCAAAACGTATGCCAAATTCCCAGAAGCACCTCAGGAGGAGGCTACTCTCAGCAATAGGTATGTGGGAGGGACCCCGAGTTTGCTGCCTCAAGGGGAATATACAGCGAGAAGCCCTAACTTGAAAGGAGGCCGGATTTCCTTGCAGTGGCTTGAATACAGGCTCGTCTTTCATCTCACAACATGAAGGGATGTCTGAATCCCCTGTGGAGACCTTAGAGAAAGCCCTAGGTCCCTGCCTCATTTTGACGGAATGCCTCACATCCCGCTGACACCTCGAGAGGCACGCGGAGTTCATTGCTTCAAAAGGTGACGATGCCTGACTCCTCTTGAATACTGATAGGAATCCCAAAATCCCTGTGGCTACTGGAAAGGGTCCTTGGGTGCCCTGCCTCACCTCGAGAAGCGTCCCTTTTGCCCTGCCAAGCCTCGAAGAGGTTCCTGAGGTGTCCCTCGTTACTAGACAGGAGTCCTGACATCACTGAAGAAACTCGTGTTTTGAAGGGCCATCCCCGCCGTAAGTCGAGAACATACCCCAGGTCCCCGCCGCAACTCGAGAAAAACCATGAGACTTCCCCCTAGAGGCGAGATGAGGCCCCATTCCCCTGCAGTGCATGCAGAGCTATTCCGTGATCCCATTCAAACAAGTCAGGAGCTTCGACTTGCTTAATGGATCTCGAGACAGTCCCCAAGAACACTGTCACCAGTCTAGACGGACCCTGAGGTCACCCCAGCAACGCAAAGCAGCTCCATGTGCCCCAAATCAACTCGAGATGAGGCCCGATTCCCCTGCATTGACTCCAGAGCCATTCCCCGTTCCCCATTCAACACGACCGGTGGCTCGACTTCCTTCAGGCAACTCCAGAGATGCCCCGAGAACACTGTCCCAAGTCTAGAGGAACACCAACTTCAGCACAGCAACTCGAGGAATGCTCCGTGTACCCCAAATCGTCTCGAGATGCGAGCTGATTCCCTGGCTTAGGCTCAAGACGTATGCCAACTTCCCAGAAGCACCTCAGGAGGAGGCTTCTCTCAGCAATAGGTATGTGGGAGGGACCCCGAGTTTGCTGCCTCAAGGGGAATATACAGCGAGAAGCCCTAACTTGAAAGGAGGCCGGATTTCCTTGCAGTGGCTTGAATACAGGCTCGTCTTTCATCTCACAACATGAAGGGATGTCTGAATCCCCTGTGGAGACCTTACGGAAAGCCCTAGGTCCCTGCCTCATTTTGACGGAATGCCTCACATCGCGCTGACACCTCGAGAGGCACGCGGAGTTCATTGCTTCAAAAGGTGACGATGCCTGACTCCTCTTGAATACTGATAGGAATCCCAAAATCCCTGTGGCTACTGGAAAGGGTCCTTGGGTGCCCTGCCTCACCTCGAGAAGCGTCCCTTTGGCCCTGCCAAGCCTCGAAGAGATTCCTGAGGTGTCCCTCGTTACTAGACAGGAGTCCTGACGTCACTGAAGAAACTCGTGTTTTGAAGGGCCATCCCCGCCGTAAGTCGAGAACATACCCCAGGTCCCCGCCGCAACTCGAGAAAAACCATGAGACTTCCCCCTAGATGCGAGATGAGGCCCCATTCCCCTGCAGTGCATGCAGAGCTATTCCGTGATCCCATTCATCAAGTCAGGAGCTTCGACTTGCTTAATGGATCTCCAGACAGTCCCCAAGAACACTGTCACCTGTCTAGACGGACCCTGAGGTCACCACAGCAACGCAAAGCAGCTCCATGTGCCCCAAATCAACTCGAGATGAGGTCCGATTCCCCTGCATTGACCCCAGAGCCATTCCCTGTTCCCCATTCAACACGACCGGTGGCTCGACTTCCTTCAGGCAACTCCAGAGATGCCCCGAGAACACTGTCCCAAGTCTAGAGGAACACCAACTTCAGCACAGCAACTCGAGGAATGCTCCGTGTACCCCAAATCGTCTCGAGATGCGAGCTGATTCCCTGGCTTAGGCTCAAGACGTATGCCAACTTCCCAGAAGCACCTCAGGAGGAGGCTTCTCTCAGCAATAGGTATGTGGGAGGGACCCCGAGTTTGCTGCCTCAAGGGGAATATACAGCGAGAAGCCCTAACTTGAAAGGAGGCCGGATTTCCTTGCAGTGGCTTGAATACAGGCTCGTCTTTCATCTCACAACATGAAGGGATGTCTGAATCCCCTGTGGAGACCTTAGAGAAAGCCCTAGGTCCCTGCCTCATTTTGACGGAATGCCTCACATCGCGCTGACACCTCGAGAGGCACGCGGAGTTCATTGCTTCAAAAGGTGACGATGCCTGACTCCTCTTGAATACTGATAGGAATCCCAAAATCCCTGTGGCTACTGGAAAGGGTCCTTGGGTGCCCTGCCTCACCTCGAGAAGCGTCCCTTTTGCCCTGCCAAGCCTCGAAGAGATTCCTGAGGTGTCCCTCGTTACTAGACAGGAGTCCTGACGTCACTGAAGAAACTCGTGTTTTGAAGGGCCATCCCCGCCGTAAGTCGAGAACATACCCCAGGTCCCCGCCGCAACTCGAGAAAAACCATGAGACTTCCCCCTAGAGGCGAGATGAGGCCCCATTCCCCTGCAGTGCATGCAGAGCTATTCCGTGATCCCATTCAAACAAGTCAGGAGCTTCGACTTGCTTAATGGATCTCGAGACAGTCCCCAAGAACACTGTCACCAGTCTAGACGGACCCTGAGGTCACCCCAGCAACGCAAAGCAGCTCCATGTGCCCCAAATCAACTCGAGATGAGGCCCGATTCCCCTGCATTGACCCCAGAGCCATTCCCCGTTCCCCATTCAACACGACCGGTGGCTCGACTTCCTTCAGGCAACTCCAGAGATGCCCCGAGAACACTGTCCCAAGTCTAGAGGAACACCAACTTCAGCACAGCAACTCGAGGAATGCTCCGTGTACCCCAAATCGTCTCGAGATGCGAGCTGATTCCCTGGCTTAGGCTCAAGACGTATGCCAACTTCCCAGAAGCACCTCAGGAGGAGGCTTCTCTCAGCAATAGGTATGTGGGAGGGACCCCGAGTTTGCTGCCTCAAGGGGAATATACAGCGAGAAGCCCTAACTTGAAAGGAGGCCGGATTTCCTTGCAGTGGCTTGAATACAGGCTCGTCTTTCATCTCACAACATGAAGGGATGTCTGAATCCCCTGTGGAGACCTTAGAGAAAGCCCTAGGTCCCTGCCTCATTTTGACGGAATGCCTCACATCGCGCTGACACCTCGAGAGGCACGCGGAGTTCATTGCTTCAAAAGGTGACGATGCCTGACTCCTCTTGAATACTGATAGGAATCCCAAAATCCCTGTGGCTACTGGAAAGGGTCCTTGGGTGCCCTGCCTCACCTCGAGAAGCGTCCCTTTTGCCCTGCCAAGCCTCGAAGAGATTCCTGAGGTGTCCCTCGTTACTAGACAGGAGTCCTGACGTCACTGAAGAAACTCGTGTTTTGAAGGGCCATCCCCGCCGTAAGTCGAGAACATACCCCAGGTCCCCGCCGCAACTCGAGAAAAACCATGAGACTTCCCCCTAGAGGCGAGATGAGGCCCCATTCCCCTGCAGTGCATGCAGAGCTATTCCGTGATCCCATTCAAACAAGTCAGGAGCTTCGACTTGCTTAATGGATCTCGAGACAGTCCCCAAGAACACTGTCACCAGTCTAGACGGACCCTGAGGTCACCCCAGCAACGCAAAGCAGCTCCATGTGCCCCAAATCAACTCGAGATGAGGCCCGATTCCCCTGCATTGACCCCAGAGCCATTCCACGTTCCCCATTCAACACGACCGGTGGCTCGACTTCCTTCAGGCAACTCCAGAGATGCCCCGAGAACACTGTCCCAAGTCTAGAGGAACACCAACTTCAGCACAGCAACTCGAGGAATGCTCCGTGGACCCCAAATCGTCTCGAGATGCGAGCTGATTCCCTGGCTTAGGCTCAAGACGTATGCCAACTTCCCAGAAGCACCTCAGGAGGAGGCTTCTCTCAGCAATAGGTATGTGGGAGGGACCCCGAGTTTGCTGCCTCAAGGGGAATATACAGCGAGAAGCCCTAACTTGAAAGGAGGCCGGATTTCCTTGCAGTGGCTTGAATACAGGCTCGTCTTTCATCTCACAACATGAAGGGATGTCTGAATCCCCTGTGGAGACCTTAGAGAAAGCCCTAGGTCCCTGCCTCATTTTGACGGAATGCCTCACATCGCGCTGACACCTCGAGAGGCACGCGGAGTTCATTGCTTCAAAAGGTGACGATGCCTGACTCCTCTTGAATACTGATAGGAATCCCAAAATCCCTGTGGCTACTGGAAAGGGTCCTTGGGTGCCCTGCCTCACCTCGAGAAGCGTCCCTTTTGCCCTGCCAAGCCTCGAAGAGATTCCTGAGGTGTCCCTCGTTACTAGACAGGAGTCCTGACGTCACTGAAGAAACTCGTGTTTTGAAGGGCCATCCCCGCCGTAAGTCGAGAACATACCCCAGGTCCCCGCCGCAACTCGAGAAAAACCATGAGACTTCCCCCTAGAGGCGAGATGAGGCCCCATTCCCCTGCAGTGCATGCAGAGCTATTCCGTGATCCCATTCAAACAAGTCAGGAGCTTCGACTTGCTTAATGGATCTCGAGACAGTCCCCAAGAACACTGTCACCAGTCTAGACGGACCCTGAGGTCACCCCAGCAACGCAAAGCAGCTCCATGTGCCCCAAATCAACTCGAGATGAGGCCCGATTCCCCTGCATTGACCCCAGAGCCATTCCCCGTTCCCCATTCAACACGACCGGTGGCTCGACTTCCTTCAGGCAACTCCAGAGATGCCCCGAGAACACTGTCCCAAGTCTAGAGGAACACCAACTTCAGCACAGCAACTCGAGGAATGCTCCGTGTACCCCAAATCGTCTCGAGATGCGAGCTGATTCCCTGGCTTAGGCTCAAGACGTATGCCAACTTCCCAGAAGCACCTCAGGAGGAGGCTTCTCTCAGCAATAGGTATGTGGGAGGGACCCCGAGTTTGCTGCCTCAAGGGGAATATACAGCGAGAAGCCCTAACTTGAAAGGAGGCCGGATTTCCTTGCAGTGGCTTGAATACAGGCTCGTCTTTCATCTCACAACATGAAGGGATGTCTGAATCCCCTGTGGAGACCTTAGAGAAAGCCCTAGGTCCCTGCCTCATTTTGACGGAATGCCTCACATCGCGCTGACACCTCGAGAGGCACGCGGAGTTCATTGCTTCAAAAGGTGACGATGCCTGACTCCTCTTGAATACTGATAGGAATCCCAAAATCCCTGTGGCTACTGGAAAGGGTCCTTGGGTGCCCTGCCTCACCTCGAGAAGCGTCCCTTTTGCCCTGCCAAGCCTCGAAGAGATTCCTGAGGTGTCCCTCGTTACTAGACAGGAGTCCTGACGTCACTGAAGAAACTCGTGTTTTGAAGGGCCATCCCCGCCGTAAGTCGAGAACATAGCCCAGGTCCCCGCCGCAACTCGAGAAAAACCATGAGACTTCCCCCTAGAGGCGAGATGAGGCCCCATTCCCCTGCAGTGCATGCAGAGCTATTCCGTGATCCCATTCAAACAAGTCAGGAGCTTCGACTTGCTTAATGGATCTCGAGACAGTCCCCAAGAACACTGTCACCAGTCTAGACGGACCCTGAGGTCACCCCAGCAACGCAAAGCAGCTCCATGTGCCCCAAATCAACTCGAGATGAGGCCCGATTCCCCTGCATTGACCCCAGAGCCATTCCCCGTTCCCCATTCAACACGACCGGTGGCTCGACTTCCTTCAGGCAACTCCAGAGATGCCCCGAGAACACTGTCCCAAGTCTAGAGGAACACCAACTTCAGCACAGCAACTCGAGGAATGCTCCGTGTACCCCAAATCGTCTCGAGATGCGAGCTGATTCCCTGGCTTAGGCTCAAGACGTATGCCAACTTCCCAGAAGCACCTCAGGAGGAGGCTTCTCTCAGCAATAGGTATGTGGGAGGGACCCCGAGTTTGCTGCCTCAAGGGGAATATACAGCGAGAAGCCCTAACTTGAAAGGAGGCCGGATTTCCTTGCAGTGGCTTGAATACAGGCTCATCTTTCATCTCACAACATGAAGGGATGTCTGAATCCCCTGTGGAGACCTTAGAGAAAGCCCTAGGTCCCTGCCTCATTTTGACGGAATGCCTCACATCGCGCTGACACCTCGAGAGGCACGCGGAGTTCATTGCTTCAAAAGGTGACGATGCCTGACTCCTCTTGAATACTGATAGGAATCCCAAAATCCCTGTGGCTACTGGAAAGGGTCCTTGGGTGCCCTGCCTCACCTCGAGAAGCGTCCCTTTTGCCCTGCCAAGCCTCGAAGAGATTCCTGAGGTGTCCCTCGTTACTAGACAGGAGTCCTGACGTCACTGAAGAAACTCGTGTTTTGAAGGGCCATCCCCGCCGTAAGTCGAGAACATACCCCAGGTCCCCGCCGCAACTCGAGAAAAACCATGAGACTTCCCCCTAGAGGCGAGATGAGGCCCCATTCCCCTGCAGTGCATGCAGAGCTATTCCGTGATCCCATTCAAACAAGTCAGGAGCTTCGACTTGCTTAATGGATCTCGAGACAGTCCCCAAGAACACTGTCACCAGTCTAGACGGACCCTGAGGTCACCCCAGCAACGCAAAGCAGCTCCATGTGCCCCAAATCAACTCGAGATGAGGCCCGATTCCCCTGCATTGACACCAGAGCCATTCCCCGTTCCCCATTCAACACGACCGGTGGCTCGACTTCCTTCAGGCAACTCCAGAGATGCCCCGAGTACACTGTCCCAAGTCTAGAGGAACACCAACTTCAGCACAGCAACTCGAGGAATGCTCCGTGTACCCCAAATCGTCTCGAGATGCGAGCTGATTCCCTGGCTTAGGCTCAAGACGTATGCCAACTTCCCAGAAGCACCTCAGGAGGAGGCTTCTCTCAGCAATAGGTATGTGGGAGGGACCCCGAGTTTGCTGCCTCAAGGGGAATATACAGCGAGAAGCCCTAACTTGAAAGGAGGCCGGATTTCCTTGCAGTGGCTTGAATACAGGCTCGTCTTTCATCTCACAACATGAAGGGATGTCTGAATCCCCTGTGGAGACCTTAGAGAAAGCCCTAGGTCCCTGCCTCATTTTGACGGAATGCCTCACATCGCGCTGACACCTCGAGAGGCACGCGGAGTTCATTGCTTCAAAAGGTGACGATGCCTGACTCCTCTTGAATACTGATAGGAATCCCAAAATCCCTGTGGCTACTGGAAAGGGTCCTTGGGTGCCCTGCCTCACCTCGAGAAGCGTCCCTTTTGCCCTGCCAAGCCTCGAAGAGATTCCTGAGGTGTCCCTCGTTACTAGACAGGAGTCCTGACGTCACTGAAGAAACTCGTGTTTTGAAGGGCCATCCCCGCCGTAAGTCGAGAACATACCCCAGGTCCCCGCCGCAACTCGAGAAAAACCATGAGACTTCCCCCTAGAGGCGAGATGAGGCCCCATTCCCCTGCAGTGCATGCAGAGCTATTCCGTGATCCCATTCAAACAAGTCAGGAGCTTCGACTTGCTTAATGGATCTCGAGACAGTCCCCAAGAACACTGTCACCAGTCTAGACGGACCCTGAGGTCACCCCAGCAACGCAAAGCAGCTCCATGTGCCCCAAATCAACTCGAGATGAGGCCCGATTCCCCTGCATTGACCCCAGAGCCATTCCCCGTTCCCCATTCAACACGACCGGTGGCTCGACTTCCTTCAGGCAACTCCAGAGATGCCCCGAGAACACTGTCCCAAGTCTAGAGGAACACCAACTTCAGCACAGCAACTCGAGGAATGCTCCGTGTACCCCAAATCGTCTCGAGATGCGAGCTGATTCCCTGGCTTAGGCTCAAGACGTATGCCAACTTCCCAGAAGCACCTCAGGAGGAGGCTTCTCTCAGCAATAGGTATGTGGGAGGGACCCCGAGTTTGCTGCCTCAAGGGGAATATACAGCGAGAAGCCCTAACTTGAAAGGAGGCCGGATTTCCTTGCAGTGGCTTGAATACAGGCTCGTCTTTCATCTCACAACATGAAGGGATGTCTGAATCCCCTGTGGAGACCTTAGAGAAAGCCCTAGGTCCCTGCCTCATTTTGACGGAATGCCTCACATCGCGCTGACACCTCGAGAGGCACGCGGAGTTCATTGCTTCAAAAGGTGACGATGCCTGACTCCTCTTGAATACTGATAGGAATCCCAAAATCCCTGTGGCTACTGGAAAGGGTCCTTGGGTGCCCTGCCTCACCTCGAGAAGCGTCCCTTTTGCCCTGCCAAGCCTCGAAGAGATTCCTGAGGTGTCCCTCGTTACTAGACAGGAGTCCTGACGTCACTGAAGAAACTCGTGTTTTGAAGGGCCATCCCCGCCGTAAGTCGAGAACATACCCCAGGTCCCCGCCGCAACTCGAGAAAAACCATGAGACTTCCCCCTAGAGGCGAGATGAGGCCCCATTCCCCTGCAGTGCATGCAGAGCTATTCCGTGATCCCATTCAAACAAGTCAGGAGCTTCGACTTGCTTAATGGATCTCGAGACAGTCCCCAAGAACACTGTCACCAGTCTAGACGGACCCTGAGGTCACCCCAGCAACGCAAAGCAGCTCCATGTGCCCCAAATCAACTCGAGATGAGGCCCGATTCCCCTGCATTGACCCCAGAGCCATTCCCCGTTCCCCATTCAACACGACCGGTGGCTCGACTTCCTTCAGGCAACTCCAGAGATGCCCCGAGAACACTGTCCCAAGTCTAGAGGAACACCAACTTCAGCACAGCAACTCGAGGAATGCTCCGTGTACCCCAAATCGTCTCGAGATGCGAGCTGATTCCCTGGCTTAGGCTCAAGACGTATGCCAACTTCCCAGAAGCACCTCAGGAGGAGGCTTCTCTCAGCAATAGGTATGTGGGAGGGACCCCGAGTTTGCTGCCTCAAGGGGAATATACAGCGAGAAGCCCTAACTTGAAAGGAGGCCGGATTTCCTTGCAGTGGCTTGAATACAGGCTCGTCTTTCATCTCACAACATGAAGGGATGTCTGAATCCCCTGTGGAGACCTTAGAGAAAGCCCTAGGTCCCTGCCTCATTTTGACGGAATGCCTCACATCGCGCTGACACCTCGAGAGGCACGCGGAGTTCATTGCTTCAAAAGGTGACGATGCCTGACTCCTCTTGAATACTGATAGGAATCCCAAAATCCCTGTGGCTACTGGAAAGGGTCCTTGGGTGCCCTGCCTCACCTCGAGAAGCGTCCCTTTGGCCCTGCCAAGCCTCGAAGAGATTCCTGAGGTGTCCCTCGTTACTAGACAGGAGTCCTGACGTCACTGAAGAAACTCGTGTTTTGAAGGGCCATCCCCGCCGTAAGTCGAGAACATACCCCAGGTCCCGGCCGCAACTCGAGAAAAACCATGAGACTTCCCCCTAGAGGCGAGATGAGGCCCCATTCCCCTGCAGTGCATGCAGAGCTATTCCGTGATCCCATTCAAACAAGTCAGGAGCTTCGACTTGCTTAATGGATCTCGAGACAGTCCCCAAGAACACTGTCACCAGTCTAGACGGACCCTGAGGTCACCCCAGCAACGCAAAGCAGCTCCATGTGCCCCAAATCAACTCGAGATGAGGCCCGATTCCCCTGCATTGACTCCAGAGCCATTCCCCGTTCCCCATTCAACACGACCGGTGGCTCGACTTCCTTCAGGCAACTCCAGAGATGCCCCGAGAACACTGTCCCAAGTCTAGAGGAACACCAACTTCAACACAGCAATTCGAGGAATGCTCCGTGTACCCCAAATCGTCTCGAGATGCGAGCTGATTCCCTGGCTTAGGCTCAAGACGTATGCCAAATTCCCAGAAGCACCTCAGGAGGAGGCTTCTCTCAGCAATAGGTATGTGGGAGGGACCCCGAGTTTGCTGCCTCAAGGGGAATATACAGCGAGAAGCCCTAACTTGAAAGGAGGCCGGATTTCCTTGCAGTGGCTTGAATACAGGCTCGTCTTTCATCTCACAACATGAAGGGATGTCTGAATCCCCTGTGGCGACCTTAGAGAAAGCCCTAGGTCCCTGCCTCATTTTGACGGAATGCCTCACATCCCGCTGACACCTCGAGAGGCACGCGGAGTTCATTGCTTCAAAAGGTGACGATGCCTGACTCCTCTTGAATACTGATAGGAATCCCAAAATCCCTGTGGCTACTGGAAAGGGTCCTTGGGTGCCCTGCCTCACCTCGAGAAGCGTCCCTTTTGCCCTGCCAAGCCTCGAAGAGATTCCTGAGGTGTCCCTCGTTACTAGACAGGAGTCCTGACGTCACTGAAGAAACTCGTGTTTTGAAGGGCCATCCCCGCCATAAGTCGAGAACATACCCCAGGTCCCCGCCGCAACTCGAGAAAAACCATGAGACTTCCCCCTAGAGGCGAGATGAGGCCCCATTCCCCTGCAGTGAATGCAGAGCTATTCCGTGATCCCATTCAAACAAGTCAGGAGCTTCGACTTGCTTAATGGATCTCGAGACAGCCCCCAAGAACATTGTCACCAGTCTAGACGGACCCTGAGGTCACCCCAGCAACGCAAAGCAGCTCCATGTGCCCCAGATCAACTCGAGATGAGGCCCGATTCCCCTGCATTGACCCCAGAGCCATTCCCCCTTCCCCATTCAACACGGCCGGTGGCTCGACTTCCTTCAGGCAACTCCAGAGATGCCCCGAGAACACTGTCCCAAGTCTAGAGGAACACCAACTTCAGCACAGCAACTCGAGGAATGCTCCGTGTACCCCAAATCGTCTCGAGATGCGAGCTGATTCCCTGGCTTAGGCTCAAGACGTATGCCAACTTCCCAGAAGCACCTCAGGAGGAGGCTTCTCTCAGCAATAGGTATGTGGGAGGGACCCCGAGTTTGCTGCCTCAAGGGGAATATACAGCGAGAAGCCCTAACTTGAAAGGAGGCCGGATTTCCTTGCAGTGGCTTTAATACAGGCTCGTCTTTCATCTCACAACATGAAGGGATGTCTGAATCCCCTGTGGAGACCTTAGAGAAAGCCCTAGGTCCCTCCCTCATTTTGACGGAATGCCTCACATCCCGCTGACACCTCGAGAGGCACGCGGAGTTCATTGCTTCAAAAGGTGACGATGCCTGACTCCTCTTGAATACTGATAGGAATCCCAAAATCCCTGTGGCTACTGGAAAGGGTCCTTGGGTGCCCTGCCTCACCTCGAGAAGCGTCCCTTTTGCCCTGTCAAGCCTCGAAGAGATTCCTGAGGTGTCCCTCGTTACTAGACAGGAGTCCTGACGTCACTGAAGAAACTCGTGTTTTGAAGGGCCATCCCCGCCGTAAGTCGAGAACATACCCCAGGTCCCCGCCGCAACTCGAGAAAAACCATGAGACTTCCCCCAAAGGCGAGATGAGGCCCCATTCCCCTGCAGTGCATGCAGAGCTATTCCGTGATCCCATTCAAACAAGTCAGGAGCTTCGACTTGCTTAATGGATCTCGCGACAGTCCCCAAGAACACTGTCACCAGTCTAGACGGACCCTGAGGTCACCCCAGCAAAGCAAAGCAGCTCCATGTGCCCCAAATCAACTCGAGATGAGGCCCGATTCCCCTGCATTAACTCCAGAGCCATTCCCCGTTCCCCATTCAACACGACCGGTGGCTCGACTTCCTTCAGGCAACTCCAGAGATGCCCCGAGAACACTGTCCCAAGTCTAGAGGAACACCAACTTCAGCACAGCAACTCGAGGAATGCTCCGTGTACCCCAAATCGTCTCGAGATGCGAGCTGATTCCCTGGCTTAGGCTCAAGACGTATGCCAACTTCCCAGAAGCACCTCAGGAGGAGGCTTCTCTCAGCAATAGTTATGTGGGAGGGACCCCGAGTTTGCTGCCTCAAGGGGAATATACAGCGAGAAGCCCTAACTTGAAAGGAGGCCGGATTTCCTTGCAGTGGCTTGAATACAGGCTCGTCTTTCATCTCACAACATGAAGGGATGTCTGAATCCCCTGTGGAGACCTTAGAGCAAGCCCTAGGTTCCTGCCTCATTTTGACGGAATGCCTCACATCCCGCTGACACCTCGAGAGGCACGCGGAGTTCATTGCTTCAAAAGGTGACGATGCCTGACTCCTCTTGAATACTGATAGGAATCCCAAAATCCCTGTGGCTACTGGAAAGGGTCCTTGGGTGCCCTGCCTCACCTCGAGAAGCGTCCCTTTTGCCCTGCCAAGCCTCGAAGAGATTCCTGAGGTGTCCCTCGTTACTAGACAGGAGTCCTGACGTCACTGAAGAAACTCGTGTTTTGAAGGGCCATCCCCGCCGTAAGTCGAGAACATACCCCAGGTCCCCGCCGCAACTCGAGAAAAACCATGAGACTTCCCCCTAGAGGCGAGATGAGGCCCCATTCCCCTGCAGTGCATGCAGAGCTATTCCGTGATCCCATTCAAACAAGTCAGGAGCTTCGACTTGCTTAATGGATCTCGAGACAGTCCCCAAGAACACTGTCACCAGTCTAGACGGACCCTGAGGTCACCCCAGCAACGCAAAGCAGCTCCATGTGCCCCAAATCAACTCGAGATGAGGCCCGATTCCCCTGCATTGACCCCAGAGCCATTCCCCGTTCCCCATTCAACACGACCGGTGGCTCGACTTCCTTCAGGCAACTCCAGAGATGCCCCGAGAACACTGTCCCAAGTCTAGAGGAACACCAACTTCAACACAGCAACTCGAGGAATGCTCCGTGTACCCCAAATCGTCTCGAGATGCGAGCTGATTCCCTGGCTTAGGCTCAAGACGTATGCCAACTTCCCAGAAGCACCTCAGGAGGAGGCTTCTCTCAGCAATAGGTATGTGGGAGGGACCCCGAGTTTGCTGCCTCAAGGGTAATATACAGCGAGAAGCCCTAACTTGAAAGGAGGCCGGATTTCCTTGCAGTGGCTTGAATACAGGCTCGTCTTTCATCTCACAACATGAAGGGATGTCTGAATCCCCTGTGGAGACCTTAGAGAAAGACCTAGGTCCCTGCCTCATTTTGACGGAATGCCTCACATCGCGCTGACACCTCGAGAGGCACGCGGAGTTCATTGCTTCAAAAGGTGACGATGCCTGACTCCTCTTGAATACTGATAGGAATCCCAAAATCCCTGTGGCTACTGGAAAGGGTCCTTGGGTGCCCTGCCTCACCTCGAGAAGCGTCCCTTTGGCCCTGCCAAGCCTCGAAGAGATTCCTGAGGTGTCCCTCGTTACTAGACAGGAGTCCTGACGTCACTGAAGAAACTCGTGTTTTGAAGGGCCATCCCCGCCGTAAGTCGAGAACATACCCCAGGTCCCCGCCGCAACTCGAGAAAAACCATGAGACTTCCCCCTAGAGGCGAGATGAGGCCCCATTCCCCTGCAGTGCATGCAGAGCTATTCCGTGATCCCATTCAAACAAGTCAGGAGCTTCGACTTGCTTAATGGATCTCGAGACAGTCCCCAAGAACACTGTCACCAGTCTAGACGGACCCTGAGGTCACCCCAGCAACGCAAAGCAGCTCCATGTGCCCCAAATCAACTCGAGATGAGGCCCGATTCCCCTGCATTGACTCCAGAGCCATTCCCCGTTCCCCATTCAACACGACCGGTGGCTCGACTTCCTTCAGGCAACTCCAGAGATGCCCCGAGAACACTGTCCCAAGTCTAGAGGAACACCAACTTCAACACAGCAACTCGAGGAATGCTCCGTGTACCCCAAATCGTCTCGAGATGCGAGCTGATTCCCTGGCTTAGGCTCAAGACGTATGCCAAATTCCCAGAAGCACCTCAGGAGGAGGCTTCTCTCAGCAATAGGTATGTGGGAGGGACCCCGAGTTTGCTGCCTCAAGGGGAATATACAGCGAGAAGCCCTAACTTGAAAGGAGGCCGGATTTCCTTGCAGTGGCTTGAATACAGGCTCGTCTTTCATCTCACAACATGAAGGGATGTCTGAATCCCCTGTGGCGACCTTAGAGAAAGCCCTAGGTCCCTGCCTCATTTTGACGGAATGCCTCACATCCCGCTGACACCTCGAGAGGCACGCGGAGTTCATTGCTTCAAAAGGTGACGATGCCTGACTCCTCTTGAATACTGATAGGAATCCCAAAATCCCTGTGGCTACTGGAAAGGGTCCTTGGGTGCCCTGCCTCACCTCGAGAAGCGTCCCTTTTGCCCTGCCAAGCCTCGAAGAGATTCCTGAGGTGTCCCTCGTTACTAGACAGGAGTCCTGACGTCACTGAAGAAACTCGTGTTTTGAAGGGCCATCCCCGCCATAAGTCGAGAACATACCCCAGGTCCCCGCCGCAACTCGAGAAAAACCATGAGACTTCCCCCTAGAGGCGAGATGAGGCCCCATTCCCCTGCAGTGAATGCAGAGCTATTCCGTGATCCCATTCAAACAAGTCAGGAGCTTCGACTTGCTTAATGGATCTCGAGACAGCCCCCAAGAACATTGTCACCAGTCTAGACGGACCCTGAGGTCACCCCAGCAACGCAAAGCAGCTCCATGTGCCCCAGATCAACTCGAGATGAGGCCCGATTCCCCTGCATTGACCCCAGAGCCATTCCCCCTTCCCCATTCAACACGGCCGGTGGCTCGACTTCCTTCAGGCAACTCCAGAGATGCCCCGAGAACACTGTCCCAAGTCTAGAGGAACACCAACTTCAGCACAGCAACTCGAGGAATGCTCCGTGTACCCCAAATCGTCTCGAGATGCGAGCTGATTCCCTGGCTTAGGCTCAAGACGTATGCCAACTTCCCAGAAGCACCTCAGGAGGAGGCTTCTCTCAGCAATAGGTATGTGGGAGGGACCCCGAGTTTGCTGCCTCAAGGGGAATATACAGCGAGAAGCCCTAACTTGAAAGGAGGCCGGATTTCCTTGCAGTGGCTTTAATACAGGCTCGTCTTTCATCTCACAACATGAAGGGATGTCTGAATCCCCTGTGGAGACCTTAGAGAAAGCCCTAGGTCCCTCCCTCATTTTGACGGAATGCCTCACATCCCGCTGACACCTCGAGAGGCACGCGGAGTTCATTGCTTCAAAAGGTGACGATGCCTGACTCCTCTTGAATACTGATAGGAATCCCAAAATCCCTGTGGCTACTGGAAAGGGTCCTTGGGTGCCCTGCCTCACCTCGAGAAGCGTCCCTTTTGCCCTGTCAAGCCTCGAAGAGATTCCTGAGGTGTCCCTCGTTACTAGACAGGAGTCCTGACGTCACTGAAGAAACTCGTGTTTTGAAGGGCCATCCCCGCCGTAAGTCGAGAACATACCCCAGGTCCCCGCCGCAACTCGAGAAAAACCATGAGACTTCCCCCAAAGGCGAGATGAGGCCCCATTCCCCTGCAGTGCATGCAGAGCTATTCCGTGATCCCATTCAAACAAGTCAGGAGCTTCGACTTGCTTAATGGATCTCGCGACAGTCCCCAAGAACACTGTCACCAGTCTAGACGGACCCTGAGGTCACCCCAGCAAAGCAAAGCAGCTCCATGTGCCCCAAATCAACTCGAGATGAGGCCCGATTCCCCTGCATTAACTCCAGAGCCATTCCCCGTTCCCCATTCAACACGACCGGTGGCTCGACTTCCTTCAGGCAACTCCAGAGATGCCCCGAGAACACTGTCCCAAGTCTAGAGGAACACCAACTTCAGCACAGCAACTCGAGGAATGCTCCGTGTACCCCAAATCGTCTCGAGATGCGAGCTGATTCCCTGGCTTAGGCTCAAGACGTATGCCAACTTCCCAGAAGCACCTCAGGAGGAGGCTTCTCTCAGCAATAGTTATGTGGGAGGGACCCCGAGTTTGCTGCCTCAAGGGGAATATACAGCGAGAAGCCCTAACTTGAAAGGAGGCCGGATTTCCTTGCAGTGGCTTGAATACAGGCTCGTCTTTCATCTCACAACATGAAGGGATGTCTGAATCCCCTGTGGAGACCTTAGAGCAAGCCCTAGGTTCCTGCCTCATTTTGACGGAATGCCTCACATCCCGCTGACACCTCGAGAGGCACGCGGAGTTCATTGCTTCAAAAGGTGACGATGCCTGACTCCTCTTGAATACTGATAGGAATCCCAAAATCCCTGTGGCTACTGGAAAGGGTCCTTGGGTGCCCTGCCTCACCTCGAGAAGCGTCCCTTTTGCCCTGCCAAGCCTCGAAGAGATTCCTGAGGTGTCCCTCGTTACTAGACAGGAGTCCTGACGTCACTGAAGAAACTCGTGTTTTGAAGGGCCATCCCCGCCGTAAGTCGAGAACATACCCCAGGTCCCCGCCGCAACTCGAGAAAAACCATGAGACTTCCCCCTAGAGGCGAGATGAGGCCCCATTCCCCTGCAGTGCATGCAGAGCTATTCCGTGATCCCATTCAAACAAGTCAGGAGCTTCGACTTGCTTAATGGATCTCGAGACAGTCCCCAAGAACACTGTCACCAGTCTAGACGGACCCTGAGGTCACCCCAGCAACGCAAAGCAGCTCCATGTGCCCCAAATCAACTCGAGATGAGGCCCGATTCCCCTGCATTGACCCCAGAGCCATTCCCCGTTCCCCATTCAACACGACCGGTGGCTCGACTTCCTTCAGGCAACTCCAGAGATGCCCCGAGAACACTGTCCCAAGTCTAGAGGAACACCAACTTCAACACAGCAACTCGAGGAATGCTCCGTGTACCCCAAATCGTCTCGAGATGCGAGCTGATTCCCTGGCTTAGGCTCAAGACGTATGCCAACTTCCCAGAAGCACCTCAGGAGGAGGCTTCTCTCAGCAATAGGTATGTGGGAGGGACCCCGAGTTTGCTGCCTCAAGGGTAATATACAGCGAGAAGCCCTAACTTGAAAGGAGGCCGGATTTCCTTACAGTGGCTTGAATACAGGCTCGTCTTTCATCTCACAACATGAAGGGATGTCTGAATCCCCTGTGGAGACCTTAGAGAAAGACCTAGGTCCCTGCCTCATTTTGACGGAATGCCTCACATCGCGCTGACACCTCGAGAGGCACGCGGAGTTCATTGCTTCAAAAGGTGACGATGCCTGACTCCTCTTGAATACTGATAGGAATCCCAAAATCCCTGTGGCTACTGGAAAGGGTCCTTGGGTGCCCTGCCTCACCTCGAGAAGCGTCCCTTTGGCCCTGCCAAGCCTCGAAGAGATTCCTGAGGTGTCCCTCGTTACTAGACAGGAGTCCTGACGTCACTGAAGAAACTCGTGTTTTGAAGGGCCATCCCCGCCGTAAGTCGAGAACATACCCCAGGTCCCCGCCGCAACTCGAGAAAAACCATGAGACTTCCCCCTAGAGGCGAGATGAGGCCCCATTCCCCTGCAGTGCATGCAGAGCTATTCCGTGATCCCATTCAAACAAGTCAGGAGCTTCGACTTGCTTAATGGATCTCGAGACAGTCCCCAAGAACACTGTCACCAGTCTAGACGGACCCTGAGGTCACCCCAGCAACGCAAAGCAGCTCCATGTGCCCCAAATCAACTCGAGATGAGGCCCGATTCCCCTGCATTGACTCCAGAGCCATTCCCCGTTCCCCATTCAACACGACCGGTGGCTCGACTTCCTTCAGGCAACTCCAGAGATGCCCCGAGAACACTGTCCCAAGTCTAGAGGAACACCAACTTCAACACAGCAACTCGAGGAATGCTCCGTGTACCCCAAATCGTCTCGAGATGCGAGCTGATTCCCTGGCTTAGGCTCAAGACGTATGCCAAATTCCCAGAAGCACCTCAGGAGGAGGCTTCTCTCAGCAATAGGTATGTGGGAGGGACCCCGAGTTTGCTGCCTCAAGGGGAATATACAGCGAGAAGCCCTAACTTGAAAGGAGGCCGGATTTCCTTGCAGTGGCTTGAATACAGGCTCGTCTTTCATCTCACAACATGAAGGGATGTCTGAATCCCCTGTGGAGACCTTAGAGAAAGCCCTAGGTCCCTGCCTCATTTTGACGGAATGCCTCACATCGCGCTGACACCTCGAGAGGCACGCGGAGTTCATTGCTTCAAAAGGTGACGATGCCTGACTCCTCTTGAATACTGATAGGAATCCCAAAATCCCTGTGGCTACTGGAAAGGGTCCTTGGGTGCCCTGCCTCACCTCGAGAAGCGTCCCTTTGGCCCTGCCAAGCCTCGAAGAGATTCCTGAGGTGTCCCTCGTTACTAGACAGGAGTCCTGACGTCACTGAAGAAACTCGTGTTTTGAAGGGCCATCCCCGCCGTAAGTCGAGAACATACCCCAGGTCCCCGCCGCAACTCGAGAAAAACCATGAGACTTCCCCCTAGAGGCGAGATGAGGCCCCATTCCCCTGCAGTGCATGCAGAGCTATTCCGTGATCCCATTCAAACAAGTCAGGAGCTTCGACTTGCTTAATGGATCTCGAGACAGTCCCCAAGATCACTGTCACCAGTCTAGACGGACCCTGAGGTCACCACAGCAACGCAAAGCAGCTCCATGTGCCCCAAATCAACTCGAGATGAGGCCCGATTCCCCTGCATTGACCCCAGAGCCATTCCCCGTTCCCCATTCAACACGACCGGTGGCTCGACTTCCTTCAGGCAACTCCAGAGATGCCCCGAGAACACTGTCCCAAGTCTAGAGGAACATCAACTTCAGCACAGCAACTCGAGGAATGCTCCGTGTACCCCAAATCGTCTCGAGATGCGAGCTGATTCCCTGGCTTAGGCTCAAGATGTATGCCAAATTCCCAGAAGCACCTCAGGAGGAGGCTTCTCTCAGCAATAGGTATGTGGGAGGGACCCCGAGTTTGCTGCCTCAAGGGGAATATACAGCGAGAAGCCCTAACTTGAAAGGAGGCCTGATTTCCTTGCAGTGGCTTGAATACAGGCTCGTCTTTCATCTCACAACATGAAGGGATGTCTGAATCCCCTGTGGAGACCTTAGAGAAAGCCCTAGGTCCCTGCCTCATTTTGACATAATGCCTCACATCCCGCTGACACCTCGAGAGGCACGCGGAGTTCATTGCTTCAAAAGGTGACGATGCCTGACTCCTCTTGAATACTGATAGGAATCCCAAAATCCCTGTGGCTACTGGAAAGGGTCCTTGGGTGCCCTGCCTCACCTCGAGAAGCGTCCCTTTGGCCCTGCCAAGCCTCGAAGAGATTCCTGAGGTGTCCCTCGTTACTAGACAGGAGTCCTGACGTCACTGAAGAAACTCGTGTTTTGAAGGGCCATCCCCGCCGTAAGTCGAGAACATACCCCAGGTCCCCGCCGCAACTCGAGAAAAACCATGAGACTTCCCCCTAGAGGCGAGATGAGGCCCCATTCCCCTGCAGTGCATGCAGAGCTATTCCGTGATCCCATTCAAACAAGTCAGGAGCTTCGACTTGCTTAATGGATCTCGAGACAGTCCCCAAGAACACTGTCACCAGTCTAGACGGACCCTGAGGTCACCCCAGCAACGCAAAGCAGCTCCATGTGCCCCAAATCAACTCGAGATGAGGCCCGATTCCCCTGCATTGACCCCAGAGCCATTCCCCGTTCCCCATTCAACACGACCGGTGGCTCGACTTCCTTCAGGCAACTCCAGAGATGCCCCGAGAACACTGTCCCAAGTCTAGAGAAACACCAACTTCAACACAGCAACTCGAGGAATGCTCCGTGTACCCCAAATCATCTCGAGATGCGAGCTGATTCCCTGGCTTAGGCTCAAGACGTATGCCAACTTCCCAGAAGCACCTCAGGAGGAGGCTTCTCTCAGCAATAGGTATGTGGGAGGGACCCCGAGTTTGCTGCCTCAAGGGGAATATACAGCGAGAAGCCCTAACTTGAAAGGAGGCCGGATTTCCTTGCAGTGGCTTGAATACAGGCTCGTCTTTCATCTCACAACATGAAGGGATGTCTGAATCCCCTGTGGAGAACTTAGAGAAAGTCCTAGGTCCCTGCCTCATTTTGACGGAATGCCTCACATCGCGCTGACACCTCGAGAGGCACGCGGAGTTCATTGCTTCAAAAGGTGACGATGCCTGACTCCTCTTGAATACTGATAGGAATCCCAAAATCCCTGTGGCTACTGGAAAGGGTCCTTGGGTGCCCTGCCTCACCTCGAGAAGCGTCCCTTTTGCCCTGCCAAGCCTCGAAGAGATTCCTGAGGTGTCCCTCGTTACTAGACAGGAGTCCTGACGTCACTGAAGAAACTCGTGTTTTGAAGGGCCATCCCCGCCGTAAGTCGAGAACATACCCCAGGTCCCCGCCGCAACTCGAGAAAAACCATGAGACTTCCCCCTAGAGGCGAGATGAGGCCCCATTCCCCTGCAGTGCATGCAGAGCTATTCCGTGATCCCATTCAAACAAGTCAGGAGCTTCGACTTGCTTAATGGATCTCGAGACAGTCCCCAAGAACACTGTCACCAGTCTAGACGGACCCTGAGGTCACCCCAGCAACGCAAAGCAGCTCCATGTGCCCCAAATCAACTCGAGATGAGGCCCGATTCCCCTGCATTGACCCCAGAGCCATTCCCCGTTCCCCATTCAACACGACCGGTGGCTCGACTTCCTTCAGGCAACTCCAGAGATGCCCCGAGAACACTGTCCCAAGTCTAGAGAAACACCAACTTCAACACAGCAACTCGAGGAATGCTCCGTGTACCCCAAATCATCTCGAGATGCGAGCTGATTCCCTGGCTTAGGCTCAAGACGTATGCCAACTTCCAAGAAGCACCTCAGGAGGAGGCTTCTCTCAGCAATAGGTATGTGGGAGGGACCCCGAGTTTGCTGCCTCAAGGGGAATATACAGCGAGAAGCCCTAACTTGAAAGGAGGCCGGATTTCCTTGCAGTGGCTTGAATACAGGCTCGTCTTTCATCTCACAACATGAAGGGATGTCTGAATCCCCTGTGGAGAACTTAGAGAAAGTCCTAGGTCCCTGCCTCATTTTGACGGAATGCCTCACATCGCGCTGACACCTCGAGAGGCACGCGGAGTTCATTGCTTCAAAAGGTGACGATGCCTGACTCCTCTTGAATACTGATAGGAATCCCAAAATCCCTGTGGCTACTGGAAAGGGTCCTTGGGTGCCCTGCCTCACCTCGAGAAGCGTCCCTTTTGCCCTGCCAAGCCTCGAAGAGATTCCTGAGGTGTCCCTCGTTACTAGACAGGAGTCCTGACGTCACTGAAGAAACTCGTGTTTTGAAGGGCCATCCCCGCCGTAAGTCGAGAACATACCCCAGGTCCCCGCCGCAACTCGAGAAAAACCATGAGACTTCCCCCTAGAGGCGAGATGAGGCCCCATTCCCCTGCAGTGAATGCAGAGCTATTCCGTGATCCCATTCAAACAAGTCAGGAGCTTCGACTTGCTTAATGGATCTCGAGACAGCCCCCAAGAACATTGTCACCAGTCTAGACGGACCCTGAGGTCACCCCAGCAACGCAAAGCAGCTCCATGTGCCCCAGATCAACTCGAGATGAGGCCCGATTCCCCTCCATTGACCCCAGAGCCATTCCCCCTTCCCCATTCAACACGGCCGGTGGCTCGACTTCCTTCAGGCAACTCCAGAGATGCCCCGAGAACACTGTCCCAAGTCTAGAGGAACACCAACTTCAGCACAGCAACTCGAGGAATGCTCCGTGTACCCCAAATCGTCTCGAGATGCGAGCTGATTCCCTGGCTTAGGCTCAAGACGTATGCCAACTTCCCAGAAGCACCTCAGGAGGAGGCTTCTCTCAGCAATAGGTATGTGGGAGGGACCCCGAGTTTGCTGCCTCAAGGGGAATATACAGCGAGAAGCCCTAACTTGAAAGGAGGCCGGATTTCCTTGCAGTGGCTTGAATACAGGCTCGTCTTTCATCTCACAACATGAAGGGATGTCTGAATCCCCTGTGGAGACCTTAGAGCAAGCCTTAGGTTCCTGCCTCATTTTGACGGAATGCCTCACATCCCGCTGACACCTCGAGAGGCACGCGGAGTTCATTGCTTCAAAAGGTGACGATGCCTGACTCCTCTTGAATACTGATAGGAATCCCAAAATCCCTGTGGCTACTGGAAAGGGTCCTTGGGTGCCCTGCCTCACCTCGAGAAGGGTCCCTTTGGCCCTGCCAAGCCTCGAAGAGATTCCTGAGGTGTCCCTCGTTACTAGACAGGAGTCCTGACGTCACTGAAGAAACTCGTGTTTTGAAGGGCCATCCCCGCCGTAAGTCGAGAACATACCCCAGGTCCCCGCCGCAACTCGAGAAAAACCATGAGACTTCCCCCTAGAGGCGAGATGAGGCCCCATTCCCCTGCAGTGCATGCAGAGCTATTCCGTGATCCCATTCAAACAAGTCAGGAGCTTCGACTTGCTTAATGGATCTCGAGACAGTCCCCAAGAACACTGTCACCAGTCTAGACGGACCCTGAGGTCACCCCAGCAATGCAAAGCAGCTCCATGTGCCCCAAATCAACTCGAGATGAGGCCCGATTCCCCTGCATTGACCCCAGAGCCATTCCCCGTTCCCCATTCAACACGACCGGTGGCTCGACTTCCTTCAGGCAACTCCAGAGATGCCCCGAGAACACTGTCCCAAGTCTAGAGGAACACCAACTTCAACACAGCAACTCGAGGAATGCTCCGTGTACCCCAAATCGTCTCGAGATGCGAGCTGATTCCCTGGCTTAGGCTCAAGACGTATGCCAACTTCCCAGAAGCACCTCAGGAGGAGGCTTCTCTCAGCAATAGGTATGTGGGAGGGACCCCGAGTTTGCTGCCTCAAGGGGAATATACAGCGAGAAGCCCTAACTTGAAAGGAGGCCGGATTTCCTTGCAGTGGCTTGAATACAGGCTCGTCTTTCATCTCACAACATGAAGGGATGTCTGAATCCCCTGTGGAGACCTTAGAGAAAGACCTAGGTCCCTGCCTCATTTTGACGGAAGGCCTCACATCCCGCTGACACCTCGAGAGGCACGCGGAGTTCATTGCTTCAAAAGGTGACGATGCCTGACTCCTCTTGAATACTGATAGGAATCCCAAAATCCCTGTGGCTACTGGAAAGGGTCCTTGGGTGCCCTGCCTCACCTCGAGAAGCGTCCCTTTTGCCCTGCCAAGCCTCGAAGAGATTCCTGAGGTGTCCCTCGTTACTAGAGAGGAGTCCTGACGTCACTGAAGAAACTCGTGTTTTGAAGGGCCATCCCCGCCGTAAGTCGAGAACATACCCCAGGTCCCCGCCGCAACTCGAGAAAAACCATGAGACTTCCCCCAAAGGCGAGATGAGGCCCCATTCCCCTGCAGTGCATGCAGAGCTATTCCGTGATCCCATTCAAACAAGTCAGGAGCTTCGACTTGCTTAATGGATCTCGCGACAGTCCCCAAGAACACTGTCACCAGTCTAGACGGACCCTGAGGTCACCCCAGCAAAGCAAAGCAGCTCCATGTGCCCCAAATCAACTCGAGATGAGGCCCGATTCCCCTGCATTAACTCCAGAGCCATTCCCCGTTCCCCATTCAACACGACCGGTGGCTCGACTTCCTTCAGGCAACTCCAGAGATGCCCCGAGAACACTGTCCCAAGTCTAGAGGAACACCAACTTCAGCACAGCAACTCGAGGAATGCTCCGTGTACCCCAAATCGTCTCGAGATGCGAGCTGATTCCCTGGCTTAGGCTCAAGACGTATGCCAACTTCCCAGAAGCACCTCAGGAGGAGGCTTCTCTCAGCAATAGGTATGTGGGAGGGACCCCGAGTTTGCTGCCTCAAGGGGAATATACAGCGAGAAGCCCTAACTTGAAAGGAGGCCGGATTTCCTTGCAGTGGCTTGAATACAGGCTCGTCTTTCATCTCACAACATGAAGGGATGTCTGAATCCCCTGTGGAGACCTTAGAGAAAGACCTAGGTCCCTGCCTCATTTTGACGGAATGCCTCACATCCCGCTGACACCTCGAGAGGCACGCGGAGTTCATTGCTTCAAAAGGTGACGATGCCTGACTCCTCTTGAATACTGATAGGAATCCCAAAATCCCTGTGGCTACTGGAAAGGGTCCTTGGGTGCCCTGCCTCACCTCGAGAAGCGTCCCTTTTGCCCTGCCAAGCCTCGAAGAGATTCCTGAGGTGTCCCTCGTTACTAGACAGGAGTCCTGACGTCACTGAAGAAACTCGTGTTTTGAAGGGCCATCCCCGCCGTAAGTCGAGAACATACCCCAGGTCCCCGCCGCAACTCGAGAAAAACCATGAGACTTCCCCCAAAGGCGAGATGAGGCCCCATTCCCCTGCAGTGCATGCAGAGCTATTCCGTGATCCCATTCAAACAAGTCAGGAGCTTCGACTTGCTTAATGGATCTCGCGACAGTCCCCAAGAACACTGTCACCAGTCTAGACGGACCCTGAGGTCACCCCAGCAAAGCAAAGCAGCTCCATGTGCCCCAAATCAACTCGAGATGAGGCCCGATTCCCCTGCATTAACTCCAGAGCCATTCCCCGTTCCCCATTCAACACGACCGGTGGCTCGACTTCCTTCAGGCAACTCCAGAGATGCCCCGAGAACACTGTCCCAAGTCTAGAGGAACACCAACTTCAGCACAGCAACTCGAGGAATGCTCTGTGTACCCCAAATCGTCTCGAGATGCGAGCTGATTCCCTGGCTTAGGCTCAAGACGTATGCCAACTTCCCAGAAGCACCTCAGGAGGAGGCTTCTCTCAGCAATAGTTATGTGGGAGGGACCCCGAGTTTGCTGCCTCAAGGGGAATATACAGCGCGAAGCCCTAACTTGAAAGGAGGCCGGATTTCCTTGCAGTGGCTTGAATACAGGCTCGTCTTTCATCTCACAACATGAAGGGATGACTGAATCCCCTGTGGAAAACTTAGAGAAAGTCCTAGGTCCCTGCCTCATTTTGACGGAATGCCTCACATCGCGCTGACACCTCGAGAGGCACGCGGAGTTCATTGCTTCAAAAGGTGACGATGCCTGACTCCTCTTGAATACTGATAGGAATCCCAAAATCCCTGTGGCTACTGGAAAGGGTCCTTGGGTGCCCTGCCTCACCTCGAGAAGCGTCCCTTTTCCCCTGCCAAGCCTCGAAGAGATTCCTGAGGTGTCCCTCGTTACTAGACAGGAGTCCTGACGTCACTGAAGAAACTCGTGTTTTGAAGGGCCATCCCCGCCGTAAGTCGAGAACATACCCCAGGTCCCCGCCGCAACTCGAGAAAAACCATGAGACTTCCCCCTAGAGGCGAGATGAGGCCCCATTCCCCTGCAGTGCATGCAGAGCTATTCCGTGATCCCATTCAAACAAGTCAGGAGCTTCGACTTGCTTAATGGATCTCGAGACAGTCCCCAAGAACACTGTCACCAGTCTAGACGGACCCTGAGGTCACCCCAGCAACGCAAAGCAGCTCCATGTGCCCCAAATCAACTCGAGATGAGGCCCGATTCCCCTGCATTGACCCCAGAGCCATTCCCCGTTCCCCATTCAACACGACCGGTGGCTCGACTTCCTTCAGGCAACTCCAGAGATGCCCCGAGAACACTGTCCCAAGTCTAGAGAAACACCAACTTCAACACAGCAACTCGAGGAATGCTCCGTGTACCCCAAATCATCTCGAGATGCGAGCTGATTCCCTGGCTTAGGCTCAAGACGTATGCCAACTTCCCAGAAGCACCTCAGGAGGAGGCTTCTCTCAGCAATAGGTATGTGGGAGGGACCCCGAGTTTGCTGCCTCAAGGGGAATATACAGCGAGAAGCCCTAACTTGAAAGGAGGCCGGATTTCCATGCAGTGGCTTGAATACAGGCTCGTCTTTCATCTCACAACATGAAGGGATGTCTGAATCCCCTGTGGAGAACTTAGAGAAAGTCCTAGGTCCCTGCCTCATTTTGACGGAATGCCTCACATCGCGCTGACACCTCGAGAGGCACGCGGAGTTCATTGCTTCAAAAGGTGACGATGCCTGACTCCTCTTGAATACTGATAGGAATCCCAAAATCCCTGTGGCTACTGGAAAGGGTCCTTGGGTGCCCTGCCTCACCTCGAGAAGCGTCCCTTTTGCCCTGCCAAGCCTCGAAGAGATTCCTGAGGTGTCCCTCGTTACTAGACAGGAGTCCTGACGTCACTGAAGAAACTCGTGTTTTGAAGGGCCATCCCCGCCGTAAGTCGAGAACATACCCCAGGTCCCCGCCGCAACTCGAGAAAAACCATGAGACTTCCCCCTAGAGGCGAGATGAGGCCCCATTCCCCTGCAGTGAATGCAGAGCTATTCCGTGATCCCATTCAAACAAGTCAGGAGCTTCGACTTGCTTAATGGATCTCGAGACAGCCCCCAAGAACATTGTCACCAGTCTAGACGGACCCTGAGGTCACCCCAGCAACGCAAAGCAGCTCCATGTGCCCCAGATCAACTCGAGATGAGGCCCGATTCCCCTCCATTGACCCCAGAGCCATTCCCCCTTCCCCATTCAACACGGCCGGTGGCTCGACTTCCTTCAGGCAACTCCAGAGATGCCCCGAGAACACTGTCCCAAGTCTAGAGGAACACCAACTTCAGCACAGCAACTCGAGGAATGCTCCGTGTACCCCAAATCGTCTCGAGATGCGAGCTGATTCCCTGGCTTAGGCTCAAGACGTATGCCAACTTCCCAGAAGCACCTCAGGAGGAGGCTTCTCTCAGCAATAGGTATGTGGGAGGGACCCCGAGTTTGCTGCCTCAAGGGGAATATACAGCGAGAAGCCCTAACTTGAAAGGAGGCCGGATTTCCTTGCAGTGGCTTGAATACAGGCTCGTCTTTCATCTCACAACATGAAGGGATGTCTGAATCCCCTGTGGAGACCTTAGAGCAAGCCCTAGGTTCCTGCCTCATTTTGACGGAATGCCTCACATCCCGCTGACACCTCGAGAGGCACGCGGAGTTCATTGCTTCAAAAGGTGACGATGCCTGACTCCTCTTGAATACTGATAGGAATCCCAAAATCCCTGTGGCTACTGGAAAGGGTCCTTGGGTGCCCTGCCTCACCTCGAGAAGCGTCCCTTTTGCCCTGCCAAGCCTCGAAGAGATTCCTGAGGTGTCCCTCGTTACTAGACAGGAGTCCTGACGTCACTGAAGAAACTCGTGTTTTGAAGGGCCATCCCCGCCGTAAGTCGAGAACATACCCCAGGTCCCCGCCGCAACTCGAGAAAAACCATGAGACTTCCCCCTAGAGGCGAGATGAGGCCCCATTCCCCTGCAGTGCATGCAGAGCTATTCCGTGATCCCATTCAAACAAGTCAGGAGCTTCGACTTGCTTAATGGATCTCGAGACAGTCCCCAAGAACACTGTCACCAGTCTAGACGGACCCTGAGGTCACCCCAGCAACGCAAAGCAGCTCCATGTGCCCCAAATCAACTCGAGATGAGGCCCGATTCCCCTGCATTGACCCCAGAGCCATTCCCCGTTCCCCATTCAACACGACCGGTGGCTCGACTTCCTTCAGGCAACTCCAGAGATGCCCCGAGAACACTGTCCCAAGTCTAGAGGAACACCAACTTCAACACAGCAACTCGAGGAATGCTCCGTGTACCCCAAATCGTCTCGAGATGCGAGCTGATTCCCTGGCTTAGGCTCAAGAGGTATGCCAACTTCCCAGAAGCACCTCAGGAGGAGGCTTCTCTCAGCAATAGGTATGTGGGAGGGACCCCGAGTTTGCTGCCTCAAGGGGAATATACAGCGAGAAGCCCTAACTTGAAAGGAGGCCGGATTTCCTTGCAGTGGCTTGAATACAGGCTCGTCTTTCATCTCACAACATGAAGGGATGTCTGAATCCCCTGTGGAGACCTTAGAGAAAGACCTAGGTCCCTGCCTCATTTTGACGGAATGCCTCACATCCCGCTGACACCTCGAGAGGCACGCGGAGTTCATTGCTTCAAAAGGTGACGATGCCTGACTCCTCTTGAATACTGATAGGAATCCCAAAATCCCTGTGGCTACTGGAAAGGGTCCTTGGGTGCCCTGCCTCACCTCGAGAAGCGTCCCTTTTGCCCTGCCAAGCCTCGAAGAGATTCCTGAGGTGTCCCTCGTTACTAGAGAGGAGTCCTGACGTCACTGAAGAAACTCGTGTTTTGAAGGGCCATCCCCGCCGTAAGTCGAGAACATACCCCAGGTCCCCGCCGCAACTCGAGAAAAACCATGAGACTTCCCCCAAAGGCGAGATGAGGCCCCATTCCCCTGCAGTGCATGCAGAGCTATTCCGTGATCCCATTCAAACAAGTCAGGAGCTTCGACTTGCTTAATGGATCTCGCGACAGTCCCCAAGAACACTGTCACCAGTCTAGACGGACCCTGAGGTCACCCCAGCAAAGCAAAGCAGCTCCATGTGCCCCAAATCAACTCGAGATGAGGCCCGATTCCCCTGCATTAACTCCAGAGCCATTCCCCGTTCCCCATTCAACACGACCGGTGGCTCGACTTCCTTCAGGCAACTCCAGAGATGCCCCGAGAACACTGTCCCAAGTCTAGAGGAACACCAACTTCAGCACAGCAACTCGAGGAATGCTCCGTGTACCCCAAATCGTCTCGAGATGCGAGCTGATTCCCTGGCTTAGGCTCAAGACGTATGCCAACTTCCCAGAAGCACCTCAGGAGGAGGCTTCTCTCAGCAATAGGTATGTGGGAGGGACCCCGAGTTTGCTGCCTCAAGGGGAATATACAGCGAGAAGCCCTAACTTGAAAGGAGGCCGGATTTCCTTGCAGTGGCTTGAATACAGGCTCGTCTTTCATCTCACAACATGAAGGGATGTCTGAATCCCCTGTGGAGACCTTAGAGAAAGACCTAGGTCCCTGCCTCATTTTGACGGAATGCCTCACATCCCGCTGACACCTCGAGAGGCACGCGGAGTTCATTGCTTCAAAAGGTGACGATGCCTGACTCCTCTTGAATACTGATAGGAATCCCAAAATCCCTGTGGCTACTGGAAAGGGTCCTTGGGTGCCCTGCCTCACCTCGAGAAGCGTCCCTTTTGCCCTGCCAAGCCTCGAAGAGATTCCTGAGGTGTCCCTCGTTACTAGACAGGAGTCCTGACGTCACTGAAGAAACTCGTGTTTTGAAGGGCCATCCCCGCCGTAAGTCGAGAACATACCCCAGGTCCCCGCCGCAACTCGAGAAAAACCATGAGACTTCCCCCAAAGGCGAGATGAGGCCCCATTCCCCTGCAGTGCATGCAGAGCTATTCCGTGATCCCATTCAAACAAGTCAGGAGCTTCGACTTGCTTAATGGATCTCGCGACAGTCCCCAAGAACACTGTCACCAGTCTAGACGGACCCTGAGGTCACCCCAGCAAAGCAAAGCAGCTCCATGTGCCCCAAATCAACTCGAGATGAGGCCCGATTCCCCTGCATTAACTCCAGAGCCATTCCCCGTTCCCCATTCAACACGACCGGTGGCTCGACTTCCTTCAGGCAACTCCAGAGATGCCCCGAGAACACTGTCCCAAGTCTAGAGGAACACCAACTTCAGCACAGCAACTCGAGGAATGCTCCGTGTACCCCAAATCGTCTCGAGATGCGAGCTGATTCCCTGGCTTAGGCTCAAGACGTATGCCAACTTCCCAGAAGCACCTCAGGAGGAGGCTTCTCTCAGCAATAGGTATGTGGGAGGGACCCCGAGTTTGCTGCCTCAAGGGGAATATACAGCGAGAAGCCCTAACTTGAAAGGAGGCCGGATTTCCTTGCAGTGGCTTGAATACAGGCTCGTCTTTCATCTCACAACATGAAGGGATGTCTGAATCCCCTGTGGAGACCTTAGAGCAAGCCCTAGGTCCCTGCCTCATTTTGACGGAATGCTTCACATCCCGCTGACACCTCGAGAGGCACGCGGAGTTCATTGCTTCAAAAGGTGACGATGCCTGACTCCTCTTGAATACTGATAGGAATCCCAAAATCCCTGTGGCTACTGGAAAGGGTCCTTGGGTGCCCTGCCTCACCTCGAGAAGCGTCCCTTTGGCCCTGCCAAGCCTCGAAGAGATTCCTGAGGTGTCCCTCGTTACTAGACAGGAGTCCTGACGTCACTGAAGAAACTCGTGTTTTGAAGGGCCATCCCCGCCGTAAGTCGAGAACATACCCCAGGTCCCCGCCGCAACTCGAGAAAAACCATGAGACTTCCCCCTAGAGGCGAGATGAGGCCCCATTCCCCTGCAGTGCATGCAGAGCTATTCCGTGATCCCATTCAAACAAGTCAGGAGCTTCGACTTGCTTAATGGATCTCGAGACAGTCCCCAAGAACACTGTCACCAGTCTAGACGGACCCTGAGGTCACCCCAGCAACGCAAAGCAGCTCCATGTGCCCCAAATCAACTCGAGATGAGGCCCGATTCCCCTGCATTGACCCCAGAGCCATTCCCCGTTCCCCATTCAACAAGACCGGTGGCTCGACTTCCTTCAGGCAACTCCAGAGATGCCCCGAGAACACTGTCCCAAGTCTAGAGGAACACCAACTTCAACACAGCAACTCGAGGAATGCTCCGTGTACCCCAAATCGTCTCGAGATGCGAGCTGATTCCCTGGCTTAGGCTCAAGACGTATGCCAACTTCCCAGAAGCACCTCAGGAGGAGGCTTCTCTCAGCAATAGGTATGTGGGAGGGACCCCGAGTTTGCTGCCTCAAGGGGAATATACTGCGAGAAGCCCTAACTTGAAAGGAGGCCGGATTTCCTTGCAGTGGCTTGAATACAGGCTCGTCTTTCATCTCACAACATGAAGGGATGTCTGAATCCCCTGTGGAGACCTTAGAGAAAGACCTAGGTCCCTGCCTCATTTTGACGGAATGCCTCACATCCCGCTGACACCTCGAGAGGCACGCGGAGTTCATTGCTTCAAAACTTGAGGATGCCTGACTCCTCTTGAATACTGATAGGAATCCCAAAATCCCTGTGGCTACTGGAAAGGGTCCTTGGGTGCCCTGCCTCACCTCGAGAAGCGTCCCTTTTGCCCTGCCAAGCCTCGAAGAGATTCCTGAGGTGTCCCTCGTTACTAGAGAGGAGTCCTGACGTCACTGAAGAAACTCGTGTTTTGAAGGGCCATCCCCGCCGTAAGTCGAGAACATACCCCAGGTCCCCGCCGCAACTCGAGAAAAACCATGAGACATCCCCCAAAGGCGAGATGAGGCCCCATTCCCCTGCAGTGCATGCAGAGCTATTCCGTGATCCCATTCAAACAAGTCAGGAGCTTCGACTTGCTTAATGGATCTCGCGACAGTCCCCAAGAACACTGTCACCAGTCTAGACGGACCCTGAGGTCACCCCAGCAAAGCAAAGCAGCTCCATGTGCCCCAAATCAATTCGTGATGAGGCCCGATTCCCCTTCATTAACTCCAGAGCCATTCCGCGTTCCCCATTCAACACGACCGGTGGCTCGACTTCCTTCAGGCAACTCCAGAGATGCCCCGAGAACACTGTCCCAAGTCTAGAGGAACACCAACTTCAGCACAGCAACTCGAGGAATGCTCCGTGTACCCCAAATCGTCTCGAGATGCGAGCTGATTCCCTGGCTTAGGCTCAAGACGTATGCCAACTTCCCAGAAGCACCTCAGGAGGAGGCTTCTCTCAGCAATAGTTATGTGGGAGGGACCCCGAGTTTGCTGCCTCAAGGGGAATATACAGCGCGAAGCCCTAACTTGAAAGGAGGCCGGATTTCCTTGCAGTGGCTTGAATACAGGCTCGTCTTTCATCTCACAACATGAAGGGATGACTGAATCCCCTGTGGAGAACTTAGAGAAAGTCCTAGGTCCCTGCCTCATTTTGACGGAATGCCTCACATCGCGCTGACACCTCGAGAGGCACGCGGAGTTCATTGCTTCAAAAGGTGACGATGCCTGACTCCTCTTGAATACTGATAGGAATCCCAAAATCCCTGTGGCTACTGGAAAGGGTCCTTGGGTGCCCTGCCTCACCTCGAGAAGCGTCCCTTTTGCCCTGCCAAGCCTCGAAGAGATTCCTGAGGTGTCCCTCGTTACTAGACAGGAGTCCTGACGTCACTGAAGAAACTCGTGTTTTGAAGGGCCATCCGCGCCGTAAGTTGAGAACATACCCCAGGTCCCCGCCGCAACTCGAGAAAACCATGAGACTTCCCCCTAGAGGCGAGATGAGGCCCCATTCCCCTGCAGTGCATGCAGAGCTATTCCGTGATCCCATTCAAACAAGTCAGGAGCTTCGACTTGCTTAATGGATCTCGAGACAGTCCCCAAGAACACTGTCACCAGTCTAGACGGACCCTGAGGTCACCCCAGCAACGCAAAGCAGCTCCATGTGCCCCAAATCAACTCGAGATGAGGCCCGATTCCCCTGCATTGACTCCAGAGCCATTCCCCGTTCCCCATTCAACACGACCGGTGGCTCGACTTCCTTCAGGCAACTCCAGAGATGCCCCGAGAACACTGTCCCAAGTCTAGAGGAACTCCAACTTCAACACAGCAACTCGAGGAATGCTCCGTGTACCCCAAATCGTCTCGAGATGCGAGCTGATTCCCTGGCTTAGGCTCAAGACGTATGCCAAATTCCCAGAAGCACCTCAGGAGGAGGCTTCTCTCAGCAATAGGTATGTGGGAGGGACCCCGAGTTTGCTGCCTCAAGGGGAATATACAGCGAGAAGCCCTAACTTGAAAGGAGGCCGGATTTCCTTGCAGTGGCTTGAATACAGGCTCGTCTTTCATCTCACAACATGAAGGGATGTCTGAATCCCCTGTGGAGACCTTAGAGAAAGCCCTAGGTCCCTGCCTCATTTTGACGGAATGCCTCACATCGCGCTGACACCTCGAGAGGCACGCGGAGTTCATTGCTTCAAAAGGTGACGATGCCTGACTCCTCTTGAATACTGATAGGAATCCCAAAATCCCTGTGGCTACTGGAAAGGGTCCTTGGGTGCCCTGCCTCACCTCGAGAAGCGTCCCTTTTGCCCTGCCAAGCCTCGAAGAGATTCCTGAGGTGTCCCTCGTTACTAGACAGGAGTCCTGACGTCACTGAAGAAACTCGTGTTTTGAAGGGCCATCCCCGCCGTAAGTCGAGAACATACCCCAGGTCCCCGCCGCAACTCGAGAAAAACCATGAGACTTCCCCCTAGAGGCGAGATGAGGCCCCATTCCCCTGCAGTGCATGCAGAGCTATTCCGTGATCCCATTCAAACAAGTCAGGAGCTTCGACTTGCTTAATGGATCTCGAGACAGTCCCCAAGAACACTGTCACCAGTCTAGACGGACCCTGAGGTCACCCCAGCAACGCAAAGCAGCTCCATGTGCCCCAAATCAACTCGAGATGAGGCCCGATTCCCCTGCATTGACCCCAGAGCCATTCCCCGTTCCCCATTCAACAAGACCGGTGGCTCGACTTCCTTCAGGCAACTCCAGAGATGCCCCGAGAACACTGTCCCAAGTCTAGAGGAACACCAACTTCAACACAGCAACTCGAGGAATGCTCCGTGTACCCCAAATCGTCTCGAGATGCGAGCTGATTCCCTGGCTTAGGCTCAAGACGTATGCCAACTTCCCAGAAGCACCTCAGGAGGAGGCTTCTCTCAGCAATAGGTATGTGGGAGGGACCCCGAGTTTGCTGCCTCAAGGGGAATATACAGCGAGAAGCCCTAACTTGAAAGGAGGCCGGATTTCCTTGCAGTGGCTTGAATACAGGCTCGTCTTTCATCTCACAACATGAAGGGATGTCTGAATCTCCTGTGGAGACCTTAGAGAAAGACCTAGGTCCCTGCCTCATTTTGACGGAATGCCTCACATCCCGCTGACACCTCGAGAGGCACGCGGAGTTCATTGCTTCAAAAGGTGACGATGCCTGACTCCTCTTGAATACTGATAGGAATCCCAAAATCCCTGTGGCTACTGGAAAGGGTCCTTGGGTGCCCTGCCTCACCTCGAGAAGCGTCCCTTTTGCCCTGCCAAGCCTCGAAGAGATTCCTGAGGTGTCCCTCGTTACTAGAGAGGAGTCCTGACGTCACTGAAGAAACTCGTGTTTTGAAGGGCCATCCCCGCCGTAAGTCGTGAACATACCCCAGGTCCCCGCCGCAACTCGAGAAAAACCATGAGACTTCCCCCAAAGGCGAGATGAGGCCCCATTCCCCTGCAGTGCATGCAGAGCTATTCCGTGATCCCATTCAAACAAGTCAGGAGCTTCGACTTGCTTAATGGATCTCGCGACAGTCCCCAAGAACACTGTCACCAGTCTAGACGGACCCTGAGGTCACCCCAGCAACGCAAAGCAGCTCCATGTGCCCCAAATCAACTCGAGATGAGGCCCGATTCCCCTTCATTAACTCCAGAGCCATTCCCCGTTCCCCATTCAACACGACCGGTGGCTCGACTTCCTTCAGGCAACTCCAGAGATGCCCCGAGAACACTGTCCCAAGTCTAGAGGAACACCAACTTCAGCACAGCAACTCGAGGAATGCTCCGTGTACCCCAAATCGTCTCGAGATGCGAGCTGATTCCCTGGCTTAGGCTCAAGACGTATGCCAAATTCCCAGAAGCACCTCAGGAGGAGGCTTCTCTCAGCAATAGTTATGTGGGAGGGACCCCGAGTTTGCTGCCTCAAGGGGAATATACAGCGCGAAGCCCTAACTTGAAAGGAGGCCGGATTTCCTTGCAGTGGCTTGAATACAGGCTCGTCTTTCATCTCACAACATGAAGGGATGTCTGAATCCCCTGTGGAGACCTTAGAGCAAGCCCTAGGTCCCTGCCTCATTTTGACGGAATGCCTCACATCCCGCTGACACCTCGAGAGGCACGCGGAGTTCATTGCTTCAAAAGGTGACGATGCCTGACTCCTCTTGAATACTGATAGGAATCCCAAAATCCCTGTGGCTACTGGAAAGGGTCCTTGGGTGCCCTCCCTCACCTCGAGAAGCGTCCCTTTGGCCCTGCGAAGCCTCGAAGAGATTCCTGAGGTGTCCCTCGTTACTAGACAGGAGTCCTGACGTCACTGAAGAAACTCTTGTTTTGAAGGGCCATCCCCGCCGTAAGTCGAGAACATACCCCAGGTCCCCGCCGCAACTCGAGAAAAACCATGAGACTTCCCCCTAGAGGCGAGATGAGGCCCCATTCCCCTGCAGTGCATGCAGAGCTATTCCGTGATCCCATTCAAACAAGTCAGGAGCTTCGACTTGCTTAATGGATCTCGAGACAGTCCCCAAGAACACTGTCACCAGTCTAGACGGACCCTGAGGTCACCCCAGCAACGCAAAGCAGCTCCATGTGCCCCAAATCAACTCGAGATGAGGCCCGATTCCCCTGCATTGACCCCAGAGCCATTCCCCGTTCCCCATTCAACACGACCGGTGGCTCGACTTCCTTCAGGCAACTCCAGAGATGCCCCGAGAACACTGTCCCAAGTCTAGAGGAACACCAACTTCAACACAGCAACTCGAGGAATGCTCCGTGTACCCCAAATCGTCTCGAGATGCGAGCTGATTCCCTGGCTTAGGCTCAAGACGTATGCCAACTTCCCAGAAGCACCTCAGGAGGAGGCTTCTCTCCGCAATACGTATGTGGGAGGGACCCCGAGTTTGCTGCCTCAAGGGGAATATACAGCGAGAAGCCCTAACTTGAAAGGAGGCCGGATTTCCTTGCAGTGGCTTGAATACAGGCTCGTCTTTCATCTCACAACATGAAGGGATGACTGAATCCCCTGTGGAGAACTTAGAGAAAGTCCTAGGTCCCTGCCTCATTTTGACGGAATGCCTCACATCGCGCTGACACCTCGAGAGGCACGCGGAGTTCATTGCTTCAAAAGGTGACGATGCCTGACTCCTCTTGAATACTGATAGGAATCCCAAAATCCCTGTGGCTACTGGAAAGGGTCCTTGGGTGCCCTGCCTCACCTCGAGAAGCGTCCCTTTTGCCCTGCCAAGCCTCAAAGAGATTCCTGAGGTGTCCCTCGTTACTAGACAGGAGTCCTGACGTCACTGAAGAAACTCGTGTTTTGAAGGGCCATCCCCGCCGTAAGTCGAGAACATACCCCAGGTCCCCGCCGCAACTCGAGAAAACCATGAGACTTCCCCCTAGAGGCGAGATGAGGCCCCATTCCCCTGCAGTGCATGCAGAGCTATTCCGTGATCCCATTCAAACAAGTCAGGAGCTTCGACTTGCTTAATGGATCTCGAGACAGTCCCCAAGAACACTGTCACCAGTCTAGACGGACCCTGAGGTCACCCCAGCAACGCAAAGCAGCTCCATGTGCCCCAAATCAACTCGAGATGAGGCCCGATTCCCCTGCATTGACACCAGAGCCATTCCCCGTTCCCCATTCAACACGACCGGTGGCTCGACTTCCTTCAGGCAACTCCAGAGATGCCCCGAGAACACTGTCCCAAGTCTAGAGGAACACCAACTTCAGCACAGCAACTCGAGGAATGCTCCGTGAACCCCAAATCGTCTCGAGATGCGAGCTGATTCCCTGGCTTAGGCTCAAGACGTATGCCAAATTCCCAGAAGCACCTCAGGAGGAGGCTTCTCTCAGAAATAGGTATGTGGGAGGGAACCCGAGTTTGCTGCCTCAATGGGAATATACAGCGAGAGGCCCTAACTTGAAAGGAGGCCGGATTTCCTTGCAGTGGCTTGAATACAGGCTCATCTTTCATCTCACAACATGAAGGGATGTCTGAATCCCCTGTGGAGACCTTAGAGAAAGCCCTAGGTCCCTGCCTCATTTTGACGGAATGCCTCACATCCCGCTGACACCTCGAGAGGCACGCGGAGTTCATTGCTTCAAAAGGTGACGATGCCTGACTCCTCTTGAATACTGATAGGAATCCCAAAATCCCTGTGGCTACTGGAAAGGGTCCTTGGGTGCCCTGCCTCACCTCGAGAAGCGTCCCTTTTGCCCTGCCAAGCCTCGAAGAGATTCCTGAGGTGTCCCTCGTTACTAGACAGGAGTCCTGACGTCACTGAAGAAACTCGTGTTTTGAAGGGCCATCCCCGCCGTAAGTCGAGAACATACCCCAGGTCCCCGCCGCAACTCGAGAAAAACCATGAGACTTCCCCCTAGAGGCGAGATGAGGCCCCATTCCCCTGCAGTGCATGCAGAGCTATTCCGTGATCCCATTCAAACAAGTCAGGAGCTTCGACTTGCTTAATGGATCTCGAGACAGTCCCCAAGAACACTGTCACCAGTCTAGACGGACCCTGAGGTCACCCCAGCAACGCAAAGCAGCTCCATGTGCCCCAAATCAACTCGAGATGAGGCCCGATTCCCCTGCATTGACTCCAGAGCCATTCCCCGTTCCCCATTCAACACGACCGGTGGCTCGACTTCCTTCAGGCAACTCCAGAGATGCCCAGAGAACACTGTCCCAAGTCTAGAGGAACACCAACTTCAGCACAGCAACTCGAGGAATGCTCCGTGTACCCCAAATCGTCTCGAGATGCGAGCTGATTCCCTGGCTTAGGCTCAAGACGTATGCCAACTTCCCAGAAGCACCTCAGGAGGAGGCTTCTCTCAGCAATAGGTATGTGGGAGGGACCCCGAGTTTGCTGCCTCAAGGGGAATATACAGCGAGAAGCCCTAACTTGAAAGGAGGCCGGATTTCCTTGCAGTGGCTTGAATACAGGCTCGTCTTTCATCTCACAACATGAAGGGATGTCTGAATCCCCTGTGGAGACCTTAGAGAAAGACCTAGGTCCCTGCCTCATTTTGACGGAATGCCTCACATCGCGCTGACACCTCGAGAGGCACGCGGAGTTCATTGCTTCAAAAGGTGACGATGCCTGACTCCTCTTGAATACTGATAGGAATCCCAAAATCCCTGTGGCTACTGGAAAGGGTCCTTGGGTGCCCTCCCTCACCTCGAGAAGCGTCCCTTTGGCCCTGCGAAGCCTCGAAGAGATTCCTGAGGTGTCCCTCGTTACTAGACAGGAGTCCTGACGTCACTGAAGAAACTCCTGTTTTGAAGGGCCATCCCCGCCGTAAGTCGAGAACATACCCCAGGTCCCCGCCGCAACTCGAGAAAAACCATGAGACTTCCCCCTAGAGGCGAGATGAGGCCCCATTCCCCTGCAGTGCATGCAGAGCTATTCCGTGATCCCATTCAAACAAGTCAGGAGCTTCGACTTGCTTAATGGATCTCGAGACAGTCCCCAAGAACACTGTCACCAGTCTAGACGGACCCTGAGGTCACCCCAGCAACGCAAAGCAGCTCCATGTGCCCCAAATCAACTCGAGATGAGGCCCGATTCCCCTGCATTGACCCCAGAGCCATTCCCCGTTCCCCATTCAACACGACCGGTGGCTCGACTTCCTTCAGGCAACTCCAGAGATGCCCCGAGAACACTGTCCCAAGTCTAGAGGAACACCAACTTCAACACAGCAACTCGAGGAATGCTCCGTGTACCCCAAATCGTCTCGAGATGCGAGCTGATTCCCTGGCTTAGGCTCAAGACGTATGCCAACTTCCCAGAAGCACCTCAGGAGGAGGCTTCTCTCCGCAATACGTATGTGGGAGGGACCCCGAGTTTGCTGCCTCAAGGGGAATATACAGCGAGAAGCCCTAACTTGAAAGGAGGCCGGATTTCCTTGCAGTGGCTTGAATACAGGCTCGTCTTTCATCTCACAACATGAAGGGATGACTGAATCCCCTGTGGAGAACTTAGAGAAAGTCCTAGGTCCCTGCCTCATTTTGACGGAATGCCTCACATCGCGCTGACACCTCGAGAGGCACGCGGAGTTCATTGCTTCAAAAGGTGACGATGCCTGACTCCTCTTGAATACTGATAGGAATCCCAAAATCCCTGTGGCTACTGGAAAGGGTCCTTGGGTGCCCTGCCTCACCTCGAGAAGCGTCCCTTTTGCCCTGCCAAGCCTCAAAGAGATTCCTGAGGTGTCCCTCGTTACTAGACAGGAGTCCTGACGTCACTGAAGAAACTCGTGTTTTGAAGGGCCATCCCCGCCGTAAGTCGAGAACATACCCCAGGTCCCCGCCGCAACTCGAGAAAACCATGAGACTTCCCCCTAGAGGCGAGATGAGGCCCCATTCCCCTGCAGTGCATGCAGAGCTATTCCGTGATCCCATTCAAACAAGTCAGGAGCTTCGACTTGCTTAATGGATCTCGAGACAGTCCCCAAGAACACTGTCACCAGTCTAGACGGACCCTGAGGTCACCCAGCAACGCAAAGCAGCTCCATGTGCCCCAAATCAACTCGAGATGAGGCCCGATTCCCCTGCATTGACACCAGAGCCATTCCCCGTTCCCCATTCAACACGACCGGTGGCTCGACTTCCTTCAGGCAACTCCAGAGATGCCCCGAGAACACTGTCCCAAGACTAGAGGAACACCAACTTCAGCACAGCAACTCGAGGAATGCTCCGTGAACCCCAAATCGTCTCGAGATGCGAGCTGATTCCCTGGCTTAGGCTCAAGACGTATGCCAAATTCCCAGAAGCACCTCAGGAGGAGGCTTCTCTCAGAAATAGGTATGTGGGAGGGAACCCGAGTTTGCTGCCTCAATGGGAATATACAGCGAGAGGCCCTAACTTGAAAGGAGGCCGGATTTCCTTGCAGTGGCTTGAATACAGGCTCATCTTTCATCTCACAACATGAAGGGATGTCTGAATCCCCTGTGGAGACCTTAGAGAAAGCCCTAGGTCCCTGCCTCATTTTGACGGAATGCCTCACATCCCGCTGACACCTCGAGAGGCACGCGGAGTTCATTGCTTCAAAAGGTGACGATGCCTGACTCCTCTTGAATACTGATAGGAATCCCAAAATCCCTGTGGCTACTGGAAAGGGTCCTTGGGTGCCCTGCCTCACCTCGAGAAGCGTCCCTTTTGCCCTGCCAAGCCTCGAAGAGATTCCTGAGGTGTCCCTCGTTACTAGACAGGAGTCCTGACGTCACTGAAGAAACTCGTGTTTTGAAGGGCCATCCCCGCCGTAAGTCGAGAACATACCCCAGGTCCCCGCCGCAACTCGAGAAAAACCATGAGACTTCCCCCTAGAGGCGAGATGAGGCCCCATTCCCCTGCAGTGCATGCAGAGCTATTCCGTGATCCCATTCAAACAAGTCAGGAGCTTCGACTTGCTTAATGGATCTCGAGACAGTCCCCAAGAACACTGTCACCAGTCTAGACGGACCCTGAGGTCACCCCAGCAACGCAAAGCAGCTCCATGTGCCCCAAATCAACTCGAGATGAGGCCCGATTCCCCTGCATTGACTCCAGAGCCATTCCCCGTTCCCCATTCAACACGACCGGTGGCTCGACTTCCTTCAGGCAACTCCAGAGATGCCCAGAGAACACTGTCCCAAGTCTAGAGGAACACCAACTTCAGCACAGCAACTCGAGGAATGCTCCGTGTACCCCAAATCGTCTCGAGATGCGAGCTGATTCCCTGGCTTAGGCTCAAGACGTATGCCAACTTCCCAGAAGCACCTCAGGAGGAGGCTTCTCTCAGCAATAGGTATGTGGGAGGGACCCCGAGTTTGCTGCCTCAAGGGGAATATACAGCGAGAAGCCCTAACTTGAAAGGAGGCCGGATTTCCTTGCAGTGGCTTGAATACAGGCTCGTCTTTCATCTCACAACATGAAGGGATGTCTGAATCCCCTGTGGAGACCTTAGAGAAAGACCTAGGTCCCTGCCTCATTTTGACGGAATGCCTCACATCGCGCTGACACCTCGAGAGGCACGCGGAGTTCATTGCTTCAAAAGGTGACGATGCCTGACTCCTCTTGAATACTGATAGGAATCCCAAAATCCCTGTGGCTACTGGAAAGGGTCCTTGGGTGCCCTGCCTCACCTCGAGAAGCGTCCCTTTTGCCCTGCCAAGCCTCGAAGAGATTCCTGAGGTGTCCCTCGTTACTAGACAGGAGTCCTGACGTCACTGAAGAAACTCGTGTTTTGAAGGGCCATCCCCGCCGTAAGTCGAGAACATACCCCAGGTCCCCGCCGCAACTCGAGAAAAACCATGAGACTTCCCCTAGAGGCGAGATGAGGCCCCATTCCCCTGTAGTGCATGCAGAGCTATTCCGTGATCCCATTCAAACAAGTCAGGAGCTTCGACTTGCTTAATGGATCTCGAGACAGTCCCCAAGAACACTGTCACCAGTCTAGACGGACCCTGAGGTCACCCCAGCAACGCAAAGCAGCTCCATGTGCCCCAAATCAACTCGAGATGAGGCCCGATTCCCCTGCATTGACCCCAGAGCCATTCCCCGTTCCCCATTCAACACGACCGGTGGCTCGACTTCCTTCAGGCAACTCCAGAGATGCCCCGAGAACACTGTCCCAAGTCTAGAGGAACACCAACTTCAGCACAGCAACTCGAGGAATGCTCCGTGTTCCCCAAATCGTCTCGAGATGCGAGCTGATTCCCTGGCTTAGGCTCAAGACGTATGCCAACTTCCCAGAAGCACCTCAGGAGGAGGCTTCTCTCAGCAATAGGTATGTGGGAGGGACCCTGAGTTTGCTGCCTCAAGGGGAATATACAGCGAGAAGCCCTAACTTGAAAGGAGGCCGGATTTCCTTGCAGTGGCTTGAATACAGGCTCGTCTTTCATCTCACAACATGAAGGGATGTCTGAATCCCCTGTGGAGACCTTAGAGAAAGCCCTAGGTCCCTGCCTCATTTTGACGGAATGCCTCACATCCCGCTGACACCTCGAGAGGCACGCGGAGTTCATTGCTTCGAAAAGTGACGATGCCTGACTCCTCTTGAATACTGATAGGAATCCCAAAATCCCTGTGGCTACTGGAAAGGGTCCTTGGGTGCCCTGCCTCACCTCGAGAAGCGTCCCTTTGGCCCTGCCAAGCCTCGAAGAGATTCCTGAGGTGTCCCTCGTTACTAGACAGGAGTCCTGACGTCACTGAAGAAACTCGTGTTTTGAAGGGCCATCCCCGCCGTACGTCGAGAACATACCCCAGGTCCCCGCCGCAACTCGAGAAAAACCATGAGACTTCCCCCTAGAGGCGAGATGAGGCCCCATTCCCCTGCAGTGCATGCAGAGCTATTCCGTGATCCCATTCAAACAAGTCAGGAGCTTCGACTTGCTTAATGGATCTCGAGACAGTCCCCAAGAACACTGTCACCAGTCTAGACGGACCCTGAGGTCACCCCAGCAACGCAAAGCAGCTCCATGTGCCCCAAATCAACTCGAGATGAGGCCCGATTCCCCTGCATTGACCCCAGAGCCATTCCCCGTTCCCCATTCAACACGACCGGTGGCTCGACTTCCTTCAGGCAACTCCAGAGATGCCCCGAGAACACTGTCCCAAGTCTAGAGGAACCCCAACTTCAACACAGCAACTCGAGGAATGCTCCGTGTACCCCAAATCGTCTCGAGATGCGAGCTGATTCCCTGGCTTAGGCTCAAGACGTATGCCAACTTCCCAGAAGCAACTCAGGAGGAGGCTTCTCTCAGCAATAGGTATGTGGGAGGGACCCCGAGTTTGCTGCCTCAAGGGGAATATAGAGCGAGAAGCCCTAACTTGAAAGGAGGCCGGATTTCCTTGCAGTGGCTTGAATACAGGCTCCTCTTTCATCTCACAACATGAAGGGATGTCTGAATCCCCTGTGGAGACCTTAGAGAAAGCCCTAGGTCCCTGCCTCATTTTGACGGAATGCCTCACATCGCGCTGACACCTCGAGAGGCAAGCGGAGTTCATTGCTTCAAAAGGTGACGATGCCTGACTCCTCTTGAATACTGATAGGAATCCCAAAATCCCTGTGGCTACTGGAAAGGGTCCTTGGGTGCCCTGCCTCACCTCGAGAAGCGTCCCTTTTGCCCTGCCAAGCCTCGAAGAGATTCCTGAGGTGTCCCTTGTTACTAGACAGGAGTCCTGACGTCACTGAAGAAACTCGTGTTTTGAAGGGCCATCCCCGCCGTAAGTCGAGAACATACCCCAGGTCCCCACCGCAACTCGAGAAAAACCATGAGACTTCCCCCTAGAGGCGAGATGAGGCCCCATTCCCCTGCAGTGCATGCAGAGCTATTCCGTGATCCCATTCAAACAAGTCAGGAGCTTCGACTTGCTTAATGGATCTCGAGACAGTCCCCAAGAACACTGTCACCAGTCTAGACGGACCCTGAGGTCACCCCAGCAACGCAAAGCAGCTCCATGTGCCCCAAATCAACTCGAGATGAGGCCCGATTCCCCTGCATTGACCCCAGAGCCATTCCCAGTTCCCCATTCAACACGACCGGTGGCTCGACTTCCTTCAGGCAACTCCAGAGATGCCCCGAGAACACTGTCCCAAGTCTAGAGGAACACCAACTTCAGCACAGCAACTCGAGGAATGCTCCGTGTACCCCAAATCGTCTCGAGATGCGAGCTGATTCCCTGGCTTAGGCTCAAGACGTATGCCAACTTCCCAGAAGCACCTCAGGAGGAGGCTTCTCTCAGCAATAGGTATGTGGGAGGGACCCCGAGTTTGCTGCCTCAAGGGGAATATACAGCGAGAAGCCCTAACTTGAAAGGAGGCCGGATTTCCTTGCAGTGGCTTGAATACAGGCTCGTCTTTCATCTCACAACATGAAGGGATGTCTGAATCCCCTGTGGAGACCTTAGAGAAAGCCCTAGGTCCCTGCCTCATTTTGACGGAATGCCTCACATCCCGCTGACACCTCGAGAGGCACGCGGAGTTCACTGCTTCAAAAGGTGACGATGCCTGACTCCTCTTGAATACTGATAGGAATCCCAAAATCCCTGTGGCTACTGGAAAGGGTCCTTGGGTGCCCTGCCTCACCTCGAGAAGCGTCCCTTTTGCCCTGCCAAGCCTCGAAGAGATTCCTGAGGTGTCCCTCGTTACTAGAGAGGAGTCCTGACGTCACTGAAGAAACTCGTGTTTTGAAGGGCCATCCCCGCCGTAAGTCGAGAACATACCCCAGGTCCCCGCCGCAACTCGAGAAAAACCATGAGACTTCCCCCAAAGGCGAGATGAGGCCCCATTCCCCTGCAGTGCATGCAGAGCTATTCTGTGATCCCATTCAAACAAGTCAGGAGCTTCGACTTGCTTAATGGATCTCGCGACAGTCCCCAAGAACACTGTCACCAGTCTAGACGGACCCTGAGGTCACCCCAGCAACGCAAAGCAGCTCCATGTGCCCCAAATCAACTCGAGATGAGGCCCGATTCCCCTGCATTGACTCCAGAGCCATTCCCCGTTCCCCATTCAACACGACCGGTGGCTCGACTTCCTTCAGGCAACTCCAGAGATGCCCCGAGAACACTGTCCCAAGTCTAGAGGAACACCAACTTCAGCACAGCAACTCGAGGAATGCTCCGTGTACCCCAAATCGTCTCGAGATGCGAGCTGATTCCCTGGCTTAGGCTCAAGACGTATGCCAACTTCCCAGAAGCACCTCAGGAGGAGGCTTCTCTCAGCAATAGGTATGTGGGAGGGACCCCGAGTTTGCTGCCTCAAGGGGAATATACAGCGAGAAGCCCTAACTTGAAAGGAGGCCGGATTTCCTTGCAGTGGCTTGAATACAGGCTCGTCTTTCATCTCACAACATGAAGGGATGTCTGAATCCCCTGTGGAGACCTTAGAGAAAGCCCTAGGTCCCTGCCTCATTTTGACGGAATGCCTCACATCTCGCTGACACCTCGAGAGGCACGCGGAGTTCATTGCTTCAAAAGGTGACGATGCCTGACTCCTCTTGAATACTGATAGGAATCCCAAAATCCCTGTGGCTACTGGAAAGGGTCCTTGGGTGCCCTGCCTCACCTCGAGAAGCGTCCCTTTTGCCCTGCCAAGCCTCTAAGAGATTCCTGAGGTGTCCCTCGTTACTAGAGAGGAGTCCTGACGTCACTGAAGAAACTCGTGTTTTGACGGGCCATCCCCGCCGTAAGTCGAGAACATACCCCAGGTCCCCGCCGCAACTCCAGAAAAACCATGAGACTTCCCCCTAGAGGCGAGATGACGCCCCATTCCCCTGCAGTGCATGCAGAGCTATTCCGTGATCCCATTCAAACAAGTCAGGAGCTTCGACTTGCTTAATGGATCTCGCGACAGTCCCCAAGAACACTGTCACCAGTCTAGACGGACCCTGAGGTCACCCCAGCAACGCAAAGCAGCTCCATGTGCCCGAAATCAACTCGAGATGAGGCCCTATTCCCCTGCATTGACTCCAGAGCCATTCCCCATTCCCCATTCAACACGACCGGTGGCTCGACTTCCTTCAGGCAACTCCAGAGATGCCCCGAGAACACTGTCCCAAGTCTAGAGGAACACCAACCTCAGCACAGCAACTCGAGGAATGCTCCGTGTACCCCAAATCGTCTCGAGATGCGAGCTGATTCCCTGGCTTAGGCTCAAGACGTATGCCAACTTCCCAGAAGCACCTCAGGAGGAGGCTTCTCTCAGCAATAGGTATGTGGGAGGGACCCCGAGTTTGCTGCCTCAAGGGGAATATACAGCGAGAAGCCCTAACTTGAAAGGAGGCCGGATTTCCTTGCAGTGGCTTGAATACAGGCTCGTCTTTCATCTCACAACATGAAGGGATGTCTGAATCCCCTGTGGAGACCTTAGAGAAAGCCCTAGGTCCCTGCCTCATTTTGACGGAATGCCTCACATCCCGCTGACACCTCGAGAGGCACGCGGAGTTCATTGCTTCAAAAGGTGACGATGCCTGACTCCTCTTGAATACTGATAGGAATCCCAAAATCCCTGTGGCTAATGGAAAGGGTCCTTGGGTGCCCTGCCTCACCTCGAGAAGCGTCCCTTTTGCCCTGCCAAGCCTCGAAGAGATTCCTGAGGTGTCCCTCGTTACTAGACAGGAGTCCTGACGTCACTGAAGAAACTCGTGTTTTGAAGGGCCATCCCCGCCGTAAGTCGAGAACATACCCCAGGTCCCCGCCGCAACTCGAGAAAAACCATGAGACTTCCCCCTAGAGGCGAGATGAGGCCCCATTCCCCTGCAGGGCATGCAGAGCTATTCCGTGATCCCATTCAAACAAGTCAGGAGCTTCTACTTGCTTAATGGATCTCGAGACAGTCCCCAAGAACACTGTCACCAGTCTAGACGGACCCTGAGGTCACCCCAGCAACGCAAAGCAGCTCCATGTGCCCCAAATCAACTCGAGATGAGGCCCGATTCCCCTGCATTGACCCCAGAGCCATTCCCCGTTCCCCATTCAACACGACCGGTGGCTCGACTTCCTTCAGGCAAATCCAGAGATGCCCCGAGAACACTGTCCCAAGTCTAGAGGAACACCAACTTCAACACAGCAACTCGAGGAATGCTCCGTGTACCCCAAATCGTCTCGAGATGCGAGCTGATTCCCTGGATTAGGTTCAAGACGTATGCCAACTTCCGAGAAGCACCTCAGGAGGAGGCTTCTCTCAGCAATAGGTATGTGGGAGGGACCCCGAGTTTGCTGCCTCAAGGGGAATATACAGCGAGAAGCCCTAACTTGAAAGGAGGCCGGATTTCCTTGCAGTGGCTTGAATACAGGCTCGTCTTTCATCTCACAACATGAAGGGATGTCTGAATCCCCTGTGGAGACCTTAGAGAAAGCCCTAGGTCCCTGCCTCATTTTGACGGAATGCCTCACATCCCGCTGACACCTCGAGAGGCACGCGGAGTTCATTGCTTCAAAAGGTGACGAGGCCTGACTCCTCTTGAATACTGATAGGAATCCCAAAATCCCTGTGGCTACTGGAAAGGGTCCTTGGGTGCCCTGCCTCACCTCGAGAAGCGTCCCTTTGGCCCTGCCAAGCCTCGAAGAGATTCCTGAGGTGTCCCTCGTTACTAGACAGGAGTCCTGACGTCACTGAAAAAACTCGTGTTTTGAAGGGCCATCCCCGCCGTAAGTCGAGAACATACCCCAGGTCCCCGCCGCAACTCGAGAAAAACCATGAGACTTCCCCCTAGAGGCGAGTTGAGGCCCCATTCCCCTGCAGTGCATGCAGAGCTATTCCGTGATCCCATTCAAACAAGTCAGGAGCTTCGACTTGCTTAATGGATCTCGAGACAGTCCCCAAGAACACTGTCACCAGTCTAGACGGACCCTGAGGTCACCCCAGCAACGCAAAGCAGCTCCATGTGCCCCAAATCAACTCGAGATGAGGCCCGATTCCCCTGCATTGACCCCAGAGCCATTCCCCGTTCCCCATTCAACACGACCGGTGGCTCGACTTCCTTCAGGCAACTCCAGAGATGCCCCGAGAACACTGTCCCAAGTCTAGAGGAACACCAACTTCAACACAGCAACTCGAGGAATGCTCCGTGTACCCCAAATCATCTCGAGATGCGAGCTGATTCCCTGGCTTAGGCTCAAGACGTATGCCAACTTCCCAGAAGCACCTCAGGAGGAGGCTTCTCTCAGCAATAGGTATGTGGGAGGGACCCCGAGTTTGCTGCCACAAGGGGAATATACAGCGAGAAGCCCTAACTTGAAAGGAGGCCGGATTTCCTTGCAGTGGCTTGAATACAGGCTCGTCTTTCATCTCACAACATGAAGGGATGTCTGAATCCCCTGTGGAGACCTTAGAGAAAGCCCTAGGTCCCTGCCTCATTTTGACGGAATGCCTCACATCGTGCTGACACCTCGAGAGGCACGCGGAGTTCATTGCTTCAAAAGGTGACGATGCCTGACGCCTCTTGAATACTGATAGGAATCCCAAAATCCCTGCGGCTACTGGAAAGGGTCCTTGGGTGCCCTGCCTCACCTCGAGAAGCGTCCCTTTGGCCCTGCCAAGCCTCGAAGAGATTCCTGAGCTGTCCCTCGTTACTAGACAGGAGTCCTGACGTCACAGAAGAAACTCGTGTTTTGAAGGGCCATCCCCGCCGTAAGTCGAGAACATACCCCAGGTCCCCGCCGCAACTCGAGAAAAACCATGAGACTTCCCCCTAGAGGCGAGATGAGGCCCCATTCCCCTGCAGTGCATGCAGAGCTATTCCGTGATCCCATTCAAACAAGTCAGGAGCTTCGACTTGCTTAATGGATCTCGAGACAGTCCCCAAGTACACTGTCACCAGTCTAGACGGACCCTGAGGTCACCCCAGCAACGCAAAGCAGCTCCATGTGCCCCAAATCAACTCGAGATGAGGCCCGATTCCCCTGCATTGACACCAGAGCCATTCCCCGTTCCCCATTCAACACGACCGGTGGCTCGACTTCCTTCAGGCAACTCCAGAGATGCCCCGAGAACACTGTCCCAAGTCTAGAGGAACACCAACTTCAGCACAGCAACTCGAGGAATGCTCCGTGTACCCCAAATCGTCTCGAGATGCGAGCTGATTCCCTGGATTAGGCTCAAGACGTATGCCAACTTCCCAGAAGCACCTCAGGAGGAGGCTTCTCTCAGCAATAGGTATGTGGGAGGGACCCCGAGTTTGCTGCCTCAAGGGGAATATACTGCGAGAAGCCCTAACTTGAAAGGAGGCCGGATTTCCTTGCAGTGGCTTGAATACAGGCTCGTCTTTCATCTCACAACATGAAGGGATGTCTGAATCCCCTGTGGAGACCTTAGAGAAAGACCTAGGTCCCTGCCTCATTTTGACGGAATGCCTCACATCCCGCTGACACCTCGAGAGGCACGCGGAGTTCATTGCTTCAAAAGGTGACGATGCCTGACTCCTCTTGAATACTGATAGGAATCCCAAAATCCCTGTGGCTACTGGAAAGGGTCCTTGGGTGCCCTGCCTCACCTCGAGAAGCGTCCCTTTTGCCCTGCCAAGCCTCGAAGAGATTCCTGAGGTGTCCCTCGTTACTAGAGAGGAGTCCTGACGTCACTGAAGAAACTCGTGTTTTGAAGGGCCATCCCCGCCGTAAGTCGTGAACATACCCCAGGTCCCCGCCGCAACTCGAGAAAAACCATGAGACTTCCCCCAAAGGCGAGATGAGGCCCCATTCCCCTGCAGTGCATGCAGAGCTATTCCGTGATCCCATTCAAACAAGTCAGGAGCTTCGACTTGCTTAATGGATCTCGCGACAGTCCCCAAGAACACTGTCACCAGTCTAGACGGACCCTGAGGTCACCCCAGCAAAGCAAAGCAGCTCCATGTGCCCCAAATCAACTCGTGATGAGGCCCGATTCCCCTTCATTAACTCCAGAGCCATTCCCCGTTCCCCATTCAACACGACCGGTGGCTCGACTTCCTTCAGGCAACTCCAGAGATGCCCCGAGAACACTGTCCCAAGTCTAGAGGAACACCAACTTCAGCACAGCAACTCGAGGAATGCTCCGTGTACCCCAAATTGTCTCGAGATGCGAGCTGATTCCCTGGCTTAGGCTCAAGACGTATGCCAACTTCCCAGAAGCACCTCAGGAGGAGGCTTCTCTCAGCAATAGTTATGTGGGAGGGACCCCGAGTTTGCTGCCTCAAGGGGAATATACAGCGCGAAGCCCTAACTTGAAAGGAGGCCGGATTTCCTTGCAGTGGCTTGAATACAGGCTCGTCTTTCATCTCACAACATGAAGGGATGTCTGAATCCCCTGTGGAGACCTTAGAGCAAGCCCTAGGTCCCTGCCTCATTTTGACGGAATGCCTCACATCCCGCTGACACCTCGAGAGGCACGCGGAGTTCATTGCTTCAAAAGGTGACGATGCCTGACTCCTCTTGAATACTGATAGGAATCCCAAAATCCCTGTGGCTACTGGAAAGGGTCCTTGGGTGCCCTGCCTCACCTCGAGAAGCGTCCCTTTGGCCCTGCCAAGCCTCGAAGAGATTCCTGAGGTGTCCCTCGTTACTAGACAGGAGTCCTGACGTCACTGAAGAAACTCTTGTTTTGAAGGGCCATCCCCGCCGTAAGTCGAGAACATACCCCAGGTCCCCGCCGCAACTCGAGAAAAACCATGAGACTTCCCCCTAGAGGCGAGATGAGGCCCCATTCCCCTGCAGTGCATGCAGAGCTATTCCGTGATCCCATTCAAACAAGTCAGGAGCTTCGACTTGCTTAATGGATCTCGAGACAGTCCCCAAGAACACTGTCACCAGTCTAGACGGACCCTGAGGTCACCCCAGCAACGCAAAGCAGCTCCATGTGCCCCAAATCAACTCGAGATGAGGCCCGATTCCCCTGCATTGACCCCAGAGCCATTCCCCGTTCCCCATTCAACACGACCGGTGGCTCGACTTCCTTCAGGCAACTACAGAGATGCCCCGAGAACACTGTCCCAAGTCTAGAGGAAGACCAACTTCAACACAGCAACTCGAGGAATGCTCCGTGTACCCCAAATCGTCTCGAGATGCGAGCTGATTCCCTGGCTTAGGCTCAAGACGTATGCCAACTTCCCAGAAGCACCTCAGGAGGAGGCTTCTCACCGCAATACGTATGTGGGAGGGACCCCGAGTTTGCTGCCTCAAGGGGAATATACAGCGAGAAGCCCTAACTTGAAAGGAGGCCGGATTTCCTTGCAGTGGCTTGAATACAGGCTCATCTTTCATCTCACAACATGAAGGGATGACTGAATCCCCTGTGGAGAACTTAGAGAAAGTCCTAGGTCCCTGCCTCATTTTGACGGAATGCCTCACATCGCGCTGACACCTCGAGAGGCACGCGGAGTTCATTGCTTCAAAAGGTGACGATGCCTGACTCCTCTTGAATACTGATAGGAATCCCAAAATCCCTGTGGCTACTGGAAAGGGTCCTTGGGTGCCCTGCCTCACCTCGAGAAGCGTCCCTTTTGCCCTGCCAAGCCTCAAAGAGATTCCTGAGGTGTCCCTCGTTACTAGACAGGAGTCCTGACGTCACTGAAGAAACTCTTGTTTTGAAGGGCCATCCCCGCCGTAAGTCGAGAACATACCCCAGGTCCCCGCCGCAACTCGAGAAAAACCATGAGACTTCCCCCTAGAGGCGAGATGAGGCCCCATTCCCCTGCAGTGCATGCAGAGCTATTCCGTGATCCCATTCAAACAAGTCAGGAGCTTCGACTTGCTTAATGGGTCTCGAGACAGTCCCCAAGAACACTGTCACCAGTCTAGACGGACCCTGAGGTCACCCCAGCAACGCAAAGCAGCTCCATGTGCCCCAAATCAACTCGAGATGAGGCCCGATTCCCCTGCATTGACACCAGAGCCATTCCCCGTTCCCCATTCAACACGACCGGTGGCTCGACTTCCTTCAGGCAACTCCAGAGATGCCCCGAGAACACTGTCCCAAGTCTAGAGGAACACCAACTTCAGCACAGCAACTCGAGGAATGCTCCGTGTACCCCAAATTGTCTCGAGATGCGAGCTGATTCCCTGGCTTAGGCTCAAGACATATGCCAAATTCCCAGAAGCACCTCAGGAGGAGGCTTCTCTCAGAAATAGGTATGTGGGAGGGACCCCGAGTTTGCTGCCTCAAGGGGAATATACAGCGAGAGGCCCTAACTTGAAAGGAGGCCGGATTTCCTTGCAGTGGCTTGAATACAGGCTCATCTTTCATCTCACAACATGAAGGGATGTCTGAATCCCCTGTGGAGACCTTAGAGAAAGCCCTAGGTCCCTGCCTCATTTTGACGGAATGCCTCACATCCCGCTGACACCTCGAGAGGCACGCGGAGTTCATTGCTTCAAAAGGTGACGATGCCTGACTCCTCTTGAATACTGATAGGAATCCCAAAATCCCTGTGGCTACTGGAAAGCTTCCTTGGGTGCCCTGCCTCACCTCGAGAAGCGTCCCTTTGGCCCTGCCAAGCCTCGAAGAGATTCCTGAGGTGTCCCTCGTTACTAGACAGGAGTCCTGACGTCACTGAAGAAACTCGTGTTTTGAAGGGCCATCCCCGCCGTAAGTCGAGAACATAGCCCAGGTCCCCGCCGCAACTCGAGAAAAACCATGAGACTTCCCCCTAGAGGCGAGATGAATCCCCATTCCCCTGCAGTGCATGCAGAGCTATTCCGTGATCCCATTCAAACAAGTCAGGAGCTTCGACTTGCTTAATGGATCTCGAGACAGTCCCCAAGAACACTGTCACCAGTCTAGACGGACCCTGAGGTCACCCCAGCAACGCAAAGCAGCTCCATGTGCCCCAAATCAACTCGAGATGAGGCCCGATTCCCCTGCATTGACTCCAGAGCCATTCCCCGTTCCCCATTCAACACGACCGGTGGCTCGACTTCCTTCAGGCAACTCCAGAGATGCCCCGAGAACACTGTCCCAAGTCTAGAGGAACCCCAACTTCAACACAGCAACTCGAGGAAAGCTCCGTGTACCCCAAATCGTCTCGAGATGCGAGCTGATTCCCTGGCTTAGGCTCAAGACGTATGCCAAATTCCCAGAAGCACCTCAGGAGGAGCCTTCTCTCAGCAATAGGTATGTGGGAGGGACCTCGAGTTTGCTGCCTCAAGGGGAATATACAGCGAGAAGCCCTAACTTGAAAGGAGGCCGGATTTCCTTGCAGTGGCTTGAATACAGGCTCGTCTTTCATCTCACAACATGAAGGGATGTCTGAATCCCCTGTGGAGACCTTAGAGAAAGACCTAGGTCCCTGCCTCATTTTGACGGAATGCCTCACATCGCGCTGACACCTCGAGAGGCACGCGGAGTTCATTGCTTCAAAAGGTGACGATGCCTGACTCCTCTTGAATACTGATAGGAATCCCAAAATCCCTGTGGCTACTGGAAAGGGTCCTTGGGTGCCCTGCCTCACCTCGAGAAGCGTCCCTTTGGCCCTGCCAAGCCTCGAAGAGATTCCTGAGGTGTCCCTCGTTACTAGACAGGAGTCCTGACGTCACTGAAAAAACTCGTGTTTTGAAGGGCCATCCCCGCCGTAAGTCGAGAACATAGCCCAGGTCCCCGCCGCAACTCGAGAAAAACCATGAGACTTCCCCCTAGAGGCGAGATGAGGCCCCATTCCCCTGCAGTGCATGCAGAGCTATTCCGTGATCCCATTCAAACAAGTCAGGAGCTTCGACTTGCTTAATGGATCTCGAGACAGTCCCCAAGAACACTGTCACCAGTCTAGACGGACCCTGAGGTCACCACAGCAACGCAAAGCAGCTCCATGTGCCCCAAATCAACTCGAGATGAGGCCCGATTCCCCTGCATTGACTCCAGAGCCATTCCCCGTTCCCCATTCAACACGGCCGGTGGCTCGACTTCCTTCAGGCAACTCCAGAGATGCCCCGAGAACACTGTCCCAAGTCTAGAGGAACACCAACTTCAGCACAGCAACTCGAGGAATGCTCCGTGTACCCCAAATCGTCTCGAGATGCGAGCTGATTCCCTGGCTTAGGCTCAAGACGTATGCCAACTTCCCAGAAGCACCTCAGGAGGAGGCTTCTCTCAGCAATAGGTATGTGGGAGGGACCCCGAGTTTGCTGCCTCAAGGGGAATATACAGCGAGAAGCCCTAACTTGAAAGGAGGCCGGATTTCCTTGCAGTGGCTTGAATACAGGCTCGTCTTTCATCTCACAACATGAAGGGATGTCTGAATCCCCTTGGAGACCTTAGAGAAAGACCTAGGTCCCTGCCTCATTTTGAAGGAATGCCTCACATCCCGCTGACACCTCGAGAGGCACGCGGAGTTCATTGCTTCAAAAGGTGACGATGCCTGACTCCTCTTGAATACTGATAGGAATCCCAAAATCCCTGTGGCTACTGGAAAGGGTCCTTGGGTGCCCTGCCTCACCTCGAGAAGCGTCCCTTTTGCCCTGCCAAGCCTCGAAGAGATTCCTGAGGTGTCCCTCGTTACTAGAGAGGAGTCCTGACGTCACTGAAGAAACTCGTGTTTTGAAGGGCCATCCCCGCCGTAAGTCGAGAACATACCCCAGGTCCCCGCCGCAACTCGAGAAAAACCATGAGACTTCCCCCAAAGGCGAGATGAGGCCCCATTCCCCTGCAGTGCATGCAGAGCTATTCCGTGATCCCATTCAAACAAGTTCGGAGCTTCGACTTGCTTAATGGATCTCGAGACAGTCCCCAAGTACACTGTCACCAGTCTAGACGGACCCTGAGGTCACCCCAGCAACGCAAAGCAGCTCCATGTGCCCCAAATCAACTCGAGATGAGGCCCGATTCCCCTGCATTGACACCAGAGCCATTCCCCGTTCCCCATTCAACACGACCGGTGGCTCGACTTCCTTCAGGCAACTCCAGAGATGCCCCGAGAACACTGTCCCAAGTCTAGAGGAACACCAACTTCAGCACAGCAACTCGAGGAATGCTCCGTGTACCCCAAATCGTCTCGAGATGCGAGCTGATTCCCTGGATTAGGCTCAAGACGTATGCCAACTTCCCAGAAGCACCTCAGGAGGAGGCTTCTCTCAGCAATAGGTATGTGGGAGGGACCCCGAGTTTGCTGCCTCAAGGGGAATATACTGCGAGAAGCCCTAACTTGAAAGGAGGCCGGATTTCCTTGCAGTGGCTTGAATACAGGCTCGTCTTTCATCTCACAACATGAAGGGATGTCTGAATCCCCTGTGGAGACCTTAGAGAAAGACCTAGGTCCCTGCCTCATTTTGACGGAATGCCTCACATCCCGCTGACACCTCGAGAGGCACGCGGAGTTCATTGCTTCAAAAGGTGACGATGCCTGACTCCTCTTGAATACTGATAGGAATCCCAAAATCCCTGTGGCTACTGGAAAGGGTCCTTGGGTGCCCTGCCTCACCTCGAGAAGCGTCCCTTTTGCCCTGCCAAGCCTCGAAGAGATTCCTGAGGTGTCCCTCGTTACTAGAGAGGAGTCCTGACGTCACTGAAGAAACTCGTGTTTTGAAGGGCCATCCCCGCCGTAAGTCGTGAACATACCCCAGGTCCCCGCCGCAACTCGAGAAAAACCATGAGACTTCCCCCAAAGGCGAGATGAGGCCCCATTCCCCTGCAGTGCATGCAGAGCTATTCCGTGATCCCATTCAAACAAGTCAGGAGCTTCGACTTGCTTAATGGATCTCGCGACAGTCCCCAAGAACACTGTCACCAGTCTAGACGGACCCTGAGGTCACCCCAGCAAAGCAAAGCAGCTCCATGTGCCCCAAATCAACTCGTGATGAGGCCCGATTCCCCTTCATTAACTCCAGAGCCATTCCCCGTTCCCCATTCAACACGACCGGTGGCTCGACTTCCTTCAGGCAACTCCAGAGATGCCCCGAGAACACTGTCCCAAGTCTAGAGGAACACCAACTTCAGCACAGCAACTCGAGGAATGCTCCGTGTACCCCAAATTGTCTCGAGATGCGAGCTGATTCCCTGGCTTAGGCTCAAGACGTATGCCAACTTCCCAGAAGCACCTCAGGAGGAGGCTTCTCTCAGCAATAGTTATGTGGGAGGGACCCCGAGTTTGCTGCCTCAAGGGGAATATACAGCGCGAAGCCCTAACTTGAAAGGAGGCCGGATTTCCTTGCAGTGGCTTGAATACAGGCTCGTCTTTCATCTCACAACATGAAGGGATGTCTGAATCCCCTGTGGAGACCTTAGAGCAAGCCCTAGGTCCCTGCCTCATTTTGACGGAATGCCTCACATCCCGCTGACACCTCGAGAGGCACGCGGAGTTCATTGCTTCAAAAGGTGACGATGCCTGACTCCTCTTGAATACTGATAGGAATCCCAAAATCCCTGTGGCTACTGGAAAGGGTCCTTGGGTGCCCTGCCTCACCTCGAGAAGCGTCCCTTTGGCCCTGCCAAGCCTCGAAGAGATTCCTGAGGTGTCCCTCGTTACTAGACAGGAGTCCTGACGTCACTGAAGAAACTCTTGTTTTGAAGGGCCATCCCCGCCGTAAGTCGAGAACATACCCCAGGTCCCCGCCGCAACTCGAGAAAAACCATGAGACTTCCCCCTAGAGGCGAGATGAGGCCCCATTCCCCTGCAGTGCATGCAGAGCTATTCCGTGATCCCATTCAAACAAGTCAGGAGCTTCGACTTGCTTAATGGATCTCGAGACAGTCCCCAAGAACACTGTCACCAGTCTAGACGGACCCTGAGGTCACCCCAGCAACGCAAAGCAGCTCCATGTGCCCCAAATCAACTCGAGATGAGGCCCGATTCCCCTGCATTGACCCCAGAGCCATTCCCCGTTCCCCATTCAACACGACCGGTGGCTCGACTTCCTTCAGGCAACTACAGAGATGCCCCGAGAACACTGTCCCAAGTCTAGAGGAAGACCAACTTCAACACAGCAACTCGAGGAATGCTCCGTGTACCCCAAATCGTCTCGAGATGCGAGCTGATTCCCTGGCTTAGGCTCAAGACGTATGCCAACTTCCCAGAAGCACCTCAGGAGGAGGCTTCTCACCGCAATACGTATGTGGGAGGGACCCCGAGTTTGCTGCCTCAAGGGGAATATACAGCGAGAAGCCCTAACTTGAAAGGAGGCCGGATTTCCTTGCAGTGGCTTGAATACAGGCTCATCTTTCATCTCACAACATGAAGGGATGACTGAATCCCCTGTGGAGAACTTAGAGAAAGTCCTAGGTCCCTGCCTCATTTTGACGGAATGCCTCACATCGCGCTGACACCTCGAGAGGCACGCGGAGTTCATTGCTTCAAAAGGTGACGATGCCTGACTCCTCTTGAATACTGATAGGAATCCCAAAATCCCTGTGGCTACTGGAAAGGGTCCTTGGGTACCCTGCCTCACCTCGAGAAGCGTCCCTTTTGCCCTGCCAAGCCTCAAAGAGATTCCTGAGGTGTCCCTCGTTACTAGACAGGAGTCCTGACGTCACTGAAGAAACTCGTGTTTTGAAGGGCCATCCCCGCCGTAAGTCGAGAACATACCCCAGGTCCCCGCCGCAACTCGAGAAAACCATGAGACTTCCCCCTAGAGGCGAGATGAGGCCCCATTCCCCTGCAGTGCATGCAGAGCTATTCCGTGATCCCATTCAAACAAGTCAGGAGCTTCGACTTGCTTAATGGGTCTCGAGACAGTCCCCAAGAACACTGTCACCAGTCTAGACGGACCCTGAGGTCACCCCAGCAACGCAAAGCAGCTCCATGTGCCCCAAATCAACTCGAGATGAGGCCCGATTCCCCTGCATTGACACCAGAGCCATTCCCCGTTCCCCATTCAACACGACCGGTGGCTCGACTTCCTTCAGGCAACTCCAGAGATGCCCCGAGAACACTGTCCCAAGTCTAGAGGAACACCAACTTCAGCACAGCAACTCGAGGAATGCTCCGTGTACCCCAAATTGTCTCGAGATGCGAGCTGATTCCCTGGCTTAGGCTCAAGACATATGCCAAATTCCCAGAAGCACCTCAGGAGGAGGCTTCTCTCAGAAATAGGTATGTGGGAGGGACCCCGAGTTTGCTGCCTCAAGGGGAATATACAGCGAGAGGCCCTAACTTGAAAGGAGGCCGGATTTCCTTGCAGTGGCTTGAATACAGGCTCATCTTTCATCTCACAACATGAAGGGATGTCTGAATCCCCTGTGGAGACCTTAGAGAAAGCCCTAGGTCCCTGCCTCATTTTGACGGAATGCCTCACATCCCGCTGACACCTCGAGAGGCACGCGGAGTTCATTGCTTCAAAAGGTGACGATGCCTGACTCCTCTTGAATACTGATAGGAATCCCAAAATCCCTGTGGCTACTGGAAAGGGTCCTTGGGTGCCCTGCCTCACCTCGAGAAGCGTCCCTTTGGCCCTGCCAAGCCTCGAAGAGATTCCTGAGGTGTCCCTCGTTACTAGACAGGAGTCCTGACGTCACTGAAGAAACTCGTGTTTTGAAGGGCCATCCCCGCCGTAAGTCGAGAACATAGCCCAGGTCCCCGCCGCAACTCGAGAAAAACCATGAGACTTCCCCCTAGAGGCGAGATGAATCCCCATTCCCCTGCAGTGCATGCAGAGCTATTCCGTGATCCCATTCAAACAAGTCAGGAGCTTCGACTTGCTTAATGGATCTCGAGACAGTCCCCAAGAACACTGTCACCAGTCTAGACGGACCCTGAGGTCACCCCAGCAACGCAAAGCAGCTCCATGTGCCCCAAATCAACTCGAGATGAGGCCCGATTCCCCTGCATTGACTCCAGAGCCATTCCCCGTTCCCCATTCAACACGACCGGTGGCTCGACTTCCTTCAGGCAACTCCAGAGATGCCCCGAGAACACTGTCCCAAGTCTAGAGGAACCCCAACTTCAACACAGCAACTCGAGGAAAGCTCCGTGTACCCCAAATCGTCTCGAGATGCGAGCTGATTCCCTGGCTTAGGCTCAAGACGTATGCCAAATTCCCAGAAGCACCTCAGGAGGAGCCTTCTCTCAGCAATAGGTATGTGGGAGGGACCCCGAGTTTGCTGCCTCAAGGGGAATATACAGCGAGAAGCCCTAACTTGAAAGGAGGCCGGATTTCCTTGCAGTGGCTTGAATACAGGCTCGTCTTTCATCTCACAACATGAAGGGATGTCTGAATCCCCTGTGGAGACCTTAGAGAAAGACCTAGGTCCCTGCCTCATTTTGACGGAATGCCTCACATCGCGCTGACACCTCGAGAGGCACGCGGAGTTCATTGCTTCAAAAGGTGACGATGCCTGACTCCTCTTGAATACTGATAGGAATCCCAAAATCCCTGTGGCTACTGGAAAGGGTCCTTGGGTGCCCTGCCTCACCTCGAGAAGCGTCCCTTTGGCCCTGCCAAGCCTCGAAGAGATTCCTGAGGTGTCCCTCGTTACTAGACAGGAGTCCTGACGTCACTGAAGAAACTCGTGTTTTGAAGGGCCATCCCCGCCGTAAGTCGAGAACATAGCCCAGGTCCCCGCCGCAACTCGAGAAAAACCATGAGACTTCCCCCTAGAGGCGAGATGAGGCCCCATTCCCCTGCAGTGCATGCAGAGCTATTCCGTGATCCCATTCAAACAAGTCAGGAGCTTCGACTTGCTTAATGGATCTCGAGACAGTCCCCAAGAACACTGTCACCAGTCTAGACGGACCCTGAGGTCACCACAGCAACGCAAAGCAGCTCCATGTGCCCCAAATCAACTCGAGATGAGGCCCGATTCCCCTGCATTGACTCCAGAGCCATTCCCCGTTCCCCATTCAACACGGCCGGTGGCTCGACTTCCTTCAGGCAACTCCAGAGATGCCCCGAGAACACTGTCCCAAGTCTAGAGGAACACCAACTTCAGCACAGCAACTCGAGGAATGCTCCGTGTACCCCAAATCGTCTCGAGATGCGAGCTGATTCCCTGGCTTAGGCTCAAGACGTATGCCAACTTCCCAGAAGCACCTCAGGAGGAGGCTTCTCTCAGCAATAGGTATGTGGGAGGGACCCCGAGTTTGCTGCCTCAAGGGGAATATACAGCGAGAAGCCCTAACTTGAAAGGAGGCCGGATTTCCTTGCAGTGGCTTGAATACAGGCTCGTCTTTCATCTCACAACATGAAGGGATGTCTGAATCCCCTGTGGAGACCTTAGAGAAAGCCCTAGGTCCCTGCCTCATTTTGACGGAATGCCTCACATCGCGCTGACACCTCGAGAGGCACGCGGAGTTCATTGCTTCAAAAGGTGACGATGCCTGACTCCTCTTGAATACTGATAGGAATCCCAAAATCCCTGTGGCTACTGGAAAGGGTCCTTGGGTGCCCTGCCTCACCTCGAGAAGCGTCCCTTTTGCCCTGCCAAGCCTCGAAGAGATTCCTGAGGTGTCCCTCGTTACTAGACAGGAGTCCTGACGTCACTGAAGAAACTCGTGTTTTGAAGGGCCATCCCCGCCGTAAGTCGAGAACATACCCCAGGTCCCCGCCGCAACTCGAGAAAAACCATGAGACTTCCCCCTAGAGGCGAGATGAGGCCCCATTCCCCTGCAGTGCATGCAGAGCTATTCCGTGATCCCATTCAAACAAGTCAGGAGCTTCGACTTGCTTAATGGATCTCGAGACAGTCCCCAAGAACACTGTCACCAGTCTAGACGGACCCTGAGGTCACCCCAGCAACGCAAAGCAGCTCCATGTGCCCCAAATCAACTCGAGATGAGGCCCGATTCCCCTGCATTGACCCCAGAGCCATTCCCCGTTCCCCATTCAACACGACCGGTGGCTCGACTTCCTTCAGGCAACTCCAGAGATGCCCCGAGAACACTGTCCCAAGTCTAGATGAACACCAACTTCAGCACAGCAACACGAGGAATGCTCCGTGTTCCCCAAATCGTCTCGAGATGCGAGCTGATTCCCTGGCTTAGGCTCAAGACGTATGCCAAATTCCCAGAAGCACCTCAGGAGGAGGCTTCTCTCAGCAATAGGTATGTGGGAGGGACCCCGAGTTTGCTGCCTCAAGGGGAATATACAGCGAGAAGCCCTAACTTGAAAGGAGGCCGGATTTCCTTGCAGTGGCTTGAATACAGGCTCGTCTTTCATCTCACAACATGAAGGGATGTCTGAATCCCCTTGGAGACCTTAGAGAAAGACCTAGGTCCCTGCCTCATTTTGACGGAATGCCTCACATCCCGCTGACACCTCGAGAGGCACGCGGAGTTCATTGCTTCAAAAGGTGACGATGCCTGACTCCTCTTGAATACTGATAGGAATCCCAAAATCCCTGTGGCTACTGGAAAGGGTCCTTGGGTGCCCTGCCTCACCTCGAGAAGCGTCCCTTTTGCCCTGCCAAGCCTCGAAGAGATTCCTGAGGTGTCCCTCGTTACTAGAGAGGAGTCCTGACGTCACTGAAGAAACTCGTGTTTTGAAGGGCCATCCCCGCCGTAAGTCGAGAACATACCCCAGGTCCCCGCCGCAACTCGAGAAAAACCATGAGACTTCCCCCAAAGGCGAGATGAGGCCCCATTCCCCTGCAGTGCATGCAGAGCTATTCCGTGATCCCATTCAAACAAGTCAGGAGCTTCGACTTGCTTAATGGATCTCGCGACAGTCCCCAAGAACACTGTCACCAGTCTAGACGGACCCTGAGGTCACCCCAGCAAAGCAAAGCAGCTCCATGTGCCCCAAATCAACTCGAGATGAGGCCCGATTCCCCTGCATTAACTCCAGAGCCATTCCCCGTTCCCCATTCAACACGACCGGTGGCTCGACTTCCTTCAGGCAACTCCAGAGATGCCCCGAGAACACTGTCCCAAGTCTAGAGGAACACCAACTTCAGCACAGCAACTCGAGGAATGCTCCGTGTACCCCAAATCGTCTCGAGATGCGAGCTGATTCCCTGGCTTAGGCTCAAGACGTATGCCAACTTCCCAGAAGCACCTCAGGAGGAGGCTTCTCTCAGCAATAGTTATGTGGGAGGGACCCCGAGTTTGCTGCCTCAAGGGGAATATACAGCGCGAAGCCCTAACTTGAAAGGAGGCCGGATTTCCTTGCAGTGGCTTGAATACAGGCTCGTCTTTCATCTCACAACATGAAGGGATGTCTGAATCCCCTGTGGAGACCTTAGAGCAAGCCCTAGGTCCCTGCCTCATTTTGACGGAATGCCTCACATCCCGCTGACACCTCGAGAGGCACGCGGAGTTCATTGCTTCAAAAGGTGACGATGCCTGACTCCTCTTGAATACTGATAGGAATCCCAAAATCCCTGTGGCTACTGGAAAGGGTCCTTGGGTGCCCTGCCTCACCTCGAGAAGCGTCCCTTTGGCCCTGCCAAGCCTCGAAGAGATTCCTGAGGTGTCCCTCGTTACTAGACAGGAGTCCTGACGTCACTGAAGAAACTCGTGTTTTGAAGGGCCATCCCCGCCGTAAGTCGAGAACATACCCCAGGTCCCCGCCGCAACTCGAGAAAAACCATGAGACTTCCCCCTAGAGGCGAGATGAGGCCCCATTCCCCTGCAGTGCATGCAGAGCTATTCCGTGATCCCATTCAAACAAGTCAGGAGCTTCGACTTGCTTAATGGATCTCGAGACAGTCCCCAAGAACACTGTCACCAGTCTAGACGGACCCTGAGGTCACCCCAGCAACGCAAAGCAGCTCCATGTGCCCCAAATCAACTCGAGATGAGGCCCGATTCCCCTGCATTGACCCCAGAGCCATTCCCCGTTCCCCATTCAACAAGACCGGTGGCTCGACTTCCTTCAGGCAACTCCAGAGATGCCCCGAGAACACTGTCCCAAGTCTAGAGGAACACCAACTTCAACACAGCAACTCGAGGAATGCTCCGTGTACCCCAAATCGTCTCGAGATGCGAGCTGATTCCCTGGCTTAGGCTCAAGACGTATGCCAACTTCCCAGAAGCACCTCAGGAGGAGGCTTCTCTCAGCAATAGGTATGTGGGAGGGACCCCGAGTTTGCTGCCTCAAGGGGAATATAAATCGAGAAGCCCTAACTTGAAAGGAGGCCGGATTTCCTTGCAGTGGCTTGAATACAGGCTCGTCTTTCATCTCACAACATGAAGGGATGTCTGAATCCCCTGTGGAGACCTTAGAGAAAGACCTAAGTCCCTGCCTCATTTTGACGGAATGCCTCACATCCCGCTGACACCTCGAGAGTCACGCGGAGTTCATTGCTTCAAAAGGTGACGATGCCTGACTCCTCTTGAATACTGATAGGAATCCCAAAATCCCTGTGGCTACTGGAAAGGGTCCTTGGGTGCCCTGCCTCACCTCGAGAAGCGTCCCTTTTGCCCTGCCAAGTCTCGAAGAGATTCCTGAGGTGTCCCTCGTTACTAGAGAGGAGTCCTGACGTCACTGAAGAAACTCGTGTTTTGAAGGGCCATCCCCGCCGTAAGTCGTGAACATACCCCAGGTCCCCGCCGCAACTCGAGAAAAACCATGAGACTTCCCCCAAAGGCGAGATGAGGCCCCATTCCCCTGCAGTGCATGCAGAGCTATTCCGTGATCCCATTCAAACAAGTCAGGAGCTTCGACTTGCTTAATGGATCTCGCGACAGTCCCCAAGAACACTGTCACCAGTCTAGACGGACCCTGATGTCACCCCAGCAAAGCAAAGCAGCTCCATGTGCCCCAAATCAACTCGAGATGAGGCCCGATTCCCCTGCATTAACTCCAGAGCCATTCCCCGTTCCCCATTCAACACGACCGGTGGCTCGACTTCCTTCAGGCAACTCCAGAGATGCCCCGAGAACACTGTCCCAAGTCTAGAGGAACACCAACTTCAGCACAGCAACTCGAGGAATGCTCCGTGTACCCCAAATCGTCTCGAGATGCGAGCTGATTCCCTGGCTTAGGCTCAAGACGTATGCCAACTTCCCAGAAGCACCTCAGGAGGAGGCTTCTCTCAGCAATAGTTATGTGGGAGGGACCCCGAGTTTGCTGCCTCAAGGGGAATATACAGCGCGAAGCCCTAACTTGAAAGGAGGCCGGATTTCCTTGCAGTGGCTTGAATACAGGCTCGTCTTTCATCTCACAACATGAAGGGATGTCTGAATCCCCTGTGGAGACCTTAGAGCAAGCCCTAGGTCCCTGCCTCATTTTGACGGAATGCCTCACATCCCGCTGACACCTCGAGAGGCACGCGGAGTTCATTGCTTCAAAAGGTGACGATGCCTGACTCCTCTTGAATACTGATAGGAATCCCAAAATCCCTGTGGCTACTGGAAAGGGTCCTTGGGTGCCCTGCCTCACCTCGAGAAGCGTCCCTTTGGCCCTGCCAAGCCTCGAAGAGATTCCTGAGGTGTCCCTCGTTACTAGACAGGAGTCCTGACGTCACTGAAGAAACTCGTGTTTTGAAGGGCCATCCCCGCCGTAAGTCGAGAACATACCCCAGGTCCCCGCCGCAACTCGAGAAAAACCATGAGACTTCCCCCTAGAGGCGAGATGAGGCCCCATTCCCCTGCAGTGCATGCAGAGCTATTCCGTGATCCCATTCAAACAAGTCAGGAGCTTCGACTTGCTTAATGGATCTCGAGACAGTCCCCAAGAACACTGTCACCAGTCTAGACGGACCCTGAGGTCACCCCAGCAACGCAAAGCAGCTCCATGTGCCCCAAATCAACTCGAGATGAGGCCCGATTCCCCTGCATTGACCCCAGAGCCATTCCCCGTTCCCCATTCAACAAGACCGGTGGCTCGACTTCCTTCAGGCAACTCCAGAGATGCCCCGAGAACACTGTCCCAAGTCTAGAGGAACACCAACTTCAGCACAGCAACTCGAGGAATGCTCCGTGTACCCCAAATCGTCTCGAGATGCGAGCTGATTCCCTGGCTTAGGCTCAAGACGTATGCCAACTTCCCAGAAGCACCTCAGGAGGAGGCTTCTCTCAGCAATAGGTATGTGGGAGGGACCCCGAGTTTGCTGCCTCAAGGGGAATATACAGCGAGAAGCCCTAACTTGAAAGGAGGCCGGATTTCCTTGCAGTGGCTTGAATACAGGCTCGTCTTTCATCTCACAACATGAAGGGATGTCTGAATCCCCTGTGGAGACCTTAGAGAAAGCCCTAGGTCCCTGCCTCATTTTGACGGAATGCCTCACATCGCGCTGACACCTCGAGAGGCACGCGGAGTTCATTGCTTCAAAAGGTGACGATGCCTGACTCCTCTTGAATACTGATAGGAATCCCAAAATCCCTGTGGCTACTGGAAAGGGTCCTTGGGTGCCCTGCCTCACCTCGAGAAGCGTCCCTTTTGCCCTGCCAAGCCTCGAAGAGATTCCTGAGGTGTCCCTCGTTACTAGACAGGAGTCCTGACGTCACTGAAGAAACTCGTGTTTTGAAGGGCCATCCCCGCCGTAAGTCGAGAACATACCCCAGGTCCCCGCCGCAACTCGAGAAAAACCATGAGACTTCCCCCTAGAGGCGAGATGAGGCCCCATTCCCCTGCAGTGCATGCAGAGCTATTCCGTGATCCCATTCAAACAAGTCAGGAGCTTCGACTTGCTTAATGGATCTCGAGACAGTCCCCAAGAACACTGTCACCAGTCTAGACGGACCCTGAGGTCACCCCAGCAACGCAAAGCAGCTCCATGTGCCCCAAATCAACTCGAGATGAGGCCCGATTCCCCTGCATTGACCCCAGAGCCATTCCCCGTTCCCCATTCAACACGACCGGTGGCTCGACTTCCTTCAGGCAACTCCAGAGATGCCCCGAGAACACTGTCCCAAGTCTAGATGAACACCAACTTCAGCACAGCAACACGAGGAATGCTCCGTGTTCCCCAAATCGTCTCGAGATGCGAGCTGATTCCCTGGCTTAGGCTCAAGACGTATGCCAAATTCCCAGAAGCACCTCAGGAGGAGGCTTCTCTCAGCAATAGGTATGTGGGAGGGACCCCGAGTTTGCTGCCTCAAGGGGAATATACAGCGAGAAGCCCTAACTTGAAAGGAGGCCGGATTTCCTTGCAGTGGCTTGAATACAGGCTCGTCTTTCATCTCACAACATGAAGGGATGTCTGAATCCCCTTGGAGACCTTAGAGAAAGACCTAGGTCCCTGCCTCATTTTGACGGAATGCCTCACATCCCGCTGACACCTCGAGAGGCACGCGGAGTTCATTGCTTCAAAAGGTGACGATGCCTGACTCCTCTTGAATACTGATAGGAATCCCAAAATCCCTGTGGCTACTGGAAAGGGTCCTTGGGTGCCCTGCCTCACCTCGAGAAGCGTCCCTTTTGCCCTGCCAAGCCTCGAAGAGATTCCTGAGGTGTCCCTCGTTACTAGAGAGGAGTCCTGACGTCACTGAAGAAACTCGTGTTTTGAAGGGCCATCCCCGCCGTAAGTCGAGAACATACCCCAGGTCCCCGCCGCAACTCGAGAAAAACCATGAGACTTCCCCCAAAGGCGAGATGAGGCCCCATTCCCCTGCAGTGCATGCAGAGCTATTCCGTGATCCCATTCAAACAAGTCAGGAGCTTCGACTTGCTTAATGGATCTCGCGACAGTCCCCAAGAACACTGTCACCAGTCTAGACGGACCCTGAGGTCACCCCAGCAAAGCAAAGCAGCTCCATGTGCCCCAAATCAACTCGAGATGAGGCCCGATTCCCCTGCATTAACTCCAGAGCCATTCCCCGTTCCCCATTCAACACGACCGGTGGCTCGACTTCCTTCAGGCAACTCCAGAGATGCCCCGAGAACACTGTCCCAAGTCTAGAGGAACACCAACTTCAGCACAGCAACTCGAGGAATGCTCCGTGTACCCCAAATCGTCTCGAGATGCGAGCTGATTCCCTGGCTTAGGCTCAAGACGTATGCCAACTTCCCAGAAGCACCTCAGGAGGAGGCTTCTCTCAGCAATAGTTATGTGGGAGGGACCCCGAGTTTGCTGCCTCAAGGGGAATATACAGCGCGAAGCCCTAACTTGAAAGGAGGCCGGATTTCCTTGCAGTGGCTTGAATACAGGCTCGTCTTTCATCTCACAACATGAAGGGATGTCTGAATCCCCTGTGGAGACCTTAGAGCAAGCCCTAGGTCCCTGCCTCATTTTGACGGAATGCCTCACATCCCGCTGACACCTCGAGAGGCACGCGGAGTTCATTGCTTCAAAAGGTGACGATGCCTGACTCCTCTTGAATACTGATAGGAATCCCAAAATCCCTGTGGCTACTGGAAAGGGTCCTTGGGTGCCCTGCCTCACCTCGAGAAGCGTCCCTTTGGCCCTGCCAAGCCTCGAAGAGATTCCTGAGGTGTCCCTCGTTACTAGACAGGAGTCCTGACGTCACTGAAGAAACTCGTGTTTTGAAGGGCCATCCCCGCCGTAAGTCGAGAACATACCCCAGGTCCCCGCCGCAACTCGAGAAAAACCATGAGACTTCCCCCTAGAGGCGAGATGAGGCCCCATTCCCCTGCAGTGCATGCAGAGCTATTCCGTGATCCCATTCAAACAAGTCAGGAGCTTCGACTTGCTTAATGGATCTCGAGACAGTCCCCAAGAACACTGTCACCAGTCTAGACGGACCCTGAGGTCACCCCAGCAACGCAAAGCAGCTCCATGTGCCCCAAATCAACTCGAGATGAGGCCCGATTCCCCTGCATTGACCCCAGAGCCATTCCCCGTTCCCCATTCAACAAGACCGGTGGCTCGACTTCCTTCAGGCAACTCCAGAGATGCCCCGAGAACACTGTCCCAAGTCTAGAGGAACACCAACTTCAACACAGCAACTCGAGGAATGCTCCGTGTACCCCAAATCGTCTCGAGATGCGAGCTGATTCCCTGGCTTAGGCTCAAGACGTATGCCAACTTCCCAGAAGCACCTCAGGAGGAGGCTTCTCTCAGCAATAGGTATGTGGGAGGGACCCCGAGTTTGCTGCCTCAAGGGGAATATAAATCGAGAAGCCCTAACTTGAAAGGAGGCCGGATTTCCTTGCAGTGGCTTGAATACAGGCTCGTCTTTCATCTCACAACATGAAGGGATGTCTGAATCCCCTGTGGAGACCTTAGAGAAAGACCTAAGTCCCTGCCTCATTTTGACGGAATGCCTCACATCCCGCTGACACCTCGAGAGTCACGCGGAGTTCATTGCTTCAAAAGGTGACGATGCCTGACTCCTCTTGAATACTGATAGGAATCCCAAAATCCCTGTGGCTACTGGAAAGGGTCCTTGGGTGCCCTGCCTCACCTCGAGAAGCGTCCCTTTTGCCCTGCCAAGTCTCGAAGAGATTCCTGAGGTGTCCCTCGTTACTAGAGAGGAGTCCTGACGTCACTGAAGAAACTCGTGTTTTGAAGGGCCATCCCCGCCGTAAGTCGTGAACATACCCCAGGTCCCCGCCGCAACTCGAGAAAAACCATGAGACTTCCCCCAAAGGCGAGATGAGGCCCCATTCCCCTGCAGTGCATGCAGAGCTATTCCGTGATCCCATTCAAACAAGTCAGGAGCTTCGACTTGCTTAATGGATCTCGCGACAGTCCCCAAGAACACTGTCACCAGTCTAGACGGACCCTGAGGTCACCCCAGCAAAGCAAAGCAGCTCCATGTGCCCCAAATCAACTCGAGATGAGGCCCGATTCCCATGCATTAACTCCAGAGCCATTCCCCGTTCCCCATTCAACACGACCGGTGGCTCGACTTCCTTCAGGCAACTCCAGAGATGCCCCGAGAACACTGTCCCAAGTCTAGAGGAACACCAACTTCAGCACAGCAACTCGAGGAATGCTCCGTGTACCCCAAATCGTCTCGAGATGCGAGCTGATTCCCTGGCTTAGGCTCAAGACGTATGCCAACTTCCCAGAAGCACCTCAGGAGGAGGCTTCTCTCAGCAATAGTTATGTGGGAGGGACCCCGAGTTTGCTGCCTCAAGGGGAATATACAGCGCGAAGCCCTAACTTGAAAGGAGGCCGGATTTCCTTGCAGTGGCTTGAATACAGGCTCGTCTTTCATCTCACAACATGAAGGGATGTCTGAATCCCCTGTGGAGACCTTAGAGCAAGCCCTAGGTCCCTGCCTCATTTTGACGGAATGCCTCACATCCCGCTGACACCTCGAGAGGCACGCGGAGTTCATTGCTTCAAAAGGTGACGATGCCTGACTCCTCTTGAATACTGATAGGAATCCCAAAATCCCTGTGGCTACTGGAAAGGGTCCTTGGGTGCCCTGCCTCACCTCGAGAAGCGTCCCTTTGGCCCTGCCAAGCCTCGAAGAGATTCCTGAGGTGTCCCTCGTTACTAGACAGGAGTCCTGACGTCACTGAAGAAACTCGTGTTTTGAAGGGCCATCCCCGCCGTAAGTCGAGAACATACCCCAGGTCCCCGCCGCAACTCGAGAAAAACCATGAGACTTCCCCCTAGAGGCGAGATGAGGCCCCATTCCCCTGCAGTGCATGCAGAGCTATTCCGTGATCCCATTCAAACAAGTCAGGAGCTTCGACTTGCTTAATGGATCTCGAGACAGTCCCCAAGAACACTGTCACCAGTCTAGACGGACCCTGAGGTCACCCCAGCAACGCAAAGCAGCTCCATGTGCCCCAAATCAACTCGAGATGAGGCCCGATTCCCCTGCATTGACCCCAGAGCCATTCCCCGTTCCCCATTCAACAAGACCGGTGGCTCGACTTCCTTCAGGCAACTCCAGAGATGCCCCGAGAACACTGTCCCAAGTCTAGAGGAACACCAACTTCAACACAGCAACTCGAGGAATGCTCCGTGTACCCCAAATCGTCTCGAGATGCGAGCTGATTCCCTGGCTTAGGCTCAAGACGTATGCCAACTTCCCAGAAGCACCTCAGGAGGAGGCTTCTCTCAGCAATAGGTATGTGGGAGGGACCCCGAGTTTGCTGCCTCAAGGGGAATATACAGCGAGAAGCCCTAACTTGAAAGGAGGCCGGATTTCCTTGCAGTGGCTTGAATACAGGCTCGTCTTTCATCTCACAACATGAAGGGATGTCTGAATCCCCTGTGGAGACCTTAGAGAAAGCCCTAGGTCCCTGCCTCATTTTGACGGAATACCTCACATCCCGCTGACACCTCGAGAGGCACGCGGAGTTCATTGCTTCAAAAGGTGACGAGGCCTGACTCCTCTTGAATACTGATAGGAATCCCAAAATCCCTGTGGCTACTGGAAAGGGTCCTTGGGTGCCCTGCCTCACCTCGAGAAGCGTCCCTTTGGCCCTGCCAAGCCTCGAAGAGATTCCTGAGGTGTCCCTCGTTACTAGACAGGAGTCCTGACGTCACTGAAAAAACTCGTGTTTTGAAGGGCCATCCCCGCCGTAAGTCGAGAACATACCCCAGGTCCCCGCCGCAACTCGAGAAAAACCATGAGACTTCCCCCTAGAGGCGAGTTGAGGCCCCATTCCCCTGCAGTGCATGCAGAGCTATTCCGTGATCCCATTCAAACAAGTCAGGAGCTTCGACTTGCTTAATGGATCTCGAGACAGTCCCCAAGAACACTGTCACCAGTCTAGACGGACCCTGAGGTCACCCCAGCAACGCAAAGCAGCTCCATGTGCCCCAAATCAACTCGAGATGAGGCCCGATTCCCCTACATTGACCCCAGAGCCATTCCCCGTTCCCCATTCAACACGACCGGTGGCTCGACTTCCTTCAGGCAACTCCAGAGATGCCCCGAGAACACTGTCCCAAGTCTAGAGGAACACCAACTTCAACACAGCAACTCGAGGAATGCTCCGTGTACCCCAAATCATCTCGAGATGCGAGCTGATTCCCTGGCTTATGCTCAAGACGTATGCCAACTTCCCAGAAGCACCTCAGGAGGAGGCTTCTCTCAGCAATAGGTATGTGGGAGGGACCCCGAGTTTGCTGCCACAAGGGGAATATACAGCGAGAAGCCCTAACTTGAAAGGAGGCCGGATTTCCTTGCAGTGGCTTGAATACAGGCTCGTCTTTCATCTCACAACATGAAGGGATGTCTGAATCCCCTGTGGAGACCTTAGAGAAAGCCCTAGGTCCCTGCCTCATTTTGACGGAATGCCTCACATCGTGCTGACACCTCGAGAGGCACGCGGAGTTCATTGCTTCAAAAGATGACGATGCCTGACGCCTCTTGAATACTGATAGGAATCCCAAAATCCCTGTGGCTACTGGAAAGGGTCCTTGGGTGCCCTGCCTCACCTCGAGAAGCGTCCCTTTGGCCCTGCCAAGCCTCGAAGAGATTCCTGAGCTGTCCCTCGTTACTAGACAGGAGTCCTGACGTCACAGAAGAAACTCGTGTTTTGAAGGGCCATCCCCGCCGTAAGTCGAGAACATACCCCAGGTCCCCGCCGCAACTCGAGAAAAACCATGAGACTTCCCCCTAGAGGCGAGATGAGGCCCCATTCCCCTGCAGTGCATGCAGAGCTATTCCGTGATCCCATTCAAACAAGTCAGGAGCTTCGACTTGCTTAATGGATCTCGAGACAGTCCCCAAGTACACTGTCACCAGTCTAGACGGACCCTGAGGTCACCCCAGCAACGCAAAGCAGCTCCATGTGCCCCAAATCAACTCGAGATGAGGCCCGATTCCCCTGCATTGACACCAGAGCCATTCCCCGTTCCCCATTCAACACGACCGGTGGCTCGACTTCCTTCAGGCAACTCCAGAGATGCCCCGAGAACACTGTCCCAAGTCTAGAGGAACACCAACTTCAGCACAGCAACTCGAGGAATGCTCCGTGTACCCCAAATCGTCTCGAGATGCGAGCTGATTCCCTGGATTAGGCTCAAGACGTATGCCAACTTCCCAGAAGCACCTCAGGAGGAGGCTTCTCTCAGCAATAGGTATGTGGGAGGGACCCCGAGTTTGCTGCCTCAAGGGGAATATACTGCGAGAAGCCCTAACTTGAAAGGAGGCCGGATTTCCTTGCAGTGGCTTGAATACAGGCTCGTCTTTCATCTCACAACATGAAGGGATGTCTGAATCCCCTGTGGAGACCTTAGAGAAAGACCTAGGTCCCTGCCTCATTTTGACGGAATGCCTCACATCCCGCTGACACCTCGAGAGGCACGCGGAGTTCATTGCTTCAAAAGGTGACGATGCCTGACTCCTCTTGAATACTGATAGGAATCCCAAAATCCCTGTGGCTACTGGAAAGGGTCCTTGGGTGCCCTGCCTCACCTCGAGAAGCGTCCCTTTTGCCCTGCCAAGCCTCGAAGAGATTCCTGAGGTGTCCCTCGTTACTAGAGAGGAGTCCTGACGTCACTGAAGAAACTCGTGTTTTGAAGGGCCATCCCCGCCGTAAGTCGTGAACATACCCCAGGTCCCCGCCGCAACTCGAGAAAAACCATGAGACTTCCCCCAAAGGCGAGATGAGGCCCCATTCCCCTGCAGTGCATGCAGAGCTATTCCGTGATCCCATTCAAACAAGTCAGGAGCTTCGACTTGCTTAATGGATCTCGCGACAGTCCCCAAGAACACTGTCACCAGTCTAGACGGACCCTGAGGTCACCCCAGCAAAGCAAAGCAGCTCCATGTGCCCCAAATCAACTCGTGATGAGGCCCGATTCCCCTTCATTAACTCCAGAGCCATTCCCCGTTCCCCATTCAACACGACCGGTGGCTCGACTTCCTTCAGGCAACTCCAGAGATGCCCCGAGAACACTGTCCCAAGTCTAGAGGAACACCAACTTCAGCACAGCAACTCGAGGAATGCTCCGTGTACACCAAATTGTCTCGAGATGCGAGCTGATTCCCTGGCTTAGGCTCAAGACGTATGCCAACTTCCCAGAAGCACCTCAGGAGGAGGCTTCTCTCAGCAATAGTTATGTGGGAGGGACCCCGAGTTTGCTGCCTCAAGGGGAATATACAGCGCGAAGCCCTAACTTGAAAGGAGGCCGGATTTCCTTGCAGTGGCTTGAATACAGGCTCGTCTTTCATCTCACAACATGAAGGGATGTCTGAATCCCCTGTGGAGACCTTAGAGCAAGCCCTAGGTCCCTGCCTCATTTTGACGGAATGCCTCACATCCCGCTGACACCTCGAGAGGCACGCGGAGTTCATTGCTTCAAAAGGTGACGATGCCTGACTCCTCTTGAATACTGATAGGAATCCCAAAATCCCTGTGGCTACTGGAAAGGGTCCTTGGGTGCCCTGCCTCACCTCGAGAAGCGTCCCTTTGGCCCTGCCAAGCCTCGAAGAGATTCCTGAGGTGTCCCTCGTTACTAGACAGGAGTCCTGACGTCACTGAAGAAACTCTTGTTTTGAAGGGCCATCCCCGCCGTAAGTCGAGAACATACCCCAGGTCCCCGCCGCAACTCGAGAAAAACCATGAGACTTCCCCCTAGAGGCGAGATGAGGCCCCATTCCCCTGCAGTGCATGCAGAGCTATTCCGTGATCCCATTCAAACAAGTCAGGAGCTTCGACTTGCTTAATGGATCTCGAGACAGTCCCCAAGAACACTGTCACCAGTCTAGACGGACCCTGAGGTCACCCCAGCAACGCAAAGCAGCTCCATGTGCCCCAAATCAACTCGAGATGAGGCCCGATTCCCCTGCATTGACCCCAGAGCCATTCCCCGTTCCCCATTCAACACGACCGGTGGCTCGACTTCCTTCAGGCAACTACAGAGATGCCCCGAGAACACTGTCCCAAGTCTAGAGGAAGACCAACTTCAACACAGCAACTCGAGGAATGCTCCGTGTACCCCAAATCGTCTCGAGATGCGAGCTGATTCCCTGGCTTAGGCTCAAGACGTATGCCAACTTCCCAGAAGCACCTCAGGAGGAGGCTTCTCTCCGCAATACGTATGTGGGAGGGACCCCGAATTTGCTGCCTCAAGGGGAATATACAGCGAGAAGCCCTAACTTGAAAGGAGGCCGGATTTCCTTGCAGTGGCTTGAATACAGGCTCGTCTTTCATCTCACAACATGAAGGGATGACTGAATCCCCTGTGGAGAACTTAGAGAAAGTCCTAGGTCCCTGCCTCATTTTGACGGAATGCCTCACATCGCGCTGACACCTCGAGAGGCACGCGGAGTTCATTGCTTCAAAAGGTGACGATGCCTGACTCCTCTTGAATACTGATAGGAATCCCAAAATCCCTGTGGCTACTGGAAAGGGTCCTTGGGTGCCCTGCCTCACCTCGAGAAGCGTCCCTTTTGCCCTGCCAAGCCTCAAAGAGATTCCTGAGGTGTCCCTCGTTACTAGACAGGAGTCCTGACGTCACTGAAGAAACTCGTGTTTTGAAGGGCCATCCCCGCCGTAAGTCGAGAACATACCCCAGGTCCCCGCCGCAACTCGAGAAAACCATGAGACTTCCCCCTAGAGGCGAGATGAGGCCCCATTCCCCTGCAGTGCATGCAGAGCTATTCCGTGATCCCATTCAAACAAGTCAGGAGCTTCGACTTGCTTAATGGGTCTCGAGACAGTCCCCAAGAACACTGTCACCAGTCTAGACGGACCCTGAGGTCACCCCAGCAACGCAAAGCAGCTCCATGTGCCCCAAATCAACTCGAGATGAGGCCCGATTCCCCTGCATTGACACCAGAGCCATTCCCCGTTCCCCATTCAACACGACCGGTGGCTCGACTTCCTTCAGGCAACTCCAGAGATGCCCCGAGAACACTGTCCCAAGTCTAGAGGAACACCAACTTCAGCACAGCAACTCGAGGAATGCTCCGTGTACCCCAAATTGTCTCGAGATGCGAGCTGATTCCCTGGCTTAGGCTCAAGACGTATGCCAAATTCCCAGAAGCACCTCAGGAGGAGGCTTCTCTCAGAAATAGGTATGTGGGAGGGACCCCGAGTTTGCTGCCTCAAGGGGAATATACAGCGAGAGGCCCTAACTTGAAAGGAGGCCGGATTTCCTTGCAGTGGCTTGAATACAGGCTCATCTTTCATCTCACAACATGAAGGGATGTCTGAATCCCCTGTGGAGACCTTAGAGAAAGCCCTAGGTCCCTGCCTCATTTTGACGGAATGCCTCACATCCCGCTGACACCTCGAGAGGCACGCGGAGTTCATTGCTTCAAAAGGTGACGATGCCTGACTCCTCTTGAATACTGATAGGAATCCCAAAATCCCTGTGGCTACTGGAAAGGGTCCTTGGGTGCCCTGCCTCACCTCGAGAAGCGTCCCTTTTGCCCTGCCAAGCCTCGAAGAGTTTCCTGAGGTGTCCCTCGTTACTAGACAGGAGTCCTGACGTCACTGAAGAAACTCGTGTTTTGAAGGGCCATCCCCGCCGTAAGTCGAGAACATAGCCCAGGTCCCCGCCGCAACTCGAGAAAAACCATGAGACTTCCCCCTAGAGGCGAGATGAATCCCCATTCCCCTGCAGTGCATGCAGAGCTATTCCGTGATCCCATTCAAACAAGTCAGGAGCTTCGACTTGCTTAATGGATCTCGAGACAGTCCCCAAGAACACTGTCACCAGTCTAGACGGACCCTGAGGTCACCCCAGCAACGCAAAGCAGCTCCATGTGCCCCAAATCAACTCGAGATGAGGCCCGATTCCCCTGCATTGACTCCAGAGCCATTCCCCGTTCCCCATTCAACACGACCGGTGGCTCGACTTCCTTCAGGCAACTCCAGAGATGCCCCGAGAACACTGTCCCAAGTCTAGAGGAACCCCAACTTCAACACAGCAACTCGAGGAAAGCTCCGTGTACCCCAAATCGTCTCGAGATGCGAGCTGATTCCCTGGCTTAGGCTCAAGACGTATGCCAAATTCCCAGAAGCACCTCAGGAGGAGCCTTCTCTCAGCAATAGGTATGTGGGAGGGACCCCGAGTTTGCTGCCTCAAGGGGAATATACAGCGAGAAGCCCTAACTTGAAAGGAGGCCGGATTTCCTTGCAGTGGCTTGAATACAGGCTCGTCTTTCATCTCACAACATGAAGGGATGTCTGAATCCCCTGTGGAGACCTTAGAGAAAGACCTAGGTCCCTGCCTCATTTTGACGGAATGCCTCACATCGCGCTGACACCTCGAGAGGCACGCGGAGTTCATTGCTTCAAAAGGTGACGATGCCTGACTCCTCTTGAATACTGATAGGAATCCCAAAATCCCTGTGGCTACTGGAAAGGGTCCTTGGGTGCCCTGCCTCACCTCGAGAAGCGTCCCTTTGGCCCTGCCAAGCCTCGAAGAGATTCCTGAGGTGTCCCTCGTTACTAGACAGGAGTCCTGACGTCACTGAAGAAACTCGTGTTTTGAAGGGCCATCCCCGCCGTAAGTCGAGAACATAGCCCAGGTCCCCGCCGCAACTCGAGAAAAACCATGAGACTTCCCCCTAGAGGCGAGATGAGGCCCCATTCCCCTGCAGTGCATGCAGAGCTATTCCGTGATCCCATTCAAACAAGTCAGGAGCTTCGACTTGCTTAATGGATCTCGAGACAGTCCCCAAGAACACTGTCACCAGTCTAGACGGACCCTGAGGTCACCACAGCAACGCAAAGCAGCTCCATGTGCCCCAAATCAACTCGAGATGAGGCCCGATTCCCCTGCATTGACTCCAGAGCCATTCCCCGTTCCCCATTCAACACGGCCGGTGGCTCGACTTCCTTCAGGCAACTCCAGAGATGCCCCGAGAACACTGTCCCAAGTCTAGAGGAACACCAACTTCAGCACAGCAACTCGAGGAATGCTCCGTGTACCCCAAATCGTCTCGAGATGCGAGCTGATTCCCTGGCTTAGGCTCAAGACGTATGCCAACTTCCCAGAAGCACCTCAGGAGGAGGCTTCTCTCAGCAATAGGTATGTGGGAGGGACCCCGAGTTTGCTGCCTCAAGGGGAATATACAGCGAGAAGCCCTAACTTGAAAGGAGGCCGGATTTCCTTGCAGTGGCTTGAATACAGGCTCGTCTTTCATCTCACAACATGAAGGGATGTCTGAATCCCCTGTGGAGACCTTAGAGAAAGCCCTAGGTCCCTGCCTCATTTTGACGGAATGCCTCACATCGCGCTGACACCTCGAGAGGCACGCGGAGTTCATTGCTTCAAAAGGTGACGATGCCTGACTCCTCTTGAATACTGATAGGAATCCCAAAATCCCTGTGGCTACTGGAAAGGGTCCTTGGGTGACCTGCCTCACCTCGAGAAGCGTCCCTTTGGCCCTGCCAAGCCTCGAAGAGATTCCTGAGGTGTCCCTCGTTACTAGACAGGAGTCCTGACGTCACTGAAGAAACTCGTGTTTTGAAGGGCCATCCCCGCCGTAAGTCGAGAACATACCCCAGGTCCCCGCCGCAACTCGAGAAAAACCATGAGACTTCCCCCTAGAGGCGAGATGAGGCCCCATTCCCCTGCAGTGCATGCAGAGCTATTCCGTGATCCCATTCAAACAAGTCAGGAGCTTCGACTTGCTTAATGGATCTCGAGACAGTCCCCAAGAACACTGTCACCAGTCTAGACGGACCCTGAGGTCACCCCAGCAACGCAAAGCAGCTCCATGTGCCCCAAATCAACTCGAGATGAGGCCCGATTCCCCTGCATTGACCCCAGAGCCATTCCCCGTTCCCCATTCAACACGACCGGTGGCTCGACTTCCTTCAGGCAACTCCAGAGATGCCCCGAGAACACTGTCCCAAGTCTAGATGAACACCAACTTCAGCACAGCAACACGAGGAATGCTCCGTGTTCCCCAAATCGTCTCGAGATGCGAGCTGATTCCCTGGCTTAGGCTCAAGACGTATGCCAACTTCCCAGAAGCACCTCAGGAGGAGGCTTCTCTCAGCAATAGTTATGTGGGAGGGACCCCGAGTTTGCTGCCTCAAGGGGAATATACAGCGAGAAGCCCTAACTTGAAAGGAGGCCGGATTTCCTTGCAGTGGCTTGAATACAGGCTCGTCTTTCATCTCACAACATGAAGGGATGTCTGAATCCCCTGTGGAGACCTTAGAGCAAGCCCTAGGTCCCTGCCTCATTTTGACGGAATGCCTCACATCCCGCTGACACCTCGAGAGGCACGCGGAGTTCATTGCTTCAAAAGGTGACGATGCCTGACTCCTCTTGAATACTGATAGGAATCCCAAAATCCCTGTGGCTACTGGAAAGGGTCCTTGGGTGCCCTGCCTCACCTCGAGAAGCGTCCCTTTGGCCCTGCCAAGCCTCGAAGTGATTCCTGAGGTGTCCCTCGTTACTAGACAGGAGTCCTGACGTCACTGAAGAAACTCGTGTTTTGAAGGGCCATCCCCGCCGTAAGTCGAGAACATACCCCAGGTCCCCGCCGCAACTCGAGAAAAACCATGAGACTTCCCCCTAGAGGCGAGATGAGGCCCCATTCCCCTGCAGTGCATGCAGAGCTATTCCGTGATCCCATTCAAACAAGTCAGGAGCTTCGACTTGCTTAATGGATCTCGAGACAGTCCCCAAGAACACTGTCACCAGTCTAGACGGACCCTGAGGTCACCCCAGCAACGCAAAGCAGCTCCATGTGCCCCAAATCAACTCGAGATGAGGCCCGATTCCCCTGCATTGACCCCAGAGCCATTCCCCGTTCCCCATTCAACAAGACCGGTGGCTCGACTTCCTTCAGGCAACTCCAGAGATGCCCCGAGAACACTGTCCCAAGTCTAGAGGAACACCAACTTCAACACAGCAACTCGAGGAATGCTCCGTGTACCCCAAATCGTCTCGAGATGCGAGCTGATTCCCTGGCTTAGGCTCAAGACGTATGCCAACTTCCCAGAAGCACCTCAGGAGGAGGCTTCTCTCAGCAATAGGTATGTGGGAGGGACCCCGAGTTTGCTGCCTCAAGGGGAATATACAGCGAGAAGCCCTAACTTGAAAGGAGGCCGGATTTCCTTGCAGTGGCTTGAATACAGGCTCGTCTTTCATCTCACAACATGAAGGGATGTCTGAATCCCCTGTGGAGACCTTAGAGAAAGACCTAAGTCCCTGCCTCATTTTGACGGAATGCCTCACATCCCGCTGACACCTCGAGAGTCACGCGGAGTTCATTGCTTCAAAAGGTGACGATGCCTGACTCCTCTTGAATACTGATAGGAATCCCAAAATCCCTGTGGCTACTGGAAAGGGTCCTTGGGTGCCCTGCCTCACCTCGAGAAGCGTCCCTTTTGCCCTGCCAAGTCTCGAAGAGATTCCTGAGGTGTCCCTCGTTACTAGAGAGGAGTCCTGACGTCACTGAAGAAACTCGTGTTTTGAAGGGCCATCCCCGCCGTAAGTCGTGAACATACCCCAGGTCCCCGCCGCAACTCGAGAAAAACCATGAGACTTCCCCCAAAGGCGAGATGAGGCCCCATTCCCCTGCAGTGCATGCAGAGCTATTCCGTGATCCCATTCAAACAAGTCAGGAGCTTCGACTTGCTTAATGGATCTCGCGACAGTCCCCAAGAACACTGTCACCAGTCTAGACGGACCCTGAGGTCACCCCAGCAAAGCAAAGCAGCTCCATGTGCCCCAAATCAACTCGAGATGAGGCCCGATTCCCCTGCATTAACTCCAGAGCCATTCCCCGTTCCCCATTCAACACGACCGGTGGCTCGACTTCCTTCAGGCAACTCCAGAGATGCCCCGAGAACACTGTCCCAAGTCTAGAGGAACACCAACTTCAGCACAGCAACTCGAGGAATGCTCCGTGTACCCCAAATCGTCTCGAGATGCGAGCTGATTCCCTGGCTTAGGCTCAAGACGTATGCCAACTTCCCAGAAGCACCTCAGGAGGAGGCTTCTCTCAGCAATAGTTATGTGGGAGGGACCCCGAGTTTGCTGCCTCAAGGGGAATATACAGCGCGAAGCCCTAACTTGAAAGGAGGCCGGATTTCCTTGCAGTGGCTTGAATACAGGCTCGTCTTTCATCTCACAACATGAAGGGATGTCTGAATCCCCTGTGGAGACCTTAGAGCAAGCCCTAGGTCCCTGCCTCATTTTGACGGAATGCCTCACATCCCGCTGACACCTCGAGAGGCACGCGGAGTTCATTGCTTCAAAAGGTGACGATGCCTGACTCCTCTTGAATACTGATAGGAATCCCAAAATCCCTGTGGCTACTGGAAAGGGTACTTGGGTGCCCTGCCTCACCTCGAGAAGCGTCCCTTTGGCCCTGCCAAGCCTCGAAGAGATTCCTGAGGTGTCCCTCGTTACTAGACAGGAGTCCTGACGTCACTGAAGAAACTCGTGTTTTGAAGGGCCATCCCCGCCGTAAGTCGAGAACATACCCCAGGTCCCCGCCGCAACTCGAGAAAAACCATGAGACTTCCCCCTAGAGGCGAGATGAGGCCCCATTCCCCTGCAGTGCATGCAGAGCTATTCCGTGATCCCATTCAAACAAGTCAGGAGCTTCGACTTGCTTAATGGATCTCGAGACAGTCCCCAAGAACACTGTCACCAGTCTAGACGGACCCTGAGGTCACCCCAGCAACGCAAAGCAGCTCCATGTGCCCCAAATCAACTCGAGATGAGGCCCGATTCCCCTGCATTGACCCCAGAGCCATTCCCCGTTCCCCATTCAACAAGACCGGTGGCTCGACTTCCTTCAGGCAACTCCAGAGATGCCCCGAGAACACTGTCCCAAGTCTAGAGGAACACCAACTTCAACACAGCAACTCGAGGAATGCTCCGTGTACCCCAAATCGTCTCGAGATGCGAGCTGATTCCCTGGCTTAGGCTCAAGACGTATGCCAACTTCCCAGAAGCACCTCAGGAGGAGGCTTCTCTCAGCAATAGGTATGTGGGAGGGACCCCGAGTTTGCTGCCTCAAGGGGAATATACAGCGAGAAGCCCTAACTTGAAAGGAGGCCGGATTTCCTTGCAGTGGCTTGAATACAGGCTCGTCTTTCATCTCACAACATGAAGGGATGTCTGAATCCCCTGTGGAGACCTTAGAGAAAGACCTAGGTCCCTGCCTCATTTTGACGGAATGCCTCACATCCCGCTGACACCTCGAGAGTCACGCGGAGTTCATTGCTTCAAAAGGTGACGATGCCTGACTCCTCTTGAATACTGATAGGAATCCCAAAATCCCTGTGGCTACTGGAAAGGGTCCTTGGGTGCCCTGCCTCACCTCGAGAAGCGTCCCTTTTGCCCTGCCAAGTCTCGAAGAGATTCCTGAGGTGTCCCTCGTTACTAGAGAGGAGTCCTGACGTCACTGAAGAAACTCGTGTTTTGAAGGGCCATCCCCGCCGTAAGTCGTGAACATACCCCAGGTCCCCGCCGCAACTCGAGAAAAACCATGAGACTTCCCCCAAAGGCGAGATGAGGCCCCATTCCCCTGCAGTGCATGCAGAGCTATTCCGTGATCCCATTCAAACAAGTCAGGAGCTTCGACTTGCTTAATGGATCTCGCGACAGTCCCCAAGAACACTGTCACCAGTCTAGACGGACCCTGAGGTCACCCCAGCAAAGCAAAGCAGCTCCATGTGCCCCAAATCAACTCGAGATGAGGCCCGATTCCCCTTCATTAACTCCAGAGCCATTCCCCGTTCCCCATTCAACACGACCGGTGGCTCGACTTCCTTCAGGCAACTCCAGAGATGCCCCGAGAACACTGTCCCAAGTCTAGAGGAACACCAACTTCAGCACAGCAACTCGAGGAATGCTCCGTGTACCCCAAATCGTCTCGAGATGCGAGCTGATTCCCTGGCTTAGGCTCAAGACGTATGCCAACTTCCCAGAAGCACCTCAGGAGGAGGCTTCTCTCCGCAATACGTATGTGGGAGGGACCCCGAGTTTGCTGCCTCAAGGGGAATATACAGCGAGAAGCCCTAACTTGAAAGGAGGCCGGATTTCCTTGCAGTGGCTTGAATACAGGCTCGTCTTTCATCTCACAACATGAAGGGATGACTGAATCCCCTGTGGAGAACTTAGAGAAAGTCCTAGGTCCCTGCCTCATTTTGACGGAATGCCTCACATCGCGCTGACACCTCGAGAGGCACGCGGAGTTCATTGCTTCAAAAGGTGACGATGCCTGACTCCTCTTGAATACTGATAGGAATCCCAAAATCACTGTGGCTACTGGAAAGGGTGCTTGGGTGCCCTGCCTCACCTCGAGAAGCGTCCCTTTTGCCCTGCCAAGCCTCAAAGAGATTCCTGAGGTGTCCCTCGTTACTAGACAGGAGTCCTGACGTCACTGAAGAAACTCGTGTTTTGAAGGGCCATCCCCGCCGTAAGTCGAGAACATACCCCAGGTCCCCGCCGCAACTCGAGAAAACCATGAGACTTCCCCCTAGAGGCGAGATGAGGCCCCATTCCCCTGCAGTGCATGCAGAGCTATTCCGTGATCCCATTCAAACAAGTCAGGAGCTTCGAATTGCTTAATGGATCTCGAGACAGTCCCCAAGAACACTGTCACCAGTCTAGACGGACCCTGAGGTCACCCCAGCAACGCAAAGCAGCTCCATGTGCCCCAAATCAACTCGAGATGAGGCCCGATTCCCCTGCATTGACACCAGAGCCATTCCCCGTTCCCCATTCAACACGACCGGTGGCTCGACTTCCTTCAGGCAACTCCAGAGATGCCCCGAGAACACTGTCCCAAGTCTAGAGGAACACCAACTTCAGCACAGCAACTCGAGGAATGCTCCGTGTACCCCAAATCGTCTCGAGATGCGAGCTGATTCCCTGGCTTAGGCTCAAGACGTATGCCAAATTCCCAGAAGCACCTCAGGAGGAGGCTTCTCTCAGAAATAGGTATGTGGGAGGGACCCCGAGTTTGCTGCCTCAAGGGGAATATACAGCGAGAGGCCCTAACTTGAAAGGAGGCCGGATTTCCTTGCAGTGGCTTGAATACAGGCTCATCTTTCATCTAACAACATGAAGGGATGTCTGAATCCCCTGTGGAAACCTTAGAGAAAGCCCTAGGTCCCTGCCTCATTTTGACGGAATGCCTCACATCCCGCTGACACCTCGAGAGGCACGCGGAGTTCATTGCTTCAAAAGGTGACGATGCCTGACTCCTCTTGAATACTGATAGGAATCCCAAAATCCCTGTGGCTACTGGAAAGGGTCCTTGGGTGCCCTGCCTCACCTCGAGAAGCGTCCCTTTTGCCCTGCCAAGCCTCGAAGAGATTCCTGAGGTGTCCCTCGTTACTAGACAGGAGTCCTGACGTCACTGAAGAAACTCGTGTTTTGAAGGGCCATCCCCGCCGTAAGTCGAGAACATAGCCCAGGTCCCCGCCGCAACTCGAGAAAAACCATGAGACTTCCCCCTAGAGGCGAGATGAGGCCCCATTCCCCTGCAGTGCATGCAGAGCTATTCCGTGATCCCATTCAAACAAGTCAGGAGCTTCGACTTGCTTAATGGATCTCGAGACAGTCCCCAAGAACACTGTCACCAGTCTAGACGGACCCTGAGGTCACCCCAGCAACGCAAAGCAGCTCCATGTGCCCCAAATCAACTCGAGATGAGGCCCGATTCCCCTGCATTGACTCCAGAGCCATTCCCCGTTCCCCATTCAACACGACCGGTGGCTCGACTTCCTTCAGGCAACTCCAGAGATGCCCCGAGAACACTGTCCCAAGTCTAGAGGAACCACAACTTCAACACAGCAACTCGAGGAATGCTCCGTGTACCCCAAATCGTCTCGAGATGCGAGCTGATTCCCTGGCTTAGGCTCAAGACGTATGCCAAATTCCCAGAAGCACCTCAGGAGGAGGCTTCTCTCAGCAATAGGTATGTGGGAGGGACCCCGAGTTTGCTGCCTCAAGGGGAATATACAGCGAGAAGCCCTAACTTGAAAGGAGGCCGGATTTCCTTGCAGTGGCTTGAATACAGGCTCGTCTTTCATCTCACAACATGAAGGGATGTCTGAATCCCCTGTGGAGACCTTAGAGAAAGACCTAGGTCCCTGCCTCATTTTGACGGAATGCCTCACATCGCGCTGACACCTCGAGAGGCACGCGGAGTTCATTGCTTCAAAAGGTGACGATGCCTGACTCCTCTTGAATACTGATAGGAATCCCAAAATCCCTGTGGCTACTGGAAAGGGTCCTTGGGTGCCCTGCCTCACCTCGAGAAGCGTCCCTTTGGCCCTGCCAAGCCTCGAAGAGATTCCTGAGGTGTCCCTCGTTACTAGACAGGAGTCCTGACGTCACTGAAGAAACTCGTGTTTTGAAGGGCCATCCCCGCCGTAAGTCGAGAACATAGCCCAGGTCCCCGCCGCAACTCGAGAAAAACCATGAGACTTCCCCCTAGAGGCGAGATGAGGCCCCATTCCCCTGCAGTGCATGCAGAGCTATTCCGTGATCCCATTCAAACAAGTCAGGAGCTTCGACTTGCTTAATGGATCTCGAGACAGTCCCCAAGAACACTGTCACCAGTCTAGACGGACCCTGAGGTCACCCCAGCAACGCAAAGCAGCTCCATGTGCCCCAAATCAACTCGAGATGAGGCCCGATTCCCCTGCATTGACTCCAGAGCCATTCCCCGTTCCCCATTCAACACGGCCGGTGGCTCGACTTCCTTCAGGCAACTCCAGAGATGCCCCGAGAACACTGTCCCAAGTCTAGAGGAACACCAACTTCAGCACAGCAACTCGAGGAATGCTCCGTGTACCCCAAATCGTCTCGAGATGCGAGCTGATTCCCTGGCTTAGGCTCAAGACGTATGCCAACTTCCCAGAAGCACCTCAGGAGGAGGCTTCTCTCAGCAATAGGTATGTGGGAGGGACCCCGAGTTTGCTGCCTCAAGGGGAATATACAGCGAGAAGCCCTAACTTGAAAGGAGGCCGGATTTCCTTGCAGTGGCTTGAATACAGGCTCGTCTTTCATCTCACAACATGAAGGGATGTCTGAATCCCCTGTGGAGACCTTAGAGAAAGCCCTAGGTCCCTGCCTCATTTTGACGGAATGCCTCACATCCCGCTGACACCTCGAGAGGCACGCGGAGTTCATTGCTTCAAAAGGTGACGATGCCTGACTCCTCTTGAATACTGATAGGAATCCCAAAATCCCTGTGGCTACTGGAAAGGGTCCTTGGGTGCCCTGCCTCACCTCGAGAAGCGTCCCTTTTGCCCTGCCAAGCCTCGAAGAGATTCCTGAGGTGTCCCTCGTTACTAGACAGGAGTCCTGACGTCACTGAAGAAACTCGTGTTTTGAAGGGCCATCCCCGCCGTAAGTCGAGAACATACCCCAGGTCCCCGCCGCAACTCGAGAAAAACCATGAGACTTCCCCCTAGAGGCGAGATGAGGCCCCATTCCCCTGTAGTGCATGCAGAGCTATTCCGTGATCCCATTCAAACAAGTCAGGAGCTTCGACTTGCTTAATGGATCTCGAGACAGTCCCCAAGAACACTGTCACCAGTCTAGACGGACCCTGAGGTCACCCCAGCAACGCAAAGCAGCTCCATGTGCCCCAAATCAACTCGAGATGAGGCCCGATTCCCCTGCATTGACCCCAGAGCCATTCCCCGTTCCCCATTCAACACGACCGGTGGCTCGACTTCCTTCAGGCAACTCCAGAGATGCCCCGAGAACACTGTCCCAAGTCTAGAGGAACACCAACTTCAGCACAGCAACTCGAGGAATGCTCCGTGTTCCCCAAATCGTCTCGAGATGCGAGCTGATTCCCTGGCTTAGGCTCAAGACGTATGCCAACTTCCCAGAAGCACCTCAGGAGGAGGCTTCTCTCAGCAATAGGTATGTGGGAGGGACCCCGAGTTTGCTGCCTCAAGGGGAATATACAGCGAGAAGCCCTAACTTGAAAGGAGGCCGGATTTCCTTGCAGTGGCTTGAATACAGGCTCGTCTTTCATCTCACAACATGAAGGGATGTCTGAATCCCCTGTGGAGACCTTAGAGAAAGCCCTAGGTCCCTGCCTCATTTTGACGGTATGCCTCACATCCCGCTGACACCTCGAGAGGCACGCGGAGTTCATTGCTTCAAAAAGTGACGATGCCTGACTCCTCTTGAATACTGATAGGAATCCCAAAATCCCTGTGGCTACTGGAAAGGGTCCTTGGGTGCCCTGCCTCACCTCGAGAAGCGTCCCTTTGGCCCTGCCAAGCCTCGAAGAGATTCCTGAGGTGTCCCTCGTTACTAGACAGGAGTCCTGACGTCACTGAAGAAACTCGTGTTTTGAAGGGCCATCCCCGCCGTAAGTCGAGAACATACCCCAGGTCCCCGCCGCAACTCGAGAAAAACCATGAGACTTCCCCCTAGAGGCGAGATGAGGCCCCATTCCCCTGCAGTGCATGCAGAGCTATTCCGTGATCCCATTCAAACAAGTCAGGAGCTTCGACTTGCTTAATGGATCTCGAGACAGTCCCCAAGAACACTGTCACCAGTCTAGACGGACCCTGAGGTCACCCCAGCAACGCAAAGCAGCTCCATGTGCCCCAAATCAACTCGAGATGAGGCCCGATTCCCCTGCATTGACCCCAGAGCCATTCCCCGTTCCCCATTCAACACGACCGGTGGCTCGACTTCCTTCAGGCAACTCCAGAGATGCCCCGAGAACACTGTCCCAAGTCTAGAGGAACACCAACTTCAGCACAGCAACTCGAGGAATGCTCCGTGTACCCCAAATCGTCTCGAGATGCGAGCTGATTCCCTGGCTTAGGCTCAAGACGTATGCCAACTTCCCAGAAGCACCTCAGGAGGAGGCTTCTCTCAGCAATAGGTATGTGGGAGGGACCCCGAGTTTGCTGCCTCAAGGGGAATATACAGCGAGAAGCCCTAACTTGAAAGGAGGCCGGATTTCCTTGCAGTGGCTTGAATACAGGCTCGTCTTTCATCTCACAACATGAAGGGATGTCTGAATCCCCTGTGGAGACCTTAGAGAAAGCCCTAGGTCCCTGCCTCATTTTGACGGAATGCCTCACATCGCGCTGACACCTCGAGAGGCACGCGGAGTTCATTGCTTCAAAAGGTGACGATGCCTGACTCCTCTTGAATACTGATAGGAATCCCAAAATCCCTGTGGCTACTGGAAAGGGTCCTTGGGTGCCCTGCCTCTCCTCGAGAAGGGTCCCTTTTGCCCTGCCAAGCCTCGAAGAGATTCCTGAGGTGTCCCTCTTTACTAGACAGGAGTCCTGACGTCACTGAAGAAACTCGTGTTTTGAAGGGTCATCCCCGCCGTAAGTCGAGAACATACCCCAGGTCCCCGCCGCAACTCGAGAAAAACCATGAGACTTCCCCCTAGAGGCGAGATGAGGCCCCATTCCCCTGCAGTGCATGCAGAGCTATTCCGTGATCCCATTCAAACAAGTCAGGAGCTTCGACTTGCTTAATGGATCTCGAGACAGTCCCCAAGAACACTGTCACCAGTCTAGACGGACCCTGAGGTCACCCCAGCAACGCAAAGCAGCTCCATGTGCCCCAAATCAACTCGAGATGAGGCCCGATTCCCCTGCATTGACCCCAGAGCCATTCCCCGTTCCCCATTCAACACGACCGGTGGCTCGACTTCCTTCAGGCAACTCCAGAGATGCCCCGAGAACACTGTCCCAAGTCTAGAGGAACACCAACTTCAGCACAGCAACTCGAGGAATGCTCCGTGTACCCCAAATCGTCTCGAGATGCGAGCTGATTCCCTGGCTTAGGCTCAAGACGTATGCCAACTTCCCAGAAGCACCTCAGGAGGAGGCTTCTCTCAGCAATAGGTATGTGGGAGGGACCCCGAGTTTGCTGCCTCAAGGGGAATATACTGCGAGAAGCCCTAACTTGAAAGGAGGCCGGATTTCCTTGCAGTGGCTTGAATACAGGCTCGTCTTTCATCTCACAACATGAAGGGATGTCTGAATCCCCTGTGGAGACCTTAGAGCAAGCCCTAGGTCCCTGCCTCATTTTGACGGAATGCCTCACATCCCGCTGACACCTCGAGAGGCACGCGGAGTTCATTGCTTCAAAAGGTGACGATGCCTGACTCCTCTTGAATACTGATAGGAATCCCAAAATCCCTGTGGCTACTGGAAAGGGTCCTTGGGTGCCCTGCCTCACCTCGAGAAGCGTCCCTTTGGCCCTGCCAAGCCTCGAAGAGATTCCTGAGGTGTCCCTCGTTACTAGACAGGAGTCCTGACGTCACTGAAGAAACTCTTGTTTTGAAGGGCCATCCCCGCCGTAAGTCGAGAACATACCCCAGGTCCCCGCCGCAACTCGAGAAAAACCATGAGACTTCCCCCTAGAGGCGAGATGAGGCCCCATTCCCCTGCAGTGCATGCAGAGCTATTCCGTGATCCCATTCAAACAAGTCAGGAGCTTCGACTTGCTTAATGGATCTCGAGACAGTCCCCAAGAACACTGTCACCAGTCTAGACGGACCCTGAGGTCACCCCAGCAACGCAAAGCAGCTCCATGTGCCCCAAATCAACTCGAGATGAGGCCCGATTCCCCTGCATTGACCCCAGAGCCATTCCCCGTTCCCCATTCAACACGACCGGTGGCTCGACTTCCTTCAGGCAACTCCAGAGATGCCCCGAGAACACTGTCCCAAGTCTAGAGGAAGACCAACTTCAACACAGCAACTCGAGGAATGCTCCGTGTACCCCAAATCGTCTCGAGATGCGAGCTGATTCCCTGGCTTAGGCTCAAGACGTATGCCAACTTCCCAGAAGCACCTCAGGAGGAGGCTTCTCTCCGCAATACGTATGTGGGAGGGACCCCGAGTTTGCTGCCTCAAGGGGAATATACAGCGAGAAGCCCTAACTTGAAAGGAGGCCGGATTTCCTTGCAGTGGCTTGAATACAGGCTCGTCTTTCATCTCACAACATGAAGGGATGACTGAATCCCCTGTGGAGAACTTAGAGAAAGTCCTAGGTCCCTGCCTCATTTTGACGGAATGCCTCACATCGCGCTGACACCTCGAGAGGCACGCGGAGTTCATTGCTTCAAAAGGTGACGATGCCTGACTCCTCTTGAATACTGATAGGAATCCCAAAATCCCTGTGGCTACTGGAAAGGGTCCTTGGGTGCCCTGCCTCACCTCGAGAAGCGTCCCTTTTGCCCTGCCAAGCCTCAAAGAGATTCCTGAGGTGTCCCTCGTTACTAGACAGGAGTCCTGACGTCACTGAAGAAACTCGTGTTTTGAAGGGCCATCCCCGCCGTGAGTCGAGAACATACCCCAGGTCCCCGCCGCAACTCGAGAAAACCATGAGACTTCCCCCTAGAGGCGAGATGAGGCCCCATTCCCCTGCAGTGCATGCAGAGCTATTCCGTGATCCCATTCAAACAAGTCAGGAGCTTCGACTTGCTTAATGGATCTCGAGACAGTCCCCAAGAACACTGTCACCAGTCTAGACGGACCCTGAGGTCACCCCAGCAACGCAAAGCAGCTCCATGTGCCCCAAATCAACTCGAGATGAGGCCCGATTCCCCTGCATTGACACCAGAGCCATTCCCCGTTCCCCATTCAACACGACCGGTGGCTCGACTTCCTTCAGGCAACTCCAGAGATGCCCCGAGAACACTGTCCCAAGTCTAGAGGAACACCAACTTCAGCACAGCAACTCGAGGAATGCTCCGTGTACCCCAAATTGTCTCGAGATGCGAGCTGATTCCCTGGCTTAGGCTCAAGACGTATGCGAAATTCCCAGAAGCACCTCAGGAGGAGGCTTCTCTCAGAAATAGGTATGTGGGAGGGACCCCGAGTTTGCTGCCTCAAGGGGAATATACAGCGAGAGGCCCTAACTTGAAAGGAGGCCGGATTTCCTTGCAGTGGCTTGAATACAGGCTCATCTTTCATCTCACAACATGAAGGGATGTCTGAATCCCCTGGGGAGACCTGAGAGAAAGCCCTAGGTCCCTGCCTCATTTTGACGGAATGCCTCACATCCCGCTGACACCTCGAGAGGCACGCGGAGTTCATTGCTTCAAAAGGTGACGATGCCTGACTCCTCTTGAATACTGATAGGAATCCCAAAATCCCTGTGGCTACTGGAAAGGGTCCTTGGGTGCCCTGCCTCACCTCGAGAAGCGTCCCTTTTGCCCTGCCAAGCCTCGAAGAGATTCCTGAGGTGTCCCTCGTTACTAGACAGGAGTCCTGACGTCACTGAAGAAACTCGTGTTTTGAAGGGCCATCCCCGCCGTAAGTCGAGAACATACCCCAGGTCCCCGCCGCAACTCGAGAAAAACCATGAGACTTCCCCCTAGAGGCGAGATGAGGCCCCATTCCCCTGCAGTGCATGCAGAGCTATTCCGTGATCCCATTCAAACAAGTCAGGAGCTTCGACTTGCTTAATGGATCTCGAGACAGTCCCCAAGAACACTGTCACCAGTCTAGACGGACCCTGAGGTCACCCCAGCAACGCAAAGCAGCTCCATGTGCCCCAAATCAACTCGAGATGAGGCCCGATTCCCCTGCATTGACTCCAGAGCCATTCCCCGTTCCCCATTCAACACGACCGGTGGCTCGACTTCCTTCAGGCAACTCCAGAGATGCCCCGAGAACACTGTCCCAAGTCTAGAGGAACCCCAACTTCAACACAGCAACTCGAGGAATGCTCCGTGTACCCCAAATCGTCTCGAGATGCGAGCTGATTCCCTGGCTTAGGCTCAAGACGTATGCCAAATTCCCAGAAGCACCTCAGGAGGAGCCTTCTCTCAGCAATAGGTATGTGGGAGGGACCCCGAGTTTGCTGCCTCAAGGGGAATATACAGCGAGAAGCCCTAACTTGAAAGGAGGCCGGATTTCCTTGCAGTGGCTTGAATACAGGCTCGTCTTTCATCTCACAACATGAAGGGATGTCTGAATCCCCTGTGGAGACCTTAGAGAAAGCCCTAGGTCCCTGCCTCATTTTGACGGAATGCCTCACATCGCGCTGACACCTCGAGAGGCACGCGGAGTTCATTGCTTCAAAAGGTGACGATGCCTGACTCCTCTTGAATACTGATAGGAATCCCAAAATCCCTGTGGCTACTGGAAAGGGTCCTTGGGTGCCCTGCCTCACCTCGAGAAGCGTCCCTTTGGCCCTGCCAAGCCTCGAAGAGATTCCTGAGGTGTCCCTCGTTACTAGACAGGAGTCCTGACGTCACTGAAGAAACTCGTGTTTTGAAGGGCCATCCCCGCCGTAAGTCGAGAACATAGCCCAGGTCCCCGCCGCAACTCGAGAAAAACCATGAGACTTCCCCCTAGAGGCGAGATGAGGCCCCATTCCCCTGCAGTGCATGCAGAGCTATTCCGTGATCCCATTCAAACAAGTCAGGAGCTTCGACTTGCTTAATGGATCTCGAGACAGTCCCCAAGAACACTGTCACCAGTCTAGACGGACCCTGAGGTCACCACAGCAACGCAAAGCAGCTCCATGTGCCCCAAATCAACTCGAGATGAGGCCCGATTCCCCTGCATTGACTCCAGAGCCATTCCCCGTTCCCCATTCAACACGGCCGGTGGCTCGACTTCCTTCAGGCAACTCCAGAGATGCCCCGAGAACACTGTCCCAAGTCTAGAGGAACACCAACTTCAGCACAGCAACTCGAGGAATGCTCCGTGTACCCCAAATCGTCTCGAGATGCGAGCTGATTCCCTGGCTTAGGCTCAAGACGTATGCCAACTTCCCAGAAGCACCTCAGGAGGAGGCTTCTCTCAGCAATAGGTATGTGGGAGGGACCCCGAGTTTGCTGCCTCAAGGGGAATATACTGCGAGAAGCCCTAACTTGAAAGGAGGCCGGATTTCCTTGCAGTGGCTTGAATACAGGCTCGTCTTTCATCTCACAACATGAAGGGATGTCTGAATCCCCTGTGGAGACCTTAGAGAAAGCCCTAGGTCCCTGCCTCATTTTGACGGAATGCCTCACATCGCGCTGACACCTCGAGAGGCACGCGGAGTTCATTGCTTCAAAAGGTGACGATGCCTGACTCCTCTTGAATACTGATAGGAATCCCAAAATCCCTGTGGCTACTGGAAAGGGTCCTTGGGTGCCCTGCCTCACCTCGAGAAGCGTCCCTTTTGCCCTGCCAAGCCTCGAAGAGATTCCTGAGGTGTCCCTCGTTACTAGACAGGAGTCCTGACGTCAGTGAAGAAACTCGTGTTTTGAAGGGCCATCCCCGCCGTAAGTCGAGAACATACCCCAGGTCCCCGCCGCAACTCGAGAAAAACCATGAGACTTCCCCCTAGAGGCGAGATGAGGCCCCATTCCCCTGCAGTGCATGCAGAGCTATTCCGTGATCCCATTCAAACAAGTCAGGAGCTTCGACTTGCTTAATGGATCTCGAGACAGTCCCCAAGAACACTGTCACCAGTCTAGACGGACCCTGAGGTCACCCCAGCAACGCAAAGCAGCTCCATGTGCCCCAAATCAACTCGAGATGAGGCCCGATTCCCCTGCATTGACCCCAGAGCCATTCCCCGTTCCCCATTCAACACGACCGGTGGCTCGACTTCCTTCAGGCAACTCCAGAGATGCCCCGAGAACACTGTCCCAAGTCTAGATGAACACCAACTTCAGCACAGCAACACGAGGAATGCTCCGTGTTCCCCAAATCGTCTCGAGATGCGAGCTGATTCCCTGGCTTAGGCTCAAGACGTATGCCAACTTCCCAGAAGCACCTCAGGAGGAGGCTTCTCTCAGCAATAGGTATGTGGGAGGGACCCCGAGTTTGCTGCCTCAAGGGGAATATACAGCGAGAAGCCCTAACTTGAAAGGAGGCCGGATTTCCTTGCAGTGGCTTGAATACAGGCTCGTCTTTCATCTCACAACATGAAGGGATGTCTGAATCCCCTGTGGAGACCTTAGAGAAAGACCTAGGTCCCTGCCTCATTTTGACGGAATGCCTCACATCCCGCTGACACCTCGAGAGGCACGCGGAGTTCATTGCTTCAAAAGGTGACGATGCCTGACTCCTCTTGAATACTGATAGGAATCCCAAAATCCCTGTGGCTACTGGAAAGGGTCCTTGGGTGCCCTGCCTCACCTCGAGAAGCGTCCCTTTTGCCCTGCCAAGCCTCGAAGAGATTCCTGAGGTGTCCCTCGTTACTAGAGAGGAGTCCTGACGTCACTGAAGAAACTCGTGTTTTGAAGGGCCATCCCCGCCGTAAGTCGAGAACATACCCCAGGTCCCCGCCGCAACTCGAGAAAAACCATGAGACTTCCCCCAAAGGCGAGATGAGGCCCCATTCCCCTGCAGTGCATGCAGAGCTATTCCGTGATCCCATTCAAACAAGTCAGGAGCTTCGACTTGCTTAATGGATCTCGCGACAGTCCCCAAGAACACTGTCACCAGTCTAGACGGACCCTGAGGTCACCCCAGCAAAGCAAAGCAGCTCCATGTGCCCCAAATCAACTCGAGATGAGGCCCGATTCCCCTGCATTAACTCCAGAGCCATTCCCCGTTCCCCATTCAACACGACCGGTGGCTCGACTTCCTTCAGGCAACTCCAGAGATGCCCCGAGAACACTGTCCCAAGTCTAGAGGAACACCAACTTCAGCACAGCAACTCGAGGAATGCTCCGTGTACCCCAAATCGTCTCGAGATGCGAGCTGATTCCCTGGCTTAGGCTCAAGACGTATGCCAACTTCCCAGAAGCACCTCAGGAGGAGGCTTCTCTCCGCAATACGTATGTGGGAGGGACCCCGAGTTTGCTGCCTCAAGGGGAATATACAGCGAGAAGCCCTAACTTGAAAGGAGGCCGGATTTCCTTGCAGTGGCTTGAATACAGGCTCGTCTTTCATCTCACAACATGAAGGGATGACTGAATCCCCTGTGGAGAACTTAGAGAAAGTCCTAGGTCCCTGCCTCATTTTGACGGAATGCCTCACATCGCGCTGACACCTCGAGAGGCACGCGGAGTTCATTGCTTCAAAAGGTGACGATGCCTGACTCCTCTTGAATACTGATAGGAATCCCAAAATCCCTGTGGCTACTGGAAAGGGTCCTTGGGTGCCCTGCCTCACCTCGAGAAGCGTCCCTTTTGCCCTGCCAAGCCTCAAATAGATTCCTGAGGTGTCCCTCGTTACTAGACAGGAGTCCTGACGTCACTGAAGAAACTCGTGTTTTGAAGGGCCATCCCCGCCGTAAGTCGAGAACATACCCCAGGTCAGCGCCGCAACTCGAGAAAACCATGAGACTTCCCCCTAGAGGCGAGATGAGGCCCCATTCCCCTGCAGTGCATGCAGAGCTATTCCGTGATCCCATTCAAACAAGTCAGGAGCTTCGAATTGCTTAATGGATCTCGAGACAGTCCCCAAGAACACTGTCACCAGTCTAGACGGACCCTGAGGTCACCCCAGCAATGCAAAGCAGCTCCATGTGCCCCAAATCAACTCGAGATGAGGCCCGATTCCCCTGCATTGACACCAGAGCCATTCCCCGTTCCCCATTCAACACGGCCGGTGGCTCGACTTCCTTCAGGCAACTCCAGAGATGCCCCGAGAACACTGTCCCAAGTCTAGAGGAACACCAACTTCAGCACAGCAACTCGAGGAATGCTCCGTGTACCCCAAATCGTCTCGAGATGCGAGCTGATTCCCTGGCTTAGGCTCAAGACGTATGCCAAATTCCCAGAAGCACCTCAGGAGGAGGCTTCTCTCAGAAATAGGTATGTGGGAGGGACCCCGAGTTTGCTGCCTCAAGGGGAATATACAGCGAGAGGCCCTAACTTGAAAGGAGGCCGGATTTCCTTGCAGTGGCTTGAATACAGGCTCATCTTTCATCTAACAACATGAAGGGATGTCTGAATCCCCTGTGGAGACCTTAGAGAAAGCCCTAGGTCCCTGCCTCATTTTGACGGAATGCCTCACATCCCGCTGACACCTCGAGAGGCACGCGGAGTTCATTGCTTCAAAAGGTGACGATGCCTGACTCCTCTTGAATACTGATAGGAATCCCAAAATCCCTGTGGCTACTGGAAAGGGTCCTTGGGTGCCCTGCCTCACCTCGAGAAGCGTCCCTTTGGCCCTGCCAAGCCTCGAAGAGATTCCTGAGGTGTCCCTCGTTACTAGACAGGAGTCCTGACGTCACTGAAGAAACTCGTGTTTTGAAGGGCCATCCCCGCCGTAAGTCGAGAACATAGCCCATGTCCCCGCCGCAACTCGAGAAAAACCATGAGACTTCCCCCTAGAGGCGAGATGAGGCCCCATTCCCCTGCAGTGCATGCAGAGCTATTCCGTGATCCCATTCAAACAAGTCAGGAGCTTCGACTTGCTTAATGGATCTCGAGACAGTCCCCAAGAACACTGTCACCAGTCTAGACGGACCCTGAGGTCACCCCAGCAACGCAAAGCAGCTCCATGTGCCCCAAATCAACTCGAGATGAGGCCCGATTCCCCTGCATTGACTCCAGAGCCATTCCCCGTTCCCCATTCAACACGGCCGGTGGCTCGACTTCCTTCAGGCAACTCCAGAGATGCCCCGAGAACACTGTCCCAAGTCTAGAGGAACACCAACTTCAGCACAGCAACTCGAGGAATGCTCCGTGTACCCCAAATCGTCTCGAGATGCGAGCTGATTCCCTGGCTTAGGCTCAAGACGTATGCCAACTTCCCAGAAGCACCTCAGGAGGAGGCTTCTCTCAGCAATAGGTATGTGGGAGGGACCCCGAGTTTGCTGCCTCAAGGGGAATATACAGCGAGAAGCCCTAACTTGAAAGGAGGCCGGATTTCCTTGCAGTGGCTTGAATACAGGCTCGTCTTTCATCTCACAACATGAAGGGATGTCTGAATCCCCTGTGGAGACCTTAGAGAAAGCCCTAGGTCCCTGCCTCATTTTGACGGAATGCCTGACATCCCGCTGACACCTCGAGAGGCACGCGGAGTTCATTGCTTCAAAAAGTGACGATGCCTGACTCCTCTTGAATACTGATAGGAATCCCAAAATCCCTGTGGCTACTGGAAAGGGTCCTTGGGTGCCATGCCTCACCTCGAGAAGCGTCCCTTTGGCCCTGCCAAGCCTCGAAGAGATTCCTGAGGTGTCCCTCGTTACTAGACAGGAGTCCTGACGTCACTGAAGAAACTCGTGTTTTGAAGGGCCATCCCCGCCGTAAGTCGAGAACATACCCCAGGTCCCCGCCGCAACTCGAGAAAAACCATGAGACTTCCCCCTAGAGGCGAGATGAGGCCCCATTCCCCTGCAGTGCATGCAGAGCTATTCCGTGATCCCATTCAAACAAGTCAGGAGCTTCGACTTGCTTAATGGATCTCGAGACAGTCCCCAAGAACACTGTCACCAGTCTAGACGGACCCTGAGGTCACCCCAGCAACGCAAAGCAGCTCCATGTGCCCCAAATCAACTCGAGATGAGGCCCGATTCCCCTGCATTGACCCCAGAGCCATTCCCCGTTCCCCATTCAACACGACCGGTGGCTCGACTTCCTTCAGGCAACTCCAGAGATGCCCCGAGAACACTGTCCCAAGTCTAGAGGAACACCAACTTCAGCACAGCAACTCGAGGAATGCTCCGTGTACCCCAAATCGTCTCGAGATGCGAGCTGATTCCCTGGCTTAGGCTCAAGACGTATGCCAACTTCCCAGAAGCACCTCAGGAGGAGGCTTCTCTCAGCAATAGGTATGTGGGAGGGACCCCGAGTTTGCTGCCTCAAGGGGAATATACAGCGAGAAGCCCTAACTTGAAAGGAGGCCGGATTTCCTTGCAGTGGCTTGAATACAGGCTCGTCTTTCATCTCACATCATGAAGGGATGTCTGAATCCCCTGTGGAGACCTTAGAGAATGCCCTAGGTCCCTGCCTCATTTTGACGGAATGCCTCACATCGCGCTGACACCTCGAGAGGCACGCGGAGTTCATTGCTTCAAAAGGTGACGATGCCTGACTCCTCTTGAATACTGATAGGAATCCCAAAATCCCTGTGGCTACTGGAAAGGGTCCTTGGGTGCCCTGCCTCACCTCGAGAAGCGTCCCTTTGGCCCTGCCAAGCCTCGAAGAGATTCCTGAGGTGTCCCTCGTTACTAGACAGGAGTCCTGACGTCACTGAAGAAACTCGTGTTTTGAAGGGCCATCCCCGCCGTAAGTCGAGAACATAGCCCAGGTCCCCGCCGCAACTCGAGAAAAACCATGAGACTTCCCCCTAGAGGCGAGATGAGGCCCCATTCCCCTGCAGTGCATGCAGAGCTATTCCGTGATCCCATTCAAACAAGTCAGGAGCTTCGACTTGCTTAATGGATCTCGAGACAGTCCCCAAGAACACTGTCACCAGTCTAGACGGACCCTGAGGTCACCACAGCAACGCAAAGCAGCTCCATGTGCCCCAAATCAACTCGAGATGAGGCCCGATTCCCCTGCATTGACTCCAGAGCCATTCCCCGTTCCCCATTCAACACGGCCGGTGGCTCGACTTCCTTCAGGCAACTCCAGAGATGCCCCGAGAACACTGTCCCAAGTCTAGAGGAACACCAACTTCAGCACAGCAACTCGAGGAATGCTCCGTGTACCCCAAATCGTCTCGAGATGCGAGCTGATTCCCTGGCTTAGGCTCAAGACGTATGCCAACTTCCCAGAAGCACCTCAGGAGGAGGCTTCTCTCAGCAATAGGTATGTGGGAGGGACCCCGAGTTTGCTGCCTCAAGGGGAATATACAGCGAGAAGCCCTAACTTGAAAGGAGGCCGGATTTCCTTGCAGTGGCTTGAATACAGGCTCGTCTTTCATCTCACAACATGAAGGGATGTCTGAATCCCCTGTGGAGACCTTAGAGAAAGCCCTAGGTCCCTGCCTCATTTTGACGGAATGCCTCACATCGCGCTGACACCTCGAGAGGCACGCGGAGTTCATTGCTTCAAAAGGTGACGATGCCTGACTCCTCTTGAATACTGATAGGAATCCCAAAATCCCTGTGGCTACTGGAAAGGGTCCTTGGGTGCCCTGCCTCACCTCGAGAAGCGTCCCTTTTGCCCTGCCAAGCCTCGAAGAGATTCCTGAGGTGTCCCTCGTTACTAGACAGGAGTCCTGACGTCACTGAAGAAACTCGTGTTTTGAAGGGCCATCCCCGCCGTAAGTCGAGAACATACCCCAGGTCCCCGCCGCAACTCGAGAAAAACCATGAGACTTCCCCCTAGAGGCGAGATGAGGCCCCATTCCCCTGCAGTGCATGCAGAGCTATTCCGTGATCCCATTCAAACAAGTCAGGAGCTTCGACTTGCTTAATGGATCTCGAGACAGTCCCCAAGAACACTGTCACCAGTCTAGACGGACCCTGAGGTCACCCCAGCAACGCAAAGCAGCTCCATGTGCCCCAAATCAACTCGAGATGAGGCCCGATTCCCCTGCATTGACCCCAGAGCCATTCCCCGTTCCCCATTCAACACGACCGGTGGCTCGACTTCCTTCAGGCAACTCCAGAGATGCCCCGAGAACACTGTCCCAAGTCTAGATGAACACCAACTTCAGCACAGCAACACGAGGAATGCTCCGTGTTCCCCAAATCGTCTCGAGATGCGAGCTGATTCCCTGGCTTAGGCTCAAGACGTATGCCAACTTCCCAGAAGCACCTCAGGAGGAGGCTTCTCTCAGCAATAGGTATGTGGGAGGGACCCCGAGTTTGCTGCCTCAAGGGGAATATACAGCGAGAAGCCCTAACTTGAAAGGAGGCCGGATTTCCTTGCAGTGGCTTGAATACAGGCTCGTCTTTCATCTCACAACATGAAGGGATGTCTGAATCCCCTGTGGAGACCTTAGAGAAAGCCCTAGGTCCCTGCCTCATTTTGACGGAATGCCTCACATCCCGCTGACACCTCGAGAGGCACGCGGAGTTCATTGCTTCAAAAGGTGACGATGCCTGACTCCTCTTGAATACTGATAGGAATCCCAAAATCCCTGTGGCTACTGGAAAGGGTCCTTGGGTGCCCTGCCTCACCTCGAGAAGCGTCCCTTTTGCCCTGCCAAGCCTCGAAGAGATTCCTGAGGTGTCCCTCGTTACTAGAGAGGAGTCCTGACGTCACTGAAGAAACTCGTGTTTTGAAGGGCCATCCCCGCCGTAAGTCGAGAACATACCCCAGGTCCCCGCCGCAACTCGAGAAAAACCATGAGACTTCCCCCAAAGGCGAGATGAGGCCCCATTCCCCTGCAGTGCATGCAGAGCTATTCCGTGATCCCATTCAAACAAGTCAGGAGCTTCGACTTGCTTAATGGATCTCGAGACAGTCCCCAAGAACACTGTCACCAGTCTAGACGGACCCTGAGGTCACCCCAGCAACGCAAAGCAGCTCCATGTGCCCCAAATCAACTCGAGATGAGGCCCGATTCCCCTGCATTGACTCCAGAGCCATTCCCCGTTCCCCATTCAACACGGCCGGTGGCTCGACTTCCTTCAGGCAACTCCAGAGATGCCCCGAGAACACTGTCCCAAGTCTAGAGGAACACCAACTTCAGCACAGCAACTCGAGGAATGCTCCGTGTACCCCAAATCGTCTCGAGATGCGAGCTGATTCCCTGGCTTAGGCTCAAGACGTATGCCAACTTCCCAGAAGCACCTCAGGAGGAGGCTTCTCTCAGCAATAGGTATGTGGGAGGGACCCCGAGTTTGCTGCCTCAAGGGGAATATACAGCGAGAAGCCCTAACTTGAAAGGAGGCCGGATTTCCTTGCAGTGGCTTGAATACAGGCTCGTCTTTCATCTCACAACATGAAGGGATGTCTGAATCCCCTGTGGAGACCTTAGAGAAAGCCCTAGGTCCCTGCCTCATTTTGACGGAATGCCTGACATCCCGCTGACACCTCGAGAGGCACGCGGAGTTCATTGCTTCAAAAAGTGACGATGCCTGACTCCTCTTGAATACTGATAGGAATCCCAAAATCCCTGTGGCTACTGGAAAGGGTCCTTGGGTGCCCTGCCTCACCTCGAGAAGCGTCCCTTTGGCCCTGCCAAGCCTCGAAGAGATTCCTGAGGTGTCCCTCGTTACTAGACAGGAGTCCTGACGTCACTGAAGAAACTCGTGTTTTGAAGGGCCATCCCCGCCGTAAGTCGAGAACATACCCCAGGTCCCCGCCGCAACTCGAGAAAAACCATGAGACTTCCCCCTAGAGGCGAGATGAGGCCCCATTCCCCTGCAGTGCATGCAGAGCTATTCCGTGATCCCATTCAAACAAGTCAGGAGCTTCGACTTGCTTAATGGATCTCGAGACAGTCCCCAAGAACACTGTCACCAGTCTAGACGGACCCTGAGGTCACCCCAGCAACGCAAAGCAGCTCCATGTGCCCCAAATCAACTCGAGATGAGGCCCGATTCCCCTGCATTGACCCCAGAGCCATTCCCCGTTCCCCATTCAACACGACCGGTGGCTCGACTTCCTTCAGGCAACTCCAGAGATGCCCCGAGAACACTGTCCCAAGTCTAGAGGAACACCAACTTCAGCACAGCAACTCGAGGAATGCTCCGTGTACCCCAAATCGTCTCGAGATGCGAGCTGATTCCCTGGCTTAGGCTCAAGACGTATGCCAACTTCCCAGAAGCACCTCAGGAGGAGGCTTCTCTCAGCAATAGGTATGTGGGAGGGACCCCGAGTTTGCTGCCTCAAGGGGAATATACAGCGAGAAGCCCTAACTTGAAAGGAGGCCGGATTTCCTTGCAGTGGCTTGAATACAGGCTCGTCTTTCATCTCACATCATGAAGGGATGTCTGAATCCCCTGTGGAGACCTTAGAGAAAGCCCTAGGTCCCTGCCTCATTTTGACGGAATGCCTCACATCGCGCTGACACCTCGAGAGGCACGCGGAGTTCATTGCTTCAAAAGGTGACGATGCCTGACTCCTCTTGAATACTGATAGGAATCCCAAAATCCCTGTGGCTACTGGAAAGGGTCCTTGGGTGCCCTGCCTCACCTCGAGAAGCGTCCCTTTGGCCCTGCCAAGCCTCGAAGAGATTCCTGAGGTGTCCCTCGTTACTAGACAGGAGTCCTGACGTCACTGAAGAAACTCGTGTTTTGAAGGGCCATCCCCGCCGTAAGTCGAGAACATAGCCCAGGTCCCCGCCGCAACTCGAGAAAAACCATGAGACTTCCCCCTAGAGGCGAGATGAGGCCCCATTCCCCTGCAGTGCATGCAGAGCTATTCCGTGATCCCATTCAAACAAGTCAGGAGCTTCGACTTGCTTAATGGATCTCGAGACAGTCCCCAAGAACACTGTCACCAGTCTAGACGGACCCTGAGGTCACCACAGCAACGCAAAGCAGCTCCATGTGCCCCAAATCAACTCGAGATGAGGCCCGATTCCCCTGCATTGACTCCAGAGCCATTCCCCGTTCCCCATTCAACACGGCCGGTGGCTCGACTTCCTTCAGGCAACTCCAGAGATGCCCCGAGAACACTGTCCCAAGTCTAGAGGAACACCAACTTCAGCACAGCAACTCGAGGAATGCTCCGTGTACCCCAAATCGTCTCGAGATGCGAGCTGATTCCCTGGCTTAGGCTCAAGACGTATGCCAACTTCCCAGAAGCACCTCAGGAGGAGGCTTCTCTCAGCAATAGGTATGTGGGAGGGACCCCGAGTTTGCTGCCTCAAGGGGAATATACAGCGAGAAGCCCTAACTTGAAAGGAGGCCGGATTTCCTTGCAGTGGCTTGAATACAGGCTCGTCTTTCATCTCACAACATGAAGGGATGTCTGAATCCCCTGTGGAGACCTTAGAGAAAGCCCTAGGTCCCTGCCTCATTTTGACGGAATGCCTCACATCGCGCTGACACCTCGAGAGGCACGCGGAGTTCATTGCTTCAAAAGGTGACGATGCCTGACTCCTCTTGAATACTGATAGGAATCCCAAAATCCCTGTGGCTACTGGAAAGGGTCCTTGGGTGCCCTGCCTCACCTCGAGAAGCGTCCCTTTTGCCCTGCCAAGCCTCGAAGAGATTCCTGAGGTGTCCCTCGTTACTAGACAGGAGTCCTGACGTCACTGAAGAAACTCGTGTTTTGAAGGGCCATCCCCGCCGTAAGTCGAGAACATACCCCAGGTCCCCGCCGCAACTCGAGAAAAACCATGAGACTTCCCCCTAGAGGCGAGATGAGGCCCCATTCCCCTGCAGTGCATGCAGAGCTATTCCGTGATCCCATTCAAACAAGTCAGGAGCTTCGACTTGCTTAATGGATCTCGAGACAGTCCCCAAGAACACTGTCACCAGTCTAGACGGACCCTGAGGTCACCCCAGCAACGCAAAGCAGCTCCATGTGCCCCAAATCAACTCGAGATGAGGCCCGATTCCCCTGCATTGACCCCAGAGCCATTCCCCGTTCCCCATTCAACACGACCGGTGGCTCGACTTCCTTCAGGCAACTCCAAAGATGCCCCGAGAACACTGTCCCAAGTCTAGATGAACACCAACTTCAGCACAGCAACACGAGGAATGCTCCGTGTTCCCCAAATCGTCTCGAGATGCGAGCTGATTCCCTGGCTTAGGCTCAAGACGTATGCCAACTTCCCAGAAGCACCTCAGGAGGAGGCTTCTCTCAGCAATAGGTATGTGGGAGGGACCCCGAGTTTGCTGCCTCAAGGGGAATATACAGCGAGAAGCCCTAACTTGAAAGGAGGCCGGATTTCCTTGCAGTGGCTTGAATACAGGCTCGTCTTTCATCTCACAACATGAAGGGATGTCTGAATCCCCTGTGGAGACCTTAGAGAAAGCCCTAGGTCCCTGCCTCATTTTGACGGAATGCCTCACATCCCGCTGACACCTCGAGAGGCACGCGGAGTTCATTGCTTCAAAAGGTGACGATGCCTGACTCCTCTTGAATACTGATAGGAATCCCAAAATCCCTGTGGCTACTGGAAAGGGTCCTTGGGTGCCCTGCCTCACCTCGAGAAGCGTCCCTTTTGCCCTGCCAAGCCTCGAAGAGATTCCTGAGGTGTCCCTCGTTACTAGAGAGGAGTCCTGACGTCACTGAAGAAACTCGTGTTTTGAAGGGCCATCCCCGCCGTAAGTCGAGAACATACCCCAGGTCCCCGCCGCAACTCGAGAAAAACCATGAGACTTCCCCCAAAGGCGAGATGAGGCCCCATTCCCCTGCAGTGCATGCAGAGCTATTCCGTGATCCCATTCATACAAGTCAGGAGCTTCGACTTGCTTAATGGATCTCGCGACAGTCCCCAAGAACACTGTCACCAGTCTAGACGGACCCTGAGGTCACCCCAGCAAAGCAAAGCAGCTCCATGTGCCCCAAATCAACTCGAGATGAGGCCCGATTCCCCTGCATTAACTCCAGAGCCATTCCCCGTTCCCCATTCAACACGACCGGTGGCTCGACTTCCTTCAGGCAACTCCAGAGATGCCCCGAGAACACTGTCCCAAGTCTAGAGGAACACCAACTTCAGCACAGCAACTCGAGGAATGCTCCGTGTACCCCAAATCGTCTCGAGATGCGAGCTGATTCCCTGGCTTAGGCTCAAGACGTATGCCAACTTCCCAGAAGCACCTCAGGAGGAGGCTTCTCTCCGCAATACGTATGTGGGAGGGACCCCGAGTTTGCTGCCTCAAGGGGAATATACAGCGAGAAGCCCTAACTTGAAAGGAGGCCGGATTTCCTTGCAGTGGCTTGAATACAGGCTCGTCTTTCATCTCACAACATGAAGGGATGACTGAATCCCCTGTGGAGAACTTAGAGAAAGTCCTAGGTCCCTGCCTCATTTTGACGGAATGCCTCACATCGCGCTGACACCTCGAGAGGCACGCGGAGTTCATTGCTTCAAAAGGTGACGATGCCTGACTCCTCTTGAATACTGATAGGAATCCCAAAATCCCTGTGGCTACTGGAAAGGGTCCTTGGGTGCCCTGCCTCACCTCGAGAAGCGTCCCTTTTGCCCTGCCAAGCCTCAAATAGATTCCTGAGGTGTCCCTCGTTACTAGACAGGAGTCCTGACCTCACTGAAGAAACTCGTGTTTTGAAGGGCCATCCCCGCCGTAAGTCGAGAACATACCCCAGGTCAGCGCCGCAACTCGAGAAAACCATGAGACTTCCCCCTAGAGGCGAGATGAGGCCCCATTCCCCTGCAGTGCATGCAGAGCTATTCCGTGATCCCATTCAAACAAGTCAGGAGCTTCGAATTGCTTAATGGATCTCGAGACAGTCCCCAAGAACACTGTCACCAGTCTAGACGGACCCTGAGGTCACCCCAGCAATGCAAAGCAGCTCCATGTGCCCCAAATCAACTCGAGATGAGGCCCGATTCCCCTGCATTGACACCAGAGCCATTCCCCGTTCCCCATTCAACACGGCCGGTGGCTCGACTTCCTTCAGGCAACTCCAGAGATGCCCCGAGAACACTGTCCCAAGTCTAGAGGAACACCAACTTCAGCACAGCAACTCGAGGAATGCTCCGTGTACCCCAAATCGTCTCGAGATGCGAGCTGATTCCCTGGCTTAGGCTCAAGACGTATGCCAAATTCCCAGAAGCACCTCAGGAGGAGGCTTCTCTCAGAAATAGGTATGTGGGAGGGACCCCGAGTTTGCTGCCTCAAGGGGAATATACAGCGAGAGGCCCTAACTTGAAAGGAGGCCGGATTTCCTTGCAGTGGCTTGAATACAGGCTCATCTTTCATCTAACAACATGAAGGGATGTCTGAATCCCCTGTGGAGACCTTAGAGAAAGCCCTAGGTCCCTGCCTCATTTTGACGGAATGCCTCACATCCCGCTGACACCTCGAGAGGCACGCGGAGTTCATTGCTTCAAAAGGTGACGATGCCTGACTCCTCTTGAATACTGATAGGAATCCCAAAATCCCTGTGGCTACTGGAAAGGGTCCTTGGGTGCCCTGCCTCACCTCGAGAAGCGTCCCTTTGGCCCTGCCAAGCCTCGAAGAGATTCCTGAGGTGTCCCTCGTTACTAGACAGGAGTCCTGACGTCACTGAAGAAACTCGTGTTTTGAAGGGCCATCCCCGCCGTAAGTCGAGAACATAGCCCAGGTCCCCGCCGCAACTCGAGAAAAACCATGAGACTTCCTCCTAGAGGCGAGATGAGGCCCCATTCCCCTGCAGTGCATGCAGAGCTATTCCGTGATCCCATTCAAACAAGTCAGGAGCTTCGACTTGCTTAATGGATCTCGAGACAGTCCCCAAGAACACTGTCACCAGTCTAGACGGACCCTGAGGTCACCCCAGCAACGCAAAGCAGCTCCATGTGCCCCAAATCAACTCGAGATGAGGCCCGATTCCCCTGCATTGACTCCAGAGCCATTCCCCGTTCCCCATTCAACACGACCGGTGGCTCGACTTCCTTCAGGCAACTCCAGAGATGCCCCGAGAACACTGTCCCAAGTCTAGAGGAACACCAACTTCAGCACAGCAACTCGAGGAATGCTCCGTGTACCCCAAATCGTCTCGAGATGCGAGCTGATTCCCTGGCTTAGGCTCAAGATGTATGCCAACTTCCCAGAAGCACCTCAGGAGGAGGCTTCTCTTAGCAATAGGTATGTGGGAGGGACCCCGAGTTTGCTGCCTCAAGGGGAATATACAGCGAGAAGCCCTAACTTGAAAGGAGGCCGGATTTCCTTGCAGTGGCTTGAATACAGGCTCGTCTTTCATCTCACAACATGAAGGGATGTCTGAATCCCCTTTGGAGACCTTAGAGAAAGCCCTAGGTCCCTGCCTCATTTTGACGGAATGCCTCACATCCCGCTGACACCTCGAGAGGCACGCGGAGTTCATTGCTTCAAAAAGTGACGATGCCTGACTCCTCTTGAATACTGATAGGAATCCCAAAATCCCTGTGGCTACTGGAAAGGGTCCTTGGGTGCCCTGCCTCACCTCGAGAAGCGTCCCTTTGGCCCTGCCAAGCCTCGAAGAGATTCCTGAGGTGTCCCTCGTTACTAGACAGGAGTCCTGACGTCACTGAAGAAACTCGTGTTTTGAAGGGCCATCCCCGCCGTAAGTCGAGAACATACCCCAGGTCCCCGCCGCAACTCGAGAAAAACCATGAGACTTCCCCCTAGAGGCGAGATGAGGCCCCATTCCCCTGCAGTGCATGCAGAGCTATTCCGTGATCCCATTCAAACAAGTCAGGAGCTTCGACTTGCTTAATGGATCTCGAGACAGTCCCCAAGAACACTGTCACCAGTCTAGACGGACCCTGAGGTCACCCCAGCAACGCAAAGCAGCTCCATGTGCCCCAAATCAACTCGAGATGAGGCCCGATTCCCCTGCATTGACCCCAGAGCCATTCCCCGTTCCCCATTCAACACGACCGGTGGCTCGACTTCCTTCAGGCAACTCCAGAGATGCCCCGAGAACACTGTCCCAAGTCTAGAGGAACACCAACTTCAGCACAGCAACTCGAGGAATGCTCCGTGTACCCCAAATCGTCTCGAGATGCGAGCTGATTCCCTGGCTTAGGCTCAAGACGTATGCCAACTTCCCAGAAGCACCTCAGGAGGAGGCTTCTCTCAGCAATAGGTATGTGGGAGGGACCCCGAGTTTGCTGCCTCAAGGGGAATATACAGCGAGAAACCCTAACTTGAAAGGAGGCCGGATTTCCTTGCAGTGGCTTGAATACAGGCTCGTCTTTCATCTCACAACATGAAGGGATGTCTGAATCCCCTGTGGAGACCTTAGAGAAAGCCCTAGGTCCCTGCCTCATTTTGACGGAATGCCTCACATCGCGCTGACACCTCGAGAGGCACGCGGAGTTCATTGCTTCAAAAGGTGACGATGCCTGACTCCTCTTGAATACTGATAGGAATCCCAAAATCCCTGTGGCTACTGGAAAGGGTCCTTGGGTGCCCTGCCTCTCCTCGAGAAGCGTCCCTTTTGCCCTGCCAAGCCTCGAAGAGATTCCTGAGGTGTCCCTCTTTACTAGACAGGAGTCCTGACGTCACTGAAGAAACTCGTGTTTTGAAGGGCCATCCCCGCCGTAAGTCGAGAACATACCCCAGGTCCCCGCCGCAACTCGAGAAAAACCATGAGACTTCCCCCTAGAGGCGAGATGAGGCCCCATTCCCCTGCAGTGCATGCAGAGCTATTCCGTGATCCCATTCAAACAAGTCAGGAGCTTCGACTTGCTTAATGGATCTCGAGACAGTCCCCAAGAACACTGTCACCAGTCTAGACGGACCCTGAGGTCACCCCAGCAACGCAAAGCAGCTCCATGTGCCCCAAATCAACTCGAGATGAGGCCCGATTCCCCTGCATTGACCCCAGAGCCATTCCCCGTTCCCCATTCAACACGACCGGTGGCTCGACTTCCTTCAGGCAACTCCAGAGATGCCCCGAGAACACTGTCCCAAGTCTAGAGGAACACCAACTTCAGCACAGCAACTCGAGGAATGCTCCGTGTACCCCAAATCGTCTCGAGATGCGAGCTGATTCCCTGGCTTAGGCTCAAGACGTATGCCAACTTCCCAGAAGCACCTCAGGAGGAGGCTTCTCTCAGCAATAGGTATGTGGGAGGGACCCCGAGTTTGCTGCCTCAAGGGGAATATACAGCGAGAAGCCCTAACTTGAAAGGAGGCCGGATTTCCTTGCAGTGGATTGAATACAGGCTCGTCTTTCATCTCACAACATGAAGGGATGTCTGAATCCCCTGTGGAGACCTTAGAGAAAGCCCTAGGTCCCTGCCTCATTTTGACGGAATGCCTCACATCCCGCTGACACCTCGAGAGGCAAGCGGAGTTCATTGCTTCAAAAGGTGACGATGCCTGACTCCTCTTGAATACTGATAGGAATCCCAAAATCCCTGTGGCTACTGGAAAGGGTCCTTGGGTGCCCTGCCTCACCTCGAGAAGCGTCCCTTTTGCCCTGCCAAGCCTCGAAGAGATTCCTGAGGTGTCCCTCGTTACTAGAGAGGAGTCCTGACGTCACTGAAGATACTCGTGTTTTGAAGGGCCATCCCCGCCGTAAGTCGAGAACATACCCCAGGTCCCCGCCGCATCTCGAGAAAAACCATGAGACTTCCCCCAAAGGCGAGATGAGGCCCCATTCCCCTGCAGTGCATGCAGAGCTATTCCGTGATCCCATTCAAACAAGTCAGGAGCTTCGACTTGCTTAATGGATCTCGCGACAGTCCCCAAGAACACTGTAACCAGTCTAGACGGACCCTGAGGTCACCCCAGCAACGCAAAGCAGCTCCATGTGCCCCAAATCAACTCGAGATGAGGCCCGATTCCCCTGCATTGACTCCAGAGCCATTCCCCGTTCCCCATTCAACACGACCGGTGGCTCGACTTCCTTCAGGCAACTCCAGAGATGCCCCGAGAACACTGTCCCAAGTCTAGAGGAACCCCAACTTCAACACAGCAACTCGAGGAATGCTCCGTGTACCCCAAATCGTCTCGAGATGCGAGCTGATTCCCTGGCTTAGGCTCAAGACGTATGCCAACTTCCCAGAAGCACCTCAGGAGGAGGCTTCTCTCAGCAATAGGTATGTGGGAGGGACCCCGAGTTTGCTGCCTCAAGGGGAATATACAGCGAGAAGCCCTAACTTGAAAGGAGGCCGGATTTCCTTGCAGTGGCTTGAATACAGGCTCGTCTTTCATCTCACAACATGAAGGGATGTCTGAATCCCCTGTGGAGACCTTAGAGAAAGCCCTAGGTCCCTGCCTCATTTTGACGGAATGCTTCACATCGCGCTGACACCTCGAGAGGCAAGCGGAGTTCATTGCTTCAAAAGGTGACGATGCCTGACTCCTCTTGAATACTGATAGGAATCCCAAAATCCCTGTGGCTACTGGAAAGGGTCCTTGGGTGCCCTGCCTCACCTCGAGAAGCGTCCCTTTTGCCCTGCCAAGCCTCGAAGAGATTCCTGAGGTGTCCCTCGTTACTAGACAGGAGTCCTGACGTCACTGAAGAAACTCGTGTTTTGAAGGGCCATCCCCGCCGTAAGTCGAGAACATACCCCAGGTCCCCGCCGCAACTCGAGAAAAACCATGAGACTTCCCCCAAAGGCGAGATGAGGCCCCATTCCCCTGCAGTGCATGCAGAGCTATTCCGTGATCCCATTCAAACAAGTCAGGAGCTTCGACTTGCTTAATGGATCTCGCGACAGTCCCCAAGAACACTGTAACCAGTCTAGACGGACCCTGAGGTCACCCCAGCAACGCAAAGCAGCTCCATGTGCCCCAAATCAACTCGAGATGAGGCCCGATTCCCCTGCATTGACTCCAGAGCCATTCCCCGTTCCCCATTCAACACGACCGGTGGCTCGACTTCCTTCAGGCAACTCCAGAGATGCCCCGAGAACACTGTCCCAAGTCTAGAGGAACCGCAACTTCAACACAGCAACTCGAGGAATGCTCCGTGTACCCCAAATCGTCTCGAGATGCGAGCTGATTCCCTGGCTTAGGCTCAAGACGTATGCCAACTTCCCAGAAGCACCTCAGGAGGAGGCTTCTCTCAGCAATAGGTATGTGGGAGGGACCCCGAGTTTGCTGCCTCAAGGGGAATATACAGCGAGAAGCCCTAACTTGAAAGGAGGCCGGATTTCCTTGCAGTGGCTTGAATACAGGCTCGTCTTTCATCTCACAACATGAAGGGATGTCTGAATCCCCTGTGGAGACCTTAGAGAAAGCCCTAGGTCCCTGCCTCATTTTGACGGAATGCCTCACATCGCGCTGACACCTCGAGAGGCACGCGGAGTTCATTGCTTCAAAAGGTGACGATGCCTGACTCCTCTTGAATACTGATAGGAATCCCAAAATCCCTGTGGCTACTGGAAAGGGTCCTTGGGTGCCCTGCCTCACCTCGAGAAGCGTCCCTTTGGCCCTGCCAAGCCTCGAAGAGATTCCTGAGGTGTCCCTCGTTACTAGACAGGAGTCCTGACGTCACTGAAGAAACTCGTGTTTTGAAGGGCCATCCCCGCCGTAAGTCGAGAACATAGCCCAGGTCCCCGCCGCAACTCGAGAAAAACCATGAGACTTCCCCCTAGAGGCGAGATGAGGCCCCATTCCCCTGCAGTGCATGCAGAGCTATTCCGTGATCCCATTCAAACAAGTCAGGAGCTTCGACTTGCTTAATGGATCTCGAGACAGTCCCCAAGAACACTGTCACCAGTCTAGACGGACCCTGAGGTCACCACAGCAACGCAAAGCAGCTCCATGTGCCCCAAATCAACTCGAGATGAGGCCCGATTCCCCTGCATTGACTCCAGAGCCATTCCCCGTTCCCCATTCAACACGGCCGGTGGCTCGACTTCCTTCAGGCAACTCCAGAGATGCCCCGAGAACACTGTCCCAAGTCTAGAGGAACACCAACTTCAGCACAGCAACTCGAGGAATGCTCCGTGTACCCCAAATCGTCTCGAGATGCGAGCTGATTCCCTGGCTTAGGCTCAAGACGTATGCCAACTTCCCAGAAGCACCTCAGGAGGAGGCTTCTCTCAGCAATAGGTATGTGGGAGGGACCCCGAGTTTGCTGCCTCAAGGGGAATATACAGCGAGAAGCCCTAACTTGAAAGGAGGCCGGATTTCCTTGCAGTGGCTTGAATACAGGCTCGTCTTTCATCTCACAACATGAAGGGATGTCTGAATCCCCTGTGGAGACCTTAGAGAAAGCCCTAGGTCCCTGCCTCATTTTGACGGAATGCCTCACATCGCGCTGACACCTCGAGAGGCACGCGGAGTTCATTGCTTCAAAAGGTGACGATGCCTGACTCCTCTTGAATACTGATAGGAATACCAAAATCCCTGTGGCTACTGGAAAGGGTCCTTGGGTGCCCTGCCTCACCTCGAGAAGCGTCCCTTTTGCCCTGCCAAGCCTCGAAGAGATTCCTGAGGTGTCCCTCGTTACTAGACAGGAGTCCTGACGTCACTGAAGAAACTCGTGTTTTGAAGGGCCATCCCCGCCGTAAGTCGAGAACATACCCCAGGTCCCCGCCGCAACTCGAGAAAAACCATGAGACTTCCCCCAAAGGCGAGATGAGGCCCCATTCCCCTGCAGTGCATGCAGAGCTATTCCGTGATCCCATTCATACAAGTCAGGAGCTTCGACTTGCTTAATGGATCTCGCGACAGTCCCCAAGAACACTGTCACCAGTCTAGACGGACCCTGAGGTCACCCCAGCAAAGCAAAGCAGCTCCATGTGCCCCAAATCAACTCGAGATGAGGCCCGATTCCCCTGCATTAACTCCAGAGCCATTCCCCGTTCCCCATTCAACACGACCGGTGGCTCGACTTCCTTCAGGCAACTCCAGAGATGCCCCGAGAACACTGTCCCAAGTCTAGAGGAACACCAACTTCAGCACAGCAACTCGAGGAATGCTCCGTGTACCCCAAATCGTCTCGAGATGCGAGCTGATTCCCTGGCTTAGGCTCAAGACGTATGCCAACTTCCCAGAAGCACCTCAGGAGGAGGCTTCTCTCCGCAATACGTATGTGGGAGGGACCCCGAGTTTGCTGCCTCAAGGGGAATATACAGCGAGAAGCCCTAACTTGAAAGGAGGCCGGATTTCCTTGCAGTGGCTTGAATACAGGCTCGTCTTTCATCTCACAACATGAAGGGATGACTGAATCCCCTGTGGAGAACTTAGAGAAAGTCCTAGGTCCCTGCCTCATTTTGACGGAATGCCTCACATCGCGCTGACACCTCGAGAGGCACGCGGAGTTCATTGCTTCAAAAGGTGACGATGCCTGACTCCTCTTGAAAACTGATAGGAATCCCAAAATCCCTGTGGCTACTGGAAAGGGTCCTTGGGTGCCCTGCCTCACCTCGAGAAGCGTCCCTTTTGCCCTGCCAAGCCTCAAATAGATTCCTGAGGTGTCCCTCGTTACTAGACAGGAGTCCTGACGTCACTGAAGAAACTCGTGTTTTGAAGGGCCATCCCCGCCGTAAGTCGAGAACATACCCCAGGTCAGCGCCGCAACTCGAGAAAACCATGAGACTTCCCCCTAGAGGCGAGATGAGGCCCCATTCCCCTGCAGTGCATGCAGAGCTATTCCGTGATCCCATTCAAACAAGTCAGGAGCTTCGAATTGCTTAATGGATCTCGAGACAGTCCCCAAGAACACTGTCACCAGTCTAGACGGACCCTGAGGTCACCCCAGCAATGCAAAGCAGCTCCATGTGCCCCAAATCAACTCGAGATGAGGCCCGATTCCCCTGCATTGACACCAGAGCCATTCCCCGTTCCCCATTCAACACGGCCGGTGGCTCGACTTCCTTCAGGCAACTCCAGAGATGCCCCGAGAACACTGTCCCAAGTCTAGAGGAACACCAACTTCAGCACAGCAACTCGAGGAATGCTCCGTGTACCCCAAATCGTCTCGAGATGCGAGCTGATTCCCTGGCTTAGGCTCAAGACGTATGCCAAATTCCCAGAAGCACCTCAGGAGGAGGCTTCTCTCAGAAATAGGTATGTGGGAGGGACCCCGAGTTTGCTGCCTCAAGGGGAATATACAGCGAGAGGCCCTAACTTGAAAGGAGGCCGGATTTCCTTGCAGTGGCTTGAATACAGGCTCATCTTTCATCTAACAACATGAAGGGATGTCTGAATCCCCTGTGGAGACCTTAGAGAAAGCCCTAGGTCCCTGCCTCATTTTGACGGAATGCCTCACATCCCGCTGACACCTCGAGAGGCACGCGGAGTTCATTGCTTCAAAAGGTGACGATGCCTGACTCCTCTTGAATACTGATAGGAATCCCAAAATCCCTGTGGCTACTGGAAAGGGTCCTTGGGTGCCCTGCCTCACCTCGAGAAGCGTCCCTTTGGCCCTGCCAAGCCTCGAAGAGATTCCTGAGGTGTCCCTCGTTACTAGACAGGAGTCCTGACGTCACTGAAGAAACTCGTGTTTTGAAGGGCCATCCCCGCCGTAAGTCGAGAACATAGCCCAGGTCCCCGCCGCAACTCGAGAAAAACCATGAGACTTCCCCCTAGAGGCGAGATGAGGCCCCATTCCCCTGCAGTGCATGCAGAGCTATTCCGTGATCCCATTCAAACAAGTCAGGAGCTTCGACTTGCTTAATGGATCTCGAGACAGTCCCCAAGAACACTGTCACCAGTCTAGACGGACCCTGAGGTCACCCCAGCAACGCAAAGCAGCTCCATGTGCCCCAAATCAACTCGAGATGAAGCCCGATTCCCCTGCATTGACTCCAGAGCCATTCCCCGTTCCCCATTCAACACGGCCGGTGGCTCGACTTCCTTCAGGCAACTCCAGAGATGCCCCGAGAACACTGTCCCAAGTCTAGAGGAACACCAACTTCAGCACAGCAACTCGAGGAATGCTCCGTGTACCCCAAATCGTCTCGAGATGCGAGCTGATTCCCTGGCTTAGGCTCAAGATGTATGCCAACTTCCCAGAAGCACCTCAGGAGGAGGCTTCTCTTAGCAATAGGTATGTGGGAGGGACCCCGAGTTTGCTGCCTCAAGGGGAATATACAGCGAGAAGCCCTAACTTGAAAGGAGGCCGGATTTCCTTGCAGTGGCTTGAATACAGGCTCGTCTTTCATCTCACAACATGAAGGGATGTCTGAATCCCCTGTGGAGACCTTAGAGAAAGCCCTAGGTCCCTGCCTCATTTTGACGGAATGCCTCACATCCCGCTGACACCTCGAGAGGCACGCGGAGTTCATTGCTTCAAAAAGTGACGATGCCTGACTCCTCTTGAACACTTATAGGAATCCCAAAATCCCTGTGGCTACTGGAAAGGGTCCTTGGGTGCCCTGCCTCACCTCGAGAAGCGTCCCTTTCGCCCTGCCAAGCCTCGAAGAGATTCCTGAGGTGTCCCTCGTTACTAGACAGGAGTCCTGACGTCACTGAAGAAACTCGTGTTTTGAAGGGCCATCCCCGCCGTAAGTCGAGAACATACCCCAGGTCCCCGCCGCAACTCGAGAAAAACCATGAGACTTCCCCCTAGAGGCGAGATGAGGCCCCATTCCCCTGCAGTGCATGCAGAGCTATTCCGTGATCCCATTCAAACAAGTCAGGAGCTTCGACTTGCTTAATGGATCTCGAGACAGTCCCCAAGAACACTGTCACCAGTCTAGACGGACCCTGAGGTCACCCCAGCAACGCAAAGCAGCTCCATGTGCCCCAAATCAACTCGAGATGAGGCCCGATTCCCCTGCATTGACCCCAGAGCCATTCCCCGTTCCCCATTCAACACGACCGGTGGCTCGACTTCCTTCAGGCAACTCCAGAGATGCCCCGAGAACACTGTCCCAAGTCTAGAGGAACACCAACTTCAGCACAGCAACTCGAGGAATGCTCCGTGTACCCCAAATCGTCTCGAGATGCGAGCTGATTCCCTGGCTTAGGCTCAAGACGTATGCCAACTTCCCAGAAGCACCTCAGGAGGAGGCTTCTCTCAGCAATAGGTATGTGGGAGGGACCCCGAGTTTGCTGCCTCAAGGGGAATATACAGCGAGAAGCTCTAACTTGAAAGGAGGCCGGATTTCCTTGCAGTGGCTTGAATACAGGCTCGTCTTTCATCTCACAACATGAAGGGATGTCTGAATCCCCTGTGGAGACCTTAGAGAAAGCCCTAGGTCCCTGCCTCATTTTGACGGAATGCCTCACATCGCGCTGACACCTCGAGAGGCACGCGGAGTTCATTGCTTCAAAAGGTGACGATGCCTGACTCCTCTTGAATACTGATAGGAATCCCAAAATCCCTGTGGCTACTGGAAAGTGTCCTTGGGTGCCCTGCCTCTCCTCGAGAAGCGTCCCTTTTGCCCTGCCAAGCCTCGAAGAGATTCCTGAGGTGTCCCTCTTTACTAGACAGGAGTCCTGACGTCACTGAAGAAACTCGTGTTTTGAAGGGCCATCCCCGCCGTAAGTCGAGAACATACCCCAGGTCCCCGCCGCAACTCGAGAAAAACCATGAGACTTCCCCCTAGAGGCGAGATGAGGCCCCATTCCCCTGCAGTGCATGCAGAGCTATTCCGTGATCCCATTCAAACAAGTCAGGAGCTTCGACTTGCTTAATGGATCTCGAGACAGTCCCCAAGAACACTGTCACCAGTCTAGACGGACCCTGAGGTCACCCCAGCAACGCAAAGCAGCTCCATGTGCCCCAAATCAACTCGAGATGAGGCCCGATTCCCCTGCATTGACCCCAGAGCCATTCCCCGTTCCCCATTCAACACGACCGGTGGCTCGACTTCCTTCAGGCAACTCCAGAGATGCCCCGAGAACACTGTCCCAAGTCTAGAGGAACACCAACTTCAGCACAGCAACTCGAGGAATGCTCCGTGTACCCCAAATCGTCTCGAGATGCGAGCTGATTCCCTGGCTTAGGCTCAAGACGTATGCCAACTTCCCAGAAGCACCTCAGGAGGAGGCTTCTCTCAGCAATAGGTATGTGGGAGGGACCCCGAGTTTGCTGCCTCAAGGGGAATATACAGCGAGAAGCCCTAACTTGAAAGGAGGCCGGATTTCCTTGCAGTGGATTGAATACAGGCTCGTCTTTCATCTCACAACATGAAGGGATGTCTGAATCCCCTGTGGAGACCTTAGAGAAAGCCCTAGGTCCCTGCCTCATTTTGACGGAATGCCTCACATCCCGCTGACACCTCGAGAGGCAAGCGGAGTTCATTGCTTCAAAAGGTGACGATGCCTGACTCCTCTTGAATACTGATAGGAATCCCAAAATCCCTGTGGCTACTGGAAAGGGTCCTTGGGTGCCCTGCCTCACCTCGAGAAGCGTCCCTTTTGCCCTGCCAAGCCTCGAAGAGATTCCTGAGGTGTCCCTCGTTACTAGAGAGGAGTCCTGACGTCACTGAAGATACTCGTGTTTTGAAGGGCCATCCCCGCCGTAAGTCGAGAACATACCCCAGGTCCCCGCCGCATCTCGAGAAAAACCATGAGACTTCCCCCAAAGGCGAGATGAGGCCCCATTCCCCTGCAGTGCATGCAGAGCTATTCCGTGATCCCATTCAAACAAGTCAGGAGCTTCGACTTGCTTAATGGATCTCGCGACAGTCCCCAAGAACACTGTAACCAGTCTAGACGGACCCTGAGGTCACCCCAGCAACGCAAAGCAGCTCCATGTGCCCCAAATCAACTCGAGATGAGGCCCGATTCCCCTGCATTGACTCCAGAGCCATTCCCCGTTCCCCATTCAACACGACCGGTGGCTCGACTTCCTTCAGGCAACTCCAGAGATGCCCCGAGAACACTGTCCCAAGTCTAGAGGAACCCCAACTTCAACACAGCAACTCGAGGAATGCTCCGTGTACCCCAAATCGTCTCGAGATGCGAGCTGATTCCCTGGCTTAGGCTCAAGACGTATGCCAACTTCCCAGAAGCACCTCAGGAGGAGGCTTCTCTCAGCAATAGGTATGTGGGAGGGACCCCGAGTTTGCTGCCTCAAGGGGAATATACAGCGAGAAGCCCTAACTTGAAAGGAGGCCGGATTTCCTTGCAGTGGCTTGAATACAGGCTCGTCTTTCATCTCACAACATGAAGGGATGTCTGAATCCCCTGTGGAGACCTTAGAGAAAGCCCTAGGTCCCTGCCTCATTTTGACGGAATGCTTCACATCGCGCTGACACCTCGAGAGGCAAGCGGAGTTCATTGCTTCAAAAGGTGACGATGCCTGACTCCTCTTGAATACTGATAGGAATCCCAAAATCCCTGTGGCTACTGGAAAGGGTCCTTGGGTGCCCTGCCTCACCTCGAGAAGCGTCCCTTTTGCCCTGCCAAGCCTCGAAGAGATTCCTGAGGTGTCCCTCGTTACTAGACAGGAGTCCTGACGTCACTGAAGAAACTCGTGTTTTGAAGGGCCATCCCCGCCGTAAGTCGAGAACATACCCCAGGTCCCCGCCGCAACTCGAGAAAAACCATGAGACTTCCCCCAAAGGCGAGATGAGGCCCCATTCCCCTGCAGTGCATGCAGAGCTATTCCGTGATCCCATTCAAACAAGTCAGGAGCTTCGACTTGCTTAATGGATCTCGCGACAGTCCCCAAGAACACTGTAACCAGTCTAGACGGACCCTGAGGTCACCCCAGCAACGCAAAGCAGCTCCATGTGCCCCAAATCAACTCGAGATGAGGCCCGATTCCCCTGCATTGACTCCAGAGCCATTCCCCGTTCCCCATTCAACACGACCGGTGGCTCGACTTCCTTCAGGCAACTCCAGAGATGCCCCGAGAACACTGTCCCAAGTCTAGAGGAACCGCAACTTCAACACAGCAACTCGAGGAATGCTCCGTGTACCCCAAATCGTCTCGAGATGCGAGCTGATTCCCTGGCTTAGGCTCAAGACGTATGCCAACTTCCCAGAAGCACCTCAGGAGGAGGCTTCTCTCAGCAATAGGTATGTGGGAGGGACCCCGAGTTTGCTGCCTCAAGGGGAATATACAGCGAGAAGCCCTAACTTGAAAGGAGGCCGGATTTCCTTGCAGTGGCTTGAATACAGGCTCGTCTTTCATCTCACAACATGAAGGGATGTCTGAATCCCCTGTGGAGACCTTAGAGAAAGCCCTAGGTCCCTGCCTCATTTTGACGGAATGCCTCACATCGCGCTGACACCTCGAGAGGCAAGCGGAGTTCATTGCTTCAAAAGGTGACGATTCCTGACTCCTCTTGAATACTGATAGGAATCCCAAAATCCCTGTGGCTACTGGAAAGGGTCCTTGGGTGCCCTGCCTCACCTCGAGAAGCGTCCCTTTTGCCCTGCCAAGCCTCGAAGAGATTCCTGAGGTGTCCCTCGTTACTAGACAGGAGTCCTGACGTCACTGAAGAAACTCGTGTTTTGAAGGGCCATCCCCGCCGTAAGTCGAGAACATACCCCAGGTCCCCGCCGCAACTCGAGAAAAACCATGAGACTTCCCCCTAGAGGCGAGATGAGGCCCCATTCCCCTGCAGTGCATGCAGAGCTATTCCGTGATCCCATTCAAACAAGTCAGGAGCTTCGACTTGCTTAATGGATCTCGCGACAGTCCCAAAGAACACTGTCACCAGTCTAGACGGACCCTGAGGTCACCCCAGCAACGCAAAGCAGCTCCATGTGCCCCAAATCAACTCGAGATGAGGCCCGATTCCCCTGCATTGACCCCAGAGCCATTCCCAGTTCCCCATTCAACACGACCGGTGGCTCGACTTCCTTCAGGCAACTCCAGAGATGCCCCGAGAACACTGTCCCAAGTCTAGAGGAACACCAACTTCAGCACAGCAACTCGAGGAATGCTCCGTGTACCCCAAATCGTCTCGAGATGCGAGCTGATTCCCTGGCTTAGGCTCAAGACGTATGCCAACTTCCCAGAAGCACCTCAGGAGGAGGCTTCTCTCAGCAATAGGTATGTGGGAGGGACCCCGAGTTTGCTGCCTCAAGGGGAATATACAGCGAGAAGCCCTAACTTGAAAGGAGGCCGGATTTCCTTGCAGTGGCTAGAATACAGGCTCGTCTTTCATCTCACAACATGAAGGGATGTCTGAATCCCCTGTGGAGACCTTAGAGAAAGACCTAGGTCCCTGCCTCATTTTGACGGAATGCCTCACATCGCGCTGACACCTCGAGAGGCACGCGGAGTTCATTGCTTCAAAAGGTGACGATGCCTGACTCCTCTTGAATACTGATAGGAATCCCAAAATCCCTGTGGCTACTGGAAAGGGTCCTTGGGTGCCCTGCCTCACCTCGAGAAGCGTCCCTTTGGCCCTGCCAAGCCTCGAAGAGATTCCTGAGGTGTCCCTCGTTACTAGACAGGAGTCCTGACGTCACTGAAGAAACTCGTGTTTTGAAATGCCATCCCCGCCGTAAGTCGAGAACATAGCCCAGGTCCCCGCCGCAACTGGAGAAAAACCATGAGACTTCCCCCTAGAGGCGAGATGAGGCCCCATTCCCCTGCAGTGCATGCAGAGCTATTCCGTGATCCCATTCAAACAAGTCAGGAGCTTCGACTTGCTTAATGGATCTCGAGACAGTCCCCAAGAACACTGTCACCAGTCTAGACGGACCCTGAGGTCACCCCAGCAACGCAAAGCAGCTCCATGTGCCCCAAATCAACTCGAGATGAGGCCCGATTCCCCTGCATTGACTCCAGAGCCATTCCCCGTTCCCCATTCAACACGGCCGGTGGCTCGACTTCCTTCAGGCAACTCCAGAGATGCCCCGAGAACACTGTCCCAAGTCTAGAGGAACACCAACTTCAGCACAGCAACTCGAGGAATGCTCCGTGTACCCCAAATCGTCTCGAGATGCGAGCTGATTCCCTGGCTTAGGCTCAAGACGTATGCCAACTTCCCAGAAGCACCTCAGGAGGAGGCTTCTCTCAGCAATAGGTATGTGGGAGGGACCCCGAGTTTGCTGCCTCAAGGGGAATATACAGCGAGAAGCCCTAACTTGAAAGGAGGCCGGATTTCCTTGCAGTGGCTTGAATACAGGCTCGTCTTTCATCTCACAACATGAAGGGATGTCTGAATCCCCTGTGGAGACCTTAGAGAAAGCCCTAGGTCCCTGCCTCATTTTGACGGAATGCCTCACATCGCGCTGACACCTCGAGAGGCACGCGGAGTTCATTGCTTCAAAAGGTGACGATGCCTGACTCCTCTTGAATACTGATAGGAATCCCAAAATCCCTGTGGCTACTGGAAAGGGTCCTTGGGTGCCCTGCCTCACCTCGAGAAGCGTCCCTTTTGCCCTGCCAAGCCTCGAAGAGATTCCTGAGGTGTCCCTCATTACTAGACAGGAGTCCTGATTTCACTGAAGAAACTCGTGTTTTGAAGGGCCATCCCCGCCGTAAGTCGAGAACATACCCCAGGTCCCCGCCGCAACTCGAGAAAAACCATGAGACTTCCCCCTAGAGGCGAGATGAGGCCCCATTCCCCTTCAGTGCATGCAGAGCTATTCCGTGATCCCATTCAAACAAGTCAGGAGCTTCGACTGGCTTAATGGATCTTGAGACAGTCCCCAAGAACACTGTCACCAGTCTAGACGGACCCTGAGGTCACCCCAGCAACGCAAAGCAGCTCCATGTGCCCCAAATCAACTCGAGATGAGGCCCGATTCCCCTGCATTGACCCCAGAGCCATTCCCCGTTCCCCATTCAACACGACCGGTGGCTCGACTTCCTTCAGGCAACTCCAGAGATGCCCCGAGAACACTGTCCCAAGTCTAGAGGAACACCAACTTCAGCACAGCAACTCGAGGAATGCTCCGTGTTCCCCAAATCGTCTCGAGATGCGAGCTGATTCCCTGGCTTAGGCTCAAGACGTATGCCAACTTCCCAGAAGCACCTCAGGAGGAGGCTTCTCTCAGCAATATGTATGTGGGAGGGACCCCGAGTTTGCTGCCTCAAGGGGAATATACAGCGAGAAGCCCTAACTTGAAAGGAGGCCGGATTTCCTTGCAGTGGCTTGAATACAGGCTCGTCTTTCATCTCACAACATGAAGGGATGTCTGAATCCCCTGTGGAGACCTTAGAGAAAGCCCTAGGTCCCTGCCTCATTTTGACGGAATGCCTCACATCCCGCTGACACCTCGAGAGGCACGCGGAGTTCATTGCTTCAAAAAGTGACGATGCCTGACTCCTCTTGAATACTGATAGGAATCCCAAAATCCCTGTGGCTACTGGAAAGGGTCCTTGGGTGCCCTGCCTCACCTCGAGAAGCGTCCCTTTGGCCCTGCCAAGCCTCGAAGAGATTCCTGAGGTGTCCCTCGTTACTAGACAGGAGTCCTGACGTCACTGAAGAAACTCGTGTTTTGAAGGGCCATCCCCGCCGTAAGTCGAGAACATACCCCAGGTCCCCGCCGCAACTCGAGAAAAACCATGAGACTTCCCCCTAGAGGCGAGATGAGGCCCCATTCCCCTGCAGTGCATGCAGAGCTATTCCGTGATCCCATTCAAACAAGTCAGGAGCTTCGACTTGCTTAATGGATCTCGAGACAGTCCCCAAGAACACTGTCACCAGTCTAGACGGACCCTGAGGTCACCCCAGCAACGCAAAGCAGCTCCATGTGCCCCAAATCAACTCGAGATGAGGCCCGATTCCCCTGCATTGACCCCAGAGCCATTCCCCGTTCCCCATTCAACACGACCGGTGGCTCGACTTCCTTCAGGCAACTCCAGAGATGCCCCGAGAACACTGTCCCAAGTCTAGAGGAACACCAACTTCAGCACAGAAACTCGAGGAATGCTCCGTGTACCCCAAATCGTCTCGAGATGCGAGCTGATTCCCTGGCTTAGGCTCAAGACGTATGCCAACTTCCCAGAAGCACCTCAGGAGGAGGCTTCTCTCAGCAATAGGTATGTGGGAGGGACCCCGAGTTTGCTGCCTCAAGGGGAATATACAGCGAGAAGCCCTAACTTGAAAGGAGGCCGGATTTCCTTGCAGTGGCTTGAATACAGGCTCGTCTTTCATCTCACAACATGAAGGGATGTCTGAATCCCCTGTGGAGACCTTAGAGAAAGCCCTAGGTCCCTGCCTCATTTTGACGGAATGCCTCACATCGCGCTGACACCTCGAGAGGCACGCGGAGTTCATTGCTTCAAAAGGTGACGATGCCTGACTCCTCTTGAATAGTGATAGGAATCCCAAAATCCCTGTGGCTACTGGAAAGGGTCCTTGGGTGCCCTGCCTCTCCTCGAGAAGCGTCCCTTTTGCCCTGCCAAGCCTCGAAGAGATTCCTGAGGTGTCCCTCTTTACTAGACAGGAGTCCTGACGTCACTGAAGAAACTCGTGTTTTGAAGGGCCATCCCCGCCGTAAGTCGAGAACATACCCCAGGTCCCCGCCGCAACTCGAGAAAAACCATGAGACTTCCCCCTAGAGGCGAGATGAGGCCCCATTCCCCTGCAGTGCATGCAGAGCTATTCCGTGATCCCATTCAAACAAGTCAGGAGCTTCGACTTGCTTAATGGATCTCGAGACAGTCCCCAAGAACACTGTCACCAGTCTAGACGGACCCTGAGGTCACCCCAGCAACGCAAAGCAGCTCCATGTGCCCCAAATCAACTCGAGATGAGGCCCGATTCCCCTGCATTGACCCCAGAGCCATTCCCCGTTCCCCATTCAACACGACCGGTGGCTCGACTTCCTTTAGGCAACTCCAGAGATGCCCCGAGAACACTGTCCCAAGTCTAGAGGAACACCAACTTCAGCACAGCAACTCGAGGAATGCTCCGTGTACCCCAAATCGTCTCGAGATGCGAGCTGATTCCCTGGCTTAGGCTCAAGACGTATGCCAACTTCCCAGAAGCACCTCAGGAGGAGGCTTCTCTCAGCAATAGGTATGTGGGAGGGACCCCGAGTTTGCTGCCTCAAGGGGAATATACAGCGAGAAGCCCTAACTTGAAAGGAGGCCGGATTTCCTTGCAGTGGCTTGAATACAGGCTCGTCTTTCATCTCACAACATGAAGGGATGTCTGAATCCCCTGTGGAGACCTTAGAGAAAGCCCTAGGTCCCTGCCTCATTTTGACGGAATGCCTCACATCCCGCTGACACCTCGAGAGGCACGCGGAGTTCATTGCTTCAAAAGGTGACGATGCCTGACTCCTCTTGAATACTGATAGGAATCCCAAAATCCCTGTGGCTACTGGAAAGGGTCCTTGGGTGCCCTGCCTCACCTCGAGAAGCGTCCCTTTTGCCCTGCCAAGCCTCGAAGAGATTCCTGAGGTGTCCCTCGTTACTAGAGAGGAGTCCTGACGTCACTGAAGAAACTCGTGTTTTGAAGGGCCATCCCCGCCGTAAGTCGAGAACATACCCCAGGTCCCCGCCGCAACTCGAGAAAAACCATGAGACTTCCCCCAAAGGCGAGATGAGGCCCCATTCCCCTGCAGTGCATGCAGAGCTATTCCGTGATCCCATTCAAACAAGTCAGGAGCTTCGACTTGCTTAATGGATCTCGCGACAGTCCCCAAGAACACTGCAACCAGTCTAGACGGACCCTGAGGTCACCCCAGCAACGCAAAGCAGCTCCATGTGCCCCAAATCAACTCGAGATGAGGCCCGATTCCCCTGCATTGACTCCAGAGCCATTCCCCGTTCCCCATTCAACACGACCGGTGGCTCGACTTCCTTCAGGCAACTCCAGAGATGCCCCGAGAACACTGTCCCAAGTCTAGAGGAACACCAACTTCAACACAGCAACTCGAGGAATGCTCCGTGTACCCCAAATCGTCTCGAGATGCGAGCTGATTCCCTGGCTTAGGCTCAAGACGTATGCCAACTTCCCAGAAGCACCTCAGGAGGAGGCTTCTCTCAGCAATAGGTATGTGGGAGGGACCCCGAGTTTGCTGCCTCAAGGGGAATATACAGCGAGAAGCCCTAACTTGAAAGGAGGCCGGATTTCCTTGCAGTGGCTTGAATACAGGCTCGTCTTTCATCTCACAACATGAAGGGATGTCTGAATCCCCTGTGGAGACCTTAGAGAAAGCCCTAGGTCCCTGCCTCATTTTGACGGAATGCCTCACATCGCGCTGACACCTCGAGAGGCATGCGGAGTTCATTGCTTCAAAAGGTGACGATGCCTGACTCCTCTTGAATACTGATAGGAATCCCAAAATCCCTGTGGCTACTGGAAAGGGTCCTTGGGTGCCCTGCCTCACCTCGAGAAGCGTCCCTTTTGCCCTGCCAAGAATCGAAGAGATTCCTGAGGTGTCCCTCGTTACTAGACAGGAGTCCTGACGTCACTGAAGAAACTCGTGTTTTGAAGGGCCATCCCCGCCGTAAGTCGAGAACATACCCCAGGTCCCCGCCGCAACTCGAGAAAAACCATGAGACTTCCCCCTAGAGGCGAGATGAGGCCCCATTCCCCTGCAGTGCATGCAGAGCTATTCCGTGATCCCATTCAAACAAGTCAGGAGCTTCGACTTGCTTAATGGATCTCGAGACAGTCTCCAAGAACACTGTCACCAGTCTAGACGGACCATGAGGTCACCCCAGCAACGCAAAGCAGCTCCATGTGCCCCAAATCAACTCGAGATGAGGCCCGATTCCCCTGCATTGACCCCAGAGCCATTCCCAGTTCCACATTCAACACGACCGGTGGCTCGACTTCCTTCAGGCAACTCCAGAGATGCCCCGAGAACACTGTCCCAAGTCTAGAGGAACACCAACTTCAGCACAGCAACTCGAGGAATGCTCCGTGTACCCCAAATCGTCTCGAGATGCGAGCTGATTCCCTGGCTTAGGCTCAAGACGTATGCCAACTTCCCAGAAGCACCTCAGGAGGAGGCTTCTCTCAGCAATAGGTATGTGGGAGGGACCCCGAGTTTGCTGCCTCAAGGGGAATATACAGCGAGAAGCCCTAACTTGAAAGGAGGCCGGATTTCCTTGCAGTGGCTTGAATACAGGCTCGTCTTTCATCTCACAACATGAAGGGATGTCTGAATCCCCTGTGGAGACCTTAGAGAAAGCCCTAGGTCCCTGCCTCATTTTGACGGAATGCCTCACATCCCGCTGACACCTCGAGAGGCACGCGGAGTTCATTGCTTCAAAAGGTGACGATGCCTGACTCCTCTTGAATACTGATAGGAATCCCAAAATCCCTGTGGCTACTGGAAAGGGTCCTTGGGTGCCCTGCCTCACCTCGAGAAGCGTCCCTTTTGCCCTGCCAAGCCTCGAAGAGATTCCTGAGGTGTCCCTCGTTACTAGACAGGAGTCCTGACGTCACTGAAGAAACTCGTGTTTTGAAGGGCCATCCCCGCCGTAAGTCGAGAACATACCCCAGGTCCCCGCCGCAACTCGAGAAAAACCATGAGACTTCCCCCAAAGGCGAGATGAGGCCCCATTCCCCTGCAGTGCATGCAGAGCTATTCTGTGATCCCATTCAAACAAGTCAGGAGCTTCGACTTGCTTAATGGATCTCGCGACAGTCCCCAAGAACACTGTCACCAGTCTAGACGGACCCTGAGGTCACCCCAGCAACGCAAAGCAGCTCCATGTGCCCCAAATCAACTCGAGATGAGGCCCGATTCCCCTGCATTGACTCCAGAGCCATTCCCCGTTCCCCATTCAACACGACCGGTGGCTCGACTTCCTTCAGGCAACTCCAGAGATGCCCCGAGAACACTGTCCCAAGTCTAGAGGAACACCAACCTCAGCACAGCAACTCGAGGAATGCTCCGTGTACCCCAAATCGTCTCGAGATGCGAGCTGATTCCCTGGCTTAGGCTCAAGACGTATGCCAACTTCCCAGAAGCACCTCAGGAGGAGGCTTCTCTCAGCAATAGGTATGTGGGAGGGACCCCGAGTTTGCTGCCTCAAGGGGAATATACAGCGAGAAGCCCTAACTTGAAAGGAGGCCGGATTTCCTTGCAGTGGCTTGAATACAGGCTCGTCTTTCATCTCACAACATGAAGGGATGTCTGAATCCCCTGTGGAGACCTTAGAGAAAGCCCTAGGTCCCTGCCTCATTTTGACGGAATGCCTCACATCCCGTTGACACCTCGAGAGGCACGCGGAGTTCATTGCTTCAAAAGGTGACGATGCCTGACTCCTCTTGAATACTGATAGGAATCCCAAAATCCCTGTGGCTACTGGAAAGGGTCCTTGGGTGCCCTGCCTCACCTCGAGAAGCGTCCCTTTTGCCCTGCCAAGCCTCGAAGAGATTCCTGAGGTGTCCCTCGTTACTAGACAGGAGTCCTGACGTCACTGAAGAAACTCGTGTTTTGAAGGGCCATCCCCGCCGTAAGTCGAGAACATACCCCAGGTCCCCGCCGCAACTCGAGAAAAACCATGAGACTTCCCCCTAGAGGCGAGATGAGGCCCCATTCCCCTGCAGGGCATGCAGAGCTATTCCGTGATCCCATTCAAACAAGTCAGGAGCTTCGACTTGCTTAATGGATCTCGAGACAGTCCCCAAGAACACTGTCACCAGTCTAGACGGACCCTGAGGTCACCCCAGCAACGCAAAGCAGCTCCATGTGCCCCAAATCAACTCGAGATGAGGCCCGATTCCCCTGCATTGACCCCAGAGCCATTCCCCGTTCCCCATTCAACACGACCGTTGGCTCGACTTCCTTCAGGCAAATCCAGAGATGCCCCGAGAACACTGTCCCAAGTCTAGAGGAACACCAACTTCAACACAGCAACTCGAGGAATGCTCCGTGTACCCCAAATCGTCTCGAGATGCGAGCTGATTCCCTGGCTTAGGTTCAAGACGTATGCCAACTTCCCAGAAGCACCTCAGGAGGAGGCTTCTCTCAGCAATAGGTATGTGGGAGGGACCCCGAGTTTGCTGCCTCAAGGGGAATATACAGCGAGAAGCCCTAACTTGAAAGGAGGCCGGATTTCCTTGCAGTGGCTTGAATACAGGCTCGTCTTTCATCTCACAACATGAAGGGATGTCTGAATCCCCTGTGGAGACCTTAGAGAAAGCCCTAGGTCCCTGCCTCATTTTGACGGAATACCTCACATCCCGCTGACACCTCGAGAGGCACGCGGAGTTCATTGCTTCAAAAGGTGACGATGCCTGACTCCTCTTGAATACTGATAGGAATCCCAAAATCCCTGTGGCTACTGGAAAGGGTCCTTGGGTGCCCTGCCTCACCTCGAGAAGCGTCCCTTTGGCCCTGCCAAGCCTCGAAGAGATTCCTGAGGTGTCCCTCGTTACTAGACAGGAGTCCTGACGTCACTGAAGAAACTCGTGTTTTGAAGGGCCATCCCCGCCGTAAGTCGAGAACATACCCCAGGTCCCCGCCGCAACTCGAGAAAAACCATGAGACTTCCCCCTAGAGGCGAGTTGAGGCCCCATTCCCCTGCAGTGCATGCAGAGCTATTCCGTGATCCCATTCAAACAAGTCAGGAGCTTCGACTTGCTTAATGGATCTCGAGACAGTCCCCAAGAACACTGTCACCAGTCTAGACGGACCCTGAGGTCACCCCAGCAACGCAAAGCAGCTCCATGTGCCCCAAATCAACTCGAGATGAGGCCCGATTCCCCTGCATTGACCCCAGAGCCATTCCCCGTTCCCCATTCAACATGACCGGTGGCTCGACTTCCTTCAGGCAACTCCAGAGATGCCCCGAGAACACTGTCCCAAGTCTAGAGGAACACCAACTTCAACACAGCAACTCGAGGAATGCTCCGTGTACCCCAAATCATCTCGAGATGCGAGCTGATTCCCTGGCTTAGGCTCAAGACGTATGCCAACTTCCCAGAAGCACCTCAGGAGGAGGCTTCTCTCAGCAATAGGTATGTGGGAGGGACCCCGAGTTTGCTGCCTCAAGGGGAATATACAGCGAGAAGCCCTAACTTGAAAGGAGGCCGGATTTCCTTGCAGTGGCTTGAATACAGGCTCGTCTTTCATCTCACAACATGAAGGGATGTCTGAATCCCCTGTGGAGACCTTAGAGAAAGCCCTAGGTCCCTGCCTCATTTTGACGGAATGCCTCACATCGTGCTGACACCTCGAGAGGCACGCGGAGTTCATTGCTTCAAAAGGTGACGATGCCTGACGCCTCTTGAATACTGATAGGAATCCCAAAATCCCTGTGGCTACTGGAAAGGGTCCTTGGGTGCCCTGCCTCACCTCGAGAAGCGTCCCTTTGGCCCTGCCAAGCCTCGAAGAGATTCCTGAGCTGTCCCTCGTTACTAGACAGGAGTCCTGACGTCACAGAAGAAACTCGTGTTTTGAAGGGCCATCCCCGCCGTAAGTCGAGAACATACCCCAGGTCCCCGCCGCAACTCGAGAAAAACCATGAGACTTCCCCCTAGAGGCGAGATGAGGCCCCATTCCCCTGCAGTGCATGCAGAGCTATTCCGTGATCCCATTCAAACAAGTCAGGAGCTTCGACTTGCTTAATGGATCTCGAGACAGTCCCCCAGTACACTGTCACCAGTCTAGACGGACCCTGAGGTCACCCCAGCAACGCAAAACAGCTCCATGTGCCCCAAATCAACTCGAGATGAGGCCCGATTCCCCTGCATTGACACCAGAGCCATTCCCCGTTCCCCATTCAACACGACCGGTGGCTCGACTTCCTTCAGGCAACTCCAGAGATGCCCCGAGAACACTGTCCCAAGTCTAGAGGAACACCAACTTCAGCACAGCAACTCGAGGAATGCTCCGTGTACCCCAAATCGTCTCGAGATGCGAGCTGATTCCCTGGCTTAGGCTCAAGACGTATGCCAAATTCCCAGAAGCACCTCAGGAGGAGGCTTCTCTCAGCAATAGGTATGTGTGAGGGACCCCGAGTTTGCTGCCTCAAGGGGAATATACAGCGAGAAGCCCTAACTTGAAAGGAGGCCGGATTTCCTTGCAGTGGCTTGAATACAGGCTCGTCTTTCATCTCACAACATGAAGGGATGTCTGAATCCCCTGTGGAGACCTTAGAGAAAGCCCTAGGTCCCTGCCTCATTTTGACGGAATGCCTCACATCCCGCTGACACCTCGAGAGGCACGCGGAGTTCATTGCTTCAAAAGGTGATGATGCCTGACTCCTCTTGAATACTGATAGGAATCCCAAAATCCCTGTGGCTACTGGAAAGGGTCCTTGGGTGCCCTGCCTCACCTCGAGAAGCGTCCCTTTGGCCCTGCCAAGCCTCGAAGAGATTCCTGAGGTGTCCCTCGTTACTAGACAGGAGTCCTGACGTCACTGAAGAAACTCGTGTTTTGAAGGGCCATCCCCGCCGTAAGTCGAGAACATACCCCAGGTCCCCGCCGCAACTCGAGAAAAACCATGAGACTTCCCCCTAGAGGCGAGATGAGGCCCCATTCCCCTGCAGTGCATGCAGAGCTATTCCGTGATCCCATTCAAACAAGTCAGGAGCTTCGACTTGCTTAATGGATCTCGAGACAGTCCCCAAGAACACTGTCACCAGTCTAGACGGACCCTGAGGTCACCCCAGCAACGCACAGCAGCTCCATGTGCCACAAATCAACTCGAGATGAGTCCCGATTCCCCTGCATTGACCCCACAGCCATTCCCCGTTCCCCATTCAACACGACCGGTGGCTCGACTTCCTTCAGGCAACTCCAGAGATGCCCCGAGAACACTGTCGCAAGTCTAGAGGAACACCAACTTCAACACAGCAACTCGAGGAATGCTCCGTGTACCCCAAATCGTCTCGAGATGCGAGCTGATTCCCTGGCTTAGGCTCAAGACGTATGCCAACTTCCCAGAAGCACCTCAGGAGGAGGCTTCTCTCAGCAATAGGTATGTGGGAGGGACCCCGAGTTTGCTGCCTCAAGGGGAATATACAGCGAGAAGCCCTAACTTGAAAGGAGGCCGGATTTCCTTGCAGTGGCTTGAATACAGGCTCGTCTTTCATCTCACAACATGAAGGGATGTCTGAATCCCCTGTGGAGACCTTAGAGAAAGCCCTAGGTCCCTGCCTCATTTTGACGGAATGCCTCACATCGCGCTGACACCTCGAGAGGCACGCGGAGTTCATTGCTTCAAAAGGTGACGATGCCTGACTCCTCTTGAATACTGATAGGAATCCCAAAATCCCTGTGGCTACTGGAAAGGGTCCTTGGGTGCCCTGCCTCACCTCGAGAAGCGACCCTTTTGCCCTGCCAAGCCTCGAAGAGATTCCTGAGGTGTCCCTCGTTACTAGACAGGAGTCCTGACGTCACTGAAGAAACTCGTGTTTTGAAGGGCCATCCCCGCCGTAAGTCGAGAACATACCCCAGGTCCCCGCCGCAACTCGAGAAAAACCATGAGACTTCCCCCTAGAGGCGAGATGAGGCCCCATTCCCCTTCAGTGCATGCAGAGCTATTCCGTGATCCCATTCAAACAAGTCAGGAGCTTCGACTTGCTTAATGGATCTCGAGACAGTCCCCAAGAACACTGTCACCAGTCTAGACGGACCCTGAGGTCACCCCAGCAACGCAAAGCAGCTCCATGTGCCCCAAATCAACTCGAGATGAGGCCCGATTCCCCTGCATTGACTCCAGAGCCATTCCCCGTTCCCCATTCAACACGACCGGTGGCTCGACTTCCTTCAGGCAACACCAGAGATGCCCCGAGAACACTGTCCCAAGTCTAGAGGAACACCAACTTCAGCACAGCAACTCGAGGAATGCTCCGTGTACCCCAAATCGTCTCGAGATGCGAGCTGATTCCCTGGCTTAGGCTCAAGACGTATGCCAACTTCCCAGAAGCACCTCAGGAGGAGGCTTCTCTCAGCAATAGGTATGTGGGAGGGACCCCGAGTTTGCTGCCTCAAGGGGAATATACAGCGAGAAGCCCTAACTTGAAAGGAGGCCGGATTTCCTTGCAGTGGCTTGAATACAGGCTCGTCTTTCATCTCACAACATGAAGGGATGTCTGAATCCCCTGTGGAGACCTTAGAGAAAGCCCTAGGTCCCTGCCTCATTTTGACGGAATGCCTCACATCCCGCTGACACCTCGAGAGGCACGCGGAGTTCATTGCTTCAAAAGGTGACGATGCCTGACTCCTCTTGAATGCTGATAGGAATCCCAAAATCCCTGTGGCTACTGGAAAGGGTCCTTGGGTGCCCTGCCTCACCTCGAGAAGCGTCCCTTTGGCCCTGCCAAGCCTCGAAGAGATTCCTGAGGTGTCCCTCGTTACTAGACAGGAGTCCTGACGTCACTGACGAAACTCGTGTTTTGAAGGGCCATCCCCGCCGTAAGTCGAGAACATACCCCAGGTCCCCGCCGCAACTCGAGAAAAACCATGAGACTTCCCCCTAGAGGCGAGATGAGGCCCCATTCCCCTGCAGTGCATGCAGAGCTATTCCGTGATCCCATTCAAACAAGTCAGGAGCTTCGACTTGCTTAATGGATCTCGAGACAGTCCCCAAGAACACTGTCACCAGTCTAGACGGACCCTGAGGTCACCCCAGCAACGCAAAGCAGCTCCATGTGCCACAAATCAACTCGAGATGGGGCCCGATTCCCCTGCATTGACCCCAGAGCCATTCCCCGTTCCCCATTCAACACGACCGGTGGCTCGACTTCCTTCAGGCAACTCCAGAGATGCCCCGAGAACACTGTCCCAAGTCTAGAGGAACACCAACTTCAACACAGCAACTCGAGGAATGCTCCGTGTACCCCAAATCGTCTCGAGATGCGAGCTGATCCCTGGCTTAGGCTCAAGACGTATGCCAACTTCCCAGAAGCACCTCAGGAGGAGGCTTCTCTCAGCAATAGGTATGTGGGAGGGACCCCGAGTTTGCTGCCTCAAGGGGAATATACAGCGAGAAGCCCTAACTTGAAAGGAGGCCGGATTTCCTTGCAGTGGCTTGAATACAGGCTCGTCTTTCATCTCACAACATGAAGGGATGTCTGAATCCCCTGTGGAGACCTTAGAGAAAGCCCTAGGTCCCTGCCTCATTTTGACGGAATGCCTCACATCCCGCTGACACCTCGAGAGGCACGCGGAGTTCATTGCTTCAAAAGGTGACGATGCCTGACTCCTCTTGAATACTGATAGGAATCCCAAAATCCCTGTGGCTACTGGAAAGGGTCCTTGGGTGCCCTGCCTCACCTCGAGAAGCGTCCCTTTTGCCCTGCCAAGCCTCGAAGAGATTCCTGAGGTGTCCCTCGTTACTAGAGAGGAGTCCTGACGTCACTGAAGAAACTCGTGTTTTGAAGGGCCATCCCCGCCGTAAGTCGAGAACATACCCCAGGTCCCCGCCGCAACTCGAGAAAAACCATGAGACTTCCCCCAAAGGCGAGATGAGGCCCCATTCCCCTGCAGTGCATGCAGAGCTATTCTGTGATCCCATTCAAACAAGTCAGGAGCTTCGACTTGCTTAATGGATCTCGCGACAGTCCCCAAGAACACTGACACCAGTCTAGACGGACCCTGAGGTCACCCCAGCAACGCAAAGCAGCTCCATGTGCCCCAAATCAACTCGAGATGAGGCCCGATTCCCCTGCATTGACTCCAGAGCCATTCCCCGTTCCCCATTCAACACGACCGGTGGCTCGACTTCCTTCAGGCAACTCCAGAGATGCCCCGAGAACACTGTCCCAAGTCTAGAGGAACACCAACTTCAGCACAGCAACTCGAGGAATGCTCCGTGTACCCCAAATCGTCTCGAGATGCGAGCTGATTCCCTGGCTTAGGCTCAAGACGTATGCCAACTTCCCAGAAGCACCTCAGGAGGAGGCTTCTCTCAGCAATAGGTATGTGGGAGGGACCCCGAGTTTGCTGCCTCAAGGGGAATATACAGCGAGAAGCCCTAACTTGAAAGGAGGCCGGATTTCCTTGCAGTGGCTTGAATACAGGCTCGTCTTTCATCTCACAACATGAAGGGATGTCTGAATCCCCTGTGGAGACCTTAGAGAAAGCCCTAGGTCCCTGCCTCATTTTGACGGAATACCTCACATCCCGCTGACACCTCGAGAGGCACGCGGAGTTCATTGCTTCAAAAGGTGACGATGCCTGACTCCTCTTGAATACTGATAGGAATCCCAAAATCCCTGTGGCTACTGGAAAGGGTCCTTGGGTGCCCTGCCTCACCTCGAGAAGCGTCCCTTTGGCCCTGCCAAGCCTCGAAGAGATTCCTGAGGTGTCCCTCGTTACTAGACAGGAGTCCTGACGTCACTGAAGAAACTCGTGTTTTGAAGGGCCATCCCCGCCGTAAGTCGAGAACATACCCCAGGTCCCCGCCGCAACTCGAGAAAAACCATGAGACTTCCCCCTAGAGGCGAGTTGAGGCCCCATTCCCCTGCAGTGCATGCAGAGCTATTCCGTGATCCCATTCAAACAAGTCAGGAGCTTCGACTTGCTTAATGGATCTCGAGACAGTCCCCAAGAACACTGTCACCAGTCTAGACGGACCCTGAGGTCACCCCAGCAACGCAAAGCAGCTCCATGTGCCCCAAATCAACTCGAGATGAGGCCCGATTCCCCTGCATTGACCCCAGAGCCATTCCCCGTTCCCCATTCAACACGACCGGTGGCTCGACTTCCTTCAGGCAACTCCAGAGATGCCCCGAGAACACTGTCCCAAGTCTAGAGGAACACCAACTTCAACACAGCAACTCGAGGAATGCTCCGTGTACCCCAAATCGTCTCGAGATGCGAGCTGATTCCCTGGCTTAGGCTCAAGACGTATGCCAACTTCCCAGAAGCACCTCAGGAGGAGGCTTCTCTCAGCAATAGGTATGTGGGAGGGACCCCGAGTTTGCTGCCTCAAGGGGAATATACAGCGAGAAGCCCTAACTTGAAAGGAGGCCGGATTTCCTTGCAGTGGCTTGAATACAGGCTCGTCTTTCATCTCACAACATGAAGGGATGTCTGAATCCCCTGTGGAGACCTTAGAGAAAGCCCTAGGTCCCTGCCTCATTTTGACGGAATGCCTCACATCGTGCTGACACCTCGAGAGGCACGCGGAGTTCATTGCTTCAAAAGGTGACGATGCCTGACGCCTCTTGAATACTGATAGGAATCCCAAAATCCCTGTGGCTACTGGAAAGGGTCCTTGGGTGCCCTGCCTCACCTCGAGAAGCGTCCCTTTGGCCCTGCCAAGCCTCGAAGAGATTCCTGAGCTGTCCGTCGTTACTAGACAGGAGTCCTGACGTCACAGAAGAAACTCGTGTTTTGAAGGGCCATCCCCGCCGTAAGTCGAGAACATACCCCAGGTCCCCGCCGCAACTCGAGAAAAACCATGAGACTTCCCCCTAGAGGCGAGATGAGGCCCCATTCCCCTGCAGTGCATGCAGAGCTATTCCGTGATCCCATTCAAACAAGTCAGGAGCTTCGACTTGCTTAATGGATCTCGAGACAGTCCCCAAGAACACTGTCACCAGTCTAGACGGACCCTGAGGTCACCCCAGCAACGCAAAGCAGCTCCATGTGCCCCAAATCAACTCGAGATGAGGCCCGATTCCCCTGCATTGACTCCAGAGCCATTCCCCGTTCCCCATTCAACACGACCGGTGGCTCGACTTCCTTCAGGCAACTCCAGAGATGCCCGAGAACACTGTCCCAAGTCTAGAGGAACACCAACTTCAGCACAGCAACTCGAGGAATGCTCCGTGTACCCCAAATCGTCTCGAGATGCGAGCTGATTCCCTGGCTTAGGCTCAAGACGTATGCCAACTTCCCAGAAGCACCTCAGGAGGAGGCTTCTCTCAGCAATAGGTATGTGGGAGGGACCCCGAGTTTGCTGCCTCAAGGGGAATATACAGCGAGAAGCCCTAACTTGAAAGGAGGCCGGATTTCCTTGCAGTGGCTTGAATACAGGCTCGTCTTTCATCTCACAACATGAAGGGATGTCTGAATCCCCTGTGGAGACCTTAGAGAAAGCCCTAGGTCCCTGCCTCATTTTGACGGAATGCCTCACATCGCGCTGACACCTCGAGAGGCACGCGGAGTTCATTGCTTCAAAAGGTGACGATGCCTGACTCCTCTTGAATACTGATAGGAATCCCAAAATCCCTGTGGCTACTGGAAAGGGTCCTTGGGTGCCCTGCCTCACCTCGAGAAGCGTATCTTTTGCCCTGCCAAGCCTCGAAGAGATTCCTGAGGTGTCCCTCGTTACTAGACAGGAGTCCTGACGTCACTGAAGAAACTCGTGTTTTGAAGGGCCATCCCCGCCGTAAGTCGAGAACATACCCCAGGTCCCCGCCGCAACTCGAGAAAAACCATGAGACTTCCCCCTAGAGGCGAGATGAGGCCCCATTCCCCTGCAGTGCATGCAGAGCTATTCCGTGATCCCATTCAAACAAGTCAGGAGCTTCGACTTGCTTAATGGATCTCGAGACAGTCCCCAAGAACACTGTCACCAGTCTAGACGGACCCTGAGGTCACCCCAGCAACGCAAAGCAGCTCCATGTGCCACAAATCAACTCGAGATGAGTCCCGATTCCCCTGCATTGACCACACAGCCATTCCCCGTTCCCCATTCAACACGACCGGTGGCTCGACTTCCTTCAGGCAACTCCAGAGATGCCCCGAGAACACTGTCCCAAGTCTAGAGGAACACCAACTTCAACACAGCAACTCGAGGAATGCTCCGTGTACCCCAAATCGTCTCGAGATGCGAGCTGATTCCCTGGCTTAGGCTCAAGACGTATGCCAACTTCCCAGAAGCACCTCAGGAGGAGGCTTCTCTCAGCAATAGGTATGTGGGAGGGACGCCGAGTTTGCTGCCTCAAGGGGAATATACAGCGAGAAGCCCTAACTTGAAAGGAGGCCGGATTTCCTTGCAGTGGCTTGAATACAGGCTCATCTTTCATCTCACAACATGAAGGGATGTCTGAATCCCCTGTGGAGACCTTAGAGAAAGCCCTAGGTCCCTGCCTCATTTTGACGGAATGCCTCACATCGCGCTGACACCTCGAGAGGCACGCGGAGTTCATTGCTTCAAAAGGTGACGATGCCTGACTCCTCTTGAATACTGATAGGAATCCCAAAATCCCTGTGGCTACTGGAAAGGGTCCTTGGGTGCCCTGCCTCACCTCGAGAAGCGTCCCTTTGGCCCTGCCAAGCCTCGAAGAGATTCCTGAGGTGTCCCTCGTTACTAGACAGGAGTCCTGACGTCACTGAAGAAACTCGTGTTTTGAAGGGCCATCCCCGCCGTAAGTCGAGAACATACCCCAGGTCCTCGCCGCAACTCGAGAAAAACCATGAGACTTCCCCCTAGAGGCGAGATGAGGCCCCATTCCCCTTCAGTGCATGCAGAGCTATTCCGTGATCCCATTCAAACAAGTCAGGAGCTTCGACTTGCTTAATGGATCTCGAGACAGTCCCCAAGAACACTGTCACCAGTCTAGACGGACCCTGAGGTCACCCCAGCAACGCAAAGCAGCTCCATGTGCCCCAAATCAACTCGAGATGAGGCCCGATTCCCCTGCATTGACTCCAGAGCCATTCCCCGTTCCCCATTCAACACGACCGGTGGCTCGACTTCCTTCAGGCAACACCAGAGATGCCCCGAGAACACTGTCCCAAGTCTAGAGGAACACCAACTTCAGCACAGCATCTCGAGGAATGCTCCGTGTACCCCAAATCGTCTCGAGATGCGAGCTGATTCCCTGGCTTAGGCTCAAGACGTATGCCAACTTCCCAGAAGCACCTCAGGAGGAGGCTTCTCTCAGCAATAGGTATGTGGGAGGGACCCCGAGTTTGCTGCCTCAAGGGGAATATACAGCGAGAAGCCCTAACTTGAAAGGAGGCCGGATTTCCTTGCAGTGGCTTGAATACAGGCTCGTCTTTCATCTCACAACATGAAGGGATGTCTGAATCCCCTGTGGAGACCTTAGAGAAAGCCCTAGGTCCCTGCCTCATTTTGACGGAATGCCTCACATCCCGCTGACACCTCGAGAGGCACGCGGAGTTCATTGCTTCAAAAGGTGACGATGCCTGACTCCTCTTGAATGCTGATAGGAATCCCAAAATCCCTGTGGCTACTGGAAAGGGTCCTTGGGTGCCCTGCCTCACCTCGAGAAGCGTCCCTTTGGCCCTGCCAAGCCTCGAAGAGATTCCTGAGGTGTCCCTCGTTACTAGACAGGAGTCCTGACGTCACTGAAGAAACTCGTGTTTTGAAGGGCCATCCCCGCCGTAAGTCGAGAACATACCCCAGGTCCCCGCCGCAACTCGAGAAAAACCATGAGACTTCCCCCTAGAGGCGAGATGAGGCCCCATTCCCCTGCAGTGCATGCAGAGCTATTCCGTGATCCCATTCAAACAAGTCAGGAGCTTCGACTTGCTTAATGGATCTCGAGACAGTCCCCAAGAACACTGTCACCAGTCTAGACGGACCCTGAGGTCACCCCAGCAACGCAAAGCAGCTCCATGTGCCACAAATCAACTCGAGATGAGTCCCGATTCCCCTGCATTGACCCCAGAGCCATTCCCCGTTCCCCATTCAACACGACCGGTGGCTCGACTTCCTTCAGGCAACTCCAGAGATGCCCCGAGAACACTGTCCCAAGTCTAGAGGAACACCAACTTCAACACAGCAACTCGAGGAATGCTCCGTGTACCCCAAATCGTCTCGAGATGCGAGCTGATCCCTGGCTTAGGCTCAAGACGTATGCCAACTTCCCAGAAGCACCTCAGGAGGAGGCTTCTCTCAGCAATAGGTATGTGGGAGGGACCCCGAGTTTGCTGCCTCAAGGGGAATATACAGCGAGAAGCCCTAACTTGAAAGGAGGCCGGATTTCCTTGCAGTGGCTTGAATACAGGCTCGTCTTTCATCTCACAACATGAAGGGATGTCTGAATCCCCTGTGGAGACCTTAGAGAAAGCCCTAGGTCCCTGCCTCATTTTGACGGAATGCCTCACATCGCGCTGACACCTCGAGAGGCACGCGGAGTTCATTGCTTCAAAAGGTGACGATGCCTGACTCCTCTTGAATACTGATAGGAATCCCAAAATCCCTGTGGCTACTGGAAAGGGTCCTTGGGTGCCCTGCCTCACCTCGAGAAACGTCCCTTTTGCCCTGCCAAGCCTCGAAGAGATTCCTGAGGTGTCCCTCGTTACTAGACAGGAGTCCTGACGTCACTGAAGAAACTCGTGTTTTGAAGGGCCATCCCCGCCGTAAGTCGAGAACATACCCCAGGTCCCCGCCGCAACTCGAGAAAAACCATGAGACTTCCCCCTAGAGGCGAGATGAGGCCCCATTCCCCTTCAGTGCATGCAGAGCTATTCCGTGATCCCATTCAAACAAGTCAGGAGCTTCGACTTGCTTAATGGATCTCGAGACAGTCCCCAAGAACACTGTCACCAGTCTAGACGGACCCTGAGGTCACCCCAGCAACGCAAAGCAGCTCCATGTGCCCCAAATCAACTCGAGATGAGGCCCGATTTCCCTGCATTGACCCCAGAGCCATTCCCCGTTCCCCATTCAACACGACCGGTGGCTCGACTTCCTTCAGGCAACTCCAGAGATGCCCCGAGAACACTGTCCCAAGTCTAGAGGAACACCAACTTCAACACAGCAACTCGAGGAATGCTCCGTGTACCCCAAATCGTCTCGAGATGCGAGCTGATTCCCTGGCTTAGGCTCAAGACATATGCCAACTTCCCGGAAGCACCTCAGGAGGAGGCTTCTCTCAGCAATAGGTATGTGGGAGGGACCCCGAGTTTGCTGCCTCAAGGGGAATATACAGCGAGAAGCCCTAACTTGAAAGGAGGCCGGATTTCCTTGCAGTGGCTTGAATACAGGCTCGTCTTTCATCTCACAACATGAAGGGATGTCTGAATCCCCTGTGGAGAACTTAGAGAAAGTCCTAGGTCCCTGCCTAATTTTGACGGAATGCCTCACATCCCGCTGACACCTCGAGAGGCACGCGGAGTTCATTGCTTCAAAAGGTGACGATGCCTGACTCCTCTTGAATACTGATAGGAATCCCAAAATCCCTGTGGCTACTGGAAAGGGTCCTTGGGTGCCCTGCCTCACCTCGAGAAGCGTCCCTTTTGCCCTGCCAAGCCTCGAAGAGATTCCTGAGGTGTCCCTCGTTACTAGACAGGAGTCCTGACGTCACAGAAGAAACTCGTGTTTTGAAGGGCCATCCCCGCCGTAAGTCGAGAACATACCCCAGGGCCCCGCCGCAACTCGAGAAAAACCATGAGACTTCCCCCTAGAGGCGAGATGTGGCCCCATTCCCCTGCAGTGCATGCAGAGCTATTCCGTGATCCCATTCAAACAAGTCAGGAGCTTCGACTTGCTTAATGGATCTCGAGACAGTCCCCAAGAACACTGTCACCAGTCTAGACGGACCCTGAGGTCACCCCAGCAACGCAAAGCAGCTCCATGTGCCCCAAATCAACTCGAGATGAGGCCCGATTCCCCTGCATTGACTCCAGAGCCATTCCCCGTTCCCCATTCAACACGACCGGTGGCTCGACTTCCTTCAGGCAACTCCAGAGATGCCCCGAGAACACTGTCCCAAGTCTAGAGGAACACCAACTTCAGCACAGCAACTCGAGGAATGCTCCGTGTACCCCAAATCGTCTCGAGATGCGAGCTGATTCCCTGGCTTAGGCTCAAGACGTATGCCAACTTCCCAGAAGCACCTCAGGAGGAGGCTTCTCTCAGCAATAGGTATGTGGGAGGGACCCCGAGTTTGCTGCCTCAAGGGGAATATACAGCGAGAAGCCCTAACTTGAAAGGAGGCCGGATTTCCTTGCAGTGGCTTGAATACAGGCTCGTCTTTCATCTCACAACATGAAGGGATGTCTGAATCCCCTGTGGAGACCTTAGAGAAAGCCCTAGGTCACTGCCTCATTTTGACGGAATGCCTCACATCGCGCTGACACCTCGAGAGGCACGCGGAGTTCATTGCTTCAAAAGGTGACGATGCCTGACTCCTCTTGAATACTGATAGGAATCCCAAAATCCCTGTGGCTACTGGAAAGGGTCCTTGGGTGCCCTGCCTCACCTCGAGAAGCGTCCCTTTGGCCCTGCCAAGCCTCGAAGAGATTCCTGAGGTGTCCCTCGTTACTAGACAGGAGTCCTGACGTCACTGAAGAAACTCGTGTTTTGAAGGGCCATCCCCGCCGTAAGTCGAGAACATACCCCAGGTCCCCGCCGCAACTCGAGAAAAACCATGAGACTTCCCGCTAGAGGTGAGATGAGGCCCCATTCCCCTTCAGTGCATGCAGAGCTATTCCGTGATCCCATTCAAACAAGTCAGGAGCTTCGACTTGCTTAATGGATCTCGAGAGAGTCCCCAAGAACACTGTCACCAGTCTAGACGGACCCTGAGGTCACCCCAGCAACGCAAAGCAGCTCCATGTGCCCCAAATCAACTCGAGATGAGGCCCGATTCCCCTGCATTGACCCCAGAGCCATTCCCCGTTCCCCATTCAACACGACCGGTGGCTCGACTTCCTTCAGGCAACTCCAGAGATGCCCCGAGAACACTGTCCCAAGTCTAGAGGAACACCAACTTCAACACAGCAACTCGAGGAATGCTCCGTGTACCCCAAATCGTCTCGAGATGCGAGCTGATTCCCTGGCTTAGGCTCAAGACATATGCCAACTTCCCGGAAGCACCTCAGGAGGAGGCTTCTCTCAGCAATAGGTATGTGGGAGGGACCCCGAGTTTGCTGCCTCAAGGGGAATATACAGCGAGAAGCCCTAACTTGAAAGGAGGCCGGATTTCCTTGCAGTGGCTTGAATACAGGCTCGTCTTTCATCTCACAACATGAAGGGATGTCTGAATCCCCTGTGGAGACCTTAGAGAAAGTCCTAGGTCCCTGCCTAATTTTGACTGTTTGCCTCACATCCCGCTGACACCTCGAGAGGCACGCGGAGTTCATTGCTTCAAAAGGTGACGATGCCTGACTCCTCTTGAATACTGATAGGAATCCCAAAATCCCTGTGGCTACTGGAAAGGGTCCTTTGGTGCCCTGCCTCACCTCAAGAAGCGTCCCTTTTGCCCTGCCAAGCCTCGAAGAGATTCCTGAGGTGTCCCTCGTTACTAGACAGGAGTCCTGACGTCACAGAAGAAACTCGTGTTTTGAAGGGCCATCCCCGCCGTAAGTCGAGAACATACCCCAGGGCCCCTCCGCAACTCGAGAAAAACCATGAGACTTCCCCCTAGAGGCGAGATGAGGCCCCATTCCCCTTCAGTGCATGCAGAGCTATTCCGTGATCCCATTCAAACAAGTCAGGAGCTTCGACTTGCTTAATGGATCTCGAGACAGTCCCCAAGAACACTGTCACCAGTCTAGACGGACCCTGAGGTCACCCCAGCAACGCAAAGCAGCTCCATGTGCCCCAAATCAACTCGAGATGAGGCCCGATTACGCTGCATTGACTCCAGAGCCATTCCCCGTTCCCCATTCAACACGACCGGTGGCTCGACTTCCTTCAGGCAACTCCAGAGATGCCCCGAGAACACTGTCCCAAGTCTAGAGGAACACCAACTTCAGCACAGCAACTCGAGGAATGCTTCGTGCACCCCAAATCGTCTCGAGATGCGAGCTGATTCCCTGGCTTAGGCTCAAGACGTATGCCAACTTCCCAGAAGCACCTCAGGAGGAGGCTTCTCTCAGCAATAGGTATGTGGGAGGGACCCCGAGTTTGCTGCCTCAAGGGGAATATACAGCGAGAAGCCCTAACTTGAAAGGAGGCCGGATTTCCTTGCAGTGGCTTGAATACAGGCTCGTCTTTCATCTCACAACATGAAGGGATGTCTGAATCCCCTGTGGAGACCTTTGAGAAAGCCCTAGGTCCCTGCCTCATTTTGACGGAATGCCTCACATCGCGCTGACACCTCGAGAGGCACGCGGAGTTCATTGCTTCAAAAGGTGACGATGCCTTACTCCTCTTGAATACTGATAGGAATCCCAAAATCCCTGTGGCTACTGGAAAGGGTCCTTGGGTGCCCTGCCTCACCTCGAGAAGCGTCCCTTTGGCCCTGCCAAGCCTCGAAGAGATTCCTGAGGTGTCCCTCGTTACTAGACAGGAGTCCTGACGTCACTGAAGAAACTCGTGTTTTGTAAGGCCATCCCCGCCGTAAGTCGAGAACATACCCCAGGTCCCCGCCGCAACTCGAGTAAAACCATGAGACTTCCCCCTAGAGGCGAGATGAGGCCCCATTCCCCTGTAGTGCATGCAGAGCTATTCCGTGATCCCATTTAAACAAGTCAGGAGCTTCGACTTGCTTAATGGATCTCGAGACAGTCCCCAAGAACACTGTCACAAGTCTAGACGGACCCTGAGGTCACCCCAGCAACGCAAAGCAGCTCCATGTGCCCCAAATCAACTCGAGATGAGGCCCGATTCCCCTGCATTGACTCCAGAGCCATTCCCCGTTCCCCATTCAACACGACCGGTGGCTCGACTTCCTTCAGGCAACACCAGAGATGCCCCGAGAACACTGTCCCAAGTCTAGAGGAACACCAACTTCAGCACAGCATCTCGAGGAATGCTCCGTGTACCCCAAATCGTCTCGAGATGCGAGCTGATTCCCTGGCTTAGGCTCAAGACGTATGCCAACTTCCCAGAAGCACCTCAGGAGGAGGCTTCTCTCAGCAATAGGTATGTGGGAGGGACCCCGAGTTTGCTGCCTCAAGGGGAATATACAGCGAGAAGCCCTAACTTGAAAGGAGGCCGGATTTCCTTGCAGTGGCTTGAATACAGGCTCGTCTTTCATCTCACAACATGAAGGGATGTCTGAATCCCCTGTGGAGACCTTAGAGAAAGCCCTAGGTCCCTGCCTCATTTTGACGGAATGCCTCACATCCCGCTGACACCTCGAGAGGCACGCGGAGTTCATTGCTTCAAAAGGTGACGATGCCTGACTCCTCTTGAATGCTGATAGGAATCCCAAAATCCCTGTGGCTACTGGAAAGGGTCCTTGGGTGCCCTGCCTCACCTCGAGAAGCGTCCCTTTGGCCCTGCCAAGCCTCGAAGAGATTCCTGAGGTGTCCCTCGTTACTAGACAGGAGTCCTGACGTCACTGAAGAAACTCGTGTTTTGAAGGGCCATCCCCGCCGTAAGTCGAGAACATACCCCAGGTCCCCGCCGCAACTCGAGAAAAACCATGAGACTTCCCCCTAGAGGCGAGATGAGGCCCCATTCCCCTGCAGTGCATGCAGAGCTATTCCGTGATCCCATTCAAACAAGTCAGGAGCTTCGACTTGCTTAATGGATCTCGAGACAGTCCCCAAGAACACTGTCACCAGTCTAGACGGACCCTGAGGTCACCCCAGCAACGCAAAGCAGCTCCATGTGCCACAAATCAACTCGAGATGAGTCCCGATTCCCCTGCATTGACCCCAGAGCCATTCCCCGTTCCCCATTCAACACGACCGGTGGCTCGACTTCCTTCAGGCAACTCCAGAGATGCCCCGAGAACACTGTCCCAAGTCTAGAGGAACACCAACTTCAACACAGCAACTCGAGGAATGCTCCGTGTACCCCAAATCATCTCGAGATGCGAGCTGATCCCTGGCTTAGGCTCAAGACGTATGCCAACTTCCCAGAAGCACCTCAGGAGGAGGCTTCTCTCAGCAATAGGTATGTGGGAGGGACCCCGAGTTTGCTGCCTCAAGGGGAATATACAGCGAGAAGCCCTAACTTGAAAGGAGGCCGGATTTCCTTGCAGTGGCTTGAATACAGGCTCGTCTTTCATCTCACAACATGAAGGGATGTCTGAATCCCCTGTGGAGACCTTAGAGAAAGCCCTAGGTCCCTGCCTCATTTTGACGGAATGCCTCACATAGCGCTGACACCTCGAGAGGCACGCGGAGTTCATTGCTTCAAAAGGTGACGATGCCTGACTCCTCTTGAATACTGATAGGAATCCCAAAATCCCTGTGGCTACTGGAAAGGGTCCTTGGGTGCCCTGCCTCACCTCGAGAAACGTCCCTTTTGCCCTGCCAAGCCTCGAAGAGATTCCTGAGGTGTCCCTCGTTACTAGACAGGAGTCCTGACGTCACTGAAGAAACTCGTGTTTTGAAGGGCCATCCCCGCCGTAAGTCGAGAACATACCCCAGGTCCCCGCCGCAACTCGAGAAAAACCATGAGACTTCCCCCTAGAGGCGAGATGAGGCCCCATTCCCCTTCAGTGCATGCAGAGCTATTCCGTGATCCCATTCAAACAAGTCAGGAGCTTCGACTTGCTTAATGGATCTCGAGACAGTCCCCAAGAACACTGTCACCAGTCTAGACGGACCCTGAGGTCACCCCAGCAACGCAAAGCAGCTCCATGTGCCCCAAATCAACTCGAGATGAGGCCCGATTTCCCTGCATTGACCCCAGAGCCATTCCCCGTTCCCCATTCAACACGACCGGTGGCTCGACTTCCTTCAGGCAACTCCAGAGATGCCCCGAGAACACTGTCCCAAGTCTAGAGGAACACCAACTTCAACACAGCAACTCGAGGAATGCTCCGTGTACCCCAAATCGTCTCGAGATGCGAGCTGATTCCCTGGCTTAGGCTCAAGACATATGCCAACTTCCCGGAAGCACCTCAGGAGGAGGCTTCTCTCAGCAATAGGTATGTGGGAGGGACCCCGAGTTTGCTGCCTCAAGGGGAATATACAGCGAGAAGCCCTAACTTGAAAGGAGGCCGGATTTCCTTGCAGTGGCTTGAATACAGGCTCGTCTTTCATCTCACAACATGAAGGGATGTCTGAATCCCCTGTGGATAACTTAGAGAAAGTCCTAGGTCCCTGCCTAATTTTGACGGAATGCCTCACATCGCGCTGACACCTCGAGAGGCACGCGGAGTTCATTGCTTCAAAAGGTGACGATGCCTGACTCCTCTTGAATACTGATAGGAATCCCAAAATCCCTGTGGCTACTGGAAAGGGTCCTTGGGTGCCCTGCCTCACCTCGAGAAGCGTCCCTTTTGCCCTGCCAAGCCTCGAAGAGATTCCTGAGGTGTCCCTCGTTACTAGACAGGAGTCCTGACGTCACAGAAGAAACTCGTGTTTTGAAGGGCCATCCCCGCCGTAAGTCGAGAACATACCCCAGGGCCCCGCCGCAACTCGAGAAAAACCATGAGACTTCCCCCTAGAGGCGAGATGTGGCCCCATTCCCCTGCAGTGCATGCAGAGCTATTCCGTGATCCCATTCAAACAAGTCAGGAGCTTCGACTTGCTTAATGGATCTCGAGACAGTCCCCAAGAACACTGTCACCAGTCTAGACGGACCCTGAGGTCACCCCAGCAACGCAAAGCAGCTCCATGTGCCCCAAATCAACTCGAGATGAGGCCCGATTCCCCTGCATTGACTCCAGAGCCATTCCCCGTTCCCCATTCAACACGACCGGTGGCTCGACTTCCTTCAGGCAACTCCAGAGATGCCCCGAGAACACTGTCCCAAGTCTAGAGGAACACCAACTTCAGCACAGCAACTCGAGGAATGCTCCGTGTACCCCAAATCGTCTCGAGATGCGAGCTGATTCCCTGGCTTAGGCTCAAGACGTATGCCAACTTCCAAGAAGCACCTCAGGAGGAGGCTTCTCTCAGCAATAGGTATGTGGGAGGGACCCCGAGTTTGCTGCCTCAAGGGGAATATACAGCGAGAAGCCCTAACTTGAAAGGAGGCCGGATTTCCTTGCAGTGGCTTGAATATAGGCTCGTCTTTCATCTCACAACATGAAGGGATGTCTGAATCCCCTGTGGAGACCTTAGAGAAAGCCCTAGGTCACTGCCTCATTTTGACGGAATGCCTCACATCGCGCTGACACCTCGAGAGGCACGCGGAGTTCATTGCTTCAAAAGGTGACGATGCCTGACTCCTCTTGAATACTGATAGGAATCCCAAAATCCCTGTGGCTACTGGAAAGGGTCCTTGGGTGCCCTGCCTCACCTCGAGAAGCGTCCCTTTGGCCCTGCCAAGCCTCGAAGAGATTCCTGAGGTGTCCCTCGTTACTAGACAGGAGTCCTGACGTCACTGAAGAAACTCGTGTTTTGAAGGGCCATCCCCGCCGTAAGTCGAGAACATACCCCAGGTCCCCGCCGCAACTCGAGAAAAACCATGAGACTTCCCGCTAGAGGTGAGATGAGGCCCCATTCCCCTTCAGTGCATGCAGAGCTATTCCGTGATCCCATTCAAACAAGTCAGGAGCTTCGACTTGCTTAATGGATCTCGAGAGAGTCCCCAAGAACACTGTCACCAGTCTAGACGGACCCTGAGGTCACCCCAGCAACGCAAAGCAGCTCCATGTGCCCCAAATCAACTCGAGATGAGGCCCGATTCCCCTGCATTGACCCCAGAGCCATTCCCCGTTCCCCATTCAACACGACCGGTGGCTCGACTTCCTTCAGGCAACTCCAGAGATGCCCCGAGAACACTGTCCCAAGTCTAGAGGAACACCAACTTCAACACAGCAACTCGAGGAATGCTCCGTGTACCCCAAATCGTCTCGAGATGCGAGCTGATTCCCTGGCTTAGGCTCAAGACATATGCCAACTTCCCGGAAGCACCTCAGGAGGAGGCTTCTCTCAGCAATAGGTATGTGGGAGGGACCCCGAGTTTGCTGCCTCAAGGGGAATATACAGCGAGAAGCCCTAACTTGAAAGGAGGCCGGATTTCCTTGCAGTGGCTTGAATACAGGCTCGTCTTTCATCTCACAACATGAAGGGATGTCTGAATCCCCTGTGGAGACCTTAGAGAAAGTCCTAGGTCCCTGCCTAATTTTGACTGAATGCCTCACATCCCGCTGACACCTCGAGAGGCACGCGGAGTTCATTGCTTCAAAAGGTGACGATGCCTGACTCCTCTTGAATACTGATAGGAATCCCAAAATCCCTGTGGCTACTGGAAAGGGTCCTTTGGTGCCCTGCCTCACCTCAAGAAGCGTCCCTTTTGCCCTGCCAAGCCTCGAAGAGATTCCTGAGGTGTCCCTCGTTACTAGACAGGAGTCCTGACGTCACAGAAGAAACTCGTGTTTTGAAGGGCCATCCCCGCCGTAAGTCGAGAACATACCCCAGGGCCCCTCCGCAACTCGAGAAAAACCATGAGACTTCCCCCTAGAGGCGAGATGAGGCCCCATTCCCCTTCAGTGCATGCAGAGCTATTCCGTGATCCCATTCAAACAAGTCAGGAGCTTCGACTTGCTTAATGGATCTCGAGACAGTCCCCAAGAACACTGTCACCAGTCTAGACGGACCCTGAGGTCACCCCAGCAACGCAAAGCAGCTCCATGTGCCCCAAATCAACTCGAGATGAGGCCCGATAACGCTGCATTGACTCCAGAGCCATTCCCCGTTCCCCATTCAACACGACCGGTGGCTCGACTTCCTTCAGGCAACTCCAGAGATGCCCCGAGAACACTGTCCCAAGTCTAGAGGAACACCAACTTCAGCACAGCAACTCGAGGAATGCTTCGTGCACCCCAAATCGTCTCGAGATGCGAGCTGATTCCCTGGCTTAGGCTCAAGACGTATGCCAACTTCCCAGAAGCACCTCAGGAGGAGGCTTCTCTCAGCAATAGGTATGTGGGAGGGACCCCGAGTTTGCTGCCTCAAGGGGAATATACAGCGAGAAGCCCTAACTTGAAAGGAGGCCGGATTTCCTTGCAGTGGCTTGAATACAGGCTCGTCTTTCATCTCACAACATGAAGGGATGTCTGAATCCCCTGTGGAGACCTTTGAGAAAGCCCTAGGTCCCTGCCTCATTTTGACGGAATGCCTCACATCGCGCTGACACCTCGAGAGGCACGCGGAGTTCATTGCTTCAAAAGGTGACGATGCCTTACTCCTCTTGAATACTGATAGGAATCCCAAAATCCCTGTGGCTACTGGAAAGGGTCCTTGGGTGCCCTGCCTCACCTCGAGAAGCGTCCCTTTGGCCCTGCCAAGCCTCGAAGAGATTCCTGAGGTGTCCCTCGTTACTAGACAGGAGTCCTGACGTCACTGAAGAAACTCGTGTTTTGAAAGGCCATCCCCGCCGTAAGTCGAGAACATACCCCAGGTCCCCGCCGCAACTCGAGTAAAACCATGAGACTTCCCCCTAGAGGCGAGATGAGGCCCCATTCCCCTGTAGTGCATGCAGAGCTATTCCGTGATCCCATTTAAACAAGTCAGGAGCTTCGACTTGCTTAATGGATCTCGAGACAGTCCCCAAGAACATTGTCACCAGTCTAGACGGACCCTGAGGTCACCCCAGCAACGCAAAGCAGCTCCATGTGCCCCAAATCAACTCGAGATGAGGCCCGATTCCCCTGAATTGACCCCAGAGCCATTCCCCGTTCCCCATTCAACACGACCGGTGGCTCGACTTCCTTCAGGCAACTCCAGAGATGCCCCGAGAACACTGTCCCAATCTAGAGGAACACCAACTTCAGCACAGTAACTCGAGGAATGCTCCGTGTACCCCAAATCGTCTCGAGATGCGAGCTGATTCCCTGGCTTAGGCTCAAGACGTATGCCAAATTCCCAGAAGCACCTCAGGAGGAGGCTTCTCTCAGCAATAGGTATGTGGGAGGGACCCCGAGTTTGCTGCCTCAAGGGGAATATACAGCGAGAAGCCCTAACTTGAAAGGAGGCCGGATTTCCTTGCAGTGGCTTGAATACAGGCTCGTCTTTCATCTCACAACATGAAGGGATGTCTGAATCCCCTGTGGAGACCTTAGAGAAAGCCCTAGGTCCCTGCCTCATTTTGACGGAATGCCTCACATCGCGCTGACACCTCGAGAGGCACGCGGAGTTCATTGCTTCAAAAGGTGACGATGCCTGACTCCTCTTGAATACTGATAGGAATCCCAAAATCCCTGTGGCTACTGGAAAGGGTCCTTGGGTGCCCTGCCTCACCTCGAGAAGCGTCCCTTTGGCCCTGCCAAGCCTCGAAGAGATTCCTGAGGTGTCCCTCGTTACTAGACAGGAGTCCTGACGTCACTGAAGAAACTCGTGTTTTGAAGGGCCATCCCCGCCGTAAGTCGAGAACGTACCCCAGGTCCCCGCCGCAACTCGAGAAAAACAATGAGACTTCCCCCTAGAGGCGAGATGAGGCCCCATTCCCCTGCAGTGCATGCAGAGCTATTCCGTGATCCCATTCAAACAAGTCAGGAGCTTCGACTTGCTTAATGGATCTCGAGACAGTCCCCAAGAACACTGTCACCAGTCTAGACGGACCCTGAGGTCACCCCAGCAACGCAAAGCAGCTCCATGTGCCCCAAATCAACTCGAGATGAGGCCCGATTCCCCTGCATTGACCCAAGAGTCATTCCCCGTTCCCCATTCAACACGACCGGTGGCTCGACTTCCTTCAGGCAACTCCAGAGATGCCCCGAGAACACTGTCCCAAGTCTAGAGGAACACCAACTTCAACACAGCAACTCGAGGAATGCTCCGTGTACCCCAAATCGTCTCGAGATGCGAGCTGATTCCCTGGCTTAGGCTCAAGACGTATGCCAACTTCCCAGAAGCACCTCAGGAGGAGGCTTCTCTCAGCAATAGGTATGTGGGAGGGACCCCGAGTTTGCTGCCTCAAGGGGAATATACAGCGAGAAGCCCTAACTTGAAAGGAGGCCGGATTTCCTTGCAGTGGCTTGAATACAGGCTCGTCTTTCATCTCACAACATGAAGGAATGTCTGAATCCCCTGTGGAGAACTTAGAGAAAGTCCTAGGTCCCTGCCTCATTTTTACGGAATGCCTCACATCGCGCTGACACCTCGAGAGGCACGCGGAGTTCATTGCTTCAAAAGGTGACGATGCCTGACTCCTCTTGAATACTGATAGGAATCCCAAAATCCCTGTGGCTACTGGAAAGTGTCCTTGGGTGCCCTGCCTCACCTCGAGAAGCGTCCCTTTGGCCCTGCCAAGCCTCGAAGAGATTCCTGAGGTGTCCCTCGTTACTAGACAGGAGTCCTGACGTCACTGAAGAAACTCGTGTTTTGAAGGGCCATCCCCGCCGTAAGTTGAGAACATACCCCAGGTCCCCGCCGCAACTCGAGAAAAACCATGAGACTTCCCCCTAGAGGCGAGATGAGGCCCCATTCCCCTGCAGTGCATGCAGAGCTATTCCGTGATCCCATTCAAACAAGTCAGGAGCTTCGACTTGCTTAATGGATCTAGAGACAGTCCCCAAGAACACTGTCACCAGTCTAGACGCACCCTGAGGTCACCCCAGCAACGCAAAGCAGCTCCATGTGCCCCAAATCAACTCGAGATGAGGCCCGATTCCCCTGCATTGACTCCAGAGCCATTCCCCGTTCCCCATTCAACACGACCGGTGGGTCGACTTCCTTCAGGCAACTCCAGAGATGCCCCGAGAACACTGTCCCAAGTCTAGAGGAACACCAACTTCAGCACAGCAACTCGAGGAATGCTCCGTGTACCCCAAATCGTCTCGAGATGCGAGCTGATTCCCTGGCTTAGGCTCAAGACGTATGCCAACTTCCCAGAAGCACCTCAGGAGGAGGCTTCTCTCAGCAATAGGTATGTGGGAGGGACCCCGAGTTTGCTGCCTCAAGGGGAATATACAGCGAGAAGCCCTAACTTGAAAGGAGGCCGGATTTCCTTGCAGTGGCTTGAATACAGGCTCGTCTTTCATCTCACAACATGAAGGGATGTCTGAATCCCCTGTGGAGACCTTAGAGAAAGCCCTAGGTCCCTGCCTCATTTTGACGGAATGCCTCACATCCCGCTGACACCTCGAGAGGCACGCGGAGTTCATTGCTTCAAAAGGTGACGATGCCTGACTCCTCTTGAATACTGATAGGAATCCCAAAATCCCTGTGGCTACTGGAAAGGGTCCTTGGGTGCCCTGCCTCACCTCGAGAAGCGTCCCTTTTGCCCTGCCAAGCCTCGAAGAGATTCCTGAGGTGTCCCTCGTTACTAGACAGGAGTCCTGACGTCACTGAAGAAACTCGTGTTTTGAAGGGCCATCCCCGCCGTAAGTCGAGAACATACCCCAGGTCCCCGCCGCAATTCGAGAAAAACCATGAGACTTCCCCCTAGAGGCGAGATGAGGCCCCATTCCCCTGCAGTGCATGCAGAGCTATTCCGTGATCCCATTCAAACAAGTCAGGAGCTTCGACTTGCTTAATGGGTCTCGAGACAGTCCCCAAGAACACTGTCACCAGTCTAGACGGACCATGAGGTCACCCCAGCAACACAAAGCAGCTCCATGTGCCCCAAATCAACTCGAGATGAGGCCCGATTCCCCTGCCTTGACTCCAGAGCCATTCCCCGTTCCCCATTCAACACGACCGGTGGCTCGACTTCCTTCAGGCAACTCCAGAGATGCCCCGAGAACACTGTCCCAAGTCTAGAGGAACACCAACTTCAGCACAGCAACTCGAGGAATGCTCCGTGTACCCCAAATCGTCTCGAGATGCGAGCTGATTCCCTGGCTTAGGCTCAAGACGTATGCCAACTTCCCAGAAGCACCTCAGGAGGAGGCTTCTCTCAGCAATAGGTATGTGGGAGGGACCCCGAGTTTGCTGCCTCAAGGGGAATATACAGCGAGAAGCCCTAACTTGAAAGGAGGCCGAATTTCCTTGCAGTGGCTTGAATACAGGCTCGTCTTTCATCTCACAACATGAAGGGATGTCTGAATCCCCTGTGGAGACCTTAGAGAAAGCCCTAGGTCCCTGCCTCATTTTGACGGAATGCCTCACATCGCGCTGACACCTCGAGAGGCACGCGGAGTTCATTGCTTCAAAAGGTGACGATGCCTTACTCCTCTTGAATACTGATAGGAATCCCAAAATCCCTGTGGCTACTGGAAAGGGTCCTTGGGTGCCCTGCCTCACCTCGAGAAGCGTCCATTTTGCCCTGCCAAGCCTCGAAGAGATTCCTGAGCTGTCCCTCGTTACTAGACAGGAGTCCTGACGTCACTGAAGAAACTCCTGTTTTGAAGGGCCATCCCCGCCGTAAGTCGAGAACATACCCCAGGTCCCCGCCGCAACTCGAGAAAAACCATGAGACTTCCCCCTAGAGGCGAGATGAGGCCCCATTCCCCTGCAGTGCATGCAGAGCTATTCCGTGATCCCATTCAAACAAGTCAGGAGCTTCGACTTGCTTAATGGATCTCGAGACAGTCCCCAAGAACACTGTCACCAGTCTAGACGGACCCTGAGGTCACCCCAGCAACGCAAAGCAGCTCCATGTGCCCCAAATCAACTCGAGATGAGGCCCGATTCCCTTGCATTGACTCCAGAGCCATTCCCCGTTCCCCATTCAACACGACCGGTGGCTCGACTTCCTTCAGGCAACTCCAGAGATGCCCCGAGAACACTGTCCCAAGTCTAGAGGAACACCAACTTCAGCACAGCAACTCGAGGAATGCTCCGTGTACCCCAAATCGTCTCGAGATGCGAGCTGATTCCCTGGCTTAGGCTCAAGACGTATGCCAACTTCCCAGAAGCACCTCAGGAGGAGGCTTCTCTCAGCAATAGGTATGTGGGAGGGACCCCGAGTTTGCTGCCTCAAGGGGAAAATACAGCGAGAAGCCCTAACTTGAAAGGAGGCCGGATTTCCTTGCAGTGGCTTGAATACAGGCTCGTCTTTCATCTCACAACATGAAGGGATGTCTGAATCCCCTGTGGAGACCTTAGAGAAAGCCCTAGGTCCCTGCCTCATTTTGACGGAATGCCTCACATCGCGCTGACACCTCGAGAGGCACGCGGAGTTCATTGCTTCAAAAGGTGACGATGCCTTACTCCTCTTGAATACTGATAGGAATCCCAAAATCCCTGTGGCTACTGGAAAGGGTCCTTGGGTGCCCTGCCTCACCTCGAGAAGCGTCCCTTTTGCCCTGCCAAGCCTCGAAGAGATTCCTGAGCTGTCCCTCATTACTAGACAGGAGTCCTGACGTCACTGAAGAAACTCCTGTTTTGAAGGGCCATCCCCGCCGTAAGTCGAGAACATACCCCAGGTCCCCGCCGCAACTCGAGAAAAACCATGAGACTTCCCCCTAGAGGCGAGATGAGGCCCCATTCCCCTGCAGTGCATGCAGAGCTATTCCGTGATCCCATTCAAACAAGTCAGGAGCTTCGACTTGCTTAATGGATCTCGAGAGAGTCCCCAAGAACACTGTCACCAGTCTAGACGGACCCTGAGGTCACCCCAGCAACGCAAAGCAGCTCCATGTGCCCCAAATCAACTCGAGATGAGGCCCAATTCCCCTGCATTGACTCCAGAGCCATTCCCCGTTCCCCATTCAACACGACCGGTGGCTCGACTTCCTTCAGGCAACTCCAGAGATGCCCCGAGAACACTGTCCCAAGTCTAGAGGAACACCAACTTCAGCACAGCAACTCGAGGAATGCTCCGTGTACCCCAAATCGTCTCGAGATGCGAGCTGATTCCCTGGCTTAGGCTCAAGACGTATGCCAACTTCCCAGAAGCACCTCAGGAGGAGGCTTCTCTCAGCAATAGGTATGTGGGAGGGACCCCGAGTTTGCTGCCTCAAGGGGAATATACAGCGAGAAGCCCTAACTTGAAAGGAGGCCGGATTTCCTTGCAGTGGCTTGAATACAGACTCGTCTTTCATCTCACAACATGAAGGGATGTCTGAATCCCCTGTGGAGACCTTAGAGAAAGCCCTAGGTCCCTGCCTCATTTTGACGGAATGCCTCACATCCCGCTGACACCTCGAGAGGCACGCGGAGTTCATTGCTTCAAAAGGTGACGATGCCTGACTCCTCTTGAATACTGATAGGAATCCCAAAATCCCTGTGGCTACTGGAAAGGGTCCTTGGGTGCCCTGCCTCACCTCGAGAAGCCTCCCTTTTGCCCTGCCAAGCCTCGAAGAGATTCCTGAGGTGTCCCTCGTTACTAGACAGGAGTCCTGACGTCACTGAAGAAACTCGTGTTTTGAAGGGCCATCCCCGCCGTAAGTCGAGAACATACCCCAGGTCCCCGCCGCAACTCGAGAAAAACCATGAGACTTCCCCGTAGAGGCGAGATGAGGCCCCATTCCCCTGCAGTGCATCCAGAGCTATTCCGTGATCCCATTCAAACAAGTCAGGAGCTTCGACTTGCTTAATGGATCTCGAGACAGTCCCCAAGAACACTGTCACCAGTCTAGACGGACCCTGAGGTCACCCCAGCAAGGCAAAGCAGCTCCATGTGCCCCAAATCAACTCGAGATGAGGCCCAATTCCCCTGCATTGACTCCAGAGCCATTCCCCGTTCCCCATTCAACACGACCGGTGGCTCGACTTCCTTCAGGCAACTCCAGAGATGCCCCGAGAACACTGTCCCAAGTCTAGAGGAACACCAACTTCAGCACAGCAACTCGAGGAATGCTCCGTGTACCCCAAATCGTCTCGAGATGCGAGCTGATTCCCTGGCTTAGGCTCAAGACGTATGCCAACTTCCCAGAAGCACCTCAGGAGGAGGCTTCTCTCAGCAATAGGTATGTGGGAGGGACCCCGAGTTTGCTGCCTCAAGGGGAATATACAGCGAGAAGCCCTAACTTGAAAGGAGGCCGGATTTCCTTGCAGTGGCTTGAATACAGGCTCGTCTTTCATCTCACAACATGAAGGGATGTCTGAATCCCCTGTGGAGACCTTAGAGAAAGCCCTAGGTCCCTGCCTCATTTTGACGGAATGCCTCACATCGCGCTGACACCTCGAGAGGCACGCGGAGTTCATTGCTTCAAAAGGTGACGATGCCTTACTCCTCTTGAATACTGATAGGAATCCCAAAATCCCTGTGGCTACTGGAAAGGGTCCTTGGGTGCCCTGCCTCACCTCGAGAAGCGTCCCTTTTGCCCTGCCAAGCCTCGAAGAGATTCCTGAGCTGTCCCTCGTTACTAGACAGGAGTCCTGACGTCACTGAAGAAACTCGTGTTTTGAAGGGCCATCCCCGCCGTAAGTCGAGAACATACCCCAGGTCCCCGCCGCAATTCGAGAAAAACCATGAGACTTCCCCCTAGAGGCGAGATGAGGCCCCATTCCCCTGCAGTGCATGCAGAGCTATTCCGTGATCCCATTCAAACAAGTCAGGAGCTTCGACTTGCTTAATGGGTCTCGAGACAGTCCCCAAGAACACTGTCACCAGTCTAGACGGACCATGAGGTCACCCCAGCAACACAAAGCAGCTCCATGTGCCCCAAATCAACTCGAGATGAGGCCCGATTCCCCTGCCTTGACTCCAGAGCCATTCCCCGTTCCCCATTCAACACGACCGTTGGCTCGACTTCCTTCAGGCAACTCCAGAGATGCCCCGAGAACACTGTCCCAAGTCTAGAGGAACACCAACTTCAGCACAGCAACTCGAGGAATGCTCCGTGTACCCCAAATCGTCTCGAGATGCGAGCTGATTCCCTGGCTTAGGCTCAAGACGTATGCCAACTTCCCAGAAGCACCTCAGGAGGAGGCTTCTCTCAGCAATAGGTATGTGGGAGGGACCCCGAGTTTGCTGCCTCAAGGGGAATATACAGCGAGAAGCCCTAACTTGAAAGGAGGCCGGATTTCCTTGCAGTGGCTTGAATACAGGCTCGTCTTTCATCTCACAACATGAAGGGATGTCTGAATCCCCTGTGGAGACCTTAGAGAAAGCCCTAGGTCCCTGCCTCATTTTGACGGAATGCCTCACATCCCGCTGACACCTCGAGAGGCACGCGGAGTTCATTGCTTCAAAAGGTGACGATGCCTTACTCCTCTTGAATACTGATAGGAATCCCAAAATCCCTGTGGCTACTGGAAAGGGTCCTTGGGTGCCCTGCCTCACCTCGAGAAGCGTCCCTTTTGCCCTGCCAAGCCTCGAAGAGATTCCTGAGCTGTCCCTCGTTACTAGACAGGAGTCCTGACGTCACTGAAGAAACTCCTGTTTTGAAGGGCCATCCCCGCCGTAAGTCGAGAACATACCCCAGGTCCCCGCCGCAACTCGAGAAAAACCATGAGACTTCCCCCTAGAGGCGAGATGAGGCCCCATTCCCCTGCAGTGCATGCAGAGCTATTCCGTGATCCCATTCAAACAAGTCAGGAGCTTCGACTTGCTTAATGGATCTCGAGACAGTCCACAAGAACACTGTCACCAGTCTAGACGGACCCTGAGGTCACCCCAGCAACGCAAAGCAGCTCCATGTGCCCCAAATCAACTCGAGATGAGGCCCGATTCCCCTGCCTTGACTCCAGAGCCATTCCCCGTTCCCCATTCAACACGACCGGTGGCTCGACTTCCTTCAGGCAACTCCAGAGATGCCCCGAGAACACTGTCCCAAGTCTAGAGGAACACCAACTTCAGCACAGCAACTCGAGGAATGCTCCGTGTACCCCAAATCGTCTCGAGATGCGAGCTGATTCCCTGGCTTAGGCTCAAGACGTATGCCAACTTCCCAGAAGCACCTCAGGAGGAGGCTTCTCTCAGCAATAGGTATGTGGGAGGGACCCCGAGTTTGCTGCCTCAAGGGGAAAATACAGCGAGAAGCCCTAACTTGAAAGGAGGCCGGATTTCCTTGCAGTGGCTTGAATACAGACTCGTCTTTCATCTCACAACATGAAGGGATGTCTGAATCCCCTGTGGAGACCTTAGAGAAAGCCCTAGATCCCTGCCTCATTTTGACGGAATGCCTCACATCCCGCTGACACCTCGAGAGGCACGCGGAGTTCATTGCTTCAAAAGGTGACGATGCCTGACTCCTCTTGAATACTGATAGGAATCCCAAAATCCCTGTGGCTACTGGAAAGGGTCCTTGGGTGCCCTGCCTCACCTCGAGAAGCGTCCCTTTTGCCCTGCCAAGCCTCGAAGAGATTCCTGAGGTGTCCCTCGTTACTAGACAGGAGTCCTGACGTCACTGAAGAAACTCGTGTTTTGAAGGGCCATCCCCGCCGTAAGTCAAGAACATACCCCAGGTCCCCGCCGCAACTCGAGAAAAACCATGAGACTTCCCCGTAGAGGCGAGATGAGGCCCCATTCCCCTGCAGTGCATGCAGAGCTATTCCGTGATCCCATTCAAACAAGTCAGGAGCTTCGACTTGCTTAATGGATCTCGAGACAGTCCCCAAGAACACTGTCACCAGTCTAGACGGACCCTGAGGTCACCCCAGCAACGCAAAGCAGCTCCATGTGCCCCAAATCAACTAGAGATGAGGCCCGATTCCCCTGCATTGACTCCAGAGCCATTCCCCGTTCCCCATTCAACACGACCGGTGGCTCGACTTCCTTCAGGCAACTCCAGAGATGCCCCGAGAACACTGTCCCAAGTCTAGAGGAACACCAACTTCAGCACAGCAACTCGAGGAATGCTCCGTGTACCCCAAATCGTCTCGAGATGCGAGCTGATTCCCTGGCTTAGGCTCAAGACGTATGCCAACTTCCCAGAAGCACCTCAGGAGGAGGCTTCTCTCAGCAATAGGTATGTGGGAGGGACCCCGAGTTTGCTGCCTCAAGGGGAATATACAGCGAGAAGCCCTAACTTGAAAGGAGGCCGGATTTCCTTGCAGTGGCTTGAATACAGGCTCGTCTTTCATCTCACAACATGAAGGGATGTCTGAATCCCCTGTGGAGACCTTAGAGAAAGCCCTAGGTCCCTGCCTCATTTTGACGGAATGCCTCACATCCCGCTGACACCTCGAGAGGCACGCGGAGTTCATTGCTTCAAAAGGTGACGATGCCTGACTCCTCTTGAATACTGATAGGAATCCCAAAATCCCTGTGGCTACTGGAAAGGGTCCTTGGGTGCCCTGCCTCACCTCGAGAAGCGTCCCTTTTGCCCTGCCAAGCCTCGAAGAGATTCCTGAGGTGTCCCTCGTTACTAGACAGGAGTCCTGACGTCACTGAAGAAACTCGTGTTTTGAAGGGCCATCCCCGCCGTAAGTCGAGAACATACCCCAGGTCCCCGCCGCAACTCGAGAAAAACCATGAGACTTCCCCCAAAGGCGAGATGAGGCCCCATTCCCCTGCAGTGCATGCAGAGCTATTCCGTGATCCCATTCAAACAAGTCAGGAGCTTCGACTTGCTTAATGGATCTCGCGACAGTCCCCAAGAACACTGTAACCAGTCTAGACGGACCCTGAGGTCACCCCAGCAACGCAAAGCAGCTCCATGTGCCCCAAATCAACTCGAGATGAGGCCCGATTCCCCTGCATTGACTCCAGAGCCATTCCCCATTCCCCATTCAACACGACCGGTGGCTCGACTTCCTTCAGGCAACTCCAGAGATGCCCCGAGAACACTGTCCCAAGTCTAGAGGAACACCAACTTCAGCACAGCAACTCGAGGAATGCTCCGTGTACCCCAAATCGTCTCGAGATGCGAGCTGATTCCCTGGCTTAGGCTCAAGACGTATGCCAACTTCCCAGAAGCACCTCAGGAGGAGGCTTCTCTCAGCAATAGGTATGTGGGAGGGACCCCGAGTTTGCTGCCTCAAGGGGAATATACAGCGAGAAGCCCTAACTTGAAAGGAGGCCGGATTTCCTTGCAGTGGCTTGAATACAGGCTCGTCTTTCATCTCACAACATGAAGGGATGTCTGAATCCCCTGTGGAGACCTTAGAGAAAGCCCTAGGTCCCTGCCTCATTTTGACGGAATGCCTCACATCCCGCTGACACCTCGAGAGGCACGCGGAGTTCATTGCTTCAAAAGGTGACGATGCCTGACTCCTCTTGAATACTGATAGGAATCCCAAAATCCCTGTGGCTACTGGAAAGGGTCCTTGGGTGCCCTGCCTCACCTCGAGAAGCGTCCCTTTTGCCCTGCCAAGCCTCGAAGAGATTCCTGAGGTGTCCCTCGTTACTAGACAGGAGTCCTGACGTCACTGAAGAAACTCCTGTTTTGAAGGGCCATCCCCGCCGTAAGTCGAGAACATACCCCAGGTCCCCGCCGCAACTCGAGAAAAACCATGAGACTTCCCCCTAGAGGCGAGATGAGGCCCCATTCCCCTGCAGTGCATGCAGAGCTATTCCGTGATCCCATTCAAACAAGTCAGGAGCTTCGACTTGCTTAATGGATCTCGAGACAGTCCCCAAGAACACTGTCACCAGTCTAGACGGACCCTGAGGTCACCCCAGCAACGCAAAGCAGCTCCATGTGCCCCAAATCAACTCGAGATGAGGCCCGATTACCCTGCATTGACTCCAGAGCCATTCCCCGTTCCCCATTCAACACGACCGGTGGCTCGACTTCCTTCAGGCAACTCCAGAGATGCCCCGAGAACACTGTCCCAAGTCTAGAGGAACACCAACTTCAGCACAGCAACTCGAGGAATGCTCCGTGTACCCCAAATCGTCTCGAGATGCGAGCTGATTCCCTGGCTTAGGCTCAAGACGTATGCCAACTTCCCAGAAGCACCTCAGGAGGAGGCTTCTCTCAGCAATAGGTATGTGGGAGGGACCCCGAGTTTGCTGCCTCAAGGGGAATATACAGCGAGAAGCCCTAACTTGAAAGGAGGCCGGATTTCCTTGCAGTGGCTTGAATACAGGCTCGTCTTTCATCTCACAACATGAAGGGATGTCTGAATCCCCTGTGGAGACCTTAGAGAAAGCCCTAGGTCCCTGCCTCATTTTGACGGAATGCCTCACATCGCGCTGACACCTCGAGAGGCACGCGGAGTTCATTGCTTCAAAAGGTGACGATGCCTTACTCCTCTTGAATACTGATAGGAATCCCAAAATCCCTGTGGCTACTGGAAAGGGTCCTTGGGTGCCCTGCCTCACCTCGAGAAGCGTCCCTTTTGCCCTGCCAAGCCTCGAAGAGATTCCTGAGCTGTCCCTCGTTACTAGACAGGAGTCCTGACGTCACTGAAGAAACTCGTGTTTTGAAGGGCCATCCCCGCCGTAAGTCGAGAACATACCCCAGGTCCCCGCCGCAATTCGAGAAAAACCATGAGACTTCCCCCTAGAGGCGAGATGAGGCCCCATTCCCCTGCAGTGCATGCAGAGCTATTCCGTGATCCCATTCAAACAAGTCAGGAGCTTCGACTTGCTTAATGGGTCTCGAGACAGTCCCCAAGAACACTGTCACCAGTCTAGACGGACCATGAGGTCACCCCAGCAACACAAAGCAGCTCCATGTGCCCCAAATCAACTCGAGATGAGGCCCGATTCCCCTGCCTTGACTCCAGAGCCATTCCCCGTTCCCCATTCAACACGACCGGTGGCTCGACTTCCTTCAGGCAACTCCAGAGATGCCCCGAGAACACTGTCCCAAGTCTAGAGGAACACCAACTTCAGCACAGCAACTCGAGGAATGCTCCGTGTACCCCAAATCGTCTCGAGATGCAAGCTGATTCCCTGGCTTAGGCTCAAGACGTATGCCCACTTCCCAGAAGCACCTCAGGAGGAGGCTTCTCTCAGCAATAGGTATGTGGGAGGGACCCCGAGTTTGCTGCCTCAAGGGGAATATACAGCGAGAAGCCCTAACTTGAAAGGAGGCCGGATTTCCTTGCAGTGGCTTGAATACAGGCTCGTCTTTCATCTCACAACATGAAGGGATGTCTGAATCCCCTGTGGAGACCTTAGAGAAAGCCCTAGGTCCCTGCCTCATTTTGACGGAATGCCTCACATCGCGCTGACACCTCGAGAGGCACGCGGAGTTCATTGCTTCAAAAGGTGACGATGCCTTACTCCTCTTGAATACTGATAGGAATCCCAAAATCCCTGTGGCTACTGGAAAGGGTCCTTGGGTGCCCTGCCTCACCTCGAGAAGCGTCCCTTTTGCCCTGCCAAGCCTCGAAGAGATTCCTGAGCTGTCCCTCGTTACTAGACAGGAGTCCTGACGACACTGAAGAAACTCGTGTTTTGAAGGGCCATCCCCGCCGTAAGTCGAGAACATACCCCAGGTCCCCGCCGCAATTCGAGAAAAACCATGAGACTTCCCCCTAGAGGAGAGATGAGGCCCCATTCCCCTGCAGTGCATGCAGAGCTATTCCGTGATCCCATTCAAACAAGTCAGGAGCTTCGACTTGCTTAATGGGTCTCGAGACAGTCCCCAAGAACACTGTCACCAGTCTAGACGGACCATGAGGTCACCCCAGCAACACAAAGCAGCTCCATGTGCCCCAAATCAACTCGAGATGAGGCCCGATTCCCCTGCCTTGACTCCAGAGCCATTCCCCGTTCCCCATTCAACACGACCGGTGGCTCGACTTCCTTCAGGCAACTCCAGAGATGCCCCGAGAACACTGTCCCAAGTCTAGAGGAACACCAACTTCAGCACAGCAACTCGAGGAATGCTCCGTGTACCCCAAATCGTCTCGAGATGCGAGCTGATTCCCTGACTTAGGCTCAAGACGTATGCCAACTTCCCAGAAGCACCTCAGGAGGAGGCTTCTCTCAGCAATAGGTATGTGGGAGGGACCCCGAGTTTGCTGCCTCAAGGGGAATATACAGCGAGAAGCCCTAACTTGAAAGGAGGCCGGATTTCCTTGCAGTGGCTTGAATACAGGCTCGTCTTTCATCTCACAACATGAAGGGATGTCGGAATCCCCTGTGGAGACCTTAGAGAAAGCCCTAGGTCCCTGCCTCATTTTGACGGAATGCCTCACATCCCGCTGACACCTCGAGAGGCACGCGGAGTTCATTGCTTCAAAAGGTGACGATGCCTGACTCCTCTTGAATACTGATAGGAATCCCAAAATCCCTGTGGCTACTGGAAAGGGTCCTTGGGTGCCCTGCCTCACCTCGAGAAGCGTCCCTTTTGCCCTGCCAAGCCTCGAAGAGATTCCTGAGGTGTCCCTCGTTACTAGACAGGAGTCCTGACGTCACTGAAGAAACTCGTGTTTTGAAGGGCCATCCCCGCCGTAAGTCGAGAACATACCCCAGGTCCCCGCCGCAACTCGAGAAAAACCATGAGACTTCCCCCTAGAGGCGAGATGAGGCCCCATTCCCCTGCAGTGCATGCAGAGCTATTCCGTGATCCCATTCAAACAAGTCAGGAGCTTCGACTTGCTTAATGGATCTCGAGACAGTCCCCAAGAACACTGTCACCAGTCTAGACGGACCCTGAGGTCACCCCAGCAACGCAAAGCAGCTCCATGTGCCCCAAATCAACTCGAGATGAGGCCCGATTCCCCTGCATTGACTCCAGAGCCATTCCCCGTTCCCCATTCAACACGACCGGTGGCTCGACTTCCTTCAGGCAACTCCAGAGATGCCCCGAGAACACTGTCCCAAGTCTAGAGGAACACCAACTTCAGCACAGCAACTCGAGGAATGCTCCGTGTACCCCAAATCGTCTCGAGATGCGAGCTGATTCCCTGGCTTAGGCTCAAGACGTATGCCAACTTCCCAGAAGCACCTCAGGAGGAGGCTTCTCTCAGCAATAGGTATGTGGGAGGGACCCCGAGTTTGCTGCCTCAAGGGGAATATACAGCGAGAAGCCCTAACTTGAAAGGAGGCCGGATTTCCTTGCAGTGGCTTGAATACAGGCTCGTCTTTCATCTCACAACATGAAGGGATGTCTGAATCCCCTGTGGAGACCTTAGAGAAAGCCCTAGGTCCCTGCCTCATTTTGACGGAATGCCTCACATCCCGCTGACACCTCGAGAGGCACGCGGAGTTCATTGCTTCAAAAGGTGACGATGCCTGACTCCTCTTGAATACTGATAGGAATCCCAAAATCCCTGTGGCTACTGGAAAGGGTCCTTGGGTGCCCTGCCTCACCTCGAGAAGCGTCCCTTTGGCCCTGCCAAGCCTCGAAGAGATTCCTGAGGTGTCCCTCGTTACTAGACAGGAGTCCTGACGTCACTGAAGAAACTCGTGTTTTGAAGGGCCATCCCCGCCGTAAGTCGAGAACATACCCCAGGTCCCCGCCGCAACTCGAGAAAAACCATGAGACTTCCCCCTAGAGGCGAGATGAGGCCCCATTCCCCTGCAGTGCATGCAGAGCTATTCCGTGATCCCATTCAAACAAGTCAGGAGCTTCGACTTGCTTAATGGATCTCGAGACAGTCCCCAAGAACACTGTCACCAGTCTAGACGGACCCTGAGGTCACCCCAGCAACGCAAAGCAGCTCCATGTGCCCCAAATCAACTCGAGATGAGGCCCGATTCCCCTGCATTGACTCCAGAGCCATTACCCGTTCCCCATTCAACACGACCGGTGGCTCGACTTCCTTCAGGCAACTCCAGAGATGCCCCGAGAACACTGTCCCAAGTCTAGAGGAACACCAACTTCAGCACAGCAACTCGAGGAATGCTCCGTGTACCCCAAATCGTCTCGAGATGCGAGCTGATTCCCTGGCTTAGGCTCAAGACGTATGCCAACTTCCCAGAAGCACCTCAGGAGGAGGCTTCTCTCAGCAATAGGTATGTGGGAGGGACCCCGAGTTTGATGCCTCAAGGGGAATATACAGCGAGAAGCCCTAACTTGAAAGGAGGCCGGATTTCCTTGCAGTGGCTTGAATACAGGCTCGTCTTTCATCTCACAACATGAAGGGATGTCTGAATCCCCTGTGGAGACCTTAGAGAAAGCCCTAGGTCCCTGCCTCATTTTGACGGTATGCCTCACATCGCGCTGACACCTCGAGAGGCACGCGGAGTTCATTGCTTCAAAAGGTGACGATGCCTTACTCCTCTTGAATACTGATAGGAATCCCAAAATCCCTGTGGCTACTGGAAAGGGTCCTTGGGTGCCCTGCCTCACCTCGAGAAGCGTCCCTTTTGCCCTGCCAAGCCTCGAAGAGATTCCTGAGCTGTCCCTCGTTACTAGACAGGAGTCCTGACGTCACTGAAGAAACTCGTGTTTTGAAGGGCCATCCCCGCCGTAAGTCGAGAACATACCCCAGGTCCCCGCCGCAATTCGAGAAAAACCATGAGACTTCCCCCTAGAGGCGAGATGAGGCCCCATTCCCCTGCAGTGCATGCAGAGCTATTCCGTGATCCCATTCAAACAAGTCAGGAGCTTCGACTTGCTTAATGGGTCTCGAGACAGTCCCCAAGAACACTGTCAACAGTCTAGACGGACCATGAGGTCACCCCAGCAACACAAAGCAGCTCCATGTGCCCCATATCAACTCGAGATGAGGCCCGATTCCCCTGCCTTGACTCCAGAGCCATTCCCCGTTCCCCATTCAACACCACCGGTGGCTCGACTTCCTTCAGGCAACTCCAGAGATGCCCCGAGAACACTGTCCCAAGTCTAGAGGAACACCAACTTCAGCACAGCAACTCGAGGAATACTCCGTGTACCCCAAATCGTCTCGAGATGCGAGCTGATTCCCTGGCTTAGGCTCAAGACGTATGCCAACTTCCCAGAAGCACCTCAGGAGGAGGCTTCTCTCAGCAATAGGTATGTGTGAGGGACCCCGAGTTTGCTGCCTCAAGGGGAATATACAGCGAGAAGCCCTAACTTGAAAGGAGGCCGGATTTCCTTGCAGTGGCTTGAATACAGGCTCGTCTTTCATCTCACAACATGAAGGGATGTCTGAATCCCCTGTGGAGACCTTAGAGAAAGCCCTAGGTCCCTGCCTCATTTTGACGGAATGCCTCACATCGCGCTGACACCTCGAGAGGCACGCGGAGTTCATTGCTTCAAAAGGTGACGATGCCTGACTCCTCTTGAAAACTGATAGGAATCCCAAAATCCCTGTGTCTACTGGAAAGGGTCCTTGGGTGCCCTGCCTCACCTCGAGAAGCGTTCCTTTTGCCCTGCCAAGCCTCGAAGAGATTCCTGAGGTGTCCCTCGTTACTAGACAGGAGTCCTGACGTCACTGAAGAAACTCGTGTTTTGAAGGGCCATCCCCGCCGTAAGTCGAGAACATACCCCAGGTCCCCGCCGCAACTCGAGAAAAACCATGAGACTTCCCCCTAGAGGCGAGATGAGGCCCCATTCCCCTGCAGTGCATGCAGAGCTATTCCGTGATCCCATTCAAACAAGTCAGGAGCTTCGACTTGCTTAATGGATCTCGAGACAGTCCCCAAGAACACTGTCACCAGTCTAGACGGACCCTGAGGTCACCCCAGCAACGCAAAGCAGCTCCATGTGCCCCAAATCAACTCGAGATGAGGCCCGATTCCCCTGCATTGACTCCAGAGCCATTCCCCGTTCCCCATTCAACACGACCGGTGGCTCGACTTCCTTCAGGCAACTCCAGAGATGCCCCGAGAACACTGTCCCAAGTCTAGAGGAACACCAACTTCAGCACAGCAACTCGAGGAATGCTCCGTGTACCCCAAATCGTCTCGAGATGCGAGCTGATTCCCTGGCTTAGGCTCAAGACGTATGCCAACTTCCCAGAAGCACCTCAGGAGGAGGCTTCTCTCAGCAATAGGTATGTGTGAGGGACCCCGAGTTTGCTGCCTCAAGGGGAATATACAGCGAGAAGCCCTAACTTGAAAGGAGGCCGGATTTCCTTGCAGTGGCTTGAATACAGGCTCGTCTTTCATCTCACAACATGAAGGGATGTCTGAATCCCCTGTGGAGACCTTAGAGAAAGCCCTAGGTCCCTGCCTCATTTTGACGGAATGCCTCACATCCCGCTGACACCTCGAGAGGCACGCGGAGTTCATTGCTTCAAAAGGTGACGATGCCTGACTCCTCTTGAAAACTGATAGGAATCCCAAAATCCCTGTGGCTACTGGAAAGGGTCCTTGGGTGCCCTGCCTCACCTCGAGAAGCGTCCCTTTTGCCCTGCCAAGCCTCGAAGAGATTCCTGAGGTGTCCCTCGTTACTAGACAGGAGTCCTGACGTCACTGAAGAAACTCGTGTTTTGAAGGGCCATCCCCGCCGTAAGTCGAGAACATACCCCAGGTCCCCGCCGCAACTCGAGAAAAACCATGAGACTTCCCCCTAGAGGCGAGATGAGGCCCCATTCCCCTGCAGTGCATGCAGAGCTATTCCGTGATCCCATTCAAACAAGTCAGGAGCTTCGACTTGCTTAATGGATCTCGAGACAGTCCCCAAGAACACTGTCACCAGTCTAGACGGACCCTGAGGTCACCCCAGCAACGCAAAACAGCTCCATGTGCCCCAAATCAACTCGAGATGAGGCCCGATTCCCCTGCATTGACTCCAGAGCCATTCCCCGTTCCCCATTCAACACGACCGGTGGCTCGACTTCCTTCAGGCAACTCCAGAGATGCCCCGAGAACACTGTCCCAAGTCTAGAGGAACACCAACTTCAGCACAGCAACTCGAGGAATGCTCCGTGTACCCCAAATCGTCTCGAGATGCGAGCTGATTCCCTGGCTTAGGCTCAAGACGTATGCCAACTTCCCAGAAGCACCTCAGGAGGAGGCTTCTCTCAGCAATAGGTATGTGGGAGGGACCCCGAGTTTGCTGCCTCAAGGGGAATATACAGCGAGAAGCCCTAACTTGAAAGGAGGCCGGATTTCCTTGCAGTGGTTGAATACAGGCTCGTTTTTCATCTCACAACATGAAGGGATGTCTGAATCCCCTGTGGAGACCTTAGAGAAAGCCCTAGGTCCCTGCCTCATTTTGACGGAATGCCTCACATCGCGCTGACACCTCGAGAGGCACGCGGAGTTCATTGCTTCAAAAGGTGACGATGCGTGACTCCTCTTGAATACTGATAGGAATCCCAAAATCCCTGTGGCTACTGGAAAGGGTCCTTGGGTGCCCTGCCTCACCTCGAGAAGCGTCCCTTTTGCCCTGCCAAGCCTCGAAGAGATTCCTGAGGTGTCCCTCGTTACTAGACAGGAGTCCTGACGTCACTGAAGAAACTCGTGTTTTGAAGGGCCATCCCCGCCGTAAGTCGAGAACATACCCCAGGTCCCCGCCGCAACTCGAGAAAAACCATGAGACTTCCCCCTAGAGGCGAGATGAGGCCCCATTCCCCTGCAGTGCATGCAGAGCTATTCCGTGATCCCATTCAAACAAGTCAGGAGCTTCGACTTGCTTAATGGATCTCGAGACAGTCCCCAAGAACACTGTCACCAGTCTAGACGGACCCTGAGGTCACCCCAGCAACGCAAAGCAGCTCCATGTGCCCCAAATCAACTCGAGATGAGGCCCGATTCCCCTGCATTGACTCCAGAGCCATTCCCCGTTCCCCATTCAACACGACCGGTGGCTCGACTTCCTTCAGGCAACTCCAGAGATGCCCCGAGAACACTGTCCCAAGTCTAGAGGAACACCAACTTCAGCACAGCAACTCGAGGAATGCTCCGTGTACCCCAAATCGTCTCGAGATGCGAGCTGATTCCCTGGCTTAGGCTCAAGACGTATGCCAACTTCCCAGAAGCACCTCAGGAGGAGGCTTCTCTCAGCAATAGGTATGTGGGAGGGACCCCGAGTTTGCTGCCTCAAGGGGAATATACAGCGAGAAGCCCTAACTTGAAAGGAGGCCGGATTTCCTTGCAGTGGCTGGAATACAGGCTCGTCTTTCATCTCACAACATGAAGGGATGTCTGAATCCCCTGTGGAGACCTTAGAGAAAGCCCTAGGTCCCTGCCTCATTTTGACGGAATGCCTCACATCCCGCTGACACCTCGAGAGGCACGCGGAGTTCATTGCTTCAAAAGGTGACGATGCCTGACTCCTCTTGAATACTGATAGGAATCCCAAAATCCCTGTGGCTACTGGAAAGGGTCCTTGGGTGCCCTGCCTCACCTCGAGAAGCGTCCCTTTTGCCCTGCCAAGCCTCGAAGAGATTCCTGAGGTGTCCCTCGTTACTAGACAGGAGTCCTGACGTCACTGAAGAAACTCGTGTTTTGAAGGGCCATCCCCGCCGTAAGTCGAGAACATAGCCCAGGTCCCCGCCGCAACTCGAGAAAAACCATGAGACTTCCCCCTAGAGGCGAGATGAGGCCCCATTCCCCTGCAGTGCATGCAGAGCTATTCCGTGATCCCATTCAAACAAGTCAGGAGCTTCGACTTGCTTAATGGGTCTCGAGACAGTCCCCAAGAACACTGTCACCAGTCTAGACGGACCATGAGGTCACCCCAGCAACACAAAGCAGCTCCATGTGCCCCAAATCAACTCGAGATGAGGCCCGATTCCCCTGCATTGACTCCAGAGCCATTCCCCGTTCCCCATTCAACACGACCGGTGGCTCGACTTCCTTCAGGCAACTCCAGAGATGCCCCGAGAACACTGTCCCAAGTCTAGAGGAACACCAACTTCAGCACAGCAACTCGAGGAATGCTCCGTCTACCCCAAATCGTCTCGAGATGCGAGCTGATTCCCTGGCTTAGGCTCAAGACGTATGCCAACTTCCCAGAAGCACCTCAGGAGGAGGCTTCTCTCAGCAATAGGTATGTGGGAGGGACCCCGAGTTTGCTGCCTCAAAGGGAATATACAGCGAGAAGCCCTAACTTGAAAGGAGGCCGGATTTCCTTGCAGTGGCTTGAATACAGGCTCGTCTTTCATCTCACAACATGAAGGGATGTCTGAATCCCCTGTGGAGACCTTAGAGAAAGCCCTAGGTCCCTGCCTCATTTTGACGGAATGCCTCACATCGCGCTGACACCTCGAGAGGCACGCGGAGTTCATTGCTTCAAAAGGTGACGATGCCTGACTCCTCTTGAATACTGATAGGAATCCCAAAATCCCTGTGGCTACTGGAAAGGGTACTTGGGTGCCCTGCCTCACCTCGAGAAGCGTCCCTTTTGCCCTGCCAAGCCTCGAAGAGATTCCTGAGGTGTCCCTCGTTACTAGACAGGAGTCCTGACGTCACTGAAGAAACTCCTGTTTTGAAGGGCCATCCCCGCCGTAAGTCGAGAACATAACCCAGGTCCCCACCGCAACTCGAGAAAAACCGTGAGACTTCCCCCTAGAGGCGAGATGAGGCCCCATTCCCCTGCAGTACTTGCAGAGCTATTCCGTGATCCCATTCAAACAAGTCAGGAGCTTCGACTTGCTTAATGGATCTCGAGACAGTCCCCAAGAACACTGTCACCAGTCTAGACGGACCCTGAGGTCACCCCAGCAACGCAAAGCAGCTCCATGTGCCCCAAATCAACTCGAGATGAGGCCCGATTCCCCTGCATTGACTCCAGAGCCATTCCCCGTTCCCCATTCAACACGACCGGTGGCTCGACTTCCTTCAGGCAACTCCAGAGATGCCCCGAGAACACTGTCCCAAGTCTAGAGGAACACCAACTTCAGCACAGCAACTCGAGGAATGCTCCGTGTACCCCAAATCGTCTCGAGATGCGAGCTGATTCCCTGGCTTAGGCTCAAGACGTATGCCAACTTCCCAGAAGCACCTCAGGAGGAGGATTCTCTCAGCAATAGGTATGTGGGAGGGACCCCGAGTTTGCTGCCTCAAGGGGAATATACAGCGAGAAGCCCTAACTTGAAAGGAGGCCGGATTTCCTTGCAGTGGTTGAATACAGGCTCGTTTTTCATCTCACAACATGAAGGGATGTCTGAATCCCCTGTGGAGACCTTAGAGAAAGCCCTAGGTCCCTGCCTCATTTTGACGGAATGCCTCACATCGCGCTGACACCTCGAGAGGCACGCGGAGTTCATTGCTTCAAAAGGTGACGATGCGTGACTCCTCTTGAATACTGATAGGAATCCCAAAATCCCTGTGGCTACTGGAAAGGGTCCTTGGGTGCCCTGCCTCACCTCGAGAAGCGTCCCTTTGGCCCTGCCAAGCCTCGAAGAGATTCCTGAGGTGTCCCCCGTTACTAGACAGGAGTCCTGACGTCACTGAAGAAACTCGTGTTTTGAAGGGCCATCCTCGCCGTAAGTCGAGAACATACCCCAGGGCCCCGCCGCAATTCGAGAAAAACCATGAGACTTCCCCCTAGAGGCGAGATGAGGCCCCATTCCCCTGCAGTGCATGCAGAGCTATTCCGTGATCCCATTCAAACAAGTCAGGAGCTTCGACTTGCTTAATGGATCTCGAGACAGTCCCCAAGAACACTGTCACCAGTCTAGACGGACCCTGAGGTCACCCCAGCAATGCAAAGCAGCTCCATGTGCCCCAAATCAACTCGAGATGAGGCCCGATTCCCCTGCATTGACTCCAGAGCCATTCCCCGTTCCCCATTCAACACGACCGGTGGCTCGACTTCCTTCAGGCAACTCCAGAGATGCCCCGAGAACACTGTCCCAAGTCTAGAGGAACACCAACCTCAGCACAGCAACTCGAGGAATGCTCCGTGCACCCCAAATCGTCTCGAGATGCGAGCTGATTCCCTGGCTTAGGCTCAAGACGTATGCCAACTTCCCAGAAGCACCTCAGGAGGAGGCTTCTCTCAGCAATAGGTATGTGGGAGGGACCCCGAGTTTGCTGCCTCAAGGGGAATATACAGCGAGAAGCCCTAACTTGAAAGGAGGCCGGATTTCCTTGCAGTGGCTTGAATACAGGCTCGTCTTTCATCTCACAACATGAAGGGATGTCTGAATCCCCTGTGGAGACCTTAGAGAAAGCCCTAGGTCCCTGCCTCATTTTGACGGAATGCCTCACATCCCGCTGACACCTCGAGAGGCACGCGGAGTTCATTGCTTCAAAAGGTGACAATGCCTGACTCCTCTTGAATACTGATAGGAATCCCAAAATCCCTGTGGCTACTGGAATGGGTCCTTGGGTGCCCTGCCTCACCTCGAGAAGCGTCCCTTTGGCCCTGCCAAGCCTCGAAGAGATTCCTGAGGTGTCCCTCGTTACTAGACAGGAGTCCTGACGTCACTGAAGAAACTCGTGTTTTGAAGGGCCATCCCCGCCGTAAGTCGAGAACATACCCCAGGTCCCCGCCGCAACTCGAGAAAAACCATGAGACTTCCCCCTAGAGGCGAGATGAGGCCCCATTCCCCTGCAGTGCATGCAGAGCTATTCCGTGATCCCATTCAAACAAGTCAGGAGCTTCGACTTGCTTAATGGATCTCGAGACAGTCCCCAAGAACACTGTCACCAGTCTAGACGCACCCTGAGGTCACCCCAGCAACGCAAAGCAGCTCCATGTGCCCCAAATCAACTCGAGATGAGGCCCGATTCCCCTGCATTGACTCCAGAGCCATTCCCCGTTCCCCATTCAACACGACCGGTGGCTCGACTTCCTTCAGGCAACTCCAGAGATGCCCCGAGAACACTGTCCCAAGTCTAGAGGAACACCAACTTCAGCACAGCAACTCGAGGAATGCTCCGTGTACCCCAAATCGTCTCGAGATGCGAGCTGATTCCCTGGCTTAGGCTCAAGACGTATGCCAACTTCCCAGAAGCACCTCAGGAGGAGGCTTCTCTCAGCAATAGGTATGTGGGAGGGACCCCGAGTTTGCTGCCTCAAGGGGAATATACAGCGAGAAGCCCTAACTTGAAAGGAGGCCGGATTTCCTTGCAGTGGCTTGAATACAGGCTCGTCTTTCATCTCACAACATGAAGGGATGTCTGAATCCCCTGTGGAGACCTTAGAGAAAGCCCTAGGTCCCTGCCTCATTTTGACGGAATGCCTCACATCCCGCTGACACCTCGAGAGGCACGCGGAGTTCATTGCTTCAAAAGGTGACGATGCCTGACTCCTCTTGAATACTGATAGGAATCCCAAAATCCCTGTGGCTACTGGAAAGGGTCCTTGGGTGCCCTGCCTCACCTCGAGAAGCGTCCCTTTGGCCCTGCCAAGCCTCGAAGAGATTCCTGAGGTGTCCCTCGTTACTAGACAGGAGTCCTGACGTCACTGAAGAAACTCGTGTTTTGAAAGGCCATCACCGCCGTAAGTCGAGAACATACCCCAGGTCCCCGCCGCAACTCGAGTAAAACCATGAGACTTCCCCCTAGAGGCGAGATGAGGCCCCATTCCAGTGTAGTGCATGCAGAGCTATTCCGTGATCCCATTCAAACAAGTCAGGAGCTTCGACTTGCTTAATGGATCTCGAGACAGTCCCCAAGAACACTGTCACCAGTCTAGACGGACCCTGAGGTCACCCCAGCAACGCAAAGCAGATCCATGTGCCCCAAATCAACTCGAGATGAGGCCCGATTCCCCTGCATTGACCCCAGAGCCATTCCCCGTTCCCCATTCAACACGACCGGTGGCTCGACTTCCTTCAGGCAACTCCAGAGATGCCCCGAGAACACTGTCCCAAGTCTAGAGGAACACCAACTTCAGCACAGTAACTCGAGGAATGCTCCGTGTACCCCAAATCGTCTCGAGATGCGAGCTGATTCCCTGGCTTAGGCTCAAGACGTATGCCAAATTCCCAGAAGCACCTCAGGAGGAGGCTTCCCTCAGCAATAGGTATGTGGGAGGGACCCCGAGTTTGCTGCCTCAAGGGGAATATACAGCGAGAAGCCCTAACTTGAAAGGAGGCCGGATTTCCTTGCAGTGGCTTGAATACAGGCTCGTCTTTCATCTCACAACATGAAGGGATGTCTGAATCCACTGTGGAGACCTTAGAGAAAGCCCTAGGTCCCTGCCTTATTTTGAAGGAATGCCTCACATCCCGCTGACACCGCGAGAGGCACGCGGAGTTCATTGCTTCAAAAGGTGACGATGCCTGACTCCTCTTGAATACTGATAGGAATCCCAAAATCCCTGTGGCTACTGGAAAGGGTCCTTGGGTGCCCTGCCTCACCTCGAGAAGCGTCCCTTTTGCCCTGCCAAGCCTCGAAGAGATTCCTGAGGTGTCCCTCGTTACTAGACAGGAGTCCTGACGTCACTGAAGAAACTGGTGTTTTGAAGGGCCATCCCCGCCGTAAGTCGAGAACATACCCCAGGTCCCCGCCGCAACTCGAGAAAAACCATGAGACTTCCCCCTAGAGGCGAGATGAGGCCCCATTCCCCTGCAGTGCATGCAGAGCTATTCCGTGATCCCATTCAAACAAGTCAGGAGCTTCGACTTGCTTAATGGATCTCGAGACAGTCCCCAAGAACACTGTCACCAGTCTAGACGGACCCTGAGGTCACCCCAGCAACGCAAAGCAGCTCCATGTGCCCCAAATCAACTCGAGATGAGGCCCGATTCCCCTGCATTGACTCCAGAGCCATTCCCCGTTCCCCATTCAACACGACCGGTGGCTCGACTTCCTTCAGGCAACTCCAGAGATGCCCCGAGAACACTGTCCCAAGTCTAGAGGAACACCAACTTCAGCACAGCAACTCGAGGAATGCTCCGTGTACCCCAAATCGTCTCGAGATGCGAGCTGATTCCCTGGCTTAGGCTCAAGACGTATGCCAACTTCCCAGAAGCACCTCAGGAGGAGGCTTCTCTCAGCAATAGGTATGTGGGAGGGACCCCGAGTTTGCTGCCTCAAGGGGAATATACAGCGAGAAGCCCTAACTTGAAAGGAGGCCGGATTTCCTTGCAGTGGCTTGAATACAGGCTCGTCTTTCATCTCACAACATGAAGGGATGTCTGAATCCCCTGTGGAGACCTTAGAGAAAGCCCTAGGTCCCTGCCTCACTTTGACGGAATGCCTCACATCCCGCTGACACCTCGAGAGGCACGCGGAGTTCATTGCTTCAAAAGGTGACGATGCCTGACTCCTCTTGAATACTGATAGGAATCCCAAAATCCCTGTGGCTACTGGAAAGGGTCCTTGGGTGCCCTGCCTCACCTCGAGAAGCGTCCCTTTTGCCCTGCCAAGCCTCGAAGAGATTCCTGAGGTGTCCCTCGTTACTAGACAGGAGTCCTGACGTCACTGAAGAAACTGGTGTTTTGAAGGGCCATCCCCGCCGTAAGTCGAGAACATACCCCAGGTCCCCGCCGCAACTCGAGAAAAACCATGAGACTTCCCCCTAGAGGCGAGATGAGGCCCCATTCCCCTGCAGTGCATGCAGAGCTATTCCGTGATCCCACTCAAACAAGTCAGGAGCTTCGACTTGCTTAATGGATCTCGAGACAGTCCCCAAGATCACTGTCACCAGTCTAGACGGACCCTGAGGTCACCCCAGCAACGCAAAGCAGCTCCATGTGCCCCAAATCAACTCGAGATGAGGCCCGATTCCCCTGCATTGACTCCAGAGCCATTCCCCGTTCCCCATTCAACACGACCGGTGGCTCGACTTCCTTCAGGCAACTCCAGAGATGCCCCGAGAACACTGTCCCAAGTCTAGAGGAACACCAACTTCAGCACAGCAACTCGACGAATGCTCCGTGTACCCCAAATCGTCTCGAGATGCGAGCTGATTCCCTGGCTTAGGCTCAAGACGTATGCCAACTTCCCAGAAGCACCTCAGGAGGAGGCTTCTCTCAGCAATAGGTATGTGGGAGGGACCCCGAGTTTGCTGCCTCAAGGGGAATATACAGCGAGAAGCCCTAACTTGAAAGGAGGCCGGATTTCCTTGCAGTGGCTTGAATACAGGCTCGTCTTTCATCTCACAACATGAAGGGATGTCTGAATCCCCTGTGGAGACCTTAGAGAAAGCCCTAGGTCCCTGCCTCATTTTGACGGAATGCCTCACATCCCGCTGACACCTCGAGAGGCACGCGGAGTTCATTGCTTCAAAAGGTGACGATGCCTGACTCCTCTTGAATACTGATAGGAATCCCAAAATCCCTGTGGCTACTGGAAAGTGTCTTTGGGTGCCCTGCCTCACCTCGAGAAGCGTCCCTTTTGCCCTGCCAAGCGTCGAAGAGATTCCTGAGGTGTCCCTCGTTACTAGACAGGAGTCCTGACGTCACTGAAGAAACTCGTGTTTTGAAGGGCCATCCCCGCCGTAAGTCGAGAACATACCCCAGGTCCCCGCCGCAACTCGAGAAAAACCACGAGACTTCCCCCTAGAGGCGAGATGAGGCCCCATTCCCCTGCAGTGCATGCAGAGCTATTCCGTGATCCCATTCAAACAAGTCAGGAGCTTCGACTTGCTTAATGGATCTCGAGACAGTCCCCAAGAACACTGTCACCAGTCTAGACGGACCCTGAGGTCACCCCAGCAATGCAAAGCAGCTCCATGTGCCCCAAATCAACTCGAGATGAGGCCCGATTCCCCTGCATTGACTCCAGAGCCATTCCCCGTTCCCCATTCAACACGACCGGTGGCTCGACTTCCTTCAGGCAACTCCAGAGATGCCCCGAGAACACTGTCCCAAGTCTAGAGGAACACCAACTTCAGCACAGCAACTCGAGGAATGCTCCGTCTACCCCAAATCATCTCGAGATGCCAGCTGATTCCCTGGCTTAGGCTCAAGACGTATGCCAACTTCCCAGAAGCACCTCAGGAGGAGGCTTCTCTCAGCAATAGGTATGTGGGAGGGACCCCGAGTTTGCTGCCTCAAGGGGAATATACAGCGAGAAGCCCTAACTTGAAAGGAGGCCGGATTTCCTTGCAGTGGCTTGAATACAGGCTCGTCTTTCATCTCACAACATGAAGGGATGTCTGAATCCCCTGTGGAGACCTTAGAGAAAGCCCTAGGTCCCTGCCTCATTTTGACGGAATGCCTCACATCCCGCTGACACCTCGAGAGGCACGCGGAGTTCATTGCTTCAAAAGGTGACGATGCCTGACTCCTCTTGAATACTGATAGGAATCCCAAAATCCCTGTGGCTACTGGAAAGGGTCCTTGGGTGCCCTGCCTCACCTCGAGAAGCGTCCCTTTTGCCCTGCCAAGCCTCGAAGAGATTCCTGAGGTGTCCCTCGTTACTAGACAGGAGTCCTGACGTCACTGAAGAAACTCGTGTTTTGAAGGGCCATCCCCGCCGTAAGTCGAGAACATACCCCAGGTCCCCGCCGCAACTCGAGAAAAACCATGAGACTTCCCCCTAGAGGCGAGATGAGGCCCCATTCCCCTGCAGTGCATGCAGAGCTATTCCGTGACCCCATTCAAACAAGTCAGGAGCTTCGACTTGCTTAATGGATCTCGAGACAGTCCCCAAGAACACTGTCACCAGTCTAGACGGACCCTGAGGTCACCCCAGCAACGCAAAGCAGCTCCATGTGCCCCAAATCAACTCGAGATGAGGCCCGATTCCCCTGCATTGACTCCAGAGCCATTCCCCGTTCCCCATTCAACACGACTGATGGCTCGACTTCCTTCAGCCAACTCCAGAGATGCCCCGAGAACACTGTCCCAAGTCTAGAGGAACACCAACTTCAGCACAGCAACTCGAGGAATGCTCCGTCTACCCCAAATCGTCTCGAGATGCGAGCTGATTCCCTGGCTTAGGCTCAAGACGTATGCCAACTTCCCAGAAGCACCTCAGGAGGAGGCTTCTCTCAGCAATAGGTATGTGGGAGGGACCCCGAGTTTGCTGCCTCAAGGGGAATATACAGCGAGAAGCCCTAACTTGAAAGGAGGCCGGATTTCCTTGCAGTGGCTTGAATACAGGCTCGTCTTTCATCTCACAACATGAAGGGATGTCTGAATCCCCTGTGGAGACCTTAGAGAAAGCCCTAGGTCCCTGCCTCATTTTGACGGAATGCCTCACATCCCGCTGACACCTCGAGAGGCACGCGGAGTTCATTGCTTCAAAAGGTGACGATGCCTGACTCCTCTTGAATACTGATAGGAATCCCAAAATCCCTGTGGCTACTGGAAAGGGTCCTTGGGTGCCCTGCCTCACCTCGAGAAGCGTCCCTTTTGCCCTGCCAAGCCTCGAAGAGATTCCTGAGGTGTCCCTCGTTACTAGACAGGAGTCCTGACGTCACTGAAGAAACTCGTGTTTTGAAGGGCCATCCCCGCCGTAAGTCGAGAACATACCCCAGGTCCCTGCCGCAACTCGAGAAAAACCATGAGACTTCCCCCTAGAGGCGAGATGAGGCCCCATTCCCCTGCAGTGCATGCAGAGCTATTCCGTGACCCCATTCAAACAAGTCAGGAGCTTCGACTTGCTTAATGGATCTCGAGACAGTCCCCAAGAACACTGTCACCAGTCTAGACGGACCCTGAGGTCACCCCAGCAATGCAAAGCAGCTCCATGTGCCCCAAATCAACTCGAGATGAGGCCCGATTCCCCTGCATTGACTCCAGAGCCATTCCCCGTTCCCCATTCAACACGACCGGTGGCTCGACTTCCTTCAGGCAACTCCAGAGATGCCCCGAGAACACTGTCCCAAGTCTAGAGGAACACCAACTTCAGCACAGCAACTCGAGGAATGCTCCGTCTACCCCAAATCGTCTCGAGATGCGAGCTGATTCCCTGGCTTAGGCTCAAGACGTATGCCAACTTCCCAGAAGCACCTCAGGAGGAGGCTTCTCTCAGCAATAGGTATGTGGGAGGGACCCCGAGTTTGCTGCCTCAAGGGGAATATACAGCGAGAAGCCCTAACTTGAAAGGAGGCCGGATTTCCTTGCAGTGGCTTGAATACAGGCTCGTCTTTCATCTCACAACATGAAGGGATGTCTGAATCCCCTGTGGAGACCTTAGAGAAAGCCCTAGGTCCCTGCCTCATTTTGACGGAATGCCTCACATCCCGCTGACACCTCGAGAGGCACGCGGAGTTCATTGCTTCAAAAGGTGCCGATGCCTGACTCCTCTTGAATACTGATAGGAATCCCAAAATCCCTGTGGCTACTGGAAAGGGTCCTTGGGTGCCCTGCCTCACCTCGAGAAGCGTCCCTTTTGCCCTGCCAAGCCTCGAAGAGATTCCTGAGGTGTCCCTCGTTACTAGACAGGAGTCCTGACGTCACTGAAGAAACTCGTGTTTTGAAGGGCCATCCCCGCCGTAAGTCGAGAACATACCCCAGGTCCCCGCCGCAACTCGAGAAAAACCATGAGACCTCCCCCTAGAGGCGAGATGAGGCCCCATTCCCCTGCAGTGCATGCAGAGCTATTCCGTGACCCCATTCAAACAAGTCAGGAGCTTCGACTTGCTTAATGGATCTCGAGACAGTCCCCAAGAACACTGTCACCAGTCTAGACGGACCCTGAGGTCACCCCAGCAACGCAAAGCAGCTCCATGTGCCCCAAATCAACTCGAGATGAGGCCCGATTCCCCTGCATTGACTCCAGAGCCATTCCCCGTTCCCCATTCAACACGACCGGTGGCTCGACTTCCTTCAGGCAACTCCAGAGATGCCCCGAGAACACTGTCCCAAGTCTAGAGGAACACCAACTTCAGCACAGCAACTCGAGGAATGCTCCGTGTACCCCAAATCGTCTCGAGATGCGAGCTGATTCCCTGTCTTAGGCTCAAGACGTATGCCAACTTCCCAGAAGCACCTCAGGAGGAGGCTTCTCTCAGCAATAGGTATGTGGGAGGGACCCCGAGTTTGCTGCC